CAGATGCAGATATATAAATGTGCCAGTTTGCAAAATTATCGGAGGTCAGGAAGGGAGGCTAATGTCGGAATGTCCGAACTCTGGGTTCTGTCCAAACTCCGGGTCCGTGATAGTACTTGTTGCTTTCCAAAGTCAATAAAAAACCCCACATAACCGAAAGTTTATTATCTATCAATCACAGTGTTTGTACAAACATAATCCAATTGCCTCAGGTAAGTACCCACAAAAAGAATGAAGCCAACAGGACCTATGGTTGCTGAGATATTGCTTTTGCAGTGGAGGAAGGTAAAACCTAGGGAGGGGTGTCAGAAGTCCGAGTCTGGGGCAGGTTGATTAGATGCCAACGAGATTAATCTGGGGCGAGATAAAGAGAAGCGCCCATTAGATAAGATTAGCAAGTTGGTAGTTGGTAGTTGATCGTGAAACTGCGCGCGACCTAAGTACGACCTCAGTCCGACCTCAGTTAGCCGAGGTTTCACTATCAACTATCAACTTTCACTTGCAGCTTGCAACTCGCCAGGGGGATCTGGCCGCATTTTCAAGGATTTCGAAAGGCGCCTGCCTTATATGGTCATTAGGCGCCCACGAAAGTTGCGAGTTGCGAGTTGCACATGCGCGTAGATTAAATGTACAATATCACCGCCATAGGGGAGAAGCAGAACGAGAGGGTCAGAAAAGAACGAGTACACATGCCCGCAGATGCGGATGCCTGCCACAGCAGATGCCTGCGATGCAGATGCCCACGCGGAACAAAGCGAATGGATGCCTGCGAGAAGCAGAAGCTATGACTAGAAACCATGAGCAATTGCGAACACGAGACTGCTGCGACGCTCTGAAGGAGAACGCGTAAGCAGGCGAGACGGGCGCCTCCTGCCACCCCGGCGGCGAGAGAAGCGCTACGAGTCACGTGAAAGCCCCCTGCCTAGAAATGCAGGAGTACGAGTCAGAGAAGGACCTCGAGGAAGTAAACGGGAAACCAAACCGTACATGACGAAGGGAAACAAAACACCTGCCTACATAGTAATGAACCAAAGACATCTGTGAAATGCAAGGCAGAGGGTCGAACTCGTAAAGGACAAATAGGAATCCACCCGGGAGAGATCCTCGGCGGGCGGCGCGAACAACAGAGCGCATGAAATGGCGGCGGCGAATCATCTCCCAAAGATAACTCTGGTGAGAGCAAAGGATGGCTGATAGAAAGCCGCCGCTAGCACAAGTGCCACCCACAATGCGCTATGAACTGAGAGGGCTGAAGAAAAATGTGGGTAAAAGCGGTATCGGAAATGAATGGAAGCCGGAAGTGAAGTGAAGCAACTAAGTACAACACAAGAATATAGTCATGGAAGAGGGCATATTGATAGACCGCTTATTGAGTGGTCCCTGCCGAAGGGCACCTGTATAAAAAGGAGAAAACGCTGCGCGTCAATCCTACCTGCACTTCCCACACCACCAGCATCACCCCAGACATGCAAACCATCACCATCCATGCCATTGAAAGGGGCCGTGCCCCATCTAGCCTGCCACGCAGCGCCAGGGAACTCGAAATCGCACACTTCGACGTCATCATACCCCCAACCATTCCCCTGCGCGTAGGCCAGAGCGTCCGCGTCAACTCCCTGACGGAGGCAAGAGAGGCGGGGAACGTGGAGAGAGAGGCCTACACCCCTGCGTGGTACGAATCCACCGCCACGGGGATTGAAGGGAGGGTGATAGGCATCCGAACGATGGAGCTGGCAATCACGGAGTTCATCATCAGAAACAACGACCGCCTGTCCCTCGTCGAACATGCATACCTCTCCATACAGCACGTCCAAGGGATCACGGTCCACCTAGGCCTCTGGCAGAACATTGGCCGCACCCTCCTGCTCCCTTTCCTCCCCCACACGCGCCACATCCCCATCGAGCGCGACGCAATCGTACAGCAGGACGAGTGAAGAGCCGCGCGCGCGCAGAACCGAGCGATTGCACCGGGCCAGGGCCGCAATACGCTGGTCCCGCACGCGCGAGCGGGAGGACGGAGACCTGAAGCGTGGGGAGAGACAATGAGGGGTCGCAGAACGCAGGAAACCCGTGGGTGAACGGAGACAGATGGAATAGCGATAGGGAACAGATTAGACAAGGAACACCATCGGAAACATATGCGCGTCGTTCTTATAGATGCAGGGCGGGCCAGGGCCGCTGCAAGGTGTGAACGGAACTACGCAAGCGTGAAAAACCTTGCAAACTGACACGGGACGGTGAGACTGAGATAAGACATGAAAGGGAAAGAACATGGATGCGGAACAAGAATAGCCCGCCTGGAAAGGCGAGGCGCTTCTCCCCGCAGTGCCAGGGAAACGGGCAGTGAAATGCAGATATAGAACCGACAAAGGGGATAGAACGACACAAAAAGAAGATACACGGGCACAAATTGAACAACCTGAGAACACACCGTATAACGTGAACCAAGCCCACCCAAGTGGACGTTGAGGAGAGAAGATCTGCGCAGTGGTAAACGCCGCGAACGTGGGTGGCAGAGACTAAGAATCACTCACAGAAGGCGAGATGACATGCACCTCCTGAACAGCAAGCATGCGCCGCAACGCGCAAATGTTTGAAAGAGGGTAGAACACCCTACGTGAACTGGCGATATGAGCCAGAGTATGACAAGCGAAACGGAGACAGATGGAATGGCGAAACAAATCTAGCAGGATGCGCGGCACGGCATAGATCGAGGGCATAGAAGCTGAAATGCAGCGGCGCCGTAAACGGCGTGGACTGTATGACACAACCTGCGGGCCATGAATCCCAAAAGCTGAAACACAGAGTGGAATTAACACACAAGCTATAACCTAAGCATGATGTGAAGAAATAATCTCACCGCGCACCGGAGTAGGAACTCGAAAGACGTGCCGCGTAACGAAGTAGCACGCAAGATGCTGGAAGTACCGCCTGCCCTGAAATGCCCAGGAGACAGTAAATCCTGGGCTGAGACCCGAAATAACCCAGCCTGAACAGAACAGAATGTACCTCCCGAGAAATACAAACCTAAATGGCATGCCCCCAGATGCAAGCGAGTCGGAGTGGAGAAGATGCAACTATGGGAGCGCCACAACAAATGAAAACATAGAGGACGAGCGAGCAACAAGAGGACGAGCAGCGAGCCGACCTCCAGGAGAATACACACGCTAACTCCGCGGGATAGACGATGCAGTCCACGCTGCAACAACTGGAGCGATGTCGGCCGAAATGAAGTCCAAAACAACCGCACATAAGCGTAATGGAAAGGCCTCCTAGCAAAAGTAAGCCTGACGGCGTGCGGTGAACCGCATGGCAACCTGATATGGATAGAACGGAGCGCACATCCAAGAGAAACAGAACCTAGAAGTGCGCGCCCCTATGCGCAAGTGTACGGACCTTAGAGGACGTCCCTACATAACCCGCCGGGACGACGATGGCGAAGCCAAATGCAACGGAGACAGATGGAATAGCAATGAGCCACTCCCTATCTAGATATGAAAACCGACCAGACGGGAAACGAAACTGGCCGCTGCGAAACAAACGGAACGCACCTCCAACGGAACCTGAAAGCGCGCGCCTGCACGTGCAAAGAAGTCGGAGTGTCGGAATGTCACTGTGCGGCCTGGAGCAACGAAGTAATAGAAAACGATTGACTCCTGCAGGATAGAATCATGAGACCCACCCAGTATCGCACAAAGCGGCGATGAACAAGCCAAAGTGCAAACTGACCTAGTGCGAATGGAACGGAGCATACCTCCTAAAAAACACCGGAAGTAGAAGCACGCGTCTCTGGGTGCGAAGAGAATTAAAACGGAGAGAAGCACTGCGCGGCGACCTAAAGGAGGAAACAAGAGTGAGATGAACGCAACGGAGACAGATAGAATAGCGGCGATCTCTCCGGGAGAGATGAAACGCACAAGACTTAGAACTGCAGCGTATATATGGCCGTGCGGAGCGACGGCCGAAACCGGATGACACGGCACAGCACGGAACAACCAGCGCACTGCAACAGAAATGAAATGATGCGAAGGAGAGCACGAAACAGATCGGTCTGCCGAGGCGGGGCGCAGTCACCTAGCGGTGGCCCCTGAACCGGCGCGTAGACAGTACACGCGAAGCGGAGTGCGCAGGGAGAAGTAGGCGAAACAACTCGTACAAGAACATAAGAATACAGAGCGAGAAGACGCACACAGGTATAGAAATGCTGATGAAAGTGCCTCGCTCCACGGCGCCACCTACTACGGCTCGAAAGCTGAGTACTGAAACGAAGCGATACGCGTGAAGCGCAGAGAGCCTAGAACCAGGAATAAGCAACGAAATGAGCGTAGGCCAACTAAGCACCGTGAAGTGTGATGAAAGTTACTAAACCGCGGACCAAAGCAAGTCCTAAGTGAATGTCCAACGGCGGTAGGGACTAGACGGAGCATGAAGACATGAGTACGCTCGAGTAGTGCACTCTAGAAATGCTTTGGATGCGTCCGCGGACACGGAATACGTGAGATGCCGAATTTAGAAGGCAACATTGCCCGCGCCGGGGCCGAGCGCCCGGTGCGCGGGAGTACCGCTGCGTCGGTGCGCACACAGCCACGCAGTGGCAATATGGGAAGCCCTCCTCAGCAAGTAGATGTAGGCACCCGCCGCAATGGGACCGAAATTGAGGAGGCCAACCGCGCGTGCTCGTGCGTGAATTCTTGAAACCGAGCGGCAGGATGAGCTGTGAGGAGGACTATGTAAGGAACCCGGTGATGAGAGCCCCCCTCTCTCCCTCTCCCCCTTCTCCCACCACCTTCCCTCACTGCGAAGATGGCGAGCGACGCCGAGAACGCGGCCCAGATGCCGGCCATTTCGAGCGACCTCATCGGGCAAGACCTGTTCATGCAGATGCCGACCGCGAACGTATGGAATGGAGCGGCGAACGGCGAGACTTTCGGAATCGAGCAGGAAGCGTACAACATGCCCGCGGGTGTGCGAACCCTGGTACGATGACAACATATGATTGGCGTGGAGAGAGACTCACAGCTGCCGCGAAGGTTCCGGCGCACTACGCCCAATCTCCGATTTTTGGCGAAGGTCACGCGAACGCGTCCCCGTATCGGTCGGCCGAAGGATCGCCGACACCGGCGAGCTGCCACCGACGAGGTACGAGTTTCCTAGGGCACCAGACGCAATCTTTCCCAGGCCTGAGTGGACAAACTGCAGCACCGAACGCCGGTGAGGGGAGCAGCCTCGACTCCTTCATCCTGAGCGACCCCTCGACCCCTGTCACACCCCGCGCGTTGAACGACAATGTCTGCAGCGTACCTGAGGTGGCCGATTGCCCTGTAGGAGAAACGAGCGCCGTCCAAGCCAGCGACGGTGGAGAGGGACAAAGCGACACGCGTGGCAGGAAGAGACAACGCGTTGAGGTCTCCCCGGAGAGGCAGAAAGGGCGCGACACCTCCAGCGTGCCTGTTAAACTGGTGAGAGCCACGCTCTGTTTTGCCTGTCTGTGAGGATAGTGCGTAGGGGAGCATACACGCCCGCCCAAACCCGGCACAACCCGACGCCAGTACGGCGCCGCCGGAACTTTTGAGAGATAAGGAAGACGTACTGACCAAGTGCCCGTGCTAGGAGCATACCGCAAAGTCTGCAAAGAGCAAAGGAAAGCGTCGCGATCAGCCCCCGGGACTTCCCCCGGCGCAGGGTACTTATTTTGTCGACGCGGACCTCGCTGCGTACCTCCGCCGCGATGAGCAGCGGTATAACTTGGCGATCCAACAACAAGGTTTCCCTCAGATTGGCAATGAGACGCAACCTCCCCCTCAAACGCAGACCGCGCCCCCTCAGAGCGATAGCGGGAGCGACGGAACGAGCGGAGGATCCTTTCTCGAACTGGACGTCGCGGCGATGATTCGCGAGCAACCAGAAATGTGTAAGAACTTTCTGAAAGGCACCAACCACGCGCCCTCCTTCGCGCCACCCCAGCCTCTACCGAGCACGCGCAGCGTATCGGTGCGTGACCCCCTCATCCACGCCCCCCAGGCCGCGGTGCCCACCGTCATCGCGCACATCGAGATCCCCCCTCCTCCTGTGAAGCTGTGGCAGCCGAAAGACGCGACGCTGGCGGCGCCAGCAGCAGTCGCGAGACCGTCGCGCGCGCACGCGGGCCTGTCAGCGTCCGCGCACGCTCCGAGTGTGCGCAGCGAGGAAATGGACGTCGACCCGCCCGATGCGACCCCAGCGAAGCGAGGGGCCCCACTGTCGCGTACGCTGAGCGGCAGCGCCCACGCATGGCCGAAAACTGGAGCAAGCTCCGAGCGCGTGGGCACTGCTGCGATCGCACCAACTCCCGCAGCCACCCCAGTCCACCTAGACCCGGACGCGAGATCAGCAGAACTCACGCGTACAGGCATCCTCCGTGTCATGGAAACGCCACGCGACGGCTTCCCCACGAAGCACGCGCGCGGCCCTCTCGATCTCGTCAGAGACTTCCTCCGCAAGGACCTCAACGCACTCAGGACATGCAAGCCCGGCACCTGTTTCGGTGTGGAGCTCCACGGGATGAAGGACACGGGCGACGAGGAGTACCTCACGCGCGCCCGACGCGCAATAGTGAAGGGGATCACTGCCTTGACCGGGATGACGAACTTCCGGTTAAACTCACCGCCGCGACCGTCGCAGAAGGGCCTCAAGCGTGACTCCTCGATGCTTTGGACTGTGTCCTCAGCCGAGCCGGGCCCAGTACGGATGCTCGTAGCTAAAGGAGTGTGGCCGACCGATTTCGGCGCCCTCCACATCCACGATCTCTTCGTCAAACCGACGCGTTTCTGCATCAAGTACATGGGCTTTGTGAGCGGCGAGAAGGCCCACGTGAGGCAGGTAATCACCGAGAACTTCCTGAGCGCGCCCTTCCTCGACCCGATCATAGAACTCGTCGCGACTGACCCCAACCTCCCCGCGGGCGCGGATGCAGAGGCCGTGGCGAGGGGCATCGTCGAGAGTTTCGAGATAGTCATCGACAGAGTCGCAGGCGGGCCGCAGAACGGAGCAACCACCGCCGCAATATACGCCGACCCGCCAACTTCGGACGAGGAAGCGTGGACCGACTGGAACGCGGCGCTGCGCAAGCAACCACTTGTGAACCGCTTCGGACCCCATGCGATTGAGGTATATCCCCTGATGAGATGCGCAGGCTGCCACGCGGGCGACCACGTTCGCGCTAACTGCCCTTTCGAGGCCCTCCCGGGCTGGTTCGACGGATTCTCTGACGGCCAAGCACAGAATGGACAGCCCGCCACGCCCCGCGCGGACGCGCGCGCGGCCTCGCACGACGCAACGCGTGTCGCGCAGCTGCAACCCCCGCACCTGGCTCCGTCGACCGCAGCGCCGCTCGCGGGAGGGAGCGGACAGGCAATGACCCCGGCCGAGCACCTCCGCATAGCGCGCGAGCACCTGGCGGTCGTGTGCGCGCACCCGCAAGTGTCGCGAGAGCAGCTAGACCTCCTTCGGGATTGCACCCAGCTCGCTCAAGGGCCCGCGACCACGCAGCAGGGCCCATCCCAGCTAACGCCGAACGCGATGAGTCGCCAGCAGAACCCGCAGCGAATGGACCCCTTCGCGCCGACCCCCACTCAGCTCAACTCCCTCCCGCCGATCTACGAAGGCACCGCGCCTGGACAAGAGACACTCCGCATGGCGCGCGACCCCTTCGCGCTGGCACGCGAGCCGTTCGCTGCCCCGTGCGAACCCGGACAGGCACAGCACGACCCGCCCGCGATGTGCCGCGAGCAGCTGCTAGCATCGCGCGACACCTTCCTCCCCCCGCACGATTTCGGGCAGACTGCGCGCGAACAGTTTCAAGACTTACGCGACCTGGCGGCACCCGCGCACCCCGCCTTCCAACAGCAGAGGAGAGAACAAGCGAACGCGCGGGACTACCCCCTGGACCTGAGAGGCTCGATCGAGATGGCGCACGACCCCTTTAACGGGACGCGCGAGCAAGCCCAATTGACGCATGCCCGTCCGCAAGGCGAGGAGTACCGGGTGGACCTGCGCGCGATGGCATCGCAGGCGCAGCACACGATCGCTGGTGCGCCGCAAGTCGCGCCCGCTCCACAGGTGAACCCTTTCGCGCAGGCATCACAGGCTGCGCCGCCGCACACGCAGCTGCCACCCCAGCAGACGCACCAGACGCTGCCCGCGCGCGCACCGCAACCACGCGCCCCGCTCCGCGACATGGACGACACGGCGTACGCGTCGCAGCGTGAGTTCTACCCCCCGGCGCGAGGGCGTGGCCACCCTAGAGGCAACAGGCAGCGCCCGCGCCCTCCGCCGCCGCGTCCGAACTACTCGCAACAAGGGTACGAGAACAACGATGGCTTCTACTCGCAGGGCGGGGGCTACGGCGACGATTTCGGCCCCGAGCACTACCCTGCGCCGCCCCCGTACGCTGCGCAGGACGCGTACCGCGGACAGTACCCGGCGCAGTACCAGGACAACGCGCCTCGCGGCGGGGGAAGGCGCGGCAGCCGGATGAGGACCTTCTTCCCCTTCCCCCAGTAGAGCGCGCACGCGCGTCGAAGAGGGGAAAGCGTGGCACAGCGCGGCGTACTCCCTACCGCGGCTCTTGGCGGGCAACGACACCTGCTTGCGCAATCTGACTCGATACACACGCGCGCACGAGCGGATCTGCCCTCGGAATGCTCCCCCCCCCCGCCGAGTCGCTGCCTGCCGCCCTGCTAACTGCACTGTACATTCGATATTCTTGAACCGCGCGACTCACCGCAAGTACATACGCTGCATCTTACCCCTCCTGACTGATAGTGTACATGCTAGTCTGACACAGTACAACGTTGATTTCCGTCTACCTCCACCTAAGTAAACGCGCCATGCTCTGTACATCCCACCCATTCCTTGCCCGCGCGCGCGCGCATGTCTCCTGCTCCCGCACACGTCTCACACTGCGGTCTAGACCTACTAGGCAGCTGTATCTTGCTATATCCCACCGTAATTTGATCGATCTGTACATACAACTAACCGTGCGAGTCCGCGCCCTCCCCAGGTCTGAGAGCAGTGGCAAGACTGACCCCTTGTCGCGACTAATAGCTCTCGATCGCATGCCGACCGTCGCAGCCTCCTCAGCTGTGGGCGGGCGAGCTCAAAGGTGCGAAAACGGTCCATCTGGGCCCAAATACACTGGCTCTCGCGAGCGCAGGAAAGCCTGGATGTCCGGGTACGCGTGCGTACCAAAAACGGCGGCTTATTGAAGCCTCGACGTGCCGTGCCGAGAGGCTCAAGCCACCGGCTGCCTGACAGCGGATGGAGGTCAGATACCAGCCGAAGTGCATAGTCGACCGAGTGGGTCGGGATACACCCTCTTACCCCTCGCGTTGGTTGGCGCGTGGGGGACACTTATCAACCGCGAACAATAGCAACGAAACGAACAGCACCCAACATTTGGAGAGAGCACAGGCAACGGACTTCAGCCTCGGATCAGCCCGAGGTGCCGCATGCTCTCCTGCTGGCTGCGGCACCGTGGACGGCGGAGACGAGAACGGTGGCAGGCCGGACGGACGGGAGGACGTTACAGTCAACCCGCGCCGAATGGATTCCTTTGTCTCGACTGCGGAACAGGGGGCGGAGAACGAACAGCGAAGGACGAATAAGAAGAAACCTAAGTCAAAAGCGAGGATCACTGTCGCATCCCTCAATATGAAGGGGTATGGGACTGAAGATCGTACGAACGGCTCCAGCAAATGGCTGCTCATAAATCAGCTAATGCGTGACCGGAAACTGGCAGTGCTAGCAGTGCAGGAGGCGCACCTCGACAGTGAAAGGCTTGAAACACTCCGTCGAATTTTTGGCAGGCACTTAAGTATCTACATGTCTGCGGACAGCGAGAACAGCACGGGTGCACGGGGTGTTGCCATTGTCATCAATAAGCGTATCCTGAAATGCGAGGAACCCAAGCTACGCGATGTCGTGCCTGGAAGAGCATTACTGATTAGAATTCCGTGGGCTGAGGATCGCACTCTGACGCTTCTAAACGTGTACGCACCGAATGATAGAACGGAGAACGGCGCGTTCTGGGATCGACTAAGCGCGGCACGCCTAGGACGCATTGACGTACTCCTGGGGGACTTTAATGTTGTTGAGGAAGGAATTGACCGCATACCTGTGCATACTGATCCTGAACGAGCCACTGAACCCCTGAGGAAGCTGCGAGACGACCTGCACCTCCTTGATGGGTGGAGAGATGCTTACAAGCAAACTAAGGCCTTCACCTTCCTGCAAGAGAGCACGGGCAGTCAGTCGAGAATCGACCGTGCCTACGTGAGGCGCGCAATGCTGAAAGACTGCGATGAGTGGCAAATCACGGAATCGGGAGTACCCACAGACCACTGCCTGGTGTCGTTCGCTGTAGCAAACCACAAAGCTCCCTTCGTCGGCAAAGGGCGTTGGGCCATGCCGGCACACCTGCTTGAAGACAATGAAATGAAGAAAGAGATGAAGAGCTTGGGAGCTGCGCTCGTTGCCGACCTAGAACGTCTGCGGGTACGCACGGATGCCGCAAACCCGCAAACGGTGTACGAGAAGTTCAAAACCGACTTGATCCTGGCAGTAAGAGCGCGCGCAAAGGCGAAAGTTCCCAAGATCCAGCGCCAGATTGATCGATTGAGACTCGACCTAAACAAGACCTTGAACGACACGAACTTGGGGGAGGGACACGCGAGTCAGAGTGAGGCGAACCGTACGAGGAACGCGGCGATGCTGCAAGCACGGCTCGCGAAGCTGGAGTCGAAGCGTTTCGGATGGACGAGACGGGATGTCGCGGCGCGTCACTGGGCGCAAAGCGAGACAATTTCCCGATATTGGACGAGAGCGAATACTACCCCGCTGGCCTCGGAAGTGATGTACACGATGAGAGAACCGGGCGATGGGCCGGCAAGTTTCACAAACCACTCAAAGAAGATGTCGGCGATTGCTGCGAATTTCTACAACTCTCTTCAGGATGATGACCCACTCGAGGAAGGCGAATATCACGAGGAGTACATAGCGGAGGCCCTGCGGCACACGGATGTGCGCCTAGATGAAGAATCGAGAGCGAACCTCGCTAAGAACCTCACGAAGGAAGAAGTCATGGATGCAGTCCGCTCGGCGGCACGGAACAAGTCCCCCGGGCTTGATGGACTTCCGACGGAGGTCTGGAAAGCGTACCTAGGATGGTATGAGGCAGACTCGAAGCGTGGTGCGCCCGCAGTTGACCTGATTGGTGCGTTGACGACTGTGTACAACGACATTGAGCAGCATGGCGTGTGTGAGCGCTCCTCTTTCGTCAGAGGCTGGATATGTCCCATCTACAAGCTAAAGAAGGACAAACGGGAGATCGGAAACTACCGCCCCATAACGCTGCTGAACTCCGATTACAAGATCATGACCAAAGCGCTTGCAACTAGACTAGCAGACGTAGCGGCTACAATCATACACCCAGATCAGGCTGGTTTTGTCCCGGGACGCAGAATTTTCGACCACATCAAGCTCTCGCAATTGATGGTTGAGTACGCGGAGGCGGAGGAAGTAAATGGCGCTATTGTCGCCTTAGACCAGGAAAAAGCATACGATAAGATCGACCATACATACCTGTGGTGTGTACTCAGGCACATGAACTTCCCGGAGCACTTTATACGTACACTGGGGCACCTGTATGCGCGTGCAGAGAGCTGTGTAATCGTGAACGGAGTGCGAAGTGAGTTCTTCCGAATCTGGAGGGGTGTAAGGCAAGGTGACCCGATCTCGTGCTTGATATTCAACCTTGCCATAGAACCCCTGGCGTGTGCAATAAGGCGATCAGCGCTGAAAGGGTTCGAAATCCCGGGTGCCACGGAGAGATTAGTGGCAAAACTGTTTGCTGACGACACGACCGTGTACTTGAGCGAGGACGACGACTACGGGGCGGTAATGGAGATCACCGCGACTTGGTGTAGAGCGTCTAGAGCCCGTTTTAACCGTGAAAAGACGGAGGTCCTCCCGGTCGGAACCCCGGAATACAGAGCTCGTCTGCTTGCGACGAGACGACTGAGCGACGCGAGCCCCGCACTGCCGGATGGCATCCACGTTGTCAAAGACGGGGAAGCAATACGCTCGCTGGGCGCGTGGATTGGGAACGGCACTGACCTGGCTACGTCCTGGCAACCTATCCTCGGGGTAATAGAGAAGAATCTGGAGAAATGGAGCAGGAGTAGGCCGTCCCTGTATGGCAGGAAGTTGATTGTTGGAATGGAAGTGGGTGGACGCACCCAATTCCTTACCATGGCGCAGATGATGCCGTTGGATGTCGAGAAGAGAGTGACGCGCTTGATCGCAAACTTCGTCTGGGGGGGAGATGAGCACCCGCGCGTTGCAAGGGAGGCCTTGTACCAGCGCCATTCAAGTGGTGGACTGAACTTACTAGACATTAAGGCAAGGAATGAGGCAATTGACCTTATGTGGCTCAAGTCCTACCTGAACCTGACTAGAGACAGACCTGTATGGGCGCTTCTTGCGGATGTGCTTCTAGCAAATGCGGCCGCCGCAACGTCGAAGAATGTGGCCCGATCGGCGCGCACGAACACCTTCCTGCAGACTTGGAGGGTGAGCACACGCAAGAAGGCCGGCCTACCGACGGACCTAGCACGAATGGTGAAGGTGGCGGAGAAATTCGGAGTGAAATGCGAAGTTCGGAAGCCGACAACGAACTTGAAGAGCGAGTTCCCGATATGGTACCACATTGGGGTGGAGACCGGGCGCTGCACGGCGAACTCGAAGTCGAGCAAGTGCCTGCGGGAGAAGCATGGTGTCCTCACCGTCGCGCAATGCAGAGAGACTGCGAATCGGCTCGAGACGGCTGCGAGTGGACACCGAGCTGTGAGTACGTGCGATTGCGGCGCGTGCGCTGTGGACCGACTGGAGCGGGGCTGCGATAATCCCCACAGATGTGCGGAGGCGGCGAGACGAGCCCTGGGGAGGCTGGAACCGAAATGGCGGCCTGAAGTGGGCGAGAATGGTGATGGTCTTACACTCACGAGGCGGCGCAAACGAATGAACCAGACGGCGAAGGCTGCGAAGGAAAGAATCCTTTTCGACCCCTCACTCACGCAAGGCACCCCTCTAGCGATGGCCTTCAGAGTCTTCGTGCGGGATACTGACAGAGCCGACGGAGTTGCGACGAGGGTGCCCCGCCCCTACCAAGTCCAGAACGAGGAGGTGGAGGTCTTTACAGACGGCTCCTGCGTAAACAACGGCAGGGACGATGCGAGGGCAGGTAGTGGGGTGTGGTTCGGTGTTGACGATCCGAGGAACTGTAGCTCAGGGGTGCCGTACGACGCCCAATCGAACCAAACGGCAGAGGTCTATGCTGTTGCTCTGGCGCATCGAAGAGTACCGCCCTTCGCTGCGTTGCATATTGTTAGTGACTCGAAGTACGTAGTGGAAGGCTTCACCACTCACCTGCCGAACTGGGAGCACAGAGGCTGGCTTGGTGTTGCGAACGCGGCTGTCTTCAAGGACACCGTAGCTCTCCTGAGAACGAGGTGTGCACCCACGACGTTCAGATGGGTTAAAGGACACTCCGGGATTCGCGGAAATGAGGAGGCTGACAAACTCGCTGCAGCCGGGGCGGCCGGACCGACCCCGATGAGGCCGATCGACTTACCGGCGCCTAAATGTTTCGAAGTCGTGGGCGCCTCTCTCTCTCATCTCACACAACGACTAGCATACCGCGGCATCAAGTCATGGCGCCCTTCGCCACTCAAGCCCTCGACGCGGCGCGCACTCGAGTGCGCGCAGACAGCGATCCAGGCCGCGACTGGCGCTCGCCCGACGGAAGGAGCACTCTGGGGCTTGCTGAAACGCGACCCCATCTCACGGAAGGCGCGCGATTTCATCTGGAAGGCGTTGCACGGCGCGCACCGCGTAGGCGACTACTGGAAGAACATCCCAGGCTACGAAACTCGCGCCGTCTGTGCGCATTGCGACGTTGCGGACTCGCTCGAGCACATACTTGTTGAGTGTGCAGCACCCGGGCGGGCGACCGCGTGGTACCTTGCTGACCTGCTTCTGAAGAACCGCGGCTTCTCTCTGCGAGGCCCCTCCTACGGCCTTGTCCTGGGCTGCCAAGCGCTTGAAATCCTCAATAACAAGGGAAACCTCGACTCTGGCGCGACGCGACTCGCGAAGATCGTGGTGTCCGAAACCGCCTATCTCATCTGGACCCTGCGCTGCGAGCGTGTCATCGGGTGGGCACTCGAACCGCGACGCACACACTCGGAACAAGAGATCGAAAATTGATGGCTTGCGACGCTGAACAAGCGGCTCGGACTTGACTGCGCGTTGACCAGCAAACGCGTAGCGGGACGAAAGGCCCTGTCCACCACTCACGTGACCGCGACATGGCAAGGGACCCTTCAGCACGAGGCGGACTTGCCCGCGGATTGGACAGGGATGCCGGGGGTTTTAGTGGGTAAGCCGGCCCCTGCACTGGCCCGCGGGACAGGGTAGCCCGCCCGACCGAGCCGCGCAGAGGGCCGTGCAGTCCCACACTGGGGCGCGAAAGCGCCCGCGTGCGTAATGCATTTCCCCCGGCGCGGTGAAGCAACGGGACGCCCCTGGGCGCCCGTGACCCTGAGGAGGATCTCGCAGGAGACGGGGGCCCTATGTGAACCCCGAGCAGGCCTGAGGAGCCCTGGGCAGGCCCTGAGGAGCCCTGGACGGGCCCTGAGGACCCTGGACGGACCCTGAGAACCCTGTACGGACCCTCCCCCCCACCCTTCCCTAGGACCCTGGGGACCCTGTACCTCCCGGTCTAGCACATCGCGTGGAAGGCCCTTTCAGGGCCGCGCCACGTGAGCACCGCAAAAAAAAAAAAAAAAAAAAAAAAAGAAAGAGACACAGCGCGCCCGCTATGGGCGCTTCCTCGTTTATTTCGACGGAATGGGCGTCTATCGGGCAACGTCACCGATCGGCAGACACGATCTGGGATCTGGTCCAACCGTCTGGTAGCTGGCACTGGGCAGCCACGGCTCGTTCGAGTTGACCACCATCTCCGCACAAGACTGTCCTCCACCGCGATGCTGTTGCCTGACCTCAACCTCGACGTTCTCTTGCACATCAACGCGTTTTTGGTGCTCAGCGAAACCTCCCAACTCACGAGGACTTGCCGATCTCTCCATGATGTCCTTGTCCATGTACTTCTCCAAGGCCCAATCACGCTGTACCGAGACAGAATCATTTCCCTCCGCAGGTTCATGCATCAAGGCAGTAGGCGCGGCTACGAGCCTGACGACACACCTAGGGATATGTTTCCCTTCTTGCGCACCTTGATAATCGTCCCCGGCTCAACTACTGGCTCTCCATCCCCTAGCGAGTCGGCGCAAGCCCTCAACGACATCCTACATCGCTCTCGAGATCTCATATCGCTCACTGTGCTCAACGTTTCGATGACGTTCCCTCCCCAACAGTTGCGAATGGCTTTCGCTGCTTCGCTGCCGGCGTTGGAAGCTCTCATCCTGTGCGGCATCACAGCGGACTACCGGGATGCCCTCGCCGATGTCGTCTCTCCGCATCTCCGCACCGTCCAACTCTCATCTTCACTTGACTCTGACGTCGACCTCATGCCCCTTCTGCAGTATCACCGCCTGATGATCACCACCCTCTCGCTCTCGTCGGCCGCTCTAGGCGATCTTGAAATGCCCCTGCCCAGCGTGCGCGAGCTGAGAGTCATCAGCTTCTCCCCCAAGAACGACGAGACTGGATGGGCGGCACCACTCGTACATCTCTTCCCCAACGTCGAGCACGTCAGCCTACGGATGCTCTACATGAGCGACGGTTTCACGCTATGGGCACTCGATCCTTGTTACGGACACAACATAGCAGATACTTGGCGAGCCCGGGCAAAAGCTTGGGAACTGCAGCACGGGACATGGAAGAACGGCTTGCGCTATCTCCGGGTCCACTCCATCATGTCTCTCTACTGTCTCGGCCTATCCTGCCATGTCTCCTGCCTGGACCTGATCATCGCTGAGCTGTCCCTGCACATGGCCAACGTCGCGCTCGCCGATGTCCGCCCGCGGTGTATATGGCTCCCACTTGCGTTCTCGGACATGCCGGACAACACCGAGCTGCCTGCGCTCATGCGCGTCGTCGCGTCGACGCGATCCGTGACCCATCTCAGGGCCGAGATATGGAACTTGAAGGACTGCGGCGGAAACGACTTCGTCGTGAGTTTTACGTTTCACAAAACGCGACCGTGCTCGTTGCGGTCGTACCGCGCGCACTGATGGACCTTCCGTCTGCAGATAACGTTGGCACGCCTTCTCCGCGAGTCTGCCGTGTCGCATTTATGCGTACACCTATATTTCTGCGACGAACACCTGTCTGGTGGACAGCAAGAACGCAGGCGATCTATTGCGTCGGCACGGGACGATGAGCTCAGTCTCGATTTGCTACGGATGCTACAGGGCGACAACGTCGTGCTGCAGTACATATTCATCACCTTCGAGGATGAACGTGTAAGGGCCTGGGAAAGACATCGAGCAAGCGGAGAGTCGAGCATAGAGTGGAGCGAAATGGGACAACTGCGAGCCCGAGAGCTCGTAACCGCAGAAGGCTTGGTGAGAAAGTGAGAAATCCCCGGTGATCATATACATAGCTATACGGTGCGTTCTCAATATTGGTGTATGCCGGGTTGGCTGATAACACGTGTCGTTTTGAAGCGCAAAACCGTCACCTTGTCGCATTACTCCGTACCACTCGTTTTGTTCCTTTCGAGTCAACCGGTCTACACGCTGCTACCATGTACTCATCCGGGATGCATCACGCACGACTCCCAACGTTTGAGACGGGTTATCGCCACAGGCTCCCAGCCAAAGCATCAACGCTACCACTTCCCGCAAAGCTACACGGAGGGATGATCCACTCGGGGGAGGCTGTATGAAACGCCACGAGGCTACCAAACCAAAGTGTATGTCCGAAAGCGGTAGGAGCCTGCCTATATCGGGCAGGACTGTGAAGACAAGTGAAGTTGAACATACAGCGACCAACGACGCGGTCACTCTGCACGTGAGTCGGTTTAAACAAAACAGAGTTCTGTCCGATCACGTCGAGCAGCCTCGAGAGCAGTATATAAGGCTGCTCATTCCCGCCCACTCTCCCCAGCACTCCCCTTGCTCTGTGTCTTCGTCCTCGTACCCCTCCTGCCTTTAACTTCCTCCTCTATCTTCCTCCTCTTAACCCTCCAACCTCTAGCTTCATCCTTCCTCTAGCTTCGTCATCCCTCTGGCTTCCGCTTATCATCTGCAAACACACACTCATTACACAGTCACTCTTTTCTCTCTACGGCCTCACACCCCCACCGCTCGTTTTCTCGATCACAACACTCGAGCCCACACACCCCACCAATCTTCAAGCCGACATTTCCTCTTTCAGGCTGGCGACCTCTTTCTGCAATCGTCAAGCCCCTCCTCTCCTCCCCTCTCCTCCATCGCCTCCCCGAGCCTGGTGCTCCATCCCTCCAACACACCGTGCTGGCACACGGTCACCAGCACTCACAAGCAACGTATTGATAGCGACACAACGTTCAAATGAACACAAGAGAAATCAAATGCGTGGCAAGACGCGATGCTTGTCCGCGAAGTTCCCCTCCCCGTCCGGGACAAAGTTCCCTCTGGACCTGGCACCCCGAACCTCCCCTTCCCCTGGTTCTGGTGCATCCCTTCCGAATCCTGCTCTCCCCGGCCTCTACCTCCCCTTTGTCAACCTCGGAGCTCTACACCCTCCGCTGCCTGTCGCCGTCTCTCCTACTCTTGGACTCTTCGCTCGGTAGACCCAGTACCATCTGGATCCTCGGACCGACACTACCAGCGTTCTCGAAACTTCTCCATACTCGTCATCACCCCCGCGATGGCACCCACCACGTCCATCCTCGCCCCATTCCGCCCACCGGCCCCACAGTCCCTTCTGTCTCATCTAGCCTCGATTTGTATCCATATATCACTCATGTATCGTCTTCGTATAAAAATCATTTCCCTCATCTCCTCCAGGAGTGAAAATTAACGCGTGAACCACTGACCTGGAGCGACATGCCGTAGCAACCCTCGGACCGAGGGTGTCTACGCTCGGGGCTGGTGCGCAGCAAGACGCGTCGCGACGCGTACTTACGAGATGAGGCGCGTGTCACGTGTGCGGTGTCGTCACTGCCTCCGGGCCCTGAGCGCAGCAAAGTGGCGGAGTGGCCCGATCGCTGCATTCGTCCTTGCGCTCTCCCATCGCACGCCCATCTCTTCTTCCGCTCATCGTCGACGATGTACTCCTCACGACCCTCGTACAGCTCGCCGCCCCCCGAGCTCTCCAACAACCCCTTCATCGACCACTCCTCCAACGCCCGAGCCCGCTTCCCCGACATCTCAGGCTCCGATGATCTATCCGGCGGCTCCTCAAATCAGTACACATCCTGGCTCAACCGACCCCAGACCTCCGCCATAAACACAAATCAGTCTGGGTACTTTCCCCAGGGCGCGACCTCGCCCACCGGGTACGGCGGGGGCTACCAGGCGCAGCCACAGGCCACAGGATGGGGCCAACAAGGAGGCTCGGGCTTCGCTCAGCCGCAGCAACAGCAGCCGTACGGCCAGATGATGTCGCCCCCGCCTGTGCAGCCGCAGATGTCCTCGGGCCAGTTCCAGCCAGCGAGCTCGTTTGGCCAGCAGCTCGTCGGGCATGTGAACGGCGCATACGGCGCCGCGCCACAGCAGCAGCAGCAACCGCAATATTCTGGGTACCCCGCATCGCCGCAGTACAGCCAGGGATACCAACAGGGATATCCAAGTCAGCAGCCGCAGCAGCAACAATATATGGCCGAGTTCGACCCGTATTCGCAAAACCAAGGCGGGCAGGCGGGCACACCACTGGGCGGGGGCGGGCAGTACCCGGGAGCAGGCCAGCCTCAGCAGCGGCAGCACCCGCGCGAGTTCGTGCAGTCGCACAAGTCGGAGCTCGAGGTGTGGGACCCGTACACATGGAAACAGGTACGAAGCATCCCGTTTCGCCTGATCGGCGCGCCTTCGCGGGAGGCTCACACCCAAACCCCGCTTCCGGCAGGCGCAGAACTCGTTCGACGACCTGAAGGCCGCGTGGGAGGCGCGCAAGACGGAGCTCGAGGCGCGTCTGCGCGCGATGGGTGGAGCGGGGCTATTCGGAGGGGGCGGCGGGATGTACGGCGGGCCCGCGCAGCAGTACGCGCAGCTCGAGAACATGGCGAAGGAGGCGGGGCTGCACATCGGTAAGCGTCCGGCTCACTCTACTCCCGTGCTCCAGGCAGAGCACTGACGCGTTCTCGCAGACACGGTTGCGGCGAGCTCGTTCCAGATGCAAGAGGTGTTTGGGGGATACCGCCAGTCGGGCGACATCGCGTCGAAGCGGAGGGTGCGCGAGGCGATCAACGCCGCGCTAAGCAGTCTGCCCGACTGGCCTCAGCCGCTTTACTAGGATATCCTTGGATGAGTCTGCGTTTCTCTTATCTGGGTGGATGTATTCTGTGGAGCTACCGACTCGGAGTCGGGCTTGTACACGGCCGGCGCGACGGTTGTAGGATCGTAATTTATGCGTTTTGTATCGTTCTGGCTGTTACGGCTGTTATCCAAACGATTGGCCCTCTTCGAAACCATTCACATAACTCTGTACTTACGCTCAGAGGTGGCAGCGAGTCTCCGCGAAAGGCGTGAACCGCCAGGAGGTACCCGAGCGATAGTTATCACTGAAGTTTGAAGTCGTACAGCGACGATAATAACAGGGAGTCTTCATTGATGTGCTTGCTACCAACATATAGTTACATACATACATCTTGCTTCGATATATCATACATCCAAAACGCAACATACACAGAAAGAAACCGATGAAACGAGAAATGAGGAATCCATATGTCCTTGTCAGTGTACCGCCTCAGGCCGCCTCGACAGGCTGCGCGGAACGTCCCCACCTGTCAGCGCGACGCTCCCACCGAGACGCTCTACGTGCTTCGCGCCTCTCCTGACGGCCCTCACGGCGCTCCTTGCGCACCCAGCGCGCCTCCTCCCGGCGGTTGTGTCTAGTCACCACCGCCTCCCTGAGGCCCCGCGCGTTCTCCTTCGCCAGACTGACGCGGTCCCGAACACGCGCGCTGACCTCGGACACTGACGAGAACCACCGCTCGCCCGCCGCGCGGATCTCCTTCGCCCGCTCGCGCGCGCGCTCGTGGCGGTTGCGGAGCGTCTGGCGCACCTCCTCCACCATCACCTGCGTCTGCTCCAGCGCCTCCTCGGTCTGGCGTCCGATCGCCTGGCTGAGCTCCTCGAGGGCGTCGACGACCTCCTGCACGTCGTTGCGCGCGGCGCCGCCGAAGTTGATGCACGTGTCGATGTACTCGGTGAGCGCGCCGGCGATACGGGTGCTGAGCGCGTAGAGAGAGTCGTCCTCGGACGCGCGCGCCTTGCCTTTGCCCTTCACAGAGGCGCCTGGGGTGACGAGGGACAGACCGCCCTTGGTGAATGCCTGCCCGGCCAGGGACGGGGAGGGCGGAGTGGGGCGGAGCGCGACGTCTGTGGACGGCTTGTTCTTCGCGGGCCAGGTGATCAGGCCGCAGCCACACTCGCACTCGGACGGGGCGCCGGCTTCCGGTGCTGGATCCGGCACAGCAGCGGCGGTGGGAGAGGGAAGAGCCTTTGCAGCCACTGAAGAGGTGGATGCCACGGGGAAAGGACTCAGGACCGCAAGCGCAAAGTCCTTAAGAGAGGACGAGACCAGGGCCATTCCGGTGGACGTCGGACCGGGCACGGCCGCCGACATGTTCAACACGACGGGGGAGGGCAGGGACTGTGCACGAATGGGGAGAATTGTTACACCTGGCTTGGCAGGTCGCGCAACTGAGGCGGACGAGAAGGACCCGTTGATCAGATACCCGAGCACTATCGAGAGTATCGCGAAGCTGGTTGCGAGTCAGTTGCGCTGCCCAAAAGGAGATGGAGAAATATGGATGTACGTACATAGTGAGCGCATGACGCGACGTCAGGTTCTGGGACGACCACACTTGCGTCCATGGGAGCAGGGGTCTGAACGCACGTGCCACTCGTGCGGGTGAGGCACGCTCGAGGTCGTCTTCCTCCACAACTGTCGACTTGCCGGCGGAGATGAACGCAGAGACGGTCTTGTTCTTGGGGATACCTAGGAGTTGCCAATCTTGCTCGGCGTCGAGCAGACGATCGCTTGACTCGAACAGGTCGTCGTCATCTTCAGTCGTGTCCTGGGTTAGAACCGGCAGGTAGAGTGTATGTTCAGGCACCGCTGTGACGGCCGACGGGAGGAATACGACCGCGAGCGACGGTTTCTCTGCATGGGAGGCGAAAGAAGCCGGCTATACATGGATGAAGTGAGATTCAACAAACGAATCGGGAAGGGACCTACCTCTTCCTTCCCATGCAGAACAGCGTCCGTGCGGTCGATAACAGAGATAATGTAGTGCGTCGTGCGCCCGCCATTCACGAGCGTGCGGATGTTGCGCGGCACGTCTATCTGCGGGAGCGCGGAGAATCCGCAGCCGGTCGCAGTCATCAGCTTCTCAAGCAGTCTGTGAACGACGCGGTGCTTGTTCTCCGAGGATGCGCCATAAAGCACAATGTAGAAGTCGATAATGCGGCTTGAATGGATGTTCGTGCGCGCGCGTGCGTGGTCGCCGCCGGCCCGCGCGACCTCGGGCGTAGGGGTAGCGCCCGGATCAGCTGCGGGTGGTGTGGAGACCGGGGCTGCGACGGCCTCCTGGGGTTGGGTAGGAGGCTGCGTATCCCCATCGGAGGGACTCAGGTCAGTGTCGGTCGGGATGGAAATATCCTCGTATGAGGGGCTGAGCGACTCGGCTCGAGGGCTTGTGAGTGGATCGGGGAAGGAGAGGCGCATGTCGCGAGAGTGGACGACCGAGGTGTGCACGGCGGAGCCGTTCAGGGAGTTCGAGCGCGAGCTGCTGAGCGTGCTGACCATGCTCTGGTCGAGCGCATCCTTCACGCGCTGCTCTTCTTCAGGGTCGACCAGGGCGAGGTGCCTTGCCACAGCCGACTCCGAGAGCGCTGCCGCCCTGAAGGACAGAGACAGGTGAGCGAGGCGGGGGTCGGTGAGCGTACCGGCGGGGACCGCCACTGGAGCGGGGAGCGCCTCGTCTGCACTGTCTTCGACGATGCCTTCCCATCCGTGAACCTCGCCCTCGTGTGAGCTTCCAGTACTGGCGACCGAGCGACGAGATGGTGGGCGATAGTCAGACTCGAGATCCTCCCGATCACTTGCGTCCGAGTCGTTCTCGGAGGCTCTGCTGCTGATGTCGAGCCAGTCTGAGTCGGAGAGGCTCTCGACCTCGGAAAGACTGTTGAGATCGTTCGGATCCATGGTGGTTGAGACTGTGCACGGCCCTCAGTAAGAGTGAGAGTGAGGGGTGGTTGGGAAGAATAGGGGATGGCGGCAAAGGAGGCTTATATGCCGAGCAGTTGACGACTGTTTGCCCGAAACAGGCGTACCGAGTTATCTTATCAAACGTTTGAACTAAGCTATATCCCTCGATCCCGCAGTTGTGTACAGTGTATAGAACACGGAATGTCGGCTCGGTTTATGGTGTCTACCTGTATGTTTGCGCATACTTGTTGTGCAAGTCCACCAGGTCAAAGCTCCGAGGGTTATGGCAGCACACGACGATATCTGCAGACTGCCTCATGGCCGCTGACCATGTATGTGATACGTGCGCTGATGTGTAGTATTCCGGTATAACACGTGCACATAAGCAATGATATGCGTGGTGGACACGACACGCACTAGCGGGGAGCCGGACTTTCCGAAGAATCCGAAAGTACGATTGGCCAGTGCCTATCCGCAGGACGTTTTCCCGCTGCGCGTTGGGCGATTGCGGTCGAGAAGTGATGGTCGACTGACTCTTCGACGTCGAGCGCGTCGTGTACCTATAGCATACTTCCACGTTAAGACGTGTAGATACCAAGGCTGCGCGTCGTACGTGCGGTGGAGGAGTGAGCGAAGGACATATGAGTGATCGGGCCCGAACGGTAATTTGGTGGCGCCTGTCGTTCCCATCAAGGTAGGCGTGGCAATCTAATCTTATCTGATAATCTAAAGCAGGCTCGCCACTCTCAGCGGCGAGCACATGCAGCGCCTGGCGGCATGCCTTCCGTTCTTGAGTCCGACCATCCCGAGTCAGTCGATGTCTCCTTTCCCCCCGTCCACCACGTCCCTCATGCGACAGTATGCTCACGAACCTTCCTGAAGACATCCTCCTCGATGTTCTCCTCTACCTCGGTGTCCCCGATATCCTAGCGTTGCGCAAGGTACCTACCGTTGCCACTCCGCTTCGTCCGATGGTCTACTGACACCGCGCGGGGATGATCATCGCAGACGTGTCGCGCCCTACATGCATTCGGTGGCAACGATTATATCTGGCATCGTTTGGCCGCCTCGTTTCCGCTGCCCCTCGACCTGCCGTTCAACACCTCCCCCTCGGTGCTCCCCGGGGACGAGCTGCAGCGGCTCGCGATCCGGGCGTTCCGCTTGGATGCGAACTGGCGAAGCCCTCGGACGCGTATCCGCAGGGTGCGCGCACTCATCGAGGACAAGGGCCAATATGTCGACCAGATGCAGTTCCTCCCGGGAGGAAGGTGGCTCTGGACCGCGCAGCGGACACTCAAGCGCGAGTCGTGGTACACGCGCATGAGCCTCTGGAATCTCGAAGATCTGTCGAATTCGCATAGGGTGTGGTCGACTGAGATCTCCGGGATTTACCGCAGTTGTACCCTCGTTCAGAGCAGCGAGGGCGACTTCGCGACGCTAGTTGTCGGAGTGTGTGATTCACGAGAGTGAGTCGGTCGGATTATTGTCTACGCCTGTGTACTCACATTCCGACCACAGAGTTATCGAAGTGCATTCCATCTCCCTACAAGACAAGCAAAACATGCAGTACGGCATATACCCCGCATACCCTCCCGTGAAGTCAAAACAGCTGCAGATTGTACCGCACCCTCGCGCACCGCATCTCCGCCCCATCATCCACGAAATTGCAGCACACGACCGGTTATTGATCGTCACCATATTCGCTTTGGACACCGGAGGGGGAGCCGGGTCGCTGCAGATTCTCTTCGTCAATCCCGAAACGGGTGCTACTAAATGGGTTGATCCTCGGTTCGCTCAGGTCAGCTTCGACGATCCTCGAATCCGTATCGGTTACTTACGGTGTTTGAATAGTCATTCTCCTTCTTGTGGATCCGTGTATGGGGCGACTATCTCTTTTTGGTTGGGGAGGTGAACGACGATTTCGCCGTGCGGGTGTACCGGATCCCTAACCCGTTCTCGACGCCTACAAATGGCAGCCCTCGTGCGAGCCCTCCAGCAGCCACCGATCCCGCCGACGATCCCGAAGATGACTACGCGTACACAGACCTGGGGCCCATGATCTCCGAATTCACCGGACCCACACCCATGGCGGTGCCTGGCCACCATATTGCCCAAGTCTCTCCCGCGACGTCCACCCCCAGCCTCGCTGCGGTGATGTTCTACCACTCAGTCCATCCGCACAGCGCCCAGCTTCTCCGGTTCTCGTTCGACGTCGTATCGGAAACCGTCTCCCTCGCCGGCATGTCGTCGAAAGACTTTCCCATTGGCGACGAGTCGTCGGCGCAGCTCGCGCAGGTGGGTGCTCTGGGCATCCGGGGAGTGTGGCTGGAACACAACTGGGAGACGCAGCTGAATCGGGTGATGAAGCTAGCCTACGACCCCCACACCGGTACGGCGAAGGTGGGGATGCTCCTCCCGCCGGACCCCGAGCTACCGTTTACGCCGAATATGTGTCACTCCTTGGCTTTCGACGAGGTTACGGGGAGGCTCTGCCTGGGGATGTATGATGGCGACGTTTATATCCTAGACTTTGTATGATCTCATTTATTAAAAAGTCGGGCACTATAGTTCTGACCGGTTAGTTTCATATGTTTTGGCATAGACACTAGTATATATCGCTACACACTATTGGGTTCTATGACAGTGCGCGTTTGTCTCCGAACTAAGCTCGCATAACGAGACGCGTTGAGATGATACGCGTCTCACGTGCGCGTACCGGTGTTCTTGACTCAATGACGTTGATTGACTCGGACAAAACGCTACACAACATACGCGATCATTGCTTCCAACCACACCTTGCTGCACAACATACGACCCCAGAGCCACCATTAGCCAACACAAAGCGCGGCACATCGGCGCGACAGATCTGAGCATTGGTCGATTCCACAGCACGTGGCCGTGAAAGATTAAGATAATCGACGGCCGTGGCGTAGCAGTCGCGGCGTAGAAAGCCACAGACGGAGATCGACTCGGACACAATATCTCTCCCTCTTCCCTCCTCGTGGTCTCTGCCGACATCTCCTCTCAGCATGGAGCAGGACCTAAACCAATTCGTCCAGGCGATCCTGATTGCGTCCGATCCCGCACAGAGCTCGCTGCACCACCAGGCCCTCGAGTACCTCTCTGCCATCCAACAAAACAGCTCTGCCTGGAGGCTTGCGCTTGTGGTGTTCGTCGAGTCTGGTCCGAATGGCGCCAGGAAACATCCACCACAGGTCCGCTTCTTCGCGCTTCGCGTGCTGGACGAGTTTTTCGACAACCGGTGAGTGCGCATGCGAGCACAGTGGCGGGGAAGGCATTGAAGGTCGGAACGTCTGGTATAGTTTCGAGCCACTAGATGACGAGATGTTCCAAACACTACAACAATCCATCCTGAACTACATCCAGACGGAATACCTCTATGGTACTGCTGAAGCCTCCGCCTCGTGTGAGTACCCGTGCAGCCTGCGGATCCCGACCGTCTGACCATTTCACAGTCCTGCGTAATAAGTTCGCGCATACCCTCACACTCTTCTTCCTCTGCACATACATCGACAAATGGCCAACGTTCTTCACCGACTTCTTCGCCCTCATCCATCCACCGGAGTCTACCTCCCAGACGACCTACAACCCGCATGTCTCCCTCCTCTTCTTCCATCTCGTCCTAGAAATCTCCGGAGAGGTCGCAGACCAGATCATCAAGGCCGCACGACAATTCACCGCCGAACGCCATGCACGCGACACCCGCGTCCGGGATGCTGTCCGCGAACGCGACGCCGCGCGCATCAACGAAGCGGTCCTCACGATCGTAGCGGACGGCGTAGACCGCATGGCGCAACTACGCAAAGACGGGCCCTCCCCGTCTTCAGAACGAGAGCTGGACTCCGCCGTAGAAGTGGTCGACTGGGGCATCAGAACATATGCGTCGTATGTTTCGTGGATCGACATCAACCTCACGGTCACGCGAGACACAGTCCCCCTGCTCTTCACCCTGCTCTCTGATGCTTCCCTGCCTATCCGCCTTGCTACTGCACTTGCACTCACGCGCATCGTCGGGAAGGGTCTGAAAGAGCCCGGGGACAAGTTGCAGCTGATCAAGGTGCTGTCCTTGGGACAGGTCCTCGCGGCGCTAGAGGAGAAAACACGCTCAGAACAGACAGGGCGCGGGTCTGACACGGACGAGGGCGAGGAGTCTTACCGCGAGGCTCTCGGTAAGCTGCTCAACATCCTCGGTCTGGAGCTCTGCAAGTTGACGGACGTGAGTGCGCCCCGCGTTGATGTCGTCGGGATGGTGGACTTGACCGTTTTGTGCATGTAGGAGTGCCCGGACGAGAGCTTGCGCACCGAGGGACAGCTGCTGCTGAGCCAGATCCTCCCGGTCATGCTCCGCTTCATGGCGGACGAGTATGACGACACGTGCTCTACGGTCTTCCCATTACTTCAGACCATCCTCCTTAGCGTGAGTCGCCGTCGATCATAGGACACCAAGAAACCACTGACGCGCAGTATAGTACAAACGACAACGAAAATCATCCTCAGATCCCCTAGATCCTTCAAAACGCTCTTTCCTCTCTTCATTGCTCACCGTCATTCTCGAGAAGCTCAAGTGGGACGAGGAGTCAGATCCAGAAGATATGGATGAGGACGACAAAGCTGCGTTTGAGGACTTGCGCAAAGTTGGTATATTACAGAACCTCGTCAGCGCTGTTGCTTATCAAGGTGCTGCAGGAACTCCGCACATTCATGGACTCCACGCTCATGATCGACCCCGAGTTGGTGACGGAGTCTGTGAGGACATTGGCGCTCAACACCCTGACCGCGTACCAAAATGGCGTCTCGCTCAAGTGGAACGACGCAGAGCTCGCCGTCTACCTCGTATATATCTTCGGGGAAATCAACAAATGTGAGTACCATCGGTTTTAAATAGCTACGCGCAACAATGGTCTCATGTACACTCCAGCTGGTGGAAAGGGCCGAGCCGCGTTTTGCCAGGCTCCCGCGGTGCAAAGGGACAAGCGAAAAGAGACTGACTACTCAGAATACCCGTTGACCAGCCATGGCGAGATGCTGTATGCGCTCATCCAGTCTGGCATCTCTGCATACCCGCACAAAACGGTAGCGATGCAGTTCTTTGAGACCGTCGCGCGCTATGGCGACTTCTTCAAGGTCCGGAAAGAGTGTATCATGCCGACACTACAGGCGATGCTTGACGTTCGGTGGGTCGCACTTTTTCCGACCGTGTGTGTATCGATGCTGAAGTTTCGGGTGTAGCGGGGTGCACAGCCCAGAATCGAGCACCCGTTCGCGAGTTTACTACCTCTTCTACCGCTTCATTCGAGAAGACCGGAACGAGATCTCGCCAGAAGTCGCCGTTTCACTGCTCGAAAGCATCCGTGATCTCCTCGTGATCCAGGTCGAGCTGCCCGAGCTCGAGAACCCCGAGTCGCAGGACATGCTGCAGGAGGCCGTCGCGGCACCTTCGCTCTTCGACTCGCAACTGTACCTGTTCGAAGCCTCAGGCACGCTCGTCTCGCTCCTGCACAAGACGCCCGACCAGGCTGCGGCGCTCTTGCTCTCTGTCGTCCGGCCACTGCTGGACGAGCTTTCCGCCAGCTTGCAGGCCGTCAAGGGCGCGGACGACGTGCTGCCGATCCTGAAGGTCCACCACATCATCATGGCGCTAGGCAATGTCGCGAAGGGCTTCCCGGAGTACCCGACCCCCGTGCCCGAGAACTACGTCGCGCCGCCCCTCGATGTGTTCCGGGAGGTTGGCCAGGCTATCCTCGTTTGTCTAGAGGCGATGAACGTCTTCAGGGTCGTTCGGGACGCGGTATGTCCCCTTGGTCCATGCTTACACTTTCCGACTAAATGATATATACCAGACACGCTTCGCCTTTGCGCGTATCCTGGCCACCACCGGGTCAACAGTCGCGCAGCTCATTCCGACGCTCATGGCCAATCTCCTCGCGCATTTCGAGCCAACAGAGCTGATTGACTTCATGAACTTCATCGGCTTGTCCATCCACAAGCTTCAGGTAGCGTGATAAACAGCCACCTTGGATGCAATTACTGACTGTCTTGCAGGAAGACATGCTGGACGTCCTGGACCAGCTTATCGGACCTCTCAGCGCCCACATCAACGGCATCCTGGCTCAGCCCGTGAACGGTACCGATGATCAGACCATGCACAACGACACCAAGCGGGCGTACCTTGGCCTCCTGACCAGCATCATCTCCTCGAAGCTCCATACTGTCTTCGTTTCGGATAGTAAGCCCCTTACCTCTCTAACATCTGCGGTACGATTCTGACATAGCATGTCAGGAAACAAGGGACAGCTGGAGAATCTCCTGGAGAGCATGCTCCAGCTCGCAGAAGACCCGTCAGACCCCGCTAGCGAGAAGTCGGCGTTCTCGTTCTTCGGCCGTTGCGTCCAGGCGTGGGCGGAACCGCCGAAGGTGCCCGGTGGGCAGCAAGTGTTCCCTGGGTTTGAGCGGTTCATCTACGAACGCGTGATCCCGACGGCCTTTGCTGTCCTGTCGCTACCCCAGTTCAACATCAAGGATGGTCAGATCGTCGTTGTAAGCACTCTGTGTCGTCGTGGCAACATCCTGGGTGACTGATCATACCTTTTGTAGGTCCTGCAAGAGATCGCCAACTTCCTGCAGACGGTCTCGAAGATTAGAGGGCAAGAGGCCTTCGACTTCCTCGTCTCCGTTTTCCTCCCCTCTCAGAACTGGCCGCCCGCGACCGCCGCAGAGTTCGCAACCAAGATGCGCGAGCTCGACCCGAAGGCGTTCCGCAAATACTTCACAGACTTCGTGCGCGCGTCGCGCGCTGGACCATGAACCCGCACGCCGTACATTATTGCCACGACCACCCTCACGTTACGCCCCGCCCATTTGCTGTCTAGTAGTACATTAGCCTTCCATCTACACTCGCCCATCTTTCGCCGTCGTTGCATTCGTTCGCTGTTCCACACCCGCCGCCTGCCGCTGCATCAGTAACACCGCTGTATTGACCACACCCCCATCTGTACCCATGAAGAGGCCCTCCCAACTACTGTAATCGCTAGTGCTAGTAGTCGCTAGATACAAAGAAGCCGCGGATGAAGAGAAGTTTGTTCTGTCAAAGATGTTTCCATCCTCTGCCACATTGATTGGCACCTTCAAAACGCGCGTCTAAGCCCGCTGAGGTCACGGACGCGCCGCGCGCGCTTGCGCTGCATGACTTCCTGCCGCAGCCCTTCGCCGCCACCACTACTCTTCTCGCGCCGCATACAGTCACCTCACTTGCGGTGACCCCAGATATTCTTCATACGCAATCACCATGGCTGCGGGTATGTTGACCATCATTGTTGTTGTGCGGAACGTTTGCCAATGCGTTCGTCTGAAGTGCCGCCGCGAATGCGAGGGGGCAAGGCTCGAATTGTGAGGCGATCCGCAATGCCGTTGGGGTGATCGTGTCTGACCGTCTGTAACAGAAACCCGTGAAGAAGGTATGATCCTGCTCTCGAACGTGCGCCCCGCGTTGTCTAACCGCACCGTAGCATGGTCCCGACATCTCCATGGACGAGACATGGACGAAGCTCGCGCGAAACATCGTCGAGATCCAGAACCACAACGCCGCGAACCTGTCGTTCGAGGAGAACCACCGGTATGCGTACAACATGGTGCTATACAAGAATGGCGACCGGCTGTACAAAGGCGCGTCGCAGCTCGTAGCGGAGAACCTGGACAAGCTCGCCAAGGAGTACATCATCCCTGCTTTCCCCACTGGTGTGACGAATGACCCTGTGCAGAGGAGCCAGGAGGGCGAGATGCTGCTCAAGTCGCTGAAGAAGGTCTGGGACGACCACACATCGAGTCTGTCAAAGCTGCGGGATGTTCTGAAGTATATGGTGAGTGCGCCCCCTGCTGTGGCCCGCCACACGCGTACAAACGGCGCCGCAGGATCGCGTATACACGAAGACCGCGCATGTACCGGAGATATGGGACCAAGGCCTCATTCTGTTCATCAAGCACATCATACGGCCTCCAATCGAGGACCATGTCATATCCGCCATCCTTACTCTCATACAGATCGAACGCGACGGGTACACGATCAACCGTTCATCCGTGAAGGGTTGTGTCGATGTGTTCCTCCAGCTCACGGACTCCAACAGTCGTGATGTCACCTCACTTTACCGCAGAGACGTCGAGCCGGCTGTGCTTAAAGAGAGCGAGAACTTCTACAAGAATGAAGGCGAGAGACTACTGGAGACTTGCGACGCACCCGAGTACCTTCGAAGAGTAGGTCTCATGCCTCGCAATCTTGTGCACGTCCACTGATATTTGGCAGGCGGAGGCACGCTTCCAGGAGGAAGAATCCCGGACACATCACATCCTATCTACATTGACGACCCTTCCCCTGCAGCGAATACTGGAGAAGAACCTAGTTTCGCCCCATCTGTGGACTGTGGTCAACATGCCTAACTCTGGTCTGGATGCCATGATTGACTCGGATCGGCTGGACGATTTGGCGCGTCTGTATCGGCTATTCACTCGAGTCACTGCTGGTCTTCCTTGTCTGCGGAAGTCCTTGAGGGAAACTGTCATCCGCCGAGGCAAAGAGATCAACGATGCTAGCACGGGACCTAGCGGTGATGGTGCGGAGTCGCAGGAGGAAGAGGCTGCTGCTGAACCATCTGCAAAGGCTAAGGGCAAGGCGAAAGCTCGCCCGCCTAATCCCGCTTCGCAAACACTGGCGCTCGCGCTGAAGTGGGTACAGGATGTGCTAGACCTCAAAGACAAGTTCGACACGATGTGGAGCAAGGCGTTCCAGAGCGATCGTGATCTCGAGAGTGGGCTGAACGAGGTACTGCACATTCTGACTTGAAAAAGCTCGTCTGGTAACCCTTTCGGCCAGGCTTTCGAGACCTTCATCAACCTCAACGAGAAGTCACCTGAGTATATCTCACTGTTCATTGACGAGAACCTGAAGAAAGGGCTCAAGGGGGTGCGTCGTTCATCTGACATAGTATATTCAGCTCCTCTGACGCTGGAAGCAGAAATCGGACACAGAAGTCGACATTGTGCTGGACAAGACGATCACCGTCTTTCGGTTTGTCACAGACAAGGACGTCTTCGAGCGGTACTACAAAAGCCATCTGGCGAAACGTTTACTCCTCGGCCGCTCCGTCTCCGACGACGCGGAGCGGGGAATGCTCGCAAAGCTCAAGGTGGAATGCGGGTACCAGTTCACGCAGAAGCTCGAGGGCATGTTCCACGACATGAAGATCTCCGCAGACACCATGCAAGCCTACCGCGATCACCTCGCGAAGAGTGGCATTGTATGTGCACCGTCGTCTACGTCTACCGCCCATTTTCTCACCTTCCGACTTGCAGGAACAAGATATCGATCTCTCTGTCACCGTTATGACGTCGACGTTCTGGCCCATGTCGCACTCCGCGGCGTCGTGCACGTTCCCCGCGCAGCTTATCGACGCTTCACGGTCGTTCGAGCGGTTCTACCTTGCGCGGCATTCTGGTCGCCGCCTTACTTGGCAGCCCGGACTCGGGAACGCCGACGTTCGGGTGAAGTTCAAGTCAAGAAAGCACGACCTGAACGTGGCGACGTTCGCTCTTGTCATTCTCCTGCTGTTCGAGGATATCCTGGACGACCAGTTCTTGACATACGAGGTGCATCACGCCGCTCATGTCGGTCTATACGCGCTGCTGACGCCCGCTGTCTCACTTAGGAAATTAAGTCATCAACGGCGATCCCAGACGTCGAGCTCAAGCGGCAGCTGCAGTCGCTCGCGTGCGCGAAATACAAGATCCTGAAGAAGCACCCGCCAGGGCGCGAAGTGGGCACCGGCGACTCGTTCTCATTCAACGCGGACTTCTCCGCGCCGCTACAGAAGATCAAGATCAGCACCGTCGCGTCGCGCGTGGAAAACACGGAGGAGCGCAAGGAGACGAAGGACCGCATTGACGAGGAGCGCCGGCACCAGACCGAGGTGCGTCTCCGTTCTTCCGTGCTCGCTGTTTTCGCTTTCCAGGGTCCTATTTTCGCTTTTCACGGTCCTATTTTCGCTTTCCACGGCCCTACGCTGTTATTGTGCTCACTGCGTGGATGTATCTGTAGGCGTGCATTGTGCGCATCATGAAGGACCGGAAGCATATGACGCACAACGACCTGGTGAACGAGGTAACACGACAGCTCGCGAGTCGCTTCCAGCCGAACCCGATGGCGATCAAGAAACGCATAGAGGGTCTCATCGAGGTACGCACAACCTCTGTAGATGTATCTTGCTACACTGCTAACGGCACTTCTTGCGCAACAGCGCGAGTATCTGGAGCGCTGCGAGGACCGCAAGTCTTACAACTACCTGGTACGTCCTCAGTTTCTCACTCGCCCATCATGGGAGAGCCCGCTGACACTCAGGCCGCAGGCATGACTGTATTACCGCGACTGTATTACCAGTGTATTTCTCCTGCTCTCCCTTGTGCGCCTGCCAGATCCTCTCCCGCGTGCATGTGCAAGAAGCGTTCGAAACAAATAAGATTAGGCTCCAGTGTGTTAGGTCCCCTGGGGTACATGCATTACTCTACAGCCCTGTAACTCTATAGCTCGTCCTTGGCGTGCGCGCCCTCTTCGCTGTCGGGGTGAAAGGCAAGAAGCAGGCCTGGTACGGACAGTCAGTTTCCGAGTAGGGCTGCACATGGCGGCTACACGTACGTTTCTTGGTTTCTGGGGATATCTCCGAGGGGAGCACAACATCATACTCGACATATAGGTCACCGTATTCGGGACTCTGGTATAAGGGCATGCCTTCGCCCTTGATTGTTTGCACGTAGCCTGGTTATGGATGTGAGCGACGAGAACGCAGGTAAAGGGTTCTTAGATTTAGGCTCACCAGGTTGTGTTACGCCGGTCCGCTTCAGTTCGACGATGTGCTCGTCTAAATGCGTGAGATTCCGCTCGAAGCCCAACAAAGCCTGGGATACGATTAGCCCAAGTTCGTATGCACAAGCACGCGCACGCACCTCCTCGACACTGATCGTCTCCTTCCAGTACAGCCCGCTCTCCTTCCTGCGCCAGCCACCGCGCTCCTTCCTGCTGCGGATCCTGAGCACAACGTCCCCCGCCTCCCAGTCCGGGCTCTCGTCCGCCTCGCCCTCGAACACAACCTCGTGTCCCTCCGGCGCGCCCTTCGGGACCTCCAGTGTATAATGCTGCGTGTGGTCCATGACCTTGTGCCCGTCGCAGTGCGGGCACTTGCGCCCAATGACCTTCCCGCGCCCGCCGCACTCCTGGCACTGCACCTGGCTCTGCGTAAACATCCCAGGCATGATTTGCTGCCGCACAATCCGCACGCCCTGGCCCCCGCACGCGCTGCACGTGTGGATGTCGTCCGAGGACGCGGCGCCCGTGCCGCGACAGTGGTCGCACAGGATGCGCTTCTTGACCATGAAGTCGATGCTCGCGCCCGAGTAGATGTCCGCGAGCGAGACCTCAAACTCGCTTAGCGACGTGGGCCCGCGCCGGACTTGCTGTTGGGCCTGGTGCCCGCCGAAGAAGTTCTGGAACATGTCGAAGGGGTTCGCGTGGTGGCCCTGGCCGCCCTCGTGTGCGCGCAGGCCGTCCTCACCATGGCGGTCGTAAATTTGGCGCTTGGTGGAGTCGGAGAGGACCTCATAGGCTGAGGGAACGTGAGTGCGCACAGCAAAGGAAACGAAGGCGGGTACTCGCCATGAGCGATCTCGACGAACTTCTCCTCCGCGCCTTCCTCCTTGTTCTTGTCTGGATGGTATTTGCGGCTGTAGCAGCGGGTGAATACAGATGGAAATGTGCCGAGGGAAGGCGGAGAACGTCCTGGAGGCTGCAGCATGTGTTCCGGAGCATGTTCTGCGTCCCGGGTGACAGAGTGCGACAAGGATATTATAGGCCAGACCATACAAGTCGAGGAACCCTGGGTAAGTGTCCAAGTGCTCGCTGGAGTGCACTTGAGGTGCTCCTTTAAGCCAAACTATACAGCGTGATGTCGGCCACAATCATGTTGTTAGATTGGACATGTACACCGATGAGAGTACCACACTGGCCGCCTCTGTCACTCGACCAAACCACCAGAACGCGGAACATGAGCCGGAACGTATTCTCCAAGACAGATCTCTCCGCCGCAGGAAACTTCTGGAAAAGAAACACACCTTAGCCGCTTATATGCCTTCCGGATGTCCTGCTCAGAGGCAGACTTGTGGACTGTGCAGGATAGTCAGTCAAAGATATGCTGGGCCGGGGGGCTGCGCGCCTTGAACTAACGGTCTAGGACTTTGTAGAGATCGGCAGCATGTACCAGCAGCGCCGCGAGGAGAACCACGAGCAGCAGCAGCGTCGGCGAGCCCATGTCGACAAAACAGAGCGAGAGAAACGGGAGAGCGAGAAGGTGGAAGGTGGCTGTAGCGTTGCAAGTTGCGGTAACGCGCGCACGCGCAGCACTCATTCTGCGCCCGATGCATCTGACACGTAGCCTGGTCCACGTGCCGGGCCGCCTAGCTCCGGGATCGGGATGGGATCTCAAAACCCAGTCGATCGGAGCACACGTGGAAGCTGCCGTTCGGGACAATATTGGGCGCCTCTGCGCTTCGTACAGCTTGAACTCGTCCGTCGCATTCTCCACATCTCTCTCCCTGGATCCGTCATGCTCTCATGCCGGCAACGCGGAAACCACGTCCTCAAAACAAGCGCACTTAGTAGACGCGTCGCAGGAAGGTCGTACTCAAACAAAGTTAGAGGTAGGTCGTTCAACATGATCGACCCGTCCTGTCCTGACGTTCTGGCGCCCTCAGTATTCCCCTTCGTCGCGTCCAAGGAAAAGGCGGTCGCATGGCTCAACTGTGGGGCTGCGTTGACCACAGGAGATAGACCGCTTAATACATTGCTCCGCTACGTGTTCCCCAGCCTTGACTTAGATGCGTTGCGGCCCGTCCGCGTCCAGCCAGCATACATTCCGACGTGGGTGGTCGACGCGGAACTCGAGGGCACGATATGGGCCAAGAAGCAGGACACGGATGATCACTTCACGAAGGTACGTCTTCGCATCTCGTTCCCTTGGCCGTGGTGACACCAACCGCGCAGGACACTGCTCAAATTCAATTTGCCCAAACGTACGTCTCACCCCCACTTTGCGCGTGTCATCCGTCGTCTCATGTAAATGCCCCCATGCAGAGAACTACCCGGTTAGTGACCTTTATTTCTTGTATGTCAGGTGCTAGAACTTGTCCCGCAGGCTTCACATATCGACCTCTGTCGAGCTTGAGTTTCATGACGCCTGAGCTGCTCGAGGCCAACACGGTGCCATGGTCGGACGACCTACGCAAGAACGGGGAGGACCAGGTCTTGTGCCCGCCGTTCGCACACACCCCTTTCCATTTATCCGAAGCGATGCGTACGCTGTCGACCGCTGATGCAACAGTTGCGGACGTACTCCGCTTCGAGCCGTCTTCTGTCAAAGAGACCATGGTAAGTGTCACGCCAAAACGCTTCGATCTCGGTGTACGCGATAACATTGCGGACCCACAGATGGCGGCGTACCCCGTCCTCATCCCCGTCTACCTCGCGCAGTATAAAGTCATGACCCCAATCAAGGGCCAGCGACAAGAGATGACCATCACCGCCTATTTGGAAGCCGGCGTCCCCAACGTGCGTCCCCCGCCCCCGCCATCCCCCTCTCTGTCTCTGTCCGCTCACTACCTACCACAGGGCCGCATCGCGGGCGAGACCGTCCCCGTCCTCAAGGAGATGCTGGGCATGTGGGGCATCGACCCCCCAGAATTGCTCGTCGGCGGCCGCTACAAGGACCTCGTGCACAACTTCACGAACGTCCGCAGCCTCACCGCGCACAACGTCACGCTCGCGCACCGCACGCTCGTCGAGGAGTACGCGGACCGCGCGCTCGTCGCGGGCAAGCCGCTCCGGCGGTACAGGGAGCGCTTCTTCCCCCCGGCGCGGGGCGCGGCGGCGATCGACTGGACGGACACGCGCATCCGCCCATTCGAGCCGGAGGAGCGCCACACGAACCTGCGGTGGCTCGCAGCGAGTGCAGACCTGTTTCTGCTCAGATCGATGCTGCAGGTGTATGAGCGCAGACGCGAGGTGCGTCGTGTTTTCCTTTTGTCTAACGGACCCCCGCTGACCGGGAGGCAGGGACAACAGGCGGGCGAGCCTGCCGTGCAGGACAGCGAGATCGAGTGGGTGAAGACGCAGATTGCCGCGGCGGAGAAGGACAGCGAGGAGCGCAAGCCGGCGTGGTTGTCTGCGTACGAGCTCCAGGAGCGCCTGCTTGAGGGCTCTCCGGCACACGCGGCGTCGGAGACTGCGACGAGTGAGGGACAAACACAGACAGTGCAGCAGGAGCCGGAACAGCCGAAGCCTTAGCAGACTTTAGCGCATGTACTTCGTGCTTCAAGTTGTTGCTCTCTGGACCACCTTGATTGGTTTATGCGCCGTTCGGAGCTGTGTGGCCGGTGCGATTTCGCGGGACTTCTCTGGTGCATCGATATCGACAACTTGGGTGGCAGTGACAGCAGCTCGAGCCACATCGTGAGCTTGTGGCAGTAGCGAGACTCGGCTTCACCCTCACTCGCACACCGATGACTACGCACATAATTATGTGCGCTTTGAAGCACATAAAATGCGCCACAGCGGTAAGCGTGGAAGATCTTCCCGAGGCGTGAACTCCAAAAGAGAGAGGTGGACTGTCCCGCTCGGTCTTCTCAGTCGGCGGCTTTTGATCGTCATCGCAATGAAGCGAAAACGGTGGGCCAAGGCGAGATGGTCCAGGGTTTGAGGTTTGGCCATCGCAGTCGTAGCAGACTCCAGGGAGGGCGGCGATGAAGAAGCCTCATCGAGTACTTGATAGCCGTCGGAGGGACAAACGGTGGCCGCCTTGCACGTTGTTGTTTGCAATGCTTCGGTAAACCTTGCAACGGTCAGCACTCGGCGGCGGACATGGTTGGAAAGTATAAACAATTCCCGCCCGGGGCTCGATTTTCTTCAAATACCCCTAACCCCCCCCCCCTCTTCTTCATACGAGACTACTTCTCGCCCCTCAGCTACGCCTAGCACCACGGATGCTAACATTTCTTCAGCAACAGAGAAATCGAAGCCAACCTCAGACTAGAGTGAGCCGAGCAAGAGCCCGAGGCTGACTAGACCTGTCAACACAGGACATGTCTTCACGGCGATCGATCGGTGAAGGATGGTAGCTCGAGGCGGTGTTGCTCGGTTCCGGTGGATGCTACTGCTGTAGCGGGATACACCTTGGGTTTAGTAGCCGGGTAATTGCCGCATCGCCGAGGCCAGTATTGGCGACCGGAGCAAGGAAAGGGCTGACACGGCGGTAGAATGGCTGTTGCGCCGACGGGCTCGTATCGGACAGAATGTCACGACGTCCACCGACTTTCTTCCGCCCTGAAGCTGAAGGGTCCTAGCGGGCAAAATTCAGTGCCGAAATGTCTGTATCCCCCGCCTTGCAGCGCCGCCGATTTATTCCATGGCGTATTCGGCGCCGCCATTGCACCCGCGGCCCAATATGCGGGACCGCACCGAGTACGTGCATCCTCGGGAATAACGTTGACTGTGGGTCCTGTCAGCGCACGTCAGGCTAGCGGCTGTCAGTGATAGACGTCATAATACAAGGACCGTACAATATATGATACAGTGAGTGATACATGTCTACATGGGACGGGCGATAGCCTGCGCCTGATCCGTCCGCATTAATGTCCACGTCCACGTCAAACGGTCTACACTCACACGTACCGGACGTGCGAAGCCGTCCACAGTGAGCCGCACGCAATGCGAACGCGCCCTAGGAGCAGATGTCGGGGTACATCCTGTCCGTCGGGTCTTGCGGAATCCAGCCGCCCTCCAGCCCGCGCTGGTAACTCCAGTCATCCGCGTTCTCCGCCTGTCAACATTGCGTCTGTCAACCGCCCGCGCTAGTACACGAAGCCGTATTCCCAGTGCTGACCTTCCACGTCCAGAACACCCATCCCTGGACGGCCTCCCCGATGGCAACCTGGGACTCCCAGTACCTGCAAAACGCCCCGTGTCAGATACGCCACTCCTTGTTTTTTGTTTCGAAGAATAAGGCGCGGCCACATACTTCCGCAGGAACGTCTTGTAGTCGTCGCTGAAGGAGGACATGTTGCCCGACCACCCGTCGCAGCTGCCGAACACCTGCTGGCCGGACTGATAGGTGCCGTCCCAGCGCGCGCCGACGCCGCGGCCGTTCAGCCACTTTGCGCAGTCTGTGACCGCGTTCGACCACTCGCCGCTGACCGTGTACAGGTTCTGCGACGCGTAGGACTGCAGCTGGGAGAGCACGGAGCACGAGGACTGCCGGGGTGCAGGAAATGCGCGATCGAAAGCATTAGTAGGGCGCTGGGACCGGACAAGGTTCCAGGGGTGGAAGACGTACGCCGATGTGGTCGTCTTGGTCGAATGCGAGCTGGTTGTAATTAAATATTTGGTACTCGTGCTGATGGCCGTTCAAGACAGATGTCAGAGGGATGTCTCACGGATAGAAGCTGCTGCCACACTGACGTAGTCCATCAGGACGCCCTGCGCGGATGACCCGGTCATGAATCCGTCCCAGTGCTATAGAAAAAAATCCGTGAGCCCCCGATGATGCCTAGTAAAGAGTTGACGTACTGCGACGCCGAGGAACGCGTCCCCGATCATGACCTTCAGCGACTTCCCCGCAGCAGCCCGCACGACATCATACGCATCCTGCCAATACCCCGCAATAATCCCGCCAATGTCGCTCTGATACCCCGCCGGCTCGTTCAGGACCTCAAGCACATCGATCATCCCCCCAATCTGCTCTGCAATAAACCGGATGACGTCCAGCGTGCGGTTCACGTTCGTGCTCCCCTGCGCCCAGTCCGCGTCCCCGCGCCGCCCCGAGTTGTCGAACCCGTTCTGCGAGCCGGGCGCGCCGTGGAGGTCGAGGATGACGTGCACGCCGTGTGCGCGCGCCCAGCCGAGCGCGCGGAGGAGGTACGGCCACGCCCCGGGCACGTACGGCGCGACGGAGGTGCTGTAGTTGCTGTCTGCGGAGGTGAGGGGCACGGACCAGTAGCCGATCTGCATGCTGTGCGAGGGGGCAGTGTCAGCGAGCGGGGAGCGGGTGGGGCAGTGGGGGACGGACCGGACGTGGTTGAGCCCTGCGGCCTTGATCGCGACGAAGTCGTCTTCGGTTATCCAGGTCGCCCAGTGGTTCTGGAGCACGTCGAGAGCGTAGTCCTCGTCGAGCATTTGGCCGAACGTGAACTCGTCGATGATATCCGAGTTGTTTGTGTTTTCGAAAATGCTGGGCGTTATCCATGGCTGATGGTGCTATATGAAGTTACGGTGTGGAGGACGGGCGGGTCTCGCGTACCTCTAGAACAAACCAGCCACCCCTACACGGAGCAAGTTAAGCACATAGCCGGAACCCAGCCCGCCGTAGCACTGCGTGGTACGCACAGGTTAACACCTCTAATGATATCCTTGCCATAGTTGAACGGTGTGATAGAGGGAGTAGCGGAAGCGGAAGCGGACGAGGACGAAGTCTGAGATGGCTGGATAGAGGTACTGCTAGCTACCGTGTCATTGTTTCCGCCGCCTAGAGGACCTTGCGGGTCCGTCGACCCGAGGTGAACCTGTTGTCTCGGCACCAGACGGCACTTCTGCGCGTGGCTGCTGAGCGCGCCCAGGACGAGACCCAGAAGCAGGTGCAGCCGCAGAAGACGCAGGAGGAGCAGCATGAAGTTCAGGTCATAGACGATGATGGTGAGAAGAGGGCGAGCACAGCGGCGACGGTGAGGAGCAGGTCATGGTCATCATCGAGCACGAGGTTGAATCGTGGAGGGTGGGGCCTCGGAGAATCTGGCCGCGGCCCGTGCCCGGAGCGCTGAGGCATGCGTGCTGTGTGCCTGGCGGAAGTTCAGCGATGTCCGTCTTCTCGCCCATCTGCACCGTGTGCATGGGCGCATCCTACACTGCCCTCCGTAGGAAAGAGAACAATAGCGTTGTGGTCGTCGGCGGTGTGGCGAGGGCGTCCGCGGCTGGCGCGCGCTGTACGCGACGCTGACGTTCCATTTAGCCGCACCCACCGATCGGCGCAAATCGCGATCTCTGTGCCGGCGGCGAGCGGCGGTGCTGCGCTTGTGGACCTTGCTCGACAAGATCGTTCCATCCGAACCTGCCGCTGTACCGCCGTGATACACAGCCCCAAATGCCTGCTTCCTCCGATGCCCAGTATGTTAGTCTGCAAGCCTCTTCGTCAGCTACTCACGCACACGTGTAGCACCTCAGCCATCGTCGCCGCCGTGTCGCCGACAAATGTCGTGTCCCCACGTCAAGACGTCCCACTAGTCGAGGCCTTGATCGTTGGTGACGTTCCAGACACTCTCGACACTACTCGGTGCCACCTACGTACACCGCACATATACACACGAGGACCCACATAACGCCCTTCGAATTCGGTTCCCTTATGTCGGGCACCGTGTGGTGCCGTCGCGTCAAGATCGCAAGAAAACAGGGGCAAGGGACCAGGCTTGGTAGCTTACCCGATGCCGGCGTGGCTTCTCTTCCACGAGGCAGTGCATGTCCTGTTCCAGGAATCTCTTCAGCTTGAATGCAGCATGCTGTCGTCACGCAGGGCTGACTCCGACGCGGAGTGCCGCACGCTGTCGTTAAGTCAAAGATTGCTGACTCACCTCCGACTCCGGGCACTGGCAGCGGGATGCCCGGTGAGCGCTAGCAGCCGCTGCGTCTGGACTGACCAATACCTGCGTTTGCTCTAGATCGCCGTGCACGGAAGTTACTACGCCATGTGCAATGTCGCCAGGGTCCTTCCACCTCGACGGAAGTAATGGAAGATCCGACTCGCACGCGAAGCTCGAGACTAAGTGTTCGCGGGGTACAGGGTACGCAGCCACACACATCAGCATCGCGCTTCCAGCGTGCCTGACCAAGGAGAAGAGGCATTGTGCAGTTGTCGTATGTCAGGTTTCTGGAACGCGGAGTCAGGCTCGTACACCGGCCTCACGTTCGGGGTGGAAGATAAGTACTTAATCTGCCGCGGAGTTACACTCAGCATAATCAACTCCGGGGCGTAAGGCCAGTGCTAATTGTAACAAGTTATGTCGCAACGGTTGTTTGATCTATGTAACCTTGAGTATTTATGTATACTCTTTGCATCATGGAGATGCTAACGGCAAAAGCACAGATTCTTGCACGCGGACGTCCGGTGTACCCCAGAGTCGAAGTCCAGAACCGCCCGGTGTCTATCACACCTCACACAGCCTGCGCGGGTGTCAGTTTACCCCAGCGAGGTCCGCCGGGCGCCGCTCAGTTAACACAAACCCCGCCGCCCGCTGCTCGGGACCAGATGCACGCCGACGTCTTCTGGAGTTCGACATCCTGCATCGCGCGCTTCGATCCAGATCGTCAAGAGGGTAGACCGGCTTCTCGTGCCTATCGGAGTCACTGGTGCGGCAGTGTACTTGCGCCTTCTGGCCTGAGCTCATCCTTCTGTCATAGCTGTCAACTCGAATAGCGCATGCTCAGCCTTTCGCGGCGCATCTTTCGTCGCCGCGGCGCCGCGGCTGACTCTGGCAATCTTCGAGAAGCTACTGCAGCTGCGGGCGGAGCACTGGCGGCAGCAGCGAGTGCCGCCGCCGCCGCCGAGACCAGCAGGGCTGCTTGGCAGCCGATCGAGTTCTTGAACGCGATTAATCACGCGGGGGTGGGGGCGGGTGCACACGCACTGCCTCGCGCTAAGTGGAGACTGCGGCGCGAGGCCGCGATGCTGACTTCCATCAGCTTCTCCAAGGTTATTGTTTTCGAAGGAGGCTCAGATCGTTGTACTTCGAACCGCACTTCCCTCCGGGCTGCTAGTCAGCCTCGAGATTGACGCTTTTAAATTCCGCGCCTATCCGTCAGCTCGGACCCTCGCCGCTAGCTGGAGCTGGATCATTGGGCATGCTCGTCCACAGCATGGGCATCATCTGTCATTATTTTCTGCTACGACGCATCTGCGCAGGCCGTCGGACGTACATTGCTGAGGATGATCAACAATCTTCAACTCTGCACGCTCGCCGTAGCATCAAGTAGGGACGTCATCGTGTACGTACGCGTACATCCCACATGCCGACATTGCTCCCGAGCGCGCGCGCACAGACCAGCGGGCGTGGGTGCCGTCGAGACGCAAAATAACATATGTGGGAATTAACGAGCCCGCCGCGTCCTCGGTGGACCAGATCCATCAAGGTTGCCGCCCTCACGCCTTCTTATCTCCTCTATCTTTCTGACATACTGACGCCCGGAATATCAACGCGCCCACAAAGAGCACTATCTCATGAAAAGTAGCCGCGGAATCTAAGATAGGAAACCCCGCGCCCAGAACATACTGATCACGGGAAGGTATATTCGCGCCCGCAACAATGCGGACGGCGGAAACAAAAGACCGACAGCGGGGATACACATACAAGGAACACCTAAGACCTAAGAACGACAGAGAAGCTCTAATGGCATGACAGTGTGGCAAGCCTCGGGGTATACGCCACACGCGGACACAATGCTCAAGTGGCCGGGCGGATATCGCGTTCGAGGAAGCCGCTGCGGATGCGCGAGCCGTCCGCGGCGGAGTACTCGACCTCGGTAGCGAGGCAGGCGTAGTGCTGCAGCGGCACAGGAAGTGGTTCGTGAGCGGCGCTCCGAGCGCGGGGCGGCGACCGTGGCCGTCATGGATTGGGGGGCGTACCTGGTTGTAGAAGTGCTGCGTGACGACACCGGGGATCCAGATGTCGGCGCGGAACTGGATCAGCACGGGCTGGTTCTATGGCGAGCTCTGTCAGCACGGGCGCACGCGGGAGTCGTGCAGCTGCTAACGAGTTTCTATGGACGCATGTGAGTATACATTGAGTGGGGAGTGAATGCATGATGAGTACTCACGTAAGTGGGGACAATGTTGGTGTTCGCGGGGGCGGCGTTCGCGGGCGAGTCGCGAGCTGTCATGGTGGTCTGGACGAACAAACTCTACGTCAAACACCGAACAGAACAGTGTGGTAGCAGGACTTGCAGTGTTGGCGAACGTTTCAACCCTCGCGGTGGTGCGGCGGCGGTTGGAGGTGGGGTGTGAGATACGAGCCATGATTGAGGTGGGGCGGGATGTGCTGCAGTAGCAGGCATCCGTTTCTGTCTTATGTAGCACCGCGGCGCAAGCGCTTCCCGGAGATGATGCCGGGGCACCCGATTTTGTGGCCATGTACAGCTCTACTTGTCCTGAAAAGAGGGCAAAAAATCCTATAAAATAATATGGGTTAGTCACTCTGATGGCCTGGGACGTGACATCCCCATCTTCGGTGCCATTAGCGGAAAAAGCGACGCCAATATTGGGGATGTGCACATAATGATTGAATTTGGGGGATCTTGTGCGCACCTCAAATATTTAGTGAAATAAGCTTGGCGCATTTGTTATCCATTTATAGACCGTAGTGACCTGCTGCATTTGCCAGTACCGACCGTAGGCCAACAAAAAGGCAGTTGCTGTCGGACAACGGGCTTGCTAGTAGCGGAGGGAGAGCCGTGGTGGAACGGCCTCCTTAACGCCATATCAAGAGATCGGTATCGCGGATTCTTGAATAAGAACCACATCAATAAAAGCGACCACCGGGCTATGCTGTTAATCATGAACGCTGGCCCAGTGAACCCTGCCAGCCTACCAGGAGAAAAGAAGGGCGGACTTCCCGCAAAGCGCGCAGCTCTCTAGGAAACCAACCACATGGGGAATCGGGGCCGTCCACACCGGTCCATGCCCCGGGTCGTGGTGTTGGGTACGTGTAAGAACGTCTGATAGAAAAATCGTATATTCGTAAGACAGGTTGGAGCGCCCCTTGGTTCAGGGAACTGCTATTCTGTATGCGATGGAAGTCAGATGTCTGAGTCCTCAGAATTTGTCGAGGGTGACTTACCTCATGCAGAACAACGGCGGCCGGGTCGAACGCTTCCCACAGTGACAGACTGGGATAGACGGGTGTTGTAGGTGTCTTTCCTAATTAACATACAGCTGCGAAGACCAAGTTCCGAGGGCTGGAAATGTGAGAAACACGTCAATGAGCTGCGTTCCTCGGCGGCACTAGTGGTGGTCTGGGTCTAACAGACACTGCGAGCGCCAAACCGCCCGTCGGGATCCAGGGGGATGGATTGATCAGTGATCGGATCGCGATTAAGATGGCTCGATATATTGTATATCGTCATTTGTCACAGGTGTGTACCAAGACCTCTGCCACTGACGGAATTGAAAGCACACATGCAGACACACTTGCGCTCCCATATACTGTTCAACTCAAGTAGGAAAGAAAATTGAAAATACAGTATCAACGCACGAACTTGACTCATGACGACAGCGCTCGCGAATGAATACCGTTGTGTTCAGGGGGGAGACCTGAGTTGCGAGATCATCGGTCCGAAGCTTAGAACAAACGCTGCTAACGTGCAGCAGCTGCGGTCTCATTGACCCGTCTTCTGGCGCAGACGTGGCCTGGCCGAGCTCACGGATGCGGTCCGAGTGCGGGGCCCCAAACCGTCTATTTCTAGCTACAAGCACTGGCCTAGAAGGGTGGTCAAGACGCTGACATTTCATCGGAGATACGAAGGGATTGCGGTACAGCCGGAACACCAAACGGCACTCTAAGCGGACGCCCTACTCGCGCGGACGGACGTCATGGTCAAGGAACCCGGCACGCACACGCGTGCCGTCCGCCTTGTGAAATTCGACTTCGGTGGCAAGGCACGCGAAGCGCTGTAGTGAGAACGGAATACAGCTCATAAGCAACCAATTAAAAATGGGATATGGAAGACGAAGATGTGACATACAGCGTCGTAAAAGTGTTTGGTCACGACACCCGGAATCCAATCGTTGGCGCGGTGCTGCACTAGGACGGGCTGATTCTGCGAGCGTTGGCAAATACGTTGATCAAATGCTTGTGTGTGCACAGTGAGGCGCATAACGCACCAGAATCTAAGTGTTCAACGTGAGCTCAGGCGATGGGAGGGCGGTCATGGACTCACGTAGGTCGGAACCAAAATTGAGATTCTGGGTATAGCGGCAGCTTCCGCGTCAGCCATGTTCTGGAATCGGGTTTAAGTAACGAGAGAGCAGACTGCGATGAGGGACTTGCGGAGGCGCTGAGTAGAGTGGCGATCGCACTCTTGCGGCTACGGGAGGTGGCGTAGGTAGCAGCGCCCATGTAGAAAGCGGGGGATCGCTCGAGGAGCGGGGAGATAGGCTCAACGTCTTCTGAGGCTTTTATGCGATGGTAAGCCCCTGCGCACACACATTACCTGTCCACCGACATGCCAGTGATAGGAACGCCGGGACGTCTGCATCGCCGATCCTCACCCAGAGGCGCTTCAGCTGGTCCAGCAAAAGCCCAATACAATACAGCGCCCTTCCATACATGAGATAAAGCAACATGAGCGCTGTCAGCCTGGGAAACGTTACGGGACATGCTATGAGAAGGGCCATTCCTCGGGGCCTCGCGGCGCGCCGAGAGGAATGCCGAAGAATATAGTATTCTGTCCAATTTCTTACGCGCCTTAAATCGATGATCACAGCCTACCGCATGGGCGGCATGGCAGATACGTCGACATACCTTACGAATGTACTGACCTGGTAAATGCAGCTTCTGGCATATTAGGCTGGTAAGTTCTTTCTTTTTACCAGAGGCAGAGTCAGTCACCGTGGCAAAGAAAATTACGGCTCACACCCTCGAGAGTGGAATCGGCTCAGCTCCCCGGAGGTGAAGGTTCCTGGGTCGTGCCCAACTACTCGTGTGCAGGTGGCGGTCGGCATTTCGAGAATATTGTCCGAGTCGGCATCGGCCATGATTACCGTCGGGATCTAGTTAGGTGTGCACGCATAGAAGAGACGAGCATGCTATCCTCTGGCCGCGAGGACACCCGGTAGAACGTTCTCGGATCAGAATGCTGCCAACCACCCGAAAGAGGGCGCGCGTAGGCTGAGCACCGGATGTGGGGAGCGCGGCCACGTCGGTGCAGCAGTCAGCGCTGGCACTGTAGCTTCCGCGCTTGCTCAAACTGTACTTCATCAATTCTGATGCCCTGAGACCGAAACACAAAGACTCGTCACTCACTTCCCACTTTTCGCGCGTGCCGAGAGGTAAGTTCGTAACCAGGATACGAGTCGGCATGAAGGCGAACCCTGGCGAACCTCTTCCCAGCGCCATCAAGACCTCAAGCTTCAAGAATGCTTAGGTGGTGGTGGAAGAAGACGCAGCATGTCCTCGTCTATGAATGACCTGGTAGTCGACAGTGGCTGGGTTTACTCGATATCGGATTGGGAGCGAAGAGTTGAGGGAGGGTGAAAACAAGTCCGTCATCTGCGATTCGCTTCGGTGGCTGTGGGATGCCCGGGGTCCCGTGGGAAAAGACAGGTAAACTCTAAACGCTGCCGTCTCTCCGCTCCCTCTCATGGCCACTGCCGGCCGCCACCTTGAGCTGAACGCACACATTGCACGTCTTGCGCCATCATACACCTCCTACCGGCCGGACTGCAGATATACCAACTCTAGCGAAAGCTCTCCATCGGCGTGTCAAGCAAGCGCGAAGCTTGCCCAATCACTGTGTTCAAAGCGTGTGGCACCGCTTGTCCGACGATCCTCATGCCCAATCAACTGTCTATACCATGCAAGAAGACCTACACCATCCCCATCCGACAGGCAGTACGGGACTACATACTCTCTCATCATCATGACACGCATCCGGACGCGTACAGATGGGACATCGGACACTGGGAGAAGCTGCGCGCGGAAGCCACCAGTGGCGGCGTTCACGTCGACCGCGTCGGCACATTGCTCAGGTATGCCGTCAATAAACGCGTCGCGCATGCACGAATCTCATGCCCGTTGTGCAGCTATCATGCTCAACTGGTGTTCATTTTGACGAAATTACCTCCCGATGTCCGTCGCGCAATAATCATATCTTTGTCCTCTCCTGAGTGTGCATCGCGCAGATCGGCCTCGAAATCCCTTACGCCACAGCATTCGACGGCTCTACGCTGCCACAAACCCTGACCAATCTCGTGTACGAGCGTGCGGCCGTCCTGTATAACCTCGCCGCACTCTATTCGCAGCTCGGCAGTGCGGAAGATCGCTCCACCCCTCAAGGCCTGAAGCAAGCGATCAAATTCTATCAGGTGTGCATATATCGTAGTTGCGTGTGTCTGACTAGGCCCCGTATTCACAATCTATCAGAATGCCGCCGGGGCCCTTAATTACCTGCATGACTCGGTCCTACCGCAGCTACATGCATCACTGGGTCCGGAGGATCCTCCCATAGAGCTGGGAAACGCGTTTGTCAAGAGTCTTGAGTTCCTGATGCTCGCCCAGGCTCAGGAGTGTGTCTGGCAGCGCGCCGTCATGGGTATGTCACGCTCGATGCGTTGCTACCCGAATCCTAATTTCGTTCATAGACAGCTACAAGAATGGACTGATTGCAAAGCTGGCGCAAAAGGTATGCTTGTGATAAACGCTGACGTACATCTGCTAAGATCGTCCGGCATAGGTGGCATCGTTCTACGGTTCAACTGCCAAGTACGTCAAGGACGCCTCTCCTTCCATCAAGCACGTCTTCCCCTCGGTATGTATACCGTATCATTCACAGAACTATATTATTAATATAATGGCGTTAGAATTGGGTTTCCCATCTCGAGACGAAAGAATTCCATTTCCTTGCAGCCGCCCAATATCGGAAGAGTCGGGAAGATCTGGAAGCACATCGGTATGCGTACCATCACCGCTGTGGAGCATCATCGCTGACCCCGCGGCTGTCTAGTTACGGACATGAGCTAGCCCGACTTTTCGAGGCTCAAGCACTCGCAAAGAAGGGTTACGACATCGGTCGACGCAGCGGGGTCGCACAGCCGGTCCAGCAAGATATAAAGGTAGGGGAGCGCTCATCATAGCCGTCTTCCCGGACACCAACACGAGCTGATGCTGCGACCAGTCGCTCCTGGATAATGTTCAAAAGAACGTCTCTCGTGCTGAACGTGACAATGATTTGATATATCACCAAGATGTCCCCCCTGCGTCCGCACTCCCTCCTATCACGGAGGTGGTCATGGCCCAGCCCCTGGTTGACCCGGGCCTTCAGGATCCGAAGAGCGTTGTCGGAAAAGATGGCGTAATTTTCGGCGAATTGCTCGGATGGGGGGCGCGCCTCGCCATTGGTGCGTGAACTCTTTTTTATCCGCCCCACCCTCGTCCCGCCCATCTCGCGCCGCGAACAGAGATATACAATGACCGCAGGCGCAACTGGATCACGGAGGAGATTCAAGACCGAGCGCGTATGCTGGACGATGCATTGTCGAGGTGAGCGGAGCCCCAAGCGCTGCAGTGTGCGCGAAGATCGCGTCACATTCTCACCACAACCACATCAGCGCCCGCGAGAGCCTGAACCTTCCCGCCGCGCTGGACGCGCTGGACAGGCCTATCGGCTTGCCTCCCAGTCTTGTGAAAAAGGCCGAGGAGGTTAGGCTGGAGAGCGGCCCTGAGCGCATCGACACGTACATTCGGGACGTCCAGGCGCTCGCGCAGCACGTCTCTTCGCTCCTCGACGAGGTGTGTGCGATCAGGGCGCACCGCAGGGCAATTCATCCGCTAATTAACGATGGGGCAGGCCATGGACATCCTTGATCAGGAAGCAGACGAAGACGAAGCCCTGCGGGACTCCGCAGGAGCGATCCCTGAGCGAGCTCCGTCCCTCGAAGCGAATAGAGACTTCGTCGCGAAGGAGCAGCAATACCGCGCTGTTCTCCAACAGGCGACGGACAGCGACGCACTCGTCCGGAAGAAGTGGGAAGAGTGGGAGGACTCTATTACACAGCTGACCTGGCCGGAGGTGGGCAGCGCACCCGAACCCTGTGCCTGGTTCTTCGCGCTCACTAGAGCCTTTTTGGCATCCTGCAGGACGAACTGGAGTTGTCGATTCCGTCTTCGACCGTCGACCTCGCCCGGCGCGTCGGCGCTACAGGCTCCGACCCGACGCGCACCCACGCCCGCGCCTTGCGCACGCTTCTCGAGCAGCTGGAGGACCTGTCAAACGCTCGCACGGAGCTTGTCGCGAGGGTCGACCGGATGACGGCTTCTGATGACATCACACAGCGCGTTGCGAGGGCGGCGTCGGCGATGGAGCAGTGGGTAAACGTGCAACCCGCGATGTTCGAAGACATCTTGGACGAGGAACTGTCGAAGTACGACAGGTTCCGGGTCCAGCTCGAGGAGAACGGACAGAAGCAGGAAGCGTTTTTGCAGTCCCTCCAGGCGCGTGCCTGTTGCAGCTTCTTTGATACGCCTTCGACTCATCTCCGTGCCGTTATTGTGCAGGACCGTCACGCGCTATTCATGCAGTCCCGGAAGGACGACGCAGCGGTCAAGGAGCGCGAGCTGGCGCTGCAGTCTCTCGACCTGGCATATCACAAATACCGGGAGATAGTCCGGAATTTGGAGGAAGGCCAGAAGGTGCGTCCTCTGCGGCCGCGTCGCTCCCATGCCTCCTTGCGTGCTGACACGCTTTCCTGCCTCGCCGGCTTGCCGCAGTTCTACAATGAATTCTCGGCACTGCTGTCGGAGTTCCGCGCCCTGTGCAAGGATTACGCCGCCGCACGAGGCCAAGAAGCAAGGTACGGCCTTCCACTATTGTCTGACTATTGTGGTCTGCGGTGCTGACCTTACGCAGCGCGCTGACGCGGGCCATGGACCGCCTCGCACTGGCGGCGAACCACGCCCCCCAGGACTCCGAGCCTCCTGCCCCAGATCTAGAACCTTACATGCCAGAGTCGCCGCCGCGCCATGTGCCTGTCGAAGCCCCCATGCCGCCCGACCCGCCCGTGCAGAGCAGCAAGCCAAAGCCGCGGGCGGTGCTCGATCTTCCGCCGCCAGATTCGGACGAATGGGAGACGATGGTGCTCCCACCCGCACCAAGGCCGGTGGAAGCGAAGCGCAGGGTGACGCGCTCGGCGCAGAAGAGCACGTAAGGTTTGAATGCGGGTTGTACAGGAACTGTAACAATATAGCCGTTTCGTTCTGTGCTTGTGCTTATCAACAGTGGCATGCAGGCCGTAATGGCTCGGAGAAGCACGAAGGCGTGGCCGCCGCCGTGCCTTCCGCCTGCGGTCAGCCAGGGTCCGACCCCGCATTTTGTCGACAATGGTCTCGACGGCTGTCGGCCGCTACTCACTGCGTTACGACATGTTATCTTCTTATCTTCCACGAGCTTCCACGTCTAGCATTGCATGTGGTTCGCACTGCCTACGCCCGCTGCGGCGCACAGCTGCCCCGTCTCCTCATTAGCGGGATGCGATTGCCACCGGCTCGGTCTCTTGTTAATGTCCTTTAGTTCTATCCAACACGCAGTCGCTTCGATTTTTCTGCTTAGCCTGAGGGTCTGCAACCAAATTGGACGGTTTTCACAGTGCGCGCGCCGCGGTGTGTCGGCGCTGAACGAACAACGTTACACAGCCTCCGGCGCGCCACAATGGGCGGGGCAAACTCCGAAGTGGGCTTGCCGAGCGGCAGTGTCAGTACCGCCTCCTCCCTTACTCTCATATACAGCCGCGCGCCCATTTCGAGGCTCTGGTCTTGCCCCAATACTCGCCTTACACACCCTGCGAGCATCCACCCTCGCCTGATCGCCTCCCAGCTCACCTATCAGTTGATCATCCCTGCAGACATGGGATCTCACAGCCGTCGTCGCAGCCACTCGAGCTCCTCCTCGAGCTCTTCGTCCTCCGATGAGGACAAGAAACACAAGAAACACAACAAGCACGCGTTCCCGGAGCCCGGCCATGGCGCCCCTCCTCCCTACGGCACGCACTCTCCATCGATGCCACTTCCAGGCCACGGTGGAGTCTCGATGCCCGGATTCCCTGTTCCTGGCGGGCATGATCAAGCTCACATCTCGATCCCCGGTGCGCACATCGGGGACTTCTCTAACCGCGGCACATCTCCCGTCCCTGGGGGAGCCTTCTCTCCTCCTCCTGGCCCCCCTCCTGGCCACGGCACCCCGGGCGCGCAAGCCCCGCCACCCTCAGGCTTCCGCGTCCCGCTGGGCGACGCCGCGCCGTTCCCCACCCAGCAGGCGGGGCAGCCCGCCGCGTTCGACGCCGATGGACGCACCCCGGTGTACATCGGGAGTGCGCTGCTCGGGAACGCCGTGCACCCGTGCAAGATCGTGCCGGCGTACACCCCGCCTGCGCGCGTGGCGTACGGAGGCCGCGAGCTCGAGCACCGGGGGCGGTACGATCTGCTGCCGTTCGACCCGAACACGATGGAGTGGGTGCCGACTGCCCATGGGCAGATCCCGGCCGGCAGGCGCCCGATTGAAGGCGGATACGAGGAGAGTGGCGGGAAGCTGTTCCATGCGCTCGCCACCGTGAACGGGGTGAGGGTCCCTGGCAAGACGGGCACGCACCTTGTAAGTTGTGAACACACCAGACGTACGGCAGTGCACTGACGAACATTTTCTTGTTAGGGTGGAGCCAATGTTGCCTTCGGCGGAGGAGAACACGTTATCAAGCAGGACTACGCTATTTTGTGAGTATCTGCACTGTTCAAGCACAGCTCTCCCCGGCTAAACCATCCCTCAGGTGCTGGCGCTACTGATCGCTACTGGTCCGTTGATGTATGATAGGTTTTGTGTTGTACGATCACAATGTACTGAATGGTGGGCGCTGGTGTATACAATTACACTCCGATCTTGGGTGTTCTTTCGTCACTAAGCTTATAGCTCTCCTTAAGTATTCGGTCTTTCTAAAGCTGCTTGTCACCCAAATACGGCCATCATTACGAACTCGATTCCAGCCTCTAGAGAGGAAACCCGTTAACACCTCAGAATATTGTTTAACAGACGTTGTGTGTCCGACGTTCACGTTGTTTTTAGTACGTTCAGCGCTCGCCAAGATTCAATGATGCTAATTCGTAACTACTCTCAGAACGAACTCGCTGCGGCCAGATCATCGGCGTTCAACCAATCCGCCCCCTCTTCCAGCAGCGTCCTCCAGATGTTCTCCCGCGCATACACCGGCCACGCAGGCGTATCCCAGAACCGTGCAGTGATGCCCCGCGCATGCGCGTCGCCGACGAAGCGCGTGATGTTCGCCCTCTGCTCATCCGTGATGTTCCCAATCCCGCTCCACCCTACAGCGGTCTCGTAGTCGGTCGACGCGAGCGGAGAGAGCGTGGGATCCCACGTCGTGTTCAGGGACGGGTCCGTCAGCTGCGTGAGCGGCGCGTCGAAGAAGTAGTCCCGCGGGGAGAGCGCCTTGACCTGCGCGAGCGGGGAGTTGCCGGTGCCGACGACGGTCACGGCTGACGGCGTGAGGGTACCGTTGGCGAAGGTTGTGAGGTATCCGGCTGAGCGCAGGGGTTGGAATGCCTTCAGGATGAACGGCAACGCCCTAAGCATAATTATCAGTAACAGGAAAACAACCAGCAAAGCGGCTTCGGGGTACGCACTCTACCCCGTCTGTCTTGATGTCTATCAGAAGCTGGAGCGGCGTGCCGCTGGCCGTGTCGAAGACGCCACTGTATCAGAAGAGCAGCAGTGAGTTCAGGTCCCTTTCTGGTGCGATTAGGGTCAGCGCTCACTTTGGCGACGTGCTGTTCACAGGGAACGCGTTTTTGGGGTTCTGCTTCTTCAGGATCTGCAACAGCGGCTGGATGTACAGCGAGTCCAGCGTGCGGTCTGGCGTCAGCGCCGCGGCTTCGTGCCCAACCTGGGCATATTGGAAGTTAGCGCACGGGCGGCAGGCTGGCAGTGGCCCCGGGGAACACTCACGAAAAGGGTCCCATTGACGAGAGAGACATCCGCCTCGACGCTAGCGACCCCGAAGCTGAGCGCGGTCAGAAGTGGCACATCTCTCCAGTCTGTCCGGTAATCCATATGCATGAGTGTCATTTACGGCGTGACGCTATTGTAGCCAGCATGTACACTCACAATCATTGTGCGAGTGGATCATTTTCGGCATGATGCCCTGCGTAAACTGCGTCGGGTACTGCAGGAGCTTCGAGTTGGACGCCTCGAGCTGCGCGATCTGCTGGTCGACCCCCGGCTTCGCCGCAGCCAGGGTACAGAGCGCTACAAGTACGCCACCAAGAGTCTTCATGCCGTCTAGGGTGATCGTCGGGACAGATACCCCCTACAGCATCGCCCCTCGTCATTCTTATAGCGCGCGAAGGTTGTCATCGGGGCCGCGCCGCCACGTTCGGGACGTGCGCGCGGTCATGGGCACGAGCGACGCACGTTGGTCAGCTCCTGACGCGTTGACGAACGGCGGCGGGGCACATGGCCAGACGAAACGTACGTGCTCGCGATGTCGAAGCGTTGCTGATGGTATATTTTATATTCCGAGTATCGTGCATGTGATGATGCTTCTGCCGTAAACCTGCTGCGAGCAACTCGACGGTCGGCGGCCCGCTCGTTGAGTTTGCTGTGCGTCGGACAATGCGGCGAAGATGTATTCAAGAACTTCGGACTGGTTTGTACCAACACCTTCTCGACGCCGCCGACGCCCGTAGGTCTGGTAGGGTTTGAGGGGATCCTTGACGTCGACGCAACGCGCAATCATAACGACAAATCAATCCTACCGCCGTGCAAAACCCCTGGCTTATCTGTCACGCGTTCTGTTCTTGACCCAGATATCCGAACGTGTCCAAGTATTTTGTTGCAGGGTCGCATCCGAGCGCGTCATTTGGTGCCTACCAGTGCCCCTCTGAATGATTGGTAGGCAATTTTGAGAGTATGAGCGTGATCTTCGTCCGACGCACATGCGCCAAAAGGCTCAGAGTACATTCCGAGTGGGCACCGATGAACGCGTGCTCTGGATAAACACAGTCCGACATCAAGGGCAAGCTTGTTCAGACCGAGTTACCGGACCATTCTCCCTGGCCGCGCGGCGTGGCGCACGCGGCGCAGGCAAGATGCTGGGCTTCGTTCTCCCTGCAAACGTTCAGCACGGGGAACGCTGGACGCCGTGGTGCAGGAACGACGTACAGGGTACACACTTGACAGGACCAGGCGCGCACGTCCGCCCGGGCACCGTCTCCCTGGGCTCCCGCGACTCGGTCGGATCGGTCACCTGGCCCCCGCTGACGAGGAATGCTTCCCGAGGGCGCATCGCCCAGACGTCGTCCACTGCCGCTCATCCCGAGCGATTCGCGCTTTCTGAGCTGAATCTCATCTTGGACAAGCGCGCCGAGAGCCAGCTTCCCCGCCTTCCCCGCTTTTTCGGCAGGCTTCTTCGCCCCACTGCCGCTGCCGCTGCTGTGCAGCCATAATCCTAGATCCGGCCGCTTGCCCGAGTCTTTGGGTGGCGCCCTGTCCTTGCCCTTCGTAGACGATGAGGCTGTTGCAGATGTACCGCCTTTGGGTAAAGATTGCACGTCGCATGACGACGGTGGAACATCTTCGTCGGAGGACAACTCTAATGTGCCGAGATCCATACCGCTGGGAGCGGCTCGGGAAGAGGATGGGGTGGGCCTGGATGTCGATTTTGAGTTAAACGCTGTCGGTGGCAGTATGAAGTCGGCGAAGAAGTCCCGCTGTGACGCCTTGAGGCTGTCCAGCCCTGCGCCGTCAGTCGACTCTAGCATGACACGCCGACGGTCCTGATCGGTCTCGCGCGGGTCGTCGTAGTCCTCATCGCCCTCATCCGATACGTCTTCTTCCTTCTTGGCATCTGACGCACCTAATTGGGAGATATTATGCGTGCAGGATTGAGTCCGGCTGCGAACACTGAGCAGTATTTGGCGCAGAACGCTCACCCTTTCCTTGGAGAGCGAGCAAACGCCGCTCAGCTGCCAACGCTCGCTCTTCTCTTGCCCGCTTGCTGTGGCCGCGGTGTCAGTCGGTGGACGTGCGATCTGCGCAGACGCTGCCGCCTACCTGGCGGCTTTCTTGCGAAAGCCTGTCCCTGCCTTCTTCCGTTCCTCGTCGCTGACGTCCTCGTTCAGCGCTTTCCCTGACCCTTGAAAGGTTCCCTGCGCCGTCACTCTGGAGCCTGCCTTGCGGCGTTTCGCCGTCTGCGCACCCGTGTGGTTGGAGGGACCGGCCTGACGTCTCCGACGTCGGAGAGAAGTAGGACGGGCGCGAGACTGTGCGCCTCCGCACTAGCAACACGAACAGGCTGGTGTCAGTGCATGTCCGGCGGATAAGGGGAAGCGCACACGCACCATGTATTCGGGGAGGTCTCCAGCGTCGAGGCCCTGGCTGCCCATGCGGGCCGAGTCGGCGAGGCGGGTACCTGAAGACCAATATCCTACAGGTGGTGAATTAGTGTTTCGTATCGACGCCGATGTATAAGATTAACAAACCGTCCCCGTAGTAGCCTTTACTCTGTAGTTCCCTCACGTCATTTCTAAGTTTCGTCCACAGCGCTTGAAAGGCGGGTCCATGGTTCATGTGCTGCCCTCACGCAGACATTGAGCCACACCGTACAGCGCGAAGACGCGGTCTCCTACCTTGATATGGGCTAACTACCGCGATGGACATGAGCCACCGCAAAGCTGCGCATGTATGCACGCACCTCATGGCAAAGTGTGCTCAGCAGCCAGGGGGTGGGCAGGAACGCGCCGCCTGCACCGCGCAATACTAGCTCTGAAGACAGGGCCTAGGATATATAACATGCCAAACAGCTACAATTACAGACGGGTTCTCACCTACGACCTCTCCGTTGTTCCAATTCCGACCCGCAAACACCTGGTTGTGTTCATACTGCCACAGCCTTACTCAGACTTGCTGCTGCTGCAGAACGCGCGTGCACGTACCTCTTCCAGGCTATTCACCACAAATCCTTCAGTTTTCATGATTGGCCTGACCTGCGCAGCCAGTGCTCTGAGTAACTGTCTTGCCTCCTCTTCTGCCGCCGCGTCGTTTAATCTCAGCGGCGCGATAAAGTTGACGTGCGGATTTGGGTTGGCTTCCTTCTCGTTGATTCTGACATGCACCATGGTGCGCAGTAGATATTTTCAGATGCAAGACACAGAGCTAGACCGAGGGAGCGTGTGGGAGGTGCACAGGATAGTCGAGGCTGGAGGGAGAGAGGCGAGGGCTAGACGCGGGCCGGTGTAGACTGCCATCGGCCGCGCAGATCTCGACGCGTCCATCCCGATCCATACAAACGCGCGCGTCCCAAGTCCGCCGAGCCTCCTCAGACCATCCGCTTCTCTTGGACCACTACCACCACCACTACCACCACCTCACTTGCATCTCACACACTCGCCCGCTTTATCGCCGCGGGCGCATCGCATGTTCACCATGACAGAGAACGCGCACATGAAGATCGCCGTGCTCACCTCGGGAGGAGACAGTGCAGGCATGAACGCGGTTGTCCGCGCCATAGTCAAAACCGCGATCAGCAAGTACGAAACCACTTTACAGGGTCGGGGACTCCGACTGACATGATCTCGCGCAGAGGCTGCGAGGCTTGGATCGTACGTGAAGGGTACGAAGGTCTCGTCCGCGGGAACACCGAGGGCCACCGGCACACCCAGAGCGTAGACAAGGGGTCCCCGAGCCCTCGCCCCAAACACGTAGAAAACCCTGATGACTTCGTGCACAACCTCCGCTTCGGCGATGGTGAACTCCTCAAAGACGGGACGGGCGATCACCTGGGCGGAAAGACCCTCAGGGGTCGTTACATCGTCCGTGTGGGCTGGGACGATGTGCGCGGATGGTTCGCCGAAGTGAGGATCAAAATACATCTCTTCGCGGCTTCATTGACTCAAGAAAAGCCCTAGGGCGGTACCCTCATTGGTACTGCGCGCTCAACCACGTTCCGCACTTGGGAAGGCCGTCTGACCGCTGCGCACAACTTGATCAAGGAGGGAATTGACGCACTTGCTGTATGCGGTGGTGACGGCTCCCTTACTGGCGCGGATGTCTTCCGCTCGGAATGGCCAAAGCTGATTGCGGAGCTACACACCCAAGGCAAGATCACCGAGGAGCAGGTAAAGAAGCACGCGCATCTCAAGATCGTGGGTCTCGTTGGTTCCATCGACAACGACATGTCCATGACGGACCTAACTATCGGCGCGCCAACCGCGCTGCACCGTATATGCGAGTCTATCGACAACATAAACTCCACTGCGTTCTCGCACTCTCGCGCGTTCGTGCTAGAAGTCATGGGTCGTCACTGTGGCTGGCTCGCGCTTATGGCTGGCGTCGCGTAAGTGTCCAAAAGTGTCCTTTTCAGGGCCAGTTGCTCAACTCATTTCGTGCAGCTGCGGTGCAGACTTCATTTTCATCCCCGAGAGTCCTCCCGATGCGGACAGCTGGGAGGACGAGATGTGCCAGAAGATCCAGGGTGTAAGCTTACGTCCGCGTCCTCTCGAGTCGTTCTATATACTGACACCCGCTCTAGCACCGAGACGCTGGAAAGCGCAAGACGATCGTCATTGTGGCCGAAGGCGCGCTCGACTCAAAGTTGCAGCCCATCCGCGCAGACTTCGTCAAAGATGTCCTCTCACAGCGCCTGGGTTTGGACACGAGGGTGACCACCCTCGGTCACACCCAGCGTGGAGGCAGACCCTGTGCTATGGACCGTATTCTAGTGAGTGTACCTGAGAGGAACGATGAGATCGGGACTAAACATGCCTTCTGATAGCCGACGCTGCAAGGTGTCGAAGCTGTGGAGGCTCTGCTCGAGGCCACACCCGAGACGCCTTCATACATGATCGGCGTGCGCGAGAACAAGATCACCCGCGTACCTCTGATGGACGCAGTGAAGATGGTCGGTTTTCTATGCTGTATCGTTGATTACTATCAACTGACAGATATTGACACAGACGCAAGAGGTTGCGCAAGCCATTTCGGAGAAGAACTTCCAGAAGGCGATGTCCCTTCGTGATCCGGAGTTCTGCGAGAGCTTGGAGGGCTTCTTTGCGACCTCCGTGCTCGAGCACGAGCCCAAGCTCCCTCATCATCTCGTAGGTGTTTCTCAATCAGCGGCGAAGGCGCAATCTGACCGCTTTGCAGAGGATGCGCGTCGCTATCATGCAGTAAGTGCCCGACAGTAGTAGACAAGACGAATGTCTGACCGAGATTTCAGCGTGGGTGCCCCGGCTGGCGGTATGAACGCTGCTACGCGCGCGGCCGTCCGCTACTGCATCATGCAGGGCCACAAGCCGTATGCGATCCATAACGGGTTCGTCGGCCTGCTCGACGACAATGTGCACCAGCTCTCCTGGCTCGGCGTCGACAACTGGATGACGCGCGGCGGGTCCGAGCTCGGCACCAACCGTAAACTGCCGGACATCGACCTCGGCGCAGTCGCGGCGAAGTTCCAGCAGTACAACTTCCACGCGCTGATGATGATTGGCGGGTTCGAGGCGTTCAACGCGCTGCGCATCCTGGACCAGGGACGGAAGAACTACCCGGCGTTCAACATCCCGCTCGTCCACTTACCCGCGACGATCTCGAACAACGTGCCGATGACGGAGTTCAGTCTTGGAAGTGACACGAGCCTCAACGCGCTCGTAGACGCGTGCGATGCGATCAAGCAGAGCGCGTCTGCAAGCCGGAACCGTGTATTCGTCGTCGAGACGCAGGGCGGCAAGTGCGGCTACATCGCGACTATGGGTGCGCTTGCGGTACGTATCTCAGCTGTGAAGATTTGCGAGGATGACGGCTCATAAGTCGTATTCAGACCGGAGCGTGTATCGTGTACACGCCAGAGAGCGGCATCGACTTAGACATGCTGAGGAATGACGTCAAGTTCCTGAAACGCAGGTATGCCATGGACGCGAAGGGCAAGAGCGAAGGGCGTCTGGTCCTCAGGTATGTTTAGGCACTTCAGGCGGGTTCGTACCGTCAATGCTCACTCGTGGACAGGAACGAGGTCTCGTCCGACGTCTACACCACAGACGTGATCACGAAGATGTTCAAGGAGGAGGGCGGCTCGCTCTTCGACTCGCGCTCCGCCGCGCTCGGGCACACGCTGCAGGGTGGCATCCCGTCGCCGATGGACCGTGCTCGCGCGGTACGGCTCTCGCTGAAGAGCATGGCGTTCATCGAGCGTCATCACCAGGAGCTGCTGAAACAGCAGACGCGGACGAAGCAGGCGTCTCCCGAATCAGCAGCTGTCATCACCATACAGGGTACTTCCGTGCAGTGGGTCGCCGTACAGGATATGGTCGAGCACGCGGACATGAAGAACCGGAGGGGCAAACACTCGTGGTGGGAGGGCCAGCGGGAGCTCGTGGAAGCGCTAGTTGCGCGGCCGCAGATTCTGGCCAAGAAAGGCGGAGCAGCTGACGTTACCCATTGAAGAGCTCTGACGCGATAGAAGACCGAGAAGATACAAGGATAGAATGTACTGTAGCAATGACCTTTGTCGAGAAACCGCGAAACATAGACCATGTATTTCCTGATAGGACTCACAGCGGTAAAATTGTCCTCATATCCCGCATTCAGATGTGATATACTCGATAGAGCTCGTTTTCAAGCCTATCACGGATGTGTACAAAGTCCGTTGTCGTGGAGAAAGAACAAACGCGTTTGGTAGCAGAACGACAACAATCGCCCGAAACGGACTGGCGCCGGCGGAGAATGAAAAGGTGTTTGGAATGTGGCTGATGTGTTGAACGGGCGCCTATCCCGTGCACTCCTGGCCTCTGCCACCACGCGCGCTGAGATCGCGAGTTGGCCACGCCCCCTCCACCCGCTCATCCGTTAAACTCTTCCCTCGCGTCCGCTCAGAACAAATGCCTCCCAACGGCAAGCACTTCGCGGTTCCTACTCCGGGCATTCCGCGCCCCCCGCTCCCCTACAATCATGCCAACCCCCATATCAGACAGGGTTCGTCGTTCTCCGTCCTCCTCGCCGTCTCCGATGCTCACCTCAGGACCAGTGGACGCGTCTAAAGCGCCCCCAGTCAAGTTCCAGGAGATCGTGAGGGATGGGCAGTCTACTATCGTACGTGATGGGTGATCTGGGTCTAGGGGACACGGCTGACAGACCGACGCAGGTGGGCAGGCTCAAGATTCCTACCGTACGTCTGACTTTCATCTTCCACTCACGCGCGTTCGAAGTGCTAATGGACCGGATCATAGCCCACCGGCCATGCCTTCATCCTCCGCAGGCTCGACACGGGCGCGATCAGCCTCACGACGATGTTCCGTGCGGCGTACCCCAACGCGAGCGAAGAGGCCGAGAAGGGCGAGACGAACTGGGTGAAGCTGTCCTTCGACACCTCCGGTGCGAACAAGTCGGGCAGGGCACGCTTCGCGGGGACGTGGGTGACCCCGGATGTGGCGCTCTACCTCGCCGAGAACTACGGGCTGGGCAGCATCATCCCCGCGCTCGCTGCCGCCGTCCCGGACCCGAACACGACGTTCCGCCGGGCGCGCAACGCACAACAGCCTACTCCCAACGCATCCCCTGCGGCCGAGCCTGGCCCTGCGCCCGCTAAGCGTCATCGGCACGAATCACCCACCACTCCCGCGCCCGCCGCTGCGTCGACGGTGACAGAAACCCCCGGGGTCCCTCCTTCGCCTCCACCGTCGCGCAGCGCCGCATCTCCCGCTCCTCGCCGCTCTGCACGCCTCAAGAGCCCCCCGGCTGCTACCTCCCCGGCCCAGCCGTTGGTAGCGCCCAAGACCCCCCGCACGCGGAAGGCGGCTCGGGATGCGATGCCGACCCCTGCTGGTTCTGATGAGACAGCGGTGGACGAGGATGTTGAGGCAGCGAAGATTGCACAGCCGGATGTAGATGAGGATATCCGGGAGCAAAAAGAGCTCATTGCGAAGTTGAAGGCGGATCGGGAGGCGGCCAAGGCGCAACAGCAGCAAGAGGAGGAAGCTCCGAGCCCCAGTCAGCGCGAGACCGAGAAGGCGTTGACGGAAGATGAATCTGCAGGGGCGAAGCGGTCTAGGGAGGAGGAAACGCAGGAGCTGCGCTTCAACTTCAAGGAGGCTGGTGAAGCAGATGAAGTCACCGAGCGTACCGTTGCGACCAACAGCAGGGTCCGCGTGCTCGCTCAGCTCCCGCCGGAGCGCAAGTCGCTTGCGTGGGGCGCACTCGCTTTCGCCGCGGGATTGGGTGCTATGTACGTCCCCGATTTGATTTGTTGCGCGCGCGATTGGTTGACCGATGGGATTTCCAGCTCTTTCCTGCCTAACTTGCAGGGGGTGTTCTTCTGACAATCGGGCGCCGCGCTTCTTTCCTACCTCGCCTTTTACGTGTATATTGTCTATCGACTGGACGGGTGTCCGATGCTGTTGCATTCTCTTTTTCTGTTGTTCCGACTGTCCCCCTCTGTGCCATATACTCCCATACGATAGCGTAAGTACGTACGACCCAACGGATGAGTGGTTCGCCGTCTGTCCACATGACATGATGATGTATCATCTCTTTTTCCCGCCGCCTTTTCCTCCCGCCTGCCCGCGATACACCCTACAGCATCGGCGACCCCCCGCCGTCTTCCCTCGGCTCGTTGTCCTCGTCTTCTTGCTTTTCACATATATCGCTATTCTCCCTCCTCCGTCTCGCCGCCGCCTTTTCTTATTATCTAGTCGTGTGTTTTACCTATGTAGTTGTTGGGCCACGAATTGTTCTTAATGACGCTGGAAGCATGCTTGCTAAGGACAGCGCAGGGTCTCAAGATCTCAAGACATTCAACCACCTGCCCTTCCACGCCTGAACAGTGACGATCAAGCCGTCGCCCTGCTTGCCCTTCTTTCGGTCCGGAGACGAGCAAGGTAAATGTTCCGTGTGGATCTTACGCACCTCGCAGATGTCAGATAGGCTGCAACTCTCGGTGCCGAATGTCTTCTTGCAGGGCGGCGGAACCGCGCGAGCTTGGTGAGTGATAGTACCTGACCCTCGTGGTTACGAGGCTGACAAGATTGAATGGCAGGTGAGCACCCAGGCGCACCGAAAAGCGTCGCGGGTCGCTTCTTTGGATGGCAATCGCGGCGGCCGCGAGCGTGTGTGTGCAAGAACGAAGGCCTCAGAATGGGAGCATAACCTTGCTTCTGGCTCGCGATGTCACGGACAGGTGGGCCCCGGATGACGACCAAGACCTTCTGCACATCGCAACAACCACACAAATCCGCGGCAGCTCGGGGACGTCTCGGTCCCGAGCGGCTTCTTGCGCACAAGACGGGCGTCGGCGGTGAGTTCCTGCATCGATCCCCCATATGCACGATTGTTGATTGCAGTCCAGACTTGTATGCCGGCAGGGCACCGATGCCATAATCCTCCTCTTTGAGCACAGATTGCGCCTGGCGATGCTGGGACCCCGCCGTCATCTGACGCGTCCTTGGGCACGGTACCACGCGTTGTGTGTGTACACAGGAACCCGGCGCCTCGGTACCGACAGCCTTCTGCCCATATTCTTGGTACGCTGTGCGGGCTGCCCACATATCGTGAATGGCCCATACCTGATTCGCTTATATTGTGTCTTCTTAGCCCGCTCAGCACGGTTGATTTCTGAGCCCGCCGCTGCGGAATACCGTTTGCTTGGTACACAGCGAAGTGCGATAATCTCTGCTGGCACGCCCGAGGAATGACCCTCGCTGCGGCCCGCTTCCCGGGTATCGGAGTCACCGACGACGAGGACAAGAGGAACCCACCCCTCTTCAAAGACGTATCGCACCCTGCGTATATTTGCTGCCGCGAAGCCGCGGCGTACAGCACTCCGTGCGACGCCTTGTGCGCTAAACGCACTCTAATGCGAGGCGCCGTGAACACTTTGGAACTCGAACACGGCGGCGCATCAGCACCCATGGTATGAGCAGGTGGTCGAAGTGCGCGTTGCCATGCCTCCCACCTCTCGACATACCCTCGGGGCCTGTACGCGCCCTCCATTGCCTCCGTGCCGCTCCTGTTCCGGGACGATCGCTCAGGGGGGTCCGTGCGCCCTGCATTCAGAAATGCCTGCTCTCACTGGCTAGCGCAAGATCCCGCGGCCCGGGAAAGGGCTGCCAATACAGTGTGCGCCCTCCCGTGGGGGTGCGCACGCCAGTCTGTGCGGGGAGGCCCAGCGCGCGTCACTGCGCTCCCACGCACCCAGTGCGCACGCTTCGCGCAGTTCACACACACAGAGATGCGGAGTTCTATTCTCTGCGTGGTTCGCGCTTCCTATAGGTTGCCCGCCTGGTCTGGCGACTCGCCCTGGGGCCACGGGTGCGCCGGGGCGGGCGTGCACGGCGGCCCAAAGGCGGTTATAATATGCAGACAAGGCGTGGTAGGTTCGCGGTGGCTGCTTCCGCTCCGTTCTGCAGTCTCCGTGCCCTGTCTCTCCGTCCTTCCTTGCTTTCGATTCTGCCGGCTCGCAGCTTGATCCGTATTCGCTCTCTCTCTCTCTCTCTGTCCTTCTGTCTCTCTCGAACGCGTTCAAGTTGGCGTGCGTTCGCGTCTCTCTGGTCCTCGCCGGCGTAAATGGGGCACCGCTACAATGACAACCTCGGTGAGTGGCTGGTGGATGCGTCGGCGTTGAGGTTGAATGCCGCGGAATGCTGACGGCTTGTGTGCGCACGCAGGCGCACTTCTCATCGGACAGATGATTTCAACCTTGTCAGTACTGAATCGCTGCAGGGGCACCGCACGGCCTTCCCCCAGATCCGCGACATGTCGCTCACAATCTTTCACATGCTGCGCAGCCTCTACGGGATCAGTACCTTGCAGGTACGCGATCCAGGTTTCTCCGCGCGAAGCGTCAGGTGCTGAGGTTGCCGATGTATAGACATATGTATACCTGATCCGATTTCCACGAGATAGCCCCGAGCTCAAGATATGGGTGAGCCATTGCCAGTATACACCAGTGGATATGCGATTTCGGGCTGAAAGATATGTTTAATGGACGTTGAACGCAGGTTCTGCTAGTATGGTGAGTAAGCGCTCAACACCACAGCAATGATATTGGAAGATGTATGACGATGTTTACCACTGCAAGGGGCCTCGACTCGGCCAACGTTATACTCGGCAAGTGTCGACGTGATTGCATGTCTTCTGGGCTTACATCCCTCTCATAGTTTGCCATGGTCTGTACTACTGGGCGGTCAGTAACAACCGGTTGCTTGCACCATACTAATGGCATGGCCAACTGACCGCTACTGAATTTCAGTGGGGGATGGTCAGCAATGGCTCGGTTGCTGGCCATGAGTCGTTCGCGAAACGGTAAGTCCTCTTTGGCATGGGCAACTTACAGCATAGGCATGCTTATTCATCCGTACAGCTCGTTCTTTGTGCGTCCTTACCGCGTTCGCTCAATCGTATCCGTTCATCATGACACATCACCAGGCATCCGCAGTGCTAAACGTATGCGCCATAACAAATATTGTAGTCTCGCAATGGCTTATCCTCTCTGGCAGCTTGTGGTCGCTGCAGTAGTCCAGTGGTACGTGATGGACCACTTCCTATGCGAATGTTACGTTGGACGCTCAAGTCCGCGCAGTTTCTTTATCAAGCGAATACACAAATGTAGGTTGCCCATTTGCGACCGTGTCACGAGCTAACTCCAAGGTAGTATGTCAGACAAGCTTCGCGAGATATACACTCCCGCCGCTTCTGGTGAGAAACGCACTTCCCACAGACATCATTTTCCGATCGGCACTGACGAAACGCAGTCGGTTTTCGTCATTGCCCACCTCGCACTGGGTGCATGTGAGCATGGCCCTGTCCCGGTGTTAATACCATCGCTGACTCGTGTACCCAGGTGCAACCGTCAAGGTCGTCTCCACGTTTGAAAGGTAAGGATATTTACGGCCAGCGGACGTCCCAGCTGACTTGCAGAGAAGCACGGCGTTGGAATCCTTGTCGCTGATCGCTGTAAGTCACTGTAAAGCTACGGTGGACCATATACCCTTATCCATACCTTGACTTCCCAGTTCTCCGCCGCCCTTCCCTACACGCTGCTCGCTGTCCTTTCCGACGCATTCATCGCTGGGACCCTCATCCAGCTATCACGAGGCCGTACGCCAGAGTGGGACAGGTAAGGCGCACTATCCATGTGCTTGATGAAGGCACTAACATCGTCTCTGTCACAGCCCAAGAGTACACACGATGGCCATGCAGTTTGTTACATTCGCTATCAATCGCTGTGTTTTGGTCACGTAGGCCTCTCTTCGCTCCTCCCGCTCTGACTGTATCAATGCCATATCGACTTTGTTTACAGGGTTGCTGCGCTAGTTCGACTGATCGCAGTGAGGGTCTCTCCTTACCGCTGATATAGACAATAACACTCACGATGGCTGCGTAGTTCACCGTATTGCCCTGGACGGCCTGGTTTATCGCAACGGACTTCATTATGGGCAAACGTACGCCCAGTCGCCTGGCCATCCTGCCACCCGCTAACTTCTCGGCGCAGTTTACGCCAACTCCTTTGTGGCATGTTTGAACGCAAGGTCGTTATTCCCTACGCCACAAGCATCGCGGGGCGACACTGCGATTTTCTCATCCGTGCCGGACATATCCGTCCGCTCGAATGGTTCCATAAACCCTCCTTCACATTCGCCCATGCCTCGCAGGCCTGCATCCGTGAGCGTCCCCCATTCCCACTGCGGGCATCGTTAGCCGCTGACAGACCCTTCGTACGTACAGAGAGCCATAAGTCTCCCAGACCTGGTCTTCTGCAAGACGAAGCTCAAGCCCGGAGTTGCTGGACCCTCGACCTCCGTCACCGAGCGTGAGGTCTGCCCATGCATGCTGCTGGAGACGCAATAACGCGTAGTACCATTAATGGCCTTTGCATCGCACGCATTATCCTTATTGATTTGTCACATTCGGTACCGGTACCCTTCTGGCCTCACAATAGCAACGTTTATTGCCCACTCTCACCCCATTTCGACACCCTGCAGGGTGTCGAACCCTGCGGCGAAGGCTGCCAAGGGCTTTATTTAGACGCGCTGGATTTCCAGCATTCAATGGGTGAGTCGCGGCCCAGAAGCCGCGAGGCGTTCTCGAGACACACGGAAGGTGGGATTTCAAATCCAGCGACGCGCGAACGCGAAGCCTGGCACCTCGAGAGCCGTATAAGTACACATGCTGCAGACGTGCGCGCCTGCCCCGCTTCTGGCGAGCGAGCCGCTACGTAACGAGCACGGCGCTGTCGGGGGGCATTCCCTTTTCCGTGCCGTCGTCGTGCACGGCACCCATCAGCGGACTCCGCGGGGGCGTCATCGCGAGGTACAGCGCATTGGACCCGCGGGTGAGGAGATTGATGCGTGCGACCCGCCCCGGCAGCGTGGAGGGATCCAGGAGCGCGTTCAAGCCCGCGAAATCCTCATGACCTGGCAGGGTGGCGAGGCTGCGGCATCCAGTGAGAAAATGCTCGGTCATGGACATAGGGGCGGCACTCACATGTTCTCCAAGGCAGGGAGAAGAAGGAAGCCGTCTCGGAACGCGTCGTAATTGGACAGGTCGTCGAGGGTTGATCGGGCGTCGTCCAAGTCCAACGCACGGAGGAAGATCGAGTCGAGTCCTTCGAGACGGGCGACTTCAGCTTTGAAGATGCCTGCTAGCCTTGCATGCTGGTTGTGGACAGAGAGCGACGGCGATAGCCACGACGGTAGCCGTGCACAACACCATAGTGGTCGTGTAGCGATGCATTGCCAACCAGTGACGGCAACCTATAACGAACAATTAGATCTAGGCCCGATTTCCCGGGAATGAGGGTGCGCACAATATTAGTAGGGTTTCCTGGGGAAACGAAGATGTCCTTGAGAGCGATTTCGTGGATGTCGAGCGAGAAAGGTGCCATTTCCGGATCGTCGTCGTCGAGCCCGTGACACCGATTGGTCAGGTCGCAGAGCATGCCGGCTATCCGCTCTACCGTCATCCGGGAGTCTTCGAGATCGCGTTGATAGGACGGCGGAGCGTCTTGCGCGAACAGCATCCGACATGCATCGAGTTCTCGCTGTGCACAGGCCAGATAATACGCCCTGGCAGTGGTGAACGGACCGCGGTCAAGGGAGAATTTGGAGCGGCCTTCCTCGTAGAAGAGTTTGGAAGATATCGGACCTATACTGCCGGACTCGTCTGTCAAGCTTCCGATTCTGTCGAACCGATGGTGGAAGAGGTCGAGCATCCATCGAGCGATAGTAGCGACGATCTGGTCCTGTTCATGGATAGATAACTTAGGAAAGAGCACGTCTAGGCTTGTACCTGATGGCTGGTGCACGGTCAGAGCGCAGTCCCTATCGATAATGAGAGAACCTCTACCTTTTGGAACACCGCGAAGCAAGGGGTCGAATCATCATTGGAGAGATGCTGAAAGGCGAGGACGGCGGGGATAGGGATCGTGGTCCGACACGAAAGGTACCGAGCGGTCGCCACCTTACAGTCCCGCTATCAGTACCTGATAACAAACACCAGTGGCTGACATACCTCCGACTCGACAAGAGAACCCGTGCTACCAAAACTCGGTATGCGAAGTGTCACAACGCGGCCATCCGCGAGCGTAAGGTCATAAGCCTTGATGATAGCCTGAGTCAGGCGGGAGCAAGTGATGACACCTCACACAATGGACTAACCACAGTCAGCTCATCTATATAGTATATACTCGTCAATGCCAATATAAGTGTTACATTTTGCAGGTTTACTGCAAGCATACCTTTCGCTGTAAGTCTTGCATCGCGGACATCGGAGCCTAGGACTTCAGCGATCCTCACTTCCAACGCAGTAGTGAGCATGTTTGGGAGCCTTGGTGAGTTGATGGTGTATAGTCGAAATGGTGGATTGTGGAGTGTCGTCTGTGTGCGCTGTGAGCCACGAGGACAGGAGTGTGGAGGATGCTATGCGTTTACACGTGCAAGTCGTGGGGTTTAGCCTTCACAGACTCTCGGATCCCCGGAGCGGTGATGCCCAGCACAGGGACCGATATGAAGTCATACCATCATCGCAGAGCCGGAGGCTGTTATGTTTCAGCATTTGCCTCCACTCTACATCCCTAATTGTATACTGTAGACCGTGCCCTGGAGGAAACGGGTCAACATATGCAGCAGATAAGCAGGATACAAGGAAAGAATCCTACCACACAGAGTTAAACCTTGCACATTGAGAGGGCATATGGCGGAATGTCAAGATCATCCTCATGAACGAGCAGGAGGCTGGTAGTGGTCGAGAGCAACATCCATTTTTGCCGAATGCGAGTAGATCGCAGCGGGGCACGTCGATCGTGAACTACAGATCTGGCTGAGATCTGTGCTTGGACCCATACCACCACCATGTCTGCTGCGACGGATTCGCAATGGCATACTATGTGAGGCTAGATATGCACGAACCATCGGATTTTGCTCAACGATACCCACAAGCACAATGTGTATCCCTTTCGCATCTGAAAAACACGCAAACATCGCGAAGCAGGTCATCGACGTCGATCGCGAGCTACAACCAGAAGTGGTCAAGCGCACATTAAGTGTCGAGGGAAATACCCTAGTAGCGTACGTAGCCCGCTACATATGTGTTTGGACAAACGTTCAGAGGATCCAACAGGACGTTTACGACATTGACGGTTCGGCTAGCCCGCCTAACATCAAACGCGTTCCTCGAGAACGTCGATCTCGTCGTACGCACGATCGGGGAGTTCGGGGAGGACGCAGAGCGCGGTCCCTCATCAAAATAGGGAACAGTCCATTGTTGTTACATGCAAGCTACACGACGCGATTGTAATTCTGCACATCTTCTTCTGCCGACACTCACCGCCGACCTAAGCTAGGCGGTTCAAGCCTTCACCTCCGCCTCGTCGGTCTTGGCCTTCTTCTTGTTCTTCTTGCTCTCGCGCAGAGGCTTCGTCAGGAGCTCTTTCAGCTCGGCATCCTCGAGCTGCTTCTCCGACTTGACGATCTCAGGGTTAAACCACGAGGGCGGGTGGGTGATGAGCGAGGGGCCACCGGGCAAGAGCGCGATCGTGAAGTGGAACGCAGCAACGAAGGTGTTCGCGGGGGTGAAGCTACACATCACCATCGCGTTTCAATATCTCGTACGCCGGGAACTTGAAACTGCAACTCACATAACCTCGTACGGCTTGACGAGGCCGTGCTGTACCGCCTCCTGAAGACCCAGACGTGCACGCTTCTCGTCCTCGAGACAACGGATGTTGAAGGGGAACGCGCCCGCCTTCTTCTGCACCTCGGAGAACACAGCACGCGACGTCTTCATCTTGAGCTGGTACGTGACCGTGGACTCCTTCTGGTAGATTGACGTTCTTGACTCCTCGAGGCGAGCCTTGTGACAGCCTTAATGAGGAATTCTCCTGGACTCACGCAAAACTAAGCACGTACCTTGCCGTCCTCACCAGAGGAAATCAGGATATCGATGCCCCAGACCTCGTTCTCTGCGAACGTCGCGGTCTCGAACTCCTTCTTTTGTGCCTCGCTCTGTATACGCGTTAGCTGTTGCGTTCCACCTTGCGCAGTGGGCTACATACAGGGTTGAGGATGATGCGCTTCTTGCCATCGATAACGTTCTGCGACTGCTCGCACGAGAGCATGCCTGTGGCCCAGCCCAGTCAGCCCCGCCGCGAAAACGCGCATAAACGCAACTCACCCTCGACGGGCTTGCAGTCGAACGCGGCGGCGACCTTGCCGACCGCGTCCGTGACCTGCCAGTTTTTGTTCCCGACCTTGACCAGGCGCTGAGCGACCTCGGCCGCGTGCCATGCGGCCTGGATCACATCCGCCTTCTTTCCGGTAACGGGCTCCGACGCAGACGCGCCGACGACGACGGTCTCCGCGCTGACCGCCGCAAAGCCGTCGATGTGCGCGCCGAGGTGGATCTTCACGACATCGCCCTTGGCGAGCGTCTGGCCCGCGGACGGGTCCGAGTCGACGGGCGAGAAGTGCGCGACGGTGTTGTTCACGGAGATGCTCGTCGGGAACGCGATGCCTTTTGGCGCACGGTGCGAAAGAGCACATAGGTCAGGGTGTGTTTTTGCGAGTGAGAGCCACGCGACGCACCCTTGCTGACCTTCACGCCCTTGACGGACTTGTTGTACACCCCGCCGGTGCCCTGCTCGAGCAGCTTGTCGCCCTCGACGCAGAGGTCGATGACCTTCGCGCCCTCGACGGCGAGCGCGATGAGCTTCTTCGTGACGTTGTTCGCGATGTCGGCGGCAGTCTGTGCGTGGGGCGCGTGCGCCGATCTTAGTACCGCCGTTTCGCTCGCCAATGAAAATCTAAGCGGCGCGTCGCGCGCGCCGCCTCTCGCCTCGACGCACCTTGTACTTGGTGAAATCGGCCGCCGCGGTGGACTCCTCGGGCTTGGTGGTGGCCGCGGCCTCTTGCTTGGTGGGTTCAGACATTGTTTGGAGGTGTAGAGGGGGAGATGGAGTTCGGATTGAGTGTGAGCCTCTGAGGACAGAGGGGACACAAATGCCGGCAGATCAATCTTAATCTGCGTTTGTCCCAAATCGGGAAGCCCTTCCAGCTCGTGCACGCGAGCGACGATGACCTCAGGTCTCTGTCGCGCAAAAACATGGGAAAATATTGTTTGTAGAGTGTGAGTGGGATAAAAACCTCTCGCAATGCGTAGGGTAAAGGTGATCGTTCAGACGTCGAATATCACAATCCACCGGACCGTTTCATGGTAGCCTAGTACGTACGAAGGAGCCGTACTCGACTCCCCAGGATAAAATGTTTCGCGTAAGTAAATGGCTACGGGTATAGATCTGGTGTATGCAAGAACACGGATAGATGCCAGTTCCTGTAAAGCTGTGGTGTCTATGGCACAAAGTACAACATGTGTCGTAGGGGGCATGAAGACTTTCGTAAAAGGGTCGTGTCCTATAAAATACCAGGGGCGGGCGGTTCTATGCAGCCGGCTTCCATGCGATCAGCCCGCGCATCGACCTGCAGAGCGACGTCTTGTCACAGTCAGGGTCCTGAATTTGCGGACCCTTTCGCTTCTCCGATGGGGTATGCCATGAGCCGCTGCGAAGGCTCAGGGTCTCAGGGTCCCTCCATGTAACCGCCTCCTGGACGTGCTCCCGCATGCCAATCCGGTCCTTCATATCGCTATAAAGTGCATAGACGCGAATGAGCGCTCTGTGGTGATTGAGGAGAGTTTACTCTCACCTTTCCCAAGCGGCCCACTCGCGCTCGAATTCCTCGCGGAGGTCCTCCCTCGGGAGCTCCTTGACCGTGTCGTTCGGGTGAAGGAATGCGTCCCTCGCCGCGCCCGTCAAAGCGAAATACGCTTCCCAGATCGCCTCCTTGCACGCAGACACAAGATGCACCTGCCGCGCGAGGTGGAGCGCGCCCCAGAGGCTGATCGTCGCAACCGATGGTTTGCTCCCGCGCAGCGCGGCTGAGTCCGACTTCTTCGGTCCATTCGACGAGAGCTGCACCGCGTGCGCGCGCATATCCTCCACCCATTCTGCGATATCCTGCTCTTGTGCGTCGGGTCGTAGGACGGGTTCGGCCTTTTTCCGCTCGCGCTGAGTGGAGGGGGGCGGAAGGACAACGTGCATGGTGGGATGCACGTGGACGTTCGTGAAGAACGAGGAGAGGTAAAAGGGGAGGACGTTGAGGAGCTTGTGCGTTAGGAAACGTTGGCTGAGCATCTCCTCCCATGCCTCTTTGAGCCTAGCGTGGTCTTGCGCGAAAAGATGGGCGGAAGAATCCGCGCGCGAGCGTGATGAGGAGCTGAGGAAGGAGTCGTGGCTGCTGCTCCCTTGCGATGAGCGTTCCGTCGTGTATAGATAGCTCGAAGAAGTGTTTGTCGTCTGCGTTGATTGTGTTGTTTGCGACGTTTGCGACGTCAGCCTGCTTGCCGTTGAATCGCTGCGTATCCGCTCCGCCGAAACTCGGCGCATGCTGCCTGCGGGTGAGGGCGCAGCGGCATCCGGCTTTCGCGTACGACCTGCTGGGAACAGGAGGTCCTCCTCGATTATCTACGCCCCAAGGTCAGCGCGACACTCAAAGCGAGCATATACGGAGGAAGTCACCTCGATACACCCTCCCGGCCTCAGAACTCGTGCGCATTCCTAACACATGAGAGTTGTAAGTACGTCTCTTACAGGTAAGAGCTGCTCCATACCTCTAGCAGATCTTGCCAAGAGTCTTCGGGCACGCTTAACCCAACACAGCATATTCTGACCAAATCGAAATACTCCGATTCAAACGGGAGGGGATCCAAGCTGGACCGGAACCGAAGATCAATCCCCGCATTTCCAGCACATGTTTATACTGACAAGTCACCGTGAACCCATTGGATACGATTCGCGAGCTCTCGGCACTCTATGCCTAGTTGCATCATGGTGAGGTCAGGCTGTATGGGCCGAATGTCGAACCCGACGATATTGCAGGACTATCCGGAAATATTCAGCTATCATCAGGGCGTGTTCCTTCACGATAGAACTCCGACGCACTTACCGTCCAACGCTTCGCTGCCTCGATGGCCCACATGCCGCTTCCGCATCCGAGATCGAGCACGTTGCTCGGCGGCACGTCGACAGGGTGCATAGTGACTCCTTGTGATAGGTGCGTCAGGAACACACAGTTCCAGTCGTCGCTTGTGCGCGCAGAGCACCCGAATCAGAGCGAGGATAGTGGACGAGCGCGGCAGCACTCACCCGACAGTCAGGGCGCGTTGGAACTGGATGGGGCTCACTCCGCCATTCCGACGGCGTTTCTCAGCTCGTTGTTTGAAGAGCTCCTCCTGGACGTCGCGACTGACGCCATTTTGCTTCGGAGAGATAGTCATGGTAGGCAGTAGTATCGACGGATCAAGAGCAACTAGTGATTGTGTGCTCAGGCCTGCTGTTCCGGGAGGCTTTGTGGGGAGTTCAGGCGAGTTTCAGACGACGCAATGGCCGTTATTAAGGGAAGCCAGAGTGATGGAGGAAGGGAGAGATTCGGAATTCGAATAAACACATCCTACCAGTCCGGGCTTGGGCCGGATGCCATATAACCTTCTGCCCGATCGCCCGCTCCGCTGGGATCTCGTTCTGACCGCATTAGGCTTTAAGATCCGCTAATTGAGTTCGTGATAACCTTACAGTAACGACTGATTAATCATTTCCTTGCGATAAGGGAGTTATCCACGGTGATCAAAGGACACGCTCTCACTCGCTCGCCAGCGCCGGCGCTTAACATCCTGCACGCTATGAACACATCGCTCACCGTCGCCGCCCGACGTGCAGCCCTCCGAGCGAGGGCTGCCCCTCGTCTCCGATGCTACGCAACCCCTGCTACGTCGGCGCCGACGACACCTGCACCGTTGACCTCGCCAGAGGACGATGACCCCCAGTTGGGCGACTACCCTCGTCTGCCTTTCGTGTCGAAGCAGACCCGCCCTGCCCTCGGATGGGAGGACCCGCAGTTCAGGAGGAATTACGGCGAACCCGTGCGTGTACAAAAACCTATCCAGTGGACGAAGCGACTGATAGTAGCCGCAGCTCCATGAACAAGAGGAGGTTCTGTCCATGTGGGGTCCCGACGTCCCCGTTGTCCCGCCTCCAACTGCGTTGCGCTGGTTCTCCATCGCCGTCCTTGGATTCGTCTCGCTTGCGACGCTGGTCAGCTACGCGCGCCCCCAAATTCCTGCCGTACGCCGCGAGTATCCCTTCGACGGACTGGTGAGCGAGCTTGGTGGACTGGAGGAGAACAAGGTTGGTTATCTTCTTCGTAAGGGGTTGCAACGCGATATTGACGTGCATTTCAGGCGAGGGGGGAGAACGACACCGAGGCAGACGAGTAGATCTGTATCCTATCGTCTTCAATATTGCATGATTCGTCTGTTTCATGCCGACCGCCGCAACAATTCAGACGCGGAAGTTACACTATGATGAATTACACGGAGCCGCTATCGCTATACATGAAGGTAGTATATCTACGAAATAAGTTACTAAATCTGCCCTAGCATGGCCACATTAACCCGCATGCGCATGCTCCTCTACCTCCGTCCCCGGGGGTTTTCGATAAACAGGCCGTGGCTTTGGTCGAGGACGTAAACCCAGCTCCTCCCGACTCACGCTCGGCACTGGCTCCCCAGAAGACTGACCCTCCGCAGACACATCGTCCACTTCTTCCTCGCTTTCCGAGGGCGTCTTCGCGCGTTTCCTAGATGTCCGTTTCGCGCCTCTTCCCCGCCCGCGGCCCCGTCCTTTCCCTCCACGCGCCGCCGACTCGTCAGCTCCACCAGCGACCTCCTTCCCTTTGCCCTTGCTCTGCGTAGTCTTTCGCTTCTTCGCAGGACGGCTTGCCGCCTTCTCAGTATCCTCGTAATCACTACCGGCCCCGGCGTCATCTCCGTCTGGTGCGGGAGTCGGCGAACCACGCTGTTTCGCCTGCTGCTTCCGGAAGTCCTGCACGACCTGCTGCAGTCGCTTGCTTGCGTACGCCTGCCGCTTGCGCGGTGCGGCGCTCGCACCCACGGGCAGGTCGAAGAAGCCGGCGAGATTGCCCTGCATCGTTGGTGCAGCATTCTAGTCAAAGAGAACGGATGTGAGACGACGGAGAGGTGGCCGCGTTGGAACACCGACCTGTGACCGCTTGCTCATCTTGCGGATGATAGGCAGAAGCAAATCGTCGACTTTGATTTGGTCCCAGCCCAGTTCCGCATTGAAAAAGCTGTTAGGTGTGAGCACTGGTGCGGTTGGCGAAAATATATGCGCTCACTCTCGCAAAGCATCGAGGTCAGGCATACCCCACTTAAAGTGCTCCCTGGACTCGTCGACAGCTGGATGATAGTATGCGTCCCTCTAGCGCATAAAATTAGTATCCAAATCAGCGTGGGTACCTGGAAGACTTACCACCGCTGGATTTGGCCACTCGCCGGGCAGATACAAGTCCTTGAACTTCTTCTTCTGCAGGTATGCATATCAGCCTTCCGACCTTCTCCAGATCACGGAGAAGAGACGCACGAAACGCTTCCTGAAACGCGTGGCCGACTCCTCCGCCTTGTCGCGCCCGCTCTGCACTTTCTGCCACCACGCCCTAAACTTGTGCAGCCCGTCCTGGCCCGGGAACTCGCTCAGCAGCTCCATCGCCACGACGGGGCCGACCCCGGGCAGGCCATCCGTGTAGTCGCTGCCCAAGAGGTATGCGAGGCGGACGAGCTTGTCGCGGTCCAGACCAAGCTCGCGCTCGAGGTCGGAGAGGAGGAAGCACTCGACGGTCTTGGATTGGTTGAACATGTTCTTGAGCACGCGCCCGCCGCCGAAGAGGAACACGTCCGAGTCGTCCGTGATGATCCCATCGACGAGCCCGAATGAGAGCAGCGCGGCGCACTGCGCTTCGGCCTCCATGGGCGCGGTGATGTACGGGATACCGAAAAGTCGTAGCATAATCTGCAAGACACCCCGTCAGCCGTGCAAGACTGCGAGCACAGTGGGGACGCGATGACTGACCATGATCTGTGAAATCATCTGCTGGGTGATATCCTCCGAGTCGCGCATCGCGGTCTTCTTCTGCCTGTTCAGGTCCCGGATCTCGTCGTCGATTTCGCGTCGTACAGACTCGATGTCCTTGCCCTTCACCTGGGAGATGAAGCGCGCGAACTCGCCCTCCTCTGCGTGGGGGTCGAGCTCCTGGGCGGCGTCCCAGTCCTCTGCTGCACCCTGGGCACGGCGGGCAGCGTCTTTGGTAGGATCTCCAGAGGGACTGGGGGAACGAGACCATTTAATGTCGTCGCCCTCAGCTTCTGAATCTGAACTCTCTGCATCTTGATTCGCTATCGGCTGCGGGGCTTCGGGAGCAGCCGAGGACTCAATCGCAGGTATCTCTTCAGGCGAGGGCACACGATGCACCAAGTGGGACACAACGGGTGGTAAATGGGAGGCTGGTCTGTCCACATCCACAAGGGGTTGAACTATGGCGATTGTAGAGGATCCCGGTGACGGTTGATGATGTACGCTGGCGTCCACAGCGCGGCTGGTCAACGTCTGGTCGGTGGTGGTGATGACTCTGCTGGGCGAGGGACGTGACGGAGCCGTGGCAGGAACCTCCTCCATATCCTCGTCAGAATCGGAGTCGATCGCAATCGGTTCGGGCGCGACTGCGACTGCGTTCGTGATAGAGGGGGACGCCGGTCTTGCGGAGGGGGAGCGTGACGGGCCGGGGACTGGCGATGCCTCGAACGACTGAGGAGGTAAAACCGGCTGGACAAGCACTTCCTCCAAGTCATCTTCAGATTCAGAAATGACCCTAGGTACTTCATCGAGTGGTGGGGGTTGTGGCTGTTCCGGCATAAGCAGAGTAGGGGTACCAAACATGGACGATGTTGGGAACTGCGTCGTAGAACTCTTCGACTTGGATGGTGGTGGCCGTCGTGGAGCGGCGCCCCCAATGGACAAAGCCAACTCGAGACGCGTCGGGGATGCGTAGAGACCTTCATCGTTCGAATCGTCGCTGAGTGTTTGGAAGTGCTGTGCCCGTCGCCGGTCTATCGACACTGGGGGTCGAGGGGTAGCGGGAACTTTGGAAGAGGACGACTCGCCATGCTTGCTGGATGAGGCAGAGTTGGATGCAGCTAGCCTAGACTCCTCGAGGGCACGCAGAAGGCTGGTCTCTTCCTCAAGCTCCATAGACTCCCGGATAGCGAGCTCGAGCTCTGGGTCATCGGCGTCGCTCGGGGCGTCACCCAGTTGCGGCAGCTCGTCTTCTTCGGGTTCGAACAGCGGCCGCGCTTTACGCTTTCTCACTACCTTAGTTGTGAGCGGAGCGAGCCTCTTCGCAGTGTGTCGTTCAGCGAGAGCTGCAAGTGCCTGTCCTCGACGGTATTCTCGGAGGTCCGGGTCATACGGCGATTCAGTTGGGGGTGCGGCGCTATACGGCGGAGCAAATCAATACGGCACGCTTTACTTGGACGCTACAGACGCATACATTGGCACCTCCTCCATGTCGTCGTCTTCATCACTGTCCTCCTTCACAGGCGCAGGTGCGGGGTCGATCTCGATAGGCTTTGCGGCCGTTCCATCATCACGGATGCCAAGCACCCAGCCACCATCTGCGCCTTCGTTCTTGACAAGGACATACTGCTTGTTGCGCTCGCTTGCAATCCTCACTGGAATAGTGAGATGGGCTTTACCAATACTGTCGGTTGTAACCAACAGCTGTTGTGTCAAAGAATTTCGCTGCTTCAGATTCTTGATCTGCTCCCTCGAGAAGTCCAGGGGCGTCTTCGCTTTCCGAAGCATGACCTGGAGTCGCTTGTACGACGTCTGCCTAGACTTCAAGCGCAAGTCACCAATAATTTCGTACTGGACTTCAGTGGGGAGTTCGCGAAAGGCGGGTGAAGATACGTCAAAGTCTTCGGGACGCATCTCTTCGATGAAGGTCCGGAGTTCCTCTTCGGTAGCGAGCCTCGGATCGGGCGCCGCAGAGGCAGTAGCTTTCGCGACTACTTCGTCCATGTTCACGTCGGGCAATCTGTAGGGGTCATGGTCCTGCCAACGTTTCTTCTTTGAAGACGGCGGGGTCGCCTCTGCCTTGCTCGAGGATGATTTCTTAGCCGCAGGGGTGATCGGGGCGGAGCCAGTCAAATCCTCCAGGTATACGGTATCATCGTCTATCCTAGCTGGGGGTGCCCGGGCTTTTCCCTTGCCCTTGCCATCAGGTCTATGATACCCCGTCCCCATCAGCATACCAGCGTATACGTGCAGCGTTACAACCTACGTCTTTCCGGAGGAGTGCTCCAAAGCTTCACGACGCATATGGGCAGCCAATAGTCGCTCAGCAATCTTCGCATGACTGGCTGCAGCCCCGCTCTTCTTGTTCTTGCGCTCTGCCTAGCCATTCGCCATGAAGTCTGGACACTCGACACTGCAAAGCATGTCCACTTACGATAGTAGACATCTTCAGAGCTGGCGCTCCGCCATCGAACACGAAGACGGGCTTGATGCCGTAGAACAGGAGCTTGCATATTCGGCGGAGGAAACCAAGAACATGCGCGTTCACCAACCCACGGCCCTCCTTGTCTCGCATCGTCGCCTGGAACTGGTAGATCCAGATGCTAGAGTCGATGGCCATGGATTTGCCTTCCATCGTCTCTAGTCTGCCGCTACAAGTCAACGACGCTAGACAACCTGGATATCATTGAACGCACAAGACTGGCCGTCCAACAGGCTCAAGTAGCTGCCAGAGACTCTTCACACCCATCTTGCTGGGCTTCTTGCTGTGTCTTCACGCTTCCCCTAAGTCAGACAAACCGCAGGACCAGCGGACCAGAGCAAGCTCATGTAGGAGTCAGCAAGAAAGTGGTCGACCTGCACATGAAGCGTCTTGTGGACAAGGCGTACCATGGCAGGCGCCCAAGCTCGGACGCGTCGCGCGTAATGAGTCACGCGTCGTTGATAAGTCTGTTTTAGGTAATGTATTTGTATTCATATTGTAGAGGTAACCCTCTTACCGAACGCGGACACCACGCTGGGTGGCGAGCACTGGCTGCAGCACAACTCTCTTACCTTCCACCACCACCCTCTCCCCGCAATGCCTGAGAGAGAAGTAAGCAGCACAGCGCGTCCAAACACCACGATGGCTAATGACAGTATGTTGTAACAGGACGACCTTGCGGCGGCCATCTTCGGTCACTCCGACTCCGACCTCTCTTCTGACGAAGATGGTACGTTCACACTGCAGCGAGCATGAAACTAACTTACTGACGTGCAACCTTTCAGACCTCGACATTCCCCCGCGCCGGGACTCACCAGCCGCAGAATCCTCCGGCGATTCCGGCGATGAATATGTACAGGAGAAGAAGCGTCCCGTGAAGCCCAAACGGCGGTCGAAGAGGCGCGGAGGGGAGGACGAGGAGGGGCGCCCCCAAAAGAAGCGGAAGAGGACGTCCTCCAAACGGGCTGCTCCGGAGGAGATTGACCTGAGCCAGTACCCGCCTGACGTCGGTGCGTAGCGTGATGTTTTGCCCCGCCGCTGAGTGCTAAGACGCGTACACGGGCAGCCAAGAAGATGCAACTGGACATGAAGATTGAAGCTATCTTGAAGCCGAAGAAGGGTTCGCGCACCAAGCGCAAGCGCAAGGACGACGACGACGTGCTGGACAAGTACGCGGACGAGGAGGTGTCGCGTCTTAGGGAAGCGATGTTGGCCGCGGCTGCCGATGACGAGCAGGCTAACAAGGAGAAGCTTCCGGCAACCTCGAAGCTGCGACTGCTCCCGCAGGTTATGGAGGTCTTGCGCAAGTGCGTCCTAAGTCCTCTTATCTTTCCCCTCGCCGCGCTGACAGCCACCACAGGACTTCTCTAGCGCAGTCCATTATAGACAACAACCTCCTGGAAGGTGTCTGCAAGTGGCTCGAGCCGCTCCCGGACCGCTCCCTCCCCGCACTCGACATCCAAAAGGAGTTCTTCCCGATCCTGAAGAAGATGGACTTCATCGACACGAACGTGCTCAAGGAGTCCAAGCTCGGCCGCGTCGTGCTCTTCTACACCAAGTGCAAGCGCGCGACGCCCGACATCGCGCGCGCCGCGAACGACCTCGTCTCCATCTGGTCGCGCCCCATCATCAAGCGCTCCGCGTCGTACCGCGACCGCGTCATCCCGACCGCCGCCGCGGAGGGCGAGGGCGGCGGGGCGCGCGCCGGCGAGCGCCTCAACGCGATCCTCGCGCGCGCGAAGGAGAGCGACAAGAGCCGGGTGCGCAAGAATGCGGTCTCGATCCCGCAGAGCCAGCTCGGCAGCTACACGATCGCGCCGCGCTCGAACCTCGGCTTCTCGAAGAACAACATGGCTGTCGACGTCGACATCCAGCGGCGCAAGCAGAACTCGGAGCGGCTCAAGAGCCTCACGCGGAAGATGTCTCAGAAGACGTAGCCGTTGCCCTCCGCTCTGGCCGCCACTGCTTGGAAGTGTCTTGTTCCGCGTTCACCACTAGCCTATGTACATCTGTAATTCTATGTTCTGTGTTTGGGAATGGCATCCATCCGCTGCTGCATGATGGGCATCAAATGCGCGCATACGCGACGACAGCTCCCCGTGGCAGGTTAGTTCGACACAACAATGTGCACTGTGAGCGTGATGCGTGTCATACAAGTAGAGATGATAGAGCGGACAACCATCACCGGCGAATGCAGCTGACACCTCAACGCTGCCTTGTTCCCGCATGGCGACAACTGGGCACCCTCTGCCCTACCCGCCAGACATCAGTCGCCGTCCAAATAACATCGCGCAACGCCGATAGATAGAAATAATGATTGCTGCAACCGATGGGGGGTACATCCAGTAGGTAGATTTCGCCACATAGATCGACAGGCCCGCTTGCACGGGAGGTGGTGTGTGCACCTCCACCGCGACCAGGAGCCGAGGAGTTGGTGAACAACGTGATGAAGGTAATAAAATAACAACAACATCCGCCCGAAGGTGAAGCCAATAACCCGCGGTTAGCCCGAGACTCTCGAGGGCCTCCGGACGAACAGGGGAAGATCCGGCGCCGTGGAGAGACTAGCCTAGTAGCTGTACATGGCGTATGCTTCCCAGAAAATGAGTAACAACCGAGACCAAGTGGGGTATATTACGCGATTTGCCCTGCGTAGGGGATTGTTTAGAGGGCGACGGCCGCGATGGCGCCCAGGGTGAGGAGGAGCGCGGACGCGGAGATCTTCGCGGAGGCCAGAGCACCGCTGGTGTCGCCAATAACACCAGCGTTCGCAGCGCCGACAGCGGTCGCCGCGCTGGAGGAAGAGGGCGCAGCGGGGGCTGCCGAGACGCCGCTGGAGGTGGGGGCAGCGGCGGGGTTGACGACAAGGCTGAAGTTGCAATATTAGTCTCCTGCAATACCAATATCACACGCTGAGAGGGACTTACGTGGTGCCAGCGAGCGCGCTCAGAGCCGCAGAGGAGGATGCCTTCGCGGTAGAGGAGGACGCCACCGAGGAGGAGGCGCCAGCAATGCACGAGGTGTCGTTGCCCGCCTGGACAGTGACCTAGACGATGACCATGATTCAGAATGTGCTACTTGATGCACAGCAAAAATTGTTGCATACCTTCCCGCTCCAGCCCTCGTTCTCATCCGAGTCGAGAACGGAGACCATGACTTCATCACCCGCCTTCAGGGTGGGGGTGAAGGTGATGTGGTTGATCGTGTGGTCGCCAAGATCGGCACTTCGATGGCATACATCAGTCAATGTACATGCGCCGCTGCAGAACGCATGAAACTCACACAACACCGTTGCACGGGTCATCGTTGGGGACAATGATGACGTTGTACGACTTGGCGCCAGTGCTGTCCCAAGTGAGCTTCGTGGGCACGCACTGCAGAGTGGAGGCGAACAAGGTTAGAGGATTGCTCTCTCGGGTGCAGGCACGCGAGAATTGCGCCGGGCGCGCGTGTACGAGGAGCCAGGCGACGTACCTGGACGATCTCCGGGGTGTTGACGGTGAAGTCGGCGAGAGCTCCCTGGATGGCGAGCGCGGAGAAGAGAGCGACGGAAACGAGAGTGGAGTACATCGTGAGCGACGTGCAAAGAATGGAGCAGGGAGCTCAGGGGGGAGGAGGTTATATGGGAGGGGGCGAGAGGCGCGAGGCAGACGGGAAGCAGGAGATGGGAGGGTTGAGAAGAAAAGCAAAAACGGGCAGGCTCCCCGCGTGGGCCTCGTAACGCGGCAACCGCGCGACACCCAAACACGCCCAAACATCCCAGACCCCCGATCCCCGCCCGGCGACGACGCCCCCCTGATCCGGGCCCGCGCCGCGCCCCCCCAGCGCACGGCAGCCCGCGGCCCACCCCCTCCGCCCGCCAAATTGATGCCAAGCGCCAAGCGTCGCTGCCCAAACAGGCCCAGGGCCGTGCATAAATAAATCAAAAATGTCGGTACATGATCGACCGCGCGTTCCTCGTCGGCTCCCTCCCTCGTCGTCGACAACGCCTGGCGCGCCGAGGCCGTCGCCCCGCCTCGGACGTTGTTCACAGCTTGCTCTTCCCCTTGAACGTGGCCATCATCGTGCGCTTCGTGATCCTGGACGCCCGTGTCAGCGAGGTGGCCACCGTACACGCCCCCACCGGGCACATCAACGCGCGCTCGCAATTCACTCACCCTCCGTGCTCGACGCGCGACGGCGTCTGCCTCGCACCCTCGACTGGGACACGTTCCTCCACGGGGACATACTCGCGCTTCGAAGGGCCGACGTAAACCTGCACGCGAATCACCGTCAGTTAGTTGCAAGTTGCAACGACTGCTGCACAGCATTCGGACGCAACGACGCCCGGCGGCGACAGCAACGCCGTGGCAGTCGCGAGAGACACGCACCTGCCGCGGGCGCCAGATCTTCACGCCCCCCTCCTGCAGCATCATCTGCCGCCAGTGCGCGAGCCATCCGACCACTCGGGGGACCACGAAAAGCACCGGGAAAAAGTCCATGGGGAAGCCTAATTGACGGCATTAGCGTTCCGCATGTTCACGGAGGTAACGGCGAGGGAATAGGCACACTCACCCATCGCGCGGTAGATCAGGCCGCTGAGCCACGATGCAACGGAGGTTGTAAGCTATGAGCGCGCGGTTACGCACGGGCGAGGCCAACTCACCTCCTGCAGCGAGGCGCGTGAGGTCAGCGACCGGACTGCCACCGAAAGTTAATTGATAGAACGCACCAGAAGTCCACGTTGGGTGCCAGCTTGCGCTTGACGAAATATTCGTCCTTCATGGCCGCATCATGCAGCGCCATTGCTGTATCGAGAAGGGCATCCCTCCCGGTCCTGACAGCTCATCTGTTGGTTACCTGCTCGCCGCAGGGAGTTGGTTACTTACACCTTAAACACCTCGTCTGCCGTCTTGCGGACGATGAACGAACGGGGATCTGACTGGGGCGGCGATGGCGTCAACGGAGGTTCAACGTTGATGTGCCGGTGGGCTTACGGTCTTGTATACACTAGTATCGTCCGGTCAGCCGGATCACTGAGCATATCAAGTCCGCTGTACATACCGGTGACCGAAACCGGACAGCGTTTTCTCTTTCTTCTTGACCGCCTCAATAAACGCTGGCACGTTCTCCGGGCTGGTGGCATGAGAGAGGGCTCAGGGCAGAGGCATAATACAAGTTACCTTCCGATAGATATGAGCATGCGAATAACTGCCTCGTTCGCGCCGCCTGGAAGTACATTAGAAAACAGGCTTTCATCTTGCAAGTTAAACGGCTCGCGTACCGTGCAATGGTCCGCTATACGCAGTATTTCAGCATTCCACGCGCATACAGTGAGGCAATATTCACTCACTATAACGAAGCACATCCTGCGCTATGAAGCAATGGTCAGGGAGCACCGAGCTTTCATGAGCAATGTGTACGTACGCGACCGCAGAGTACGGGTCCACCAGAGAGCTGCCCGTCTGCAGCACAGTCGTACACGACGCGTTCAGCTCGTGGTCCGCATGAATGAGGAACAGCACGTCGAGCGCCTTCTCAAGGATAGGGTTCGGCGTGTAGTTCTCTTCCCCGAGATGATCCATCTGGTACAGGAACCTAGTAACGGCAGGTGGTGAGACCTCGCCTGCGGACAGAATTCTGGTAGGTCATGAACGTACGAGCCGGTGTAGCTCAGGCCGGTCGGTGGGGTCACGAAGTTACGGCCCTGGCGCACTCGATACGCCATCCTGATAATCTGTCAGTCGTCAGATGAAATGTCATCAGAGGAGATAGCTTACGCCGCTAGAGTGGTGGCCTTGCCAATAAGACGGTATATCTGTCTATCCATGGTCTCCAGAGACGCAGTATCACCCTTGGTATAGAGGCGTTGACCTAAAGAAAGATGAGCACGCATATAGTCACATGAATCGAGGAAGCCAGTAAACGCAGTAGATGCACAACGCGCAGTTTCCCGTGGCGGAACCCGGAGCGAATGCGCGTCGTGATATGACTACCTGAATTGAACACTTACCTTGAAGGGAAGGGTTGGCTTCGCTGTAGTACGACCCCAACATCGCAAACGCGCTGGTGAGCATGCTCATGGGATGTGCGTCGTATCTTGTACAGATGTCAGGACGTTAGAAACGCGTGATAACAAAATACCGGTATATACGGACCTGAACGACCTGAAGAAACCCTCCGCGTCGGAGTGCATAACGGAGTGTCGCATTACTTCGCTCTCGAAGAACTTGAATTGCTCCTTCGTAGGAAGGGAGCCATAAATGAGCAGGTAGGAAGATTCGAGGTGAGATGAACGAAGCGCGAGCTGTTCAATGGGGTATCCTCTGCACGCGAATGAGCTCACGTCTCTCACATTCTGTGCACAATATGGCCTTACCTGTAGCGAAGGACTGCACTGCAGCGTCAGTATGAAATTCGAATTGGTGAAGACGCTCTACACGTACCACCAGCATCCCCATCAATGTAAGTAATCTCGCTGTTAATGACGGCGGTATTCAAGAAACCCTTGTCCTGCACACGGAGACCCTTCTCAGTCTCGTTCTCTTCCCGCTCGCCCGCTTTCCTGGGCGCAGCCATGGACTTGAAAGCCGTAGCAGGTATCGCATTGTCCGCGATGCTGCCCCAACACGATGAGCGTCCTCACACCGTGCCATTACGACGCCCAGACTCACGGAATGGTGTAGACCTTCCCAGTGCGGTTGTCCCGGACGGTCAAGCTCTCCTGGGGAGCATTGTCTTGCTGCGAGGTCGTCGGACGTCCCATAGCTGCAGTGTCACGTAGTGTGTGTGATCAAGGTTCTTGTGGGGGTGGTATATATGTAGACCCGGGGAAACCAGGAGCCTGCGCACCCCAAGCTATGCGAAAGCGGTCGACGAGCAGGCACACGCGCTCCCCGGATTTTCACATGTCTTCGTGACGCGCTTGTCACGGGACCCGCGCTAGGTCAGGGCGCCTACGCGTTCATCGGGCGCTTCCTCCTTGGTCGTGGACCTCTCTGTTCTCAGACCCTCCTTCTGTCGTCTGCCGCGGGTGCAATTCAGTACTGAGTCATGGCATTCTAAGCATTGCACACCGCACTACACCGCACCCTCAGAGGCAAGGAGAAAAACAAGTGCGATCGCCGACATGGATCCCCATAAGAGTCGCCTGACCCTGCGGTCGGTCTCCCCAGAATCCCGACCCGGGCATCACTTCAGGAAACAGTCGCGCAAGACAGCCCACCACTCCTCTTCGAATTCTCCCCTTTACGCAACGTCCAAATCACCAAAACATGGCCCCGACGCAGTATACGAAGATCACTCTCGCCGAGAGACCCAGAGAAGGTGTCACTGACACAACCTTCAAGCGGGAGGTTGTGCCGTTCGACCTTACGCCGGGCCAGGGCCAGATCCTCGTCAAGGCCCTTTATGCATCCATTGACCCCGCCATGCGTGGGTGGCTTAACGACACACGAAGCTACTTGCCCCCGGTGAAGATTGGAGAGGTTATGCGCGCGCTCGTGCTCGGAGAGGTCGTCGAGACTGGGCCGGGTAGCAAGTTCACGAAGGGCGACATTGTCAGCGGGGTGTTCGGTACGTCATCCGCGTTTGGTCTTCGCATTCGGCGTTGCAGTTTTCTGATGTCAGTTCATAGGCTGGACTGAATACGGAGTACACAACGACAGTGCGGCGGAGAAGATACAGTGAGTGCATGTGGTGCACGCCGTCTCGCGTACAAATGTCAACTTAATCTCTGTCAGGACTCAGCCCGGTACTGAGTATCTCGATTATCTGGGCCCTCTCGGAATGACTGGTATGTGGTGGCATTTTACTGACGCGGTCTATGCACTCACATACCGGCCCCTATGTAGGCTTGACCGCATACTTCGTACGTACATCTCCTGACGGTCTCTCGGGGAGCCTCAACGTCTCATATCGCCGCAGGGTCTCCTTGATGTGGGAAAAATCAAGGCGGGTGAGACGCTCGTCGTGTCTGGCGCTGCGGGCGCAACGGGCTCGGTTGTTTGTCAAATTGGCAAGAAGCTAGGCGCGAAGGTGTACGCGATCGCCGGGTCACAGGATAAGTGCGACTGGCTCGAGAAGGACCTTGGTGTGGAGAAAGCATTCAACTACAAGAGTCCGACGTTCCACGCGGATTTCCGTCAAGCCGTCGGCTACCTGGACGTTTACTTCGACAATGTCGGCGGCGATATGCTCAACTTCATGCTGACGAGGCTGAAGATGAAGGCTCGTATTGTGCTCTGCGGTAAGGATATTTTTCCGATTCATTTTGGGGACCTGACTGAGTATTTTGTTGCAGGTGCTATTTCTGACTACAGTAAGGGCGGTATCGAACTCCATTGAGCGCACTACTGACATCATTGCTCAGATACATCTAAGCCAAAAGGCTTGTCGTCGTACACGAACTTGATCTCGCAAAGGGCAAAGATCGAGGGCTTCGTTGTGTGAGTGTCCTTCTCGTTCTCGCGATATTCGCGATAACCCTTAATGCGACTGTTGTGTGTCTTACACCTCGCTGACCTACTAACCCTCACTCAGCTTCGATTATGCTAAGCGCTATCCGGAGGCGCTGCGTGATCTCTCCGCTTGGGCGAAGGACGGGAGCTTGAAGAGACGATTCCACGTCGTGAAAGGCTTGGAGAACGCGCCGGAGGCGTTGAAGATTCTCTTCTCCGGTGGTAACACCGGAAAACTGTGAGTTTCATCTGAGGCGACTTAGCAGAACGAAGGCTCACCGCCCTTTGCAGTGTTCTACAAATCGCGGATACGAAGTCCAGCTTGTAAAGTTTACAAGGTTGGGTTTGGAGACCGAGCGCAGTGCGCACAAGCTGTTGCGAGGTAGTTCTCTGTTCTTTTGGCTGTAACATTGTACCGGATAGGTGGCTTCCAATGACGCATAATCAGGGCAATCGTAATGCTTTATGCTGTTCCTTGCCCTGGCGTTACGTCGCTCAGACATGCTGCCATAACGGTGCTTTCTGCAAGGCTTATGCATGGCGAACTCACCTTTGGCTCGATTTTCATAATATGAATGAGCGGTCTAACATCCCCCCATTCCTCCTTGGCACGCCCTGGCTCGTAAATACTGTGCTTCCCCGTACTTTTTCAAAAGCCCGTAACAGTACTGTCGGTACGGCGGACCACCGGCGGCGGCACCGCAGAATAATTCAGAATATGGAGCTGCATCATACGAGCACGTGTTGGTGGAGCTCGCATCGTGGGAAAAGATAGCCGTTCCGGGACGGCTCATCCTCCCCCGCCACACTCACCGCGCGGGTCAAGTTGTGCTCCCAACTGCTTCTCCTCATCGCATGTCGCTCCGTCGTCCTCCCCTTCGCATACAGCGACTATGACTGCTATACCACCACCGCGCACGAGCCCGCGCTGGGACAGCAGGAACGAGGGCTTTGTTTCTCCGGCGCGTCTGCAGCAATGGAAAGAGGAGAACGAACGGACGCACTCGTTCTCTGATCCTCCGTCGCAACCTCCGCAACCTCCACAAGATCCTCTCCCAGCGCCCACCCCTGGATCCACTCGTCCTACCCCTGAGAGGCGCATGACCGATGCCTCTAACGGCAGCTCCCCCAGCAGGCCTCAACACCGCTCCAAGCCCTCTTTCACCGCATTCTTTTCCCGCAAGTCCTCGCAACAAGACGAGACTCCTCCGCTTTCTCCTCCTTTTGGGCGACCTAGCCTGCAGGCCTCGGACCCTCAGCCTCAGATGGGCGTTCAGCAGGGCCAGCCGCCTCTAGCCTTTCCGAAGCGCGCTCCTTCAACCGACGATTCAAGCGTCGGGACTTCGCCTCGCGTGCTGCAGAAGGAGCCTCCGCTCTCACGTTCGCAAACGAATCCCGCGCCCGCGCCCTCAGCAATCCCTCCTCTGCACCCAGAGATCCGCTCTGTGGTGCAGCTTACCCTCGCGCATGCGCACAAGGTCTACTTCTCCGGTCCACTAGTACGACGGATCGAGCGGCAGCCCGACGGCCAGAAGCCAACGAAAGATGACGGCTGGAAAGAAGTCTGGGCGCAGCTGGGAGGCACCACGCTAAGCGTATGGGACATGGAGGAAATACGGGAGGCGAGCAAGCAGGGTAAACAGGTGCCGCCTGCGTATATCAATGTGACAGATGCTGTAAGTACCGTACGCTGGATCCCGAATTTTGACATCCTGATGTGCGTTTGCCGCCCTCGCGAAGTTCGTGCACGTCCTGGGCTCGATCGCGCTCCCGACATCTCCGGGAACGCCACAGCGACGATATACGAACGTGCTCACACTCAACACGGCCGGCTCAAACCTGTATCTCTTCTCATGTCCCTCTGCGGAAGCCTTGATGCAATGGACCGCTGCTCTGCGTCTGTCGGCATGGGAGAAGTCGCGCCTGGAGGAGATTTACACGGCTCATTTGATTCGTATATCCATGAACGACGGTGCGTCCAGTCTAAACATACGTTTTGAGTTGCAAGTAACTGACGAGGATAATCGTACGTATAGGGAGGACCGCGCCTACGACTCTCGTGGCCGGACGGCTCGAGGGATGGGTCCGTATCCGAATAGCTGGGCAGACGGACTGGAAACGACTGTGGATGGTCGTGTCGGCAGGTAACCAGCTCGGACGCTCCGATCAAGGCTCAATTACCTCCGCTGGCCATGACCGTTCAGAGTCTCCCACAGCACCGCGGAAGAAACGCATGTCGCACCTATTCTCTCGCGACAAGAGTCCGACAAGATCACACCTCCCCGCGCGGCCTATGATTCAATTGTTCCCATCCTCCAAGCCGAAGGACAAGAAGAAATCGTTGCTCACGATGCGCTCGGTCTCTCAGGCGTTCGCCGTGTACCCCGAACGGCCCGAATTGATTAGCAGGAGCACGCTCATGAAGCTCGAAGGCCAGCTTGGGGACGAGGAGATGGCGGGCGTGTTGAAGATGCGCGAAGCGTGGCTGTTGGTCATGCCTGAGCTCGAAGGCCAGAACATGCGTGCCGCGGAGATGCTTCGATGGATCATGGGTAACTATTGACATTTTCCGGTGATTTATCCGAATGCTCACGCATACACCCAGCTATCCATGACGCGTTTGAGCTGTACGGCCGGCCGCGTATGTACAGTTGGGACCCCCGTGACGCAACCTCTATGATGTTCGCGTACCCCATCGGACCCAACCGAGATGTATGTATTTTGTCCCCCGAGTCTATCCGCAAATGTACTAACTTCTTCATCCGTAGCTCCTGTTCTTGGACCGCGAATTCGCGGAGACTCTAGATCCTCGCGATGACCGCACATCCGCTATCCGCTCCCAATTGCAACGCATCCTGCTAGACCGGATGAACGGTGTCGGTCCAGACGGTCCTGGAAGTGCCTCTCCCCGTACCGGTCCCCCCACTCTCCCTCCTGTCCCTCACGTTGCTGCTGATGAGCCCCAGCAATCAGGGTCCGCCCCTGGGAGTTCCTCCGCCAGCGGCTCTATGCAGCTGCCTCCGTTCAGTTTCGACTCTTCGCCGATGCAGTCAGAACAGTCCGCGCCATCTGACAAGCGTCCCCTCACGCCGATCACAGAGAGGAGTATACCGTTCGAGGCGCATAGCCGATCTATCTCTGGAGACATGTCCCCGGAACACAAGATACCAACAAGCACATCCCCGCCACAAGCCACTATACCTGAGGAACCGCCCTCAATCCTGGATCAACCCTTCGTTACTAGCCCTACCGCTACCAGCCCACCTCCAGACTATGGCAGACGCAGCGTCGAGTCGCATGTTTCCGGCTCGCGTCCCGACTCCAAGCTCAGTCACCGCATGGTCCCCCTCGCGAACGTCCCCTCGCGGTCTTCTAACGATCATCCTACTTCTCCTCCCCTTCCGGAGAAGCACACATCACCGGAACCGCAGCAGAATATGCCCCCGCGGTTCCAGTCCCCTCGTGCTCTATCTCCTGTTCGTGCTACCTCTCCTCTCCGTGCCGCCTCCCCTCCAAAGCCTCATCCTCAAACTCCTCAGGACGAGCCTGCTCCCCCGGATACCTCCAACTCTGTCAGAATCGTCCCTCCGAGATCAATGTCCCAGGCATCGATACCCACCTCTTTGTATACCATCGCCACGCCTACCTCCCGCGCTGGCCATGGCATCCCGGAACTGTCTAGGGACAAACCCGCCCCGCCCCTCCCGCCCTTCGCTCCTCAGAAGTCCCCTGTTGTACCTCAGAAGAAGGATGACGAGGCGGACGACATCCTGGGTGATGCGGGTGCAGCGCTGTTCTACATGCAACATATGCAGCAGCAAGACGGCGCAGTGCCCGTTCGCAAGCGCGGTCCGCCGCCCAAGGCACCGCCGTCTGACGAGGACGAGGATGAAACCGCTTCTGAGTCTGAATCCGAGGTGGACACTCCCCCTTCTCGCACGGCGATTCCCCCCTTGCGAGCTCCTCGGCACGCCAGCCCTTCACCGCAGGAAAGCCAGAAGCCTCCTGCGGTGCCCGCGAAGTCGCGCAGGCAGTCTACCGATCAGCGTGCCTTCACGCCTACGGAAGAGGCGCCCGCCGCGTCCAGGCCAAGCTCGAGCACATTACGTAACCGGCCTTCTGGCGCACGTGCGGCGCCGTCGTCGACACGAATGTCAGCCTACCTGCAAAACTCTTTCTCCCCAGACCACACTGCGAGCGAAAACGCGACGGACACGACGACGACGACCGCGACCAACACAGACAAGGAAGAGGACCGCCCCACCAACACGATGGCTGCCGTTGTTCACGACTCGGGCTCTGCTCACGACCACGGCTACGACGACGCGGCCGACGCGCTAGCAGCGCTGTCCTTCCTCGAGCGCGAAGAACACCCCCAACCCCCTGCAGCATCCCAGTCCCCATCACAGACACAGCCGTACTCGTCGCCGTCGTCGCCCCCACTCCCAGAGTTCACGACCACTCCAGCAAGCCCGTCCCAGACGCGTGCCAACCCGGCAGAACCCCGCTCGTCGTTCGCTCCCACGAAGCTCGCCGCACAACGTAAGGCCAAGTCACAGGCCCAGCAGGCCGCGCAACAGGCCGCCGCGCACAGACCAGGGAAGGCGAACGGCAAGAAGGGCAGGCCGACGGCGGACAGTTCAGCGTGGGGCGAGAGTAGCGAGGAGGAAGAGGAGGAGGAAGAAGAGGATGAGGATGACGTGGACTCCGATGATGAACCTGCTCCACGGAGGACCAGTGTGAGTGATCAAGCCTCTGCCCTCGGACACGGCGCGCCCCCCAGCGCCGGCGCCCGCTCCCCCTATGCACAGACAAGCGCAGGCTCCCCCGCGCGCTCGCAAGTCGATGTGAACAACGGCGCGTACCCTGGGTCGCGCCAGCCGCGTAACCTTCCCCAAGTACCCGGCCAACGGCCAGGTTCGTCCCATTCCTGTCACCCTAGCGTGTCTATTCTCGTCGGCTCACTAATTGCCCATATAGACCAAGAGGATTACCTCGGAGCACAACCCCAACCCCGCCGCTTCGTGTCGGACAGCTTCACGGATGGCGGTCGTCGCAGCATGTATCCGGAGGGCATGAGCAGGCAAGCCTCCCCTTCTTTGGCCGCCTCCTCGATGCGTCCGGGCTCCCAGTATCCGCCACAAGGGTCCGCGCCACAGCAACAGACGCCGTCACGTCCGATTTGGAGTCAAGTCCTGGACCCCGATCATCCTCAGCTCAACAACGGTCGGGATACCTTCATCCAAATGGAGGCTCCTGCAGCTGCGATGACCAAGGCCTTCACACCGCACGGTCTCCTCTCTGCTGGCCTGCAAGACAAGCACGATCGGTCTGCGAAGAGGCAGGAGGAACTCGCAAGGGAAACGGGCGCGTCTCTCATCAACGTCCCGAACAAGCCACCCCCTCCCCAAACCGGTCTGCTAGGTGCTGTGACTGCCCACGAGCGAGAACGCAAGCGTGAGGGAGGCATCGGTGCCGCCCTTACCGAGCGCGAACGCGAGAAGCGGATGGTCGAGGAGCGACAGCGCAAGATCGACGACCTCCAGCGGCAGCAGCTCGACCAGATGCAGCAGGGTGGCTCGATGTACGGCGGCATGGGCATGAACCCGATGGGCTTCAACCCGATGATGGCGAATCCGATGATGATGGGCATGAACCCCATGATGACCGGCGGCTGGGGCGGCTACCCTGGCATGATGCCCGGCTTCGCGAACCCCCAGCAGCTCTTCGCCGCCCAGCAGGCCGCCGCGCAAGCGTACCAGCAGGCGATGGTCGCTTTCTCTACCGCCGGCTCCCAGATCGGTGGCGACGGTGGCTCTCCCGGCGCGCTCAACCCGATGATGACGGGCGGCTCGATGGGTATGGGGGGCATGGGAGGCTACGACCCGCGCATGTCGATGATGGGCATGCCCATGATGGGCACGGGCATGAGTCAGATGGGCATGGGCGGTATGGGTGGCATGAACCCCGGCATGGGCGGCGGTATGACCCCTGGCATGGGCGGCATGAACCCGAACATGGGCATGGGGATGAACCCGATGATGGGCGGCGGGATGGGCATGCAGATGACGGGTGGTTCGAACTTCGACCCCCGTTTCTCGCCTGGGGCTGAAGGCGCCCCTCGCCAACCCTTCGAGCCTACCTCCTCCGGCCTGCGCCCCACCTCTTCGCACCCCAGCTCTCCCGGCCCCTCCCCCGCTGGCTCGCGCCCCACCGATTCTGGCGAGAACTCGCAGAACCCGTCCGGCCCGCCGTCGACTACTCAGTGATCTAGAAGGCGTCTTGCAGTGGCCGATGTCGCTCGCTTCCCTCCATGGACTGCTTTTTCTAATACCTTCATTTCTGTGCATTTGAGACCCACCTACTCTGTGATATCTCGTACCCCCTCTCGCTCTCTACTCGGACCGCACCCTCTCCCCGCACCTTACGCACATGCATCTTTCTGATATCGTACGGCATCTTTTAGCACGGAATCTTGCTTTTTGTTCGACATACCGTAATGGACTCTGAACAGCACGAATGGAATACCGAGCATCATACACTGACATATCTCCTTGGACGCAATAAAATCGACGTACAGCGTATAGTGTGCGATGTAAGGGTGTACAAGTTGGGGGTCGGGCGAGGAGTTGCGGTAAGGAATGTGGTTGTGTCACTGGACGCAGCGACTGGCGATATATGCTGATTCTTGCCTTCAGTGCGAGAGCACTCTATAGATATTCGGCTCTCGAAGTCCCTGGCTGTACATTTCATCGAAAAGTCAGGCCTGTCACCCCACACACGCACTCAAAGCACTCACTGCACAGGCTCTCGAGAAGGTATCAGGTGTGTATCGGACGTCCATGGTAGATAGCCCACGGACGGATGTGCCAGTCGTCGTTTTTCAAGCGGCGGTGGCCTCTTCCGGTCTCTCGTTTGACGGCACTGACCGGGGGTGTTGGAGCTTGTGGATAAAGAGTGCTGTTGCTGAGCGGTACTGACTCCGCCGCCGAGGAGATGAAGAGTAGGACCAGGAGGACGAGGAAGGGCGAGGAAAGAGTGAATAGGCGCATTGCTGATGATCCTGGACTGTAACAAGTTCAGTTTAGGGAAAAGACAGGCGAAACCGCTGCGAGACATACCAAGGAGTGGTCACTCTAATTAAATAGGTGAGATATAAATTTCTTCTTCGCCCAAATAGCAGGAGTCGAAGAGGACGAAAGGTGGGCGTTAATGCTATCCCACAGCCCAACTAGAGCGCATATATACTCTTCCATTGCGCTGGACGTCAGCTATACGCTCGCCATGTGTGCCTGGAAATTGCCGACGGTAGTTGGAGCGACACTGTTCCTTGAGGCGTGCCGTGTAGCCGGACAAGTAAGACGTCGGGCGCGGAAGGGTGCAGCTCCATACTGGCCCTATGCTGTACACACCTCCCGCCCGGCGTCATGCTTTGGCTGGTGGTGGACTTGGCTGTCTTTTCAACTGATTGACGTAGGACAACTTGCCACTACTAGAGCGCGTAGTGACGACAGCTAACCCGACGAGCACGGTGTTCTCACGAATGCCTGCGCCATGCCAGTGGACCTCAAATGTTTTGCATCCCTGACAAAAGTCTGTGGGTATCTTGAGTAATCCACGAGCCCTGTGCGAAAGGACTCACTAATCGAACCATCATCCAGGCTCATCCACAACATGGCGCCGACAGGGCGCCGGGCAGCGGGCGCTGCATAGCAAGCAGCCCCGGTGACACGCGGCTTCGAGCGACCTGGTAGATTCGGGACTCGAGGTTCTTTCAGGGCGTTGATCAGATGGCTCGAGGCTCTTCCAACGGCACGCCCACTAAGCGGTCGTGGCGGTACTGGTTCAGGTCGAGAACGGATAAGCTCTCGGAGCGTTCGCTGACTTTGCCACGCGTGCTGGACCCACAACTATTTCTAGCAGCGAGGCGCGATAAGATTAGATTCACACCCAAGCCGCTTCCAGTCACTCCAGCCACGCTTGTCCAAGACCACCAACAACACTGTGCGCTCAGAGATAAGCTAGGTATACAGCCTAGGTACCCCAACATTATGACTCTAAGGATTGGTTATGGTGGGTTGTCGCATAAGCCTCAACAACCCGACGCCGATGGTGTGGGATGCCATTACCAAGCTGATTCGGATTGACTGATGCAGTACGGGAGCACTTTTCCTCGCCCCTCTTGCAATTTGCAGAAGCAGATGGCGGGAAGACGTTCACGCTGGTAGAATGCCCCAGTGCGTATGAATCGGATAGACATACACGGTTTCAGTGCTAACGCGCAAGCTCAGGCGGAACTGGTCAGCTCATTGGCCGTCTAGAGAAAGACGAGATCGATGTTGCTATGTATGCGATATCTTCTTCCTAAGAAACATTGAAAGGACCGTACTAATACCTTCTATCAGTGCACTCACGGACCCTCTCATCTCCGGGATTGCGAAGGGCTCAACGGCATACAAGCTTGTCGGAAGCTATGTCACGACCCCGCTCAACTGGCAGGTCCTTTGTTGCGCGTATGGACCTACCCAACTCATGTATCTGTGCGCCGCGTCGAAAATGCAGGGCGGTGATAACTGGGACGAACTCGCAATACAAGGATATCTCCGATCTCAAGGGCACGACTATCGGCATCTCGCGATATGGCAGGTACGTCGCAAGCCTGCATTTCTATAGCACGTACAGCAAATCAAATCTCCTTGTACATATAGTGGAAGTCAGACCATGGCATACGTCATGGCGCTGCAACAAGGCTGGCCGACCAGCGATCTGTCCTTCCAGGGTATGCGTATATGCCCGCAAATGTAGCAGCTCCGTTCTCGACTCACCGGTGTTTATTCCTCCGACAGTGAACAACGACATCCGCGGCCTGATCAACTCCGTGAACGACGGGTCCACGAGTGCGTTCATGTGGGAGTGGTTCACAACGAAGCCCTTCGCGGACGCCGGCGAATGTCGCTTCGTGCGTCTCCCCCTCTTCTCTCCGATGATCTCCCCGGTCTTACCATCCACCTATCGTCGCATATGAACGTTAACGTATGCTCTGCTCGCGGGACTGGCAGATCGGCTCGGTGCCCACGCCCTGGCCGTCCTGGCTCATCGCCGCGCACCCCACGCGCGCGCCTGCGGAGGCCCTGCGCCCCTTCCTCGCGACCCTCTCCGAGCACGTCCGCGCGTTCGACGCGGCTGAGCAGCGTGCAGGCCCAGACGTCGCCTTCATCAAGGACAAGTTCGGCTATCCCGAGGCGGATATCCAGGTGCGCTTCCTTCTTCCTCGCGGACGGTAGGACGGCGGCGCTGACGGTCCGGAAAATGACAGGCGTGGCTGAAGACGGTCGGATACCCGCCCAGCTGCTCCGAGATCCCGCGGGAAGTTATTCTGAACACGCTCGAGTACGTCCACCTTCTCGTCCACCTTATCGCGCTGGTGCCGGGACTTTGCACCCGGTGTCTGGTGTGGTACCCGCTGCTGATTCTGATGCTGATTGAATGCGCCCGCGCCCTGTGCAGTGTCCTCCAGAAGGCCGGGTTCGTGCAGAGCCCCGAGGGCGGCTTCGATGTCGCGCAATTCGTGAATACCGAGATCGCAAGCCTTACTTAGAGGAAACGTGCGTGGAGAGAAGAGGAAAGGAAACCAGACTCGCATGGCATCAAGATCGCATGTACGACTATGATACAACTACCATTCGCCATTTGCAGAACGGCGCACCTAACCGTATCGAAGGAGGTGTCATTACGCAGCTGTACCTCCGAACTAGTAGTGTTAGTGTGTATGTGAGTACGAATGGCTACATTGTGCATTAGGCTGTATGTCATCGCGCAGACGACACGGATGAGCAGGCCCCGCAAAACCCAAAAAAGAGGTGACAAGATATCCGCATTAGCAACAGAGATCCGGCGCGTTGGCTAAGCAGCAGCGTAGAGTAGGCAGGATTACGTGCACGAATGTATGTACGCAGGTATCGGTAGTGGACACGCCTTTATAACGGTAGAAGTAAGATGCAGCAGGGCAGGGATTAGCACGGAAATGCACAGTATACGAGGAGGGCTACACTTCTGTTTAGCGAATGAGTGGACGATGCGTGGGCGATGCGAGATGCAGATGCAGAGGGGGAGGCAGATGGAAGAGAATATAAAAATGGTAAAATGATGGTGTGAGGCGATCAGTGGGTAGGTGAAGTCTGCAAGGGACCAGAGCGACGATGAAGCGAAAAGCGTCTCTAGTGGTGCCAACGAGCCCGGGCCAAGTCAAGAAAGTCTACTGTTCTGTCCTATAGAGAGGCTGAGTTTGCGGGGACCGCGCCCGGTCTTCCGGCTCGGGCGGATGCACGAGCGTATCGATGTAACCATCCACGTTCGCGACGAGCAGTCTGCCGAAAAGAAACAGATACACTCATTAGCAATCCATCGCACCATTTATGATGCACACACGCCATAAGCACTTACTTGAGCCAAATCCGCCCACTGCCGCTCTTCTCGCGGACGATCTGCCACTGCCCACGCTGGCGGAGCCCAGGGCCGTTCGTGTTTCCTGCGAGCGCGTCGAGCAAACACTGACGACCCTCGCGAGTTCCCTCCGCCTCGAGCACCCACTCGCCGTGCCAGCCGCGCCCGAGTGCGAGGCCGGCCTCCGTCACGCTCCCAGGTCCGACGTACGGGATACGCGCAAGCCACATGTACTTGCGCACACGCGCGACGCCACTCGGCGAGTGCGGGCTCGGGACGCGTGTCGCGACGTTCGTGAGCTGCATGTCTGGCTCCCTGGCAAACTGGCGGCCATTTGCAGAGGGCGGGTCTTGCGGGAGTGCGATGATGAAGACAGGGTCAACGAAGGCAGGGAGTATGTTCGCGAAGTAGAAAGGCGATGGTAACGTTAGCGGGTTCTCCAACGGGGGCGCGCTGGGCGGGATGTAGGGGACAAGGCAGTACCCGTTGAACATGAGCCACTTTTGCCTCTGTTGTCCTCCATCGGTTGGGTCACTGTATGAGAGCGGGCGCGGGCTGTCGGGTGGGGGAAGCGGTGGAACGTAGCCGAAGTTGCAGACGACGTCGCCATCGGAAAGATGTTCCCAGAGGCCACCCTTGATCAGCTGCTCTTCGCAGGCCATTATGGCAGGCTCGTCGAGGTCGGTACAGGGTACGAAGACACGGAGGACCGGGGCGCGAACACGGGATGTCGCTAAGAATAGATCGTGCGCAGAGGTTCCCCTCGGCACGGCGAGCGGCGCGCCGACGGATGCTCTACGCCGTTCCCGAGCAGGCGGACTGCCCTCGGACTCGGTGTTAGTGCGCGAGATCGACGAAGGACTCGATAGCGACGATTCGCTGGAGTAGCTGACGGAAGCAAAGCGCCTATTGGGAAGCTTGAGATCGTGCGCCGTAAAGCCGTCTTCATCGGTCGCGTACGGAATGCTGTGCCGATCCTTGCTCACTGACATAGTCCTGCGCCAGCTGCCAGAGTACTCCCTGAGCGCGCGTGGATCCGCTGATGGTGGCGGCAGCGGCACTTTTGACCTGCCGAAGAACGTTGACATCCCACTGCCCTTGTTTCGTGGGATGACCTCCGCTATCGTGGGCGTCCTTGGCGGGCTGAGAGACGACGAGCGGGCGGTAGAAAACCCACTGCGGATCGTGCCAGATCGGCTCAGCACTCGCCGACCTATGCTTTCGCGCGTGTTGGTCGAAACCGCGTCGTCCGAATCGTTTCCCAGACTGGACAGCGGTGCGGGAAACACGAGTTCTCGGATGCCGCGCTGCTGCGGGGATCGCAGGCTAACCCTAAGGGATGGCCCTGCCGGGTTGTCGAAATCCTCTGAGTCGGAGGGTGACGAGGCGCCACTGTGTACGAGGGATTGGAGTAACAGGACGAATCGGGAGTGTGCGAGGGAGAGGGAGGCGAGTCGCGCGGAGCCTCTTTGCAGTTGCGGGTCTGTGGACGAGCGGGAAAAAGCTCCGAGCACGGCCATGGCGTGCATGGGATACGCGTGCAGGGGGACGTACTGCGACAGCACTGCACGACGACGCACGTTGGTGAGCCACGAACTCCGGACGAAGAATAGCGGGACGTACTGAGAAAAACAAGCTGGTGGAAATCGACCTCGATGTCCGACTTTTGCTCTACGTCGCTGAGCTCCCGGGCGAGTCTATACCCTGGGACGAAGTGGGTGAAGACGACATCTCGGCACTCTTCACTCTGTGCGACACACCGCCGGAGGTCGCGGGAGGCGCTGGCGAGGGTATGAAAATCTTGCCAGGAAATATGCCGCAGGAATTGGGCGAGTACGCCAGGGTGTTTCAAGGCACGCGAGAGCAATCGAGGAGAGCGCGCAGAGGGTCGGGGGACGCGTGTCGGGGAGACTTTGCGAGAGAGATGCACCGCATTCTGTCTGGGCGCGCGCGGGGGTGCAGGGCCGCGGCTGGAGGAGGGTATAGGAGGGAGTGGCCGATCCGCCGTCCTGACCGAGGCGGACATGGTGGACGGGTCGAAGGAGGGGGAGGTCGTCGAGTCGGGGGATGGTGGCGGGACGGGGTTAGGAGAGGTGCGGGAGAGGGGAGGACTGGGCCATGGAGGTGAAAGGTATAGACGGCTTGAGTATAGTCTTATTAGGTCATGTCGCCGGGCAGGCCCTTTACGCGCCGACGTCGGTGGCAGTGTATCGCCCCTGCAATTATCCCTCGCTTAAGCCTACCTGGCCGCCCCTTCGACTTCGAACGCCGCTTCCTCCACGATAGACTTTTACCTCTTTCGTACCTGCCACCCTCTCGCTCCCGCCGCGGACGCGCCTCAGGTATCGCTGGGTCCCAGGGTTGTCGAGGAGCAAACCTCCGGCCTCGGAGCGCGTCGCGGGAAACATATTTAGCAGATGCCCCGGCTGGCCTCGCCGGGCGTCTTCGCGGGGCAAATTCATGGGGCGCGTCGCAACCGCGCGCCATCTCGGAAGTCGTGCTCTCCAATTGCGTCATTTGGTGATGTCAGTCGCTCCCTTATTCGGCATCTGTACTAAACGCGCCGCTCACCAATGTACATCCCCGAAAGGAAAGCGGGCCAGCGATGCGAAGCTGGGGTCCAAGCCGCGAATGGGGTAAGAAGAAGAGGTGCGAGAGTGCATCTTTCTCGGGGGCGGAAGCCTTATATACCAGCTGAGAAGGAAGACAGCGCGGGATCCGAATAATTGACACAGAAAGGTCTTCACGACGCCGGATTCGGTTGTGGTATGAGAGAGGGTGGCGTACTCCTACGATGCACGCCCTCAGAATTCTTAGAAGCAATTCAGTACTTAGTACTTAGAACCAGGAGTACGGCTACCGGCGAATACTACACTTCCCTATCTTATGGGCTGAGCATCGAGCGGTTTCCTGCTCTGGCGCTGCATCCCTAGTCAGCGGATCGTTCAAGTTAACAGTGTCCGCTATTCGTCAGGCCACTCGCTCTGAGATCTAGGCCGCAGACCCGCACTAACTACACCTATGCGATGACCGACTTTCTATCTGAACAAACGCACAGGTTTGCGGGCGTAGATACATGAGACGTGATCACTCTGACTCATACCATCTCGGTATTCGTTCTCTTCGGTAAATAGGCCCGAACATACGATGTCCGCACAGCACTGTCCCTCAACGCAACAACCAAGTACCCCGATTAAACGACATCCGATAAAGGAAAACATAGCGGAGAGAATATATACAACCACCAGACTACTGAATGATGATCATCCAGGCAAGAACGAAGTAGAACAACCTGCCAATCACGATGCGTCAGTCACTGCTAGAGGCCGCAGCCACACGGGCTTACAAGAGCGGGTATACGGCCAGAAGGATCCGTTGGGCCTCAATTTTCGTGCCGTCCAGGAAATTGACAGATGCTACACGTAAATTGCCCAATATACGTCAACGCGTAAATCCAGTTGACGGGGAAGACGTAGAAACGCACCCCATACACACCACGCCCACGCTGCTAGCGCCACAGGGGCACGCACGTAAATCAAGTGCACGAAAGTTGACACGAGCGCGGCCACGTTGAGCGGTGCGACGCAGTACCCGAGCACGCACAGGCCTTGGAAAAATGATCTGAGAGGGTGCGGTGGGTAAGTCGCGATCAATTAGGACATGTTGCAGTCACGTACACTCGGCCGCCGAGCAGCTGTACAGCATCGGTCAATATATTTCGGCACGGTGTAAAAGGCTGTGTGGGCGTACCTTTGCTTGTACCGTCACCACCAGGGACCCTACTGCTATGATCACGACCACACTGGTGAAGACTCCCAATGACTGGGAAGGAGGTGCCTGGGCGAATATAATACCGTCAGCTTGAAGCGGACGAGACTGGCAAGATGGCGCATACATTGATGCTGAGAATTATTCCCAGCATTAAACACAGCACCAAGGGGCCCCATAAATCCCAGTCCCTGCGGGTAAACGTCTGTCAGTACGGGCGCGTGATAGATGCCATTCATGGCAAACCTCAAAAGATCCCTGTCGCCTCGGCTTTTTGGCGGGTACAGCACCTGCACGAGCTTCGTGTATATCGACAACAGGTCTCGTGCCTGTAGGAAGTGCGTTCAATATGGTAAGCATCGCATACAAGCAAGGGTAACGCGACTCACGATAGTTGTTGTGACGGGCTCATCAAGGGTGTCTACTCCAGTATACCTACGCACCTCAACCTCTAAGACCAAGCGCACTGTCTCCATGAAATGGCACATACCGCGACTCCACTTGCACACCGCCTACTGTCCGTCGGTTCGAGGCCTGTCCCCCACTCGCGGAGCCATTGATAGGTGCGCCTATGTTCCCGGACAGGTTCGCGCCCCCGGACCCGGACGGAGATGCAAGTTGCTCTGGAGCACGCGCCTTGCCCTTGTCCACAGGATTAGGCGAGAGCGGACTTGGGGCCAGTCCAGGGTGCGTAAACCCAGGGATGTTCTCCTCGTCGAGGTCATCGTCGTCTATGCAAGTATTCCGCAGTTGAGCACGAGCCGCGATGTAGTGCTCTGTGGTCTGTAGCTCTCACCTGCCTCAATGAATTGCGATGTCGACGTGAGCGGCGTCGTGACGTCCACGTTATCCATGCGCTGCATATCTGGCGCGCTCTCCGAATAGAAACGAGATGGAATGAAGGACTAGGTGCTGGCAGTACTGTGGCAAACGTGTACCGGGCGGTGAGCGCATTACCGTCGCCGTCGCGCAGGCGAGGCGCCCATACCGGCTGTTTCCGACGATGTGCCACGTGACCGACTCGACGAGCAAGCTGACGCGTCGCGGTGCGTAATTGCACGCAGAACGCTCTTCCGTCTCCGTCACTCTCTTCCCCTTACACTCACTGCGACCCGCCTTCATTCAACACAAACATGGTATGTTTTACAGCCCACTCTCCACCGAGTTGCACAAGACTAAGCTATGGCTGCAGGGTAACGCACCGTCTGGCATGCCCGGTGGGAGACCGGGTGGCCGCCCGCCCGGGGACCAGAAAGACAAGAAAGAGCAGAAGAAGAAGTGGGAGCCGCCGCTCCCAACGAGCGTGGGCAAGCGCAAGAAGAGAAAGGGCCCGGACGCGGCGTCGAAGCTGCCCGCGGTGTTCCCCACGACGCGCTGCCGGCTGAAGCTGCTCAAGCTCGAGCGCATCAAGGACTACCTGCTCATGGAGGAGGAGTTCATCCAGAACCAGGAGCGGCTCAAGCCCGAGAGCGCGCGCGAGGAGAAGAACGAGGAGGACCGGACGAAGGTCGACGACCTGCGCGGGTCGCCGATGGCCGTCGGCACGCTGGAGGAGATCATCGACGACGACCATGCAATTATCAGCACCGCGTCGGGTCCGGAGTTCTACGTGTCCATCATGAGCTTCGTGGACAAGGACTTGCTTGAGCCTGGGTGCCAGGTGCTGCTGCACCACAAGAACCAGGCGGTCGTTGGTGTGCTGCAGGATGACGCGGACCCCATGGTCAGCGTCATGAAGCTCGACAAGGCGCCGACGGAGAGCTATGCGGACATTGGTGGGCTGGAACAGCAAATACAGGAAATCAAGGTGCGCTTCTTCCTGTTATCGCGAATGTGGAGTGGAGTGCTGACCTGGCCACGCAGGAGTCAGTAGAGCTGCCCTTGACACATCCGGAGCTGTACGAGGAGATGGGTATCAAGCCACCAAAGGGTGTCATCTTGTACGGTGTCCCTGGTACCGGAAAGACCCTCCTGGCCAAGGCCGTCGCGAACCAGACGTCAGCAACGTTCCTGCGCGTGGTCGGCTCAGAGCTTATTCAGAAATACCTCGGAGACGGCCCCAAACTCGTACGAGAACTGTTCCGGGTGGCGGAGGAACATGCACCAAGTATTGTGTTCATCGACGAGATTGATGCCATTGGTACGAAGCGGTAAGTAGCCTCCTGCGCCCGCGGAGTCTTCGTCCAGTGGCTGACTAGCGCGCAGGTACGACTCAACATCCGGCGGCGAGCGCGAAATCCAGCGGACGATGCTGGAGCTCCTGAACCAGCTGGACGGTTTCGATACGCGCGGGGACGTGAAAGTGATCATGGCGACGAACAAGATTGAGTCGCTCGACCCCGCGCTCATTCGGCCAGGGCGTATCGACCGTAAGATCGAGTTCCCCCTACCGGACGTGAAGACGAAGCGACACATCTTCAAGCTGCACACGTCGCGTATGAACCTCTCGGAGGACGTCGAGCTCGAGGAGTTTGTGACCACGAAGGACGACCTGTCCGGCGCGGACATCAAGGCGGTGTGTACAGAGGCGGGTCTGTTGGCGCTTCGGGAGCGGCGGATGCGTGTGACGAAGGCGGACTTCACGTCCGCGCGAGAGAAGGTGCGTCCATGTTCCTGGGGCGAATCGTTTGAAAGGGAAGAGGTGTTAACCATATGGTGTTGCGTAGGTCCTGTACAGGAAGAACGAGGGCACGCCGGAGGGACTCTATCTGTGATCTGTCGTCTGTGTTTGTATTGTTCGTCGCGCTGCGTAACCTACCTTTCTCCTAGTCTTTGGACTCTACGCAACTCCGGATTTGCTTGCATGTCTTCAGCATTCTTCCGACATGGTCAGTGTCTCTGAGGATGTCGACGGCTGGTATTGGGAGCTGCGGTATGCGTCGAGTCCGAAAGGGCAACGGCGCACACCAGGATACGATGGCCGATAGCATTCCTCACGTGAGTTTCTTTTACGTCTACGAACCACTTCCTTGCCTGCAGGCTGCAGGCACTCGGCACGGCTCGAAGCTTCAAACCTTCCCGCCCAGCCGCTGTTCGCAAGATGCCCCGACTGCCGCATAAGATGAGCAAATTTGGGTATCGTCGGTACGTACACGATTACGTCTGGCGGCGTCCCCGCACTTCCCCCACACCCCCCCAGTCGGCGCGGCGGCGATCCCATCGTATCGCGCGCCGCCAATCTGGACGCGCGATGGGCGGGCAGCTGGGACTGGATTAGCTCGCGCTGGGTTCCCCCGACGGGGTGCCTGGCCGACTGCAACCTAGTGAGATCTGCCGAGCGGCGGCTAGTATATGCGGTGTCATGGTGGGTTGTTTGAGTAGGAACGTCAGTGTGTTTGCTGAAGCCGAGGATGTATGACCTCGCGTACTGTGCATGCGCATGCGCATGAAGCCTCTCGGAGGTGAGGTGAATGCTTTCGAAATGTGCTGTCATTGCCTGGTTCTCAGACAAGTTGATTGATTATACAGGGATGTTTCGCGTCACAGACGCGATAGTTTCGTTCAAAGCCTTGCGGCACATGCGTAACTCGAAATTTGGACCCGCGAGGAAGGTCCTCTCCATCCTCGTCCCAGACGACGGAGTGGATCAAGGCTGTTGTATGGAAACTCGGACGGGTTCCCGCCAGGCACGGAACTCTGCATTCCGTGAGTGATGTACAATGCATGTACCATACGCTGCTGCCATTTTTTGAATACCGAGGGACCCGTGCCTATGCTGTACAAGCTCACTATCTCCCCGATGTTGGCGCGGACGCCCGAACGCAATGTCATTGTCTAATCACCGTCGCCACAGCTTCTAACCTTGTCTTCGTAGCCCAGCCCAACAAAAGTACAACAACACGCCGGCCTCGTGGTCTCTGCTACGTTGTTTACGGTCGTCGCTCTGAAGCACGGTACGGAATGCAGGCGGTTTGTAGGCGAGTCGCGGTCCGCGTAGCTATGCAATGCATGCATGTATTGTTGGAGCAGCCTGTGAGGATGCTTGATGGTGGCGTCCGGGGGGCTTACTCGGCTCAGGAGTCCAACATATACGTTCACTTGCGGTCGTTCTCACATCATCCTTCCCCCACCATCCCCTCTCGTCCCCTATGCTGAGTGTATGCTGGTTGTATGCATCTGTGTGTCCGCAAACCAATCTGTACCACGCGACACGACCTCGCTGCTTTTTAATACTGGCGGAGCGGAATGCCGGGTACGGCGACATACCCCGCATTCCGGCTCGTTGGACTCGCACATGCTCGCCTCGCGGTGCACTACGCGCTCCACGCTTTCCCTGTACCACGACTCTCCTATCTAAGCCAACTTGCTCTTCACCACTCATGATCTATAAGACAATCTGCGAGCACAACCCAACATCAACGCGTCATTCACGAACATGAACCAACTGCACACATTCTTGGGCCTCTCTTACGCCGCGGCGCGTCTATCGACGCAATTCGACGCGTCCGGAGACGGCTAGTCGCGCAAATGACGCGTCCGCGCCGCTAGAGCTACCCATTCGGAGATGCACGCTCCAATAGCGCGTTCGGGTGCTGGACTATCCATATTGGCGCGATACGGTGAGCTCCTCGACATCTCGGGATCCCGATGTTTGGGTTATCGCAAGACTCCTTCGAGGAGACCCTGCTGATGCTTACAGAAGTCGGGATGACGGATCGCATCAGGTGAAGCGAAACCATCAGCACGACGTTGGGCACCAGGTGCGTGTTGGAGAGGTCGTCGACGCCCACGAATGTGTTGGGGAAGAGGAGTCGCGCTCGCGCCGCCGTCGACCCTGGGAGCAATGACGGCGGGCCCTGGACGAAACAAGTGTGATCGACGGGGGCGGGCTAGCCGACGTCAAGGCGGACGCCGACGCGGTGTTCGCTCAATTAACGGAACGATCTGGGCGGGCGTCTATCTGGTGGGCAGGGCGTCTGTGGGTCACGAACGAGCCTGCCCTAAGGCAGGAACGTGGCTGGGGCTTCTCGCGATGGGGTCGGTCATGGCAGGGCCGATTGGTCGTTGTTAGCTCCCCCATTGTGCTCCGTACTCTACCGCCTCCCTCTTGTTTCCTCTCATTCCTCTCCTTTCTCTAGGCAAACTATGCACGAGCAGCGTTCTGCTGCTCTCAGGCCCTCTTCTCTCGCTATGCCCCGCTCCTCCATCCCGCGCCGACGCTCGTCTATGCTCTCATCTGCTTCTGACCCGCACACTCCTCCCCCGCGCAACTCGCCGCTGCCTGTGTTCTCTTCTGCCGCCTCGAACAGGAAGAGCTCAGACAGCTGGAACAGCTCGAATTGCGATGGAGCAGACGATCTCGAGTGGGAGTGGAAGCCGGAGCAGACGCGTCTATTGTCGAGGGTGAGTCCCAAGACGCGTTTAGACGTGACAATCTCGCCGCGTCCTCTTGGACGCGTTCCCCAAGTGCATTAACCTGACCTGCTTGCGGCAGACTTTGGACGCTCTTCCCTCGCATCTGTTGACTCCGTTCAACGGCCCCGTACCTCCGTCTAACCTCCTGGACAAGATTGCACGTGGTGTCATTTCCGCGAAGGGCCCCGTCGAGTGGCCCCACTCCCTCCGCGCGACTCGTGCCAAGATTGTCGAGCTTGCCCGCCTTCGCGCGATGGAGGACACCTCAAGCGACACTATCGCCGAGGAAGAGCCCTCAGATAAAGATGTCCTCCAGCAGACTACTAACACGGGTCCCAAACGACCCCTGTATAGACAGTCGAGTATGGATTTTATGCAGTCCTCCAAACTCGACCCCGCAGACAGCAGCAACATTGCTCGGTATGTTTGAGCGCTTCTAACATGATCTCGGCTAACACCACAGTGCATCTAGTCTATCACATCGCTTGCGCAACACCGAGCGTATGATTCCCAATCCTGCCCACAACCACCAGGCTTACGTCCGCGGCTCTCCACGTCCTCGCTCAAGCGCGCGGGTAGTTCCCTCTACCCCTAGTTCAACCACTCTCAACTCTGAGAGCTCGTGTAATTCGGGCTCGCGGATACCGCGCTTGCAGAGATCCATGTCTTCCATCTCCAACTCATCTGACTCCTTCATTCAACCTGCTGTCGACCCGCGCCTGCAGCGCATTAGGCGCGCGGAATCTTTCGCTGGATCTGCTCTCTATGGTCCCGGGTCTCCTCTTAAGCGCGCTCCCTCCTATGGTTCCATTTCGAAGAGGCACTCAGATTCTATGAGCGTCGACTGCTCGAACCGCTCCGACGTCACCTCCTCGGACGAGGAAGAGAGGATGCGGAGCAAGAGAGCCAAGAAGCCTCGTGTCAAGCCGAGCTCTCCCACTCCGCCGCCCGTTACGTCCCCTGTTACGTCCCCGGAGAAAACGAAGCCTCTGCGGCGGTCCACACGTACTGTCGTGAAAACCGCGTCGGCAGCTTCACCGTCGGTCCAGGCATCCCCGCGTCTCAACCCTAGAGCCAAAATCAATCCGCAGCGTAATCCTAGCATGTTTGGCCCCGAACTCCCTGCAGTCGCGTTCCCATCCGTCAAATCACCTACTCCGTCACCAGCCAAGACCCGCTCCGTTCGCAGGTCTTCTGTCGCCCCCACGCCCACGTCTCCTTCCCTCCGCAACTCTCCCATGGGCGCCCAGACACCGGCGTCGTCTTCTCGCAAGGCTTCCCGTCGTACTAAGGGACCGTCCTTGGCCGGCGGGGTGATGGGCAGGAAGATCACGTTCGGCGCCCTCGGGAACTCTGGGGAGGAGAACGCTGGTCCCACCGGCGGTCTGGGTCTCGAAAGTGCATTCCAAATGCATTGAGAGCCCTCCGCTCCTTCCGGCTTCGCTCAGCCGCTTCATACACGCCCACGCAGCTCCATGCGCCTCCCGAGTCCCTTCGGAAGGCGTCTCAACATATGTTTATTGACGGGCCGCCCACATGGCCGTCGCCTTCGGCATCCCCACCCTCATTGTTTATCCTTTCGATTATTCCCCGTGGAACGCCCGTTCCCCACCACATTCCCTCGCCACGATGTTCTACTCTCCGCAAGCTCGCACGCTCCTTCGCTTCATCAACGCTTGTCAGCTCTTCTCCCTGTCTTCGACTCTCACCCTCCGGACCTCGCTCTTAGCGGTACCAGGCGCTGCTGTCTGCAGCCTCTTCACACTATCGGTCGACGTCTCCCGGAGTGTCCCCGCGTCCGCGCGGTGTATACCAGCGCTGCTGCTGGTTGTGCTATATGTAACATATGCTGTCTTCCTGTCCCCCGCACAAGTCAAATACGCGTATCGCTGTACTCCCCTACCCCCGCCGCCATATGGTGCTTTGCTTCGCTCCACTGAACCATTGCTATCCCCAGACGCTAATGTTACATTTCGTGATATATCGCAATTGACTTGCCGCCCTCCACCCCTTATTTCCACTCCTTCGCTTGTATATAGAACTTGCCTTTGCTCCCCCGCCCCCCGCTTCATTGGCGCATGACCGCGTGGTCGTGCCGCGCGCGCATTGCTTCTTGTTTGTCGTCGTACATACCTGCCTTGCTTCCCTTCGTCTGCTGTGCACGCGCTACTTGGGAACTTTCTGTGTATCATGCTCTTCGCTCACTGGGTCATTCGTGTATATGTACCTTTTCCAATCGATTCATTCTGCCGGACAGCGAGGGATCAGAAAGATTGGTCCGCTATATCATCGACAGCGGTGAGTTAACAGCAATGTCGAATGTTAGCGGTAACGTCGTTCGAACACATTCCCTCGGGGTATTCCGAGCTGGATGACTGGTTCAAGGTCGAACAGGTTGTGTTGAAATGCATCCCAGAGCGCTTCTGAGGATAAATGCGACGTCCATTACAGAGACAGGTTGCAACGAGATAAGACACAGGGATCTGTACACATATGTCAGATGAGCCGCCCTTGCCTCAAACGACAATGTGTAACAAACGTACCAAGAAACAGCACGGTAAAACCGGCTCTCATGAGGTCCCCTCGGTCTGTCCCCTCCGCTCTGCGAGCTGTGCACGTTTCTCCTGGATGAGGACGGCCGCACGCTGGTCCCACTGGTACGCCCAGTATCCGACGAATCCGAACGCGCCCGCTGCGATGGCGTGGCCGGCGGGGTCTGTTGCAACGCAATTCCATACAGAGCAACAGAGCCGACCAGATGGATGAAGCAACGAGTAGTCAGTCCACAGAGGAGGTTCAAAGCCAAGAAGGAAGAGAGAGGGAATCACGGCCAGTCAATGAACCGGTGCGACAGAGACAGCAAGGGGACGCACTTTCAAAAAGGCCGCGCTTCTGGATACCAAGCTGGCCGACGCGCGCAGCGAACCCGAAGATCGAGAAACCGATGATGTTGGTGAGGAGAGACATGGTGGCGGCGGGGAGAGGTGTGGGCCGGAGTGCGGACGTCGTCGCGGGCGGAGGCGGCGACGTTTCGCGCGACAGGGGGTTATCCGCGCGGGGATGAAATTGAGAGGAAATAATTGGTTTCTCAGCTAGACGCGGGACCCCGGGCCGCGCGATGTGGATGCTTATATCGGGCGTCTATCTGAGCGAGATTCGGATATTCCGCGAGTGGCGGCGAAGTGCGTTCATTGTTCCTCCTTCCACCCACATACTACGCCCATCGCCCTCATATCCATCCTTACAAGCCATGTCTACTGAAGTTGAAGAGGCATCTGCATCTGGCCCAAGCATTCATGCGGGCGGCGACATCGTCCAAAAGCTTGAACAAGCGAAGCAGCTGAAGGACAAAGGCGATGCCGCGTTCCAGCAGGGAGAAACGAAAGCAGGTGCGATATATGTGCACTTCTATAGCCGTATATAATGGGAGAGCGCTGAATACGGCTTCGTTGTGTGCTCTTTACAGCCCTTGCTTCGTATCACACTGTGAGTATTCCTCCGGCTATCTGGGGCCGGGTACAGTACTGACGCCACAGCTCAGTGCCTCTTCTATCTGAGTGGTCTGGACAAGTAAGTGGACCGCGATCTGAAGGAAACGGGAACGTAGCTGACGGTTGTGACCTCCTGGTGTATAGGAATGCGCTCCAAAAGGCTCTCGGGAAGCCTGTGCCTGCGCCGCCACCGATCGAGGCGGTAGACCAGGCTGCGCAGGAGAAGCCCAAGACCGAGGTGAGTAGCACGCGAGTTCATTGATATTGACGCGAACTAACGTACATCTTGATTTATAGGTGAGAATTCAAGGGACTTTGTCCGTCGAGGACGGCGGCGCTAACCCGCGTGTGGCGGTTTAGGTCGATGAGCTTCAAGAGAAGATCTACTCGAACATGTCCCAGTGTCATATAAAGAACGGCAATTGGAAGCGTGCTCTCGAGACCGCTGATAAGGTGCGCTAGGCAGACTGAATTTTACATGACTTGTCACTTATACCGTTTCGCGCCATAGGCCCTTACGTACAACCCCAAGAACCGCAAAGCCCTGTTCCGCAAGGCCAAGGCTCTGGGCGAGACGGGCTGGTTCGAGAAGGCGGATGCGATCCTCGAGGAACTGATCAAGGACGCTGTGTCACCCGGTTTGTATATTCGATACGCTGTCGTGATCTGCGTCGCTCACAGCTCTATAGAGAAGGAAGCTTGTGTGGCGGAACTGAACAGGCTGCGCGAGATGGACAAGGAGCGGAGCCAGAAGCACGACCAGAAGATGAAAGGTCAGCCAAGACCGCTCATGGCTGACTAGATTGCTGACCACGTTACCTTTCATAGGCTTTCTGAAGAAGGGCCAACTGAGCTTGGCCAAGGAGGATTAAAGTGTAGGAAGGTCCACAGACTACTTGGTGCATTTCTCTCTCTCCTCTCGCGGTGTACGATGCTTTCCATTGCTCGATCGATATGCAGTGTACAATGTTGTTCGTCTGTTTCCCATGTTGTGTTCTACCCTATCTCCAATCGATCCACGAGTTTCGCGTTCCCATGCTTCGAATCGCCGCGAGCACTGGATGGGTGTAACATACGCGTGACGCCTCTTCACGTGGACGCGCTGAGACGCGACCGCGTCGCAGCGAGACGCCCGCTTTCGCGCATCTTGTGTCTTGACCACAACCTCCATGCATCCGCATACATCTGGCTCTTGCTCTGGATTAAGCTGTTTCTGTGTGGTGCCTCTATATCAGCTCGGCTATGGCGAACACAGAATATTCACAGAAGCCCCCGACACGACAAACGGTCGTGTTCTCGGTGCTGCATGCATACTACCCTGTCGTAGACACCCTGCAGAGCTACCTGGAGGATATACTCCACCCACCAGATAATAACAACATGATTCTAAGAGAAACAGACACGCCGCAATATCGGTCGTTTTTGACCACGTCCTACGTGGCTGGGGACGCTACACTTAAGCGCGAGAAGCGCTACGTCCCATTGGCACCCATGATGCACATGCACGACGTAAGTCCTCAAGCATACATGTTTTCTGCACTCTGACAAAAACCGCTCTAGGTCATTGATCGTGTGCAGGAGAAACTCTTCCTGAAGGCCCAGAATGGCCGTCCTACCAACATCATAACCGCCGGATATCGCAAGGCAGGTCGCCAGTTCATTCGGCTTAACCACACTAACCGAACTCGTTCAGGTAAACCAACAGGATACTCGAGCAAGGGTTGTGGCTACGCGGGTGCCACTCACGAATTACTTCGTCAACACTATCATCACGGCGCTCCAGGGGCCGACCTGGCAGACGCTACTCGAGAGGTGCCGAACAACTGCGGATTGTGATACAAACGAGCTAACAGTCAACACAGGATCGGAGAGGATGCCATGTTTCATCTCCTCGTTGATACCTCAATCTTTGTTCCCCTGCCCAATGGCTGTCTCTGCCAAATGACCGGTGAGGCAATCGTCAACCTACGGCCTCCAGACGGCCCTCGCCCGCTCTCGGGATGCGGTTCGCTATCAGCGGAAGAATCCATTCCAATCACTTGCGGTGGCAAGAGGATAGCAACAGGCGTGCATCCCGAAGAGAGGCCCATGAAACGACGCAGACTTGGTCGAGCCATTGGCGGCCAACCCATCCACGACCCTAAGATTGCCCAACCAGACAGGTGTGTTCAAGCTTTGCTTTACGAATATGGCCATGCTGATGTGCACTTAGGGTGACACCGGCTGACGTTGGTTTCCTCCGCGCTCGCATGTTCTACTCTCGACCTTGTTTGGTACCGCATACAGCCAAGATCATCGTGGGGCTGCCGCCGAAACGTTAGTGTACCCGCACATCGGTCACTTTCGTGGCTCATTCTGATTTTGTACAGATGCACTAAATCGTATCTACCCGAGTTGGCTACCCAAACGAGGCCGCGAGGGTGGCCAGTGGATTGACCCCGACCCGCGGCAGCAAATGGAACACGCCAGGCATCTAGCCAAGTATGTCTTCCCTAAGCAGTACGCACTCAGCAATCCATTCGTCTCGTTGTCTACGAGTCGGACAGCGTATACACGACAACCTGACTATATGGATCGGGAGCAAGAGATCAAGGTAGGTTTCTCAAGGTCATCCCTAACGCCGATCATAGTTGTGCTCATCGATCGTGTTAGCTGAAGGGACCAACCAAGACGCCCAAGAGGTTGAAGGGCGTCCTCAACCTACTGGAGAAGATGATATGGAGACACTACAAGTGCCGTTACAAGTCTCTCCTCGACCTGGCTTGCCCGTCGAAGGTCACTTCGCAACATTATTCTTATGAAAAGCATGATCCTTATTCTCGTTCTCATAGCTCCGAAAGAACGATATTGCGCCGCTAGACAGTAGCGTCATCCTGGTACTCCGTACCCGTAAGCATTGTCGTGCCCACTGCTAACACACTTATGTCCAGGAACTGATGTCCGAGACATCGATTCAACCGCAAACGCAGGCGACGTTCATCGACAACAGCGTGTCCCTGAATTCATCTGGACGTCCTGTCATGACCCACGACACGTCCCAAGCACGCCGTCAACTTAAACACAAGCCGAAGTTTGCCGAGTTCGTTTGTAGTGAGGGCGAGGTACGCATGCCATTGTTCCGGACAAGTATGATACGAACATGACGCTGGTAGGTCTATCGGTATGCCGTCCTGGTAACGAAGGCGGTCGTCCCCCAAGCAATGTGGGGAAGCACGCGGAATTTCGAGATAGTGATGCAGAGTTTGTCCAATGCCGATCGTCCTAAGCAGACGAGACTGATTCCTCTCATCTCCTTCTCTAGATATCAAACATATGATCACTGCCCGTCGATACGAAACGCTCAGCCTGCATCACGTCTTGCAGGATTTCCAGACCTCTGACTGCGAATGGTTGATGCCCTTCGGCGAGGGTGCCCGGGCGCAAACACGAGTCTCAGTATCCGATTCGCTCAAGCGGCGCGAGCTGCTTGAGGAATTCCTCTTCTGGTACTTTGACTCCTTCCTCATCCCGTTGCTTAAGGTGCGTCTCTGCGATCAAAAACGTGAGCTGTGATTGATGTGAAGAAGACGACGTTCTACGTGACCGAGTCATCTGCGTTTAGGAACAAGGTGATCTACTTTCGACATGACGACTGGAGCACATTGTGTGCACCTCTCGTCGAGAAGCTGAGCACGGACACCTTCCAGCGGATTGAGCAGGTGCGTTGGCCCCGGACGACAGCTAGAACAATGCTAACACAGCTGCAGTGCGAGGCGCATGAGATCCTGCGGCAACGCCGACTGGGCTTCTCCTTCGTGCGCCTGCTGCCCAAGGAGACTGGAGTGCGGCCTATCGTCAACCTCCGACGGCGAGTAGACAAGGTGTGCACATTCCAATTCGGGCATTTATACATAGGCTGACTGGATTCTTGCGCAGGACGCATACCGACCTGGGCAGTCAATCAATCAGATTCTGCAGGCTGCATCCCAGATCCTGACCTACGAGAAGGTGCATATAGCAGACTAGTTACCTTCCTTTCTATCACGACTGACTGACACGAGTAGGATCGCCAACCTGATCGCCTTGGCGCATCTGTATTCGGTCCCAATGAGATCTACGCCAAATTGAAGGCATTTAAGTCCCGACTCACGGGAAGCGATCCATCAAAGAAGCTGTATGTTTTGGCTATCTCGCCTATACCACTTCATCACTGAACACTTCTGTGCATGTAGGCCGAAGTTATACTTCGTGAAGGTGGACGTCCAGGCATGCTTCGACACCATTGAACAAACGAAACTGCTTGACATTCTGCGAGAACTACTTACAGAAGTGCGGTTCCGTTTTTGCATATCGCGTAGCGTGCGTGCTCACGATGATCGGCTTGCTAGGAGGCATACATGATCCAGCGTTACGGAACGGTCAATAAAGCGGGCGAGAAGATGCAGCGCAAGTATGTCAAGAAAGGCTTGCCGGAGGGTAAGAAGCACTTTGTCTCCTCAAAAGCGCACGTAGCTGAACGAGTTATGTGAAGATGATCACCCCCACTTCATGACATATGCTGCTCAGTTGGCTGAAGTTCTGCGCAACACGATTTTCGCGGACCAGGTCAGGATATCTGCTCTAACTCGACGCTTGTATTATAGTTGTGGCTGACGCTCGTGGGGGGAAGGTGGTGTATCCTTTCTCTCGCAGGAAAGAGATCATCGCCCTCCTCGAGGAGCATATCACAGAGAACATTGTCAAGGTGGGCTATACCTGTCAATATGCGCAGCTATGAGGTTCATTGTTGCCGCTTCGGTTGCTATGTACAGATCGGGAACGAGTACTACCGGCAGGTTGTTGGGATCCCGCAAGGTTCTGTGCTGTCTGCGATCCTGTGCTCGTTCTTCTATGGCGACCTGGAACGCAAAAATTTCCGTTTCACGGACGACGACGAATGCGTTAGTCCCTGCGTGTCATGCTTGGTTTAACTCGTGGGCTGACATTGCCGGCGACTTGACAGGTACTCATGCGGCTCATTGACGACTGGCTACTCATCACGGCCGATCGCTCGAAAGCAACTAAATTCTACGACATAGTGTCCAGAGGTAGTTTGCTCTTAATTGCGTAAATGGTCATCTTCTTACACAATTTCTGCTCAGGACACCCGGAATATGGTTGTCTCATCTCGAAGGACAAGAGCCTCGTCAACTTCGACCACCCTGAATTAGTGACCATCGTTGACCCACGCTCGAAAGGTACCATCGTGTGACGTATGTTGCTAGACAGCACTAACACTATCTTCGTGCAGTCTTTCCGTGGTGCGGCTACTCTATCAACATGCAGGATCTGTCTGTCACCGTCGACTACACACGTTTTCACACCACCTGTGGGTTACGCCCAACCGCCATCATATATGCTTTCTGACCATAAACTATAGATCTTCAGGACTCTCTAACAGTCGAATTCGGCCGCCGTCCAGGGGCTGTCTTCGCGCACAAGATGATGCAGTGCGTCGCTTAACCTCACGCCTCTCATCCACGGCCCTGACGCCCCGTCCCACTACAGGCTTGCGAAGTCCAAGAGCCACATCGTGTACAACGATGCGGCGCTCAACTCCGCGCACGCCGTACACCTCAACGTCTACCAGAACTTCACTGTGCTCGCAATGAAGATGCACCACTACCTCCGACAGTGGGGTCTCGACGTACCGCGGCATCACGCATTCGTCCTGAGTGCGCCCATTCTCCCAACTCCGAATTGTAGAGGGAGACGTGCTGATCGTCCAACCGTGTGTGCCTTCTTTACAGAAACGATCCGGCAGGCGATTCGTTTCGCGTACACATCCGCGTGCAACAAAGCTACACACAAGCTCGCCCGAACACACGCTGCGCGTATTGACTTGCAGGAGCGACAGGCGACATGGTGCGTACGCCGCGACTCACCTCGCTGCAGCCACTCATGGTTGGCTCTCATCGCTACTTGGCATACAGGCTCGGGTTGCATGCATTCCACACCGTGTTTGCGCGCAAGCCCCAAGCGTACACGCGGTTGCTGAAGGCGCTGAGTTTCGAGCTTTCTCTCCCGCGCTACCGCTGCCTGCGAAAGCGCTTCCGGGGAGTCGTCACTGAGGGGTTGTTTACGCTGACTTTACTATGCTTTTGAAGTACGTCGACTTGGTTGAGTTCGTGCGTTCGGGGAGTTGCGTCACTCGCCTTGACATGGTCGTCAAGACGAATGTGCGGTAGTACAGGTTCAGGCACAGGACTGTAGGTCTACTCATGTGCAGGCATGTAGAAATGCTCATGTCTTGGCTCAAAGCTGCAAAGCTTTGGAAGAAACACGTAAAGGGCCCGGTCGGCTATGTCTGTCGTAATCGTTTTACTGTCTGTCTCCGCTCACTGTGGGTAGAGCGATCAGTCGCACGAACCTTGAATCCGTCCATGCTCTTCTGACGCTAAAATGCACATGTTCCAGAAGAAGCTTATAGTGAGAAGCAGACATTGGGCGAGCTGGGGGATGGATATCAACCTGTTGACTCTGACACACCGGTCAGGATGTTGTCATATGGGAAATATCATATGGTCGATGTCCCCTCGTGCGACACGCATTTGAATCGCACGCACGCGCGAATTGTGGACGCCTGTGGGCTCGAAGCAGATGGCATGGACGGGTTGCCGGAAGAGGCCTAGTATGGGTGTCATGCGTGCGCCGCGCTTCTGACACATGATTGAAGAGCCGGTATGGAATTGCACGGAACGCGAAAGATCATGCAATTCCAAACATGCACGGGAGTTATATGCAGAGAGCAACGACCGAGTTGAGAGCGGTCCGTAGCGTGGCTGTGGACGTGTCCTGGTAACAGGGCCTCGGAGGGGGTGGCATGAAGCGCAGTGACTGTTCCGATCTCCGCAAGCAGGATGGCGGTCCAGATGTAGATGCACATCGCTGAAGCGGTACGGGAAAGCTATGGTTGGGCAGATTGATCATATATTGCATGAGAGCGTGCGTGTCTAGACGAGTAATGGCGGAAGGAGGCCAGGGGAGTTCCCTGAGACTGTCAAGCAACGGAGGGCGATTGCGGTGAAGTCGGTGGTCCGAGCACAGAAGGCATCCGCAGCGGGAGTCACACAGCAGAAATGCCACGCTATACTGTGTGTGCAGAGCCGGCGGTAGATGGTAGAGATGATGCGAGAAAGGAAGGGGCCCGGGGAAGGGAGGAGGAGGAGACGGGGAGTCGGACGGAGGTGGCGGAAGGAAAGAAGCGCTGAGGGATGTGGGCAACCTCTACCGCCTTCTTTCTTTCAACTCCAACTTCTCTCCCTCCTCCGCAACGGACATCCTCCCCTGTCCGTCTCTGCACACCGCCCCCTTCCTCCTCTCCAGTCGCTCTGAGCAGGTCACAGGCGATACATATCTCTTGCGCTTCCCTGCCACGCCTGCTTTTTCCTCTTCAAGTTCTAATCACTCGCGACCTGGCCATCTAAACCGACATGTCCTACAACGACTACCCCGCCTCCCCCAACTCCCCGGGCGGCATGTCCACCCGGCGGCTCACGAACAGGAACACGAACCGCTACAGCGTTACCGCCCTCTTCAGCATGGCGGCTGAGCAGGACGTCGAGGTTGAGGACGAGCTCGGACGGGGTACGCGACCCCTTGATTGGTTTCCGAGGAACATTCACTTATCTGTCCTCTCTCCACCCTAAGCACAAAAGCGACTTAGGGAGCTGAAGGCCCGGATATCCGCGCAGTCCAAGCGCAACTTCGTTCTTGAGCGCGATGTCCGTTTCCTAGACTCCCGCATCGGTCTGCTCATCCAGAACCGTATGGCCCTCGATGAGGTGGGCCCGTATATGACACGCTTCTTTGATCTCTGCTCATTTACCTTTAGCAAAACGAAGTCGAGAAGCACTTGGAGGAAGTCGACGCAACGGAGGGCCACTACCCCGACGACCGCAAGCTACAGCAGTACTCGAACCTCTTCTTCCTGCTCCAGTCTGAGCCTCGGCATATCGCGTCCCTGTGTCGCCTCGTCAGCTTGACTGAGATCGACACGCTCCTGCAAACGGTTATGTTCACGCTCTACGGTAACCAGTACGAGAGCCGAGAAGAGCATCTGCTCCTCACGATGTTCCAGTCCGTGCTTTCCTCCCAGTTCGAGACCGCCACGGAATTCGGTTCGCTCCTACGTGCAAACACGCCGGTTTCGCGGATGATGACCACCTACACTCGCCGTGGACCTGGTCAGAGCTACCTGAAGAGCGTGCTCGCCGAGCGCATCAACAGTCTCATCGAGCACAAGGACCTCAACCTGGAGATCAACCCTGTCAAGGTCTATGAGCAGATGATTCAGCAGATCGAGGAAGAGACCGGTTCTCTGCCCCCGAATCTCCCCCGTGGAGTGGCCCCTGAGGTCGCTGCGGCCAACGGAGATGTCCAGGCCATCATCGCCCCTCGACTGACGATGCTCATGGAGATAGCCAACAGTTTCCTGTTGACTATAATCGACAGCATGGAGAGCGTGCCGTACGGTATTCGGTGGATATGCAAGCAGATCCGGAGTCTCACAAGGGTATGTTTCGCAGCGCATACATCCAAACTGCTGCTGAGAGTGTATCGTCTATAGAGAAAGTACCCGGATGCCACTGACTACGCTATATGCTCCTTGATTGGCGGCTTCTTCTTCCTTCGCTTCATCAACCCCGCGATTGTCACCCCGCAAGCATACATGCTGGTGGAGGGCGTTCCGGCCAAGCATCCCCGGCGGACATTGACTTTGGTACGATCCATCGCATGTCCTTAAATACACCTACCTGACCCCGATTGTAGATCGCGAAGATGTTGCAGAATCTTGCGAACAAGCCGTCATACGCGAAGGAGGCGTACATGATCACGCTTAACCCGTTCGTGGAGAACAACAAGGCGCGCATCAACCAGTTCTTGAACAATCTATGCGAAGTCGGAGACTTCTACGACACACTAGAGGTGCGCACAATCCGCCTGTTGCACCTGCTTGTCTTGCTGACTAGAAATCGCTACGCTAGATGGACCAATACATGGCCCTGTCGAAGAAAGATCTTGTCATAAATATCACGCTCAACGAGCTGTACAACACGCATTCCTTGATTCTGCAGCACATCGAAGCCCTAGTAGGTCTCATAGTGCAACAACTTCAATATCTACTAACGTTGCCCCCGCCAGTCACCAAACGACAAGCAACACCTGCGCATCCTCACAGACGAGCTCGGGGCCGCCCCGCCCCAAGTTCCTCGAAAGGAGAACCGAGCTATAGAGTTGCCGCTGTACAGCCGATGGGAGACGCCGGTGCAGGACATCCTGTTGGATTCGGTTTCACCGAGCGACATGCTCTACATGGAGGCGAAGTCGATCTTCGTGCAGTTGATCCGTTCGATCCCTGGGTTGGCGGACAAGCGGCCACATAACTTGGCGGCGATCGCAGAGCGTGCGGCGACCACGAAGGACGCAACGCTCGTGCGCAAGGGCATCAAGGTGAAGGAGATGCTACGGGAGCTCGAGGAGCAGAAGATCGTCGAGCGCTCGGACGACTACAAGCTCATGCAAGACGAGGTCGCCGCTGAGCTCGTGCACCTCGGCAACTTGCGCGAGAAGGTGTTGCTCGAGACGAAGAGCCTCGAGGCGGTGTACAAGACGATCTGCGACCACAACAACTACCTCCGCGGCCAGCTCGAGCAGTACAAGGCGTACCTCCAGAACGTGCGCCTTACCTCTTCGAAGGAGAAGGGCTCCTCAACAGGCGTCGGCGTTGTCACCGTCGGCGGCAAGGAGAAGAAGCAGTCGAAGCCGATCGTGCACGGCCCGTACCGCTTTACGCACGCGCAGCTCGAGAAGGAGGGCATCATCGTCGAGAGCAACGTGCCCGACAACCGGCGACCGAACATCTATTTCAACTTCACGTCGCCCACACCCGGCACGTTCATCATTGCGCTGCACTACAAGGGCAGGGAGAAGGCGATCCTCGAGATGGATCTCAACATCGACGATCTCCTCGAGAAGGTCAGTGTATCCTCAATTTCTGTCTATTTGCCCAGACACTGATTCCTGCGATCCGTGAACAGCAAAAGGACAACAAGCATTTGCTCGACCTTGAGTACGTGCAGCTGAACGTGCCGAAGGTGCTAGGGCTACTCAACAAGATCTTCACCAAACGGTGATCATCTCGCCTCTGTTCCTTCCCTGTCCCGTTTCCTCCTCTCGTCACGCTGCCCGCCCACGACACACGCCCACGCTCATTCAACCCCCGCGCTACCCCTCCCCATCTACACGATCTCTTCACGCTCGCTTTTCTCCCCCTTTTCCCCGCCTTCTATTCCCCGCGTCTCCCCTCTTCGCGTCCACAGAATATCCGGCGCTGATCTCTCATTATACCTCTGTTCTTGTCGAGCCGTGCGCGCGTTCGGGTTGTACGAGCATGTCATTCGTTTATTGTTTACGTTTTTATCTCTGTTTTTCTTCTTTTCTTCGTTCTCTTTCTGTCTCCGTCTCTCTGTTCCGTCTCGTCTGTCCGCGTCTTTATTATATCCAACTGTCCGTGTCCACTGTCCCGTTCCCCCTGCCTCTCGTTCGCAGCCTCTCACAGGATATGTATCAGTGGTATCTCATGTATGCACGTCCCTGGACCGTAATTCGTGTTGTTTGTCCCGACGCCTTCATGCCCAGTAAGTCTAAGGTAGGCGTTGTCCGCCTTCCGCCCGTTTGCAACCACAAGTACACCGGTTGTTTTTGGTGTCCGTTCGAACCGCAGTGACTTGGTGACGACCCCTCGTCAACTCACTCCGAGACACCTGCCTCCTTGCGGGCCTCGAGGATTACCTCCCTGAGCCGCCGGAGCGCCTCCTCAACCTGGTCCTCGGGCAGCAGACTGAATGACGCCCGCACGTACGCCGTCTTCCTACCGCCGGGGTGGAACACCGTGCCGGGCAGCGCCAGCACGCCCTTCTCGAGCGCCTTCGTGCGGATGACCGCCTCCGAGTCGCCCTCCGCCGCGTCGCCCAGGTTCAGCTTGAACCTACCGCCCCGCACGCATCAACTCAACAGAACATGTACAGCGGATTGCGCAGAAAGGGAGAAGGACACGCACCAGAAGAACATGCCCGCCTCGGGCGTGGCCCACTCCGCGAGCCCGTCGAGGTGCTTCCGCATGAGGCCCTCGAACACGTCGCGCTTCGCGTGGTAGAACTGCGCGACGCGCTCGACGTGCGCGCGCAGGCCGTCGTACCCCCACTCGCGCAGCAGGCGCAGCGCGATCACCTGCGTCAGCGTCGGCGGCTGCAGGTTCGACGTCATCGTCTGTGCCGTGGTTACGTGAGTATGTGTGCGGTGGGGAATGAGTGAGTGAGAGGGAGGGGGGCGTACGTGGAGGATGACGGCGTCGATGATGCACTGCGGCGCGGAGATGAAGCCGATGCGCATCCCCGAGGAGAGCACCTTGGAGAGGCTGTCGAAGCGCACGACGCGGCCGACCTCGGGCTGGTCCTGCTCGAGCGTGAAGTATGAGGGAGGGCGCGGTGCGCTCCCGAAGTACAGGTAGTAGTAAGGGTCGTCTGTTAATGCGTGTCCGTTGTGAGCCAGGAGTGAGTGATTGAGCGGTAGGGGACTTGCCTTCGAGGATGAGGAAGTTGTGCTCGCGCGCGAGCTCGAGTACTTGCAGCCTCCGCTCGAGTGTGGATGTCATGCCCGTAGGGTTGCAGCCGTACTGCGAATTTTCAGCGTCATTGCCCCGCTGTACACCCTGGGGATGACATACCGGTACAGTGTACAGAACCTTGGGCTTGGGCTTCCCCGCCGGCCAGCTCTCAAGCATCTCACGCAGGCCCTGCGCGTCCGTTCCGTGCTCATCGGTGCGGACCTCTGCGAAAGCGTAAGATGGTGGCCCGGTTGGGGCAGGCGGTGTGTGCGGGCTGACCTATCATCTCACATCCTGTGCCGTGGAAGACCGGAAATACGCCTCTGAGGATTGGGTGATTAGCCAGGAGCGTGCAAGCTGCGAATGCATAGGGTCTTACGCGTAGATGGGTGCCTCAATGAGCGCGACATCTCCGGGATCCAGGAGCGCGTTGACCGCCTGTAGTTGGACAGATGGTCAGTAAACTGTCGTGACTGCCTGCACGCAGCAGCCGCGCACCGTATGACTTACCTTGTAAATCAAATCTGACGAGCCGGTACCAAAGCACAGGCCCCAGCCCTCGCCACGCTTGCGGCCGTGGTTGTACTCTTGCAGCCCGACGAGCCAGTCTAGGAGATCCGGGATGCCGGCGCTGCCGCTGTACTGCAGGCCCCTTGCGAGCTCGGCCTCGGTGAGCACAATGGTGCTCTCCGCACTCGATGCGGGGTCGCGCAGGTTGAACTGCATAGAGGTGATCGGGAAGGTATCGACATTGGGCTTGCCTGCGAGCAGCGAGATCAAGCCCGGGCGGTCCTCGAGCGGGAGGAGTGCGCGAACTGTAAGGGAATACGGGTATTAGCGATTGGTTTGAAGAGGTCGAACGTTGCGTGAAATGGTAATATGGTACTGACTAGGATCCTCAATGCGACCCTTGGATGACTTCGACAGAAATTGGTCGTAGAACTCCCGTGGTAGGACGCGCGACTCCAGCGGGCTATCTGACAACTTGACCGCATTCAAACTCTGAGCGAGAGCGGATGTGCTCTGAGGGATGTCCATGTCGTTCGGCATGTCGAAATCGTGTATTTTCTCGTCCGTTGATATGCTTGCTCGGTTTTATGGTTAGGCTGTGGGCGAATGGACCGTGTCCGGGAACTCGAGCGAATTTACGTGTGGAGAAGGAGTACGGATACAATTACGCTGCTCTTATAGCATTACGCGCACCCCCAAGCCAAGTCATGTCTGACTCACATCCAATAAAACCCGGACTACCGGCCGATGGTCGATCGAATTGCTAAAGGCTGAAGCCCGCTGACCGCGCGGTCCTCTCTCCGCTGCATGGGACGATGACTCTGATATCGCTATGCGCTGTGGGTATTCCTACCTGCAGGGCGTTTAGTGAGCGCTTGCAAGGGCGGTTGTGTACGTTGGAAATGATTGGACAGGGCAGGTTCTGTGTTGCGATACGGGTGTGATGCAGGCTTCCTGGGTGTCTAAGAGTCAAATGACTGTCCTTATCCCACCACATTGTGAAATTCGGCGTCCATCAGAGCGCGCCGGTGGGGTGAGCCTCACAGCGCCGCAGCAGAGCATTACGTTCGTGGAGGATTGTCGTACGGATCGACCTGTGGCGTGCTCGTACGTACTGCGGCGATCCGTCTTTTTCGCTGCTGACTCCTTCTCCCGTCGGTCGTCGGGGAGAGGACGTAGAGACCGCCGAAAGATGACGAGTGCGCCTTGCAGATTTGCCGAGACATGCAGCATAACTTGGTGCCTGCTGGTGCGGAGTGCAGGGTCGAGAGCTTCGACGGTCCGCCTGAGGGGACATGCGACACTTACGCCCCCAAGACTAGGTGCGCACAGAGAGTCGGGCCGAGGGAAAGAGAAAGCTGTTTGACTGAGTCCGGGGAGCCGTCTCCCTCTCAGAATCTCGTCTAGAAGCGAGTTCAGCGTGCTTAATAGAGACACAGACACACTGAGGGAATAGCAAAGCTGCGTCTAGGGACGAGGCAGGGCTTGGGCAGAGCAGCACAACATGAGCATAAAAAGTCGCAGACGCGTATCGACACGAGTAGGCGCCCATGTGTGGTCGCGTCAGAGTCATGTGATTGTGTTGTTTGTCCGTGCTTGCGTGGAGGCTGTAGTACTGGCAAACTCTATTTTTCGAGATCCACACACACTCATCCCGCCTCGTCGGCCGCGTCAAGACCCTCAAGACATCCTCAAGAATGGCCTCTCGCCCTACCGTTAACGTTCGCTCCACGGCCGGAGGTACGTCCTGCTCAGACAACGCCGCAGATGTCAAGGTCTAACAGTAAATTTTAGAGGCCTCTAGCTCTCTGCCCCTGCCCGCGGTTCTCACCGCTCCCATCCGTCTTGATGTCGTCCAGCAGGTGCACAGTGAGTAATCAAACCTACGAGGTCATGTTGAGCTGTGTCTCATGCGGATTTTGTGTCTAATCAGAGAGCATCGCCAAGAACAAGAGGCAGGCGTACGCCGTGAGCGAGAAGGCTGGCCACCAGACCTCCGCTGAGTCCTGGGGTACCGGTCGTGCCGTCGCTCGTATCCCCCGTGTTGGTGGTGGAGGTACCCACCGCTCCGGTCAGGCTGCTTTCGGCAACATGTGCCGTGGCGGTCGCATGTTCGCGCCCACCAAGACCTGGCGCAAGTGGCACGTCAAGGTGAACCAGAACCAGCGCCGTTTCGCTGTCGTCTCCGCTCTGGCGGCGTCCGCGCTCCCCTCGCTGGTCCTGGCTCGTGGCCACCGCATCGAGGAGATCGAGGAGGTTCCCCTCGTCGTCTCCAACGCGACCGAGTCCTTCGCCAAGACCAAGGAGGCTGTCGCGCTCCTCAAGACCCTCAAGGCGTACTCCGACGTCGTTAAGGTCTCGAACTCTCGCAAGCTCCGCGCTGGCAAGGGCAAGCTCCGCAACCGTCGTCACCGTCAGCGCCGTGGCCCCCTCGTTGTTTACAACGAGGACAACGGTATCGTCAAGGCGTTCCGCAACCTCCCTGGTGTTGAGCTCGTCAACGTCCGCCGCCTCAACCTCCTCCAGCTCGCGCCCGGTGGTCACCTTGGCCGCTTCGTCATCTGGACTGAGGGTGCGTTCGGCCTCCTCGACGAGGTCTTCGGTACCTTCGACAAGGCGTCGACCTTCAAGAAGGACTACGTGTAAGTCACACACCCTGATAGTCCAGAGCATGAAACTTACTTGTATTATTCACAGTCTGCCCACCGCTAAGATCAGCAACCCCGATGTCACCCGTCTCATCAACAGCGACGAGATCCAGTCGGTCGTTCGCCCCGCTGGCCAGAAGATCCAAAAGCGCCCCTGGACGCAGCACAAGAACCCCCTCGTCAACAAGGGTGTTCTGTTCCGCCTCAACCCCTACGCGAAGACCCTCCGCAGGCAGGAACTCCGTAAGTCTGCATTACGCCGCTACTGGTACATAAGCTTATCGTGTCCAATCTACAGTCAAGCAGGAGCGCGTAAAGGCTGCCAAGGACAAGAAGAAGGCCAAGACCCCCAAGGCCGCTGGCGAGACCTTCTTGAAGACTCTCCTTGCCCCGTAATTGCATCGCTCGAAGTGGTGTACGAGAGGCTATGCGGTCCGGGATCCCAACCCTTATGGTCACGTCCATTGAGCTCTACATGTTGTATGTCGTCCATGCTGGAATCATATTCCATAGGCCTTGTTGCCTGCTACGACCTGCGCGTTTTATTTTGAAGTGAATGCCCGGTGTGAGTATTGATTTCGAGAAAGTGTTGGCGTTGGGTATGACGCAACGAAGGGTTGTAGGTTTATCCGGCAGCGCTGTTTTTGCGAACCCCTTGCATTCGGAATTGTGTCTGCCGCAGAACAGGGGTAGAGGGGTAGGCCGGAAGTATATACGCGTCGCGGCGGCTCGATGTCAGCAGGTGATTTACAAGCATAGTCTGTTGCTCCCGTATGTATGAAGCGATTCCGAATACACGAGCGCACATGCGCGGATTACTGAGGCAATTCCGAATGCAAATGGAGCTTATCGTGGGGGATCTGCATCGCCGGCGAACGATATAAACCCCCAAACGTTGGCCGCTGCTCTCATTCCCACCCGAACACCCTTGTCTCCGAGACCTTCTCGTCAGAACTTATAGCAGCCCAGAACTCCGTGCGTCCGTCATCCGCCCACCCTTGATATGAAGTCGTGGCGCACGTTGGCTCTGACGCTGACATATGCATACCTTTTGACTTCAGATAACTCACGAAACGCAGAACGAAATGGCCAACTTCGAGATCACCGCTGCGCCCGTGAACGCTTGCTATCTCGTGAAGTGCGATAGCTGCGGCAAGACGAGCTGGAAGGTGCGTACTTCCCAGTGCAGTCGTGATATCATGGCGGCGGCCGCGGCTGTGTCGGGCGATAATGAAATGCGGGGGCAGCGGGGCCCTCCCGCGAAGTTCGAGTCGGGGCACGTTGCAGGGCTGGCCATCATCATGCATCACAGCTTGGTGCCCGCGCCCACAACGCCGGCTCGAATGTCTCAATTTCGCCACGATCGCCCTCCAGTCGCCAGGGCGCACGCGCGCAGGCGTCAGGGGCGGGGCGGCCGTCGCCGGCGCGATCTCAACCGTCCACTTTATGCGAAGCTGATGATTACGTCTCGGTGCGCTCACAGGGATGCGGCCAGCACGCCGACGCGGTGAGTGCATTCTGCTGTTCTGTTTTGCGTCTGATGGCCCGCGCGTCGTACGCACCAGAGGGGCAAAAAGGGCCCTTGGAGCTCTAGCTTTGGGGTTGGACGCCGCTGCGCTCGGGATTTTGGCTCTTGCGATAATGAGGGGATCGCGGGCGTGGCATAATCTGCGGCTGTTGAGCGCGATTCTCCCGCAGGGGCCCGGGGATCTTCTCGAGGTTTGCCTTCGCGCGACCGGGGAGTTCGCCGGGGACTCGGGGACTTCTGGCTTGGCCAGACCCTGCGCGATGCGGACGTGGGTGCCTCGCATATTGGGGTGCATTCGGCGTGCGATCGCGTAGAGCGCATGCTCCTTTCGGGCGGGGTGTACGCTGTTGCTGGGGCGCGACGCGAAGGCCCGGGAAGAGAGAGCGTTGCTGGGTGTGTGACGTATTAGAGGTTGTTCGATGCTGATGTCGGGTGTGCGCGCAGGTGATGCAGTCTGTCAAGGAAGAGGACAAGTGCACATGCCCGCGGTGAACGCGAAGTCTGGCGAGGTTCGAGACTGGAAGCCCGGTGGAAGCTGGAGATGGGGACGCGAGGATAGCAGCAGGCGCGCTGGGAAACCTCGGTGATACTGATGTAGAACAGGGCACATTGTATTCTTGGGCTGATCTGCGGCGTAGTGAATGTATCTGGGCGCTGCGTAGCCCGCGTCGGAGCAGACTTGCTGTTGCGAGCGAGAGGAGGTGGTGGAAGAGAGTGAAGATGGTTAGGCTGGGTTAGGCTGGGGGTGGCACAGGATGAGCGTGATTGGGCGTCTAAACGCGTGCCGGGGTACCTCTCTTTGTGGAGTCTTCGCCAGAATTCCTCCTCTCTCCCTCTCCCATCTCTCTCCCCCCTGCCTGTCTTCCTCATCTCTCCCATTCTGGCGGCTGTCCTCTGTATATATTAGACTATGGCCGCCTCCGTCGCATCCAGCTCGCGCGACAGGCCAGCCGACCTCAGGAACAGCGTGCACTCCGTCAACGCTCTCAGCCAGCACGAGGGGGTCGTTGTGACCCATGAGGCCCACACCCGCGAGATTCCAACAACGAGGGGAAAGATGATAAACCAGTACGAGTTCGGACACAAGGTTGGCAAGGGCCAGCACGGCGAGGTCTTCCTCTCCAAAGACACCACTTTGGACAACATGGATGTGGTCAGTCATACTCCTCCCGTCTCCGCTCCTTCTGCCCCCTCGCCGCTTCTTCCTCACACTCACTTGCACACGCTGCTTGTGACGCTACTCCCGCTCAGGCTATCAAAGTTGTCCCTCGCAAGTCCAAGAGTGACCGTATGAGCAAGCTCAGGAAGCGCAACCTCCCCCGTTCCAGCAATACCCCGCTCGTAGACCAGCTCGGCAGCACAGAGCACAAGATACGCAAGGAGATTGCCATCATGAAGAAGCTTAGCCATCCCCATGTTGTCCGCTTGCTCGAGGTAATAGACGACCCGCTGAGAGACAAGATATACATGGGTGCGTATTCTATCCGTTGTCCACCTCGCTCCCTCCGTGTGCACGGTTCGTTCTGTACGTAACTGCAGGAACATGGTGTATGCGTGTCTACACATGCAACGTGGGGCTCTGCTGCTCTCCTTACGGCTGCTAGGCTCTGTTTGTGCTCTCGATCGTGCTAGCGCATACGTTCATATGCTGACAGCCTGTATAGTCATGGAGTACCTCGGCGGCGGCGAGATCAAATGGCGCACACCGAACGACAATCCCCTGCTTCGAGTAGACCAGACACGGCGCATCTGTCGCGACGTTATACTTGGGCTAGAGTACCGTACGTTCTCGACCTCCTTGCTTTCCCTGGTCTCCCATGCTGAGCGCCCGCGCAGTACATTACCAGGGCATCATTCACCGTGACATCAAGCCTGCCAATCTTCTGTGGACCTCTGACCGCCGGACAGTCAAAATCAGCGACTTCGGCGTCTCCACATTCTCCTATGCACAGCGTCTCGCTGCTGCGGGGAAGGGGAACATCAAGGAGAACGACACGGACCCAATCCTCATGGACGAGTCCGACCTTTCCAAAACGGCCGGTACACCGATGTTTCTAGCTCCGGAGATTGTGGCCGACGTGACCGTGGAGGCTTCCAGCAGCGCGCTCAACCTACACGCGCCACGGAAGAAGCCTCCTATCACTAAGGCGATCGATATATGGGCGTTCGGCGTTATGCTGTATGGCCTGCTCTTCGGCACCCTCCCATTCACTGCGAACACCGAGTACGAGATATACCGAGTCATCAGGTCGCAAGATTGGGATGTAGGCGACAAGATGGGTCTGGATCAGTTACCTGTCGGTGGCCGGCATCAGAAGCGTACGAAGTGGCCTCAAGAGGATTCCGAAGGATTTCTTGTGGTAGACCTGCTATCGCGCCTGCTCGAGAAAGACGCGCGCAAACGAATTTCCCTCGAGCAAGTTAAGGTCAGTGGATGAGTCTTCCCACAATATGCGACTACATTCTGATTGTTGGCTAAGCGACACCCATGGATTATACGCGGTCTGGCGAATCCTGAAAGCTGGCTCCGCGAGACGAAGCTCACTAATTATCTCTGTCTCGAACCGAGTGCCGAGGAGACCAGGTCTGCGATGTCTATCGTCCGCTTTCGCTGGTTTCCCTCCCCACAGCGGCTCTCTAAGGGCATCTCGTCGATCTTCAAGCACGTCCGTCCCCAGCGGTCCTTCCGTCATCCCAAGCGCCACGACGACGACTACGACGACACCAAAGATGTGGGCGTGCATTCCGCGCCGAACTTCGCGCATCTGTCGCGGCAGCGCACGACTCCTGGTCATCAGCAACACCAGCACGGTCACAACCACAGCTCTGTGCGGGAGAAGAGCAAGCGGCGTTCACGCGCAGACCTCTCTCGCAACAAGTCCGCTGGCGAGATCAGTGCGAAGCCTCCACCACCTCCACCCAAGGACTTCGATCCCTGGCCGGCGTGGAACTCAGGCTCGGTGCCATCCTCGTCGACGTCGGGTACCCAGACTGCGGGAGCTTCGAGGAAGGGAAAGGCCCCAGAGACTAGTCTCCAGGTTCCCATTCGTTCAAGCCGCATCGGCTCGCCCCTGCCGTCCCCCGTCAGCTCCAGCCAGGTATCGACGCCGACGACCGAGAACCCGGGATACTCTCCCGACAGCGACCGTCCCCGGAGCATGGTAGCGTCGTGGATGCGCAAGTTCGGCAGTGGACACCGAACGTCGTCGTACGGGCCTCTCCCCATCGACGCAAGTTCCTCGCTCGGCCACGGACGTCCGTATTATGCGGCTGCGACCGCACCACCTTCACGCGATAGCGGGGACGTTTTCAACAGCCATGTGACGTCGCGTCAAAGCAGCATGAGTGGCAAGCTCACGAAGGCGATGCGCGCGGCGAGCTGGACTGGCCCTGAGTTCGCACATGCGCGCCCGTCGGAGGATATGACGAGTCTGTACTCGGGCGAGCGCATGGAGGACATGCTCGACGACGACACACTCCTCTTGGGCGCCGGCGGTGTTGCGCACAGCCCGGTTCCCTCTGTGCCGAACAGCGCGCTCCTGAGCACTGTCTCGTCCGCGAACTCCCTCGGCGCTCCCGCGACGATGTCCGCAGCGCACGCGATCATGTCGCGCAACCCAGAGGGCGCGTCCGAAGTCGCCGGACCTTCACAGCAGGACCCGGGGGTTTCGCGTTCGGCCGCCGCCGTTGCCAATGCGCAAGCACGGCTCCGCACGACGAGCCCGCTCGCTCAGGCGTCCTTCAACCATTCCGAGGTCAGCGTCGCCTCGAGCATCTCGTACGACTCCGCGGACGACAGCTCGAGCTTCTTCACTCCACCCACCGCTGGGCGCCCGCGGCGCGGTCGCGAGATCGTGTTTGAGGAGGACGTAGATGTGCCACTCAGCGCCCTCATTGACGACGACGATGACGACGTGGACGTCGCAGACAGCGCAGAGTCTTTCGACCCGCACCCGAGCACGTCGCAGATGTACCAGGAAGAGGACGAGGAGAGCGAGGACGAGGAGGAGATGCCGCTCGAGGTGCGCACGCGCCGCCCGTCCGCGTCCGCGGCGGACATGTCGCCCCCGCGCCGCTCGGTGAGCGCGCGGCCTGGGGAGCCGCCGCACTCACGCTCGCGGGAGCGCGACTGCGAGCCGCGCCCGATGATCTGTACATAGCGGTCCACATCCGCGGTTCTTGACTTGTAAGGACTCTATTCTTGCGGGCAGCTCAGCTCATAGAAACGGACAGAGAGTATCTCACCACCCCACCACCCCCGCCCCCACCCGTCGAACCCTTGGGCCGCCCAGCTAAACCACTCCATTAACCAGCGCCCACTCCATGAACCCCCATCTCCTACCACCAGTATTGGCCACCATGTTCCACTTGACCCACTCACTCATCGCATCTTTTGTCACCTCGCTAGACTGTCCATCATCGCCCTGTATCATTACCACCGTTCCGGCCCTTTGCACATCTTCGACACATTCCCCCTTCATACGCATGCATATTCGCTTTCGAACAATTTTCATCTTCGCCTTCAGGCCGTCTGGCGCCCCCTTTTCCGCGCGTGCGCCCTATCCTATGCATTCCCCCCTCCCTCCCCTCCGCACTATGCCATCCGGATCCCGTATACGTATCCCCCCACTATGCATGCGCCCATGGTCGATTCCCCTCCACATTCACACATTTACACCACTTTTTGCACGCTTCTCACTGTACATCCACCCCCTCATACACATACCTGGCTACCAGCTGGCCTACAGCCCCGCGCACAGCCCTAGATCTGGCCCGCTCTGTACATTCATGTCCATCGACACCCGTCGTAGCGTAGCACGCGATGGAGAGGAATAGAATTAGCCCGTGCTCTGGAGCGACAGGTGCGCGTATCCGTGCCTGTTATACATGTGTCGTGTAATCTACAGCGGACCCGGGTCCGTATCATCATCACAACATCGTCAGGAGTTCTATGGTAGCTAAGAGAGAGAGATCCCAGAAAGGCAACGGAGGGGAAAGAGACGGGCATATGGGTGAGAGAGGATGGGGGGAGAGAAAACGCGCCGCGGCGCCGAGGGCGGCGCGTGTGGGGGCATACGGTAACGGCAATGGTGACTGTATGCGACAGAAGACCAAATAGCAGGTAGGAGGATGGGGAAAACATTTGCGTCAGTAAGGAGTGTAGTACGTGCAAGGAACGGCTAGAGAGGATTAGCATGGAATCGCTCTACGAATAGATATCCAGCAAGGCGCATATGGACATATGGACAGCATGCGGAGGCCCCGACGCGGCGTCGGGTGCCAAGAGTGGGGGTGGGGGTATTGTGTGGGGCGGGGAGGGATGGGGTATGGCGAGTATGAGTAGAGGGCGGAGTGAGTGGTGTATGGAGGGTGAGGCATCTTCACGCGTACGCTGGCCATCCGCGGAGGGTCCTGACGGCACCGCCGCCGAGACGACCGAGGATGCCCCAAACGGCAGCAGTGCTGTCGCCCGAGAAGCCCTCGCCGCCTGCTTGCATCGAGTTGAAGCTCGACCATGCAGCGCGGTCGTAGTAGGTAGCACCGCCGGGGATCGCGTATTGCGGCGCCATCGCCTGGCCCATGAGGAACGCGACGAGCGCGGAAGCACCGACGCAGATGAGCAAGTGCCCGCCCGCAACGAGGGAGCTGCCGCGGTCTGGGTCGCCATACACGTACGTGTTGTAGATGTTGTAGAAGCGGCCGCTCTTGCGTGGACGCGCGGGGGATTTGCCGGGGCGCGGCTGGTTGGTGCGAGCGGACTCCTCGATGAGACGGTCGATCGCGGCGCAGTCGACACCAAGCTCCTCCTTGAGCGCCTTCCAGTCCTCGACGGCATCTACAGAGACACCGCCGATGAGGGGCTCGATCGGGAACTTGAGACCCTTGTGCCAGGTCTTGAGGGTCTCGTTCGCGACACGCAGCGCGAGTTCGTCCCCGGCGACCTGGTTGTATGCGGGCGGGAGGTCATGCGCGTGCAGGTGCTCCTGTGCGGCCTTGGGGGTGGGGGGTAACAGGGTCGACGATGAGGACGCAAGGGCATCATCGTCTTCCTCAATGCTCGATGCCTCGGTCTGGATACCGGCGTCGAAGGTGATGTGCACAGGAGGGGTGGGTATCGGTTCTGGTTCTGTTTGGATTGACATGGTCGAAACAGGTGGTTCTTCGGTTTGAATGCTGAACGAAGCGGTAAGGATCTTCGGCGGGGGGTCGGTCTGCACGGTGCGGGACGACGTAAATCCTGCGGGCTCGTGCTGGACGCCTGTGTCTGAGTACTCCTTCGTCTCGTCCAGCTGGTAGGTCTCGATCTTCTTCGCGCGACTGGCGACCTTCTATAAAAATAAGTGCCGCGTGAGCAACATACTCGCGAAAAACGTTGTATATGCGCGGCTTACCCTCTTGGTCCGCGTGATGATGGTCTGGACGACGTCCTCGGACTCCGTCTCGTCGTCTTCAGCCTCGACCTCAACTTCGAAGCTCGTCGGCTCCTCCTCGACCTCCTCGTCCATGTCCCACTTTCCGTCTTTCATCTTGCTGAGGAGCTCTGCGCCGAGGCTCTTACTCACGCTGCCTTGCGCACTTGCGGTTCCGGAGGAGCCGCCCTTCTCGAGCGCGCTTGCACTATTCCGGAGCTCGTCCATGTCGAAGCGCATCCGGTCGATGGTCTCCTTGAGCAGCATGTTCTCCTGCTTCTGCTCGTCGAGCTGTGCCTGTGCTTGCTGAGCGATCAGGAGCTCCTCCTCGAGGGAGGCAATGCGCTCCTCATAGTTGGACTGCTCGCGCAGCCACTTCTGCGTCTCGATGGATTGCATCTGCGCTGCGTCTTGGAGGTCCTTGATTTCCTGGTCGCGCCGTCGAAGCTGGTTGCGGTAGCGTTCGGACTCGGCTGGTGCAGTATGGGGTGAGCAAGAGGACGCGACATCAGCGGTGAGTACTTACTGCATTGCTCCTGATACTGCTTCTGGAGACTCTGATATGACGAGCGGGCGGTGTCTAGCGTCTTCTGCAGCTTCATGATCTCAGTCTCCAACGCCGCGATTTGCGTGGAGTTTTGACGCTATGGAAACAAGTCAGCAAAGACGTGTCAGTAGCCATGGCGGAACACACCTCTTTGCCACGAAGATCCTTCTCCTCGCGCTTGGTTGCACTTAGCTCACTTCTTGACTCCTCCAGTCGCATCTGCATGTCTTCCAACTCTTGCTCGTGGTCTGCAAGGCGATTCTGCAGCGTGCGTTCCGCCTCCAGCAGCTTCCTGCCCAAGTCGGTGTTCATCCTCTGAAGCGCGTCCAGACGGCCCTGCATGTCCAACGAAACGGTCGACGAGGCCGCTGAACGGTCCATGACAAGACCGAGGAGCGCCTCCTCGATTTCATCCGAGTCGTCATCCGAATCATCTGCCGAATGTCGCGGCAGAGGCAGAGACGAAATCTGCTCCGAGAAGTGTCTTTCGTCGTCGAAGGATGCGTCAGAGGGCGGCGGAGACATCAGCCCCGAGGATGTGTCGCGCTGGCCGTACTCGCGCTCAGGCGACGAGCCATAGTAGTCATTCGCGGCATTATCCAGTGACGAGAAGTGCCCTTGCGGTTGTGATTGTGCGCGCGAATGTGGGCGAGAGGGGCCACCAAAGGGAGGTGAGCTGATGGATTTGCTGACTTGAGGAGGGCTGAACGTCGGGCTGGTGGGGTTGGATGGTGCGCGACTACGGCCGGGAGTACGCGCATATGAACTCGGTGGTGATGTCACAGACTAGAAAGCGTCAGGAGGTGTCAGCACGCGCGCATGTAGGAACCTCAGCAGAATCCTGATAATTTTGATCAAAGCCAGTTCACGGAGGACAGCCTCTCATACCGTAACATCAGAGGCACATGTTGGGATCGTTTACATCTTCGGGTTCAAATATGCGCGATGCATACCCACGGCACTAAGGTTGGTCCAGTGGGTTGAATCTGGCAAGACGACCCCAGTGCTCCTCCGTCGTTTTCCGGTGAGGTATTGGCTTGTCCGCCGTGAAAAAGGCTTGGGGTAGGATTATCAGTGATCCGGTGTAAGCCACGCACCTCCGAGTCACTCATAGCGCGACTGTGCCCAGCGTCGCTCTTGCGGCGCGATGGTGGTGGCCTTCGCGACCAACTCGACGGAGCGTTCTTGTTCAACGGCGTCGTGCGCTGTCTCCGGCTTGTGTCAAATGGCGACTCCTGGGATGGGCCTCTCGACGACGGTCTGTAGTACGTGCCGGTAGAGTCGCGACTTGACGAGCGCGAGTTCATGCCGTCATAGTCACGGTCCTCCGACCTGCCGCGGTCCGAGAACGCGGTCGCATTTGGTGATGGCGAGCCCTCGGGGCTGTGCTTGGGGCTAGGGCTGAGGGTGGTCTGCATAGCGATAAACTGGAGGAGGACCTGGGGCGTGACTTGGATGCCCGGGTTGCTCGTGACGAGGTTTGTGAGCTGTTCCTCCTCCTCGCGCGTCATCAGCTCGACCGCATTGTGGTTGCTTGAGAAGGTACGGAGGACGTCGACAAGCGCGTCTCCGGGGATGACGGGTTCGTTGGATTCATTGTAATGGGATTGGGGGTGGTCCTCGAATATGTCGTTGATTTCTTGTTCGAGGTCTGCAATTGACTGGCGGTTTCTTCCGTATGTTTCCTACCGTCGCGAGCGTGAGGACGCGTCGTTAGCAGGAGAAGAGAGAGGACGTACGGCTGCCATCTTGTCACATAGAAGTACAGGGGTGCGGACGGAGTGGGGGTTGGGGAGAGAGATGCGTTGTGGCTTGGACACCGCTGCTCATAGCCGCCGATCGCGTCCGACCATGGATTACGTAAAACACACGCCGGCATTGTCCATATTGAGTGAGCTGTGCCTCCGCGCTTTGCATTCCAAGCTCTCTTTGTTTGTGCACCATCCTCCCGCTTTTCAACAGCGCATAGCTGCTGAAAAATTGCAGCAAAAAATTCAGTTCGTACCAGGTACTGATCATGGCTCTGCGCTTTAGCTCGAGGAACAGATGCTGTCCACCAGGGCGGAGATTCAATCCGGTTGAACTTCAACCAGTACCTGCGATGACTGGTCGTCGGTACAAGCATCCGCCCGGGCGGAAGCCAACAAACACGCAAGTATGAAACCGAACGCTCTCGTTCCATTGCTTTACGCGGACTACATTCGCCGCAATACGGGACAGCTGCTACGCGAAAAACGACATGCCACGCAACGGTCGTCAAGTCGCGTGAAGAGCCTCGTTCCCGAGCACCTGGCGGAACATTTGCAGCGCGGCTTCGCCTCTGTGCAGGTTGCCCCACTTGTATGCAGCTACTTCGTGACCTCTAGATGAACAAGAACATCAGCATGGCTTGGAAGAAAACACATGAAGCGTACGTACGCTCCGAAGACGCGAAGGTAGTGCAGTTGCCCGGCGTTCTTGAACAGACCGCCAGGTTCGCCGCGAACGGTGAAGTTAGAAAACTCTTGCTTGGCCCACTCGTCGCTGACCGTCGTGTTCATCTTGTCCAGCTAGACAGGTGTGTGGTGTCAACTCCAAAAAGACCTTAGGGCAACACGAAAGCGAGGTGCGCACCATGGCCTCCACACCGAAGTAATTCAATTGATAATCCTGTTTGCCGAGACGTCAGCCAACCGCTCGACCCCCTTGACAAACAAACACGTACCGCATCCCCCACATAGAGCGTAGTCTGCACACCCTCATTAATCACAGACTCGAGCGTCGGCACCGAGTTCTGCATCCACTCGCCCGAGAACGCGAACAGCACCCCGCTGTTAACCTCTCCAAACGACCCCTCCGCGCCGATCCTGGCCTTCCGCTCGGTGTCGTTCGCGTACGCGGTGATGTCTGGCGGATACGTGTCGTCGAAGCCCGAGAGGATGTAGTCCTCGTCCTGGTCGCCGACGAGCCGGTGCGCGACCTCGGCGTCGCAGTCGAACTGTGCGGTCGCGCAGATCTGCGAATTCGAGGTGGCGTAGCAATTGGAGATCTATCACACGACGGAAGTGAGTAATGCGCGTCGTGCCTATAGGATGCGGGCACATACCTCGTCGCGGCACCCGCCAGGCTCGATCCAGCTTTGGTTGGTCGAGGTGAGTGTGTCGTTGTCAGCGGTAGGGAAGTACCTATAGAGCGACGGTGCTCCTCGTTTGAGCTACCCTCGTGCGCAGCGGAAAGAGAGGTACTCACGGGTTGAATTGTGCGTAATCGAAGTAGCTCCCATATTGAGTGAGCGGGTCCTGCACGGTAAATTTGGCACTCCACATTGAATCACTTCAGGCCGCCATGAACAACAGCTTACAGTCAACCCGTCCCCAATTCCTAGCATCTTCAAATTCACAGGTACGCCTTCCGCGCTACCGTTGGCGATGCGCGCATTCTGGTCCAGGAACTGCCTATCTCCCCATGCGTTAACGCACTAAATCAGACTGCTGAAAAAGGACCCGCACCTTGCGAAAGTGGGTCCATAATGTCCGCCATACCTACGAAAAGCATAAGTCAAAGCCTTGCTTTCCTCAAGCGACCGAAAGTGACCTACGATTCGGTCCAGATACCGAAGTCGTTGCTCTGGAACTTGCTGAAGCGGTCGTCAGCAAAGAGAATCTGCAGGAACTGAAAGACGGATGTGAGTGTTCATATTGTGCTACAGGGTGGGCTGACTCACGTCCCAGACGTCTTGAGCGGCGTCGACGGAGTTGTTAAGGTTCCTGTTGCCCTGGGAGAACCCCGTCGGTATCGGCTGGTCGATGTATATCCTTCGTGTGGGTGGCTGTTGTGAGTGATGCCCTCGTGCTATACTGATGAGAAGAACGTACATATTCGACACGTTATTCCAGGAGAACGGATTGTAGGAGACACTGGTCGTGTCGTTATTGACCCTACATGGGCCATGCTCTTGGAAGACCCCGACGAGGCCGGACCCTCCAGGCTATCGACCGAGGTTAGCATATGTAGGTTCTGAGTACGCCCGAGGTCGCCATGGATAAAGTTGTGCTTACACCACCCTGCAGCCACAATGTCAGCGGCGCAGTTTCAGGATTCTCGCGAGCCTCAAAGAACCAGAACCTACGATCGCACGATGAGTATGTCCGTAAAAATGACTCCGTTAGGCGAAGAGAACAGGGCTACTTACCACATGCTATTCTCCGCGTCCAAGTCGGCGTAGCCGGAGGCTTGGTACACCCCAGGGGTCGTTTCGCACTCGCCGCTGTTCTCAACGATGCGCAGCTTGCCTGGTGTTACGTCCCTCTTGACTCCAGCCAATGCCCTATGCGCGACAGTGTTCCCAAATACGCCAGAGAGCACCGAGAGCGCGGAGACAAGCGCGGCTAACCCTGAGAACCGAAGCATCCTTCAGTTGGAGCTTGCGGGAATTTCGCACAAGACCGTCGAGGTTACCTGCGGCCGTGTCGGTGGGCGCAGTATATATACACTGTCGATATGATGTGGGCTGGAGCGATCTCCGAACTGCATTGTCGGCCATCACATTCTCACATCCTTCTCGGCGATGCGAAGTGAGCCTGCAGGCACCCGCATCGGGAGCAGATGAGATTCTGAGAGCCACATGCGGCCTACTACAAAATGCCGGCAAGTCATACACACGTCGAGGGCTGTGAGGGTCAGCGGACGCACCATTGCAATTTGCGGCCAGATATAGGCCAGCACTACGGGCGAATGCAGAGAGAAAGTGGTGGTAGAAGCTGGCGTCCAGGCCACACTAACGCTGTCGGCGTCATGCCTATTGATCATAACGGCACCGCGACGATACCCAGGCAACATACGGGTGGGCGGCGAGATACTGATGCGGGGAATTTCCGCCGTGTTGCGGGTGCATTGATAGAAAGCGACACGGGAGCTGACTTCGTCCTCGGCTACGTACGAACGCTGCGTTACCGGACATTTGAGGGTACGCGTGGAGGGGGTTCATTCGGCTTGTGAGCTCCACCTCGACGAGGCTTCGCGGCGCCCATGTTTTCCTGCATAAGTACCGTAAGGCCGAGGCGTTGTGCTGTCTGATACAGAAAAAAGGCCCTAGCAATGGTGTGGCCCACACTGGCAGTCAGCACATGATAAAGCGATAACCACGAGCAGTACGAACTCGACCTGCTTGTAAACCATCCTCGCCTCTGAAGGCTCGAGGATGACTTGTATCTGACTCTCCCAAAGGCAAGATCAGAACATGAGGTTGTAGAAGTGAGTCTGGTTCGAGGCTTTGAGCTCGGATGGGGGAGCCCCGTGGGAAAGCTGAGTTTCAACTCCTCCTGAGGCCGCAGCGCGAGTGAGTGAGTGTTTTTGCTCTCGAGGACCTTTGAAGTGTGTTTGCAACTACCCGAAGCTTATGCATCATGCACTGTTCTAAAGTTGGAGCTCGTCTCTGACTCCTACCTTGTATCGTCGCTGAAGGCCCACACGCAAATCAGCCCCCTCTGCAACATATCGCGGATCAAAGCCAGCTCCCTCCAGCGAACACCGGAGATCTCTCTGTATAACATCGCCAAACTTGGCACGGCTCAATCCTGGAAGTTGTAGGTCTGTCGCATACGCTCTATTGTACAATGCGGCTCACTACCCCACCAGACATGGCAGCTAACAGAACAGGAAACGCGTCGAAGCTGCACCTCCCTCCAATTGAACTCCGCATATCGTTCAAGTTATGCACCGCGCAACAGCCAGTGTTCCGTCGGTGACGCAGTCTGATCTTCAAGTTATGAATTGTCCCACGTTGAGACCACCATTGCATACGTCTCTGTAGATCTCCGTGCACGCACGGTGAACAAGGTGCGGAACCAACTGCGTGTTATAGCTTGAAAAACCGTGCGACAGGCTTACGACAGGTAAACATTTTGTCAAATTTAAGGCTATTGCATAGCCATGGCAGCAGGCGGACTTCGCTCTTTGTCTGCCGTGACGTATGCTTTTAGTGGAGATTGGCTCAAGTATGGGCCCATACACTGACACTGCACGGCACTACGGTGCTGGGGTATGATCGTGGCTCACCTGCTCAAACAATGACAGAGAGAAGCAGCGTAAGCTCAATTGGGCTGACCAAGGCTACCCGCAGTCACAGGCGCGGCGCTGATTGTCCCCCCTCCCAAGGACAGGTTGGCGTGGGTTAGCCATGATCGAGAGGTGGCTCGAGGCTGCTTGAATCACAACAATAACACTTTCTTAGCACATATAAGCAACTGCATTCCGCCGCTGGATGCTCCATCGCTCCCTGGTACCACCTCTGAAGATCCCTCTCTTCAGCGGAAGACAGTAAATCTCCATCAGTATCTCCACCAAACTCATCTCGGCCATGGGTCAAACTTGGAACTTGTACGTCTGTCACATTATCGCTTTATCGTATGTGTGGTTAACCACACTGCCGGTCGTCGTAGCTTCAACCTCGATAAAATGGAGTGGGCGCACCCGGAGGGTAAGTATAAGCTCGGGTGTATCATTTACGCAAAACAAGCGTTCCTCGTGCGCAGTTTAGCTATTCCATATCCTGTGTAAAGTCACCCTTTGCCAATGTTCAACTCAATCCGTGCGCTGATCCAGCGGATACAGGCCCGAGCTCGCAGGATACCTCGCAAACGCTCCCCCGCCTGGCCCCGTCGCGAAGAAAGGTCTGCTTTCCCTTCCGGACGAAATTCTCGACGACATTCTTTATTGCTCCGGCCTCAGCGACGCATTCGACAGCGTGTGCCTTGCCATAACGTGCAAGAAGCTACTCACGATTGCCCAAGGGCGCGTACTCAGGGAGGCGCGCGATTATTCCTCCGCTGGCTGGGCAATGGATCGGATTGTGTGCCTCGGAGACTACGTGGACCTGGACAACGTCCCGGAAGGTCTGTTATCCCCCGCTCAGAAGTCATACATCGTCGAGCAGGCCGAAGCAAGGGGCTGGGGTCTCGACGAACTTGGCTACGCAGGACTCGCAGACATCGGCACTTACGCGCAGCAATATCGCGGCCTGTACTACGAGAGCGTGGACTTCGTGATGACGCTGCCCATGCCGGACCGCCGCCTGTTCGTCGCTGCGCTTGCCATGACGTTCCCCGCGCGCGACGACTGGGCGCTGTGCAACCATTCGAAGCACGAGTTCGTCCGCGCGGGTGCGCTCGCGGAGCTGAGCGGCCAGCCGGGCGCTGCGCAGCCGTTCTTGCAGACCTGCGAGGCTGACCTCGGCACGGCGCTCTTTACGCGGTTCTGTTACTCGCCGGATCCCAGCACTGCGCTGCCTAATACGTCGGTGAAGATTCATGAGGGGAAGTGGGTCGGGGACCGGATCTCCATCGACACGATCGAGCGGGTGAAACAGCGCCAACCGCAGCAGGAGTGGACGGACGTGACGGACGAGGTCGTTGCGGACATCGAGGCCATCTACCGGGACGAGTACGACGAGGACTGGGAGGAGCGGCTCACGAAACCACACGCTCCGCGTTCTTTCGAGTCCTTTTATTTCTGGCACGACGATGCGGACAAAGTGGCTGCGATGTTACCAAGCCCGGAGGAACTGAGGCGGCGCGAACTCCGGCGGGAAGAAGCTCGTGTGCGTGCTGAAGAGTACACTCGAATGCTCCGCGGGCTTGAGTCGGACTCAGACTGATTGTGTACGTAGTGCGACAGTGCTAGCTCGACCAATCTGTCAATGTACTTATGTGTATACGGTTACCAGCGTTTCGATTGGAAGCGGACCATTCCAAGTCTTGAGACTCGTATGGAGAAACCGGAGGTGTTCTCTGCATGTATGTACATGTGCATATTGGTGCTACTACACGCATGGGTCAGCGATTGTCATTACAAATGTTACGGGAGTACGGGCATAGTAAATGTAGGCGGGTTAGAAGCTACATGTGCGAACGAAAATATTAGCTAGTAGGTAATACAACCAGGTCAGTAGCGGCGAAGAACAGTCCAAGTAGGGATACAGTGGTGCGAAAGCCAAGGCGGCTACAATTGGCTATAGGCAAATAAACACAGAGCCCGAGCCAGCTCTGGTGGGCGGCTTCAGCTCAAACGAGTCCAGAACGAGGTTGCATGGGGGAGAGCAGATCCTCAGAAGTCATCATGGCGCGCACGACAGCCGATGCCGCAGCAAGTGAGCATCGTCAAGTACTCGCGCAGCTTGCCTACAAGAATCAAGATACCTATCAGTATGGGGTGTTCGCAAGGCAGCAATAAAGATAGCTCACGTCGTTGCCGCACAGAATGGGCATAAGGGGCTGGAGAAGGGGCATACCGCCGCCGCTGCCGTCCTCCACCGGACGGACGCATGTCGAGGAACGAGTCGTAAGGTGGCTGCGGGATGTATCTGCATCGTAGAGAGTAGATAAGTTGTTTGAACGAGAACGCACGGAGCAGATGGTTGCATACCTCTCTACAGGATCGATGTCGTGTAGTGTGAGATGGGACGTGAGAGCCCGGATGTTGGGGAGAACATTTCGGCAGCCCGGTCGCTGGCAGGGAATGTTCCTGTCCCTTCCCCATCGAATCGCCATCACATACGCCTCTCCGGACTAGCGACGAGGATGAGTATGGGTGCCGCTGACGGTGACTACGAGTACTCACAGCCTGGCTCATAGCGGTGGTTCGCGAGTCCCGGGCGCGTACCCGCGGGGACATCGAGCTCTCGACGGAGAGGCCATCCGTGCTCGGCACGTCCAGGTAGGTGACCGAGGACGACACGCGCGGCCGCGCTCGCAACTCGCCCGAGTGCGACGCCCTGTACCGCGCAGCGATCTCCTGCGCGGGGCTGCTGTTCCGAGAGTATGCGCTAGTGTCCCTGCTTGTAGTGGCACGGCGCGACGTCCGGGAGCGCGACATGGACCATGTACTCTCGTTATCGTCGTAGTCGTACCGGTCGTGCAGTGGGCTCTTGGGGAAGATCATGCCGTACCGCTTCGTGCGATCGGCAGGCCTGGGTTTGGTGGGCCGTCGTCGTGGCTGCTGGGGCATGGGTCTGCTGATGACGACCACTGGCGTGTTGGCGAGTGACATGCCAATCTGCGGGGCAGGCTGCAGGGTCGACTGCCGATAGTACGTGCGCGACATGAGGCCTTGAGGAATGTGGGAAGTGAAAGGAGGGTGTTCGGGTACCATCCCAAAGGGCGGCGGGAAAGGCCTTTAAGTCTTCTCGGAGGATGCGCTTTGACTTTCCGCACCTTTGTCCTATGCTAGTGTGGCCCGGGACATGGCGCAGCGGCTCGGAGATCAGAGGGGGAAATTCACAGAAGCACAATGCGCGACATAGGGCAACCAAGCAAGCCCTATGGATCTGGAGAGCGAGTGCTTTGTGCGTCGCGCAGGTCCAAGCTTAGTGCCGCCCGAATCAGATCGTCGAGTGGCTCGGGGCGATTGGATGGCCACAGTTTCCATAGCCGTGGCAGAGCCTGCCAGAGCAGAGAGCTTGTTGGCCACAGCATAGCGAGGATGTGGGAAGGACAGGGACGCGTGAGGCCGGACATGGTCGTCGCGGTGCAAGAGACGGCGCGGCTGCTCTTGGGCTGCTCGCGCGGGACGCCCACTCTCCGGCGGCAACTTCGAGAGTCGCGCCGGCCTGGCCATCTCTCTTCCGACCCACCACGGTCGACAACCTACACCATGTCCCTCGTAGCTTCTTCATTGCGCGCATCACAACAAACGGCGCGTCGGCTGGCCACGGTGTCCGCCGCGAGCCGTGTGCTCCTACACCGCGGCCAAAATCGCGGCGTCAAGACCCAACCGGCGTACGAGGGCCACGTCCCGCTCAACTGGTTTGAGGCCGGCTTCCTCACCCTTGGGTCCGCTTTCATGTCGCTCGCGAACCCTCGCAGGGGAGGTGCGTGACCGTGGAACCTGCCCCAAGTGGCCGAGCGTAACCCCCCAGTCCGCCAGATATGGTCGCCGCGCTCGGGGACCTGACCTCGGGCCCTGTGCTGCCGCGCCTGCGCGACGCTATGCTCGAGAGTGCGGAAGGACGCCAGATCCTGAAGGAACGCCCACGGGTCAACTCTGAGACTGTGGACATGAACAAGCTCGCGATGCTCCCCGAAGGCACGTTCGGAAACGCGTACGTGACCTGGCTCGAGCGCTGCGGCGTCACCCCCGATACGCGTGAGCCCGTAAGCACCCCCACCACGCTATGCATCCGAAATGAAGGCTTCTAACATTCATGCAGGTGCACTATGTGGACGACCCCGAGCTCGCGTACGTCATGCAGCGCTACCGAGAGAGCCACGACTTTTACCACTGCCTCTGCGGTCTGCCCGTGAACGTCGAGTCCGAGCTCGCGCTCAAGTTCTTCGAGTTCGCAAACCTCGGGCTCCCCATGGCCGGCTTCGCCGCCGCGTTCGGGCACCTGCGCCTCACGCACGCGAAGCGCGAGCGCCTCTTCCGCGAGTTCGTGCCCTGGGCCGTCAAATGTGGAGGCTCCGCGCAGAGTCTGATCACCGTCTACTGGGAGAATCGCTGGGAGCAGAACATCGCGGACATGAAGAAGGAGTTCGGCATCTGGGACCCACCGGAGCCGCGTTGGAGCAGGCCGCTCAGCGAAGCCAAGGCGGCTGCGGCGAAGAGGGCTGCGGCCTACGCTCAGCAGCCTGCCTCGAGCTCGTAGCTACGCAGGATACATTGTTTGGATGCGGTCTTTTATATTTGATACACTTAATTGGGTTTCTGCTAGCACTCCTCCGTCCATTACTCGTTATGCGCGTGCCTCGAGCACGGCTTCTCGCAGCCGCTTGATGGCCTCTTCGACGTCGGCCTCGTCCAGTAGGCTGAACGCGGCGCGAACATATGCGGTCTTTTCCCCGTTCGGTAGGAAGACGGTGCCGGGCAGCGCCAGGACGCCCTTCTCCAGCGCCTTCGTGCGGATGAGGCTCTCGGAGTCTTGCTCTTCTGCGCTCTCATTGCCGGGTGCGTTGAGCAGCAGTTTGAACCTATGAAAGAACTGAGGATATTTATGCGATGTCGCTGACAAGACGACGTACCAGAAGAACATCCCCGCCTCGGGCGTGTCCCATTCTGCCAGACCGTCGAGATACTGCTTCATAAACCGCTCGAACACGTCACGCTTGCCCTTGTAGAACTCCGACACTGCTAGCGTGTGCACCTTGAAGTTGTCGTATCCCCACGACTCGAGGAGCGCGTGTGTGATAGCCTGCGTGAGCGACGACGTCTGCAGGTTCGCTACTGCGGTCTACACGGTATCGCGATGTTAACACGTAGGGAGAGGCGGGATTGTGAATGACTGGACGAACGTGCATGTCGACGACGGTCATGAGGGCATCTGGGCCACACATGAAGCCGATGCGGATGCCCGAGGAGAGGATCTTTGATAGACTGTCGAAGCGGATTACCCGCCCAACCTCGGGCTGCTCGAGCTCGAGGGAGAAGTATGATGGTGGCCGCGGTGTGCTGCCGAAGTACAGGTAGTAGTACGGGTCGTCTGGTAGTGTGACGCCTATGTCAGCGTACACATTCGTCGTAACCGTTGGAGAAAGGAGACGGACCCTCAAGGATGAGGAAGTTGTGCTCTCGTGCGAGGGCCAATACTTCTTGGCGGCGTTCCTTGGACGCGGTCATGCCCGTCGGGTTACCGCCGTACTGAATGATTTGGTGTTAACGGGATGGTCGATCGTGTGCAGTAAATTACGCACGGGCACAGTGTATAGGACCTTAGGTTTGGGCTTCGACGCGGGCCAGGCCTCAAGGGTTGACCGGAGGGATGCAGCGTTGATTCCCTGTGAATCCGTCGGGACCGCTATGACGCACATATTGAGCTCGAGCGCGGGCACGCAAATGAACAAAAGACAGTACCGACGAATTCGCAGTTCAACGACTCAAAAGTCGGCAAGATACCGCTGCCAATATAGATCAGTTTCCTGCATAACTAATGGCTTAAACATGGTTTCGACTTACGCATACACCGGCGACTCCACCAACACCGCGTCACCCGGATTCACGAGCGCAAAGATCGCCTGCTATACGTCAGCACAGTCACACCAAAAACTTCGACACCCCCACCCACCTTATGCAACACATCCTGCGACCCCGCACCAACGCTCACCCTCCACCCCTCCCCCTTCTTACGCCCATGTTCGCGCTCCTGCAGCCCATATATCCACTCAATCATGCTCGGAAGACCCGCGGTCGGGCCATACTGGAGGCCCTCCGCGAGCGCCGCCCCGGTGATGTCGGTCGTGAGCTCCTTCTGCGGGTCCGTGGGCGAGCGCGCCGTGATCTGCACGGACGTGAGGGGGAATGTCGCTGCGTTCGGCTTGCCTGCGAGCAGGGAGATCATGCCCGGGCGCGTCTCGAGCGGGTACAGACCGCGGACTGTGGGGGGTATTGGTGAGTGGAGATGGCTGAGCTTTAGGAAGGATGGACTCGCTAGGGCTGGGCTTGCGTGCCTTCGCAGAGGCTGAGAGGAAGTCCTGGTAGAACTCGGTTGGGAGGGTTTGTACCATGTTGGTGAAGGCTACACAACATTTTATCAGCGTCATGTTCGCTATGAGTATGAGAAGAAGGTCTGCTTACAACTACTAAATATCAATATGTACTACGCAGCACAAAGGTAAGCGACTTTAGTACTTGCTGAGCAAGAGGCCGTGAGACACTATGTGGGGTAGAGTCATCGATCATCTAGGAAGTCACCTGCCGGATTAGGCAAGTCTTCAAGAACGAAAACAACTATCTGGCCGATATTTTAGAAGAGTACAAACCCACTTAGTGGCGGAAATCGCGATGTGCAGCTGGTGATACAGCGAGAGTGAGTATCATGCAACCGTTTGTCATTTTTATCAACCGAGCAGACTCTGCCTCTCAGAACCGTCCGATCCACTCTCTTCCGCATCGCGCCTCCCAAACAGCCGCTTCACCCTCCCAGCGGCACAGTACGCGACGCTCTTGATCCCCTCTACGATCTTGCTGATAACCCAGTTGCGGGCCCGGTACACTGCGTGTTCGCGCGTGTCTATCCTGTCCGTGCGCACCCGGTGTTCGGCGTCGACAACGACCCCAAGGGCGAGAATGGTCGTGACGATGGAAGCGAGCGCAGTGGACGAGGAGATCATGAACATGATGACCATTTGCAAACGTGCGGCTTGCTCGACGGAGGAGCCTCCCAGGATGGCACCCGTCATCATGCCCGGGATGGCGATAATTCCGATAACGCTGGGCGAAGAGGCATTGGTTGTGAGCGTGAGCTGGGTGTATGCGGTGAGGTGCGAGCTGACCTCATCTGATTGATGTTTGGGGTGAGTGCGAGACGGAGGGCGTCTCGCGCGATGGGCTTGCACGCCTCAAATCGGGACGCTCCAAATGCGAGGTACATCTCCACCTTGTCCTTGTTGTCGCTATCAACGGTTATTGAGGAAAACGTAGCGGAGGGAGTGTATCAAGCGTACTACAGCTCCTTCAGCACGTATGTGACAGATACGACAATCCCGGAGATAGTTGCCCCACATAACATGCCGACAATAGGGACTGCATACGGTCAGACGCATTCGGGGCAGATGGGTCGAGGTAACGCACTATACTGCTCTGGTTTCCAGAACGGATCGACATCCATTGCGTAACGGACACCAACGATAGAGACTGGTATAGTGGACCCAAGCATTCCTAGTAACACGGAAGGGAACTAGACACGGTTGTATTGCGTACAGGAGCATGTAAAGATAGATGGACTGACTGACCATGTAATCGTAGCGTTTTTTCGACTTGTTAATCACTTTGATGCGAAGGGCGTAAGCACACCAGTGTGTAGAGCACCAAGTAGAAACTCACCGGTTTCCGCGGTTCCCATAAGGTTCAGCAAACACGCCATTCCCGCGACTGCCCATGGGTTGTTCGTCTCGAAGACTTTTTGCAGAATAAGCGCTACGACGCTTAGTTGCACAACGCAGCGCACAGCCGCAGTTATAAGGGAGCTCCCCACCCCTAGTCCAAAGGTTGTCGAGAGCAAGCCATCGAGGAGGATGAAGGAGAACGCGAGCCCGACGTTGCCCCAGTTGAGGTGGGTGGAAGAATCACCAGGGCCGGGATCCATGGTTGAGACTCGACTTCTCCCAGAAGGTCTCCAAGCGAAGGCGAAGGGTGTTCCTGGTCGTGGGACGAGGCGAAGGTCGACGAGAAGCCTTCCTCGTCGCGCTCAGACTCGGACCGACGCGCATGACGTCGAGCGCGTCGGGACAGGCGTCTATCTAATCAGCGTGCGTTCGGCGGACTATCAACTACCCGGCGGAGTTCCAACTCCAGGAACACGATCTGACCTCACCGCAAGAGCCGGTGTGCGCACTCCTACCAACGACCTAGACAACGCTTGCTCGCCGTCCACCACAGCGAGCGCACCTCTCCTACAGGATCGACCCTGTCTGAAGGGCACGCGGGCATCTTTGCTTTGTTGCTGACAACCAACCTTGACTGTGCTACTGTCACCTGCAGCCTACTTATCCCACAGCCGGCGGGGGAAGCAGACGCATTCAATCCATGATGTTCTCTCTCGGGCTGCATCGTCTCGCGCTCCCAGCATCCTTGCTCTTGCTCTGGGTAAACCATGTACACGCCGCAGGTAGGAACGTCTCGTCCGGGTACTCTCTGAACACACAGGCTCTTTCGGTATGTTACTCGTCATCTGTCACTGCTGCGGCGATGGTACTGAATGGCGGGCAGCCTCTTGAAGTTGTCAATGGCAGACCAGGTGAATATTACCGGCGATTCTGCTGCCAATATACGCTGAATGATGATATTGTCACGCAGAGCGTTGTCCACCGTGCTTCAACTGCCAGCTTGACGCGTTCACTTGCGGCAACTTCGGAGAGTGCTCCAAGTTCGATGGGCAGTGCAAGTGTCCTCCGGGTTGGGCTGGAATAGATTGCTTGACTCCCCGTGAGCTATTCCGGCGCGCCGCTCAACTACCTTAATCTGACATGACACAGAGTGTGACTCCCTTGCCGACGGTGAACACCGGAGACAGCGAGAAGACGGCAGGGAGTGCGAGTGTAAGGACGGGTGGGGTGGTATCAACTGCAATGGTAAGCACGCACTCCGTTGTTAAGGAGTCCCGCTACAACTCGCGCGCCACAGTATGCAAGACGGACGACGCTTGCGCTGGGTTCCCTCTTCTTGGTCAACCCACGGGCGATGACGACAGAATCGGCAACATGACCTGTTACAAGGGAGGAGAGACCGTCTTCAACAACCACCAGATGTGCGACGTCACCAGTGCGTACACGAGTTCGCCATGGCTGTGTTGCGCAGCACTGTTAACGCGCTTCCTAGACCGCAAGATTCTGGACATGCTCCCCGACAGGCCCCCTCAGGTGACGTTCAGCTGCGAGAAGGACACCGAGTCGTGCCATTTTCAGTTCTGGACCGCGCAAGTCGAGTCGTTCTACTGCGAGCTGCAGGAGTGCAGTTCCCGGATAGAGCATGGTTACGACAAGAACTCGACATACTATGATTGCGACAAGATCCAGTGCAAATGTGTCCCTGGGCGTTTTATTTGCGGAGAAGATGGCAGTCTCGGTGAGCATATATCTTGATTGGTTGAGAATATTTCTCATCGGTCTGCTCCTTTCAGACATTACGGATTTCCTCAAGGAAGAGATCAAGGGCCCTGCGACGTTCAGCTGCACCACAGGCAAAGGCTGCAAGTTCGAAGAGCCGGGTATGAACGACTTGATCTCGACCTTCTTTGGAGACACCTACATCACTCTTCAATGTGAGGGCGGTGAATGTCTGCACTACTCACAAGTTCCGGGCTATGTGGTAAGTTTGGTAATGCAATCCTTCACGACGCCGCTAACGCCCCATAGGCTCCGCCCAAACCTGACAACGCTGCATTCGTGGCTCTTAGCATCGCAGGCGCTGGTCTTATTGTCGTCTTGGTTTCCGCAAGTACGTTTTCCATCTGTAAAAGGCCCTAGGTCAGCACTAACATACCGTCGTAGTTCTCTGGTGGGCTGGACGCGCTCGACCCAGCGACTTCGGCACCATCCGTCTCCCCGAGAACGAGTCTGCAAAGCTCATGACAGACCACGTCCCTGCTTCTCTTCACTTCTCCAACATCTCGTACACACTCAACGGGCACACCATCCTTGACAACATCTCCGGCTCTGCCAAGCCTGGGCAGCTGCTCGCCATCATGGGTGCCTCGGGTGCGGGCAAGTCGACGTTCTTGGACATCTTGGCGCGCAAGAACAAGAAGGGCAGCGTTGGTGGCACGACACTTGTCAACGGGCGTGAGATCGCAGACACCGACTTCAAGAAGGTCATGGGCTTCGTGGACCAGGAGGACACGCTGATGAGCACACTCACGGTGTATGAGACTGTGCTGTACTCGGCGTTGCTGAGGCTGCCGCGGGAGATGAGCCTCGAGGCGAAGAAGTACAGGACTCTTGAGACGATGAACGAGCTGGGGATTCTAGGTATCAAGGACTCGCGCATTGGAGAAACTGGTGGGCAGTTTAGTAACCTTCACGGTCACCGATGACTGACGATATGCACCAGGCCAACGATCCATCTCTGGTGGTGAGAAGCGTCGAGTGTCCATTGCGTGTGAACTTGTAACCAGCCCGTCGATCCTGTTCTTGGATGAACCGACCAGCGGTAAGCACTCTTGAGTATACTCAGAACTCCGAGCTCATATTATCCAGGTCTCGACGCGTACAACGCGCTGAGCGTGATCGCCAGTCTTGTCTCCCTCGCACGCGACTACAACCGCACCGTTGTCTTCACCATCCACCAGCCCCGCAGCAACATCGTGTCCCTCTTCGATCAGCTGATCGTCCTCGCCCGTGGCAAGCTGATTTACTCCGGCGAAGCAGACCAGGTCACGGACTACCTCGCGGAAGTGGGTCACCCGTGCCCTCTTGGATTCAACGTCGCGGACTTCCTCAGTATGTCGCCCCTTTTCGTCTCTCGTAGCTACTGTGCTGACCTTCGTCATACGTAGTCGATCTCACGATGCAAGCCGGTATGGAACCCCCCTCGCTGGAGAGCCCGGTATCGGAACAGGCTCAGCCTGCCGAAGAGGACTCCAACATCCGGGACGAAGAGCGCGCCTTTGTTCACGATCGCACCTCGTCTGGATCATCCCGTGCTGACGAAGGCACCGAACCTACCCGCGCCGGGTCCATCCACTCCTCCACGGCCTACATCCGTCGCCAGACCTCCCGCCTGCTCGAGGCCATCAAGCCGTCCACCGGCGCCAGAGACGGGCCCGTCCCGCCGAAGCTCGCGGGGCTCATCGAGGCGTTCAAGACCAGCAGCATCCACGCGGCGCTCAACGCGGAGATCATCGAGGTCGCGAGCGCCCCCACGACGCAGGGCAACGGCAACAACCCGGCGGAGCTGCCGGACGTCGCGGCGGAGAGCAGCATCACGCGCGGCCGGAAGCGCGCGAGCTGGGCCACGCAGTTCCGCATCCTGAGCGGACGGGCGTTCAAGAACCTGTACCGCGACCCCGCGCTGCTCGCTGCGCACTACGCATCTGCGATTGGCGTCGCTCGTAAGTCTAGCTTGTTTTGGTTGTTTTGGGGTGGCACTGAACGGCTTGCACTGCAGTGATTTGCGGGTTCTTCTTCCAGAATATCACGGAGGATATCGCGGGCTTCCAGAACCGCTTGGGGGTGTTCTTCTTCACGCTTGCGCTCTTTGGGTTCTCGTGCCTGTCCAGCCTTAACTTGTTTGCGAATGAGCGCATCTTGTTCATGCGCGAGCGGTACGTCCTCCCAGCAAAGTTCTTAGGGAGACTTGCTTATATCTTTGTGTAGTGCTAACGGCTACTACTCGTCATTCACTTACTTCGCGTCCAAGGTATGCTATCTCTCACTGACCTTGAGATCGATGTCTCACTCCCCTTAGATCCTGTTCGATATCCTACCCCTGCGCGTGGTTCCTCCACTTGTGTTCGGCGGTATCATCTACGGCTGGATCGGGCTCGTCCCCGAGGTTGCGACGTTCTGGAAGTTCATGCTCACTCTTGTCCTGTTCAACCTGACGACCGCGAGTGTCATCTTGCTGCTCTCCATCGGCATCGCGAGCACGAGCGTCTCGTCTCTAGTCGGCACGCTCATCATGCTGTTCAAGTGAGTCCCGATACTCTCTCATATTCATATGTGACAGGGCTAATCGGCGATCTTAGCCTGCTGTTCACCGGGCTGCTCATTAACCGCAAGTCTGTACCCGCCGCGTTCCAGTGGCTGCACACGATCTCATTCTTCCACGCCGCGTTCGAGGCGCTCGCGGTCAACGAGCTGCGCTACCTCCAGCTCCACGAGGAGAAGTACGGCGTGAACATCGACGTCCCTGCTGCTGCGATCCTGTCCACGTTCGGCCTCCGCGCTGAGGTGAGTTGTGATCTACGCTCTGCGTCTATATCAAGATTGCTGACCATCGTGCCTTCCAGTCGTTCTGGTGGCCCAACATCGCCCTCCTCGGCATCTTCTTCGGCACGTTCACGGTCCTCAGCTTCCTCGTGTTGCACTTCTACGTCAAGGAGAAGCGGTAGTGGCTGTGACGATATATGTGTATAGATCGCTCGCTGTTGTGATTCAATGTAGTGTGGTCCTTCCATGCCGCCCGCTTGTTACCCTATATACGCATTACGATACATTCTTGGAGCATGGACTTTCCCTGGAGGTCCTGTATAGTACACACGTTGTAAAATATATGTATGTGTGTTTTGGATATTGTGCGCTCATATTTGGCTCATATGTACATGCAGCAAGCGCCAATCTAATCTGCGTTTATGCCTCTCTTCCCCGTCCACCTCCTCTACCGCAAAATGTCAGCTGCAGTCCCCACCATCCGCGCGACTTCAGAGCGCGTCGCAGAGCTCACGGAAGCTCTCACAGAGATCAGGCAGCGCGTCGCAGCAGCGAGCGCGAAAGCCGCGAAGCCCACAGGCAAACCCGTGCTCGTCGCGGTGTCCAAGTACAAGCCCGCGGGGGACCTCCTTGCATGCTACGACGAGGACCAGCGCGACTTCGGAGAGAACTATGTGCAAGAGCTCGTAGACAAGGCCGCACAGGTGCGTCGTGGTCTGCGCTGCCCAAGGGCCGCGATGCTGACCGCGATGTGCGCATCCAGCTTCCCCAGGATATCCGATGGCACTTCATAGGAACCCTGCAGTCTAACAAGGCCAAGATCCTCGCCAGTGCGTCCCGCCTCCACCCCCCGCACGCCTACACCGCTTACTAACCGCAGAGCAGCCATCCCGAACCTCTACGCCATCCAGACCGTCACCTCCATCAAGGCCGCATCCGCCCTGAACAAGGCGCTCCCCGCCGACCGCGTCGCCCCGCTCAACATCCTCCTCCAAGTAAACACTTCTGGGGAAGACGCGAAGTCCGGGGTGCCCCCGCTCTCTGCCGCCATGCCCGAGGCCGAGGTCGACGCCGCGGAGCTCGTGCAGGTCGCACGCTTCGTCGTGGCCGAGTGCCCGCGCCTGCGCCTGCAGGGCCTCATGACGATCGGGGCGCTCGCGGAGTCGCTCGCGGCGGGCGCAAAGGAGAACGAGGACTTTGCGCGCCTCGTGGGGACGCGCGACGTGCTCCAGGCGGCGCTCGCGCGCGCGGGGTTCAGGCCCGAGGAGGGCAGGTGGGGCGAGGACGGCCGGCTGCTGCTGAGCATGGGCATGTCGAGCGACTTCGAGGCCGCGCTCCAGGCGGGCAGCGATATCGTGCGTGTCGGCACGGGTATCTTTGGCTCGAGACCGAAGAAGGAAGAGGTCAAGGCGCAATGAAATGTAAATACGCCGGTTCTTGCCCGCATCCTTGGATCTAGAAAGCTGACACGGTATCTGGACCAGGCAACATTGGGATGATGTGTTGATTTGTGCAAACGTTCCCGGATGCGTGTCATAGGTCATGCATAACTAATGACGTCGCTTCCACTCGAAACGCGGCTTGTATATTTGGGCTGGTACTCATAACTTGTACATGGTACTTCGAGGTATATACACTAGCCATCGAACTTGCACTATCATAGTGATACGCACCTTCTTCGGGGGACTATCGAACTCGAAGTACTCTGAGTGATCTGGGTTTTTCTCGGCGGTCTCCTCGTTGCGGGCTTGAGTAACTTCGGCTTAGCTTGGGGACTCGGGCGTGGATTCGGGTTCGGGAGCAGATGTTCCATCGCCTTCGCATCGTCCCATAGGTAAAACCAATTCCCCTGCGGGTGGTCATAGTGCCTCTCAGGCTGCTTCTCCCAAGCCTCCTCGTATTGGCTCTCGTAGATGGTCTTGATATCCGCGATGACCTCGTCCGTAACATCCTTCCACTCGTCCAGCTTCTTCACTCGCTCGAGCGTGGAAATGATGAACCGGTCTCCGACCCATTTCCCGTAGTCAATCCCGACCGGCTTGTGGGACAACGCGGTGCTGGAATCCGACGAGTAGCAGAACCGCGTGAAGAGCGCCGTGCCGAGGTCGATCGCACACGACCGCAAGAACGGCTGGGGGTCGTCCGGCTTGCCGCACAGCGCCGCGAGCGCGCCCGCGCGGACGTACTCGCACTTCGTACAGTTGAACAACGCCCAGTCGTCGCGCGCGGGGTATGTTGTGGCCCACGCAGCGACGAACACGCGGCGGTCGGCCATCGGGAGTTGTGTCGCGTAAGGCCTGTGCTCGTACGGGTGCAGGCCGTGGTACAGCCCCCCCCGCTCGGTCGCATCGTCGTAACACATTGAGTCAATCCCGGCGGAGGTGTTCTCCGAGCCTTCACCATACGCTTCGATCTGCGCGCGTATTCTAGCTTTCAGGTCGGGGGGAAACAGGGCCTCCGGCACCTCCTTGAGTCTTGCGTCGTCCCCGAGGCACACGATGCGGCAGCCTGCCCAGGCAGCTGCGTGGTTGTCTCGGCAGTATTCAAAGAGATGGCACCTTTGGGCGGTTGCAAGCAGCTTCTTGCATGTTATGGCGAGGTAGACGCGGTCGAATATCGGGAGGTCGGTGTCCATCATAATCATATCGAGCAGTTCGTCGGGGAGCGACAGGAGACCCTTCTTGGCAATGGGGCCGGGGGAAGGTGGATTTGCGAGGTATTTTGCGAGTTCGGGCCTACATCCATCATGCATGTCAGCACACAAATAAAGGGAGACTTAGAAGGGGGCCTTACACAGAGTATGGTGAGGTCAGGCTGCGCACGAGGAACGGCTGTTTGCGGTAGAACATGGTTCCGGACTTGTACGGACCCTCCGGAAATGCGTACTGCAGCTTACTGACGTTGAAGCTGGAAAGGCCAGCAGTCGAGTTAGCGGTCTCGTACAGAAGGCGTAGATGTGAGGCTGGACGTACAATATCCAACCTTGTCCCATGGTCGACGCCGGTGCCTTCAGCAATTTCAAGGAGTTTCAGGATTTCAGGAAGTCTCGGGACCACGGGCTCTCCAACTTTTGGATCCTTATGTATTCTCGGAGAGCGCTATTGTTGTGGATCAAGGCTCCGAGCCTCTCGATCGAGCATGGCTAACGCAAGCCAACCCGGGGAGGACAATGAGTGCACCTAGATCAGAGTAACCACCGTCAGCCAATTCGAGCTTACAATACCTAAAAGTGCCATTGTTCATGCCATTGTTCGACCCTACGCTGTCCTACCGAGGCTCGAGCTTTTGAGCATGTCGGCACTCAGGCACCTGGGACTGACTCGGATGGATACTGGATATGCGCTCGGCTTCCACGCGCTGGCTGCTTCAATGCATTGCCTGATTCCTGCAAAAATCTCGGCGCGCCGCACTGGCGTCACATGGATAATGATGACGGCAGAGGGAGAGTAGAGTGGAAGAGACGCACAATGATGGTATGGGCACAAGTTATAGCAGCTAGTACTCACTAGCGCGACTCTAGTAGTACGGATTGAATATACATACGAATTGGTCGAGCTAGCTTAATACACACATACACATACACTCTTCAGTAATCATCAGACGTCCTCAGCTTACAAAGTCTTTCCTTCATGCGCTCGCGACGCTTCTGCTCCTCCGGGCTTGGTAGCAGAGCCTTCAGCTCGTATGCGTTGTCCCATTGGAAATACCAGGAGCTGCACGGTCCGTGCATCTTCGTGAGCTCCTCTTCCCAGTCTTCAGGGTACTCGTCCTGGTAGATGGCCTCGATGTCCGCGACGACCTCGTCCGTTACGTCCTTCCACGGATGTCCCGGTTGGTCCAGTTTCATCCTCTCGAGCGTGTCGATGGTGACCCGATCGCCGACCCACTTCCCATCGTGGATGTTGACCGACGTGTTTGGGAGCGCAGTGTCGGGGGACGGCGAGTAGCAGAACCGCGTGAAGAGCGCTGTGCCCAAGTCTACCGGAGACGCCCTCAGGAACGGCTGGACGTCATCCGGCTGGCCGCTCAGCTCCGCGAGCGCACCCGCGCGGACGTACTCGCGTTTCGTAGTGTTGCACAGCGCCCAGTCGTCGCGCGCGGGGAACGTCACGGCGAGCGCCGCGACGAACAGGCGACGGTCCGGCATGGACAGCTTCTCCACAAATTTTGGGAAGTCATGTACGCCGCGATATTGGGTTGCCTCTGTGCCGATTTCGATGAGTCCGCCATAGCTGCCCTCAGGATCTACGCCCTTCGCCTTGAGGCTCTCGAGGATACGGTCCTTTTGAGCAGGGGGCAACAGCCTTTCCGGCAGGCTGTCCAGGTCTGCGTAGTCTCCGAGGCATACAAGCTGACAGTCCGCCCAACCGGCAGAGCCATAGGTGCGGCCCGCCTTGAGCAGGTTCCCCTCGGCGATTGAGAGCAGTTTCTTGCACGTGACGGCAAGGCATACACCGTCGAGGAGGGGTAGGTCGTCGTGATTGAGAATCATGTCGAGAATTTCGTCCGGAAGCGAAAGCAGACCTTTCTTGGCGATGGATCCCGGTGGGGGGGCATTTGCGAGGAATCCTGCGAGTTCGGGCCTGCATACGTTGTGTCAGCGTGCAGACGGAACGAGATATTCGAGAGGAAGACTTTACACAGGATAGGGTATGGCTAAGCTGCGTACGAGGAACGGCTGCTTGTCGTAGAAGATACACCCGAGCTTGAACCAACCCACCGGGTCCGCGTACTCTAGTCTGTTGACGTTGAAGCTGAAGATAACCGTGGGTAGTGTTAGCCACACCATATGATAAAGCGCAAATGCGACAGACGTACAACTTCCAATATTGACCCATGGCCGATGTGAGTGGGGCAGAGATATTGATCTAGGGATTGCCTGTCTTCCGCCGAGGGTGGGGGACTGATTTACGAAGAAAGGGGAGGGGACCTTCAACTGAATTCAGCAGTGACGGCGGTGAGTGACGGGGGCTCCAGTAGCGGCGTGCAGGTACTTATATATCCTTGGAGAGGACAATTGTTGTGACATAACGCTGCAAGCCACCTCTCGGCCATGGCTTGCCCCAACCAGCCTCATCTTTGGCGGAGGAGAACAATCAGTGCGCAGTGCGCCCAATCGAGCTTATGTGAGGCTGCTGTGCTATTGGTACGGGCCCTGCCCGGTCCCACCTCAACACCCGGTGACATATGGACGTCCCGAAGGCGAGCAAGGCACGGCACAAGTTCAAAGATTGTTGCCAGTGGGCCGATGGGGGTAACTTCTGCGTCGCGCGTAAGTATGTACCCTGAAGCTCCCGTACCTGAAGCGGCGTCACGGCGTGTATACGTCGTCGTTCTGCGGGATGCTGGACGACAGATTCGGCGCCCCGGTGAGTATATGTCATAGTTTGATTGAGCACTGTGTTGCGCCTTGTAGTCGCATGGACGGCGAATATGGCTGGGCGGATGGAGGGAAGAGAAGCGCTGCATGCGCGCGCAGCATAACGGCAAAATATATAGGCGCCAATATGACGCGCCGCTCTCTCGCCGAACATTCGAAGACTCATCGTCGCCGTCGTCGTCGACCGTCAACGTTCGGACTTGACCATGATGCAGGTCGACATGAACGACCACGATTTTCAGCCTATCCAACTCGCCCAGTCTCTCCGTGCGACTGTACACCGAGAGCGTGATCGCGTAGGCCTCGGTCAGAGGTACGCGTTCATCTCCACCTCCCAACAACATACATACCGCTCACGCTACTCACACCAGCATGATGAATATTGAAACCGTAAGCCGTTGCGGAGACGCTACCTTATATATGACATTGACATCCGTTGAGCAGTTGCGCTTACTCGATCAGCTTGCATTTGATGTCGTCAAGACCGTTCGGGGAATCATCAACTCGTACTCCCCCGTAGGCCGACTGCCGCCCGAGCTCCTCCTTCAGGTCTTCGAGAATGTGCCTCGACGATGGTCAAGCAACTCAAGAGCCATTTCTATCGAGTTTAAGTCGGGGAAAATGTGGAAAGTCGAAGACCTTTGCCCACTCACTGCCGTCTGTCGTCAATGGCGCGATCTGGCATTGACCACACCGTCGCTATGGTCGACCTTCCTATCGGACGAGTCTCTCCACGAATGGCCTCGGAATGTCGGAATGTACAAGCGCTACATTCACCGATGCACCCATGGTCCTCTATACGTCATCCTTCGCGATATCCGGGACCGTAATGCCAGTGCAGTACTAAACAAGCTTGAAGGTATGAGTGAGCGTATACGAGAGCTCTACGTGGAGGGTTCAGACGACTTGCGTTCCAATGCCGTACTGGTCTTCCCATTCCTACCCAATCTCGAACGCTGCGCCTGGATCAATCACGACATGGACACCCAAACCCCAAACCCCTACAACTTCTGCGACACGCCACGGCTCCGCACCCTAGAGCTCCGCCGCCTACCATGCATCCCCTCAAATTCATATCCAGCACTGACATGCCTCTCCATCATTGGCCCGTGCTCGGAAGGCTCGGACTTCAGCCAACTTTTACGCCTTCTCTCGTCTGCACCCCAGCTACAAGTTCTGACACTCGGATATCTGCTTGAAATGCGACCTCGCGCTCAAACATCTCGTTTAGACCTTCCGCGCCTCCGCAAACTCGAGATCAAGCATCAAGACGACATCGGAGAGGACGGGCGCATCCAAGAATTCCGGGACGCACTGTTTGCCTCACTGACGATTCCAAGCTCATGCGCAGTCGAATTCGGCTTCATGCTCCCTCAAGATGTGCTCCCCTCCGTGAGGCACCTTCCGCACATCCGTACCGCTACGCGCCTGAGCATCGGCCTTCTCGTCAGCCATCACGTCAACCTTCAATTCTCGACCGAGGATGCCTCCCTCAGCGTGTCTCTTGCGGTAGAGTCGCCGCGCCTTCCACGCCATGAAGGGATAGCGCTTACCTTGCGCGCTGCCCTCCCTGCACCAGAATTCGCGTCGGTCCGCAAGCTCTCGATCGACGGCATGTTTCTGTACATGCTCTGTGGCCCGCGCCCCCACTCCATCCTCTGCGCGTTCCCGCGTCTCGCCCTGCTGCGGGTTGCACCCAAGGGCGGGCTATCCGATTGCTTGGACCGGGTCTCGCAGAACCTAGATCTTATGCTCGAGGCGCTACAAGTCAGTTCCGATGGAGAGCAATCGGCCGCAGCCGTGGTGCCGGTAACGTGTCCAAATCTCGTTCGGCTGTGGATCGACTGGCCCCGCGTGCGCGAGGACGACAGCCACAAAGTGGTGTACGACAGGCCTCCGTCGGCCGTCATGGACGGTCTCCGGGAGCTAGTCAGTGCGCGGGCCGCGCGAGGGCACCCGCTCGAACGGGTGTTCATCACGCATCCGCGGGTGTGGCCCACGACGGGGGCAGTGTCGTACACCGTGGACGAATACGACGGCGCGGCCGCCCGTATTCTCGATTCCACGGAACTGGGGAGGCTCGACTATATGGGTACGGAGCTGCTCGAAGAGGAGTTTGAAAGAGAGTGGGCTCGGATCGAAGATGGAGAGGTGCGGGCGCGAGTCTTTCCACTTGATCCTTGCGTTTTTCTTACATATGTCTTTTCAATAGGGTGATTTATAGACCACCGTAAGACGTGACATCCCTGCTATCGAGCGGTAAGACCTTTTTAATCTCAGTACATAATGTAACCGTGCATAGTAAGTGTGCGTACATTTATGGGGAAAGGCACCCAAACTCCGTTTACCGACGCTTCGCCTCGCGGCGGTCCCGGAGAGCGCCATTGACTAGCTCCGACGATGGTTGAGGATACAGACGTTTGAGACCGCTCGACCCCGCAGCATTCACTGTGCTGCATCGGATGATGTTACCGATGGTGGGCGCATGATAGATATGCACGATCCAAACCCGCAACATCACTGACATCAACATTATAGCCTCGACCACTGGACCACGAACAAGATTGATCAATGCAGCGCATGCCGCGAAACCAGCGCCCACATGTACAAGCACCAACGCGGCGCCGCCCGGCATGTGCATCAGCGCTCCCGCAGCAACTTGGAACCTCGGTCAGGTCCTCGGGCTTACTGAGAGGACGGGCGTGCGCTCTGCGGCCATCTTTGGGTCATTATGTGAGTGCTTTCGAGTTGTGCGCACGCTCGTGGCAACTGCCGGGTGCGAGCGTGTATTTACAGTTCATCACTCGCGAGGTCTATGCCTAAGCTTGTCAACCTCGGAGACTCGCTAATTACATGATACCGGTCAGCTCAATGTTATCTCCATGCACCCAGATGTATACGTCAAACCCGCGGTGTGTGTAACTACCCGGTGAATTCGAGTCTGCGAGTTTGTTTCCGGGTACCTTACGGCGAGCATGCGACGAGAATTATCGGACGAGCTGATGCAACGCTGCTGAGCACAAGCACCTGGTTGCCCTCGGCTGGAACCCGAACGAACGCGTCTTCGGGATGTGCGGCATCGGCGTTGTGCGGACATGCCGCGCGGATCATCGTAGTGTTCTATGAGCAGGGTCAACGTCGTGAAATGGGCGGCAGTCTATGATGCACTTAGTAATTATGTTCTCCTATTATGAGAGCCAGTCAGTCGTATGCACCCGTAACTGCAACCAACACGACTCCTGCCCGGAGGATCATCACGCACCGAAGCTTGTCACGGAGAGCCTGCATAAGAAGTAGCTCGGGAATTCGATCCGCACTAGACAAAATACCCTCGGGGCCAGTCCCCGACCGACATCGTGCCGAACAGTGTGCAATGGGACACGGTTATAGCTATAGGTTCTCCGTAGCATCCGTGCCACGTGCAAGTCGAATGCCGCTTGGATCGCGCCGACAGCAGCGGGATGCCGCTTCGTAGATGATGACGACTGCCCGGCCTTCAAATCATCAGCGCTGCACCGACATCTGTGCCGGGACTCGGGAGACAGTGCCTGCCAAAGCTTGAATGAATGCCCGCACCGCGAAGCGTCAAGGTCACGGTTTGGCCGTTGGCGGCCCCGGGCTAGGGGCCGACGACGAGAACCGCGAGGCACAAAGTGTCAGGAACGGCGGGGATGAGTCAAAACCTGTGAGAAGGGAAGACGTGCACTGTGCATACGTGCCTCAGAAGCCTGCGCGTCCCGCGTCCCCTGTATTTGTCCAGAGGCGGGAGGCGATCCTCCGCCCGTCGAGCGCGCGCGTGTCTGATAGGCTTGCAGCCACGACGCGGCGGGGCTTCAACAGTTCCAGGGCCTCGCAGCCCTGACGCAGATGAAAATGGAAGGATGTGTTGACAGGTGCAGCGAACGCGGGAAGGTTAAGGGGCAGCGGGCGGGCGCGATCCGCGGACACGGTGCCGCGGGTTGTCGCGATGTACGGTGGCCAAGTACGTCGAGTTCCGCCCAGCACTCGCATTTCGGTAATGGCGTACCCATCGATGAAGCACCGGCGGATCGTCAACGCTGCACCGATGCCTTGACGGGGGCACATAGGTGCAAGCGGGATACCATCGCGACCCAGTGAGATCTTCTGGTAGTGAGTGGTGCACAGCATGGCTCGCGTGTTAGTACGACCAATGTCCGAGCATACACATACCGCCATATGCTAAAGGCTCAACGATGCATGAATGCATATGCCACCTGCCCGGTGCGCCCGGAGATTGAGTGCGCTTGCTCGCCAGTTACGAGATCTCAGGCACGCCTGCAGGGCATCCCAAGGGCACGGTGCACCTGCCAGCCCTCGAGGCTCGAATTTCAGGTGCCATTAAGCCGTGCGCCCTGAAGCGTGCCTTGCCGTGCCTGCGCGTATTTCGGATGCGTGTCCTCCGCCGCAGGGTGATCGCGGGACGTCGATGCCTGGTGCCTATTCGCGTTCGCAGCTTGACAGTAATGACCGTTGACAGCGCTTGGCCGCCCGGAGGAATGCAAAGCGGAGCCTAACTGCAAGGTTCGCGCCATGGCATCCTCGCCCGCGATGGGGGAGCGCTCGCGGGCGGATCTTGGCTGCGTCGAGGAGCTTCGTGGCGCCGCCCGCGCTGCCAGGCTGGCAACCCATTTGTCAGTCGCGATGCTTCGACGCCCCCGTTCGCAGGCGGCGTGTGTGCCAGGAGTGCGTCCGCGGGTGACACGAGGTTACGGACCGGCGAAGCAACGCTGCGCCGTAACGCGCGTGCGCCGGCGGCATCGATACATCACCAACAGCATCAGCATCATCTGGCCAGAGCCTCCCTCGGCATCTCTCCGCTCTGGCCATCTGTCACGCTGGAATAGGCAGCTGGCGACGCAGGGAGCGGGCGCGGATGCTCGCGGATCCGTAAATACGACTGCTCGAAGGGGAGAGGCCTCGATGGGGAAGTGGGTCGCCAGATGTGGCGACTCGGTGTCGGCGAGATCCAGGAATCGAGGCGTAAGACTGCAGCCGTGCGTGGGTTGCCAGGCTGCGCAATATATAGCGGACGGCATGTCGTCGGAGGGCGACCACTTGTGGGAGCGCGAGACCATTGACGTAGCCGGTGGTATGGCGCCGCGGCGCATAAAGCCAAAGCAGGCGTGCAGATAGATGACCGACTGGATCCCGCGGTCAATGTTTAATGGTTCGGCGCATCATTACGCGCCGGGGCACAACCAAGACCCTGCGTGGTCTTGGTTGTTCCTTGCTCGCGATCCGGTTTGGGCCCGGAATGAAGAGAGTACGATCCCCGGGACCGTGGGCGCAGATGGGCGCGTGCGCGCGGAGTGCGTCCGGAACAGCGTTGCGCGCCGGCGCGTCGACAAGGAGTCTTGAAGCATCGTCTGGTCTCCCTGGAGAAGCATCATCATGCTCATCGCGTCGTGGCCATCGCCGAAACGCGCGCGAGCATAAGCTCGCGCGCCCAGGAACGGCGAGGCCTCGTGTAGGCTAAGGCTGGGCGTCCATTGCGAAGCGTTGTGGTTCGTCCACGTGGATTTCATAACACGGTGGCGGGATGAGCGCGCGGAGCTCAGGGTCCCGGAGGTGTTCGTGGCCGCAAGTCCTTGACGACTGGTGATGCACGGTGATGCGTTTGAGCTTCGCGCCGCATGGTGGGTCGTTTCAGCATACCGTCCGCGAAGTGGGGGAAGAGCGCAATGCAGGCGATCGGCAGGGGTGCCGGTAGCCACGAGGCAAAGACGACGGCCGCGCTATACGCGAGGTAAGGGTCCAGGATATGAAAGTGTGGCAGTTGCGGGGTACCTGTGGGGGCAGAAGCTCGAAGAGTCGAGCCATGATCGCCTGCGTAGCATGTCGCATGAAGCCTGTCGGAAGCACGCCATGTGGAGCCTAAAGCTATGTACTCAGAAGCCTGCATCGAGGATAATCAGGAGCGTACGCCAGGATCCGCGCCCGCCGAGCTTCGTTTCCTCCAGACTGCGGCGCGAGGCCGATCGCCAGCGATAGCCCCAGCACAGAGAGCACAGAGACGCACAGACGCGAAGACAGGAAGGAGCACAGGCGCCTCGCGTCCCTCGCGCGCCGCGCGTATATAACCAGCAGCCCTTCCGACGAGGCGGTGATTCGGAGCCTGAGCTGCCCACTGGTACGAGCAGTGCGCGATCGGGCGGTGCAGAGCTGTACGCACCACCACCTGTCAACCAACGGGAAGGCCGCTGTAAGGAACGCGAGTACACCCACAATGTCCGGATATCCAGATATTGGCTGCACAGCCAAAACGTCCGATCGCGCGTCCTGTGCACGCACGCGAGCGAGTCGAAGTTCATGTCGGCGGTTTTTGACGTCGCCCTGCCTCGATCGTCCTTCGGAATTCGAGTGATCCTCTGTGCGCGCGTACATGTCCCCGTCTAGTCGAATGTCGAATGTCGAATACAGCCTGAGCGCGCCTCAGGCCTCCGGCACGCTGCCGATCGGGAGGAGTTGGCGGTGTCTCGCAAATGTCTCGCGTGGCCTTGTCCGCCGCCGGCGCGTCCTCGCGCGAGATCTGCGTCGGATCTGATCGAGCCCGCCGCGGCGCGGCGGGTCTCATCGTCATTGTCGTCGGTCCCGCCACGACGGGTACCCGCGGTGTGGACGCTTGTGTGTCCACCGGCGTGCCATGGGGTCGAGCTGTGTCGCTGCCCCGCCCCCCGAGCAAAGTGCCGTTGACGTTTGCTGTGCGCTGGACACCACTGGGAAGGTAGGTAGGCAACTAGGTTAATTTTCGTTGGGTAGCCGTAAGCACCACTGCGGCCTATACGAATGCGGCCGAGTTGACCCTGGCTATGCTGCGACTCTGCGAGCTATTCGTGGAGAACCGACCGGTCCTCTCCGGCCTGGCCCAGCGCAGGCGTCCCGTGTGGATCGAGGCTCTGCCGGCGGGTGCGTAGGCAATAGGATAAGAAGACGTACCGCACGCGGGGCGCAGGGTAAGTACATGTAATCGACACGGTGACTCGTCGACGCGTCTGGCCCGGCGCAGCGTCATTTACGACGCATCGAAGATACTTGGATATCGAAGGCAGCCCGCGCCCCTTCATAAAACGCCAGAAGCAGCCGCCGACGCTGCATTCCGCCGTGTACGGCTGCGCTGCGGATGCGCGGGAAGCGACTCCGTCCCATGGCCCGGGTGCATCACGCTCGCGCTGACAGAATCATCCACTTAAGTCCAGTATGCACATGAGCAGAGCCCCGGCGAGCAAACCTAAACCGCCTCGCTGCACTACGCATATGGATGATGAGCCTGAGTGGGCGGGGCTGTGCGGTGGTGGTGGTGGGGAACACGTTTCCTTGCACCTGCGACAACAGCCCCGAGGGTGTATCATCACGGCAGAGGCGTCGCAGAAGCTTGGGGGTCGCTCTGCGGCAGCAACGGCAGCAGCGGGACAAGGTTCGAAACGCAGGACGGGAGGGGAACCGCAGATCTGGGGCTTCGCGTTCTCCGCCGCCTTGATCTCGAGACACGCTCGGAGGCGCGCGCGCGGAACGGAGGGAGCACCGATGCGCCGGTGGACGTTCTTGGACAACGTCGGTGCGCGCGCGGGTGAGACTAGCGGGAGGTGGTGCCGTCGCTGCGAAACCCCGGGGGCGCGCAGCAGGGAGTCTGGCGGGCCCGGGGGTCGAGCTTGCGGCGCGGAGGCGAGAGCTCCGGGCGGCATCGAAGGCGAAGACAAAAGCAGCCGGGGGCGACCGGTGCTGCTAGTGCACGGACGCGCGCCTGCGAATAAACCTTAGATTCGGTGGGAACCCGTGCATCTCTGCGGCGTTGGAGGGGAAGCGGAAGCGGAAGCGTGCAACAGGGAACTCGGGCACGGGAGTGAGCGAGCCTGCACCTCGCCGTATGGCGCGTGGACGAGGCGGGGGAGGTGCGCGGGCTGGTGCGCGGCGGCGGGCGTGATTGAGAGATGTCGATGATGGGCTCGCGGGCGAGGAGAACATTTGTTCCATCTGGCCATCTGCGCGCCGTGCGCGGTGCGGTGATGGTCATCATGGAGGGATGATGGGGCTGCTGGATACGAACTTTGAGCTTGTCCGAGAAGGCAGGCAGAGAGGGGCAGAAGGGAAGCAGTAGCGTTTACTTTCTCAGCTCGGACGGGTTTGATGCGGGGCTGCGCAGCAGACGGGCGCAGCGGAGGGAGGTCACCGGGCTGGCGCTCCCGCTGCTTGGCCCTGCGAAGGACATATTGCTCGGGCGCGGGCTCGGGAAGGAGAGAGGAGGATGCGAACGGTCTGGGTGATCATGATTGTCTGCGGAATGACATTGACATATGCATGTGATGGACAACGGAGGCGCACATCTCGAGTGCGAACAATCGTGACGAACAAGTTGCGGATCAGAGAGAGAGAGCAAGAGGGTGGGCGACTCGAGCGTTGGCCCAAGGTTGCCGGAGACGGAGGAGAAACGAGCGAGAACGGAGAAAGCGGAGGACGGAGGTCGAGGAGGGATGGATCGGGCCGAGAGATCGAGGGCCGGCCGGGAGAAAGCGGCCGCCACGCGGCGACTGACAAGCGGGCGCTGTCTGCGAGGATTGGCTCCCAGCGAGCGGGAAGGCGCCCGCGGCTGAGACGAGGCAATGCACGGGGCGGTGTCTCTCGTCTTCATGGAATGTGCAGCGAAGGCGGCGAGTGCGAGCACGTCCGAGGAGAGCGTGTGCAGCGGCGCGCGACGCAGCGAGCACGGCGAGGGAGGGGGAGGAGAGGGACGAGGAGGGTGATGGATGAAACAGATCAAGCGGAGTGTGAAGTTGCGTTGTTTGGTACGGTCGAATAAAGAGAGGAGGGGGACATCTCATCAAGTCCACTCCGTCCTCTGCTGCTCGTCTCTTCTCTTCTCTCGCCAGTCGCACCCGGTCGCCCTCTCCTGCTCGTGCTCGTGCTCCTGGGTCTGCTGTGCCTCATCCGCACAGCCCTCCTTCCCCTCCCCGCACCGCCTCTCTCCCGCACTCTATACCGCCTCCGTCAAATAATCGACATCATCGCCTGCGCACTCTCCTCCTCCGTTCCTTCCGTTAAGAGCCCAAGCAAGCCATGGATCCTCTCCTGCTCTCATCCGTGGTCCATAACGACCACCACGACTACTCCCACCCCGCGTCCCCCCATCTCTACGACATCTCCCCCCACCCGGGCACGCCCTACGACTCCTTCGACCTCCTCCCGGACACCGGCTCCCACTTTCCCCACACACCCTCCTACAACGGCTCCTACCAGAACTCGCCCTACTCCAACTTCTCGGAACTGCCCCCAATAGACGGCGACGACTCCCTTGGCCTTCTTGTAGACAACCCCTCCGGCATCTCCATCACAGAGGAATACGACCCTTCAGAGTACGACGCGCCTTCATCGGGAGGTCTCATCCTCGAAGAACAGTTCATGCACGGCACCCACGTCTCTGTCTCCCTCACGCCCCCATTGAACGACTACTCCTCTCCCAACGCGTTCGACCACCCATCTCCCGCTTCTAGCAACGGCGCAGAAGACGACAGCCATAGTCACGCGTCCTCCCACTCCTCGTACATGCATCCCTCATCCCCTCGCCCCGACATCTCCCAGTCGTTCCATGACAGTCTGTCCTTCCATTCGCCGGCATGGCCCAACAACTCTCTTCCCGACGACCGTCGCTCACCCCCGCTGAGTAAGCCCCAGTCCCCTCCTCAGCTTCTCATCCCCGACACCACCAGCCCTGGGGGTGCGGGCGTCGACTCTCCGCCTATCATCAATGCCCCCGATGGCGACGGCGGTCTGATAGGCTCCGGCCCGACGTTACAAATAGTTCCCGCCACCCCGGTCAGCGGCGGAGGGGGAAACGCCCGCACGGCGCCGTTCCGGGACCCGCTCGCGAATCAGTCTGGTAAGCAAGAGCCCTCTTTCCCTGACGGTCGCGTCCCGCTCACCATTGAGCGGCAACCTCTAGGCGGCAACGCGAACGCGACCTCATCGGATGGGCAGGACTGGGGCCGCCATCAACACTTTGGCGCAGCTGGCGGCCAGTTCGCCGATCAAGCGTTCTCCTTCCCCGGATCAAGCTCATCTTCGGCGCTCGCCGATGACGGCGCCCAGCAACAGCACTTGTACCAGTCGCAACGAGGCCAGCAGTTCTTGCTTCCGCAGGCACCTCAGCGCTCGCGGAGCCTGTCAGACACCTCCCTACGGCCGCCCCCGGTATGGGATACCATGCCTATGAACAACATGGGTGAACAGCGCCAGGGAGGCACCGTCAATCTTAACGATGTCCTCCCAGGCCCTGCACAGGGGCACTCGTCTGATCCCCTGCTCCAGAACTTCCGCGGCTCGCACCCGTCCTCCGCAGGTCCCCACCAGACGTCCTTCGGCAACCAACTAGGCGGGTTCAACGCTTCACAGTACGCACAGGACTTCCTCACGGTCGACGGCCCCTCAGGCGGCATGCGACGAGCCAAGTCCGACGGCGGTCGGAGCATGCACACCCGCCAAGCGCGATCGCTCGACATCCGCCCATCTAACTCCCTGTCGCCAAACCAGGACATGATGTTCCCTCCCGCGGGCCAGGCAACGCAGGAGTTCATGCGCTTCCTCCACCCGGCCGAGCAGGTCGCTTCAATACGGAACGGCGGACAAGGGCACCATCGGCGGTCGAGCTCCGGCTCGCGAGAGCGCGGGGTCGGCGGGATGATGATGGGCGGCAACATGGGCATGGGCGGCGGTATGGTGGCAGGCTGGACCGGGAGCTCTGCGTCCAGCGCGCGCGCGAGCCCATACCCGAGCCCATCTGCGAGTCCACGCCCGGGCTACGGTCCTCTTCCCTCGCACGACGTCGGCCTTTCGGGTATGGGCGGCGCAGGGATGGGCGGTATGGGCATGGGTGGTGGTATGGGTATGGGAGGCATGGGCATGCAGCGTTCACTGTCGGGCCAGATGGGCCTCCCAGGCGGCGCGGGCATATCGGACGCGATGCGCAACGCGATGACGGCGTCGCCGGCCTCGCGCGCGTCCGTACTGCAGGTGGACATGCCTGGGCAGGACGGGAACGTGCCACTGCATGTTACGCGGCCGCATGTGACGACGCCCAGCACAGCGAAGGCGAGCCACGACAGGCGGAAGCAGCCCGCGAACTTTGCGTGTCCGGTGCCGGGGTGCGGGAGCACGTTCACGAGGCATTTCAACTTGAAGGGTGCGTCGGTTTTCTCGTGGTGGTGGTGTGTAGAGAGTGGGCGCTGACTGGTCTCTGCTTTTCTCTTCTGTTTTGCGCTTGTGTGCGCCTTCCTTGCTGTCTGCGTCCGCTAGGCCACCTGCGCTCGCACGCGGAAGAGAAGCCGTATCAGTGCAAGTGGCCAGGGTGCGGCAAGGGCTTCGCACGGCAGCATGACTGCAAGCGGCACGAGCAGCTCCACCTCAACATCCGTCCCTACCCATGTGAGGGCTGCAAGAAGAACTTTGCGCGCATGGACGCGCTCAACCGGCATCGTGAGTGTCTTTCCTCTTCATCTCCTCCTCTCCTCCCCCGCCCGCCCCGTTCGCTGCATACGATGGTGGCTGACATCGCAGGCTGCACAGTGCGCTCCGAAGGCGGCGCGGAATGCCGGCGGGTCCAGGAGGAGCTCGTGCCCGGGTCGACGGCGCACCTCGACGCGCCCCCGACAGCCGGATCCTCGGCGACGTCGGATAGCGGCGCAGAGGGCTCGGCGCCGCCGTCGGGCGAGGTCAAGCCCGACCCGGACGGCGCGTGGTCGAACGGGGGCATGATGATGTAGCCGCGTCTGCGACATCCCCATCCTTTCGGGGTGCGCTGCGCAGGTCCGGCCGCACCTCTGCGCCCTGGTTGGCTTTTCCGCAACCCTGCTTGTACACGATTCCACGCTTCACGACACAGACGCGCAGGATGCCCCCTCCCTCACTTGGCCCGCGTCTCATGCCCATTGCCATCCTCCCGACTTCGACTTCGACTTTGCCCTTCGACCTCCCGACCCCGACCCCTATCTATGCCCGGCCCTGGTGTCTATCTAACGTACGTCTCGCGGACGCTCCGGCGGGTTCTCGTTGCTATGTGTATCTACGATTCCGTTCCCTGCCCGTGCTCTATCCTACTACGCGCGTTTCAGCATTATGATTACAGACAGACAGACAGTGCCGTCGGGTCGCGAGGCTCCGTGGGCCGTGGGCTTTCTGTCCGCTCGCCCCACCCCACCACCTCCTCCCGCGTCGTCGCTGCAGCAAGCAGAAGAAGCCCTCCCCCCGCCCCCGTGCGTGTACTCTTAACTTACCCGGTGTCCATCTCGCGCTCTGCCTAGTTCTTGCTTTCCCCCTTCCCCTCTTTCTTTACTTTCCCTGTGCCCGTGCCTGTGTCCCCTTTGGCTGTGACTGACGCTGCTCGGTCGTGGTAACGTACTATACTTGCGTTTTTGTTTGATTTTCTCTCATTTTCCTCATGTGCACTTCGTCCCTCCTTCCGCACTACCCACGAAGATTGTAGCCTAGCACCCTGGTAGATACTGGAAGCGTTCCGCTATTTATTGTATGAGAAGAATACAAAGGTTACCAGTCCCTAATTGACGTCGAGGATGAGTGGGATGCGAGTCTATTTCTCGATTCTGCGGCTGTGGAGGAATTCTGTTCGTGGACGGAGATATCTCGATGTCCTGCGATTCGTACAGCCTCAGGACCGTGCGAGTGGAGGCTGTGGCATAGGAAGGTGCATATCCGCATGATAATGCCCATAGTACGGAGACCTCGGCTAAGCTGCGAATGCTCGTCATTAATAGCGGACGCCTTCGAATTCGGTGTGGCGGCACGTCCTCGCGCGGGCGCTGCGGCGTACTTATTTACTGTCCTGCAACGACGACATGTACATACGTCTGATCCATGGAATTGCTCGCTCTTCGTAAAGAGCGTACCGTTTACATACCGAGGATTAAATGTGGCTGTATGCATATGCGGTCATATGTATGCGCATGCGCGTAGGGCGCGCTGCAGCGCGGTGCCGCCTGATGCCGCGACCATCGTCGCCCCCGCGCGGACCGCCTTCCGCCACTCTCCTCCCGACCACCACCATCCATCCTCGGTCTTCGCGGGCGCACATCCCCCGCATCTGTGCGCACAGATACGTCAACTGACGGCGTCAGAAGCAGCTCGGGCACGCAATACACGCACAGCGGGGGTCACAGGATCCGCCCGTACGCACACGGTCTCTCGGGCGCAGTTCACCCATCCTCGCTGCCGTTCCCGCGACGAAGCTTATCTTGCCTTGCGTCCGCATTGAGTGACGGCCTAACGGCGCAGAATCTCCTCGCCTCTTACCACCGCTCGCCCGGCGACGACTGCTACGGTAGCCCCAACGACTTCACTCTGCTCAGGAGGACCAGGAGACCATGGCGCGCGGCCTTTCCACACTTCTCTCGAGCACCGACCCGTGCACGGTGGCGCCGACAAACGCTACCATAGGCCATGTGTGAGTGCTTACGTTACGCTGCTCTATGTTTCGCTGTGGCGAGCGTGTTCTACCCCTGGACGGGCGAGCGCAGCGTACGGGAACTGAAGCTTACACCTTGCTTGCGATATCAGGCAACTGCGCGACGTCCTCATATGCCCACATGACAAAGGCATCGTCAGCTACGCCTGCGGCTACTCTGTTGTCGAACACGACATCTTGAACCCTCACTCGGTGCGTAGTCACCGCGACGCTGCGCCGCCGTTCGCTCACGAGGCGGCACAGACCCCGCGGCGGCTCGTCGACCTCACGTTCACTCCCAACACCATCTCAGCACTGATCCTTCCCGAATCCAATGACACCCTCCTTGCGGCAGGCGGCCAGGAGGCCGAGCTGCATCTGTCTTACTACCAATCCTCCGACTCGTACTCGCCCTCCTCTTCAACTCGCCCGGGGCGCAGTGCCCCGCGAGGCTTCGGGCGTAGGCTGTGGGATAGCAAGTATTTGCTCGAGCACGCATCGATCAACAACTCGGTGATGCTCACCTCAATGAGCTTCTCGCGCTCGAACGAGAGCGCGGTGGAGCCCCGCATCCTGGTCAGCAACAACGACCGCACCGTCAAGTTCTACGACATCGCGATGCGGAACGGCAAGGCTACCGACGACTACGAGCCACGCCTCCTCGACATCGGGCGGCTCGACCTGCCCGTGCCTGTCAACCATTGTGCGTCGCCTTCCACGCACTGTGTCCATCTGCTGTAGTCTGACAGCTCCGCGATTGATAGCCTCGGTGTCGCCCGATGGGCGAACCTTGTTGTGTGTCGGGGACTCGCCGGACGTGTACCTCCACAGAATCACGGGCGGATCCCGGATCTCGTTCGCACCCATCGCGACGCTCTCGCTGTCGTCGTACATCCAGCAATCGCACAGTAGCGCGTTCGCGCCTGTGTCTTCTGTGCCCGCCTCGTTCTCGACGTCGTTCTCCGCGGATGGCTCGAAGTTCGCGGTCGCCTCGCAAGAGGGCGTGGTGGTGGTATGGGACGTACGGAGCACCAAGCCGCTCAAGGTTTTCCACACAGACAAGAGTCGCGCGCCAATCCCCGGGCGGGTGGCGACAGGGGCGGCGAGTGGGTGGCTGTACGACCTGCCATGGGACTGGTCGCGCGGCGGTACGCGCGCGCCAGGCTGGGGTGTGCGAAGCGTCAAGTTCAGCCCGCCAGGCGTGGGCCGCGAAGTCATGACGTTCAGCGAGGTGCGTGTGCCCCCTTTCTCGAGCGCGTCGGGAGTGCTCATGGTACGTCTGGGGCGTTTAGCACACATCACTATTGCATGTCGTGGATGCACGCACATTCGAGACGGAGGAGATAGTCCGCATGCCGAATTTCGACTCCCCGGCGTACTACCCCTCAGTACCTGCGCGTCCGCGTTCGACGTCCCCGGTGTCGCGGGCATTAATGCGCGCCTCCACGCCCTCGGAGCCGCTACCCTCCGACTCACGCCGAATGGTGCTGTTCAACGCCCTAGAGGACACTTTCCGGATACCGACGTCGGACAGCAGCACGACGAGCGGGTGGCGCGTTTCACGACGTATACGCCGACTACGCAGTCGCGACGATCTTCCCACCGAAGACGACCAGGACAGCATCGTCGTCATTCCCCCATTGGGCGACCGTGACGTTGACAGCAATGTGCGGCGTCTCCTCGGGAGGCGGCACAGCTCCCGCACTGCGCTCATCGATGCCGAAGCAGATCCTCGCGAACCTCTGGACGATGGGGGCGACGGTGCACGGGAGGGCGAGGAGATGGATGTGGACGAGCTCGAGAGCGACTGCTTCTCGTCGCGTGCACCATCCCGCTCCGGTTCACCCGCGCCAGCATCACAAATGTCGCTTCAGTCCTCTCCACGCCCCCTAGAACTCCTCCGCTCTCGACCGACACTTCTCGCGCGCCGTGAGAGCAGCGGACCGTACGCCTCGGGCGCCCGCTGGAGCCCCGGTTCTGCGTCAGGCTCGAGGCGGCACCGTCGCGCCCCTGGACAGGCACGGGAGCCTGGCCGCGGCGAGGAGAGCCCGGACGAGGAGCTCGACCTGGCGGGAATGTGCTTCGACCCGAGCGGCACCTTCATCTACGGCGCGAGCGTCAAAGGCATCGCAGAATGGCGGGTGCGCGGCGCGGAGCAGCGGTGGTGGTCCGAGCCCCAATGGGCGTAGGTGGCTCGCCATCCTTCCCGCGAACTTCCTATACACATCCAGCCTTTCCCGCCCTTCTCTCACGCGCTTTGCTTTGATACCTGTCCACTCTCGCTTTCCTGTTTCCTTGCCCATTCATGACCTACACGACCTTCCTGCACGATACTTATTGCTCTTCTGTGGATCGCATCAGGACTGCGTCTCTGTATATTTTCCCCATGTAACACTACGCGCTGTGTACATGTAGCTTCGTACAGCTTGCTCTCGCCCCGCCCCTGCCTGTGTCTCATAGTGCTTGCTTCTCGCAGACGGCGTGGCCCGAGCATGTACCACTACGTTATCTCCTGGAATGGAACTGCGATGTATCACCGGATCTGCTCTCTGGGTCGAGATGAATGTCAACTGCGACCAATATACACTCGAACCGTGCAGCTGGGCGCAGATACGTCGTGTGGGGAATATTGGGGGGATTTCGTGTGCGACGAAAGAGTCCCCGACGTATCACGCAATCAAAGTGTTGCATACCGACCCTGCTCCCAAGCCATCGTGGCGCAATGGTAGCGCATCACCTTCCTATATCAGGAAGTGTCAGGTGGGGGTTGCGGGTTCGATCCCCGTCGGTGGTAGTCGGTTACTTTTTGCTCACCTGCCATCGCGATCGTTGCGCTGCGCCCCGTCGGCTACGAGAAGAGAGAAACGTGTTCTCGTATGTATTAGCCGGTCCCGGTGAGAAGGATCTGGTTGGTCATCGTGGTGAGTTGTGTGAGCCGCCGGGATCACGAACAATAACATCAACAGACATTGGAAGCTTAATAGGGTTGACCATAGGCTGTTCGCATTGTCTTCGCCCTCCCGACGGTAGCACTCAGCACTGGCTTCGGGGATCGCCATCTTTGAGGGGCAGCTCAAAACTTCGGATGACAGCGGTCGATCGAATATAAGGACGTGGAGGTCGCGCCAGATCGTGTTTTGATTGCTTTCGCCCGTTCCTACTACACCCCCATTCCACGGCAGACAACCTGAGGCTGCCACACACTCTACCTCAGTACCAACGTCTCGACAGCTCCGTTTGCCATGGGCCAAGACTGGAAGTTGTACGTCTGGCTCATCCTCGCCGTCTTGTTGTATGATCAAACCGGCTCACTTTAGCACTTGGTGCTCATTGCAGCTTCAACCTCAGTAGGATGCAATACGAGTATCCGAACGGCGGCTACAAGCTTGGAATAATATTCATGGCAAAACAACCATTTCTCGTTCGCAGTTTGACCATACCATATCCTCTGTAAGCCCTCGCCACTATATTCGCTTTCATCAACTGCTAACTACACGTATTCAGGCCGAAACTAGCAAAACTGCTCGCAAACTGTCCCCCACCCGGCCCCATCGCGAAGAAAGGCCTCCTCTCGCTTCCAGACGAGCTCATCGACATCATCCTCTACCACGATGACCTGCCGATACTCGACAGTATCTGCCTCGCCGTAACGTGCAAGAAGATCCTCGCGGTCGCCGAAGACGGCCTTCTCAAGCACGGCCGCGACTTCGGCTCCGCCTTGTGGGCGCACTGCCGGATCGTGTGCCTCGGCGAATACACACAGCTCGACAAGGCCCCGGACAGCCTGTTTCCCCCGAACCTTCAGACCAAAATCCATGCCGGGCTCAAGAAGATAGGCATGGCCGTCGACGAGGTCTCCTACGGGGGACTGCTCGATATCGAGAATCTCTGCGGCCACGCGTCGATCTGGTTATACCGTGGCGTGCACGAGAACAGGCGCTATGTAATGAAACTCCCGCGGCCCGACCGCGACCTGTTCGTCGCCGCCGCCGCGGTGACGTTCCCGAAGCGCGACGACTGGGCGCTGCTTAACACCACGAAGTACGAATACGTGCGCGCGGGCCCCATCGCGGAGCTGGGCGGGAAGCCGCACTCGGTGCAGCCGTTCCTGGAGGATTGCCCGATCGACCTCGGCACGGCGCTGTACACACGGTTCTGCTACTCGTTCAGCCAAGACACCGCGATGGTAAACACGTCAGTCAACATCCACCGGGGGAAGTGGGTCGGCGACCGGTTTGCGATCGACACACTCGAGCGCGCGGTCCGGAGCGACACGGAGAACAAGTGGAAGGACGTGACGTTCGAGGTCGTCGAGGACATCAGGGCGATATACAAGGACCAATGGCCGGAGGACTGGAAGGTGCAGCTCAAGAGATTCCATGGCCCGTTCGATTACGCGTGCTACAACTGGGACCAACCGTGGCACATAGGTGACCTGCTTCCATCCCCGGAGGAGGAGATACGTCGAGAGCGGCGGCGGCAAGGCATTGTTGACTTAGAGTAGGAGACTGTCAAGAGCGAGGCAAAGTGGACACCTATACTCTCATTGATTATATATGCTTTCGAGGAAGCGACGTTCATGACGCTTACTATTATGTGTATGTACGGCGGCACTACGATAATCCGCACGGCATGCCCGGCGTGCAACGCCGACGCTGCACTTTTCGAAAATGTGATCATTCGGGTTCCGCCCTACTGTCTCGTACAATTCCTTGCAGAGACTGGTGGCCATGTCCCGACATTTTGATCCAACATAGCGAGCTGAGCGCTGATAGCTTTGGTACTCACACAGACTATGCACGGTCGCATTATGCACTGGGATTAAAAGGGTCCTACCGCTCAACACCGGGTGTCACTTTTTACGGTCGTCTACAGATCACCCTATTGGGAGCACATATACGTAAGATAAAACTCAAGGGTCGAGGAGAAAGGTTCGCATCCGCACCTCTCCATCGTCGACCCGATCCCACTCTCTTTCAAACTCCTTTTCGAGTAGCTCAGTCTCCACATGATCGACCCTCGCCAGTTTCGTAAAGGCGAGCATACGGGCGGCGGCACCGTCATATTCGTCCACAGTGTACGCCACCGCTCCCGTTCTGGGCCACACCCGCGGATGCGAGATGACACCCGTTTGAGCGGGTGTCCACGCGCGGCCCGCGCGCTGGCTAGCTCCCGTAGACGCTCCATGACAGCCCGCGGGGGCCTGTCGTGCACATCCTTATGTCTGTTCTTGCGCACGCGGGGCCAGTCGATCCACAGCCGCACCAGTTTCGGACACGTTACCGGCACTACGGCTGCGGCAGATTGCGCTCCATCGGTGTTGACTTGCAGCGCCTCGAGCATAAAATCCAGGTTCTGCGAGACCTGGTCCAGGGAATTGGATAGCCTGCCCTTGGGTGCGACGCGCAGTAGGACAAGACGCGGGAACGCGCAGAGGATGGAGAAAGGGCGTGAACCGCAGAGCGTCCACAGAAACATGCCGTCGATCGAGAGCTTGCAGACCGACGCGAACTCTGGTGCGGGGAAGGCGCCACGCAGGGTGATCGCTATCGCTGGATACTCTGCGACGCGCGACGACTCTACCGCAAGAGACACGGAGAGAGAGGCGTCCTCGGTCGAGAACTGGAGGCTGATGTGACGGTTGATGAGCAGACCGATCCTCAGGCGTGTGACGGAGCGGATGCGCGGAAAGTGCCTCACGGAAGGAAGCACATCTTGAGGGAGCATGAAACCGAACTCGACTGCACATAAGGCTGGAGTCATCACTGAGATGAGCAGTGCGTCTCGGAACTCTTGGATGCGCCCGTCCTCTCCGATGTCGTTTTGATGCTTCATCTCGAGTCTGCGGAGGTGCGGAAGGTTCACACGAGGTGTGTGAGGGTGAGCTCGCATTTCGTGCAAATATCCGAAGATGAGGGTTTGTAGCTGGGGTGCCGACGAGAGAAGGCGTAAAAGTTGGCTGAAATCGCCCTCTGAGCACGGGCCAATGATGGAGAGGGATGTCAGTGCTGGATATGAGCTCGAGGGGATGCATGGTGGGCGGCGGAGCTCTAGGGTGCGGAGCCGTAGTGAGTCGCAGAATTTGTAGGGATCTGGGCTTTGGGTGTCAATGGCGTGATTGATCCAGGCGCAGCGTTCGAGATTGGGTAAGAATGGGAGGGCCAGTCCGGCATTGGAACGCATGTCGTCTGAACCCTCCACATAGAGCTCTCGTACACGCTCGCGCATATCTTCAAGTTTGTTTTGTACTGCGCTGGCACTGCGGTCCCGGATATCACGAAGGATGACGTATAGAGGACCATGAGTGCATCGGTGAATGTAGCGCTTGTACAATGCGACATTCTGAGGCCATTCGTCGAGAGAATCGTCCGATAGGACTGTTGACCATAGCGACGGCGTTACCAGTGCCAAATTGCGCCATTGACGACAGACAGCAGTGAGTGGGCAAAGGTCTTCGACTTTCCACATGTTCTCCGACTGAAACTCGACAGGAATGGCTCCTGAGTTGCCAGACCATCGTCGAGGTACATCCTCGAAGATCTTGAGGAGTAGCTCAGGTGGCAGTCGGGCTACGGGGGAGTACGAGTTGATGATTCCGCGGACGGTCTTGACGACATCGAATGCGAGCTGATCGAGCAAGCGCAACTGGTCGACTGGATGTCAATGCCATATCTTGTGAAACGTCTCCACATGTCCCTACATTTTCAATATCTAGGGTGCTGGGTTGAGCAGCGGTGAGTGGGTGATATTCTGCCGAGAGGTCTGGGTTGCGATGAGCACATACCTCTGCCCGAGATCTAAGCGATGGCGCTCTCGGCGCACAGACGCTAGGAGTGATTCGGCGAGCTTGATAGGCTGAGAAATGTGTGCGTTCATGTCGACCTGCATCATGGTCAAGTCCAAATGTTGACGGTGGACGACGACGAGCGACGACGGCGACGATGAGTCTTTGAATACTATCCGGCGAGGAAGCCACGCGTCATATTGGCGCTCATATATGTTGCCGCATGCATCGCTAGCGCTTCTCCTCCCCCCATCCGCCTAGCCATATTCGCCATCTACGGGGCGCAGCATCGCGCTCAATCAGACTTTGACATAAACTCAGTGGGGCGCCGAAGTTTTCGTCCAGCATCCTCTCATTGCAGAACGACGACGTGTACATGCTGCTTCAGGTACGGGAGTTCCAGGGCATATACTGATACTCACGCGCGACGCAGAAGTTGCCGCCCGCCACCGATGCACTGGCAACAATTGTTGAGCTTGCGCCGTGTCTCGCTCGCCATCGGGTACGTCCATATATTACCCGGTGCTGGGGTGGGACAGGCAGTGCCGGTACCAATAGCACATAAGCTCCATTGGGCGCACCGATTGTCCTCCCTCCCTGGCTAGATTAAGCCATGATCGAGAGGTGGCTAAGTTGCAGCTTTATATCACAACAATAACCCTCTCCAAAAACATATAAACTAGTACCTGCACGCCGCTGCTGGGCCTCTCGTTACTCACCGCCATCACCGCTGAAGGTCCCCTCGAAATCAACATCTCCACTACAGTCACATCGACCATGGGTCAATACTGGCAGTTGTACGTCTGTCGCATCGATACTCACTTGTATGATGTGGCTGACTCTGTTACTCGCCATGCTCAGCTTCAACGTCAACAGACTAGAGCAAGCGGACCCGGAGGGTGGGCTCAAGCTCGGAAGTATCCTCTTCTCCAAACAGCCGTTCCTCGTGCGCAGTTTAGCCATGCCCTACCCTGTGTAAAGTATTCCTCTCAAAGCTTTCGTTCGGTCCGTGCGCCTGACACAACATATGCAGGCCTGAACTCGCAGGATACCTCGCAAACACCCTCCCACAGGGTCCTATCGCGAAGAAAGGTCTGCTCTCGCTGCCGGACGAGCTTCTCGACAAGATCCTCAATGACGCCGACCTACTCGTCCTCGACGGCGTATGCCTCGCCATCACATGCAAGAAACTGCTCCTAATCGCCGAGGGGAGCTTGCTTAAGGCATCCCGCGTCTATTGCTCCGCCGGCTGGGCGCACTGCCAAATCGCGTGCCTCGGAGACTACGCAAGCCTCGACAGCGTGCCCGAAAGACTGCTGCCCCCCGCACAAAAGGACCGCATCCTCGAGAAGCTCAAGGCGAAGGGCCTCGGTCCCGAAGATGCCCGCGGCTACGCCGGTCTCAGCGAGATCAGCATCGAGCCCGGCCAGTATCGCGGTGTGCGTGATCTGGGATCGTTCATGGTGAGACTGCCCATGCCGGACCGCCGCCTGTTCGTCGCCGCGCTCGCCGTGACGTTCCCCGCGCGCGACGACTGGGCGCTGTGCATCACTACGAAGCGCGAGTACGTGCGCGCGGGCGCGCTCGCGGAGCTGAGCGGCCAGCCGGGGGACGTCCAGCCGTTCTTGCAGTCGTGTGCGGCCGACCTGGGCACGGCGCTCTTCACGCGGTTCTGCTTCTCGCCCGACGACAGCTGTGCGATGGTGAACGAGTCGGTCAAGATTAACGAAGGGAAGTGGGTTGGCGATCGGGTCGCCATTGATACGCTCGAGCGGGTAAAACTGGGCCAGCCGGAACAGGAGTGGAAGGACGTGACGGAGGAGGTCGTCGCGGATATCAAGGATATCTACCAGGACTAGTTCGATGAAGACTGGGAAGAGGAGCTCACGAAGAATCGAGGACCATATCGATCCTGGTATTTCCAATGGGACGATGCGCACGAGTTGGACGCGCTGCTACCAAGCCCGGAGGAGCAGAGGCGCCGTGAACTCCTGCAGGAAATGTTTCGTAAGATGTGGGAAACACCTGGTGATATTTGAAGAGCGTATGTGTGTGTGTATGTTAGGCTAGCTCAACCAATTCAATGTATGTTTATCCAATGTGTACTATCAGAGTCGTGAGCACCAGTAGCCATGGCTTTTCGATTGCAATCGGCCCATTAGGAGGGCCTTAGGCCTAGGGCACGTATTACACAAGCACTTAGTATTAGCAGCGATTAGGTATAAATGTCTTCCTCCCGATGCACTGTACCAACTCCAAACATTGGATGCCGGGAACGAGCGGGTCGGGGGCGCGTCGCGATCACGTGATGCAACAAATGAGCCACGACGTGATCGGCGCCTACGCCTCGTCGGCTAAGGACGATCGTTCAAGTCAACGTCCACCACCGCCACGCCTCTTTCTCTTCTCACCTCCGCCTCCTCCTGCTCTCTCCCCTCACGACACTCACGACCACCCACACTGCGCACGACGACCATGGCCAAGCCACGCAACAGTGTCTTGTACCTCTTCGATCCTCTCCAGCAGTCGCCCTCTACCCCACGCCGCGACTCCTCGCCCGAACTAGGCGCTTCTGACAAGGAGAATGACATCTCGGTCGGCGACGTCACGATGTTTTTCAACCGCATGTATGCTGCTCCCAAAGCACAGGACGCACGGCCGCAGACCCCCAAGGGTCAGTTGATCGACTTTGGTGACACGCCCGCCCAGGGCATGCTCTGGGACGACACCGTGCACGACGGTAGCGATGCGGACGAGGAGCAATCTGAGAATGAGGGGGAGAATTCGGGTGCCGTTGTTGCTCCTCGGACGCCTCTGGCTGAATTGTCTGTGGAAGACACCCCGAGGCCGCTGCAAGACTCCCGCCGCCCGCTCCTGGCCCCCGCATTTGCTCCTACGTCTCCGTCTCCCAAGGAACAACCTCTCCGAGCGCTGCTCGCCGCACCGCATGGCTCCCCGTTCGCAGAAGTAATCAACTCGATCACCTTTTCTGCCTTGAGCATCGCCGATGACACCACGACCACTGCAGACCAACCTCCTTTGTTCCGGAAGGAGGTCTCCGAAGACGGCCGTATTCCGTCTCCGTTTCCCGAGATCACTATATGCGCTCCCGAGACGCCAAGTGTAGCTAATTTCGATCTCGGGCACAACGAAGAGCCTATCGAGACACCTGCGACGAGCCAGTCCAGGCTTCGTCCCACATCGGCACTCACTCAGCTCTCTCCGGACGATCCTCGCCGGACGTCAGTCGACTTGCATTCGTCCTTCCACCTTCACATGCAGTCCGACGACATGTCCTTTGATTTACTGAACGACAAGATCTCTTTCTTGGGAAACGCGCAGGACTCGTTCTGGGCTGGGGCTGACGACACAATGTTCGACTTCGACGAGGAGAACTGTAAGCCCGCCACAAAGGGCATCAAGAACAGGCTTGCACCTGTCGAAGAGCAACCGATGGAGGAGACTCGACGTGTCTTCAGTCCACCGAAGGTTGCCATCGACGTGCTTGTGGCGAACTCCCCTGTCACGGCCGCCATGCGTGTGCCGCTACCCATGTCTCCGCCGCCATCGACCCCACGATGTAAGCTCTATCATGTTATATACCCCGTCCACGTGCTGACTCTTTAGCAGTCGATTCGCCTCGCATATCGGCGGAGCATGTCGCGATGCCGCCCTCACCACCGACCTCGCCCGTGTCCCTTGACGAGCCGTCTCTCATGATGGAGTTGGAGCCATTGCCACCGCCCGTGCCTGTGCCAGCGTTGCGCATCATGAAGAAGACTTTCAAGATGACCGGCCGGATTTACAGTACTCCGCCGGCCGCTGAGACATCAGATCCTGTACCCGCCAGGCAACCCGCTGAGAAGCTCGACCCTGTCACCAAGAAGTCTTCTCCTACGGCCGCCGAAAGTCCTGCTGTCGCCGCCCCTGCGACAATCTCGGCACCTCAGCCTCAGCACCCGCGCCCCAACTACCGCGGTGTGCAACGTCCGCCCGCGAGCATGCTCGCTGCGGGCGTGGTGATCGGGCTGCCGCCCCAGGGATCCTCGCACAACACCTCGACGTCGACGTCGAGCTCGAGTTCCGCCGGCAGCTCTGCCTCTCGCGCCGCTCGTCCTCAAGACGGATCCCGGTTCGCAGCGGCGGGCATCCAGCGCCCGGCTTTGCCGGCCAAGGAGCGCAGTGTGCCGCGCAGTGCGACTGCGGTTCCTGCGAGGCAGGTCAAGGCCCCCTCTGGCATCTCTCGAGCTGCGTCGGCGAGCGCGGCTGTTCTGAGGTCCGCCGTTGGAGCTAGCGGACTGCGGCCGCCCTCCCGTATTGCTGCGCCGGGCTCGGGCGCGGGGTCGACGCTTCCGCGGCCGGCGTCGAGGCTTCCTGGGCCGTCGGCGGTCGGACTCTCGCGGACGGCGAGTACGACCAGCGGGATTGGCCGCCCTCGCTCAGTGACTGCTCCCCGTGTCCCGACTGGAGGGCGGTTCTGATTTCCATGGTCCCCGTTCTCCGGGCTCGCGTAGAAGATCCAAGTCTCGCTCTGCCTAGCTGTCATCCCCCGCTGCATCTCACGCCCGCACATATAATTGACACATCCTCGCATTCGCCCCTCCGTCATCTGGAACCCAACATACATACGCATATACGCACATACCGACCGGACGCCGCTGTGGCCGTCCGCGCCGCCCCGTACAGATTCATTATGCCCCGTCATTTATGGTTTATGCCTAGCGTTATCCCCCATCCCAACGTCCCTCGCGCCCTCAACAGCAACATCGCCTCTCATCACTGTGTTTTCACTGACTACAGCCGTGTGCACATCGTTGTTCACGTCCGCGTTTTCGAGCTTTGATTTATATGTCACGAATCGATTCCGTCCGTCCTCGACATCATCCGTCCATCCATCCCATCCTGGTACACTTCTATTTCCCGTCATCACGTCGAGTCTCCCCCCTGTGCATAGCTATCCATATCCGTTGCGTATGTCATTCGTTGTTGCTCCCCTTGTCTGCAGATAGCGTCTTCCCTGCGTGGTGGAGAATGGCATCGCGAACGACTGCATCTTGATTGTGAGTTGCCCTCCCTATGAGAATTGTACTCACATGCGAGACACAAATACGTATGGAATTGCACGGATGTTTCATGAACAAGTGAGTACCGTTCTACCCAGGTTGGTTCCATGCTGATACATATGCTGGAGATATCTGGATGGACATCCAAGCAGCGGCTACACAAACCTTCTCGTCCATATCGTCCAAGAAACAATTCGTGACTAGCACTGAGTGACGAGCTACTTATACTCAGGCTGCAGGGTGCGCACCCGCCAGGTCGTTTTGCAGTCGCTATTATCGAGGTACCGCAGTGCTCAGCGCTCGCGAATTGACTGACCGTCTTCTGCAGGCGCTGCTCGTATCGAGTTCCCACCATGTGTCAATCTGCCAGGCGCACGCCGAGGCTGTCCAAGGCGACGCAAATAAGTACGTATCTGTTCAGCAGGACCTGGCATGGGGACATTGTATCTGGGAGCGTGTCCCAGTCGACGTCGTCTTCCTGCGCCTCTTCTCCCCGACGAGTCAATGAGTCACCACCATCATCCCAAAAGCCACAGAGCACGCCCAACCTCCCTACATATTCATCCGCCGTTGCGAGCGGCGTACACGGGAGCAATGCTATGACCAGTTACCAGTGTGGACATCAAACAAAACGTCAGTACCGCAGACGTCGTCATAAAGGACCTTCAGCTTACATGTTCAAGACAGTATGCGGCTGCTCGATACGCACACGGGGGCCTTCGTATGGATCAACAATCCGTCCGACGTGCGGTACGCCATCCTCTCGCATACCTGGTCCCCCGACGGCGAGCAGCCGTACCAGGACCTCCTCAAGATCCAGGCGGCGCGCGACCAGGACGCATCACAGGAGTCCCAGGAGACATTACAGGAGTCCCAAGAGACCTCCTTTTTGGACGACCCCGCCGTGTCCTACAAGATACGTGGTGCGTGCGCGGCGGCGCGCGAGGACGGCTACGCGTTCATCTGGATCGACTCGTGCTGCATCGACCAGTCGAGCAGCGCGGAGCTCTCGGAGGCGATCAACTCCATGTTCGAGTGGTATCGCATGGCAAGCGTGTGCTACGCGTACTTGTCTGACGTCGAGGACGACGATGACGTCCTCGCTGAGGGCTCCCAGTTCGCGTGCAGCCGATGGCATACCCGCGGGTGGACCCTGCAGGAGCTCCTCGCTCCGGCCGTCGTGGTCTTCCTCACGCAGCGCTGGAACGCGTTCGGCACAAAAACATCGCTTGCGGACATCCTGGAGCGAATCACTGGCATCGACCGCGCAGTGCTCACCGGCGAAGCCACGCTCGATAGCGTCAGCGTCGCGCGACGCATGTCCTGGGCCGCGACGCGCACGACCACACGTCCGGAGGACGAGGCGTACGCGCTCATGGGCCTCTTCGACGTCAGCCTTCCGACAATATACGGCGAGGGCCGACGTGCGTTCCTCCGGCTTCAGGAAGAGATCCTGCGCAACATCCCGGACCAGAGCATCCTCGCCTGGCGTGGGCCGCTTACGCGAACGACGACGCTCCCGTGCGGCGGCTGGGGCCTCCTTGCGCGCTCGCCTGCGGACTTCGAGCACGCCGCAGACATCACCCCGGTGTCAGACGAGGACTTCGCGGCACGGCTTGGCCTGCCTTTCACGACCCTTCTGCCAGGGTTGCACTATGCGCTGACCCCGCATGGAGTCCGGACGCGCTTTTATGCTGCTCATGCACGACACCTGGAGGGCGCCCCTGCGTTTGTCGGATGTCCCGCGCGCGATCGCACCCTGGACGCGAAGGGTGGCTCCGCTTATGACTTCTGCGCGATCCTCCCGTGCCAAGACGGGAGTGGCCGGCTCGTCGCGCTTCCGCTCTGCGTCTCCGCGAACCCGGGCACGCCTGGGTTATTGGTAGGAACCTGTCGTGAAGGCTTCGCGCACTGCGCGTTCACCGCCCGGACGTTTGCGCTCGACCCGGACGACATCGGCGCATGCCTATCGTTGTTCACCGTAATGGAGCTCTGCGTGCAGCTCTCGCTAGCACATGCTCCTGGGCGCGGTGCGGGCGGCCAGATTGCTTGGACGTGCTCTCCGACAGCGTGGACACGTTTAAAACTCGCGCCGTACCCGTGGTGCTCCTCGGTGCTCTCCAGACAGGGATACCGACTAACATACGACCCGCCTACACATCCGAGAGCGCACGAACGCACGCATATTCACGTCCTCAAACTCCAAGACCGAGCGGCCCACGACAGTGTGTCCATTCACATCGACTTCGTGTGGCATCGACAGTCCGGAGGCTCCTATGTCTTCCCTGCGTTCCGGGTGTTGTACCACCCACGCTCTTACGATCATAGCACGGAGGGAGGGGCCAGGGAGTCGCAGGCATTGGCGTGTGCATGTGGGGCCGAGACAGCGCACTCGCATGTGTCCCTCACGGGCTCCCAGGAGGTCGCTCGGTCGCACTACGAGTTCCAGCACGCCCCAGATATCTCCCCCGGTGCGTTGCATTTGACCCTGGCTCGTGAGCACCGCCTGGACAAAGGCCCCGACTCGGATTTTTGGCTCACAATCGAGGTGTCTGGCACATTCTTCGCGGGCCCAATGTCTACTGCAGATTCGGACTCTTCCTCACAGTAACGACGTTGTAAAATGCAGACGTGAGCTGGGTTGAAGTGGCGTGCGACGTGATAATATACAGGTGGCGGATGGTTGTGTAGTGGGGCCCTGCTCTAAGCCGAGGCGACGCGGCCCATTAGCTGTAGTAGTACGTACGTATTAGCGTCCCCCGCCACATCCCATGACGGCGAAACGGCAGTCGGCCTGTGTCGACATCTACGTGTGTCGCGTGCAGCGTCTGCATCCTGCGCGGCCGCACCCTAACGGAGCGCACCACGGCAGATATACAAGAGGGGTTGGTTCGCCTCGGGGGTGGCGCTGGGGGGTGGCGCGTGGAGGCGAATGGTGCAGGCTGCTTAGAGCGAGAGCGTGTCCTTCCAGCGCTCGGCGACTGCCTCCCCGCGGAAGACCTCGTGGAGGACCTCCTTGACGTCCTCGACGTAGACGAAGCGGATGCCGGTCTTGACGCTCTCCGGCACGTTCTCCTCGATGTCGGGGCGGTTGCCCGCAGGCGCGATGATGGTCTTGATGCCTGCACGGTGAGCGGCGAGGATCTTCTCCTTCAAACCACCAACGGGGAGCACCATTCCAACCAACGAGATCTCACCCGTCATCGCTAATCACGGATGTCAATATTCTTCCAGCCGCAACATGTATAGCAGGACTCACCAATGTCGGGGTTAATCTTCGTCTTCGTGAAGAGGGACACAAACGCTGACAGGAGCGCAGTGCCTGCACTCGGGCCCTCCTTGCCAATGCTGCCCTCAGGCATATGCACGTGGATGTCCCGGTCGGTGAGGAAGAGCTCGTCCGGCGTCTTCGTAATGCCGAGCTCGTAGGCGTGGCTCTTCACCCACGAGAGTGCGATCTGCGAGCTCTCCTTGATAACGTCGCCGAGCTTTCCGGTAAGGAGGATGCCACCCTTGCCAGGCATGGACTGCAGGGTGTGATATGTCAACACGTAGCTACGTCTTGACTGCAGGAAGACTCACGATGGCTTCGATGGGCATGACAGCTCCAGAGCCGTTACCGAGGTACCCGAGGCCGGTACTCACACCAGCGGGAGGCGCCTGAACGTACAACCTGTCCTTCTGGTAGACCGCGGGGCCGACGTACTCCTTCAAGCTCTCCGGGGTGATGCGCACGTGCACGGTCTCGGGTACCTTGACGGGCTCACGCTGGACGGTCGTGACAATACGCTCCTTCTCTTCCTTCTCAGCCGCTGAGGTGTGGGGAGTGGAGGTCTCTGGGGCTCCGGGAGTGTCTGGCGGCGCATCCTGCTTCTCCACCGCAGAGGAGGCCTCAGCAGATTCGTCCGACTTCGCCGCGTCAACAGCCGCGGTCTCCACCGCCGGAACGGGAGTGGGCTCGGGGAACACATCTTCACCAAGGTCCCGCACAATCTTGAGGGCAGCCTTCCGGTAGATCTAGGGATATACTGTTCGAAAGCAAATCCTGGTGCACATTGATCAGCGACGTACCTTGTCGATGTGCTTCTTCAAGTTACGGACACCACTTTCGCGGCAGTAGTACTTGATGAGGACGTCGACAGCTGACGGCTCGAGCTGCACGTCGGCCTCCTTGAGTCCTGCAGCTTCCTTCGCTTGGGGACCAAGGTACTTGGAGGCGATCTGGGCCTTCTCCTCGGAAACATAGCCGCTGACTTCAAGGACCTCCATACGGTCCAGTAGGGGTGCTGGGATCGTGTCGAGCATGTTGGCTATGGGAGACGTGGTAAGTATCAAAATCGTTCAAGGGCCTAGTGAACGTACCTGTGCACACGAAGAGCACGCGGGACAGGTCAACCGGGACGTCCATGCTAGAGAAAATGATGTTAGTCTTTCTTGCACCTTTAATATGAACTTTATGCTCACTAGTGATCAAGGAAGGCTGTGTTCTGCTCCGGGTCCAACATCTCGAGCAGGGCGCTCGCCGGGTCACCGTTGTGTCCGCGGCCGATCTTGTCAACCTCATCGATAAGCACCAGCGGGTTCTCGGTGCCTACACGCTTGAGCGCCTGGATGATCTTGCCAGGAAGGGCTCTGCATGAGATACTGTGTCAGCGTGCAAATGTCTTCTAGGTGCATGCACACATACCCGACGTATGTGCGTCTGTGACCCTTGATTTCCGCAACGTCGGTCAAACCTCCGACGGAGAAGCGGAAGAACTGGCGGTTCAGAGCACGAGCGATCGACTTGCCGATAGACGTCTTTCCAACACCCGGGGGCCCAACCAAGCAAATGATTTTGCCCTCGACGGTGCCGCGAAGCTTCCCGACAGCGAGGAACTCCAAGATGCGGTCCTTGACGTCCTTCAGGCCGTAGTGATCCTCGTCCAAAACGGTCTGCGCGTGAGAGATCGAATAGTTCTCAGGCGAATGACGACCCCACGGAATCTGAGAGACGGTAGCGCGTCAGCAGGGGGGTCCTTGCAAATCTATGCCCGACGTACCTGCGTGAGCCATTCCAGGTAGTTCCGGGTTACGTTGGCCTCTGACGCGGCGGGCTCGAGATGCTGGAGCTTGTTCAGCTCCTCGTCGAAGACCTTACGGACTCCCTCGGGCATCTTGAGTGCGGCTGCGCGCTCCCTGAACTTCTCGATCAGCTTATCCTTGCCGTCCGACTCCATGCCGAGCTCCTTCTTGATGCCCTTGAGCTGCTCCATGAGGTAGTACTCGCGCTGGCGCTTGGCAATCTTGCTGTCCACATCGCGTGCGAGCTTGCTCTGGAGCTGAGCGTTAATAAGCTCCTTCTTGAGCACGAGTAGGGCCTTGCGCAAGCGGTCGTCGACAACCAAGCTCTCGAGAACATCTTGCAGTTCGTTCGGGTCCCCAGTGGATACTGCAGCAGCGAAATCTGCGAGCTTGTCCGGCTCGTCGAAGACGTTCGACGCGACCTGGTTGATGGAGAAGTTGGCAATCTGATCCCGGAAGAGAGGGTTGAGCTGAGCGATGTCCTTGAACACAGAGACGATCTCCGACATGAATGCGCGGATGTACTGGTCGTCCTTGTTGTACGGCTGAGTAGCGAGGTTATCCACGTTGACGACCGAGACGGAGAACTTCTCGAGGAAAGACGTCTGCATGGTCATCGGCGGACCGTCGCGCTCGGGAGGGGGCGTCGGAAGCTGGACCTCGGTCTCCGTGGTAGTGTCTGCCTGTGCACTCTCTACCGGTTCGACTTTCGCGAGTTGACCAGCCTTCACAAGTTCCGTGATCCGGATGCGGCGGTGAGGGTATAGGACTGCAGTGAGCCCTTCCTCCTTCTCGCCTTCCTTGTTACTGGATGCCGTGAAAACGCTGGTGATCTGCGCGAAGACGCCGACAGGATGTACCGAGTTGATGTCCGTAATGATGTCACTGTCCGCGTTCTCGTCCTTCAGCAAGAAGGCACCGAGGTAGGGCTGGCCGCGACGCATCATCTCCTTGATAGCTGAGACCACCTCGGGGTTCCGGATGACCACTGCCTTGTAGAAACCAGGGAAGAGCGGACGACGAGCGATAGGCAGAGCGAGGACCTGAGGGTAGTTTTCCGGGACAGACTGCTTGGAAATAGACGTTGGTGACGGTGGTGGGGATTCTGGCGGAGGTGACGCCGGTGGGTCCGCACTGTCTGATCCATCTCCAGAAGAAGATGAAGACGAGGAGGGAGGGGCGGAGGGCGGCGTGGATGCCGGTGGTGGGGACTGGCCATCTTCTGCACTGTCCAACCGTACACCTGTCTGTGACGAGTCCGCATCGTCAGGCAAATTACTTGACTGCTGGTCGCGTGGTGCGCCCGACTTCGAGTTGTTGACCCAGCGAGGAAGGCGGAGTGCAGTCGTGGGTGTGTAATCAGTGACCGTTGACGAGTAGAATGTGCGTCGAGCAGATAGATGGGTTCTCGTAGCAGACAGAGCTGCCCGAGAAGGTCCAGCAGAGACCATCCATCTTGAAGGACCTGGGTCGCCTAACCGCCGACTACATGTCCGCGCGGAGCCTGTCGCTGTTCGTATGCTTCCGAAGATGTTCATGCGCTCCGCCGGAGGTCAAATAACCTGCCTGAGGCTACGTGTAGCGAGGACAGGGAGGAAAAGAGAGGCAGGGATGGAGGAGGGAGAGAGGGAAAGAACCGGGGATGAGTAAATGCGCGACCCAGCGGGAGATGCGTCAGAAAGCGCGAGTGTGACGCGTCACCGGAAACGGACGACTTTTATCTGATAAGATGCGATTTCCTCCGGGTATGCTTAGATAAGATAAGATGTTGTTTCGCTCAGCCTGGGAACTGCAGCACGACGGCGCACCGACCTTGTCATCAGCGCTCACCTGCACCAATGTCCTGCTCATCATAGCCTCCAAATACAAGAACAATGTCCGATAAAAACGCTTCTATCGTTAGGAATGCGGAGAAAAACAATGACAAACTCTTCCCAATATTCCAGAAGAACCTTTCCAGCGACAATCTCGCCGAGTTTGCCACAGCCGCGGATAAACTGTCGGGATGGCTGAGCAGGGACAAGGCATATTACACGAGGGCTAGGCCTATGGTGAGTATTTCCCATGGCGAGCTGAGATCCATATGCTGAATGCGTGTCGAAGATCATATCGCTGATGGAGGTATGGACACCGTTCCTTTGTCCACCGGAGTGATTCGCGCTGAGAACGGTACGCAACAGACCGCACACGAGACTGTTCTCCGCCACAGTAGATCCACCGCCCCCTTTCACGTGTCCAGAGTCACAGACGACGTCAGGCCATGGGCAGATGCATATGTGAAGATCCTGCGGACCGTGATGCATTTCGCCATGCTCTTCTCGGAGAGCGCCCTGCAGCGTGAGCCCGTCCCACGCCCTCTGCTTCTTTGTGTCCGCGCAGCTGAACATTGAACACCGCTCTGTCTCCGCGTGAAGTGCGTCTCCGGAGGTTGTTGCAGGCCCTGTGCGACAACGTTGACACCTTCCTGTCGCAGCAGACGCTCTTCTCCCCGTCCGCGACAAACAGCCCGATTGCCTCGTGAGTATCTCTCGACGCCAATGCCGCTTACTCCCTCCCCTCCAGCCAGTCGAAAGGGTAGCATGCGCACAGATCCCGCTCGGATGAAAGGCTGACGCCGTGCGATAGTGTAGCAGGAACACCCGGGGCGCCGTTGCCACCTCCGAGCGCTTTGCATCCCACCGCCGCTCCCTTGCAACCGGTTGTACCAAGACCGATTTCTGCGGGCCCTCCGCGATTCGACCCCGCCAATCCACCCAAATTGACCGAGGCCCAGATCTTAGCCGTGCTCGCGCTTGCCAAAGCTCAAGGGACCCCTGTACCGCCCACTCCAAGTACGACTGCGGTAGCAGTCCTCTCAGGAGCGCCTATAACACCACAGACGCCCGCGCCTACGGGGCCGACGCCTCTCCCGCGTACAAAGACCTTGAGTGCTTCCCAAGTTAACCCCACACCTTCACCAGTAGCTACTGACCCCGCGATGGCACCCGAACACTCGCGCAAGGCCAAGAGGCGGAAAACACTGCCCGTGGACTTTGACTTCATCGAGGCCGACCTCAACTGGTACAAGGACACTCATGCCGCAGAGGCCACCGCTGCGAATCAAGATCCGACCGGCACGGCGCCAAGTACGGTCGTGAACACCCCGACTCTCGTTCCCGAAACCACCTACCCTACTGCGGAGACGTCAGAGGATATCAAGCCACTCGTGGGGATCACTTCCGACTCCGAGGCGACCTCTGCTTCGCGAGATGGGCCAACCGCGCCATCCACCCTTGAGACAGTGCCTGTGACAAAGTCTCGATCACCATCCGTTCCCCTGCGAGACGTTTCGCGCACGGCCTCGGTTTCGCAACCTGACCGTATATCGGAAAGCGAGCCTGCGAAGTTGCTCGCCAAAGAGGAGCCGGCGCCCGAATCGCCTGTCATGCTCGCGCCGTCCCTCACGAGGCGTTCTAACGAGCCCAACGGCTCCACGCCAGTCGAGAGCCCGTCGGCTGTTCCCCACAAGGCGCTATCGCCGCTGGCAGGGGATGCTCTGCCGTCGCCGCTTGCGACGAAGAAGACGAAGAAGAGGAAGCGTGGCCCACCTGGCCTCAAGTTCCTCCCAATGCCTTCTGGGGAGCAGCCGCCAGAGCCTATGGCCGTGGACGAGCAACCGCCAGAACCTATGGTCGTGGACGGGATCCCTGGCCTTGAGAACGGATTGGCAAACGGCCGAGAGTCTTCGATGCGCTCTGCCAGTGCGTCTACGTCTGTTGCTGCGCCTCCTGTACCCCTTCCACCTGAACCTCCAGCGTCTACTCCACCCAAGGGCGAAGCTTCTACGCACCCAAGTGGCATGGTTAAGGAAGCTGCGGCTGCTGCAGAGTCGCCTGTTCCAATGGACATAGAGACAGAGTCGGATCGATCGGCAGAGATCGTTCCGAATGGAGACGCTCCCAACGGCATTGAAAACGACCCTGCGTTAAGTGTAGAGGCACGACCACCCAGCGATGGGCACACACAGACGCGGGAGTTGCCGAGTATGGCTCCGACGGAGCTATTGACGAATGGCAAAGCGCCGACCCCGTCGAAAGAGTCCGAGGAAGGCTCCGAGGTCGAGCGCATGCTCCTCTTCATCCAATCTGCCTCAAAAGTTTCTACCCCTACGCCTGCTGTAGAACCTCCCCTCGCCGTCCCTGCCGTCTCCACACCACTCGCTACGAACGGTTTTGCGCCCAGTACAAATTCCACGAGTGAGTTCCTTGCGACACATCAGTGTGCTTGCGACTTAATAGCGCCTCGGCCAGCTGCTATGGAAATTACAACTGCCCCGGACGACCAGTCCCCGTTCGCCTCCGCGTCCGCGCGTGTCCTCAACATGGTACGTGGAGCCTCCTCCATGACGCCCGCCAGTCGGCCCGTGGTCCTCGAATTCGAGCTCTCCGCGGATGAGCTCGCGCAGATCGCGAGGTGGACTGACCGCAGCAAAACTTCCGAGTAGGTGTCATATTTCGAACCGCGCCGTGCTTCGTTCACTGACAGGGGCCACAGCGATCTTTCTACGGCCCTGTGCATTACGTTTGCGTCCTACACAACTGCTCAGCTGCAGGACGTCACCCCGGAGTCGCCGGCAGGCGCTGCGGATATCGCGAAGTACGGCCGCCCGGCCCCGTGGCCCCAGGACGGGACCGCATTCGTGGCCCTGAACGCGGGCGAGGGCGGACAGGGCGGCGAGCGCTTTACGATCTCGCCGCCATTCATCGTACGTCACGTCGTCCACCACGCGGACCCACCACTCACTAACAACTCTCACGCAGTCCACCGTTGACAAGTGCGTCGACCTCGGGACCCGCAAGCTGCATGCCGGCCTCAACTCGATCCACCTATTCCAATACCGCGACCACTCCGACCGGGCGTTCCTCGCGCTCCTGCACCACCCGACGCGCGCACAGCTCGCCGAGCTGCAGACCGCGCGCGACCGGGAGCGCGAGTGGCGGCAGTTCCTGCATGGGCTCGGGCACATCGAGCTGCAGGTCCCGCGCCTGTTCCCCGCGTCGCTGCTGGGGTCGAGCTTCGTGAGTCCCAGCTAGCCGTGTGCGGGATGGGCGGCGCGCGCTGACGACTGTTGCGCGTGTTTGGACGGTGCGCCGCCGTCGCCCGCGGGGGGCCCGCGTGCGCGAGGGACGGTCGCTGTGATGTGGTACTATAGGTGTACACCCCGACTCTAGATCTGAGGGGCCTGGTAATGCGTGTAAATACTGTACACTGTAGGTAATATTGTCGGATGGATCATGCTCTGCGCCGCTGTGTCGCTCTTGCTTTCACCAAAGTTCGATGTGTGTGGATGCTGTTTATGCTACATGTACAGGGTATGAGTTACCGAGCACTGCTAAATAGTCCCTTAATAACATAGCTGCTGACCCCACCCCATCCCCGGTCAGCTCCAGATCAGCTCCCGTCCTACTATACGACCCATCCACGTTCAAGCTACAGGTGTACCGCGTCGGATGGCATCCACCTTTCCCCGTCCTGCATGCCATGATTCGTGGTGGCATGGCAAATTCCCGCTTGTGGGTAAGACAAAGACGAAGGGAACGCGTCGGTCGTGTGATGCAGCCGTACTCTCAGGCCCAGGCTTCATGGCGAAGGGCGTGGGCGCGGTAAGGCCGCAAGAAGGGGTGTTGGCCAGACATAGGATGGGGTCAAGCACCGACGTACGCCAGGGAGAATGGCCGGTGTCAGTGTCGGTCTTGAGGCCTTGGGCTTTGCGGTGAGATTATCGACACGGAGCGTCTCCACAAGCTGGCAGCCTTGCGCTCTTCTTCGGATGGTTCGGCAGCATGGAACACAAACAGCTTGCTGGACATGTCCGCAAGTTGTATGAGTTTGAAACTGTTCTGGCCGTGCCTGATTGCCGCAGTGATGTCCAGTGGGCCGGAATGTGGGTCCTGGAAGCGCGATGAACCATGATCAGCAGGAGCTCACGGCTACACGTCTGGGTACATACAGGCATCCACGTATTGATTGCGCAATCAGCATCGGCCTGGACTACGAGCGTGCCCTTGAGGGGCCAGTCCGTCTCAATGTTCCAGAGCGCGGCAACGATCTCTGCGCGAGACGCGTCTGGGGGCAGGGTCTGGTAGACCTCCTCGACCGATGCCTTGGGCAGGCAAAGGAGATGCACTCGGACGTGCCTGTGTTCGAACCTACGCGCGCAAACGCAATGAGCAACTTATAAGAAGCGCTTTGCGCTTCCATACCTGAACAATTCTTCACGCAGCGCCCAGTTGCGTGCGGCCTTGGCTGTGGGGTTGTCGACAAAGAACTCGGAGGTCTCGACGCCAGCGGAGGGCCTGCCCTCGACCGCGTGCCACACCGCAGGGACGAGTGTTGAGGCCTCCGATTCCAAAGGGTGTATTGACACGTCTTCCTTTTCTTGCATCGCGTCTTGGTCCACGTCTTGGTCCGCGTCTTGCGCCACTGGTGGGTCCTTGGTGTTTGCCGGTGAAGGATCCGTGACAGGGTCCGATTCGTGATGTGACGGATTTAGCGATAACGACCGGAACGTGGCAAGGGTCTCAGCTGGAGGTGGTGAGCGAGAATCCTGGACGGGGGTGGAGGGAGTCGGAGAGTGCGAGATGGTGGCAGATCGCAAGGAGGCCTCCGCGCTAAAGGGGGGTTCGGAAGTCACAGGACTTCGAGTGATGAGAAGCCCCGGGTCTCCCGATCCAGATACACGATGCTCTTTAGGCGGTACGACGGCAGGCTGGCTATCAGGATATCGAGTGACGGGGGTGGAAGCGGAGGGGGTGGCAGGTACACACATGGGCGTGTCGGAGCGTCGGGGTGACATAGCTCGAAGGGGTTCAGGATACAGCCCCGAAGCAGGATTAGCGGTACTGCTCTTCCCCTCAGCAATCGACGCAAGGTGGCCGTGGTCGCGCCGGGGTGTCGAGGGTCGCGTGCCCCTCGTGGTCTGCACATCTCCGCCCCCAATATTCATCTCCTCTGGCGCGTCTGTACGAGGCAATTTTGGTGCAGGCTGCCCCTCGTTATCCGCCTCCTCTAGTGGCCTCTTGGAGACCGAAACAGTCCCCGACACGGATACATCCCGACTTGGCTCTCTGCCCCCCTGCGCCTTCAACTCCATCTGCATCTGTTTAGCCAATTGTACGAATTCCGAGCATCGGTCATCAGATAGACGGGCGAGAATACGCTGCTTCGCAACATGCTCGTTCAAGGCAGGATCGCGCCGTTTGGCGTATTGGAAGATGGTCGGCATAAGGAGCTCGCGACATTTCTCGAGTAAAGACTTCGGCAAGGGAGTAGAGGGCGGGGGAGGTGGGGCGGCATCCGTAGACACGAGATGATCATGGGTCATGTCTACGTCGCCGTCGGAAGTGGAGAGTGTTTCTTTCGACACAGGAGGCTGGAGCGTAGGAGGAACTCGGGGTGGCGTAGTAGCAGGAAATTTCGCCATAGCTGCTATATCAACAAGGAAGGCGTCCACCACGGTGTCGCTGACAGGCATCGGATCCGATTCAGGGGTTGAACTATCCTCGTCTTCTTCTGTAGGATCTTCGTATATATCTTGAGGTTCACTTGCGGTGACAGGTCCGGTCGGCTCTCCAAACTGCGGCGCACCACATTACTCTCCCGAATTCCTCGAGGTGTATGTATGCGACTCACCACATCGATGGTCGGGCGCGCCCCCCGCGTTTTCCATCCTCTCCGCTCCCTGGTTGGTGACGGTAGGGCCGCTACAATTTCTTCCATCTTGACTTGCACTCCGTTCGGGACGGGTGCCTCCGCGTCGCGCATGTCCACGTCCTCGTCGTAATCTTCACTTACGCCCGTGTCAATTGATGCAGGGGAATTCTTCAGGCGGGCCGCTAGACTAGATGCGGCAGCAACCTCTGCAGGTGGCGCGATTCTCTTGAGGAGCGAGGGTGATTCCAACCGACTGAGCAGCGACGGGCGCCCCGTCTCCGAGCCGTCCGGCGAGTCGTCCACGGGCTCCGGATCTCTTCCTCGGACCCACGAACGGTTCTGGTATACGGCCTTCTTGCTCTTGTCGAGTCCCGGGTGTCCTGGTGAGCCGGTGAGGCCGGGGGATTTCTGAGTCGCTTGCAGAGCCATCCGTGCGCTGAGCGCGGTTTTCTGTGGATTTCGCGACTCCGGTGTGGTCTTCTTCCGTTCTCAGACGGTAATGAGTGGCGCTGTGAATGATCAGCACGCAGCAATTGAAACGGAGCCCAGTGACAGAGGAAGAGGCGCGTCAGACGAGCGAGGACATCGTGGTGGTCGTGGTGGCTTGCAGAACGGCTTTTGTGGAAGCGCTTCTCGGAGGCCGCAAATCACCGGATGGACGCGCTGCTGTATTGGGCGACCTCACCGCTACACGCAGCAATATGAACGGCACTTGGATACGACACATAGCAGTAATTTCCGCTGTGTGTATAGATGGGTATGCAACTACGCCCACAAGGAAAACCATGGTAATTAGGCTGCTCGTCCAGGTATGGATATCTAAAGTTCTAGGTATGTTGACGGAACGGCGGCGCGCGAAAAAGCGCTACGAACTCTACTCTGACACCATGAAGCCTACTAGGCACTCGTCCAGCATGTAGTCGATGTTCACCCAGGCATGTGTCGCAGCTGTAGGCAGTACAGTCAGCATGCGCCGTATGTGCGCTGACGAGAGACACACGGACCGAAGAGCTTCGTGCCGTCCCGCCCGGCCACTCGTAGGAGCTCCTTCTCCCCGCCGGGGTGGTATGGCAGGTATGCAGTCAGGTTGTACACCTTGCCGCTGAACGACGACCATGCGTCGTCCCGCGTCCGATGCTCCTTAAGCATGGAAGGTGTCACTCGCAGGACCGAGTCTGTCCCCTGACCCGGACATGAGAATGCACCGGCGCTGGAGGTAATACAAAAGGACGTACCCTGAGATTCTGCCCAGATTTCTTTAGGTTCGCCCAGTCAAGGGGACCGTGTCCGGGTGCAAGGGCGACCTTCCCCTTCTTGGCAGGTTGTGGTGGAGGTTTCAGGGTAGTAGGGGGTGCCATTAGAGATGCACCGAGAGATGATCCGGAGCTGCCTGACACGCCAGGCCTTCGACTAGCCAAGGAGGGCGGCGGTGGTGGCGGCATAAGTTGCGCGTCCGTCAATATTCGGGGTATTGCCTCCGTTTGAGACGTCGCCGTCGCTCGCTGTGCGCTGTTCATTGCCGGAAACGCTGGGGGCGCATCATCATCCCCATGAACAGTCTCCGCATCGTCGTCGTCTTCTGGCGGCGGAGGCGAAGTCTCGACGATGGTAGGAGCTGCAGGTGCCTCTTCGGTGGGATTCTGGGCGTAAAGCCAACTTCGGAGATACGATGCCATGATGCGTGGACGACGATAGCTGAATCTATGGGAATTGGAAGCACAGATAGGATGCCCGTGGTGGTAGAGAAGAAAGGTCCATATAAACGATCGCTAGGTTGCTCGCTAAGGTCGAGACGCCCATATCCGCAGAGTCTTATTGGCCCGCCCGAGCTCCGAGGCCCATTCTTGACAGTAGCCACAACTGCCATTGGCTGCAAAGTAGGAAAGACATGCACCGACATGTACCTTACGAACTTTCATACGATAACAATTCACGCCAAAGGCAGTCTTATTCAGCACGAAGGTCGGAGAATCGATAGTACACAAGAACTCGTGACAGCAATGCGTCCACCACGAGCTGCGCGGCAGCATTACAGCTTGCTCTTCCTGTGTGCGACACTGACCTCCTTCCACTGCGGACCGGGTATATGTGTCAGAAAGAGCGTCCTGCAGGTCACGCTCAGCTGCAGACTGACTCACCCATGGCATCCACGGCGCCAGCTTCGCGAGCGTGTCCGCAAACTTCGGCGCACGGCGCTCCTTGAACGAGAGGGCACCCTCCGCAGCGTCGGCCGAGAGCCCGAGTACGCGGATCGCCCGAGAGTCGACGATGTGCTGCTCCTCCATAGTGTCATATCCGTGCCAGACCAGGGCCTTGGTGACCGCAGCGGCCGTCTGGGACGTGTTCGCCGCGAGGTCCTTCGCAAGAGCGAGCGCGGCGGGAAACACCTCTTCCCGGGTCGGCAGGATCGAGTGGTACAGGCCGGAGATGAGAGGGGAATCTGGGGTGACAGTTTGTCCCGTGAGGAAGAGCGACAGGGCACGAGAGTGGCCTAGGAGCTTCGGGAGCAGGAAGGACGAACACGCTGTGGACTGGGGCCTGAGCACGACCCCAAAATTGTGCGACAGATAGAACGGAGCTTACCCTCAGGGGCAATGCCACGACGAACAAAGGGGAAAGCTAGTCTGGCACCAGCCCACACGAAGCGGATGTCAAAGGGAAGCTGAAGCCCGGTGACACCTACGCCAACCTGTAGGCAATGCGATAATGAGCATCGGAGGCAGCGACATTCCCGGCACGTCAACTTACCGCATGCCCATTCACAGCGGATATGGTTATCTTGCGACAGCGGAATATGGCCATCGCAACTTTGCCGCCAGTGTCCCTGTGGGCTACGAAGAGTACGGATTAGTACTGGTCACGTCAAACTCAAGTACAAATGAAATCTGGACTGACCGTGCTCGCCTTCCTTTTGATCCTCCGGGTTAAATAGTCCTCCCCACCCGCCACTAATATCGGCCTAGCGTCAGCGCAATCAGTCTCGTCTTTCTAAGGTTGTGCGGGTTATGTCGGCACTTACGCCTGCACAAAATGCCGGAGAGGTAGGTTCAGCGGTCAGAACTACGACCCGAACACGGTCGTCTCTGTCGAAGAGATCGAAGGACTTGATGAGATCGTCAACAAGTTCAGCGGAGAACGTGTTACGCCTGTTGTATAATCACGATGTCAGCGCGGCTGGTAATAACGATAGAACTATGCACGGACTGCTTAGAGCGCGTGAGTGTGACAACCGCGACTGAGCTGTCAAGCTCGACACGGATAGCGGTGAAACCTAGTTTCGCATAATCTGGCGTCGACATTTCGTGCTGGTAAGGGGGCGGACTTGGAGGCTGGCTGAAGGACGTATAACCACAACGGGTCAGTGGGTTACTGTTGGCGTATATGTACAGGGGTGAGAATCAACCCATTGAGTTGGATTCAGGCCCCGGGCACCTTCAAAGCCGGCGGTCAGTTGACCCGTGAGTACGTACTGCATACCTAACACAGAGAGCCGGATGGATCGCACTGCTGGTTCATCTGACGTACAACTAAAGACGTCAGCAGCGAGCTGGTTAGTACGGCATCGAACTCTAGCGATGGCCCATAGGAACGGGCTCGGTGTCTATAGAATGCACCCATTCGTAGATAACAGCCAATTAGGGCGGGTGGTAAGAACTCAGTAAGCTGCACAAGAACCCCGAGGCCATCGCCGAGGGCGTGCAGGTCAGTGGTCCCGGATACCAGCGCACAACTTGAATCATGAGGTCAACACCATCACCACGGGATAGTACAATGTCTGCATGATTCCGGCGCCGGCATAGCCATCGAGCGATGTTGGCGTCCGAAACAAGCGGTTACTGGACATTGACCCACTTGGAGAGCCTAATAAAGGCTTGGGGCACCGTGACACGCACAAAACGCCAAGCAAATAGTGCGCACGATCGTTGCAGCTTTCATATACCTGGCGGTATCTGTGAGCCCTAACACAGTTTGCCGTAAGATATTCCGGGTGAATGGCTACTGACGAGCGAATATACAACTTGAATGTCAGTGGCACGCGACAAAAGGCTTGATCTGAGAGGGGTGAAAGTCTGTCCATATGCAGCGTAAAAGGAGATGCTTCACTGACTGTATGTGGCACCCTACTCTGTTTGGAGTATACTTATACCAAGTCTTTGAGAGTGGCTCTTACTAAGACCCACTGGAAATGAATGGCGGCAGTGAGAATCACTGCGAGCACACTGCGAGAGCGTCTGCGATGCGTGGCTTTCGGCTGTATGCTGGGAGCACCGTTATAAGTGAGAGCTGATAGTCGTTTACTTCAGTGAGAGTGGCACTCACTGTTACGGTCGTCCGGCTCACTGAGTTGAAGCCTGAGTGAGAATCGTCGACGTCTGAACGAAAGGACTCGGATGAGCGACTCAGCGTCTGTATTTGATCCTCAACTACTCCGGACACACGGGCCGGAAAAGCGCAAATGTACCTCGAGCCGGGCCGGGCGCGCTTCGCGAGAGTTCGACTTTCGGTGGCTGCGCTTCCCCGAACGCGTCGACGCGCTCGACCGCCAGGTTCTTCTGCGACGACCAGCACAGTCTGTCGGAGGGTGTCTTTCGCTACATCACCGCACATAGTCCGCGACACCTTTCACGAAGTAACGGCTCTAAGTCGACTTACTGGTCAACTCGAATCCTACCGTCCCAGTCACGCCGATCCCTTCGGCTTAAGCTGAGTACCGACGTCTACCGTTCACGAACCATCCCACCACGCGAAACGCCGGAGCGCATCTCCATACGACACTTACGCCAAAATAACTACCAGGAGCGCATGAATAGTAGGGCACAATGTGCGGCCCAATATTTCTCATGTTTATGGCGAACCTCGCTGCAATCGTTCTGCTGTACGTGCTTTCCATGCGGACACGGGGTTAGCAACTACTGAACATACTACCAAACAGTGTACTAGTGACGTTCTCAACGCCCTTTATCGGCGCTTTCTACTTCCTGCGCACCGACTTCGCCGGCGGGATCAAGTTTGGGCTTCTCGGGTTTTGCAACGACCTCACGGGTACTTGCACGGCGAAAGCGTTCGTCGTGCCGATTTTAACGCTCTCTACGCACTCTGACCTTGTGTATCAGACTAGGATACCATCATGAACCGCAAATAACCAACCCGCTGACTACCGTACTGGTCTTGTACCCCGTTGGTGAGTGCTCCGAAGACTGAAGTCTTACGACATCTATTGAGCATTAATCCCTTTCAACCTGAACCAGCTGCCGGGCTCACGTTGCTCGGGGCGCTTATCCTGATACCCGCCATTTTCTCTCGTAGAGACCGCGGATATCCATACGTCCTGTTTGCGCTGCTATCAACGTTCGCGTTCCTAGCATGCGCCGGAGGCTTCGGCGTCACGATGTACCTCTTCACCGTTGCCAGGGATCGCTTCCACGCGGAAGGGTTCTCCGCGTCTTACGGACCATCGGTAGGTTTTAGCATTTACACCGCTCGCACTACCAATTCACGTCAACCCGACTCCCGTCGTCCCGCAGGTGTGGATCGCGCTTTCCGCCACAGCGCTCCTGCTCTTCATCGCGCTCAACGCCGGGTGCGGAACATGCATGGGCGGGCGACTCGGACGCCAAGCGCGCCACCTTGTATACACCTACTGAGCCGAGGACTATCGTGCCAGATGGCTCGGGGGCCGGCTAGCGCAGGGATATTCTTATTGCTGATTTACGCCCAGACCAGGATGCGGAGTGGACGCCACATGTGGGACTTTTTGAGATAGTGCTATTCTCGGAGTAAAAGTTGGAAATGCTATGCTCATATGACTCGCGACGTACAGTGTATGGAGTCTGCTCTCTTAGCTCCGCCGCCGAAGCCCGATGTATGCCTCTGACAGCATTGAAAGCGCCACCCGTGGGTTTGCCATCTATTGATAACAGATAACCGCCGCTCGCTCTCCATGGACGCGCGTTCACCTTGGCCTGAACTGCCATCATTAAAGTTGGACGTTCCTGTGCCCCAAATTCGGAGAACAAGGACGTATTGACACCCGCTGTAGACCGGCTCTATGTACCCTCTATACCCGGGCCTTGCACGGAATTCCTCTCCGCGTCCCTCGGACACACATAGCATTCAGCTGCAGTGCCCATCGAAAGCCAATCTCGCACATAGGCTATATGTTCACCGGTTTCATATTCAACAGATTCGAGTCAAGATGAGTCTGGGCACCGATAGGCAGCATTCCCGCCGGAGTCGGGCTTATCGAGCCCCGCGATGGCAGGGACCATGTACTAGGAAAGGCGGTGGAGATTGTCGCCGTTGTGCGGGTGGCACGTTTGGGACCTGTGCGTGCCAAGCGCCTTTGATACCCATAGATCGCCGTGGGCGCTTGTGGCAGTCCTGCGTAAAGTGAGACGGGGTGGGGGTGGGTACGGTGGGGTTCCGGGTTCTTGGAAGCAGTGTCGTCGCTCCTCGGTGCCTCGCGTACATGTCGGTTGCTCAAATATGCCACTCGGAGCGGGAGCATGAGCTCAATTCGGTGCAAGATCTCGATGCTTTAGCAAATTGAATGGTGGTTCACTCTGACGGGTTGCGTATTCAGCCGTCTTCGCTTGTGAGTAGGTCCGATGTTCCTCGGGCAGGCATGCGGAGCTGGGGCACCAGAATCAATATTGTGCCGGCGTGGATACTGAGATAATTCGGGACTTGAGGCCGACGTTCAGGGACGGAACTGTCGGGCACTGGACGTCACAGCCCTTTCGTCCGTAGAAGTTGACACATATCTGGTATGACTATATGTGGCTCAATATGTGATTTAATGGAAGCAATGCGGCTTATAGATCATGCTATATGCCCAGATGAAAGCGTGAATTTGTACTTAGATGGAGCTTCGAGAGGTATGCAGCCAAATGGTCGACTGATGTCCCTGAAAATTTTCCAAGGTCAGAAAGAGAGCGGTTGAATATTATTATACGGTGGTAGATTAAAACCTCTGATAAGTCTCCCCCGCTTCCACCGTTCACGGTGAACGTGCGATGGTAAGCTAGAGGCGAAGTTAACTACTACACCTTCCAAACGAGGATGCACTCCATGGGCGTCTATCTTCGAAGATGCTGCAGGTTGCCGCACCGTGAGCATCAAGCGCTAGCCGATCACCCACCTTGGTCGAGGACCTCATCGCCGTTCTCATCGACTCCTGGACGACAACCGCCTCCTTGTTCCAACGCCATCTCATCGGCGCAATCGACAGACCTGGTTTTGCCTCCTAAGATTCTGACACTCACTGTGCATCTCTGCTTGCCTCGGCATCCCATCACTAGCCAGACCACTGTCACTGTAATATTTCATTATGCCGCCGAAGAAGCAGCAACCCGCGGGTTCTTCGTCCAAGGTCAAGGATGACAAGGTACTTAATACATGCCCACCGTGCTATACGGCAACCTGATGGAGGTGATTGACGAGCGTTCTCTAGACCTTTGGCATGAAAAACGTCAGTCACGCTCCCTTACCGTCCCCCGCACGAGCAGGCATAACCTTCGTCCCCGAATAGAAAAACAAGTCTGCAAAGGTGCAGAAGCAGATTGCGACGATTGAAAAGCAGCAGGCGCAGGCGGGTAAGTCGCGCGCGGTGCTCGACAAGGAGAAGGAGAAGGCATTGCGCGAGAAGGCGAAGTTCGACGAGGAGAAGCGCAAGAAGGAGGAGGCTGCGCTCTTCAAGCCCGTGCAGATGCAGAAGGTGCCGTTTGGCGTGGACCCGAAGACGGTGCTCTGCGTGTTCTACAAGGCGGGCAACTGCGACAAGGGCACGAAGTGCAAGTTCAGCCATGACCTGAATGTGGGCCGGAAGGTGGAGAAGAAGAACCTGTACGAGGACAGTCGGGAGGACAAGGCGACCGGTACGCTATGCTCTAGTTCAAGCTGTGACGTTCTCTAATTCTTGCTTAGATACTATGGACAAGTGGGACGAGGAGAAGCTACGGACGGTCGTCCTTTCGAAGACCGGGAACCCGCGTACCACGACAGACGCAAGTACACTTGCTTCAGGGAGCAAACAGACATCGCTAACGCAACGCGGAACAGATTGTTTGCAAGTTCTTCATCCAGGCTATCGAATCCGAGAAGTATGATTATTTTCACATGCGTTCGTCTTGACGTTAATCGTGTGCTGCAGGTATGGATGGTTCTGGGAGTGCCCTAACGGCGAATCCTGCCACTACCGGCACGCCTTGCCGCCAGGCTTCGTGCTCAAATCTCAGAAGAAGGCCATCGAAGACGCGGAGAAAGCTAACGCCATCACGTTGGAGGAGTTCCTGGAAGTGGAGGTACGGCCGTCGTGTTTATACTCTGATAGATACAGTGCTCATTCGACGATGGTTCTAGCGTCACAAGCTGGGGACCAATCTTACGCCAGTCACCCCCGAATCATTCGCGAAGTGGAAGCAGACCCGGATGAACAAGAAGCAAGCGGAGGAGGAAGCCGTCAGGAAAGCCAAGGACGACAAGCACGCTGCAGGCAAGAACAGCGGCATGAGCGGAAGGGATCTGGTACGCTTTACACGTCCTCACAAACGCTCGGGATCTGACGTATCCTTCCCGCCCAGTTTACGTACAACCCAGAGTGGTTCGAGGACGAAGAGGAAGACGAGGAAGATTGGGACCTTGCCAAGTACAGGAAGGAGCAGGAGGAAGAGGCGGTTGCAGCAGAGGAGGAGCGCATCCGAGCTTTGCAGCTGTCGGGAGGGGTCGAATCAGAAGTTGGCATCGACGATGCAGACGGCGGCACGGAGGTCAACTAAGTCAAGGAACCACCCACGACATTGTGTACAAGCATCAGCATGTATCAGTATCCCGTGTCCATTGCTACATATACATAAATGTTACAGCATCACTCGTCATCACTAGCATAGTCCCCTAGACCAAGACCTGTCGGCGCTGGTGCGGCGGCAGCCCGCGGCGGCGGGGCGGCAGCACCCAGCCCGTTCTTCTTCCTGATCTCGGCGAAGTACTTCAGGCCTTCTAGCGCATCAGCACTGAGAATGCCCGAGCTGGGTTGGGGCTGCTCTTGTGGTGGCGGCGGTGAGTACTCTTGAGGCGACGGTGACCGAGAGGAGTCCTCAATGAGTCTCTGGCGCTTGGTTTCCCGACCGTCTTCTTCCATCTCGTCGTCTTGCTCTGTGCCGTCCTCTAGCGCACGAACAGCGCGTACAGCGTCGACAATTCGAGGGTCCATCTTCGCCTGAATGGCTTCCCTTCCCATGTCCTCCAACCGCCTTTTCTCCGCAACCTTGGACGTAGGGTTGGGGTCCTCCGTCGCCCAACGGACGTTCAGGATCTCGTCGTTATCCAGGGACTGACACGCCATAGACTCCTTTGCGAACTGCGCGTGGAATTCCGACTCATATGTTACGAACGCAACACTGCGGTATTGCAAGACGCGTACTGTTAACGAATTCCGCGAAGGTCAGTTGATCCCGCTTAGAAATACGGCAAAGTCTGGGTAACTCACTCTTTTCGATCTTGCCCCACTCCTTAAAGTGCCGCCGTACGACCTCTTCTGTTTCCGGCCCCGTGCCTGTCTCCTTGATCCGGCCGATGTAGAGCGTCCGGTTTTGTCGCTGGAAGCTGCCGACACCGCCCATGTCGTCTCGGTAGTCCGCGAACTTGTCGCGCGCAAAGCAGTCCTTGGACGTATCGGGGAGGGCGGTTGACTCATCAGGGAGCATGTGGAGGTATTCGCATTCCCAGCCGTACGGGCAGCAGCCACGCGCGAAGAACAGACAGCAGTACTTGTTCCCGGTCGTGTTCGCGCGCGTGAGTCCGGCGTCCTTCTTGATGTTGCACCTCGTCTGAGATTTGACCTTACTGCGGACACGAACGGCTCAGTCAGGCTCTGCTCTCAGGGTGGTGTCAGGTTGGGGTTACTCACTTCGAGTAGCTGTCCTCGCGGTCTCCACCGGCCCATTTGTTATACCAGATGTCTGTTCAGAAGATGAGCATATGGTGGTCGTGGGCACCTCGGTATTACGCACTGTACTCCTTTCCCGTCTGCGGCGCCTCCTTCTTCTCTACTTCTCCGGGTTTGACCTGCTTGCGAGCGGGTTTCAGTTTCTTGACCTTTTTCGTAGCGGTCGTCGTGGTCGCGACTTGTGTTTCAGCTTCAGTAGCGCTCATGATTACAAGAGTTGCCAAGCAGCAGACAAAGTGCAGTCGGTGAAGGTAGAGACGGTGGGCGGTGAGCACTCCGACGCGAGCAGCGCACAAACGCGAACGCGGTGGCAGCGTTTGTTTGCTCTTGTTAGGATCAGAAGGCAATAGCCCCAACAACGCACTACCCTTTTCGAACACCGCCATGTGGCTTGCGAGACCTTTCCACCGATACCATCACCGCAACTACGAAGTATTGCCACTATACTTCGCTCTCCTCTGTGGCTGCCTAGCCTTGTGCGCTCTTTACACCTAAACGCGGGGTGCATTGTGCAGATGGCGCCTGTATTCACGCCCGACCGGTAGCGGTGACTAAGTAGGGAGCGCTGAGCAACTTTGTTCGTCAGCATCTCATCTCATTTCAGCAGAATTTCACTGCACGTCATCCTGACCCTGTTTATCTAGAGTGCATGGCGTTCTTCGACTTTGGATCACGTAACCGTACGCCCTGCTCTGGCAAGCATGGATCAGGTCGGATGCCGATGGTAAGTTCGGTCTTTCGGGATAGTTTGAGGAGACGCCAGAGGCTTACTGTACTTAACTCGACCCAAACGCAGGATTGTGTTCATGGAAACATAAGCGGTGGGTGCTGTGCATGAGAATTTTTAACCTTTGAGAGTGACGGCAGCTCGTTCCATCCGACCTCACCCGATGGCTCATCCGTTCGGAGGTTTGAGCTCCTGCCAGGCTCCAGCACGGAACGAAAAACAAAGCGAAGTTTTTCGTGACATCACCGTTGTTCAGCGCGTCGCCCCACGTGGGCGAAGCCTTCGAGATGAACTCCGAAGAAACGGGAGGCTCGGAGCAAACAGGGGAAGCGTGGGAGCGCGCCCTCGCGACAACGTTGCTTGTTTGCTCGCCACCACTGCCACTGCCGTTTGTCCTGCGTCCTGACCCTGGCCGCCATCGCGAATCGCGATACGGACAGGGCACGCCCAGATATTCACCGCACATGGCCTGTCTTTCGCGCTCGATGGCGATTGCCGCGTGCATAGGATGAAGGCGATTTCTGTATGCCGATGTACTTCCGCATACGGTGAGTACTGTGAGTCAACGTGAGCGTGAACTTGGAGTGAGTCTTTTTGACTAATCTACATTGCGTCACTGCATTGAGGCAAACACTGGTCGTCGCGAGCCGCCTATCCGCATCAATAGAGTCTGAGAATCTGAACCCATCAGCGTCCGTAAGAAAGTCAGCGGCACGATCATCCGCCATCCGCCGCGTTCCGGTGCTTGCATCTCTTGACGCCCTTGAGATCATTCTGAGGTGAGCATACGATGTTTACATCCCGACGCCTGCCATTTCCGTTAGACTTACCCCTTGCACAGGGATTGATGTACGCGTGGCGGCGTTCCTCGCATGTCATGCCCGGGACGGCTCGTCCCAGCCCAAAGCCCAGCGCCTTGGAATTCAAACGCCGAGCGTCTCGTCAATTTCATCGTCGTCGTCCGAGATCGGGACTCAGTAGTCTGTACTACCGACGTGCATTGGGACGCGACGGACGGAGACCTTTCCGAAAAGATGGGTCCAGCGTCACTCGACATGCCTCATTCGTCCGCACCACGCCTGTGACTCGCTTGTTAATGCGGTGACTACGTTCGTGGATTCATATGCATTCTCCTGGGTTCCATATAAAGAGGCATGTCTGATGACCCCTCTCCAATCTGTCATCCCCGAGCCCTACTTCTCTCGTAGACGGCATCTTCAACTCTCGCCTGAACCCTCAGCCATCTCGTCATGTCCCAGACCATGGATGCCCCTGCCGGCGGAGGCCCCTCTGCCGGGGGCTCTTCCAAACGAGCTCCGCGGGGTGCCGCATGCCTAAATTGTCGCAGGCGCAAAATGGTGTGTGGACATGACCCCCCCCCTCTCGTCGACATTACTCACACAGCTGCAGAGATGTGACGGCATACGCCCCGTCTGTGGGCAGTGCATCCGTACTAACAGGGAGATAGACTGTGAATACACAGACGGTCCAGGCCCTAGCCCTACGCAGGTCCTTGAAGAGCAGATCGCTCGTTTGGAGTCTCGTATACGAGAGCTAGAGCATCCTGAGCTGGTACAACCTTCCGTTACTTTGAACCCAGCAGGCACGTCTGGACTGCGGACCCAGTCTCCCTCCAGTGAGCTTGCTGACCTGTTTCAAAAATCTGTGCTCACCTCATCCACAGTGTCCATAGGCTCGGCTGGAAGGTCTTTACTAGGCCGCGTGGTGACGCCTGATATGGTGGCTGCTGCCATGCCGGCAGGTGCCGCTTCTCTCTTGTCTGAGGACCCTGCCGTGGAGCCTCCACAAGACCTCGTACGAAACATGTGAGCTCGGTATCGTTATCTTCTCATCTCCGTATTGCTAATTTGCTGCAGGGTCAACTCGTTCCTCTCCCACAGCGGCTCGCTCAACTTCTTCCTCCACGTCCCCCGGTTTTTGCAGGCAATTCAGCAGCCAAACATCGATAACCGGCGGGTCCAACTCTCACCCGCCCTTCTGAATGCCGTATACCTTTGGGGCGCCCATCTGTCCACGTCCAACGCGCTCCGTGCCTATGAGCCGATATTTCAGACTCGCGTTACTAACGCCCTCTCCTCCGCCCTCCGAGAGTCTCAATACAGTGTCATCAACCTCATTCAAGCCGAAGTGCTCGTCGCCAACTACTTCTTTACCATGTCACGTTTCCTCGAGGGCCGCTACCACTGCAGCGCTGCAGTTGCGCTGGCGCTCAGCTGTCGACTGCAGAAGATGCGGAGTTCTGCGGATCATGGCATCGGACGCACGGGCACGCAAGTGCGTGAGTACAACCTGCCGCCGCCCAGGGACGCGATCGAGGAGGGCGAGCGCATGCGCGGCTTCTGGTACGTGTACGCGATGGACAAGAGCTGGGCCGTCGCGATGGGCTCCCCGTCCCACTTCAACGGCGCGGCCCAAAGTGGCCTGGACACCCCGTGGCCGCTGGAGATGGCGCAGTACGAAGCGGTGCGTGCCTTCCGAGGGCTATCATGATTTTCCGCGGTCCTGACCGGGCGTTCGCTTTAGGGTGGGTACCCGCCCGACTATCGCAGTGCGCTCACGGTGTACACCTTCGTGAGCGGGGGTCCCGCACCACCCGTTGGAGGCCGCGACTCGCAGCTCGCGCTGCGCGCAAAGGCTGCTATCTTGTTCGAGCGGGCCACTGCGCTCGCGTCTGAATGGTCTTCCAGTATGCTTATGCCGTCACGTCTGCTCTGCTGACCGTGGGGCTGACATATCAACTGCCAGCGACGACCGACCGCACCGAGTTTTACGGTAGATTCGCGCTGCTGGACGGTCTCATCGACCGCTTCATCGCCACTGTTCCTCCTATTGACCGCACGGGCAACCCTGACGTCGCGCTGACCTCTCTCGTTACTCACACCCTCGCCCGCGCGGCGACGATCCAACTACGCAGCAGCTTCAGGGACTACGACAGGGTGAACGACGGCAAGGACCTCGTGGCCGCCCAGACGGCCGCCGTCATCCTCGAGAGCTTCAACATCGTCTCGCGCCATGTCGACCCCATCCTAGCGGTACGCCTCCCCTCCCTTCCCCTCCCCCGCCACCCCGTCTGAGCTGGGCTTTCTGCTATCCTACCACAGATCCTCTGGACGGCCGTATGCCGCGTCCTCATCGGTAAGATAGCCCGCCCCGCTGCCGCTCCCCAGGCGCCGTCCCCAGGCTTACCCCGCCCGACGTACGCGGCCGTCACAGCGTCCGCTGCCGCAGGACCAAGCAACGCGCGTGCGCCCCTCCGGGCGATGCTGGACCGGGTCCTTGCCGCGATGAACCGGTTTCGGGAGACGTCCCCGCTGATGGGTATGCTTCACGACGGCTTCGTTTCCGTGCAGGGCGCGCTGTGACTGACGAACACCCGGCCCCGGCAGGGCTCCAACTGGCGGAAGCGCAACGGGAGATGGGTGGGTAGCGGGTAGCGGGTGGTGGGGGAGGGAGAGGGAGAAGGGGAAGGAGTGCGCTGCTAAGGTTAGAATTAAATTTCGGCCTTTCTTACGCGCGGTTGGCGTTTGACCGCCGGTAGATTTGTTGCTCATGCTTGCCCCACAGAGCCACACACGTGCACCTCTTAGACGTACATAGACGGGGGCTTTTCTTGACTAGAGTCTTCGCTGTTTCCTTTCAAATACTCCCCACTCTCGATTTCGATACTAGAACCATGCGATTGTTGTATAAAACGCAAAAAACCCTCACTAGTAATTTGTTCCGTTGTACTACGCTCTATCCGACCGTGCAGTCTCGACGTGTGATGTGTTTCCTTCCTCGTATCTCCCGAGTCGTTTGTTGCCCTGCAGGACCGAACCCTAGAGTGGGTAATGCAAGACGGTATCTACAAGGAAGAGTAATTGGAGGGCTAACCAACAAATATAATAGGGAGGTGACCGGTGAAGTACAGCAGCCTCCGAGAGCCGCTGGGGTGTTATTTTATCACAAAACGTCCGAATCTCTCAACTCGAGACTTCCAGTCATCTCGATATATACCGAGCACCGCACTTTAACCTCAATAAATCAGGGAAGATCATGGTTGTGGACCGCCCTGTACTCTCTCAAGCCGTGAATCGCCGCATCTTCTCCTGGCCGCGTTTGTACCCGGCGGCAACTCGTCCCGAGCCCAGTCGCCGCGTGTCTAGGAACCAGGGATTTGGGAGCTTCGCACCGGCATCCTACTCCACAGATCCGGTGCTAGATCGAGGGTGGGCAGCTTGCCGTTTGACCGTCTTCGACTAATGCGCCAGGTGAAACTACGCGTTCATGTACGTGTATCGGCAGCGTGTAAAAAACCCGCGCTCAAAGGAGGCCGGAAGGCGACCTGCGTGCGTTGCCCCCCAGATCGGACGTACTCAGGCCCATGAGACTACGCCGGGTGTCGCGTGTTTGAGCGTTGGCACTTGGCGAGACATATGGTATGTGCGCCGCCGTTCCATAGTGCATGCGCGATGGTCGGGTGGTGATGCCCACTGACTTGTTTCTTGCGTCCGACTCGGTCGGACCGGTGAACACGACGGCTTGACGGGCGAGGCGGTGCTCGCGGCAGCGGCGCGGTGCATCACGTTGGGACCGGAAGGCGGCGGCTTCGAAGAGGCGGTCTGAACACCTCATACGGAGTGTAATCACGCTAGGCAAGATATAGATCATCAGTGTCGGGAGGCGCTTGCTGTGCAGTGACACCACAGGTTACCCATGTGGCATGCCGATAGACAAATATTGCTCCGGGCCTCGGATACGCGTTGGCCCGTCTGTTTGTTTGTGGACAGCTCATTGCGATGCTGGGCATCTTCCGATACCAACGGGCCAGGACAGGGCCTAGAGTAGATGTGAGATTAACTGCATCGATTTTGTGACGAATGAGCTTTAGGGAGTAAACACGCGTTCACCGCTCGTACCATGCAAAAGCATGATCCAAGAACTCCGCTTTGGTGTGCGCAGGAGGCTGCACGACTGAAGGATGTCGTCTTAAAAGGACAAGCGACCTCCAGATGGTGCTGCGATCGCCACACGGCGCGGAAATGGAAGAGGCGTCTGTTTGGCTTTCAGCGCTCAGCAGCGAACGATGTTTCAGAGTGCCCCTATCGGCCTTGTTGACGTACCAACGCGTACACCCTGAGCTAAAGGACGTGCTTGAAGTGCGTGTTGAGGAGTTTGAGGGGCCGATGATGATGCTAAGGTCTCATTTTAGGCGAACACACTCAACATATAAAGTACTCGTTGTGCCCGCGAAGCTTGCGTGGTATAAACACGGGCAAAGATCTTGTCGGGCCGATCACGCACGCCAGTCGCGGTCACCTGTCGGAGTAGCCTGGAGGGAAAGACGCGTCCTGCAAGCGTGTCATTGAGGGGCCGTTTGGGCGGTGCATGGGCGTTGTGTTGCGTGGTGCCTGAAACGCTCGAATAGGACGTTTGGGACATCGAAGCACCGGACCGTGCGCGTCAGCGGCTCGATGATCCGGGGCGGCGTTGTGATGAGAACGGAGGCAATTATGGACGCGCACGATGAGGAGTTCGTCCGCGCGGAAGAGCACGACGTGGCAGGACAGCGGGCGGGGAGGGTGTACCTCGAGGGGCACGCTAGTAGTAGATGGAACTGGTTCCGCTCCGAAGCTCGCATTTTTCAGGGCGGGCCAAATTGAACCGAAGAGCAATATGGGCGCCTGTGGAAAAAGCGCGGTGCCTTTACGTAAGCGCTCGGGGAGCGCCGGTACCCCTCGACGCGACGCGCTCTCGCCGCGGGCTGCCCATCCGCGTCTCTTCCAGTCACACGTCGCCGACGCCCCAACCACCGCCTCCCGTCGCGTCCCTCGTCCTCCTCACCACATTCTACACCCGCCACCAGTTCCGTATACTTGCGGAGCACACCCGCGACGCGCTTTTCCGCCATGGCGACCCCCTCGTCCACCGCGACGACCCCCTCACCCAGGCCGCGGTATCTGCACTCGCCAGGAGACGCGTCGTCTTCTACCTCCGTGCCTAGCGGCACCTCAGCTCATGCGACAGATGATAGAGAACGCGTAGTTCAGAAACTACGCACGCAAGCAGAGCTCAACAAGGTGTGTACCGCCCCAAACGACCGCGTTCTCCCATCAGTTCCCAGCTGCAACCGTTGAGGATAACATCGCGGTAAACCTCGGCACAGCTCCACCCTGCCTTGAATATATGTGCGGCGAACTTCCCTGATTTTTACATCGGTGTTATCGCCGCTATTGTCGCTAGCAGCTATGCTTGTGAACCTGAGGCTAATCTACCACCTTCTCCCCCTATCCAGCTGGCTCTAAACCTGCGTGCTCGTCTCTCGTACGCCAACTTCAAGGTCAAGAACAACTCGACCAATAACACGCTATTAGATCTGGATTCCCAGCTCCATGCAGCCGCTAAACACGCCGCGAATGGGAAGACACCCACCAAGCCTGCCTCCGGTACCTTCTTCGGGATTCCAGGCAGTCCTAGTGCGGGTCAGTCCTCGCGGTTAGCAGCGCGTAGGGGGTCAATGGCACCGCCGCCGCCGGTGACTGCTTCCGCTGCGCAGAGCTTGTTCTCCTCCCTACTGGCGCCTCCTCCCGCCAAGCGCGCTCGGACCATCCACAATCCTGACGACCCGCCCGTCGCGGCTCCGGAGAAGGCAGTAGAACATGTCCGTACTCCCCATCGAACGACGAAGGTCGCACGCACACCAGACTCCCATGCGAAGTCGAAGACTAAGAAAGGCGCTAAGGACAAGGCGGGCGCTCCACCATCGGGCAAGGGCAAGGGCAAAGGCAAAGCGAGACAACGCGTCACCGCTGAGGGAAGCTTCGAGCCGCAGTCCGAAGCATTTGGGAATGGTGACATCGACGTCGAGGCCGCGAAGACTCTGACACACTTCCTTCTGGCACATCGGCCGTCTGTCTCCGCCACCGCAGGATCGCCACGCTCCAGTATATCAGCGGGGTCGGATCCAGGTTCTGCACAGTCCTTCCCTCATTATGCTCAGAGCGCTACGAGGTTGGGTCCTGGGAGTTCGGCGCAGGAGTCTCCTTTCGCTGCTGGCGACTCGCATTCAGCCGCCACGCCTCCGCACTCTCCCGCGTTATCACAACCCTCGCCTGCTCTCTCGCATGCGATGGCATACCGACAGAGCGTCCATCCAGGCAGCAACCTCCGACCAGAGGGCGGCGGCACACCCAAGATGGCGTCTCGGGAGCGCGTAGGAAGCCTCGAGGACACGGATGCGGCCGGCATGCTTCTTCTCATGGCCACTTCACCGTCACCGGCTCGGCCGACGTCGACGCGAGATCGGGAAGCGAGAGACGCTGCCGCGTTCCAAGCTCTCCGGGGCGGGAGCACAGGCCTCAAAGGCCGTGTCCTATTTCCGACATATGAAGGCGGAGAGGGCGGAGGGCGGGGTCATGCTCGGACGCTTTCGCGGGAGATGAGCGGCAGTTTCGCCTCGGTTTCCAGCGTCGCGACGGAGCCCGTGTCTCCTCGTACGGTGCCTGCGAGGCGGACGGCCGAGCAACCGCGGGCTTCCACTTCTTCGAGTACTCTGGTTGAGTCGACAAGCAGCGGTACTCGACTGGAGGTGCACATGCCGATGCTTCCGACCATCACCCCTCCGACGCCGACGGACCAGATGCCTTCACAGCTGCTTCCCGCTGCGCCTCATTCGCCCCGCCAAGGCTCTACCGAGCGGCGACAACCACCGTCAATAGCGCCACCTGCCAGCATGCCCCCTCACACGCCCAATGCCTCGTTTAGTCTCAGTGACTACGTCAATGTCTCCCCGTCGCCCGCAGCCGCCTTGCAACAAGCACAGCCACGACAACCGTCGCATGGTCCGTCGCAAATCGGGAGACGGTTGTTCGAGGAGCATCCAGCGCCAAATAGCAGCCCGTCACGTCGCGTTCATCATCCGTCACGTCCGCCACCGTCTTCGCCGTCGCCCTCACACAAGAGCGGCGGGCTAAGTGCGGGCGTAGACCTTGTATAGAGCCTATCGCCCCCGACTGTCCGGTCGCGGCTTGGTTTCTCGGCCACTCATGCAAATGACTCCAATGTATCGGTCTTCCCCCGTTCCCTGACGCCTTACAAGACGGCAGACGGACTCATCGTGTATCCCCCTCCCCCACCCATTGTCTGCTTACATTTTGTAGCCTTCCCCTTCCACCTCCACACCATGGTTACGACGCCATTCTACGCTTCAACGCTCCACTTTACGCATTCCCACACGGGTCGATTATTTATCGGAGATGCTTCCATCATGCCTCCCACACAACACACGCAGTGTCATGAACGTTCGGCAGCTTACCGCTCTCCCCCGCGGCTTTGCGCAGTGCCGACTGTCTACCCACATCCGCCCAGCCTACCTATTTATCGCGTTTCTTATCACGCTGTCGCGACGCGCTTGTGTCTCGTGTAGCCTACCTCTCTCCCCAACCCCACTAGGATCCCGAATGTGTTCAGCCGTCGTTGTCTGGACTCGTCGTGTGTTGTTCACTGTTCACGTTCGACGTTTCGTTTTGTGCGCATCTTCCTTCGCCTTTCTAGTCTTTCTCGCTCGCCGCACGATCTATCGCTGTTCAGCTTTGTTTGCTGTGTATAGTCGTTCACATTTCCCAGGCTCCACCGCGCTCGCACTTGGCATCCTTACGATACCGGTGCGCTCGTCGTCGTAGCTGCCCTTGATTTCCGCGCCCTGTTTGTTTTGTCTTACGTTCGCCGCGCTCGGTCGAGTCATCTTCGCCTCTCGTCTCTCGCACAAGTTTCGGTCCTAGTCTCCGTCTGTACGCCCGCTCATGTACTATATACAGCCACATCCGTCCAATTTTTATATCGTTCAATCAAGGTTGACATGGACAGGTGTACCTCTTCGCATCTATCGGTTTGAAGATTTGCGCGTTGCTATTTCGGAGTCCCGACGCGTCTCGAGGGAGAAGACTGCGCGTCGGCCGCCAACGCCGCGCTCGACCGTGCGTGCGCGAGCGCTAAATGTGGTTTCTCCGCGATCAGAGAGCGCGCGACCTGTCGGGCGTGCTTCTCTCTCTCAACCTCCACGTCCACGCTCGTCCTCGTATCCCTTAACTCCCATTGGTGCTCGGCTTCGTATGAAACTCGCGTTATAGGCTCTGTGCATTCTCAAGGAAACCGGGGGTAATGTATACCATTCATTTGAACGGCGGTAAATGTTGAAGGCAGTCCAGGACACCATTTGCCATCATGTCGACCTCCAACTACCCCCAACAAACCTCCCCATACGACATGAGCAGCTACCTGCGCCAGCCATCCTCCTCGCCTGTCATGCAGCGCGCGGCAATCCCCTCGGGCAACCCGACGCCCTTCAAGGCGCCCGCGCACAAGCACGCGCACCATCTGCACTCGATCCCGCCTCGCGAGAAGTCAACACGAACGCTGATCATCGACCACTTGCTCTGGGTGCACGGTCGGACGCGCTTCGCGCAGGCACGCGCGGAGCTTGGTATGACTGACCGTACAGGGGGCGCGTCCGCGGCGAACCACGCGCACCGCGAGCGTCCGGAGAACTACGAGGAGGATGAAGAGGCGGCGAGCGAAGGCGAGGACGTGCGCGTGTTGGGCGCGCGCGAAGGTGGGCCCGAGCACACGCACGGGGACGACGAGGAAGACCGGCTGGAGCGCCAGGAGCTCGCGCTCGCGAGGAGTCTACGCCTGCGCGCGGAGAGCGTGGAGAAGGTCGCGACGTCAATGCTCGACCAACCACCGGAGGTGCGCCCGCTGCACCCGGACGACCTACTTGAGCCCCCGACTTCGCCGTCCCTGCAACCTCAGCATGCACGGCAAAACCAGCATACACTCCCGAATGGGGTGCGGCTCAGGCTTGCGCTCGCCACAGTGATAAACGACTTGTTCTCCCGCCGTGCACCCGACCTCCCTAGGGGTCCCAATTCACCTGTCGACCCTTCAATCCCGACTTCTGCGCTCCTCCCGTCCGTCCTTGTCCCCCTTGCTGCCATTTCTGACGCTATCCTTAGCCCGAGCGCACCACGGCCCGCTCGTAAACCCTCGCCCACTGATTATATACGCTCGCTGTACAACATTGGCACGGATCCCGATACCTCCAACTCACCCCCATCACTGCGTTGTCCACGGCACCTCCACATGAGCTGCGAGATCTGCGTCGAAGCCAAAGCACAATTCAACGTCCGTCCTGGGCCCACGCGCGGGCGCACGAGTACCGCCCGCGCTGGATCCACCACAGGCAGCAGCCCCGGGGACGCATCGTCTATGTCCGCGGCTGTGATCGCGACCGGAGTGACAGGGTGGCAAGACGGGAGCGGAATCGGCTCGGGGCTCGCGCGTCCGGGACAGAAGGGCACGGTCCTACGCCGCCCGTCGATGCCAAACGCAGTCATCGCTGGCCCAGACGGGCGCGGAATCCAGACGATGAACAACACGAAACTCGCGGAGCTCATCGTGCGTTTCCTACGACTGAGTGCATTGGTTGCAATGGAGCTCGGGCGGGAGGCGACCGAGGATCGCGCATCGCTAGATGGCGGCGACCGGCGCGAGGAGGACGGCGCCGGGGCAGGCGGGTCTTCTACGGGAGGCCAGCCACAGACCCCACGGGGGTCCGTCGCGTCGCCGCAGACGTCGCCGCGAGTGTTCGCGCAACGGAACAATGCCGATCCGAACTTCTACTCGCTGAATGCGCTCAGGCCGTCAAGGGAGTGGTACTTCCTCCTCGCTGGGCTGCTCACCCGGGCCGTGCTCGAGGGCTATCTCACGGCACAGTGGAGGGGCATCGAGCCGCTCGAGGTGCTGCTGGGCGTCGGCCTTGGGATCACGCCGACACCTCGGAGGTCGAATGGGTCGAACAACCGAGAGGGAGATAGCTCGGGCACTGGGTCCATCGGGTCGGCAGCCGGTCTGGCGAGCGGTGGGGGTGACCCCGAGTTCAAAGATTTCAACCCGGACGACCTGCCTGAGCTTGAGGATGCCGCTCGGATCCTCTTCCCCTCGCTGCGTGAACCTATTGGCGGCGGCAATACCCCTGTGTACTTTGTGCGCGAAGGTGCAGAGCTCGAGTACGAAGTCGAGATGACGGAAAGGCTTGCCCGGGTATGTCAATCATCTGCGGGATCCGGGGTGCAGAGAGTTGACAGGCTTGGTCACAGTTCTACGCTGTTCCTGGGTCAACACCAGACGTAGCAACGCACATGGAGGACCTCGCATGGCAGTTCCCTGCGGAAGCCGTCGAAAGAGCGGCCGTCCGGTTCTGCGAAGCGATCGCTCAGTGGCGTGGCAAGCCCGAGCTCGAGACGGTGAGGCTGCCCTCTAGCTCCGTGGACGACGCCTGTCTCACGCTGTCCTCGAAGTACAAGAAAGCGTCCTGGATCGTTGATGGCAAAGATGAGCGGCCGCCCGCTGCGTCGGGGTCAGGTGGGGTGGGGCCGAGCTCGGGGACGGCGGCGATGTCGATCGAGTCGCTTGTGCACTCGAACCCGACGAGCCCGTCGACGTCGAACACGCTCCCGACGCCCGTGTCTGCCACCGCAACGGCGCCGGACACGCGGCCGCGCAGGCCTATGATCGATCGTTACTTCACGATGCCGCCGAGCTTTGCGTTGCATGGCAGGAAGCGGCGAAGGGAAGACGGGGACCGAGGAGACCGTGACGATGGGCGGCGAGGGCACATGCCGTACGCCTGATCATGATCGGTTCGAGGTACGTTGCAGTTTGTGGAGGAGGGTGCGGTCGTCGTCTCGGCGGACACTCGAATATACGCGGTATGGGTTCCCTGTTTATTAGATCTGTATGGTGAGTCGTTAGTGCGTTTGGATCGTGCATGAGCTGACTTGTTCCCCGTCAGACGTGTGTTGTATATCACCTCGCTTTGCTTTCGCTGTGTCGTCAGGCCTATGTACCACCGCTCTTCCGCCAATCAATTCCGGCATTCAAGTCTTCTTTTCCTTTCATCGACGACCTTGCAATCGATCCGGTTTTGAAATCTTGCTAGCTGCGAGCATCGAAGCATACGCAGAGAGAAAATCGGTGTATGCCAGTCGGCGAGTTGTTGACAGGAGTGTAAGGGATCCGTGGCCCTATCGACAAGATGGTTGCCCAGCTGGGTACGTTCTGGCTCATGGGGACCTCTCTGAAAGACTTTGCTTATATATGTTTCTAGACACGGAGCAGGCTCGGGCCGTTTCAAATCCGAGGGACTCCTTGACGAACATAAGCGGATGTATGTCAGCGCTGTACAGCGAAATGTCGTCATGCCTATCTTCCTCTGTCGATCTCGGGCGGAAGGTGCAATAATCACCGTCAGCGCACGAAGGGACTACTCGCCGTGTAACTTATGCCATCTGGGCGAACTCGTCATTTTGGATGAATAGACGCCCTATACTGCGTTTCAACGTCAATCACAAACCACAATGTAACTTGCGCTGACAAGCATTTGCGCATGCTCAGGTATGCGGAATATGCTGGTTTTAGTTGCTAGTTCTCGGTGATGTGTCTAGTCTATCTGCAAAGCCTCGGGGAGACGTCCTGACTATTTTCAGTTTTGCAGAAACTCGCCAACGACCTGCATGAACCGCTCCCGCTCCTCCCAGAAGGGGGTATGACTGGACGCCTCGAAGGTGATCCACGTCGAATTCGGGATGTTATATGCGAAGGGCTTGATGACCCAATCCTGCGCGATGTCGTAGCGACCGTTAATCACAAGAGTCGGCACTTTTATGAGGTGTAGACGGTCAATGATTGTCCATCCGTGCAACATTCTATCATTTCATGGTCAATAGTCTCCCAGGTGTGCTGAACGACTTTACTTACGGAGCTTTATCTACAGTCCGGTCGGCGTCCTCGCCGTACACCTGCAGCAGCGAGTACTCCAGCTCCTTCGGGAACGGCTTCACCCTGCAACTGTGCACGGCGTATATCTCCAGGAGGGCTTTCCAATACCCCTCCCGATCCTCGAACCCCTTTGAGATCGCGTCTTTGACAGGCTGAGGAAATTTCTCCAACAACTCCGTGAACGACTTGCCCCACATCAAGGCCTCCGCTGGGGCATCAGCGATCACGAGACGTTGCAACCCCGTGGGCTGCCTCCGCACCGCGAATTCCGCCGCCATCATTCCACCCCAGGAGTGCCCTACGATGTGGTACGCATCCTGAATGCCGAAGTGGGTGAGGAGATTGTCGAGCTCGTCGAGGAAGAGATCGATCGTCCAAAACGTGAGTTCTTTGTCGGGGAGATGCGTCGAGCGCGCGTTTCCAAGCTGGTCGTACAGGATGACGGGGAAGGATTGCTCGGTGAGGTCCGCGAGCGGGAGCAGGTAGTCGTGTGAGAGCGCGGGGCCCCCGTGAATGACGACGACCGGGGGGCGCGTGCGGGTTTGGAGGCTGCCGAAGACCTTGTAGTAGGTCTGGAAGGTCTCGCCTTGGTAGGGAAAGGGAATGACGCCCTCAGGTTCCGGGTTGGCGGACATGGACTACGCAGATGCACAAGAAGGGGAGTGTGTTCAAGGGAGTGCGCTCAAGGTGGTCGTGCGCACTGAGCGGGCCTAACGAGGAGATAAATGGGTGCGTTTGGAGGTACGAGGCCCGCTGTGCTTCCGACCTGCTACCGCCGGCGTCTCTGACTAGTACAATCTAAGGACCTGCGCGGGAACCTTTCGCTTCCAATTGATGCACCGGTAAGCATCCTCGTCCACATGGTAGGCTTCTGGATCGTTTAATCGGATGGCCATTCCGGTAGGTTCCGCACAATGCAAGTCCATACGACATGATGATCAAACATCGTTCATGAACGCATTACCAGGCCTGTCCTTGAACTGCGCTCCTGCTGTACGTCTTTCTACGCTGCGTTCTTCGATGCGGCTGAGGTTTTATAACAGCCAAGATGTTGCCCGATAATCCATACTGATACAAGAAACGAGCGTGCGCTTTACAAACCCTGCGTCAAGAAGTCCCCCACGAGCCGCACGTACTTCTCCCGCTCCTCGTACTGCGGCGTGTGGCTGGACTCCGTGAATGTGAACCACTTGACCTTTTGGATCCCGCGGAAGTAGGGCACGACCACGCTGTCCTGCGCTTCGTCGTAGCGTCCGTTCAGCAGGAGAGTAGGAACGTTGATGAGGGCGATATCGTCGACAATGGACCAGTTCTTCAGCGAGCCCGTGATATGGAACTCCGATGGGCCGTTCCTGCGTTGGCGGATCAGCAGGAGAATCATCGACGAATATCAAAATGGTGTACATGGTTAGGTATACGGTCGGATCCTTCTCGAGCCACTGGAAGACGTCCTGCACGTCCTGCGGCATCGGATTGAGCCGACAGAGGTGGCGCGAGTAGAAGAACATGACCGCGCCCTGGTACTCCTCGGAATCGGTCGTCCCGTCCGTCTCGTGCTTATCGAGCGTGTCCTAGAATGTGTACTGTAAGTAAGTGCTGATCTTTAGCGGGACCCTTCAATTGCTGACCTGAATATTCTGTGGCAGCTGAGCACGCAGCTTATTCGCTGCCTCTACCCAGAGCTTCATGCTCGCAGGTGAGTCCGAAATGATCAGGTTCTTCAGACCCGGTGGGTGGGTGGTGGCGAAGCGCGCACCCAACATCCCGCCCCAAGAGTGGCCTAAGAGGTCAAAGTCGTCCTGAATGCAGAGGTGGTCGAGCAGGCCCTCGAGCTGGGCGATGAACAGCTTCTCCGTCCAGAACGCCGTGTCGCCCATCTTGTCAGGGAGATGGGTTGAGTTGCCATTCCCAAGCTGATCATAGAGGACGACGGGAATAGCGTGGGTGCCGACGAGGTCGGCGAGGGAGAGGAGGTAGTTGTGGGCGATACCCGGGCCACCGTGGAGAGCGACGAGGGGGCGGCGGGACTTGAGGTCGCCGAAGACCTTGTACCACGTCTTGCAGGGCGCGTCGACGCCGTCGACTTTGAACTCTACGGTACCTTCCATGGTCTGGCGGGGTTCGACGGCGATGTGGGGTCGTAGTCGGAGGGATTATCACGATATCCCTCGAGGATGGGTTGAGAAGTGGCGAATGGCTAAGTATCCTGCGAATGCTTCGCACAGCGTGCATGCGCGTGTGAAGTGATACATATCAAGCTCGACGTGCTCTGGCGGCGTGCGTTCAGATCTGCGAAGTGATGCTCCGGCGGTAGCCCTTCAATACGGCCACCTGCATCAAGAGGCACGATCTTCAACGACAAGACTTCGTACCTGCAAGCCTAGACCGCAGCACTCGTACTGCTTACTCGGCATCGTGATGTTTCCCAGTATACCAGCGATGAAAGCTATATCTTAGATTATCAACCTGTACAGTTGCCTCAGCGGTGAAGGATCCCGATGCGCTATATGCCTATGCGCAGACCGCGCATGCGCATAAGTTGATGAAGATTTCTCCATCGGCGGAAGTTGGAAAGAGGGCAGATTGAACTCGGAGTACTTACTAGCTGACCAAGTTTCACCATGAAGAGCTGTCCTGAGTTGTCGACTAGACCGCCATATGCTTCGCTGTACCCTTGGCGTTATAGAGGGCTTCTCCGAGTAGTATTCAAGAGACTCGAGAGTAGGTATGCAAGTCGAGCGAAAGTCTTCCCTGGCCATGGATTGGTGAGAGAGGGTAAAATGGGGCCCAGGAGGCCGGGAGGGATCAGGCGACCACTCGGGTTCCCGATTCGGATCTTAGAGCTCGCTCTCATTGCTCTGCCACTGGCAGTGGGTACTGTGTTGTCTCCCTTCCACTTGCCGTATATGCATCAAAGGGCGATATAATGGTGGCTGTATTCGACTTAACTCACGATCTTGTATCGGCGCTGTCCAGTATAGCAACCGAAGAGGATATTGCTCGGGAAAAGTAAGTAACATCAAGTCATGTGCATGGGAGACCGCGCTTGATCAAGCTAACCACTCGTATACAGCCTATCGGAATTGCAATCGGTAAGAGCGTGCAAAATACCGCACTACACTGATCTGATATCTATGAATTTCAGATCGAAGCACTGGACAATCTACTTCGGAAAGCGCGAGCTCTGGTGGGCGGACTCCTCAATCAACATCGACCACATCATCGCCTTCCTGCAGAAATCCTATCCCACATCTTTCTACTTGTCTCAACACCCGATGACTGGACACATAATGCTCACTACCCACCCTGGGGCCCGCGATCTGTAGGTGGCCAGCCTCGCGAACGAGTGCCCCTCACCGCAGTCTGTCAGCGTTGGCGTAGCATCCTTCTCGGGACACCTCTCCTGTGGTCAACTGTCGAAGACAGAGATGATGATCGCGCTCCTTCCTTCACGAATTACATACATCGCTGCACTCACGGACCTTTGTACGCTCACATAGGCGCACAACCGCACAGCATTACGCGGGACCTCCTCACGCATCATAGCGAGCGCGTACAGGAGCTCTCCGTGACAGACTACGAGGGCGACGGACTCGGGTTCCCTAACATAATCACTTCTTTCAAAGGCAACGAGCTGCGACGCTGCGAATTCCATCTCCGTGACGACCAGTATACAGGCCCACCATTTCAAACCTTTTTTCATGACGGACATGCCCCGCAACTGCGAACTCTACGGCTAGCGTCCTCCCCCTACCTCCCACGCAACCGATTTCCCACTCTAACACATCTCATTCTGGAATGTCCGCAGGTGGCTTCCTACACCTTTCAGGATCTCCAGGAGTTTCTATCAGGCTGCCCTACTCTCCACGTGCTTTACCTCAGTATGGCATCCACGTCAAATATGCAAGCACCTAGCACACCCTCAGCTCCGCGCAGCTCCCTTCGTTTTGGACATCTCCAGAGGCTATCCATAATCGATGCTCCCTTCGGTTTGGGCGATGACTACTATCTCGAACCGACAACTGCGGTGATCGCCCGCCGCGGTGCCCTCCCACAAGCTTTACTCTCGTCCATCGTCTTCCCTCCCCAGTGTCTACTGTATACTTCCCCTCTACTCTCTGCCGACATACGATCATTCGCGGACCGCATGTCAACACTTATCACGCCTTCGTCGATGCGCATCGTGGACGCGAAGCAGAGTTACGTGGCTCCGAGCCAATCGGAGCATATATCGTTCGTGCTCGTCCAGCCATCCGAGTCCCGCGGCGTGCGCTACGATGTGCCATTTGTGGGGCACAACCACCGAGAGGCATCGTCAGTCAAACAGGACGTAATTCGCGGCATCGTTACCTCTCCGCTCTTCTCCGCCATACGCGAGCTTTGGGCAGACACAGGCTCCATGTATTTTCTCCGCGGGCAGGACAGTATCCTCTGGAGCCTCCCCCGTCTTGAATATCTTTCCCTTTTCGGCTCCTGGGAGGAGAAGTCTGCCGTCAACGACACACTGAAAGTCCTGTCGACAGTGCAGGGGGACTCGGTCGTTTGTCCCGCGCTCGAAACCCTGGTCCTCATCACGTTTATTCCTCTCAAGTCCCTGATCGCGCCGCTGCGGAGCATCCTCGTTTTGCGCAAGGATTGCGGACATCCCCTCAAGCATCTCGCGGTCTATGTGGACATGGAGGGAGTGGGCCGGGAGGTGCTCAAGGAGGCGCACGGGCTGGGCGATCTCGTGCAGCACTTCTTCTTGAACGACGACGAAGATGTCCCGGACAGTGAGTGGACGCGTTTCTGGGATGAACGCGTCCCCGCGGGGTGTGGGGTGGCGGACGAACTACACGATCACTGGCCTGTGTGGGTGGAACGAGTGGATCCACTTGATAAGTGAGTGGGAGCTACAGGCTGCGATCGCCTCACGAGAAGCACTCATAGTCTGACCTCTATCTCCCGCTAGATATCGCCAAGATGAATTGGAGAGACGATGCGCCGAATATAGCGATTGATGGAGTTTCGTTTCCTGGAAAAATAGATGTATACAAGGTCATATGTGTACAGTCACTTCCGGACCGCTTTGTAGTTTCGAAAAAAAAATGCCCGATAGCGCAAACGAAGGACTAAGCGACTAGTAAGCACATATTCCGTATTGTGAATGGGACTGATTACTGTACAACATCTTCAGCGAGTCAACCTTCGGTCAAAAAGTCTCCCACGACGCGCATGTACTTCTCCCGCTCCTCCCACATCGGCATGTGGCTAGACTCCGCGAATGTGAACCACTTGACTTTCTGGATGTCTCGGAAGAAGTCGATTTGCACGCTATCCTGCGCCTCGTCGTAGTGCCCGTTCAGCAAGAGCGTAGGGACGTTGATGAGGTGGATGTCGTCGATGATCGTCCAGTCCTTGAGCGGCCCTGTAACATGGAACTCGGATGGACCGAACCTATGATTTCGGTCAGCAAGGTGTGCGCCGCGAACGTGAAATGGCTTACATGGTGTAGTAGACAGTGGGGTCTTTCTCGAGCCATTTGAAAGAGGCCTGTACGTCCTGGGGCATGGGGTCCAGCCGGCACACGTGCCGAGAGTAGAAGACCTGCACCGCATTCTGGTATTCCGCCGAATCGGTGGTTCCGTCCGCTTCGTGCTTATCCAGTGTGTCCTGTGACGCCGTCAGCACGCGTCTGTGCGGTAAGAGGACGCTGTAGCAGACCTGGATGTCCTGCGGCAGCTGGGCACGCAGCTTGTTCGCGGCCTCGACCCAAAGCTTCATGCTCGTAAGCGAGTTCGACAATATGAGGTTCTTCAGCCCCGAGGGACGCGCAGCGGCGAACCGCGCGCCCATCATGCCGCCCCACGACTGGCCGAGCAAGTCGAAGTCGTTTTGGATGCCGAGGTGCTTCAGGAGGTTTTCCAGCTCGGCGATGAACAGCGCCTCGGTCCAGAAAGCGGTATCGCCGTTCTTGTCCGGGAGATGGGTAGAGTTGCCATTTCCGAGCTGATCATAGAGGACGACAGGGATGGAATGCGTATCGGCGAGGTCCGCGAGGGAAAGGAGATAGTTGTGCGGGATGCCCGGGCCGCCGTGGAGGGCGACGAGCGGGCGGCGGGACTTGAGGTCGCCGAAGACCTTGTACCACGTCTTGCAAGGCATGTCAATGCCGTCGACTTTGAACTCCACGAAGCCTTCCATGAATCTGTATGCGTTGAGTGATGGTGTGAATGGAGGGACGAAGAGAATGAATCCTGAGTATATGTATGAGATTAGGTACTGGCAAGGCACCCCGATCGAAGGCGATAGCCTCCACAATGCACTGTAGATAAATTGAAATTCATCGTCGACTCTGAGATTGCAAGTTACGTTGTTCCGGAGGGCGCAGCGCTGAGAGCGATCCGATGATCACATTGGACGCTCTGCCTCGCTCTGCACGGCTGCTCGTGGAAAGCAGTGCATGAGACCAACTGTGTGCACGCATACAATGTGAATCTGATATCAGCCACATACTGATGCACTTGAGACTGAAGAAGTCGGGCCCGGGGCAGATTACTCGGGCTTAAAGCCGAAGGCCGAGGCTGGCAGAAGGGAGCTCAATCTGCAGACGGCAAAACTTACAACTTACTATACAAGACATAACATTCCAACCGATGTGTACAAGCTGTGTGAAGGCTGTCAGTGAAAGCCACCAGCGGCGAGCAGCGCAGAGTTGACTTACTGCGCGGGCAAACAACAAGCTCCCTTTTCACCACCATACAGCACCCTTCATAAGCCTTCTCCCCGTGCGCACAACCTGGGCGTTCAGTACGGTCCTGTCCCCAGCGAAGTCCGCACCGACCTCGACCACGCCTCCAGGGTGACGGATCCGAACCATACCCCCGTCGCCATCCTTGCGGCGCGAGCGCGCACGAGACACGATGTCGTGCGCGAGCGTACCCATCACGCCCGAAGCCACCCCCAGACATAGTCCGACGGTCATGGGAACAGCCTTGTGCAGAACGCCCATCGAGAACGCGTGGATCACAATGTCCGCGTCCTCCGCGTCGGCGGCTCGCTCGCTCAAAACAGCGATCTTCGGTTGAGCCTTCGCAGACGGGTCTAAACCCATGCGCTTCGCGCCCGCCTGACGGATGCACTCGAGCATGCCCTCGACTTCCGGGTGAGTGTAGTGTGTAGTAGTCACCGCCTGGCCGTCTAGCCCGAGGATATGGGCGAGGTCTTGCGACGAGATGAAGATGGTGGGATTGGTCGCGTCCACGAGCGATGCCGAGATCTGGAAGGGCGGATCCGACAGGAAGGTGCAGTCAAGCGTATCTATGGCGTTTCCGGTGGGTAGAAGTTTGCCAGTGCGAGCGCCGGCGGGGTTGACGAATTGCAGAAGGATGCGCGAAGCCTTGCCGGGGACTCCGGCCATCTCGACCTGAGGGGTGTCGAGTACCGCTGCAGGCGTTCCGTCTGAGGTAGAAAGAGGGAAGGTGGTGTCGATGATCTTGCTCGTGTTGGTGTTATACGAGCGAACCGTGGCGAGTCCATCCGCGCGGTCGGATATTCTCGGCGTGCAGAGGCCCTCATCGAGTGCGAAGACGCCGATCATGCTAGAAAGGTTGCCACAATTGCCTGATAGGTCGAGGAGGCCGTCGTCGATCCCAACTTGCACAAACGTGTACTCCACGTCTACTTCGGACGCTCTATCTGAGCTGGATGGAGGGCCGACAACACAGATCTTGGAAAGACTCGAGACGCCGCCGCCCATGCCATTCAGCTGGCGGCGGTACTGTGGGTCGGGGGAGCCCATCATCCCTTGGAAGATGGGCGTCCATTCCGTCGGATCTTCGGGGAGGTCGGAGCGTCTAAGGAAAATGCCTTTGGACGTCCCGCCGCGCAGGAAGGTGGCCGGGAGCGGGTTGGCCGTTGTCAGTGCGCGGACACCTTTCATGGATGCACGGCCTGTCATCATGCGTAGCATACTGCGAGACGTTTGGGCTCGTGTTAGACAGAGATGCGGCACTGCCAGACTCGGACTCGGAGAACGTTTTTTACACTTACTTCGGATGACTACCTTGCACTCTCAGCTCACTGATCGCATACGAGCTAGACCTGAGCTCCGCAGCGCTATAAGGCGGCCAGTGCGTACAAAGGTTGCAATGCTCTTGGGTGGTGGACTCACGGAGAGAGGAACAACTTCGAGTGACAGCGAACGGCAGTATACTCGTGGGAAACGTGATCGTGTCGAGATCTGAATCGGGACATTGTTCGCGAGCTTCAGGCTCATATTCTCAACGTTATATATCTCTCTGACATGCTCATGCAAGGTATATATATGACTGTGTACATGGGTTCCTGGAGATATAAATTTTGGGGCGAGGATAGGGCCGAGATTCAACAGCCTGAACTCGTGCAGCCTATTTGGCCTCCCGTCTGTGGAACCGCTCCGAGTCCTAGCAATACCTAGTGAAACAAATCAGTCAGATCTACATTCTTATCGTTAAGCAATCCAATACGCCCGTCGCAGATCTACTCACTTATCAACTGGGACCGCTCGTCAAGTCCATATAGGCCAATGATCACGTATCTCGTCCGCCGCACCACACCCCGCCGGTACCCGGTCCTCCCAATAACGTTCCCATTCGATGTCCGCTGTGAGATCTGTGACCTCCGGGTCGTTCAGCGCGAAGCGCTCCACGAGCGCGCCCAGCGTGCGCGCCTCCACGAGTGCCTTCCCCTCAGGCTCAAAGTCCAAAGAGAGCGCGAGATGCGTGAGGGGACTTCCCAGGTCCTTGCGCATAGCGAGGACGTGCCGCACACGCCCGACCAGGTGTTCCTGATTGGCGGGTACAAAGGCGATGATGGACAGAGTGTCGAGCTTAGGACACACGAGCGCGTCCCCCTGCACATACACCGCCGACAGGACTGCGAGCACGTCGTACAGCCCCTTGATCTCCAGCGAGGAGCTTCCCACGGAAAGGTACCCGAGGCGGGGAAGGCTCCGGAGGATGCTGTCCTGGGTTCCGCAGAGGAGGCCGATGGCCCCGGTGCCTACCCAGAGCTCGCGGATGGCGGAGAAGAACGGTGAGGCAGCCATGGTGAGGCGTATACTCCACTTGACGGCCTCCGCGTCTTCGTCGTGGCTTCCCAGCGATATGTCGTAGCGCACGCCGCGGGACTCGGACGGCTGGACAAGCGTGAACGTTACAGGTACTGGTCCGCTCTGCGCCGAGTTGCTCGGCATTGCGCCGACGACGCGCATCGACGAGAGCGTAGCGGGTGTTGACATGCAGCCCACGAATGTGCACGTGTCGGTGGGGATTAGAGGGCAGATGTAGATGAGGCACTGCGGAGGGAAGACTATGGAGGATAGCAGGGCGTGCGGGAGAGTACTAGTCGTTTGTCCAGGGAGGTTGTGAGTTCTCGTCAAGGCGACTACGGAGAACTTCTGGAGATGCTGGAGCTGAGGGCAGCTGCGCGGTGGCGGAGGCGTGCTAGGTGCTTGCATGCTAGATGTAGACGCTATCATCACGTGAAGCACCTGCAGGGCAGGGCAGCCTGACAGGAACGCCAGAAGATTTTGAAAGCTGAATGAAGCCGCGGCTGAACATTTTAGGATGATATGGGTTAGAGCAGGGAAGTGGTTGTGTGGGAGGTAAGGGGGGAACTCCAACACCATGGCTCGTAGTTGCGGGGCACGTCCGTCATGGAAGAATGTTTGCAGTGGCGGGCCCACATACTCCTCGTCGTGCAGGTGGAGCATACACCGTCGCAGCTCGTCCGCTCGAAAAGACGCGATTGCGTCAGGGAAGCCGAGTCCGTCGCCCCGGTAGCTCATGATGGAGAGGTCTTGTACGCGCCCGCTGTGATGCGCGAGAAAGTCCTGCGTGACGCTGTGCGGTAGTTTGTACATGTAGACGGCCAGGGGTCCGCGAGGGCAACGATGTATGTAGTGGGTGAAGGAGGGGGCACGATCATGTTCATAGCTATCGTGGACGGTGGACCACAGGAGAGGTGTCTCGAGGAGGATACTGCGCCAGCGTTGACAGACTGCGGTGAGGGGCACCAATTCGCGAGGCTGGCCTCCTTGAGATGGCACACCCCACGGTGGAGCGTATGAGCTGCCATCCCAGCTTTCGGAGTTCGCAACGAATGAGAAGATGTGGGCCAGGATCTCTGCAGGAAGGCGATTATGGGGTCGACGGCGATTGATGAGCCCGCACACCAGAGCTCGGGCCTTTTGGAGCAGAACATCTAGTTGTTCGACCTGGTGTTCGTGGGCCTCAGATAAGTATGTTGCGGAATATAGCCCACTCTTACCGACTGCGATCTCAATAGGCTTTATAACAAATGGGGCGGTCAGCAAGTCTATCAAGCTTGGTCTCCCGTAACTTGAAGGATCCTACTTTGAGCGAACAAAGTCCTCTTCGGATACTACATCAGACAACGCCGATACGAGCTCCCGAACTAGTTCGGGTATGACTACCATCGTGTAGGCCTTTGATAAGGTGACGGCGAGTGAACTTGAAGGGAGGAGACACATCGGCCGTGGCCGCGTCACTCACTGCCGCAGACTGTAGTAGGCGCTGGTAAGCAGAATCTGAGATCTGAATCGGGAACACAGACCTCGAGCGATGCTTCAGCCTCCGTGTCCTAAGTCCTGGCTCGCGCTAGTTTCTCACAACTTGCTCACAGCTGATACAGTTGGAGCTCGACCGCTCACGTGGATATATAACAACATAACGGTATGTATTCCGGTGTCTCGGAGCAAACATCTTATAAACGCACAAGATTGCAACAGCCTATCCTCAGCCGTACGTTCCACTCTCTCACCCACTCCGTCGCACCGGCTTCCACTACATACGCATTCGGCACCGAACTCGAAATTGCACAGTGGAACGCGACGCTTCCCAAGGGCGGCCTCGTGCCCCGCCTCGGGCGCGACCATCGTCCGTTCACGCTCTCGTGTTCTACCACTGCCTTCGATCCCTGAACACCATTCGCGACACCCTCGTTATCCTGTACCACGACCCGTCCGCGGACGTCGGGCACAGGCTAGTGCGCTTGGCGGAGCACTGCATGAACTACCGTCACCATACGGTGATCTATAGGGCCGACTTGCGTCTAGATAACGTCCGCGCAGAGTCCGTTGGCGCTCAGGTCACCGTATCGGACATCACGCACACAAGTGAAGACTGGACCGCCGTATACAAGGCCGCGGAAGACAACTGCGAACGCTACCTCGCCACGGGTGGGGAGAGACCAGGTTGATACGACGAGTACGCGGGATTGAGCACTATGTATGAGCACGTTCTACACATCCTCGACGAGATCTTTACGGCTGGCCTCTACAGACATACGGCGTGTGTTCTGCAATCATTGTCAGCGGAGCCTAGAAAGCACAGCGAGATGATACTTACTATAGCCAGTTTTATCGCTCCACATGTCGTAGTTTTGCGCGACAAAGTGATAGATGGGTGCCCAGTCCTTGCATTCGTGCACGCCGTGCGTCCTATCCACCTCAAAGTCGCTTTCCTCGATGTCCCCAGGTTCCAGCGCGAGGTCCGGAGAGCATAGGATACTCTGCCGCAGATAGTTGAGGCAGTGCGTCACATGCGGGAGGGTCGTTATGTTCGGCGTGGACGCGAGGTTGAGCATGCGCAAAAAGTGCAGCTCGTGGAACATCGTCACTACGAGGGTGCGGTCGTCCGGGCCCAGGCGCTCGGAATCGAAGCCGGGGGTCGAGAGCGAGAGCAATTCGGCGTCGGAGGTCGCCCCTAGGGGCATGTAGTGCACCATCTCCTCCATGAGTAGGGAAATGAGCTGGGGCTCGTGTGGGAGTGGTAGTAGCTCGGGGTAGTCGTATCCCTTGCATGCTATTCGTGCACAAGTGAATTAGCAACGTGCAGGAGACATGAGTCAGACGAGGGAGCTCACAATATTTCCGGGGCAACGACTTCGCGCCTTGCCTCGACGACCGTCTCGACCACGAAATGACGGATACTAGGTTCAAAACGCTGGAAAAGAGGAGCAGGATGAAGAGAGTCCTGTCGGACAGCATACTGAGATGGGCTTCAACCAGATGGCAGGAGGCAACCTTGGAGTCAACCCGCTACTTCCCCCTTCCCACAATACCGCCGGTGACTGAGCGGCATCTATGATACGGAACTTGTGCCCATGCAGACGAGATGTTCGCCGGTATATCAATGAAATACCGAAGTTTCGCGCGCGCTCTGGTACATTGATAGTCAGAGATGCCGACAACATGAGGCAATAACTTGAACTCCCGTACCTGTAGACCCCTTGGATGTTTATCCCCAGTTCCTGTCGACGGTCTCATGGACCCCGGCTTCTCTGACTAAGGCAAGGTCTTCAAAGCTTCAACCCCTACCACAGGACACTCGATAGCCTCCGATACCGCATGCACCCCCAGTCATGAATGGTGACCCTTACCCTTCACACGACTACCTGCTTCTGCTCGCCGATCTCGTGGACGAGTCTTCCCCGTTATCATGATACAAGTACGACCAGTTCAGGAACAGCGCTCGCACGACACACCTTCCCGACAAGCCGCCCACGTTCTACCTCTTCCTTGATGAGCTCAGTGGGCCACTTCAGATTCTTCGGAGTCCAAGACGAGTATTATATCGTCGGGCAGTCATGAGGTGGCGGAATGATGTCTCTATATGGGAAAGTCGTTCATGAGACTCCTAGGATATACCGAGGTGAGCCTCAGTGGCATGCGATATCATCTTCGGTTAAATTGTCAGAGCGCGCCAATACATTTCCTGAGCTAGGTCGAATTCGACTACCATGGTTTGAGCCTTTGACGAATGGACGGCGGGGGGAACAGAGACGACACGACAGTCCAGTACTGCAGCAATACCGCCGCAAGAGTGGAATCTGAGATCTAAATCGGGAACACGGACCTCGAGTGATGCCCCTGGTGTCATGGGTCCTAGTTTGCTCTCCGAGCCGGCGCATTGCGACTTGGACACTTACTGTACTCTTAAGTCTTCCACGCCTGAGACACTCTAGCATACCAACGCTTCTTTGTAAACCCTATGGATCTCTGACGGGCCATTATGCGTCGTAAAACTTGCTATTCGAGGCAGCTACCCTCTCTCCAGAGTGCCGACGAAATTTCTGTCCAATGCGTGGTACTCGACGCGCTGGAAATCGCTACCCTAGAGGAATGGATGTAGGTTGACGATCCAGGGTACGGATTTATTCATAGTGCTCTGAGAAACAGATTTTCCAGGACGTCAGTCAAAGCTACTGCCAACACTTATCGGCCGTTTCAGACTCTGAGCCCGATCGAGGCGGCGGAGGCTCAGATGCGCTCACATACTCTCTACAGGCTCCTGTGCGGGGTATATTGCAGGTAATGCAGAACGCGGCCGGGTAAAAACAGGATGTGGCATTTTGTGCGGCAGAGCAGTACCCGACCCGGACTGTACAAGCGCTCTATACTGATTCTCACTAAGTTCTGTACACAGGGACGCGCCCCTCGCACTTGCAAACCTAACTCTAGCTACACGAGAGGTACATTCAAGTTTGCTGAAACGCGCTTGCAGGTCGCAGGCGGCGAGTCGGCCTTCTATATGCTGGTCAATTCCTCGTGAGTCTCGATGTAAGGGCTCTACGTCTCCAGGGATTGTCGTACCTGCTAACCGGCGTATGCCTTTACTCAATTCCCCGCAGGCAAACACAGACATTATTGTCGTCACACTTGCAGAGGGGGATGTTCACCACTGGTGCAACTCGTCAGCCCTAATGCGCCCTTTTCGCTCCGATGGTATCGCGCACATTCGGCCTCGCTATCAGCGACAGGCATGGCGCCCACAAACGCGACGAACACAGCGACGAGAGCGAGCGTCTTCCCGAGGAGATGCATAGTGAAGTATGCAAGCGAGGAGTGTAGCGAGGGACGGTGCGTGTCTCGTTGGAATGATGAGCTTACTTCGAGTTCGTGCCGCCTGTTATATACCCGACAACAGCATCTCTCTATTTTTGTTCCAGCGCGGCTCTCGTGAGGTCGTATGGACAGCGCTGTTCTGGATGCTCCGGTTGCTCGTTGGTGGCTGACGAGTTCTCAGGGCTTTCAACGCAAGACAGCCGTCCCGGAGGCGATCGGACGTTGCTATGTCCTCTCATCCCTATCAAGAGGCGTCCCCACAAGGATCGCGCTCAATGTCGACGGTGAAAGACTCGACGTTCGACTGGCCAGAAAGGATCAAGGTGGCGCATATCTAGTCGCACGGAACCAAGCCACGCCACCGAGACGCCCACCGTGGCGTAATCGGTTTAGCTATGCGATGAAGCCCCGGATGATTTTTCTCATGGAGCACCTGCACGACCTCAATACACTCACTAAAATCGATTCACTACGACCTTGAAGCTTGAAACCCCACTACAAAGTCTCCGGCAGCTCCCAAAACCGCACGCGCTCCCGGTCGTCATCGGCGCCGGCCTTGGTCTCACCCGCGACTATCTGCTCCCGCTCGTAGGCTGTGCGGAACAGGTCTTTCCGGACAGATTATCATGGAATTCAACAATAAGCTCTAACTACGCAAAACGGCGCATATCAACACCGCCGAAGCATGCTTGCGAGTTGGCCTGTACTTCACGGGGCAGGGGGTTGGGAGTTCCCCTTCTCGGATTCGAGTTTCTGTGAGTTTGGATACTGGGCTTTACGTACGCACGTGTCGGCTCACCTGCTAACCAGGGCACGCACATATAAACCCTTAGCAAAAGCACTGGGGGTTACATCTGCACGGCTGGAAAGGTACTATCGCGGCCGGTTAGTCCTGACTCGCTCTCGTCGCTCCAGCTCAGATACTACGCACTGTCGGCTTCCAGCTTGCCATCATCCACAGGCATCGCGCCCACAAGTGCGAGGAGCATAGAAACGAGGAGGAGCGTCTTCCCGAGGACGTGCATGATAGTGTATGGGCGAGGAGTGCAGTGAAGGATGGTGTGTGCTTTCCGATGGGATCCTGCTGGATATTGCAGATTCGGGCTGCCTCTTATACGACATGGAAGCGCCTCTTTATTTTGGTCTCAGCGCCATCTTCGAGAGAGACCGCATGAGTATTGCCGTTATGAGTGGTCCGGCGACTGAGGGTGGCTCTCTGGTGGCTGACGCCTTCTCACGACTTTCAACGCAGGACACCTATTCGGATGGTAGTCGGACGTCGTCTCGAGGCCTCATCATTGTGTGGCGACGCCCACGGGACTCAGGCTCACACGTAGACAGTGTGCCAAGACACCGTAGCTCCGCTTGCCTGGCATGCACAGAAGCATTTCAACCGCATACACCACAACCGGGTCCTCAAAGCACTCACATCGTGGTCCCACGTCTTCTTAAAGTTCGGCTCCTCGCGAAGGTCCTGCCAGGTGAGGAAACCGCTACACCGCTAGCGCGTCACGCGGCATCTCTTAGCTCTCCGCCGTATACGATCGGAGCCCGACGTACACGAGGTGCAAAAGGTGCGTGACGTGCGGCGCGATCCATTCTCTCGCGGCAACCGGTTGTGGCAGCTTCGCTCACAATAATCGGAGCGCCTGCGGGACGGGACGCGCTCGAGGGACAAGTTGCGGAGGAAGAAAGAACCACGGAATTCTGCCCAGACGTAGTTGAGGAAAATTCCGTTGAAGGCTCCGCGTGGCCGCACGCGCTGAAAGGAAGGAGGCCTTCAAGAGAAAGACGTCGGAGAGGAACTCGAAGGGGTGGACGTTTATCTGCAAGTATCAACCCGCGGTGGGGCGTCCTTAGTCCCTCAGGCGACTGGTATAATCTTGGATACAACATCCAGCAGGCTGATTCAAAGCCTAATACAACATCCTATAGTACCGACGGCCTGCCAGCGAATAAATAAATAACTATACGTCCCGCCACGAGCTCCTCCCTCAGACGTCGCCCTTGAAGGTCACCAAGTCGGGCCGCGACCCAATCGTCGTCGACCCAGACCCGTAAGAGAAGTCGGCGCGCTTCGCGGACCCCGGGAAGGACGACATCGTGCTTTGGTTGGGGTTGCCGAACCGCATGGAGGCTTCCGGTGTGCGCACCGTGCTGTTCGTCGCGCGGCCGATGGCGACCCGCAGGATGATCACTTCCGGGCTGATGCACTGCAAAGGACCAGTCAGCCTCCAGTCGAGCACCGCTGGGCGGAGGGAAGGAGGGACGACGTACCATGATCTGGCTGAGCACCGGGAGGACAAGGTTCTGCACGTTGCTGTTGCGCGCGTACGTGATGATGAAGATCAGGCCGACGATCGCATACGGCGCGGCGGACTCGAGGAGCATCGCGGCGATGGAGATGTACGTGCGGCCGTGCTCGCCGCCGATGGTCCGGCGCGCCTTGACGCTCATGTAGAACAGGCGCGAGACGAGCAGGAGCGTGAGCAGCACGTTGAGCGCGATCGAGATCGAGAAGTACGGCAGCGAGAACTGGATGGTGACGGTCGTCCAGAGGCTCGCGTCCGGGCGGGAGGCTTGAAAGAGTGTGAGGATTGACATGGCTAGGCGGGGGAAGGTCAGCGACTTTGCGTAGACTTGAGATCAAGTGAGAAGCGGCTCACCAGTGGAGGCGAGGTAGACAATGAAAGGGAACGCGATAATCCAGAGCGAGTTCCACACCACGTACGTTCTCCAGAGCTGTAGAGTAGACCCGAGTGAGTACGTCGGAACGGGGCCGCTAAACAGCGAGATTGACGTACCAGCAAGCCATCTGCGAGGAAATTCGCGATGATGTAGGCAGCGTTACCCGCGGTGTTGATGCCGCTGTTGTAGTTGGTGAAGAACCAGGCGTTGGGACCGCCGGGGAAGTCGCGGTTGTCGATGAACATGAGCTGGTTCATCTTGGTGTTGCACGCCAGGTTGATGGTGCCCATGAGGAACAGTAGGAAGATGAACCCGACGAGGAACCAGGACTGGAAACGGCCACTACCGCCACTGCTTCGGCTGCGAGCAACGCTGCCGCGAGCGGGGTTTATCCGGTAGATGCACTCAGCGAACACCGCGACATGCACCCCTGCAACGGTTATGTCAGTGCGTGCGCGAAGCTAACGCGAGGGGTAGAGGGAGGAGTACGAACCGTAGGCGACGCCGCCAAGCACGGCACCGACAAGGTTGGACCGTTCAAGCCAGAGGTCGGCAGCGCTCTCGCCGGCTGGGGAAAATGGGTTGGCGGACATTGCGTGAGGGGTGGCGGGACTGGCGGTAGTACTGTGCGAAAAGCGACTCCTATAAGCTCTGCCTCGCGTGCCTGACACCAACTTGGTACTGTCGTTGTGTGAGCATGATGGGGAAGCGGGCGATGCAAACTACAGCACATACGGGTAGGTGCCTTTCGATCGGAGCGTGGACGCAAGATGTGCTGAGATGGCACCTAAGACCGAGCGGCCCTGTATACAACGTCAGTGCCTTGCATTTTGCGCCATCGCCGCCGGTGACGGTTCGGCCTTCGGAACGCCATTCAGGCTACCGATAGGACTCTACGCGTGCTCCAAATCCAGATAACGGCGGGGTTGAGGCGGCATCCGTCGATGGAGGACCACGAGGAGAGGATGGAATGATGCGAAGCATGCATCTACGGGCGTCTAGCGTCGGAAGCCAGCCAATACCGCGTCGCAGTGGCTGTGCAGCTTCGAGGCACTTCCCCAAAACGAGTATCCATGATGGTGATGCGCATACCACCACTCCTCCCAGTCGCCGCCCAGCCTGATGCCGTGAATCACGGTCTGCGCCACTGATTCTGTACTGCAGATCCTGATGTCGAATCACAGAATAGGCCCGATAGGCCCGTACCTCGCTGCTGCGTGCAGGTCAGTCATCTTTGCATCGGCTTACGGTTAGCAGGAGTTTTTCCCAAAAAAACAATCGCTATCACCAGATGACTTGTGGGGCCCAGATGCTCGTTCGAAAGCATGTGAGCGCATCATGCATCAAAGTATGATCTTGGCAAGAGCATGATTTTTACCCAGGATGTTCTCCCGCCGCACTACGTGGTACGCTTGGCCGGCCGGACAACTCACTCGCACCATCCTGATATCCTAGTATTATGCGGCGTACTACGCTCATGCAGAAAGTATTAGCGCGCCCTCCTCCACAACACGTGCTAGAATAGAGCACGCCGCGTTCCCGACCCGGGGGTCGGGAACGGTGTCGCCGTTAGAGGGGCCACAAGACAGATACTGTCAGTGTCAGTGTCAAATCTCGCATCATGCTCTTCGACTCAATGTCCAATGTTGAGTCGACCGCATTTGAGATTGAGCATACGCACATCAGGTAGATACAAACGTTTTCCAATATACTTACGACCCTTCTTGGCCCGGACTCGGAACCCGCTCTCTCCGAACCGGCTAAGAGATCACGCTGTAACTTCCATGCAATGACTGCATAGGATAGAACCGCTTGCCGGTATCACACATGAAGCTCTGATACAACCGTGTTTATTCGTCATCGTCCCACGCTACTATCAAACACCGATACACCCCGTAGTCCACACAAGCATACATCACAACATCACGGGCTAGTCCATTCTGGGTATACTGCAGGGTTTGTTTAGGCGATCAGCGACTAGCACATGCACATGCGGTGTAAGATCTTTACCGTTCAGAAGCAGGCGTCAGGCGAGGGCACGGAGCGTCCGGCAATGTCCACGCAGGCATCGACGTTGCGAGCTGTCGTAGTAACACCTGTCAGACTCGCCATCGATCGAGAGAATGGCTCGACGTACCGTTGATGGCCTCGGCAGCGGGGGCCGCGGCAACGGCGAGGGAGAAGACGGAGAGGACGAGGAAGAAGTTGAGAGTGAACTGCATGGTGACTTGAGTGGGATGTAGGGTTCGAAGAAGGCCTGGGGAGATAGCGTCGCTCGCGGGGGTTCTTATAGTACGCCCGCGAGCACAGGAATCCGCATTGGACGGTATCTCCTCGTTCGTAAGTCCGGGCGGTCGTGAGTCGGTGTACACAGACGCCAAAGCGAGCCTTTGCGAGCCCGACTACGGATCCGCTAGCCTTCTTCCATCAGACCCTCGGGGCAATGCACTCTCGGAACTGAGTTGTTTTCCCACCTCAGGCACCCTCACGAGTACTCGTTCAGCACGCATCTTGCAAGCTATAGTCGCACGCCCAGTGATGCTCAGGAGTGTTGTTGATGGTTCAGGAACTCGTACATTTCATGTGCGAACAATGGGGATATCCATACACATCACTCCTGCCCCTCCGTGCTACTCTGCTTGATGAACACGAACATTTCGAACGTGCCCGGATACGGAGGCGGAGCTCCTATCGGCCCCGACCCAGCCTGAGTGTACCCGAGTGCCTTGTATATAGTGACCTGATGAGGTGCATGAACACATTAGCACGGACACACAGCGCGCGAGGACGTAGAAACGCGACGCACGTTCGTAGCGCCCACAGTCTCCAAGAGCGTCGGAACCTTCGCCGCGCTAGCCTACAGGCGATGCCTTGATGTGAGTTGACCGGCCGTGACCGGGCAGGGTTGTGCGTACCTTTGCTTGGGCGTAGCTCATCAGCGCGCCCGCTGCGCCCTTCCGCTGGTGGGCCGGAGAAACGCCAATCACCTGCAGATGGTAACCGGCGAGCTTCACGCCCGGCCCCAGAGAGCCCTCCACGAGCTCGTCGTACTGGTTCAGGAACTGTACCGCAGCACGATAGATCAGCAACTGTGGGGGTACGCGCAAGGTACGGAGTCCCATGCGCATCATGATCGCTCACCGTCGTCCACCAGTCCCGGTACTTGGACTCGAGCTTCCCCATGATCTCGTTCCAGCCCGCGTTTCGCTGCGCATCGCTGCGAAGGTGCTATCAGCAGAGCGCACCGAGCACATACTCGTATCAGCAATGTGATGCTCACGAATCAAGGAACTTGTGCCCTGGGCCGAACCTATACGGTAGTGCGCGCGCGAGCAGATGTGAGTGGGCGTTGCGTGTACTGCGATCTCCACTCGAAGACATACCACAGCGCAACACCGACGGGGCCAACGCCGTCCAACGCCACAACATGTATCTCGCCTTCTCCCGCGGCGAGCGCGGCAGTGAGATGAGCGAGCAGGAACGGCTCTTGCAGCGCCTTGTCTCCCCCCAAACCCCCGGCGAAATATTCTGGACAAGTCGTTCAGAGTTATTGGACGACAAACCCGAGGCGATGAGTCAACTCACCGTAGCCGAATGCTTCAGCGAGTATCTTGGCGTACAGATCAAGGTCATCCTCTACGATACGGTGTGAGTATCAACGCATGCGCACGTTCACCGAGGCCGTGTCCACCGGCGATGGGATACTGAGCGACGGTACTCACTTGATGGATTGATAGCGTCGTACACGTGAACAGACATGGTAGAGCGATATCTTGGGTTCGGGGTCGGGATAAGTGCCTCACGATGACGTTGAGCGGTACTTGATACGATAGCGGGCAGTGGCGGTCTCGGACTTGAGGCTGCTATATACTGCGCCGTTTCAAGCCGGACGCTATTCGCTGCACCGAGGGCTGCTCCGAATCAGAGTGATCATTCCTAGATCGTGATGGGTTCCCAGCTGATGGCTAGATGCAGAAGCACATGCTCTGCGGATGCAAGCAGGAGAAGTGCATTCCGCTGGTGGTCCGCAGTAAACCGTCAAACCTTATGCTCGCAAGCGTTTTCGGTGGGATCCGCACGATTGCCCAGGCCACCCTATACTATAGTACTGACAAAAGAATCAAGCCCCGATTGTATAGCGCAATCGTGAGCATGCGCGAGACAACGATATCGTCGATGTCAGGACCAGGTACTCCCAAACTCCACGGGAGTGGAATACTGAATGATGTGCACGCCTGGTACGCGTCAGCGCCGTATGACCAGATGCGTTGTATGGCGAGAACTCACCTCCGACTGGCTTCGCCCGTCTGTCTTGCCAGAAATCTACGAAACATCTCGCCGCCCTAGGGGCACACGCGAGCTCGAGGGTGGTAAAAGCGCCAGAGGGACACCGGAAAATCCCCGACTGTTGCGAACCTGAGCTGGGAAATGGTAGAGTCGCAAGGAGTGTACGACGGGCGGGAGCCCGAGCGGCAGCGCCTCCTCGGATGTCCTGCGCAAATTCCGCCGAGTCTTCCAAGGTCCAGACGTCGATCACGGTAGTTGGTATCAGGTTTATGTCGGGGTGGAATCTAGCGGTCTCGACAGGTAGCGAGATGTTCAAGACGCAGTTCTCCATCGCGTAGTCGAGGTTGCGGAACTGAACCACCGCCGAGACCTATGTGACGGAGGTGAGTCGCTTTCCTACCGCCGCGAAAGACATGCTCACGGAATCGGTGATTAGAACGCGACGGTCATCTGGGTAAACCGTGCCAAACGCGGTGGCTCGGCCACGCTCGTGCTCTCGCGTAGTGCGCGACTTGTCTGCGTTGTCGATTTGCAGAACAACCTGAGGGAAGTTGATGATAGGCGGGAACGTCTTGGTCGAATTCTGAAGTATCTTGTCCAGGTATACGTATGGGTTCGGCCGCAATGGAGGTACGCCGACTTGAGGCTGACTGTTGTTGGCCGAAAGCCCATTGACGAAGAGGAGTATCGATAAGACCGTAGTCACTGCTACTCCTGCGACGCTCCAGATGAGGAACCGGTCTGCCCCTACTCGTGCTGTCTAGTTATGAGCACAATGTGAAGACCTATCACACGTGCGATGCATTGACATACCTGATTGCGTCGGGCGATCTACTTCCTCCTTCAACAAGGGCTCGTGCAGAACACGTTCCTCTGAGGAGCCCCTTCTGTACAGAGGAACATACTCGGGAGGCGATTGCATAGGGCTTTGCTTTCCTAGAGGACTGCAAGAGAGGGCACCAGTGGAGCGTCGTGTGGGCAAAGTCACACCGAGGCGATATCGCAACGCCTGCTCCTAGCTGGTAGATCTAACTGCCCGATAGCGTCGTCCGCACTCAGGCAAGTGCCTAGCTATGATGCAAGAACCGTGATACCGACCAACACTTGATGCATGATGCGCTGCCTCGTTTACTCGCACCTGAGAACTCCGGAGTCGGCGGGAAATCGGGCATTGTGGCGGTCGGATACGGCGTTTTCGTTGGCAGTGAGCCGAGTCGAGCATTCGAGTGCCCACGCTTGGAGAGCTTGAGTGCCTGCATTATTGCTGAAGAAGAAGAAGAAGAATTTGAGAGCGGAACAACCGCCGTCGCTGCCCACATGGGCCGCCAAGCGGAACGACTGTATTGAAAGAGCGCCGGCGCGCAGTGTCAATCGGGTGTTCATCTAGGCACTCTCCGGCCGCGGAAGATCAATCGGAGGACAAATACTGATCTCCCGCATGATGTCTCCCAGGCTTGTGGTGCTCTCTCACTTACACCGTCCCAGGAAACACAGGGAAACACTCGGGCCTTCGAATTTTTCTCTAAGTTCTCTTCTTTCATTTTGACGGTCTTCTGGCATAACTGGCCGCTTCTTGCTGCGGAATTGTCGACCCTTTGCATGCCTCGTCTGATCACTAGTGTTCTTCTATCCCATGGATAAATCTAATCCACTATCTGGATCGTCACTTGGCATGCTACCGCCCATGCTGATAGCGGAATCTTTTGGTTACATCAATGCATAATGATACAGCAGATCCCTTCCGGACCCTCCGATCTTGGGCAGTCTTGGGCGCAACCCAGCTGTCGCCTCGATTGCCGACGCACCCTCAAGGGACCGAAGTCCGCCGCGGTACACCTTCTGATCTCAATAGGCACGCCCCACGCTTGCTATTATGATTCCATTCTTGAGCTGTTCATACTGCTCCCGGTCCCAGGAAGGGCAAAGGCCGGCGTCACTGATACCCATCATACAGGACGAAGAAAGGGGTCCTGATCGCCCCGCTGATCTACGGCGTGTGCGGGGGATCACAGCGAGATACACAGCACGGCTGTCGCGCCGCGCCCGATTGTCAGAGAACAGGACTAACGCGGCCGCAGAATCCGACAGGCTGTGGCGCTCGCCACAACAGCCCTTCCCTCCCCTCTTGCGCTCACTGTGCGTCATCTGTGGTCTCCAGCAGTGTTTGAGAACGTCCACGCCTATGCCGTCCACCGTCCTACGCACTCTGTCAATATTCCTCTTCGCCACCAGCTCCCTCGTGCTCCTTGCCTCTCAAAACTTTCTGAGGGGAGGCGGGAATGACCATGATGCACCGCGGGACTCATACAGTGCGTGAATGCGTACAAGCACGTCGGGTGCTTCAGCTGATCGTTTCACAGGTTATCGCGGAGACGACTACCCTCGCACGTGGTCCCTGCCTCTCCTCCGCACCGCGCACCTCTCGCACGAAGACAGCTTCCACTACGCCCTCGAAACCGAACTCGGGATCGCAGAGTGGAACGCTACCTTGCCAAGTGGCGGCGCCGTGCTTCGCCTCGGACCCGACCATCGTTCCTTCACCCTCTCCATGTTCCATCAATTGCGATGCCTGAACATCATCCGCGACACCCTCGTCGACCTCTACCACGACCGGTCCGCGGGCATGGAATCAAGGCGAGCGCGTATGGCGGAGCACTGCATGAACTACCTCCGCCAAACCGTCAGCTGCAGAGCAGACTTGCGGCTGGAGACCGTGCGTGCACCCTCGGGCGGGCAGGTCACAGCGTCGGACATTACACATACGTGCAAGGACTGGACAGCAGTGTATAGGGCCGCGGAGGACAACTACGAACATTATCTCGCGACGGTCAGGGAGGACGACGGGTGATGCAGATACTAGAACAGAGATGTATGTACACATAAACTTCGGAGAGCCCCTCATGCATGTTCGTGTTCCCCGTAGATCGGTGGCGTATACGCTGCAACGATGTCAGCTGGCCAATCATACAGCACGCAGAGAGATCGCACGCACCATACCCTGCATCTTTGCTCCACCCGTCGTAGTTCTGCGCGACGAAGTTATAGATAGGCGGCCAGTCCTTGCACTCATGCACCCCATGCGTCCGCTCGACCTCAAAATCCTTCTCCTCGAAGTCCCCGGGCTCCAGCGCGAGGTCCGGCGAGCACAGGATGCCTTGCCGCAGGTAGTTCAGACAGTGCTTGACGTGTGGAAAGGACGTCATGTTCGGCGCGAACGCGAGGTTGAGCATGCGCAGGCAGTGCAGCTCGTGGAACATCGTCACGACGAACGTGCGGTTCTCGGGGCCGAGGCGCACGTAGCCGAAGCCGGGGGTCGAGAGCGAGAGCCATTCGGCGTCCGTCGCGGACCCCAGGGGCGTGTAGTGCACCGTCTCCTCCATGAGGAGGGAGATGCGCTCGGGCTCGTGCGGGAGCGGGAGGAGCTCTGGGTAGTCGTGCCCCTTGTATGCTGCACATCGATGATTTGTTTAGCGGTACATTGGAGGAGTTAGGCGGGATAGCTCACAGTACTCTCGGGGCCACGACTTCGTGACCAGCCCTGACGGGCGTCGCGACCACAAGAAGACATGCAACAAGTTCAGAACACTAGCGGAGAGGAGTAGAACGATCACGATCCTGTCGGATAGCATGTCGAGATGTGCTCGATGAGAGGGGGGTTGACGAAGTCCACCCAAGCCGTTGCGCTACCATTCGGTACTTCCTATTTCCTGGGATGACCCCCATGATGGGACCGCATCCCCGCCGCCTATCCCCGCTGTTCCTACCCTGTCAGAGAGTACTGCACCGGTTTCCGTCTACTCTGACAGGCTTGGTAATCCGTTCACGATCATGATGCTTGGTTGACCGATCATCACGCCGAGTGGACCTGGATATTGATATTGTGTAGATCTCCCGAAAGCGGTGTCCAGATGTACGCTTCCGGGCTTTGCGTCCATGTGGATGAGGACGCCCACCGGTGCATCAAATGGAGCCCGAATAGACCGGCGCGCTAGACCCTAGATAGCACTGGTAAGAGACGCCGGCAGTATGAAGCTCATCGGACTCGGTCCTCGCACCTGTGAACGCATCTGCACATCCAATGTTCATCCCCTCGTTCAGCCCACTGACCGCGATCTCGACTTTCCTGAGCGCGCTCCCCTTGTTGCACATCGGTGTCCCCACCATGCCTGCCACCACAGTCCCGGTCGACGAGGGCCTCATCCCCTTTCCCTACCAAGGCGAGACCTTCCAAACCTACTACAAGGTCTTCGGCAGCCTTGAGAACCGCACCCGCCCCCCGGTAATCGTCCTACACGGCGGCCCCGGCCTCTCGCACGACTACACCCTCCCGCTCGCGGACCTCACGAACCAATCCTTCCCCGTGATCTTCTACGACCAGATCGGGAACGCCCGCTCGACGCACCTCCCCGACAAGCCACCCGCGTTCTGGACGATCGACCTCTTCCTCGACGAGTTCGACAACCTCCTCACGCACTTCGGCATCCAGGACGCGTACCACATCGTCGGGCACTCGTGGGGCGGCATGATGGCGTCTGAGCTCGTCGTGCGGAGACAGCCCAAGGGGCTGCAGCGCCTCGTGATCACCGACTCTCCGGCGGACGTGTCGATGTGGGGAAAGTCGTTCATGGAGCTTCTGGGCAAGTTCCCGCAGGCGGTGAAAGACGCGATCGCGACGGGGTTTGAGAACCGGGAGGCGTACTGGAACGCCCTTCTTGAGGTGTACGCGGTGCACGGGTGTAGGGCGAAGCCGTTCCCGAAGGATCTGGAGTACTCGCTGCTCCAGATATACGGCGAGGACGCAGACCGGACTGTGGACGAAGCTCCGTGAGTTGCACGTTCAGAAGAAAAACGTCACTACTGACCCAGGGTGACAGGATACTCACCAAATGGACGGTCGTCGATCGTCTGCACCACATCAAGGTGCCGACGCTCGTCATTAACGGCCGCTACGACATTGCGCAGGACTGGGTCACCAAACCCTTCGCGGACAACATCCCGAATGCGACGTGGATCACGTTCGAGGAATCGAGCCACACCCCGTTCTGGGAGGAGCGGGAGAGGTATATGCAGGTTCTCGGCGATTTTCTGCAGAAGTGACGAGTGTCAGGAGTGTAATTAGTGCTATTGTAGACGCCATGTATCACCATGTATTCTGTAACCGAACGTCAGAAGATTAGGCTCATACCCGTATATATACCTGGTCCAATGTAAAGCACTTGTTTTGAATAAATAGAGGGGTAAACTCGGCGTGTGGAGGTGTGGATCATGGTGGTTTGTGGCAAAGCCGGCACGAACGCAAGCGTCTATTCAGCGATCTAACCACCACTGTGTATGTACCCAGTAGCGACAGGTTTTATCTTTCAACTTCGAGGACCTGGAGGGCTCATCCTCACGACACTAGTCAACGAAGTCACACTACAACTATATCCCCTGAGGCAGATATATGCGCAGTGTATGCCAGCACATACACACACTCGCCTGACTGGGAGAACTCATTCCGCCAACTTCGCACCTCGGCCTGTACAACATCGTCAATGATTCGGCCTGTAAGCATTCCAAGCCCTCGAACAGGGCTAACATTCGTTATTTAGGTGCTGCGTTTCCCTCAATATCAGCACCCACCCCTGACGGCGCGGGAGGGGAGCCGGATCGTCAACACCGCCCGAACCTCTGGAGTCCGAGCCTCCCACCCCTCCACGTTCTTTCAAGAGTAAGAAACCGTCCCAGTACCCAAGGCGGCATACACGAGCTCTTCACCCGTGACTCGACTCACAGGTCTTCTGCGACAGCAATTATCTAGCTGCTCAGTACAGCGACTGGCAACGAAAAGTCGAGGCAAGGCGAACATGACAGCGCAGCGACGGCAAGCCTTCTCGCGCAGGGTGCCAGTACTCTCAGAATAAAAGCCTATCAACCGCAATCTCAGATTTCAGCATTGACGATACCAAGGCGCGCAATGAACCTAAACACGCAGCGCTACAAATGGGATACAAATACAACCAACCCAATTCTGACTCGACGAACGGTATATGTCCACATCGTTGAACACGACGTATCTGCAGCTGACCAACACCTTAGGTTACATCTTGCAGGTCGGTCTCCTCAGGGCCTGTCAAATTCTCTATGAGTCCCGATACTAGGGTTCATTTTCCACACACGTCTTACCTGCGTCCGGTGTATGCGTTCATTCAAGGGCTCGGAGTCCCGCAGCAGCACACATGGCTGGGCCAAGGGCAGTCGGGTGCGGGCGCGCCTGTCGTAACCCGTTAGCCTTCATGATCCCGCTTTCCAGCGGTTCCACGTACCGTGCGATTCGCTATCATCAACAGGCATCGCGCTCGCGAAAGCCACGAGTGCAGCGACGAGGATAAGCGTCTTCCCAAGCAAGTGCATGAAGTGAGCGTTAGGTGCAGTGAAGGACGGTGACGGTGTTCTGTGGGGTCCTGCGGGACTGACGAGCTCGCTGTGAGTTCTGGCCCCCTCTTATACGCTGTAGCAGCGTCTCCCTATCTTTATGTCAATGCCGTCAGGGTGAGTCGCATGTGTATCACTGCTCCAGGTAGTCCAGCGACCAAGGGTAACTCACTGGTACCAGCTGGCACTTTCTTAGACTTTCGACGCAAGACAGCTGTTCAGATTGCGAGACGTTCGGGCGTCGGCACTGCCGTATCAGGATGCGGCCATCCACATCGCTCGTGCTCACACATGGACAGCGAAAGATACGACGCTCGATAGGCATATGAATGTATGAATCGAGTCAAGGTGAAGTACTTCTAGTACTCGTACACTGAAAAGGAGTCTTCCTTCACGCCGGCGGCTGCGCAATCGGCTCAGCTCTGCGGCGGAGACCCGGATGATTCTTCCAGAGTTCGACTTGCCTGGCCTGCGCGAAAACCGCATGGTCAGCCACATCCATCACAAACGGAGCTCTTCGGCACTCACGTCGTCGCCCCACGTCTTCTTGAAACTTGGCCGCTCGTGAATGTCCTGCACGTACTTCCTGATACGCGCGAACCGCTCGCCCTCCAATGCATCCCGCAGCATCAGCCAGTTCTCCTCCGTGTACGACCCAAGGCCTACGCGCACAAAGAGGAAGAGGCGCGTGATGAATGGCGCGACCGCGGCCTCCGCGATCGACCATTCGCCCGCGGCAAAGCCAGTCTGAGGCAGCGCGGCCTGCAGCTTCTCGAGCGCCTGCAGGACGCCTGCGACGGGCTTGCCGAGGAAGAAGGCGCCGCGGAACTCGTCGGAGACGTAGTTGCGGAAGATCTCGGTGAAGGTGCGCGCCTTGGCGCGGAGGAGCGGGTCTGCGGGCAGGAGGGGCGCGTCGGGGAAGATGTCGGCGAGGAACTCGAGGATCGCCATCGACTCGGCGAGCTTCGCGGACTCGGGAGAGGGCTGGTCTGGCGGCACTTCGGGTCCTCCGAAGGTAAGTGCGGGGATCTGGAGTGAATTTGTGAGGATGGTCAGCTAGAGACTCAGCGTTCAAGCGTGTCAGGAATAACCCCTCACCTTCCCCAAGGGATTGATCTGGTAGTACCACTCAGGTTTACTGCCCGGACCCCTGGTCTCAAACTCCCACATGGTGTACTTTACGCCTGCCTCCTCGAGGGCGATGTGCACCTATACAGTACCCAAATCATGTTCAGTATGTCATCGCCAGGACGTCTCCGGTTTGTGGAATTCACCCTCTGGGAGTACGGAGAGTACTAAAAGGCGTAAATTTTGAAGTCAATAGGGGGCTAAAACTCTGTGGCGAGCCTAGGAGACTTACGGCGGCGGTATAGAACGTCAACTGCTCGGTGGGGGCCATGATGGGAGTTTGATGCATGTAGTGATCGCCTAAGCCTAGGCTTTATGCACTAGAGATGCGCAGTGAACCTAGACGGAACCGAAGACAGAGTCATCCCAGTGGGGTAGCGGGGTTACAGGTGTCGCCCGGACTGTCATGTATGCTCCCCCAGAGATGCCATATGCCCATCCACCTGTGGGGAAGAGACGCTCGAGGGGTGCAGCAACCTCCCCCCAACCATTGAGCAAAACGCACGGGTAGGCATATACTCTGATTACCTCGCGATTGTGCGAAAGCCTAGCAAGCACATGGAAGGGGGTATGCACGCATTGGCGCGTAAACCTCCGTAGGCACTGGCACAGCGTATCCCGCTGCTTTCGACAGAGTAAATATCAGTCAAGTTGTACGCGATCATTTCATGAACCATTTGAGTGGGGAGGATGCTAGCTTCTCGCCAACGCGGAGATTACACGATCGAGTAGACACGACGCCATGAAGCGCATCGTCGCTCACTCCCCTACCCGCAGCATCGGAACCGTCTTCGCTGCCTCGACTTGCTCAGCCTGAGTCGCAAAGTATATCAGCGCACTGAATCAGCCGACGACGAGACACACTCACATCACCAGCCCAGGTGTTCGCAAAGCTCGGACGAGCGCGGCAGTCCCGCACGTACTGGCGAATGCGCGCAAACCGCTCGCTCGCCATCGCCTTGCGCATCTTCACCCCATCTTCCTTGCTGTACAGCCCAAGTCCCGCCTCCAGGTACGGGAACATGCGCGCGAGGAATGGGATGACCGCCGCGTCCGCGATGGACCACTCCCCAGCGGCGAATCCCCCATCGGGGGGTAACGCGCCCTGGAGCATCTCGAGCGCCTGCAGGAGGGGGTCCGCGGGGGTGCCGAGGAACCACACGTCCCTGAACTGGCCGTTCACGTAGTTCTCGTAGAGCGCCATGAAGGTGCGGGCGCGGGCGCGGAGGACAGGGTCTGTGGGGAGGAGCTTGGCATCGGGGAAGAGGTCGGCGATGAACTCGAGCATGGCGAGCGACTCGGCGATCTTCGCAGACTCTGGGGAGGGCTGGTCGGGAGGCACCTCTGGTCCGCCGAAGGTCATCGCAGGGATCTGCGAAGAACCGTCAGCGAGATGGACCTTGCGGATAATTGCTGACCATACCTTCTTGAGCGGGTTGACTAGAGGGAACCAGTCCGGCATGTTCCGCAGGATGTCTACATCATAGGTGGTGTACTCCGCACCTGCTTCCTCGAGGGCAATTCGAACCTGGAGTGAGATATTCAGCGACTGTGTATATGCGCGCCGCTTATCTAGACCAACCCTGTGGGCATACGGGGAGAACTGGGCGGTGAATCGTCAGATCAGAGGGTGAAGAATATCCAACAACCGTAACACAAACTCACCGTGGCTGTGTAGAGGGTGATCTGTTTGGTAGAAGACATGGTAGGTGATTGTCGCTGTGCTGTAAATCCCTCGCACTCCGATGCCTTTTAAGTAGAAAACAGAGTCGGAAGGACCCCCGGCATCCACAGCAGGTATGTCGGTCTTGCTTAGGTACATCCAGCGCATGGGGAGTACTAAGCAGAAGGATCGCAGCAAACTCTTGACGTACCGGCGGCCGTGTCTCCATCGAATGCGCTGGCATATTAAGACAGCGCAGTGGAGTATGAGTCATGCTTGGTGTGTACTCAGACGATTGAACAAGCTAGCTCGATGTTTGGGTTGATCTCCGAGATGACCGATGCCGCCCGCGCACCTATGAAATCAAAATATTGTGCCTCCCGACGGCGAACTCGGGGATAAATGGAACTAATGTGTGTACAATGAAAACGTACGTCAATGTAGAGCCTATAAAATTGGTTTGTGACCCGGTAATAGTAGCACTACGTGTGCGTCTTTGACTTTATGAATAATGACCCACTGCGTCGCCTACCAAAACCTGTCAGATACGACATATCCACGGTCGATCGAGGTCGAAGATGCTTACCTGAGAGGACTACGGATGATATGCCATACGTAACATGATTTACGCCCGCTACCCCGTCCGTGATCGTAGACGATACACAGTGACAGCGCAAGGCCGAGAGGGGAGGACGAAACCTACGGTCGCACCAGACTTGAATTCCTCTCGGTCCGGGGATGACAAGTGTTCTTTATCAAAAAGACCAACATGGAGTCTACCCATACAAGTAGAGAGTCGTCTGCGGGGGAATGACGATCAGAGTGTGCCGCCTAGAAGGAGCTGTGTGGTCTCACCTTTCGTCCCGCCCTGGGCCCCTAGTATCTTAGGTCAGTACTTTCGATATAGATAGAATATCTTTGAAGGGTGAAGATATAAAGCAAAGTGCAAGATTCGTAGAAACACGTCCACCAAGCCGAGTCCAATAAGTGACACAACATAAAGTTACCCGACGGCAGTGCTGTAGCAGTGCTAGCGCGACCCCGAAAGAGGGCATACCATTCTCTTCGATTCGCAAGGAGGTCGCAACGCACCAGACATCCCGTATCTGCCGTACAGGAACAGGGCAGTAAGAGTATTCACCATTCGGTCAGTGCACACTAGATGGAGGTACTTTAACAAGAGTCGCGTAGGCGGCTCGCTCAAGCTGCTATATAAGGTACCCGTGGGAAGAATGACGCGCATACACCCCAATCTGCTCACTTCTGAGATCGGCCTCGCAGCGGATGCGCGCGAGTCGTTCATCTTTGTCTCCAACGCTCACTCGGCATGCTGAGCTTCCCCCATGCTGTTCTCGACGGTGACAAGCTTGCTTGCCTCCTATTTGGCCGCCTTCACTCATGACCGCGGGACACCCACTGTCGACCACGTTCAATCTGCGCCGCTACAGTTCGAGCTGCGCCATGCTCATGCCGTCTCGCCTGATGCCCGCGTGCTCTTTCACGACATCCACAAGCCCGATATCAACGCATACAGTGCCCTCCATGGAGACCTCACGACGTACCCTTTACGAAGCCAGCGAGTGAAGACACACAGACCACGGTCTCTCGATGAATTCCACCGCGCGCGCGTCCGCTCGATGCGCTTCCAAGAGAACGAATCAGTAGAATGGGACGAGGACGAGGTTGAAGGACCGGATGTCAACTCGAGGGAGACGCTTCTCCTTCTTGCGAAGATGACGAATAACGCGTATCTATCACCAGGGGAGGACGGATGGTACGATTTGGGTGGCCAGTGGAATGTTGTAAGTACCATTTTACTCCTCGGGCTACTTCTACGCGCCATCCGATGGGTTCTCCGTACGTCCACCTTCCGTTGTCATATCTGCTGGATGCTCTGCGGATATGGCTGGATAAGGCGTCGGGCCACATAAAGTATGAGCGATACAGCGCTTTACCCTACTGTGCAAATCACACCAAGCGTCTCCGCACACGTACCCGGCCGCTCGTACTGATCACCGCTTCCCAGAGCTACCCCGTCGGCTGGGAGCCGGATGACGACGGCTTCCGTGGACATGTGTTTGCGACGCCCGACAATTCCACCGTCGTACTGTCTATCAAGGGCACGTCCGCCGCATTCATCGGCGGCGGTGGGCCAACGGCGAAGAAAGACAAGTTCAACGACAATTTACTCTTCAGCTGCTGCTGCGCCCGCGTAGATTGGACATGGACGACAGTGTGCGGGTGCTACCGCGGCGGCTGGAAGTGCGACCAAGGCTGCCTAGAAGAGGCGCTGATAGAGGACAGCCTATTTTATCCTATTGGAACTGTGAGTGCAATCTACGGCTCGTATCTGACAGAAGCTAACGACAGCGCGCAGAATTTGTATAACAATCTCACATACCTATACCCGAACTCGAACATATGGATGGTCGGACATTCGCTCGGGGGCGCACTCGCATCCCTCCTCGGCGTCACCTTCGGATCACCTACCGTAGCCATCGAATCCCCCGGAGAGAAGATGGCCGCAGCCAGGCTGCATCTGCCTTCCCCAGTGCGTCATCTTCCCCATTTACGTCGCGTCCCCGAGAATGAGTATTGAACACGCCCACAGCCAGAAGTACAACACGTCACGCACCTATACCACACGGCGGACCCGATCGCGATGGGGACCTGCAACGGCGTGCTGTCCTCGTGTGCCCTGGGCGGGTACGCGATGGAGAGCAAGTGTCACATCGGGCGGTCGATCGTGTACGACACAGTGTCGAACGCGTCGTGGGGAGTTGACATCCGCACGCACACGATCGTGAACGTGATTGAGAAGCTGCTCGCGGAGCCGTGGCCACCGAGCGTGGACGTCGGGCGCGAGGTCCCCGAGGCGGTCCCGGAGGAAGACTGCGTGGTGAGTACATGCGTGGCTTCGAGATGTGTGATCATAGCGCTGACACTGTACGCAGGAGTGCTATAGTTGGGACTTTGGGGACTATCCGCCTGCGAAACGGTAGCGTTGAAGGAAGCGTGGACATATATCGAGAGAGGCATTTGTCAGGGTTGCACGCATAATGGTAGAGGTTGGCTATGAACGTCACAACGGCACAAGACATGGCGCTGCTACCGGTTCTAGGACACACTACGACCCCTCTCCCTCCGATACTTTGTAACACATCCACTCAACATGCTGAAGGGTTTTTAGTCAGAGTCTTTTACTGCGAGATGCGTCAAGTACCTCAACCTGACCGTGAGAAAAACATCATTCTGGAGAAAGTAAGTAGCAAGTGAGTAGCGCTGTGGACCCGTAACTTGACTCTTGCCACCAACCTCCACCAACATTCTGAACTCCAGCTACCCTTGTGTCGCATCTCTTGACTAGAAGACCTCTATAGACAACATAGGCGCGGATACTGATGCACGGAAGATCGCGAGGGCTTGTAGTGCAACTTGCGAGAGGCGGACACTCCAGGCACTCTTTCTCATGTTCAGGATGGGCTGTGAGATGCGTTGGCATCCGAGAAAAGGCCTTGGCAAGAGGCGTTCTTCAAAAGCGACAAATATCTACAGAGCTGCGGCCCGTGAGTCGCTTTCGTGTCTATCATCCTTTTCAGAAACTGCTACGGTACCAGCCCGGTGCGCGTATAGAAGTCGCAACACATAACAATATCGCGCAAGTACTACGATAACTCAATACCCATGGTGCCCGTACCCTTCCGCACGCTGGACCGCAATCTACTCACTCCAGAGGACTACGTCGACCTGTCGGACGTCCGCGGCATCGCAGTCGACGCCGAGGCCACCACTCCACCACCCGAAAATGACAATAACGAAGATCTTCCATACATTCCGTACGGTCGCAGACAGCACTTCATAGACGGCGCCGTCCGGGTCACCTCACACACGCCGTTCCCAGTCAACACGCGCGGCTTCTTCTACTTCTGGTGCCGCCCACTCATCCCCGTCAGCGGCTCGATCCGCTTCCGCGTCGTCCAGGGCCCCGACCCGAAGCTCTTCAACCAGGGGACGGACCTCCTGAACGAATTCGGCACACCCTGGGAGATCCCGCTGCTCGCCATCGCGGGGGTGGAACGGTACGTCTGCCTGCGCGACGTGCTCCTGCGACTGCGGCCCGGGCTGCACGCGAGAAAATCGCTGGAGCGCGTGGGGGCGCTGAAGGCGAGCTCGACGCGGCCGGGCGAAACGCGCTTCGGGCCGTTGTCGCAGGTCCTGTACGAGGTCGGCGAGCCGTTCTATATCTCGCTGGTGTCGCACAACGAGGCCGTGTTCTTCGCGGGGGACGAGCAGATCTACAAGCTGTACGCGCGCAACTTCCTCAACGCGCACTTCCACTCCGACTGGCCGTATGAAGGTGCGCCGCGTCCTCCACTTGTTCCCGCGTGTCGTCGCTTACCCGTACGGACGCACAGCGGGCATCCTGAAGTGCCGTTTCGAGTTGAACCAGGGTGGCTTCGTCGTGCGCGTGCTGCGCATCGTCGAGCCGCTGCGTGTGAAGGCGAAAATCCTGCGAAAGGCCCCATTCGTCGCCGACCCACCGCAGGCGGGGCAGCTGCTCACTAGAGACGGACATCCGAAGCGCTTTTTCCGGAGCAGAGAGGAGGGAAGCACGGCCGTGGTGCGGGAGACGCTGCTACGCCGGTATAATGCGGCTCGACAGCCCAAGTATCAGCGGTACGTCCTCGCCGGAAGATCGTATAGTGCATCCCAGCTGATTTGTTTGATGTCAGACACGCAGGCGTCGGAAGGGTTGGGGCTAGTAAGTCGGAGAGTAGACCGATGTGGCTATGAGATATCCAGGTGGACGTTGCTGCTATGTCGGATCCGTCTGGTGACTCCTACGGGTCTCGGTGTGCATCTCACAGGGCTCGCACATTTCTGCATCACACTACTCTATATTTTCTACGTTAATGTACATCGCAATCTTGCCCCGGAAAGCTCATGGCATTTAATGAGCGCTTAACAATATGTGCCAGGCCGGGCGAACTTCTCGGCTGCGTTCATCTAACCACCGAACCACCAACATACGTGTTTCCTCTCTGACCTTCGAGTCAAGTCCTTAACCTGAACGTGACTAGGTTGACTGCTGCCTCCTAATTCGAGTGGAACTGGGTCTTTTAACGTCAAACTCGGAGGCCTGTCATGCAGGGCATCAAACGTGGACTGGGCAGCATATCGAGCTTTGCGCCTACAAGGTGCTGCAGAGCGGCCAGCAGGGCACCTTTGGTCGCACGGATCCACGTACGCAGTGTACAGACCCATGCGGAAACGTCAGCTCAGGCAGAGCAGAGGCAGAGCAGCCGCACGCTCCAGTCGGTGAGTACTCCCGCCTTTCCATAACTATAGCCTCCAATGCAGGCCCACCATGTAGAAGAGCTCTCCGCCCATGTACGACAAGGACTGGCAACCCCCTACAGTTGACGTCGCGCTGCGCACGCTCCGCCCCGACAACCTCGTCGCCTCCGACTCCGTGGATCTCTCCGACGCCCGCGGTGTTGCATACGACCCGGCGCACTTCGACGCGCACCCCGACGCGAACACGTCCGGGTACGTCCCCTACCTCACCTACGGCCGCCGGCAGACCCGCAACGCGGTCCTCAAGACGCGCGTCCTCACCTACACGCCCTTCCCCGTGAACACGCGCGGCTTCTTCTACTACCGTGCGCACCCGTCCGTGCCGGAGGGCGGGTCGCTGCGCTTCCGCGTCGTGCCTTCGCGCGACCCAGCAGACTTCGCGACCGGGGCGGACCTCGAGACGGAGTTTGGGACCCCATGGCAGATAGCCCTCGTCGCGATTGCGACGCAGCCGCGGCTCGCGCTCGTGCGCGCGGTGCTGGAGCGCGAGGAACTCGTCTCGCCGGCGGGCTGGACGCGCGCGGCCGCGCTCGAGGAGTCGCTCGGGCAGAACCGCGTCGGGGCGATGTCGCAGATCGTGTTCCAGGCGGGGGAGCCGTTCTATGTCGACCTCGCGGATCCGGAGCAGACGGTGTACGTTGCGGGCGATGGGGTGTTGCAGAGGGTCACCCCGCGGCATATGTTCATTACGCGGTTCCAGAAGGCGGAGTACATCTGGAAATACACAGGTGCGTCGCAGTGGGCTGCGTGCAGGTTGGGGACTGATGTGGGGTTTGGCTACAGGGGGCGTCCTGCGGTGTGCGCTGGTTCTCTTCGGGCACAAGAAAACCGAGAAGGCTGTCTACGTGGAGGTGCAGCGCGAGATCGAGCCGGTGCGCGAGAGCGATGAGCGTGTGATACGCTCCAGATACGTGCAAACCCCTGTGGTCGGACAGCTCCTGCAGATGCAGCACGGCGTGTACATGGACCTGTTCCTCTCCCCAGACCCTGCCAAACGAGCGGTCAAGAAGAGTTTATTCAAGCGGGGCATGCAGGGTGCTACAGGTCAACAGACGTGAGTTGCCAGAACTTCCGACTGGTGCTCACGGTGGATCTTATGGCACGACATATAGCACACAGTCATCACAACCCACACACGACAGGACTAAGCGCGAGGCAGCCCGCGGGCCGTCGAGTAGCAAGGGTTCAAACACATCATAATATTCCGCCTTCGGATGACGATATACACTTGCTCTGATGCTTTCTGTCTTATACAAGTACTAATGCTATCTGTTGCGCTAGTCTGAGCTTGCGCTTGAGCTTGAAGCTCCCAAGGACGAATACCTACTATCACTCAGCTGGTTCTGCAACACTTTTCACGCCTGTTGCGATATCTCCCTCCCAGTTGCTCTGATACTTTGCTGGATCGTTCAATATATATTGCCACACATCACGGCCAAATCTCGTTAGGGAAAGGCAACATCCCCCAAGTAATCAGTCGTATAAGCAGCCAGTTTTGTAAAGTGTTTTGCAAACCGTCCGCACATCAAATTCCTTCCCTTCTCCAAATTTAATCGGCTTCATAGAATACATGATATTTGCCTTGATAATACGTCTATATGATTCATGTAAGCACTCAACAGTATACGCTTGTATGTAGTGCTAGCATGGTAGTACGTCCCCGCAGAAACCCATTGCTGGGGTTAGGGCTTGAGCCATATGTTTTGATCGCCGGAGGAGGGGCGCACCGGGGACCCGCCACCCGGACCCGTGTCCGGCCCCGGTCCCAGGACGTCCGGATGCGCTCATCCACGACGTCGACCTGCTCATGTGCGTGAAGCTGCTGCCGCCACACTCTCCCTCCTGACTCTCGACCACCATCTCCTCCGCCTCCTAGACCACCTCATCCCCCCGGGTCGCATTAGAGCGTAGACGACATGTCCAAGCCGACGCAGCTTACGCCGTTCGGCTATGCGCTCGCGGGGGCGCTGGGTGCCTGCTTCAGTAACGCGTGAGTACTCGTACTTGATCCCATTACTCGCGCGCCGTCGGCAGGATACAAGACACCCCTGAATAAACGAGTCGACTCGAGTGTACATTTGCTTCGGGCACCGCTCGTGCACCGTACTTCACGTCCGCGGAAAGTCGTGAGACCGCGATGCACGAACACCCGACGTGTGCACCTACATATACACACTCCATAATTGAACAGCCAAGCTAACGTAATGTTGTAGTGTTGTGTACCCTCTAGATATGTGAGTCCATAAGACTACCTAGTAAGCCATTATACACGTCTTGACGAGCAACTCAGCGTGAAGACGCGGATCCAGGCAGCCACCGTCGACTCCGACCCCTCCGAGAAGGAGAAGCTGGGCGCAATCAACATCCTCCTCCGCATACTCAAGGAGGAGGGCTTCAGCGGGTACTACCGCGGCTTCATAGCGACCATGCTCAACACTTTCTCCATGCGTGAGTGTGGCTCCCCCTACCTCAGGCTGCGTACTCTGACCGCATATACAGAATACGCGTACTTCTTCTTCTACTCCTTCGTGCGCACGTCCTACATCAAGCGCCTAGCCTCCAAACGCCCCGCCGGCAGCGCGTCGGCACCCTTGAGCACGGCCGCCGAGCTCGCGCTCGGCGCAGTCGCAGGCGGGCTCGCGCAGATATTCACCATCCCCGTCGCGGTGATCGCGACGCGCCAGCAGATCGGGCGGTCGCTCGACCGGCCGTCCGCGAAGAAGGCGGGCAAGGCGCCCGCGGGCGCCGAGAAGCAGGACGCCGCGGAGGACGAGTACGACGACTCGTTCCTGGGCGTCGCGCGGGAGATCATCGCGGAGGAGGGCGTGACGGGCCTGTGGCTCGGGATCAAGCCCGGGCTCGTGCTGACGGTGAACCCCGCGATCACGTACGGGATGTATGAGCGCGTGAAGAGCGTCATGCTCGTCGCGAAGGGCGAGACGAGCGCGAAGGCGAACGCGAAGCTGAGCCCGTGGCAGGCGTTCACGGTCGGCGCGCTGAGCAAGGCCCTCGCGACCGTCGTAAGTGTTGTTTAGGCACACTGGCGTACAAACGAGGCGGCTGAGACGCTTGCGTTTCCTTGCGACAGGTCACGTACCCGTATATCATGGCAAAGGTGCGCATCCAGGCGCGGTCCGCGGACGTCGAGGAGGCGCAGGAGGAGCACATCGCGCTCCCGCAGCACAACAGGCCGCACCACAAGACGGGCCACCACGTCGGCGCGCTGACCGTGCTCGAGCGCATCTGGCGGCGCAACGGCTTCCTCGGCTGGTATCAGGTGCGTCGCGCCCGCCTCCCGCCTCCCCCGTCGCGAATGGTGCTGATTTTGGTCTGGGGACATGCAGGGTATGGGCGCGCAGCTGGTGAAGGCGGTGATCACGCAGGCGCTGCTGTTCATGTCGAAGGACCAGTTCGAGCACTGGGCGCTGGGGATCATGGTCTTGCTTTGGCGGCTGCGGGGCGGGAAGTCATGATGTGTGGATTGGATGGAGTGTACCGCTTGCTTGATTTTGTAGGACGGAGGCTGCTGTGGGTGTATACCGCTTGTAGGTGTCGGGCGCAATTTTTTGTGACACCCTCTCGAAATTTCACGCCGCTTGCCGCTGACTTACAGGGTGTCGCCCCAGAAGCCCACACTTATCATACTGGATTATTTCAATTGAGTGGACATTGCGCTCTGCGCTGTTATCGGAACATGGAAAATAGACGTTAGAGTCTGACAGCAGCCGACGAACGCACGGCGGAAATATTTGAGCGACTCTTTCGTCCTCGACGCTCGTGCGGCTCTATCATTGTCTAGGGCTTGCTAGACCAAACAAAATAGGCATGTTGAACGTGCATACTTCCCGCTGACTGCGGGGACATCGATGATCTCTCCTTTCGTGTACAGGTCCCGCCTATGGCTCAGGCTCTCTTGCTTCGTCCGCCTAGCCGCCGCCGCGTCGCCACTATCTGTCGGTCTGTCAGCGAACACAGCGGCGCAAACACACAGAAACACGCGCCTCGCTAAACCGCTTTTCATCCCTCTCGATCACGATATTCGAGATGAGTTGTGGCACTTTCCCGAGGGCATGCAGCCGCACCACCTCGCCCCCTACCGCCAAGAGCTCTCCCGGAGCGAGAGAGGTGTCCGTGAATACGGTGTCGTCAGGCAACTTATTCTTTAGTCGCACCGGCTCGTCGATCCGGAGTACGCGGACGACTACCACCTTCTGGAGCGGCGGAGGTCGGCGGTGCACCTCCAGACGGCACAAAAGGCGCCCTCATAGGGTACATGGGAGCGCGGGCGTTAGGCGTCATGCGATACCTGCAGACGTGGGGTACGTACCTGTGTACGGCCACCATGCGCTGTCTGGTTTGCGCACATCCGACTCGGGGCGTGGTGCCACGAAGAGGGTATTTAAGGCGAGAGAAAACAGGCCGCGTTCACCGGGCACGAAGACTTTCTGCTTCCAGTCGGCGAGGTCGACATAGAAAGGCTCGCGCGCCTCGTTGACGTACTGCACGTGGGCACCCAGGAACCAGCGGTGTGCGGTGTTGACCAGTTCCGCGTGCTCGGCCAGGAGCTCGGGCGTGACGATCCCGCTTTTGAGCATACGCTCCCGCAGAACGGCGTAGCGGTCCAGGTGGAGTGCAGCAAGAAGCGGGAACTGCCATGTCGTCCCGTGCTCGTCCAGTAGGTCCTGCCCTTCGCGGAATCGAGCTGGGTCTGCCGTCTGCGTCACTCTGAAGCGGATGGAGCCGCCGAGCGGTGAGCGCGGGTGCGGGAGATAGTAGAAGAATCCGCGAGTGTTAACGGGGAATGCGGTGTACTCTTTGCCGCCCTCTCTGACGGCATAGCTGATTATGCCAGGAAGCTTTTTGCTCAGGGCCATGGGGAGTTCGACGCATTTGTAATGGACCGCGAGGGCGCAGGAATCGGACAGATCGACGTAGTCCCCCGCGGTGAGTTTGTCCTGGTCCAGGGTGCGCAGCCTCCACGGAACCAAGTGGTGGGCACGTAAATCGGCAGTGGTGATGGCGCCGGTTCCTTCTCCCGGCTTGTGCTCGGGGGTCAGCATGTGAATATGGACATACCGCGGAAAACACGGCGAACGCAGGACATACACCAGGCGCGTTAAATGTGATGACTCCCGGACACATGAAGTGGATATAATTTGGACGTCGTCTCATCTAGACAGACGGTGAATGTAGCATCATAAATCATACGGCTCAACGAACACTCTACCTCATCAATGGTCTCTTCGCTTGAATATTCATATTCTGTTTTCTGCTCGGTGAATCGGCGTTCAATGTTTCAGCTTCCATGCATGTGCAGGCCATAATAAAGTGAGACATACAGCATGCTCAGTGGAGAAAGAGGCGTCCTGCGCATATCGCCATCTTCTTATGGTTGAGCTGCACCCACTGGTCCTGTTGAGTGTACGACGGAGCGCGCTCTGGAGGCCACCCGTGCGCGTGAGGACCTGCATGGTTGCGTGCCTTCCACGTCGCCCGATAGGCCCAAATTCGCTTAATTCAAGCGCTCTGCGAAGTGGTGGTTATGCCCACGATGCCGAGGGCATGAGACAGCAGCTGCCGAAAGCAGGGCGCGAACGAACAGGGTGCAGATGGTGGTCGCTGGCGAAGCCCACGCGCACTGCGCACAAACGTTCTCGCCGGCGGGCGCTCCTCGTTCTTGTCTTCGTACCACATGCACCGATCCTCGAGAAGGGCCACTCATCACCCCATCTACTGCTCGACGTGTTCTCTGGACTCGTGTGTTGCCCGACAGGGAGCGGGAACTGCTGAAGACGCTCTTGGAAACACCCGGTGCGTTGTGGGGCACATGTCGTGCACGGCGCAGCGGGAGCATATGGTGCACACACGAGCCTCCGAGCACATGCACCGCGATAACAATACACAGCATCGTCTTCGCTCATATGGGCTGACAGCCCGAAAGGCTCTCACCATGTCAAGCTGCGGGAACGACGGCCTAATACCGTTCTCTTCGCTTCTGCCGCTGTCGAACCGCTCTGACTCGGGCCTCCCTGCTGCCACCTCCACCTTGGACTCTGCACTACCGCGCTGCTTGTGTCTACAATGTCTTCAAAGTCCAGAAGGACGTCGAGCATGGCGCAACCCGACGCCGAGCTGCCTGGCTACGTCGCGCGCGCACCCAACACCATGGAGCACCGCTATCAGCTCGATGACAGCAAGGGCCGTCCGTGGCTCTGGCTAGCCGTGAAGAGCCGGTCCAAGGACGCGAAGCAGCTCCCTCTGTTCTTCGAACACGATACCATATCAGGCACGGTCGAGGTGGATCTCGATAAAGCGGAAGGTTCCAAGGGCGTGTTGATTTCGGTGGGTCCACTTCATGCGAATTTATCTTGTCGCGTTCTTGCTCCGTGCGGCGGCGGGCCCCGTACTCTCAGAAGGTTAGATCCTCTTTCGGGTCATATGTACCAATCCGGGGACGTTTGGTCCTGATCTTGAGTCGATTTGCACCATTGTCCCCCTCGAACGACGATGGAGATCTGGCTTGTTGCACACATGCCATTCCAGGAATTACGCCAAGCGCGTTACGCAGAGCGTGTTGTCTGCCGCGCGTTCTTCGCGGGACTGAAACATGTGTTCGATAGCGGTTTAGCTCAAGGGGCGCGGCGTTGCAGTGCGCATCCTTTTAACTTTTCGGTCGTAACCAAGTGCTGCATAACCTCCGACCGGACAAGATCGTAGGGTTTCATGAATCTCAGACGCACCTCCCCTCCGTTTATTTCGCACTGTTGGGCAACGCTCACCTATATCACCATCATGGCTCTCAGATTACCGCAGGAGTGACCGCAGTGGGCCAAGAAGAGATCAAATTCCTTGACGTTTCCTCCGACCTATGGGACGCCAAATCCGCGCCGTCGAAACTGAAGGGAAAGCAGTCATGGCCTTTCACCCTCACACTACCAGCAGAATGCAGCATACTCGAGCGAAGCAAGGGGAAGCAACCGGAACAATTCTACCCTTTACCCCCGACATTCTCTGAGCGTGCAAGCCCAGCGTATATCGATTACAAGCTCGTCGTTACGGTGCGCAAGAGCGCGTTTCGTGTCAACCAAACGTGCGTCATGATTGAGAGGGAAGAATCGTTGCGGACAGGCTGACGGTATAAGCTACCTTCTAGGTTAGCCACGACTTTCGTGTACATGCCGATCACACGAGCCGAACCTCCGTCCCCGCTGCGCCAGCTCGCGTACCGGGAAGGAAGCGCGCTCATAGGGCCCGAGGGCGACCCAGACGGATGGAAAGTATTGCCTTCCGTCACTATAGCAGGCACGATCTTCGGCGCGCGGCAGGTCGAACTGCAATGCACAGTGCGTGCGCGTGCCACCGTTAAGCGTCTCGGCGCCGCTCATTATTAATTCTTCCCAGGTCGCCGTGTCCACACCCGTGAGCCGCAGTTGCCACCCACCCTCGCCCCCGGCGGGAAAAATCATACGATATTTTGCAGCTCACGTACGCGCTCGGGAGCCACATACCGCTCCTTGTCACGCTCTCGGGGAGCGACGAGCAGGCGCTCGACCTGCTCTCGACCCCCTCTGCGTTGCGGATGCACCTGGTCCGGGTGCGCTCCGTCGGCTCTCATGCGACCCAGGAGGACGCGGTCGGGCGGAGCAACAACGTTTTCCGTGATAGCGTCGGCACTGCGTTCTTCTGGCCCTCCGACGAAGGCGCACCGCGCGCAGGCACGCGTGTACTGAACGGCGAGCTGGAGATCAAGAAGGCCCTCAAGCTCGGGTTCGTCTTCCCCCGGTTCTCACTCCGGGTACGTACGCCTCCCCGCTGTCCGTCTGTGTCTGTCATGAGCTAAACCTTCGCGTCACCGCCCCCGCTCCGGTGCTTAACGTTAACGCCGCCCCCGCCCCTGATTTTCCACGCATGCCCTTCGCGCTGTCTGCGCTGACATACGCTCCGTCATACGTCCCTGCGCACGCAGTATATGCTCGTGCTCCTTCCGTTCCAGGCACCCGGGTTCTCGCCCGCATCGCCCGCGGGCGAGGCGCTCCTGAGCGAGCGGGTGTCTGTCGCGAGCGCGAACGCGCCAGGGGTCGTGCCGCGCTCGTATGCGCCGCCGGGGTACGTGTCCCCGGAGGAGGGCGACTACAACACTGCGGTTGGATACCTCGAGAACGGCAACCAACGGTGAGTGTCCTTCTGTCTCGATGGTCGCGAGACACTGGGCGTCCCAGGGAAGGCTGATCATTGTGGTTCTTCTGCGCAGGTTCTATAACCATCACGGCTTCCAGTAGTCCGTGGTGATCCTGGGGTCGGACGTCCGGTAGGGGAGGGGCGGGGTGTAACCGCCTTTGTGAACGGATCTATGTACAGGTGTACGACATATGTGCCAAATGTAATGCCAAGTTGCCAAATTTCGCTGTCGCGACCCAAGTCTGGAGACGTATCATTTACCTGCGCACGTTGATGTTCCGTCCCCCGCGGCGTCCACCTCGACGTCGCAATATGCCGCCCGGCACCTACCGCGACCGACAAGCATACACAACCGACCGATGACGTCGGCGTAAAAGGGAATAGATAAAGACGTCGCATTTAACAGCTCTACTGTAGACGTACGGCACTAGGGATTATCAACAGGGACTATACAGCATGTACGATAGGTGGATACGTAAGTAGGTAGGTGGGTAGATAGGTAGGTGGGGGAGCGCAAGCAAAAGCAATAAGTAAGAGCAATATCAGAGCGGATCTAGGTACGGCCGGCGCAAGCCGGAGAGGAAGCAAGGAGACGGGGACAGCGCCGAGAAAACTACAGCTACAGGACAGTCGGCATAGCTACAGCCACGAAAGCGGGTGCGGCCGAGACACGGAGAGGGACTGGACAGAGAGAGAGAGAGACGGAGAAGAAATGGACCGGAGAGCGAGTGTGCAGGAACCGGGCGTGGAGCCGGGTGAACGGTTGAACGGATGAACGGATAGGCTGGTCGCGCTGCTGCTAGAGCAGTGTTTCGGCGCGGGGCGCTCGGTGGCGTCGGGGACGCGCAGGGTGTGGCGGAGTCCGGGCGACTTGTGGACGCGCGTCGGTCCGCGGAGGCGTCGGAGGCATCGCAGAGCCCACGCTGCGGCACGCCACAGTGCGGCCGCCTCCAGTGTGTGGGCAGGAACGCTACTTCTGGCCCTGCGCGGCACTGCAGGGGGGAAACAGGGCGCGAGGTTAGCGGGCGCGGCGGGACCAGCGAAGAGGAGACAGGACGCGTCACTCACACAGGCACGTACGTGCACGGGAGGCCGCGGCGGTTGCAGTTCGCGCAGATGGATCGGCCGTCGCACTTGAGCTTGCGGCCTGGGCGCAACCGGGGTCAGCATGGTCCGCGTTGCTGGAGACGGGCGGGTGACTCACCGCGGCAGAACGTGCATGCCATGGGCGTGCGACGCGGGGTGCGCGGAGTGTACTGGTGCTCGCCGTCTGAGTCCTCGTTACGGGAGCTGCCAGAGTTGCTGTACTGTACCACGCGTGATTTTAGCGTCGCGGCCCGGGGCTCCGGAGGCGGAGAAGTGTGGACGCACCATGGACTCCATTGTGGGCGGATTGGCGGAAGGGCGAAGCAGAAGTGCGCGAAGACGCGAAGAGGGGGAGGAAGAGGAAGCCGGTGGAAATGAAAGCAATTTAAGCAAAGGCTATTGTGTCAGGACCTCGAGCCCCGCCGAAAGAGGTTAGTGGAACAGGCCGCAGGGATGCTGGTGACCGCGGTCGGTCTGCGGGAGGAGCGGGTTTTATAGCTCGGTCGAGGAATATCTGGCCATCTCTGCCGCCCGCGCGAATCTGGCAATGAGCAGGCAAGTCAGGGTCAAGAGCGGTAAGGACTGGGCCAGTGGTGGGCAACATATCCCGAACGCGTTTCAGCACCATGGAAATCCGAACGCCGCCCAATTAGGACGAGACCCCCACACTCCGCTCCCCGGCGGGTGGGGTCCAAACGCGATAACCTCATACATCGCCCTTTTGCAACAAAATAAGCTTGGGCAGCCCGATCGAGTCACGGCGCGCGGCACGAGCGGGCCACGCGCGTGTTCCTGGCTGGAGAGTGATGCAGCCAGCCGGAGGGCTGGGAGTGCATGACATACGTACCGCAGCAGTGACGCGGCTGCGCACATCTGCATCACAGGCTCTCGGCCGCGGCCAAGATAGCTAGGGGTGGAAACGAGAGGCTCGCGGGGAGCGTCGACTGGATACCGCGGTGCATCGCTGGCGCGGCCGGGGTGGGCAGGGCGTCGGCGCGCACGGAGGAGAGGCGACGGGTAGGGTCGGATAGAGGATCGCGCGAGGACCGAGGAGGGCGAGCGAGATTTGCTAAAGCCGCCGAGATCGAAGGGGAGCAAAACATTAGAGCCGCCAGGCCAGAACGGGTATGACGACCGCAAAACGTGATGAGCAGCGGCGGTTGCGACGGTGAAACAAACATGTTGGCCTGCTCGGATGGGCGAGAGGCCCACCCGGTGGCTCTTTTCCGGCACGACAGCAACCAGATTCGGGTAGATCTCGCCAGCGTTCCTTCCAATCCCGGCTCCCTCGCGGGAGTGGCCTCGCAGCGCGAGGCAGAACGTGGCGCGCGGTGCAGGGAAAACTGCTTGAATGGTCTGAGTCAACCTGTCGATTTTCGTTGTCGTCGTGCTGGCTGGCTGGGGAAATTGAGGGACGGTATTCGTGCGAGAGGCAGACGGGGTGTGGCACGACCCTGCGACAGTGCAAGGAGGCTGCAACATTTGCAACAGGAAACACAGCGGCACCGCTTCTTGGATTGGTGCCCGGCCACGTGGACTTCCCCGTCTCCTCCTCCCGCTCGCCCGACTCACTCCAATTCGTTTCAGGACCTCGACCCTCCCAAATCGACCCTCGCCAGCGTGTATCTTGTCCCGAAAACCACTGACGTCGGCGCGGGCACCCTCCCATGTTCCCCCAGATCCGCGGTGTTCCTTCTCGGACGATGGAAACTCGCCGATCTGATGTCCCGCTAGCCTCCGATTTGCTCATCCACCATCCACAACTGCCTCCGAGCCCACCAGCAGCCCCACCTCTCGGTCATGTCCAGCAAGCATCCTTTGTCAAATAAAATTCGTTCCCCCTTGGGGCTCGCCACACTGAACGCTCGCTCACCCGTGCGAAATGACCATACCATTTAATACCATTGAGTCAACCCTGGGCGAGACTAACGTTCTCGGAGCCCCGTCGCGGCGCAGTCTGCCGTGCGCTGTAATCCAGTCCGACCGGCCGTGCATCGCTGACGTCGAGTGCCGTCATGGCCCAGTGCTATGCCTGATTGACCAGCAGCCTTGCGCTGGGGCGGCCGTCCGACCTCCTGCGCACGGCGGTCCGTATACGCGTACGCGTGTCGGACCTCTCGGGCGAGTCGCGGCCAGACCGCGAATTCCGAGATGCTGTATGGCGGAGCATCAGCCGCGACCGCGCCTTGATCACCTCGGCGCTGCGTGCGGACCACCACGCCCATGCATAAGCGACGCGAGCCTGAGCAAGTCCGCTGGAGACGGAGCGTGGGCGCACGCCCACGCACCCGCGGTCCAGCTCAACGTTGTTGCTATTCGCGTCCGCGCAATGCGCACCGCTGCGCGCGCGGAACACGTCGAAAACGAGCACGGCGCGCGGATCGCGTGCCCCCGAAGTCGCGAATTCAGGCGACGCTGTCGCCGGCGACAGGATGCTTGCATGCTCGCCGCCACGGAGACGGGGGCGGGCGTCCCGCCGCGAACGCCTGGATGTTACACCTGCCGGATCAGTCAGCATGCCGCGGTGCTGCACTCCCGCGGCTCGACGGGCGATGGGGCGGGGGCGGCGCAACAGCCAACTGGCCAGGGGGCTGGCCGTTGACGTCGTCACGTTCGCGACGGACTCAAACGTCTATCTCAAAGTCCGCGCGCACTAAGTCGCGACACGCATCACCCCGCCGCGATCGATATGTCCCGCGGTCTCACCGACATTTTAGACAGTGTATAACACGCGCGGAGGCCCCGATCGCAGACGCGCTGGCAGCGGCCGCGACCGCCGCGCGACGACCGTCGACCGGCGGCGGCCAGGCGCGGGTGTGCGCTGCTTGCCCTGAAGCGTGAAGTTTGAACTGCACGCAGCGAGTCGCGACGCGCCCGCTCATCGCGGTGGAGCGGCCGTGCTTCCCACCGATACATCTGTGGGCCCCCTAAGCCGCACACGGAGACGCTAAATTCGCCAGCCGGATCCCGGGCAGCTGCGATAATTAGGCATGCTCGAGCCTAGAGGGCGTTCCCGCGACCCACGCGCGGCGCCGCACAAACGCGAAGAGCAGCCTTGGGGTTCGTCCGTCCGTCTGGCGATGCGCGAGCGATCGTGAGCATGCATATCACCAACCAAGCCCTGCGCGGATGCGGACATGTCGCGCGGGAACTCACACACTAGCAGCGACTCCTGTCTACGTCCGCGCTATCCTGGCGGAGCAATCGGAGCATCGAGCTTCGCAGCGTCATCGCGTGCCCGCCGGTGCTGGCTTCTGCAGACTGCGCGTGCGCCTGCTCGTCTAAGGTGGGCGGACAATGCGACTTTTCGTGTGCACGCCAAGTGCGCGTGAGGCGACGTTTCGAGGATAGCGCGCTGCGGGCCCGGCTCTTGGCGTGGTTTGCCGCTTTCCGGGACAGTTTCGGACCCCTCCCCCAGAATTCGCGCGCGGGGCGGTGGGCAGTGTGCACTATATTGCCATGCGATAGTGATGAGCTGAGTTCAGCTGTCGGGCCATACTGGATACGTAGCCTGTGGGGTCCTCCAGGCATCAGCGGAGTTCACGTACGACGATGGCATGAGAAAATTGTGGTTCGCTCGCGGCTCACCTGGCACTGTGCTCTGTGTCCGTCGAATCGCTGAGTCACGAATAGACCGCTCTGGTCTGAGTCAGACGGGTGGGTCTCACTCACTCTTCTGCGGCTGCTAGGGCGAAGTGGCGGGACGGGATGCGGTCAACGGCGGCGGCGGAGACGGTGTATGCTCCGTCGCAGTACAGCGTACAGGGACCAGCAGCAGCAACGTGGTCGGGGCAGTCCGAGGTGGGAATGACGGCATGACCTGGTATATGGCTAGTCAGCCTCAAGATGAAAATAAGCACATTGAGTCAGGGTCGAGCGGCACTCTGTAGGGTCTAAACGGCGTAACGCCGAACAGAGAAGCCTCAATGATGAACGGGATGTTGTGCAGAACACCCGGAGCCGCAGCAAGCTCACCAATAATTTGGAATTGGCACAAGCGCAATAAGAAGAGCTATCGGCGATTGGAACGCGACCTTACGACAAGTATGACCAACGGATGCGGGGTGCACGTTATCCCTGGTATATTTGGCCAGAATTTGACAACAAGTTACGAAAGAGAATCGTCCGCGTTGCACCGACGCTAAATACCCCCGGACAGCCATGGGTATCGCGATCCCGCGGCTACCTATCATTGAAGCAGGAATGTTGCGTTCAATGAAGGTGACTAGCCGCCGAAACAAATCTTCAATACGACATGTCTGTATGCCAACAGTGGCTACTCACGGCAGCGAAACATAACCGAAAGGTTACAGAAGGTCCGATTTTCGTGCGACGTGCATGGTCACGGCGTGGACTATGGAGCGCATCCCGGGGGATGCAATCCCGGTCTACCACAAATGCCGCCGAGAAATCAACCACATCAACAACATGTAACTTACTAAGTGCATGCGACACACACACATTGCAAAATATTCTGAGCACAGGCACGCTCAGCACTCAGCACTCTTGGTGGCATACTTCACACGCGTGTGAGACCCGGGGGATGTAAAGCCGGGGCGCAAGCAGCGACGCGACCACCAGTGCGCCGGGTTTACGACCACCATCGGGCGCACTGACAGAGGCGCACAGCTGCGCCCACAACCGCCCATGTGCAAGCACGCACGCAGCCCGGTGAAACGGCAAGGAATTCGGAGTGGAACAGAGACGGCGAAGGCACGCACCGTCCGGCATTCTAACGCTCGCGGGCATCCGCGGAGGCTAGCAGTAAGCACGCCGCTGAATACCGAGCTAAGGTCCGTACATGCATGAACGGTTTATGCAGAGCTATCCCCAGACGGCGTGCTCGATTGCGGTGCTAAAGGCGGCGATGCCCGCGGTTGGATCCGTCCGCCCGCGGCCTAAGCGTGCTTGAGCATGGCTTGAGAGCCACAGTGAATATCAACCCGCCAAATTCAGGACATACCTCAAAAGATCCCGGCGGGTACAGCACCTGCACGAGCTTCGTGTATCGACAACAGGTCTCGCGCCTGCAGAAGGTCCGTTCAACATGCTACACATCGCATATAAGCAAGGGTAACACGGCTCACGATAGTTGTTATGACGGGTTCATCAAGGGTATCCACTCCAGTATACGTACGCGCCTCAACCTTAAGACCAAGTGCACTAACCACATGAAATGGCACATACCGCGACTCCACTTGCAAACCGCCTACTGTCCTTCGATTCGAGGTCGGTCCCCCACTTGCGGAACCATTGACGGGTGCGCCTATGTTCTCGGACAGGCTCGTGCCCCCGGATCCAGAAGGAGATGCCAGTTCTCTGGAGCGCGCGCCTTGCCCTTGTCCACAGGATTGGGCGAGAGCGGGGCGAGTCCGGGGTGCGTAAATCCGGGGATGTTCTCCTCGTCGAGGTCATCGTCGTCTATCCGAGTAATCCGCAGTTAAGCACGAGCCGCGATGTAGTGCTCTGTAGTATGTACTGGGTAGCTCCGAACTGGCGGTATAAACTGTTACGTTCAGATGCTACTAAGCTGTCTCCCGTCTTGTTTGAGAACGCACACGCAGCACCTATGAAATATGAGTTTATGAGCACGTAGTATCCCAGCTGAGAGATATCAGAGGGCATTTCGAAGGGATTCTGGGCCAAGTACTCAGAGGCGGTCATGGTGAGAAGCTGGGACTGCTGAACTTTAAGCGCCTAGCGCCTAAACCAAGCGCCCACTCTGCGAAAGTCGCGTGTTTGGCGCCTGCATGATCGCGTCGCAGCGCGTCTGCAGAAATGGGCACTCTCCTCGCTTCTTGCCACGACCTCTGTTCTCGTTTACGCGCGGTCTCTGTGCTGTCTTGACCTTGTCTCTGGTGTTATCTGGCTGGACGAGTCTGTAAAGCAAAGCTGTGATACCTGAGGCTGAACTGAGATAGTTGAACCTCTGTTGATTTAGGAGCTATGGCCTTCAAGTATGTTCATGTATCCCGTTCATTCATGCCCAGACTCACCTTCTATGAAGCAACCTGTTCGGTGCGAAGCCTGCTGGACAAACTGGGGGATCGCTCTTTGGGCAGAGCACTACGCAGCCTCAGGGAGGCCTCTTCGGCAACAATCAGCAGCAACCACAGCAGCAACCGCAAGCCGGTGCGTTTGGCAGCTTTGGCCAGCCCCAGGGTCAAAACCAGACCCAGAACACGAACCCCTTGTTTGGCTCGACCTTGGGGCAGAACCCGCAACAGCAGCAACAGCAGCAACCTCAGCAAGGGTCCTCGCTGTTCGGCAGCACGTTCGGCCAGCCACAACAGCAGCAGGGCCAGCAACAGCAGCCGCAGCAGCCAACGGGCGGCCTCTTTGGCCAAACCGCAGGCCAGCAACAGCAGAACGCAGGCGGGCTGTTTGGCCAGCAGCAGCAACAACCACAGCAGAAGCCACTGTTCGGCACGGGAGCAGGATCGCTCTTCGGGAGCACTCCTCAAAATCAACAAGGTCAACAACAACCGCAACAACAGCAGCAGCAGCAGGCGCCTTTCGGAAGCATCGGGACTCTTGGGCAATCAAGTAACACCGGGGGATTCGGAGGGCAAGGAGGGCAACAATCGTTGTTTGGGTCTACGGCGCCACAGCAGACGGGGGGCTCGTTGTGGGGAAAGCCTGCAACACAACCACAGTGAGTCGCCATGTCGATCCCCGCCCCTTCAGGATTGGGCTCAACTACCCCTGCGTACAGGCAATTGTGAGTATACGGTGTTTAGCGTAAGTGCACTAGAATCCGCTGACGAGTGCCGCGTACGGCAGCCAACAGCAGCAGCAGCAGCAGCAAAGCGCGCCACTGTTCACGAAGTCGACCAAATTTAACGATTTGCCCGATGAATTGAAGCGCACGTTCGAGAACATCGAGTACGACCCGCTTCTGTCGTCAGACCCGTGTCCGACTCATATTGACTTGGGACAGTTCATTCGTCCAGGGTCGCGTGCAAATATGCAACGACCTCAAGCAGCGCAAGCTTGGGGACGAGGCGATCAAGGGTCAGGAGGAGATTCGCAACGTGCACAAGGCAAGGCGCGACCCTTGTCGGCTCCGCATCCGACACTGACCTCACGTCTCTCGAGTAGGAGTTGACGGGGGCAATTTCCGTGCTGACGGCGGACGTGCAGCACACAAAGGACTTGAAGCACAAGGTCGAGCAGACGGTGCAGGACACGATCGTCGCGACGCGTATCGTGGAGGGTTTCCGCAACCCGCAGCAGCACGGACAGTACCTCAAGACATATGCGAACTTCCCGCTCGAGTGCGTATCTCGGGTATGTCGGTGTAGATACGGGCTTGCTGATCGCGCATATGGGGCTTTGGAAGATTCTTTAACCGGGTAACGGAGCAGATGCGAGAGCGACTGCGGTGGTACAAGGCCACGATTGAGGTACGCATGCTCGTTACGCTTGCGAGCCGGCCCTCATCCCTGCGCCTCCAGAACATCGAGCGCAAACTCTCCTCCGCGGCCTCCCAGCCGCAACACACACCACAAGGTACTTGCCCCCTTCCCTGCCTCCTCTCCCCTTCTCCTGCCCCCGCTCACACAACCCAGCGATCGTGTCCACGCTCGAGGCGCAGCACGCGACGTTCATGGCGCTCGCGACGAAGACGGCCGCGCTCGACGCGGAGCTGCAGAAGCTGCGCACGCTGTACACGCAGCTGTGGCGCGCGAAGACGGGCAGCATGCGCGACCCGTTCAACGAGCTCGACCGCGGGAGCGACGTCGGCGCGCTCGGGCTCGAGAGCCTCAGCAGCGCGAAGTGAGGTGGTCGCCACGGTGCTCGCTTGTGTAGGCTGTAGTATTGTTTGTGTATGCACGGTGGATGGTTGCGTGTGTCTGTCTCAGCCTGCAGGTATGTCAATCTGCGCCTGCATGTGCGCTGCGTGGAGGCAGCTTGGAGGGATCCGGGCGTGATGCGAATAAATAAAGCATGGTAGGGTACTGGTGAGTAAGTGCTGTAGATGTACACGGGCTGGGTGTTGATACAAGATGTGCGGTCGAACGTGCTGGCAGTGACGCTGCCTCGGACTGAGCCCGAGCAATTGCAAGCGCGGCTCCGCGAAGCGTAGTAACTGGTATCCGCCGTCTGTCCGCCATTCCTAGGTCGCACGAGGCTGAGACGGGTAGCGGGTGCAGGTGCTGGAGGCTTGCTTTGTGGTGAGAGTCCGGCCGGGACGGGAGGTGCGAGTTGGGGTACGCAGGGACGTCCTCACGACTCGCGCTTGCAACCGCCAGGCAGGAGGAATCTGAAGCGCTCGCTGTTTTCGATGAGGTGCTTCGGGATGTGCACCGCCGAGGGCGTTCTGGACCGACTTGTTGGTCAGGATCTATACGAATGTGTAGTCCGAGCAGAGAACAAGATACTCACGCATCTGGATCCATGAGCGAGATAAGATCCTTCCACTAGAACAAGATGTGTATGTTAGAAGCATAACGGGGCGGTATGGAGAGACAGAACATACCCGGTAGGCTTCTGGGAGCATCCCGAAGATGTCCTTGCCTTCACAGATGACCTGCTGTATCCGCTCAGGCTTGAGGAGTGCTGGGTCAGTGACACGGTCCGCATGCGAATACCCTAACATGCAGTCAGTACAGCTGCGTCATCGACCAAACCGTATCGCGACTCACCGCTCATCTTGTCCGCAAACTCTTGCAGATGCCTGAAGCAGAAGCTGCAATGCCACCCCGAGTCCGCCAGCTTCCACTCCGCGACCTGCCCGTGATTGTACCCGCTCCCGTCGGTGCCCAGCCGGTGCACCTGCGCGCGCCAACTGCCCTCGCCCGCAGGCCACTCAAACGAATACAAATACTCGCGCATCTGCAAGTGAATCGGGTTCGGCGCCTCGCACGCCTGCAGCAGCCGCATAGTGTGCGCCGCAGGGATCTCGTCCACGTCCGAGAAGAGCACGAGCGGAGGCGGCGCACCCTGTCGCATATGCTGGCGCAAGAGATCGTTCATGTGCCCGCGCTGCGCGCCCTCATTCACGAACGGGCTCTCCCCCGGCTCGAGCTCGCGCCCCTGAAACACCGAGTGCACGATCTTGTCCTGGAAGGCCGCGAAGCGCGCGGCGTTCGCCTGGAAGGTCAGGGGCTTGGGGCGCCCGGTGAAGGTGCGGTCGGCCTCGACGATGAAGAACTTGGAGACGACGGGCGCGAGCTCGTGCATGCGGATCTCGAGCAGGTCGAGCTCGGAGCTGAACAGGACGGCGTCCCAGACCTCAGGCGGGTCGGCGCGCGGGCCCCAGCCGTGCAGCGCACAGAGGTGTGCATCGAAGGCGACGCCTTCGGCGTAGTAGTGGGGGAGAGTTGTGTGCGGACCGAGGGGCTTGTCCCAGAGCGGGCGCGTGGAATAGGAGATGAAGTTGCGGATGCGGAGGCTGTGGATTGTTTATGTTGATCAGTATGTGTTTTGAAGAAGCATTTCGCGACATGTAACAGAGCCCGCGGTGATACTCAGATTGGGTCGCCATCGCCAAGCCGGGGGAAGTGTTCAAAGCCTCGTCACCCTTCAAGGGGTTGCAGGTGGAAGAGCCCACTTGCATAGACCGCACATTCAGCCCTCCCAGCCTCCTTCCTTCCCACCAGAAGTAGTTGCATGTGATGTAGGGGCCACCGCGCTTCCGTTCGCAGTTACGCGTATTGTGGCATGTAGCATGTGGCTGGAGAGTGAGAGCGTACCTGGATGAGACTGTATAGATTGTGACTAGCACGAAAGCGACCACGAGCGCGAAACCAAGCAGGGAGCGACGACGAACAAGCATGTCATAGAGTACAGGCAGAGGAGAATCCAGAGATGACGGTAGCCGGAAAGAGAGAAGTAGGAGCGGTGCACTGCCAGTTGCCCGCGTCTCCTTGTTGATCTCCGAGCCTGATTCGGATGGTGCTACTGCGGCACAACGTGGAGGACTGAGGTAAACAGAAGAGGAGTGAATATAGGGGAAGATGTTGGCAGTCCTTGTGACCTGGCCGAGCAAGTACTTGAGCGGGATGAGGGAGGCGGTCAGGACATAGTTGATGGCGCATCATCCCGCCCTCATCATATCCCAATCCAGAAATGCGTCGGTTAGCGTCTACTCAACGCCCCCACGTGAACCTCTCTCTCTCCCTCCGCCACCCTGGACTGGGACTTTGTCGTTAACGTGCTCTCTGTTGCCAACCGCTGCTGCGTAAAGGTTTCAGTACGACTTTGCTGCGGGAGCCTTGGACGCAGACACAAGCACTCCATCCTTGGCTAATATCCTGACGGTCGTATAGCAGTCTTGACAAGGACCAGCCATGTCTGGGGTGCCTGCTACACCTCGCCGAACTGCTCACGAGAGCGCGACTCCTGCTGCTACCCCACAAACTACTCGAGTCGCCGCTTCGCATACTGTTCAAGCGTCTCCTCACTACCAGACCACTCGCCGACATTCACTCTATGGAACTGAGGACCGCATCATTCTCGATCCAGGCTCGCGTCTCTGGAAGGTAGGCTTCAGCGGAGAGGGAAAGCCTCGCGACGTGTTTCTCGCGGAAGGAGAGACTGGCCAGTCTTTGTGGACCTTGAATCGCGCGTCCAACCCCGTGGAGAGGGAAGAGGAAGACAGGGTGCTCGAGGCGAAGCTTCAAGCATGTCTACGCGCCGTGTTCCACAAGTACGTCTACGATTCAGCCCCCAAGCCGTCCCCCCTCACTTTGATTGAAGCTCTCTTTTGACCGATCCGAAGTCGCGCAAGGTCATCCTGGTCGAACACCCCTTGCTGCCCCTACACATAAAGGAGATTATTGCGCGCGTGTTGTTCAATAACTTGCAGGTGAGTTTCGGGAAGTCCGCTTCTTACTTCTATCTTGCATTGCCAATGCTCGCGCTTGTATACGCTGGCCAAAAAGTGTGATGGTTTGAATGCATGATACCATAGCTGATATTCGTAGGTCCCATCAATATCCTTCGCCTCAAGTCATCTACTCGCGTTACTCGCTGCGGGGCGTGTAACAGGTCTCGTCCTGGATTGCGGCCACCTTGAAACAACGGTGCTTCCTGTGAGCATATATCCGCTTCTCTAAATCTCGTGATACTTAACATTCTCCCAGGTATACTCCTTCCGTCCTTTATACCCCCATCTCCGCACGACTCCCCTCGCCGGCTCACGACTTTCCACACACATCAAAGCGTTGTTGCTCATGTTCGGCACGTACATCCCACCAGCGACCTCCCTCAGCGCCGCCATGAACATCCCCGCCGCCTCGCGCTCTGTGCGTGTCCCCCAGGACGTGCTCACCGACAAAGTGATCGACGAGATCAAAACCCGCTGCTGCTTCGTCGGCGACCCGCTCGAGACCGACGCGAATGCCGGTCCCAGCGGCAGTGGTCGCGCCTCCTCCCCCAGCGCAGGCGGGGACGGCTCGGAGCTCGACCCGCCCCCGAGCGAGCCCGCGCTGTCCGAGTCCGAGTTCTCGCGCGTGTCCGCGGACATGGACAGTAGCTTCTCGCACGCTGCGTCCTCGGGATACTCCGTCGTCTCGCACTCGCAACTTACGGGCATGGGTGGCAGCGGCGGGGACGCGCCGAGCCGCGTGCAGGCGCTCGCGACGATGTACGGCCGCCACTCGACCGCGACGGACATCCACATGCGCGTCGACCCGCCGCCTGCGCAGCAGACGGGCACTGGGCGGGGGACGCTTATTGTGCCCGGGTGGATCCGGGAGCGTGCGGCGGAGGTGCTGTTCGAAGGTGGGGATGTCGACGAGAGCAGCGTGGCGGAGGTCATTTTGGACTGCTTGCTGAAGGTATGCGCGGCGACATCACCTCGAAAATAAAATACTGACTGAACCCGCAGGTCCCGGTCGATCTGCGCAAAACACTCGCCTCAACGATACTGGTAGTTGGAGGCACGCCCATGCTACCAGGTTTCATCCCGCGTCTACAAGCGGAGCTCGTCCGCGCCGTTTCCCGCCCGATTACGCCGTCCTCCTCGCCGCCATCGAGGGCGGGCCGACCGCGTCCCGCAACGTACGACCGCTATGCGTCTCTGCGCCCGCTCCTGCCGTACTTCGCGATCCTCAACAACCCTTCGCCACCGCCTCCCGCGAGCGCAAACGCAGCGGCGAACGCGGGCAAGGCGCCCGCGTTCACCCCCGGGACGATGGCGTGGGTTGGCGGGTCGCTTGCCGGGTACGTCCTGTGTTCCCACTTGTTATTTTTCACGGGCGCGGTTGTTGATACATCGGATTACAGGGCGCTGAAGACGGGCGGCGTGGAGGTGCAGCGCGAAAAGTGGGACGAGGCGGAGACACAGCCGGAGGTAGACGAGGATGTGCTCATGGAGGACGAGCCGCCGCGACTTGTCGTGTCGTCAGGGAACATACTGCCAGACTGGACGCGGACGCCGCTGCCGGTGGGCGCGCCCCCGGCACCCCGCCCGCCGTCTGCGGCGCCTCCGCCGGCGCTGCAGGCGCAGTCCGTCGCAGGATGATACATAGCTTTCCGCTTGGGTCGTCGATGTTCGGTGTTTCAAGTTCGAGAGCACTACGGGGGCAGAAGGTGTAGATGTGTTCTTGTTGCCTAATGCTACTGCTACTACACTACCCTACAACGGCGGCCGTCTATAACTATATACGCTGTACTTTTTGCACATACATAGGGTCCCCGGGCTCGGAGACGAAACGAGACCCGGGCGCGATATCAAAGAGGAAATTCGAACGGGAAAAGCGAAGAGGGGTAATATTGTCGGGGTGTCAGCCACGGGGTAAGGATTGACGGGATATATCTGCCCTGCGCGTGTGGCCGAGCGCAGGGGTACTACAACAGAACACGGGGGTAGCTGGCCATGCGGGGACGCAGCGAAAGAGTAAAACACAGGCTGTGATGTAAGGAGAGCGGAAGCGGGCGGTACAGCGATACAGCGCGGGAGATATATGCACGAAGAGACGAAGACGAAGACGCGGGCAGAGACGAAGGCGAAAGTGGGCTAACCGATACAGCGTGGATGGGTCGTGGCGGGTCATGAGGGGCGGAGCAGGATGCATGTTGGTGGAGATGTCGCACGATGGTGGGGGGCGCGGGCTCAGATGAATGAGCGGTGTGTCCATGCCGAACACGGTCGAAACGGGCGCAGGGAAAGACAGCTCAAATGGGAATGCGGACAGGCGCAGAGGGCCGCTCAGATGGGTTGGGCGTTGAAGAGACGCACGGTCATCTTTCCGCTCGCGCATGCGGCGAGCGCGGCCTGCCAGTCCTGCTCCGTGTACACGTACCGCAGCGACTGGGGGCTGAGCGAGCCCACGCTCGACGCCGAGTTCGAGCGCGGCCGCCCGCGCAGCGCGAGCAAGCCGCCCGCCTTGGGCGGTGCCGGCGGCGCCCACCCGATAACGAAGGACGGCAGGAGCTTCAGGCCTTCCTGCACCGCGAACTTGTCGTGCAGGCGTGCGCGGGTATCTTGCAGCGACGCGCCGCGCGCGATGCGCAGCAGCACAATGCTGTCGGACAGTACCGCCTTTAGAGTGACGGTCTCCGTTACAGTGGGGCTATAGTTGCTCGCCGGAGGGCCTGCACTCGCCGGGGCAGGCTGCGCATGGCTCGCCGATGGGGATGTGGGGGACATGGGCGTAGATGGGCGCGAGGAGTCTGAGGAGTCCTGCGGGGACCACGGGAGGTGAAACTGACCCGCGGGCCGGTCGCGGAACGGCTTGGGAAACCGGTCGGGCGAAGCGGCCTCCTGGTGGAACGGCTCTTGGTGGAACAGCTCCTGGGGTTGCTTCCGCGGGGGTGTGTGCGGCGGCTCCTCGGGGCGCACTGTAGGCGCATGGATCCCCGGATCTGGACAGGCACACGCAGCACGTCAGTCACGGCACGTCAAACACAGATGCTAGACCGCCCAAACCCTGATTACAGAGGGGAAGAGGTGGCCGGAGAAGAGGGAAGGGGCTCGAACAGGGGCAAAGGAGGGAACGCGGAGTTGGGACTTACCGTAGAAGTACGCGTCAATGAGATCGTCCTGCTGCTCGTACCAGTACTCCTCCGACCCATGCACGCCGGGCGCGCGGCGCGACCCGGCAGACAATGACCGTCGCAGATTCCCGCCGAGTGGTGGTGTCAGGCTGCGCGGGAGGATGGACGAGTCGATAGAGAAGTCGGATAGCATCGAACCAATCGTGGTGACCGACTCGCGATGTTGGTGGTGGTGGGCCATCGCCGTGTCGCGTCCATCTCGCCGAGATTCCGGGATTGAGACGGCGGACGCGACGGAGTAACGCGATTCTGGCGAGGCGATGCGCGGGCGGGCGTACTCCGCGCAAGAGCCATTCGCGAAGCTGGATGTGAAACTGGGTGCGTAGCTCGCATCGGACGCCATGGAGGTGCGCCATGACGACCGCCGCGACATGTCTGCAGAGAAGTTCGAGAATGTCATCGAGGATGTCCGTGAGGAGTTTGTGACCGTCGTCGGGGTTCGCGGGTCTCGCGGTGACTCCGGGTGTCCCTGCTCGTCATGGATATGGCGGGTGTCGACAACGAGCTTATCAGCTTGGGCAAACTCGCTATGTGTTGCATCAGCACTACGTGGGCCATCCGGGAGGAACACGACGCAGTTGCGGTTGGTTGGGTCGGGACATGAATTGTTGCGCTGTCGCCGAATCGGAACACGAGGAACTTCTTCGATGGCGGAGTGGTGTAGTGTGGATGACGAGGGCACAAGTTCGCTATCCTCAGGAAGGGCCTGCAAGCTACGGTGGAAGTCGGCGGATGGGGGTGCTTCGGGCCAAGCCTTGCTGCCACTGGGAGCATAGATAGCGTCATGCAGCAACTCCCGGTCGGCGTCCGCAGGGAAAGGACGAGACGAGGCTGGCCCCCACGGAGTGTGTTGCACGCCTGCGGGTGCAGAAAGAGGAAGAGCTGCGTACTCCACTTGCGTGTGATCCTCCGGAACGGTTAAGGCGAGCGAGCCGCGGTCCGATACGAAGAATGTCATATCGTAGGGTGCCGATACTGGTGACTGCGGACTGCGAGACAAGCTAGAAGTGCTCTCCGTCGAAGCAGAGGAGTCGGAGGTAGCGTAGTTCACAGAGGTCTGCCTAGGGGTGCCTCGACGTGGTGGATCATCCCTCAGCATGGAGTTGGGGCGCGACACATTATGGAAAGCGGGGAGGGCCGGGCTTGGGGGAAGGTCGGAGAAGGCGTTGGGTTGGTGCAGCGAAATGTTGGACGCGGAGAAGTACATCGAGAACGCACTACTCGCAACGGAGTTGCGCACACTCGCTGTGCCTGCGCTGGAAGTCGGCCGCGCTTTCCCCAGCTTGCGGTCGTGATCGAGGTCGCGTCGCCAGTAGCCGAAGAAGTCGCGGCATAGCCGCGTCTCGCGCAACTCCTTCACGAGTGTTGGCAGGTCATCTTGGAAGAGCGCGGTGATGAGGGTCTCGAACTCCCGTCCACGCTGCTCGATCGTCGCCTGGCTCGCACGGAAGAGCGTTCCCTTCTTCGTGAGCCGCGGAATGAGGTCGTGGATGTCCTTTGCAATCATGTTCGCGTCCGGGCCTGGAGGAAGCGACTCGAAAGACGCTGCCTGGTCCGAGTGGATGTAGACCCCGTTCTTCTTCACACCCTTCCCCGCCGCTAATCGCGCGCGTTTCTGACGCGCCATGAGAGAGTATTCCGTCTCGAGGATCTCCTGGAACCACAGGCAGTCCTCCCATCTCCTCCACACCTCGTAATCCGAGAAAGATGCACTGGACTTCGTCGAGCGAGCGTCGGACCCTTCATTGTTGAGTGAGATAACGCGCATGCCATAGCAGTACCCGGTGCCTATGCCAAACGTCAGCTTGAAGTCATTATGTTAGGTCGTGTGAGTGCTCACCGAACTTGGTGGGTGTAAGCACATCTACTGTGAACTCTTTGGGCGGAGCGCGGTGGACAGCGCGCTTGTAATTCTGCAGCTTGGTTCAGCCTATGCGTTATCGGAGCGTGATTATAGCTCAGACGTACGTGTCCCGAGGGCGGGCCGCCGAGGGCACCAGTGCCAGGACCTCCCTGGTAGTCCATGAGCGATAGGGACGTCGCGGTTCAAGAAGAAGAGGCGTACGTAGAAATCTCCAATCAGGTTCACATTCGCCATTCTCCGGAGATGGGGAGGCCGCACGAAGTTAACGCTAAATTTGCAACGCGGAAGGCCGACTGTCAGGTGGGCGGTGTGATGGTTGTCTGTACGTGTGCAGATTAGTGGCGAGTTTCGCGACTAACTCGGATAGTAAGCTCTTGGACATACCCAGAAAGGCAAGAGAGAGCCCTGCCGCTGAAGCCTGAGAGTGAGCGTACGGCGCTGTATCACTGACAGGAGCAGTGTCGGCGGTGCGCTCGCAGCCGCGTTTGCAAAGGGGGCGGCGGGCGGTGAAGAGGTGTTCGCTGTCGCGATGGTGGTAGAGCGAGAGAAAAGAGAGGGCGAGCGACGAGCAGACAAGGCGGGCGCGAAAGGCGCCTGGGCTTATTGTGTTGGGTCGACATGAGGGCCATGAGTTCAGGAGGAGGCTATCCGAATCACCCGGGCCTGCGTTCCCCTTCTGAGCGATAACCGGTTTAGATCCCCCGATCATCATCTGTTCTCCCAAGATGGCCACGGGTTCCTGTGCGGCGCGCAGCACCTGGCATTTATCTTCGCCGGGGCGCAATGCACGTTTGCGCGGAGGGCGCTGTGGACATATTTGCGCATTGATACGTACTGCAGTGGCACATCAACACAAGTAGATGCCCTGAGGCCAGTTTATGTACAACTCACCTCACTCAGCGTCTCAGACTGAGCGGGAAAATGAACGCGGGCCGGATGAGCATTTCTGCCTAGCGTGAGATTGCGAGTGAGATCCAAAGCAACTCGATCGGCTGTCATGTGTTTACGCACCTTCATTCTGTTGAATCGTTCCTCCTCTCGTCAAGTTTCAGGGACGGTTCACAATTTAACTTGAGTTACATGCGTGGCCCTTACAAAACTAGCGTAGCGTTGCGTGGACTAGCGTTTTGGCAGGACAAGTTAATTTGACGCCAAGTTAGCGTGACTCTGCGTGACTTGCGTGAACTTGCGTGAACCTGCGTGGGCTTGTAGCAGCTCATCCTCCGACTCTGGAGGCAAATTGAAGCCTCTAGATAATGTATGCCATGCTAATGAACCCAGCTGTATACTCGAAGTAAATATAGATGAGAGTGGAGGGCGTCCGAGACCTTGTTCACGTCGCAACATCATAGGCGCCCAAGTTCCTTGCGTGTACTTACGTGCACCGTGCAGGAGGCTTTCGGTATGCGTATACTATAGCCCGAGCACTTTAACATATAATCAAGAAGACTGTAAGCAGTTGGAGGCCCATCGGCATTGCACGAACATCTTACATTTTACTGTAACTAACATTGATGAAAGACTTAGGAAGTAAGCATAGCGCCGCGGCGCGTATGGATCTAAAATATATCAATATAACTTGTAAGGTAGTACTTATTAAGACACCAAAGGGAAGCGAGTATATCCTGAAAGAATTTGAGCTGATATTGGCGAAGCTGGAGCGATAAATGAAGGGTTGCCGCGCAGACGTTGACGGCGAGCAGAAAGGCGATGACGAGCGCTAGCGATGTAGACACGACGAGCTCGGTGGTAGGCTCGTGAACCAGCACTCTAGTTCTGCGGAAGACAGTCGTTCCTTCAGAATAGAGGCTGGACCCTCCTATGAGGGGGGTTGCGGGTGACCCCCGTGGGAACGACGCGCCAAAGTGTCTCGACGTCTTTCCTCGCCCGCCGTTCTACACAGCTGAAAATCCTGAAAATATATGAGGTGGTTTGGAGAAGACAGCATTCCCCCAAGAGCAATTTTTTATTGTGATACGTCGCCCACAGTCCGCCATGGAGCTCTCGAGGGCCGGGAGCTTCAGCCATCCATTGAAAGCCCGCTCGTTCTCTCACCAAGGGATTCCAACTCAGACGTTCCCACGGGGGGTCACCCGCACCCCCCTTCATAGGAAAGTTAGTCTAAGGAGGTTCATACCTAGCTCGGTGGCGTTCACGGCGCCTAGACCGCCGTAGGCAGCGAGCGAAAGTTATTAGCGCCCATGCACGCTGCCAAGCGCCGTCACGCAAGCCCAAGCAATTAGCCTTGAATTTAGGCGGACTCACGCACGGATAAGTCGTGCGTCAAGTAACTTTATACAGCCTCAGTTTCAGGCACTTGGGCGTCGACAACCACCCATCCCCGCATCCCCGCCTTCGTATACCCCTGAGGCGCTTACCTCTCCCTGCGCGTAATGATGAAGGTCTATTTCCTCTACGAGTCTTTCGTCAAGACTCAATCCTCGAGCTTCTCAATATAGAGGCATGAGAAGTATGCCGATGCCGCGTGAGACAGCCAGCGCGAAAGCTCGCACAATCCCCGGCACCGAATGAGCCATCACCCCATCAGTCACCGCAGCCAGTCGAAATTTGGACGTCGACCCCGCATTTGCTCCACTCATCTCATAGCTCCGCCGTCTGCCGCACGGGTTCTACCAACCGTCCTCGTCCGTGCACACCTGTAAGGTTGCGGTCGAGAATGCCGTGGGGTGGGCATGGGTATGAGAACCTTTGCGACACCGTGAGTGCGCATAGCGCCTGCAAGAACCGGCGTGGCGTACGCGACGTGCGGCTCGCGCGATCGTCCTCCAATTCAATATTCACGTATCAATGCAACACCCCCACTCTCGCGATACGTGGCCGTCCCAAGGACAGGAGGTTTTGACCCGGGATAGGCCCTTTCGTTTTCCCAAAGGTGCGAATGCCTCGCAATCGCGCGGCTTCTTATCGGTGTTGCCCGGCGGGATACCCTCCGGGTCCGCACCGCGCAGCCCATTCGCAGACGGTATTCCGTGCTCGGCTTGCGCGGTCGCTCACCAGCGTGACATCATCTCACATCTCTGCAAAAACACAACGCTGCCCATTCGCGTGCTCCTCGTCGTGTCGGGAAGCGAGCGCACCCGCACGTCCAACGCCTGGTTACGATCGATTGCTCGCCACCGTAGCACGCGGCGCCTCGCCGCCGCGCATGTGGCCAGCCTGCCCATTCAACGACGCAAATGGCATAAACTAGGGCAGACGCCGCGGTGGATTAATCACTGATGTCCGGCCAGTCACTGGAGTCTGGCACGCGCCGCTCTGTCGATGTGGCCGCGCTTGCTGCCCCACCGACTGAGGGGGCCGAACGGAGGCCATATTGCATCACGGAGTGTGGAGGGGTGCGGACGCGGGCACAGAATGGGGCTTCCAACGCACGGACTCACGAGGTGTGCCAGAACCTCGAGGAGGAATCATGAGCGGCGGGTTCTCTTCCCAGCGCGCGCGGAGAGAAGCAGGGCTCTCAGCAGGCGGAGTCCCGATTGTGCACCCCGAACGTCGAGTCCTCGACCGACGACATACCCGTCGCTGATGTCCTCGTTAACATCCGCTCAGGGCGCCATCGCAGGCCGTTGCCTCTGCGGTGTCGATCTCTCCGGCGGGCTCTTCCCCTTTGTGGCGTCTGGGGAGGGGAGATGTCCTGGACTGCCGTAACGTGCGCGTCTGATGCGGAACGCAGGATCGCATCGCGAAAGCGAGATGTGTTCTCGTGTTCTTCGTTTCCTTTGTTCCGGTACGGTCGCACCCAATGTCAACCGGCGATGCGATGACATCGCGGGAGGGCCTGGGGTTGTTGGCGAAGGTGACGTCGCCTCCGGGCCCGGAGGTTCAAGAACCATGTCCAGATGGAGAGATTCCAGCACCTGCACCGAGAGCACCAGGCTGTCCGGGATGCTGAACGGCTACTGTAGCTTCTCATCTGCAAGGGTGCATTACCGCCGGTTCTTCGAACTATGATAATGACCTCACCCTTCGGTTTCGGTGCCTCGAAGTCCTCAAACAACGTTCAATATCGACCTTCTGCATGTCGGCCAGTGGCTAGATCGGAAAATTTTGTCACGCAGGAAGCAATCAGAACCAGAGCTCCTTCTCCCCGTACCTCTTAGACCTCTTCCGCGACAGGCGTTTTGAAAGATGGCGGGGACGTCGACGGGCGAAATCCCGATAGTGACCGTCGGCGTTTTCGGATTCCGGGACATCTGTACCACTGCCTGGTACAAAATCTTCGCAGTCAGATTGTACACTGTACAGGGACGAGAATCGCCGGTCGGCAATATATCAGCCAGGCGGTCAAAAGAGATGTTATAATCGAGCAGAAGCGACTGTTCTCACCGTCCTTCGATATCTTCCCCGTTGGCTTCTGCGGCCGAGAACGCCGTAAAACGATCCTCTCGTCCTGGAGCTGTCTCGGTTTCGCGACGAAAGACAAGAGCCTTGTAAAAGCTTCAATGGTTAACTGTCCGGGGTAAGTGAGTGGCCCGTGCGTAACTTAAAGCGACAGACATGCCTTGGCATCTAAATTACCCCCAGCCGTCCAACAAGGAAAATACGGTTCGTCTTCCGCATATTTGATCGCGATACAGCCAGCTAATAGGCGACCCCCTTCTTCGATTGGGGCTTCCGCGGTAAGGACAGTTGTAGACTCGTGATCTTCCATGAACGTTCGTGGCCGGGGCGTTTTCGCTTCAGCACACTTCGGAAAGAATCGGGAGATAAGCACATGCCGTTCACGAGGACAGCTGCTGAACTTACCGTTGCAAGGACGGCCACGCTATGGGCGCAATAAACTCAACTGAGCAGGGGCTTCTACATCTGCGGTCAGCACCCGAAGGAATGGCTGCGTCAGTCAACAACGTGCCATCCGACGGGCCTCCTTAGCGTCCCAGCGAGCCATCCGGTCGGATGCACCCTAGTAGAATAGTTGTCGTTCTATTCAGTGTTCGGCTCAGACGGACAGACAGACGTCAGGAAGGTGCTCACCGAACGTAGCTTGGCAATATGATCACATACGCTTACAAGGGCCTGCATATATGCGGATAGAGCGACTTGGAAGGCACGCTGTCCGTCGTCGGTGACATACTTTTGAACTCCGCACGATGTGCGAGCATGAACGGCACTTTCGGGTGGAACTCGTGGCGAAAAGCCTTCCGTACGTCCGACGGCGCTATGAGTTGGGTGTTAGCTCGTCGAGTACATTAATTAAGTAGGACTAGCTTACTGTTTCCAATGCATACCGCTGATATAGGCTGACAGCCCGGGCCGTTCGTGCGATCGTGACAACTGATTCCGAGCGACGATCTCTTCGCTGTTCGACATGTGAACATATTTGAGGGACGCAGTGAGCTAACTGACGAGCCAAGCGCGACGTGCATAGTTGGCGATACTTTTCGAAGGCGAAATTTCAGTTTTACCTGCACATCCTTACTATCAGAACATGATGCCGTGAACGTTTGTGCATTGGCGGGATGCGTAGCCTTCTCGAGCAGAAATAAACAGCGGCACAACAAATCACCATTTTTTAATACGTACACGACTTGAAGATGACGTTTGAGTGGGGTTGAGATATGTTTGTTGAGCCATCCCGCCGTGAAAGATTGTGATTTTAGAGCGAGTGTTCTTCGTGACCATCGCGATATCGCTGCTAGTGGTCCGTATGGCGCATACACCGACAAGGCAAATTGTCAGTGGAAACCTTCACTTGAAGAAGTCAGTTGTACTCTTCGAGTGGGCTTGTCGCAAAGAAGACACAAACCACAGTACCTAGAATCCATACCGTCTTGACGAGAACCCTCGTTAGCGCGTCGCTGGATGTATGTGCTCTGCATCTCACTCTAGCCTTCCCATCGTGATGTTTCTTTTGACCCTAATTTGCGCGTTGCCCAGTGTTTCAGACATCCACGTGTCGTAGAAAAACGGCTCAACAATATGGTAGAAGGCTGAACGTTTGAACGTTGAGATCGAACGTTGAGGATGGAGTCAATGTACTCCGAGAGCGCGGTGGACCGTTCGGCGTGGCACTGGCAGTTTAAGCGCCTTGCTCTCAGCCACTTCCGCGTTGCTTGCACTTGTTTGGCTTTAAATGACGCGACGCGACGCGTTTCTTCACCCCGCCATACCGCAGTACGAGCGAAATATTCTTTGCCCCGCTCAGTCACGATGTATATGGTGCGATACCTAGGGTAGCTTTCTCCGTGAAGGTGACCAAAATCAAGGACAGAATGTTGGACATCGTGGGGGAAGGCTGAAAGTCTTCAAGGTACTAATACTCGCCCGTCAGTCAGGGGCTCGTTATCGATGCAAGACACAACAACGTCTCACGGCAACCTAGCTATATTGTGTAGCCCTCCGATAACCAAAATACCGCAGCACATGATAAGAGAGCTCTTCATTGCAAGTGGATCCCAGCGTAATATCCGTTACATAAGCGCTCGTACCCCGTTTATATATGACGCCTCGGCTCGTCCAGAGCCAAACTCCCCTTGAACTCGTACCCCCACCACACCGCACACGCACCGCACACGCACATCATGCCAAAGGACTCGTACTCCGGAGAATCCTACGACGTCACGTCTCGTGGCGTTAATGACCTGGTACGTAACTTTGCCTTTGTTCTACATACGACCTCCCCGCCAACTAGCGACCTCACTACGCAGGGCAACTCCTACGACCACCGCGTCAGCGAGAGCGGCGGTCACTCCTACCACTACAGCAACAAGTATGTGCTGTGTCATTCTTCTCAAGCGTTGAGCGCGATGTTGATACTCTTTTAGCGACGGGAGCTACTACTACCAGAACAACAACGGCTCGACCTACTACAACAGTGGGGACGGCTACAGCCGCTACACCAGCTCTGAGGGCAACGTCTCTCAGAAGACTGACGGCAAGTAGATTGGGTTGGGAGACTCGAGAATGCACCCTGTATGATAGTCGACGAATGATGGTGCACGAACAATTTGAAGATCGCGTTAGGGCTTTTGACTGTCTGATTTTCGGCCTAGCAATAGGATGTTTAACGCAAAGCTCGGCTCCAATAATATTAACGCTTGCAGCTCCTAACGTTGCGGTTGTACCTATGGCCATCTTCCGTCCAGCCGACCTGGTTCTTTGTCCCCTAAGTGCGCCAAGCAATGTCGTGAAGCAGGCGCTTCGCGGACGCGTCGCGTCCGATGCGCATGTCACGCGCGCACGCTAGCCGACGCTTGTTTGCTTCCTTCCACGAACGCTTTCGGCTGCACACTTCGTGCATTCCTCCACTCCCGCGCCTTCACGCTGCTCGGGCTCCCAGCAGGGATTCTCAGGGTCGCTGACAGCGCACGAGCTCCGTACGTATTTTACAGCACGAATCCGCGCGAGTGATGGCTCACCACCGAGCTGCAGCCCCGCCCGGGCGCGGGCATGAAACACCCTCGGGGTCAGCTGACGGTGCGCAGGAGGCAGCGACGCTGCCCGCCATACAGCGGTTGCATTACCCGCATATAGGCGGCCAGTACGTCCTCGGCACCTGTACCAAACGCGGCCGCTCCGAGTCTGCAGCTGATTCTGGGCTGCTCGCACTGCGCAGCGCCGCCCTTTTGCGCGCAGCTCGGCTTGGGCTCGCGGTCGTGCTCGTCCCATCCGCTGCCCCCCTCCGCGCTGCAGAGACGAGCGCAAGCCGCTAGCTTGTTTGACAGCGTCAGATTTGGTCAGCACCGCCCGAGCTGCGGGGACGTCGCACCTGCCCGTTAGCGGCGGGTTGTTCGCAGCGTGCCGGTGTCCAGCGTGCGGTTGCGCGCGGTCAATCGGTGCGTCGCTCTCGACGATCACCCATCTTTGCTGGACATTGACCTTCCCACCCTGCCGGCCGGTAGTTGCTGTCGGAGGACGATGATCTGCATATATCAGAGCGTCGAGTGCTCCGACGACAGTGCCTGTCGATCAGCAATAGCCTCGATAACGTCGCGACACGCGTCACTGCGGGCTGACTTCAATATGTGATGCTGCATCAGCCCGAGGTAGCAGGGGAGATGAGAAATCTGCATCTGCGGAAGAGGGGGAGCGTGGACAGGTGCGGGTCACGAAGACGTCTTTGTCGTTACGCGACACACCGGTGCTGACTGTTTGTGATCCCAGAAGGCGCACCTTCCCGCGACAGCGCTGTGCTTGGCGGTACCACGGGCATGAGGAACGTACGAAGAAGGAGAGAGTGCGCGTCGGCTAGCGGCTGTTCGTGGATGCCTTCCACCTGACGTGTATCGGCGTGCACGACCAACCGACCTCGCAGCCTTGTGGTCCTGGACGAGAGCTTCGCGTTGTATATCACGTTGACCAACTGAAGTCTAGACAGGTAAGCACCGCTCTCTCGACCCTGAGTACCTCAGCCGTAGAGACAATAGCACTGACCACTGCCCCATCACACATCTACAGATGGGACGTATAATCCGTTTGGAACGGCAGCCCTCCCACGCACCCGGGACCAATGAGGCGTTCCCCGGACTCGGTGCTCCCAGCACACCCACTCGAGCGCCACCCCGCACCTTCTTCGGCAAAATCCTCGAATCGCGCACGCCCGTCCCAAACTCCCCCACCCACGCCGCGCTCAAGCCCCGACGGAAAGGGCCGTGCGTATCGCCCGGGAAGCGGGGGCCAGGGCGACAGCCTGAGGCTATAGGCATCCCCCGATGGGCACCAGGGCACGGGTACGCGCGGCGCCAGAGGGCAGCGCGCAGCGGCTTCGCAGGACAAGCTCCAAGCTCCGACGGCCCCAGGCGTGCGCGCGCGTTCGCGGATGAGTCGAGGGCTCTGTTCGCGCACGCGCGGCGGCCTGGCGCCCCCACGGTAGTCGCGCCTCGCTCGCCGCGTCCCCGTGCCCGTCGCAGCAGTCAACGTTCACGGTCCAGGCGTCATGCGGCCCCGCGCTAAGTGCTCGATGATGCTTGCGGTGGGGCTACGTGCATTCATTATCCGTGCACTGGGCCGTGCTTGCCCTGCGGGGTGGGGGATGTGCGCCTTCGAGTGGCCGATCGGCGCGTGTGCGAGCCGCACGAGTGCCATAACGCTGCGTCTGTTCGACTTCTGCCGAGTGCTTCACCGCGTCAGGTGCGGCCTGCGAACCGCCGTGGGCCGTCCGCGCGTTCGAGGGCGGTATCGGGCGTATCGAGCTTCAAACTTCGAGCCCCGCGCGCCACGAGCGCGCGGACGCTGCACAACGAGGCTACGAGCCATCTCGGCGAACGCAGGGCCGCACTGGAACATCGTTCAAGGCGCACGCCCCGCGCCAGGCACGACCAAGACCGAAGCGCGCCGCCGCGCCGCATATGGGCCCTCGGAGCACGGGCGAGCCTCCATCAACGCCGCGAAGCTCGTGCCGCACGTGTGCGGGTTCTTATCGGGCGTGGACAAGGCAATCTGCACGCCGCCCGATCTGCGTCCGTGGGGGCAGCGCGGGCGCGCGTGCAGCCGCCGCCTCGTTGCGCGAGCGGAGCTCGTCACGAAGCTTTACCGTTTAGCGGCGTGCGTGCCAGGATCCGAGCTGCATCTGACCGCCTGCGGGGGGCAGATGCCCTCCTGCAGTCCATCGGCGCGTCGTGCGTATTGGCAGCCAGCGGGGCTGGACGGGGCCACCGCTCGCCTTCGCGCGTTCTCGCGGTAACTTGCGGGATCATGTGGACGGGGTGCGCAGGGGATATTATAATTGTTGCCACACTGGATCGGGTAGCGTCGAGATGCGCACCGTTCCGTTTGGGGGCGAGATCATTCGCTGCCGTTTGGGGTTTAGGCTGCTCTGCTAGTCGCCCAGGTGCCGCCGGTCGTGTAAAATACACGCGGCGGGGGGCGGGCCCGCGCGTGCCCCCCGATGTCGCTGCGGCCGCGTGTGGGGTGCCCCGGGACGGGTGTGGGTGTGCAGAGGACGGGGCAGGAGGACGGGGAGGGCTGGCGGCGGGAGCAGGAACGAGTAGTTTGTGTGTGCGGGATGACGCAGAGCGCGCGCATCGGGACGTGTCCCAGACGTCAGGTTCCTCGATTTGTGCAGGTAAGATCCGAAGAAGAGGCTGATCTGCCGTATCCAGATCGATTATTATTAGGCCCGAAACGGGTCCCGCCCGCATCAGGCACCGGCGCCCAACTGCCAAATCCCATCGACAGGCGCGATCACCCGTCGCACTCCTCCCCGTCCCCCGTGGCAGTGGTTGGTGACCGCCATCTCCTCCGCGCACCCAGGGTCCACGTCGTACGGGCAGAGAGCGGCGGACGAGCAGAGGAAGGGTCGCGCTGTGCGTGAATTGCTGCCGCGATGGGCCGCAGATGACGGGTGACGGGACAGGAGCGGCGCCGAGGCGAATCGCCGTCCCACCGCCATGGGCATTACGTAGGCAGACCGTCGCAGGTGGATCTAGTATCGGGCACGAGAGATTCCCGGCGCTGCCGGTTCTCGAGATTGCTGATGCGGATCTCACCCGCTCTCTCGAATCGCCACCCTCTCCTCGACGCGCCCCCCGCCAGCACGCTCGTTGCACAAACATGCACCTCAGCGCACGCAGCAGAGGCGGACGCTGCGGGGAGAGGTTCGGGGGGAGTAGGAAGCCCGCAGACGCGTCGGCGTTTATATTGCGAAATTCAATACGTTATTTCGCCGCGCGAGATTCGAACTCCGCTCAGATTTGTTTGGTGATCTAGTTAGCCGGCTGCTCCTCCTCCTTGTTTCCATCCTCCTTCTTCCCCCTCTTCGTCCTCCCCGTCCGTCTCCCGCCTCCGCTGCTCATCCGGTCTGCTTCCTGGGCTCCGACGACTCTCGTCGCCGCCCCGTCCCCCTCAGCGTTCTGCTCTGCGCGTCGGTCGCGTCGTATTTGTGCCGGCCGGGCCTGCCCCATTTAGCTGTCTCCGATTGCTCTCCAGATCCGGGTTAATCGGGAGATACAGCGAGATATACTCCTAGCCTCTCTCGTCACTCCCGCCCCCTCCGCCGCCATGTCCTCCTCTCATCCGCCCCAGTATGCCTCGTACTCTCTGCCACCCCAGGACTCTGTTCGTCTTCCGTCGATCAAGGACCTCAATTTCCCGCCCCCGGGTCAGGACGGAAACCCTACGAATGGAAACGCCCGTCCGGAACACCCGCGGCAGAGACATGACACGGGCTCCTGGAGTCGCTCGAACGCGACGACGGGCCCTCCTCAGCCTCAACACCCTCAGCACTCACAGCACTCGTCTAATATGCCGCCACCGCACGACCCGCCTTCGAAGTCGCACCCGCACCCCTCCCAGAGACACGACGCGTCGTACGGCCCTCCCGGGTCTGGCCCGTCTCCACAACAGCCCCCAGCGGGGATGCCCACGCACAACGGGATGAGTGCGGGCCAGACGCGCTCAGAGAATGGCACGGACCCCTCGTCGAAAAGGTCCCGCCCGCAGGCTGCCGTCAGCGCCTCGCCTGGGCGGTCCCCTCACGTAAGCCTAGGTTCTCCCGTGAAGGGCGTTAAAGCATGATGGCGCTAACTTATTGTGATTGAAACCGATTGTCGATGGACACCATGTTCTCGTTATGGGCATGTTCTACAGACTGCGTATCCGTCGTACCCTGCGCAAGCTCCGCCGCCCGGTTACCACCAGGGCCCTCCCCCGCAGGCGCCCCCACCTCACGAGCAGCAGCCTCCGCATCCGTCGCAGTTCTCACATGGGGGCCCGCCCCCCGGCTACTCTGGGTACCCCCCTCCCCCGCTTCCCCAGAGGCACTACCCTATGCCCCCTCCACCTCCGCCCGCGCACCATCAGGCCCAGCCACCGCCGAGCCCGTACCCACCGGCAGGTCCACCGCCGGAGCACTGGCAAACGCACCCACCATCTCAGCCGCCCCAGCATGCTCCGCAACAATTCAATGGCTTCACTCGGACAACTCCGCTTGTTCCGGCCCCCGTCGAGACGCGCACCAGTGCCCCCAGCCCTGCGGACGCGGAACGAGCCGCAGCGCGTCAACACGTGATTGCAGAGGTGAGACTACGTGGCTGCTGTTGCCGTAAGGAATCTTCTTGCTGACGAATATCATTTCTAGATCCTGAAGCACTGCGGCGTTCTGTATGGGTTTGCCCACCATTACAGTGCGTATACTACGTACCTGGACTGTATGCCTAAACTGACCGACCGCAGGCCAAGCTTCGACTGCGCACCCGCATGTGCAGCCGGCTCCTCCAGAACTAGAGGAGATGAATTCTCGCGCGTCGACAGTTGTGCGTCTCTTGGACGACCTGAGGCGCCTAGATGCCGGTGAAGACATAAACCGCAAAGAGAGCGCGAATGGAACCGCTACTCCTGCCGAAGACCACCCTCGCCCGCCGAAAAGACCTTGGGAAGATATGGCCCGAGACGGGGAGCCGCCGTCCTCGGCTAGCTACTCCGATGTGAGTATTCTGCCTTGTTGTGGCGTAATGTGCCTGTCTGACCGTAGTCCGTAGGCTCCTGGGCACCTCTCGCACCCCGACGAGCAGGCACAGTCCACGGCCGAGCAAGACATGCAGATCATCCGCAACAAGCGGCAATCGAGCGCAGGCGGCGCGCAACCCGGGCAGCAGAAGAACAAATACAGGAAGCGTAGTGTAAGTAAAGGGCTGGCAGTGAGTCATCGATCTTCGCGCTCAGCGGACGTACAGCGAGCTACCCCTCCTGGAAAGTGTCACTCCTGCAACATCCGCGAAACCCCCGAATGGAGACGCGGTCCCGACGGCGCAAGAACCCTTTGCAACGCGTGCGGCCTGCGTACGTGCCTTCCGCGGCATCTCATCGTGGCGCAGCTGATATCTCGTGCGCAGACTATGCGAAGCTCATGCGCAAACGCGACAAGGCGCTCGATGCGAACGGCAAGGCACCGCCCATCGACCTCCAAACCCTCCGAGCCTCCACCGCCTCGGCTCGTGGAAGCGGCAGCACCGGCAGCGGCGAACACAGCGGGGAGTCCGCCCACCCGCAGCAGCACCAGGGCCCGCCCCCGCCCTCGCCCTACGAGCAGCCCAAGCAGGCTCCCCCGATGCATCCCCCGCCTCCCCACCCGCACCAGGGGCCGTACCAGTTGATGCCCGTGGGCGCGCCTGGTCCGTCAGGGCAGCCGCATCAGATGATGCCCCCGCCTCCCCACGGGTCGTCTGCGCCGCACAGCGCGAACGGCGCGCCCGTCCCGCCCCCGCCGTGGCTCGCGTCGCCCGTGCAGGAGCGCGGCGGGTACAGCGCGGAGCCCCAGTCGTACATGCGCGCGTCGCACCCCCCCTCGCACGCCCGCGCGTCGCCGCAGTGATCGGCGCGTCGTGTCCAGTCGCAGTCGGACAGATCGTTCGTTCGTTTCGCCCTATCATATATGCTGCTTCCCTGTCTGTCTTCGCCTGTGCTGTCTGTTGCCCGCGCTGCCTCCCAACTTTCCACGCCGCCCACACCGGGATCGACGCGAACTTGCATCTCGGTAACCTGACCGCCCGTCACTTATAATCTCGAGCCCCGTGTTCTGCCTGTATAATCCGGCCCCGCCGTGTACATACCCCGCCGCTTGTGCCCTGTGTTGATAATCGAGCCCGCGCGACACCGCCCACGACCGACCGACTGACAGTGCAGGGGATCTGAGTGAGTGTGTGTGCGTCGGGCGATCGCATCGGCGCTGGGCGATGCACGACGACGATGTGATGGCGATGGCACACCGATGGCCCGTGACAGCCCATCGCGCATCGACACATCGCGCATCTATGACGGGATCGATCGCGCGCGCGCGATCTGGAGGGCCCCCAGCCAATCCGGGCCCCCCGCGGCGCCGATCGCTGATCCCCTCCCAAGCCCCGCATCCGGCCTCCCACTGCTTTTGCATCCGCGGCGCTGCTGCCAGCCAGCCAGACTTGAGTCGACGCGCGCGGCAGAACGCAGAGCTTCGTCGAGCGTGGTCTTCCATGCATGTGTGCCACGTTGCAGAGGCCGTGTTGTTATTGTTGTACATACATCCTGGTGTATACATCCGTGCTATCAAGCTTTCTTCGCCGCGCGCCCGCGGCCGTGCTCAGGCTCTCGCGGAGCCCAACCCCCGCGCGCCCCCAGGCTGCCGCGCCCTCGCCAGGAACGCCCATGCAAGTTCCCATGCCACAGCCGCACGGCCGCCGAGGTTTTCCCCCTGGCCCAACGCGTACGCTCAGTCGGTGTACCCGCGCGAGACGGTGGTGTCCGTCTTCGGGAGCGGGAGGCCCTCCTTCTCCCAGATCTCGAGCTGGCGGTCCTTGGCGGCCTTGCCCGTCGCGCGCTCGTAGTCCGCGACCGAGGTCGGGCGCTCGCCGTGTGGGGTGGCGCGAAGGGCGTGGCGCGTGTGCGGCCAGAAGTCGAACGTCGCGGAGTGCGTCACGATCTGGAGGGGGTGGCGGCGGAGATAGAGCGCGGGTCAGCGGTGCTCTCTAAGGCCAAACTCATGCCGTAGAAGAGGAAGAGGAAGGGGTGCCAGAGTGGTGGAGAAATGAAGGGGGGCAGCGGGGGAAGAGGGGGAGGACGGGAAGAGGAAGAGGTGGAAGGGGGAGGAGGGAGGGGGAGGAAAGGCACATGGCGTCATCGCGGACACGGAGACTCACCCTGTTGTCCCAGATGGCGACCGAGTTGGGCTGCCAGCGGAAGCGCACCTGGTAGTCGGGGTTCTCGCTGGCAAACGCCGTGGTCAGTTAAGGTGCGGGATGCGCTCAGCTTCCGACGCGCACGAAGGTTCTGTGCGTGCGTCCTGTGCGTGCGCAGCAGGGCCACGCACGCACCCACGCGACCGGGCACGCGCGGGGAAGCTGGGCGAAGGCAGGGTGGGCACTCACGCGATCTGGCGGAAGAGCAGCTCGAGGATGGCGTCGCTCTCCGCCTTGGGCACGCCCACGATCCGGCGGGTGAAGCCTGTGTGACAGATGTGTCAATCAGGCTGTTCATATACGGAGAAGGGGCCCTGGGGCGTGGGCCGCCCGGCGGAAGCGCTGCTCACCGGGGTTGACGTAGATGCTCTTCCAGCCCGTAACGGGGTGCACGCGCACGATGGGGTGCACGGACTCGACGGGCTCGCGCCTAACGGTCTTGCCTGCCGCCCGCGCACCGTCCGCCTGCGCGACCGCGCTGTGCACGGCCTTCAGGCCTTCGAGGTACTTCTGGAAGCCGGGGCTGAAGGACGAGTAGAGGGCGTAGCTATTGCGGCCGCACGTCAGCTCACGTGTTCACACCGGGGTCCCGAATGAGGCCGAAGCGCAGGCACTCACCCGGAGCTCCAGAGGGTGTCACCGCCGTAGGGAGGGCCGGTGATGACCTTGAGCGAGGTCGTGCTGGGGGGCTGGAGCTCGTACGAAACGTCGGAGTGCCAGAGCTCGAGCTTGGAGAACGCGCTGGGGTCGGGCCGACGCGAGCCGTCGTTGTACACGACTGTTGGGCGGAGACAGGACGTCAGTCATCCCGGCAGCTGCGTCCCTGGACATGATTGACGCACCGTGCACTTCCTCAAGGCCGGCCTCCCTAGGGACGGGGGTGGTAGCGTGCTTGTGCAGGGGCCCAAAGTGGCGGGCGAGCTGGAGCTGCTCCTGGATGCTGATTTCCTGGTCGCGGAAGACTGCAACAAATGCGCCCATCTGTCAGCCTATTCCCCTTACCGCACTGACCCCAGCCGCCAGGGGAAGAAGTGTTGACGTACACACAACGCCGCGCTCCGCAATCAGCAATGACCTAGGAGAACACGGCCATCATCAGTCACTTTGCCTCCCGCGCACGACGTTAGTGCGGCAGAGTACGTACAGCTCGTCCTTCTGCGCGTCCGAGAGCTGGCGCAGGTCGATGCCCAGGATCTCGGTCCCGATGGCGGGCGTCAGGTGCTCGACCTTGGTCGCCGCGGAAAGCAGCGCCTTCTTCTCGGGATCCGCGAACTGGCCGCGATCCGTCACCGCGATCTCGCCCAGAGGCTCCCACTTGACGTCCGGCCACGACGGCTGTGGCGCGCGCAGGTTAGGCGGGGGATCGCCCTACGCGGTATAGGCTGGGTGCGTACCTTGTACTTCGCGTACTGGTAGTCGCTATCGTCCGCATCGCCGACGTCCGGGGAGTAGAACGGGTTGAAGAGCTGCTGGGAGACGTTGGCGGCCGCGGCCTTGGCGGCCTTGACGGGGCCGGTCGCCGCGGCGGTGCCGTTGGTGGTAGCGTTCGCGTCGGTAGCAACAGGAGCCATTGGAGAAGACGACTCGGAGGATGCAGCAGACGCTCTTCTTTCTGCGTGCTTTATAACCGTGGGCGCCGAGATGCCTTTGCGCGGAGTGTGCCCCACGCATTATTTGCGTGCGTGGAAGGGGGGATGGCGACACGTGCACGTGATCGCGCGCAGGCCGTCTTCTGTGCGCTGCGATTCCCATGGGGGGTTCATCCGGTATGGTCAAACGGTGCCTCCGGAAAAAAGAAGGCGCGATAACGGGGAGCCGCAGGGGGATAGGGCGAGCCTCGACTGCCGCGTTATCCTCTCCGCTGCTGACGGGGGTATGGCGCGAGCGTGTCGTCGTGCGCTGGACACGGGGCTCGCGGCATGCGGTGGCGCGGTGGTCACTTGGTGCGCCATGCATAATCGTTTAAATTCTATTGGGGTGAGAGGCACGTCAGTTACAACCCGGGGTCGAAGATTGGCCGAGGGACTCATACGTACCTCTTCCCTCGAAATGCTCGCGTACGCCGGCCCAGGGCCGAGATTGTGTGGCTTGCAGCCACCATGTAACACGACATCCTGCGACATTACGCCTCTTTTGTGCAGGTGTATGAGTTTCGGAGGGCCGGCACGTACGCGCGAACTAAAAGGCTCACGGCGAGGTGGAGGAAGCAAAAGAACCGACGCAGGCTGTTGGCGCCCGTCCTCAACTTAGTTCTTGTAGGCGCCCATGCACTCCCACTAGGCCAACACGCATACATCGACTTCGTATGAACGAAATTGTAAGGGGTAGGTAGAGATAACATTGCTCTGATTTCTCGTGTCTGTACATGTATTGGGTGACTCTCCGTAAGCTGTTTAGATACAGGTTTAGATGATCTAAACCTCGGTTGCACCAAGACGCCCACTCCGAGCGTGACAATCTCAAATTCTGCAATCTCGCTCCACATTCTCTAAGTGCAATGATTTAGAGAGGGGGGGTACCCCCCTCTATAAACGTCGCTTGAAGTGCGAGTGTGTTTAAATCGTTAGCGAACGCGCTCCGGCGTCCTGAAGTGGGGCTTTTTGAGCGCTTGCAGCCCCTCGCCTACCACATCAGGAGTTTATCGAGCACTTTCCACAGCGCTTTAGGACTTTCTGCTCCACTCGACCTGTATCAAAACCTGTGTCTATCGTGTTCGAATGGCCGGTCGCGGATAGCAAAGCTAAAACGCGTGGGCACCCTGTCACATATTTCCTGCGGGACAAACTGTATCTAAATTCTTACGGAGAGTCACCCATTATACAAGTCGCAGTCAGGCTAAGCAAATTGTGATGCTATACCGATAGATTGTGGATAGATTGCAAAGCCCTGTTCTACATCCAGTAGCCTGAGCTGAGACTTTATCACTCGTTTAGCGCGAGCCCTATAATATGGATCAAGGAGGGCGAGCTTACCATGTGATAGTATTATCTGTGTCCGCCATACATCCGTCAGACATCCATCCCCAAGAGCAGAAACCGCTCGAACTGGTCATCCGACTTGGAGGAGTCCGTTCCATACGCCCCAGCCCCAGCGAGCAGGGCGGTATCATCTTCAGGTATCTGCCACAACATTGAACCAGGCCGGCGCGTCGCGACGATAACCAAAGTCTCGTCAAGGTCGTCTCCCGGTGAAAACCTAGACCACTCCTCAACCGGCGCCTCGACAGTAGACTGAGCTTCTTCTGCTAGTGAAGGTCGGCGTCGCGCGAGCACCGGCGCAAATTCGAACCATAGGCCGAACGCGGTCCAAAATGGAGTCTCCTTCGCCAGGCTGCGCATCTTGTATGACAGGACCACCGATGCGGGGTGCGCATACGTCTCGTCAACCAAGGGCGGCAATGTCAGATGGAGGAGAGAGCGGAGGAGCGGCGCGAGCAACGCAGGGAAGTAGATCTATCGGCACATGGAAGACAGTCGCACACAGCTCGAGCGTCGGGTACTGGGTCGGGGACATACGAGGTCGCTGCACAGCACGTGGGTGAGCTGGCGTGGAGAGGGTCTGCCCACAGAGAGCCCAAGCTCGTCCGCGATGCTGCTAACATGCTCCCGAGAGCCCCACGCGAGCGGGCGCACTCTGACGGCGGGACATGCGTGCAGATTCGTTTCTAGCATCTCGCAGACGTCCGGAAGATCGGTTCCGATGAGGAGGTCGCGGTCGGGGTGCATCCACTCGGCCACGCGCGTCGCGACAAATCCGGTGCCCTATCCCAGCTCGACCCCGGTAAATTTAGTGGTGGTGGGTGGGAGGCCGCCGGGTGATGTCGAGGACGTAGGCGGCGGCGGGTCGAACTCCAGGGGCGACTGTGGATCTAGGTACGCGAGCATCGCGTGGGACGCCTCCCTGTTTTCGCAAACAACATCTTAGCGTTGAGATTGTGTATCGTCACAGGAAACGACGTACCAGATACGCCCCGCAATGCCATACGTCTTTATGGCGTCTTCCTGCGCGGCGGAATCGAAGCGGGCGTCCGCGTCGGACGTCGCGCTCTCGAGGGGGTGGATGTCGAGATTAGGAGGGAAGTTCGGGTCTTTGTCGGGCGCCATGGCAGATTTGGTACAACGCCTTCGTCCCCGGCGCAGTAGAGCCTCATGCAGGGAGATAGAACGGCGGTCGACCGGTGTGCGCGTGTAGTAGGATGTCTGAGAGCTTGTTTATGAGGAGATCAGGCGCGCGCCTAGATGTGGGGACGATCTCGATATGGCCGATTCGAGATGAGCGCCCGATCTCCCGATGGGTCCGGGTGGCGCTTGGGCGCACACCAACCGCCTGGCTCTCGTCCTCAGCCTCTTTCCCCGCTTTGATACCCATTCGTGCATCGCGGCACCGCGCATTTGAAATGTCTTCAGAAGATGGACATGGAAGATCGACTGCACGCACAACGCGGCGTGATACGGTCGACCTCCCCTCGGGGACTACACTCGAATACGTGCTCCTTCAGCCAACGTCGGCGAACGGCCCCAAGAAGCTCGCCGTGTGTCTACACCCATGGTCATGGCTAGGAGGCCGGATGGATGATCCGTAAGTGCCACACCTGAATCTACTGCCACTGTTTGCCTGACCTCGTTAGCGTTCTCAAGATAATGACCGAACCCTTGCTAGAGCAAGGATATGACGTACTGCGATACAACTCCCGTGGCGTCGGAAAGTCCAAGGGCTGGGCGTCCTTGACTGGCGCACAGGAGGTCGAAGACCTCAAGGACCTCGTGAAGTGGGTGCTTTCCAACAGTCCCGAGCTGTCGAAGCTCGTCATAGTCGTATGTGGTTATCGATATATCTCCAAGTCCGTTGCTTACCCCACCCCGTAGGGCTACTCACATGGCTCGCTGATCGCCTCCATGCACCCGGTGCTCCCCGACCTGGATACATCCCACATCCTCCTGTCATACCCCCTCGGCCCGCGTCACTGGCTCACCGCATTCCACACACACTGGTACACCACCGCGCTCCGGGACCTCGTCCGCGACCCGAAATCAAACGTACTCGTCATATACAGCGACGGCGACAACTTCACCGCAGTGGAGAGCTACGACGCGTGGGCTCAGGGGCTCAAGGACTTGCACGTGGCAGAAGCACAAGACGTCGCAGAGGCCCACGGGAAGCTCGAGGTCGTCGAGATCGCCGGCGCGTCGCATTTCTGGAGAGAGCCGCCGGCCGTCCGCCGTCTTCTGGATGTCGTTCGGACTTGGGTGCAGTGACGCCGTGCCCACTGCCGAGCGGTCTATAGCATACTCCGCCCACGTGAGTCTGTGCATCCCGGTCGTATACACGCTGAAGATGACCGACTCATCGTAGGTAATTCTCCACGGTGTTACCAATGATCTCAACGGCAATGACATTGGTGATACGGTGCTGCGAAACTAAATTTGTAGAGCACTACGCTGGACTATATGCGCTTTACCGGCCACCCCGACTTGTCGAAGCTCTCGAAGACGTGCGGCCCCGCGTGCATCCGCGCTCGAGCAGCATTGCGTTCTCCAAAACGCTCGTATATCTCGGTCATGTGGAGAGTAGGGAGTAATAGTCTGTTTTGAACACAACTCGGATTCTTAGCTGCAATCCCCTGGACGTTGGAAGTTCAACGCTGTATCCTAGAATATAACACGGAGGTCCTATCGACTTTATATTCGAGTCTTCTTCTGAGGCTTCCTGCTCATTTGCGACGCGAGCCGCATCCGAGTCGTAGCCAAAACTGTTGCGAGCGGCTCGGGTAGTGGTCCTTGTCGTGCGTGGAGGCACATTTGTCGTGGTGCTTTCGATCCGCTGCTTCTTGCGTGGAGGAATATGGAAAAGGGGAGAATAGGCGAACGTCGTGGTTCAGAGACGCGTCCGTCCTCGTCAGTCCTCGCCACCGTGATCATGCTGGCATCGTCACGTTCCCGTGCATTGTGACATACGCGCAGTCTGGCTCTGATCTCTTCCTCAACGCCCGTATAGGCACCACATGCATGTCTGAAAGACTAGGAAAACTTTACGAACAGCCGTAAACCAGGATAGCCACAACGAATGGCAAAGAGATGTTTGACCCCCCCGCAAGGCCTAAAAAGAACACGAATCGACGCCAGCAGGACTCGAACCTGCGCCCTCAAAGAGGAAGTGATTTCTAATCACTCGCCGTAACCACTTGGCTATAGCGCCTTGAAGATGTATATAGGTGAGCAAGTCAGGATGATCGTGTGCCAGGTTCATTACAGTAGTTCCGATTCCATAAAGAATCGGTTTTCTTGTGAGGTTGGTAGAGACCACGTGACTTTCGTAGCCCGCTTGCGCATGTTTGCTTTGTGGCTGAGGACGCCTTGGAGGCAGGCTGACTTTCACCGCAAATATTGCCCGCTCTCATACTTCCGAGTTTCTCTCGTCACCGTATGGTGGGTAGGCCATTTGCTATGCTCATGAAGTACTGGCTATTTATGCGGTCGTTCATGGGAGACCGCAAAGTCCAAATTTTGTTTTCCGGAAGTGTGTCTGGAGCCCTCCTGTACGCATGCGTTGTCTGGCAGCCTGGCTTCCTTGAGAGTTAGGAGCGCACTTCAAAATCGTGGACGGTGGCACTGGCCAGTCGTGGCCTCATACCGCATATATGGTTCTCGAATACTTTGTAAGAGTCATAGTGGTGGGCCTGAGATACTATTACCTCCATTGAAAGAAACTCAATCAAAATAGCTTGACGCGAACTTGCTCATATTACAAACGACGGGTGCGTGCTCGTTTAAATTCTCAGTAGTATCAATCGGAGTATGGAATCGGGCCTGGCGTGCGAAGCATCGCCGTTCACCCTCTAGTAGTAAATCTATAAGCACGCGTTGAGTACACCGCCAACACACTTGCAGAAGGGGTTAGAGCCCACTGTCGTCCCAGTCCATTAATCGTCAGAATATCTCTCAAGGGCAGATGTCAGGGTACTACGCACGACCATTGTCGGCAACGGGGCTTGCTGCGGTGAATGCGACAAAGATGGCGACGAGGGCAAGCGCCTTGCTGAAGACCTGCATCGGAAAGTCTGTGCGTGGAAGAGGCGGCAGAGGGGTGGTGCGTGTTGTATCTCGGAAACCCGGGTTAGACTGATGAGCTTTTTGCAAGCCTGCTCGCGGTCCATATATACACGGAGGACGCGCCTCTCTGTCCCTGTCTCAGCGCGGCGTTCGGGAATGATGGCGCTGACATTACTACAGGGGCTGCTCCGACGAGCAAGGGTGCCTCACCAGTAGCTGATGCATTCTCAGGACATTCGGCGCAGGGCAATTGCGTAGGCGTTTTGGCATCGCCACATACTCCTGTCAGGGTGCGACCGTCCACAGAGCGCGCGCTCGTAAGTGGCGGCGACAGATTTTACGTTCTATTGGCCGACAAACATCAGGTACGAGTCAATTGGGTAGACGTTTTGGCGTACCAGGACGAGTCTTCCCCACACTCCGCAGCCCAGCACCCACAGTAAACCTGCGACAGAACCTACCAAGTTCAACCTGTCCAGAAACAAGCATAGTAGCCACACCCCAGCCGGGCCCCAGTGCACGTTGTTATCCCAGGGTATTCTTAAAGCTAGGTTCCTTGTCGACATTCTAGATGAAGTACTAGTCAGGATCCGGGCGGACGATGCCCGCCCCTACATCATGCAACTTGTTCCGCTCGTCCTCGGTGAACAACCTCGGGGCGACCGCAGTATCAAGGACCGGCCGCTCCAGTCGACAGACAGCTGTCAGCAGCAGGCGGGAGCGTGGCCTGCTAGATCTCGCGAGCACCTACAGTTACACGTAAGACATATTCAACGATGATGATTGAGATCTACATGGTTGACTTTCGTTACAGTCCCAGGAAGATATCCGCCTATACCTACAAAGTCTTCGTCAGCCTCAACAGCAGCTTAGATGATTGGAGTGTCCTACCACAAAACGAACTGAAGGTTATACACAATCCGCGCAAATATGACCATCAGGAGTACACGGGCAGATAGGGGTGAAGCTCGCTGCTATCCCTGTCAGTCAACCATTACCTCCATATAAATTGAGGCGCTACGCACGACTGGCAACTCCACTGTCAGCAACAGGGGTCGCCGCGGTGAACGCGACAAAAATGGCGACGAGAGCGAACACCTTGCTGAGGACCTGCATCGGAGGGTTGTGTACGGGAGGTGCAGTGGAGGGGTGGTGCGTGTTCTTTTAGATTCCGTGGGACTGGCGAGTGCTGCACAAGCCTGCTGGGAGGGTACCTATATACGCGGAGGCCGCGCTTCTCTATTCCTGTCTCAGCGCGCCGTTCGCATTGACGTGACCACAGTGCCTGCTCCGACGAACAAGAGTGACTCACCGGTGGCTGATGTTTTCTCAGGACTTTCGGCGCACGGCAGTTGCGGAGGCGTTCTGACATCGCCACATACGGCTGCTGTCAGAATGCAGCCGTTCACAGAGCGCGCGCTCGAAAGATGGTGGAGACAAAGACTACGATCTATCAACCGGAAAACGTTAGGTAGAGGTGAACGGGGTAAGGATTTGGGCGTACCGAGACGAGTCTTCCCTACAATCACAGCCCGAACACTCACCGACCAGACCTGTGGCGAAACCCTGGGCTAGTAAGCCACTTCCCCGCAGACCCACCTACAGGACTGGAGAAAGCATGCATAATATCCGCACGCACCCTTGCCGTGTCTGGGGAGATATTCACCTCGTCGTCTGAAGTATTCTCAAAGCTGTGTCTCCTAACTGGTTACGCGCCGCGCAGGCTGATGCTCGCCACTGCATCATACAGCTTGTTCTCGTTGGCTTCGGCGTGTTGTGCCCGATGTGAATGGAGAGGTATGGGCGTAGCGACCAGTGTCAAGAGGGCCCTTCGTGAGAGCCGGTCGACAGACTGTCGCCCAGGACAAGCGGGAATGCGGAACACCTGCGGATACACGTAAGACACATTCAACGTGATACTTCTACATGTTTTGATTTCGTTACAGTCCCAGAAAAATATGCGCTTCTATGATCGTGATGTTATGAACTACAGCCACTCCACCGTCTGCAAGAGCCCGTCAGAAAAGACAGTCCAGAGATGATTTGGAGTGACGATGCTTACCGCCGGGGGCTTGGACGAGATATCGTACGTGACACGGTTGATGCCCGAGACCTCGTTCGTGATTCTCGACGAGATGCGGCGCAGGACCTCGGAGGGGAAGACGAACCTGAGAGCGATCAACCGGTTAGTTCTGTCCTTGAGCAGAAGACAGCAAGCAAGACTTACCAGTCGGCTGTCATGAAGTCTTCCGACTGAACGGCGCGCAGAGCGATGACCTACCGTTTATATCGTTAGTATTGCCCGTACAGTAACATATATGAGCAAGAGTACGCACCTGCTCGTACGTCCGCGCGTCACCCATGACACCGACGGCCTTCACCGGTAGGAGGACAGCGAAGGCCTGGGCAATCTGGTTGTACAGACCCGCTTTCCTGATTTCCTCGATGTAGATGCTGTCGGCCTGCTGCAGGATCTTGACCTGCTCGCGTGTGACGAGGCCCAGGATACGGATAGCGAGACCGGGTCCGGGGAAGGGGTGACGCTGAACGAGGTGGTCGGGGATGGAGAGTAGGCGGCCAAGAGCGCGGACCTCGTCTGTATCACGAGTATTCTCAGTACCAAAGGCTCTCGCCGCGATTAAGCTACGCACCTTTAAATAGCTCGCGGAGGGGCTCGATGAGCTTCAGCTTCATGTCCTTGAGCAGGCCGCCGACGTTGTGGTGCGTCTTAATCGTCGCGCTCGGGCCCTTGAAGCTGATGCTCTCGATGACGTCGGGGTAGAGCGTGCCCTGGAGCAGCCACTCGATCTTGCCCTTCGCCGCCGCACCCTGGGCCTCCTCCGCCTCCGCGGCAGCCTCCAACTTCTTCGCCTCTTCCTCGAAGACGTTGATGAAGGTGTTGCCGATGATTTTGCGCTTCTGCTCAGGGTCCTCGACGCCCTCGAGGCGGGATAGGAACAGGTCCGACGCGTCGACGACGGTCAGGTTGACGCCGAGGTCCTTGTTGAGCATCTCGTGTACTTGCTGCGCCTCGTTCAGGCGGAGCACACCATTGTCGACCATGATGGCGTGGAAGCTGAGCAAAAAGAGGGACGTTAGTGAAGGCGTGGGCGGTCGGTATGGGTGAACTAACCGGTCGCCGATAGCTTCATGCATAAGCTTCGCAGCGACGGTGCTGTCAACACCGCCGCTGACGGCGCCGATGACACGACCTGTCGGTCCGCAAATCTCGCGGATGCGCGAAATCTCCTTCCCAATGAACTCGTTCTACAAGAAATTCAGACAGGTTTTATTGCAGCATAAACTAGCGCCTTACCATCGTCCAGTGTTGTGCGCTTCCACAGATGTTAATGACAAATCTGGAGATGACTTCCTTGCCGCGTTTTGAGTGCGTCACTTCGGGGTGGAATTGGATGCCATAGAATGGCTTTGAGTTGTGGGCGATGGCGGCGAATGGCGCGGTCTTCGTGCGGCCGATGATGTGGAAGTCAGGAGGCAGCTCCGAGAGCTGGTCTCCGTGCGACATCCATACCTGCGATGGGATGAGTACTCGAAGACACGCCTGTGGAAAGGTTGTGCATACCTGGAGCTCCTCTCCGAGATCCTGGAAGAGGGCGTCTGCGCCGGTGCTTTCGCCGCCGATCTTGGAAATCTGGACCTGCGCGAACCCGTATTCACGGTGGTCGCACTTCGCGACCTTGCCCTTCATGTTCCATGCCATTTCCTACTTTCTCCACCATCAGGAGCAGCTCTCTGGCTATAAGTCAGAGATTGAAACGCACCTGAAGGCCATAGCATATACCGAGGACCGGGACGCCGAGTTCGAAGACCGCCGGGTCGACATGAGGCGCGTCCTTGTCGTAGACGCTGTATGGCGAGCCAGACAGAATCACGCCTACGGGCACTCATCAGCCCGCGTCATTCGTGGCGAGATAGGTCACGGACCCTTCGGCTTGAAGTTGAGATCCTTGATCTTTTGGGTGCATGGCATGAGCTCGGCGTAGACGTTCAGTTCACGACATCTTCTGGTGATCAGATGGCTGTACTGCGATTGGGCTTTAGTGATGTTCGCGCCAGCTTCACGAGACTCGTACTTGTGAGCCAAAGTCGAGAATCAGAATGGTATCAAACTGGTCGTGAATTTCAGCCATGGTGGAGGAGGGAGAGTGGGAGGTGGGTCGGGAAGGAGACGAAGGCGTAGGTTCTATAGCTTGCCCGGCCGGAGGAGTCAAGGATGAAGACAATTTGCCGATAAGATAGACGCCCAATATCCATTATGGGCGCTTTGTCGGTTGTGCTTCCTCTTCCCGACCGTCAGTCTACTAGAGTCTCTCCCTCGTCTCCCTTCCTGCTCTTCGTCGACATAACAGCACCTCTATGGATCCCGTCCCGTCCCCAATGTACTATTTGCAGATCTATCACAGCTCTCCTCGAAGCTGCTATCTTGCCTCTGGTCCTATCTTGTCTACAACCTCTATCTTGCGCTATCACTCTGTGCGGGACTGTCTGAAGTTTCTAGCGACGGATGAACGATACTGGAGCTGTATAACTCAACATATCCTGCGTGGTCGCGATTTTCGAGCCTTTCTTGGTCTACTAGTGTGCAGTACGAGCGCTAGCGTTATCAGGACCCGGGCCATAGCACGGTACCTTTTACATGTCGCCCAAACACATTCATGACCCCGTCACGATGCATCTTTAGTCATAACTTCGACCGTCCTCGCTGCTTGACCGAAATTAACACGATATAGGGCCATGGTGAGCGAGAGTTACGGTGAGCGAACCGTCTTCTTTTAGACATGGCGACGAACGTCCGTGTCTTCTTCGCATGTGGGTGCATACGATGGTGCTAGGGTGCGTCGTAGACGCGTTCACCCCCGTAGGCCGGTCGTGACCGGTTGACTGACGAAGCTTGACTTGAGACGAACAGTATTGCTGGCTATAGCCTTTCGAGGCTATTATTTGCGCCCGTACTGGGAGCTCATCATCACTGGCACGCCCGTCTGGCCTCCGTCCGCCGTAAGAGACGTGCTGCTTAGTCGTCAGTGCCTGGCTTTTGACGTGCGTTTTTCAAATATGCCTCTACCAACCGCAGATCTGGACGTGAAACGCCATCCATGATCAGGCGACGAGACGGGTGTTGTGGATCGACCCGCATTACTGACTTCTCCGAGCGTCCTATAGTCACAGTGTGCGCCCATGCGAGGATCCAGACGCCTTCTGATTTCATACGTCTTGATCATCATCCACATCGGTGCTAAGTCTCGTTCAGGGGTGTCTCTCCGAGTAGAGCACTGCCTTCATAGTAGACCTCGCTATAAGAATTGAGGATGCTACTGCTGAAGTGGACCAACTTCTCACTACATCCTCATCATGTCCGTCGTCGTCCGCGAAGTTACAAACCCCTCAGGTACGCCACTGCGTCCGACCGTTACAACTCGCATGCTTACTAACTAGGCTCTAGAGGCTGATCTCGCCCAATACACCAAGGTTCTTGCCGAGGCGTTCGGGTACCGTCCGTAGTATTCTTATCCAGCAAATGGTCTTGAGCTTGTAGCTCATGCGCAATGACACCAGAATTCTTCGGCACCGCGCTTGGTGGAGACAGAAGCCTGCAGGAACCCACGCTCCTCGCTCAGATCAATGCCGCACTTGTCAACGGAGAGGGAGAGGTCCATGTCGCCGAACTACCCGAGGTAGGAGTGGTTGGCGTGGCAGTTTGGTAAACGATAATCTGTTCTAGTTGTCCGATTCGCTACTCATCTCCAAACAGGTTTGGCCCTGGTCAAAAGTTCCTGACGTCGTAAGTGAACCTTACGGTGCTGTGCAGGTTACTCCCTCACCCTGGTCCAACATTGCAGGGAGGCTCAGCACAAAGCAGGTTGGGACCAGGTTATGGAGCGTCTGCCCGCTGAGTACCGGGAGTGGTGGGACACGGTTGGTCATATATTGCATCCCATGCTGCTCTCAAGCTCACGCCAAAACTATAGTTTCTGGTAGACTACGACGCACTTGTTGAGAAGTCCTTGGGCCCTGGCGTCAAAGTCGGGAGCTATCACCTCCAGCTGCTCGGTACGGCTCCGGACCATCAGCGGAAGGGTGTGGCCAAAGCACTCACCCAGTATGGAGACGCTAAGGTGCGACTCTGATAAACTAACTTTGGGTGGAATTGGGCTGATTGATATGCGTGCGCCAGGCCCGTGCTGCTGGTGTGTCGTCCGTTCTGGAAACAGTAGGGCCCACGAACGTATGGACCAGAGCTATCCCTATACGATCATGGTAAACGTCGCTGACTCTGGCGACAGGTTTCCATCTATAAAGCTCTCGGATATGAAGTCGCGGGGTCAGGGCCCATCAAGGTCCCTCCTCCCGCCGCGGGGGGCAGCTTCGAGATGTCTGTGATCATCAAACACACTGAGGTTGAAGGGCTCCAGGCGTGATTGTGACATACGTGCGTACTATCTATGTCTTTGGTAACGGAACGGGACTCGGGGACAGATATATTGCGTATGGACTATGTACTGTCAATCCAATAAACTATGGCTCAACGGAAGACATCGAGTGGGCGCATAGAACACGTTCGGGGTACGCCTTGGGCTCTATATGTACTGGGTTCGAAATTTAGCATTCTCAAGCAATAATCTGCTCTGTCCGTGGGTGAAACCAGCACTAAGATTATGACTTCCGCCAGCCCTGGAGGGCGGTGAGTAGCCTCGAGGCAAATGGCTAACCGCTCATATGTGGGCGCTTGCCTAAATGGGATCGACCGGCCTGCTTGGCGCTTCGTCCTCGAGGCCACAGCGACATCCTCTCCTCCTCCCACAACTTACGGTCCCAGCACCGTACCCCATCAAACGCGAACCCCGGCGTTGTACTGTATACTATAGCGACTCGTCATGGGTCAGTGCTCGCCACCCCATCGCACTACCCCTACTGATCGTGTGGTTGTTCACAGGTATTCCGAAGGTTAGTACCGAAATATTGACGTCTTCGCTTGCGCTCACTAGTCTGGCTACAGTTCTTCAGATATATCTCGTGCGTGCACTTTATAAGATACATAAGCTGTCTCTGATATCCCTTCAGGGAGCGATACCCCCTCACATCGCAACTAATTGAGGAGAACAAGATTCCGGAGTTCGGTGTGCTGCTTTCCTTGTTGTTCCTTTGCCGGTGGCTAAGATCGTCCTCAGACAACCTTTATGTCGACTTCAACGGAATCATCCACAACTGCACGTGTCCACGACTCTCCCCACCTCCCATCCGCGCTCACATAGCTTGCAGGCTCCCACCCCAACGACGAGGACGCACATTTCCGACTATCCGAAGCACAGATTTTCACGTCCATATTCGCATATGTCGACCATCTCTTCGGCAAGATCAAGCCTAAGAAACTGTTCTTCATGGCGATCGACGGCGTCGCACCTAGGGCGAAGATGAACCAGCAGCGTAGCCGTCGCTTCCGGACAGCGAAGGAGGCGAAGGAGGTCAGAGAGAAAGCAGAGCGAAAGGGAGAGAAGCTGCCTGAGGAGAAGGCATTTGACAGCAACTGTATCACACCGGGTGAGTCTCCACGCGTGGCGTAGTAGCGGGCCTCTCATCCGCGCTGCGTCCCAGGCACGGAGTTCATGGCACGGCTGTCGCAGCAGCTGCGCTACTTCGTGAACAAGAAGATTTCAGAGGATTCAAACTGGAGGGACGTCACGGTGGTGCTGTCCGGGCACGACGTCCCCGGAGAAGGCGAGCACAAGATCATGGAGTACATCCGTCTGTCCAGGGCACAGCTGGATTACGACCCCAATGTGCGGCACTGTCTGTACGGCCTAGACGCCGATTTGATCATGCTGGGTCTGCTGAGCCACGACCCTCATTTCTGCTTGCTGCGGGAGGAGGTAAAGTTCGGGCCGGCCTCGAAAAGCAAGAGCAACAAGAGGTGCGCGTCTTACAATTGACCAGTATCAGCTGCGGTGGCCCTAACAGATTTCGCTGCAGTCTCGAATCCATCAACTTCTACCTTCTACATCTCGCGCTGATGCGAGAATATCTGGACCTGGAGTTCCATGACATCGAGCCCGTGCTGCCGTTCGCCTACAATCTCGAGCGCGTTATTGACGACTTTATCCTTCTGGCTGTCTTCGTCGGGAACGATTTCCTGCCGAATTTGCCGGATTTACACATCCACGAGAATGGGTTGGAGAAGTTGTTTGACGTGTACAAGAAGTCATTGCCGACACTTGGTGCGTACGACTCTAACCAAAGCGACCTCCCATACTGATCCCCATTGCAGACGGCTATATCAACGAGAGCGGGACCATCAACACGAAGCGGTTGCAGGTGATCCTGGACGAGATGGCGGAGTGGGAGCGCGAAGTATTCGAGAAGGAGTATGCCAACGTGAATTGGTTCAAGGGCAAGCAGGCGAAGCACGTGAAGGAGATGGAGATGGGTCGCAAGCGCTCACAGCTTGGTACGTCGCGTAATTGCTTTCTGTGGAATGCCACTTACTTAGAGGTACTCGCAGTCTTGACCGCATCACAGCGGAAGATCTTCGATCAGGTGAAGGCGTTCGTGCACGAGCGGAGGAAACTGTCGGCGGCCCAGCAAGCCTCGCAGCCGCCCCTTACGATGCCGAACACCTTCGCGGCGCGGGATAGAGAGTTCATCACCCGCCTCGCGGATGACATGCATCTCTCGATCACGTGGGACGAATACGATGAGGACCAGAACCTTGTGACCTGGCGGTTCCCGGGGCAGTTGGAGGAGCCTATACCAGAAGATGGGGACGCGGGCGAAGCAGACGACGAGGAATGGGAAGATGAGGAAGAGGAAGAAAGCAGGATTGCGGTTGATCGCGTGCTGAACAAGTACGAGAAGGCGAAGGTAGCGGAGGAGGACAAGGAGGGCGACTTCGACGCGCGATACGAGCTGTCTATCAAGGAGAAGATGGACGAATGGAAGAGGGGATACTACAAGGTATATATTGCGGTTTAGTTGTTCTGCTTTGAGCTCACCCGTTCGCGCAGGGGAAACTTGAGATATCCTATGACGACCCGAAGGATATGGGCGATCTCGTCTACAAATATGTCGAGGGCCTGCAGTGGGTCATGTACTACTACTATAGCGGCGTCGCATCGTGGAGTTGGTTTTACAACTACCACTATGCCCCGCGCATTTCGGGTGGGTTTAAGCTAACTCTTATCCGTGTTGCGTTTGGCTGAATACCTTTTTGCACAGACTTGACGGGCGTCGACCAGATGTCCTTCAATTTCGACCTCGCCAGGCCCTTCCACCCATTCGAGCAATTGATGGGCGTTTTGCCGGAAGCGAGCAAGGAGCTCATTCCGCCAGCATACAGGGTTCGTGCGACCTCGTATGTATGGCGCTACTTTAAGAAAACTGACACACGCTCTTCAAAGGACCTCATGTATGACCCGAATTCGCCCATCCTGGACTTCTATCCGGTGGAGTTCGAGCTCGATCTCAACGGGAAGAAGCAAGATTGGGAAGCCATCGTCAAGATCCCCTTCATTGACGAGCAGAGACTATTGAAGGCGATGTCCTGTGAGCGGTACCTACCCTGGACGTAGAGCCATGCTAATGTTATATCCAGCGCGTGAACATCGGCTTACGGCGGATGAGAAGCACCGCAACTCTTTCGGGACGAGCACCAAGTTCACCTATACTCCTGGCCAACCAACCGAGTATCCGTCATCACTTCCCGGCTTCTTCCCCACGCTCTACCAGTGCTTCTGCAAGATGGAGCCTTTCGATTTGCCGACTCTCAACGGGTTGCATCTCATCGAAGGTCTCTGTGAAGGTGTCCACCTCGGTGCGGAGGCATTGGCGGGCTTCCCGTCGCTCCAAACGCTACCGCACACGGCTTCGTTGGGTCACCACGGTGTCAACGTGCACGGCTCGGAGAGTCGCAACAAGTCTATGATCGTGCACATCGACAACGCGCATGAGCACAGGAAAGTCGCGGACATCGCGCAGGAGATGATCGGCAAGCGGGTGTTCCACAACTGGCCTTTCCTGCAGGAGGGCATGGTCTCCGCAATCTCGGACTCGCTGTTCATGTACGAGAAACTCTCGATGTTCCCAGGGAAGCCGGCGAAGGTAGTATCGAACCCGCACACGCCGCAAGGCTTGGGGCTGTGGAAGAGCAAGGCGGAGAAGATCGAGCGGTACTACTCGAAGCGGTGCGGTGTCATCACTGGCAACATCGAGGTCATCCTCCATGTGCGCCCCTTGAAAGGTCGGCAATAGACCTCAATGGTTTCTGGGTGTTGCATTGCTGATGAACGTTTGCAGGATTGAAGCGTCTCGACAACGGTGCATTTGTCAAGGACTACGAGGAAGCGGACAAGGAGGTCGAGCAGGCCGTTCAGATGGCCGTTTCGGAGGTCTTCTCAGAGGACCCACGGTTCGTCGAGAAGGAGCCCCCTCCGCTCTCTGAGGAGTTCCCCGAAGGCAGCAAGGTGTTCTTCCTCGGAGAACACGCCTACGGCGTCGCTGCCCAGGTATCAGGCACCACGGACGACGCACTGTCCGTTGTTCTGGTGGTACGTGCCGTAAACATCTCCCTTGCGCGAATTTCGAGCTCAATCCCCCTTCACGTAGTTCTTCCCGTCGGAGAAGACCGAAAACGAAAAGTTCAAGGGCGTGGTCGCGAACCGCCTCCAGAATCGGTACTTCCCGTCGTTCAAGGTGTCGGAGATGCTGGGGCTGTCCACTCGGGCGCTGTCGAAGATCACGTCGAGCTTCATGGTCGTCAGTGCGGATGGCAACAAGAACAACCTCGGCCTTAGTCTGAAGTTCGAGGGCAAGGGCCTCAAGGTCATCGAGTACTCGCGCAAGGATGGCCGTTACTGGGAGTTCAGCCAGAAGGCTGTCGAGCTCATCCGGGAGTACAAGGTGACCTCTTTCGCTTCAAATAAGGCCGTGGACAGAAGTCTGATTCCTTGTTGTAGGCCAAGTACCCGGAGGTCTTTGATGTGCTAGACCGAGGAGGTGACGGTAAGTTTGTGCATCTCACGTCACAGGCTTCCCGCTCAACATTATGTTCAGCGATGGTCAAAGCCCACGATGTTTTCGGAGACGCTCCTAACCCCGACGCCAAGGCAAAGGAAGTTAAGACGTGGCTCAACAGCAAGGGTGTCCGTGACTTCGAGCCGGTATCTCTGTTCTGCGATCAGCTCGGCAAGGTACGTCTGCTCAGTCATGTGGTGATTTATATCCTAACGTCCGTTGTGCGCAGACTACCGTCAAGGAGATCGAAGCGCTTGCGGATAGCTTCACGGCGAGCAAGTCCGCCACGAACATCAAGAAGGCGATCGTTAAGGGCATCCCTCGCCAGGCCGTCCTCAAGCCGTCCCACGCCGTCTATCGTCTGCACAACCAACACTTTGCACTGGGCGACCGTGTGATCATGGTCCAGGACTCGGGCAGCGTACCGCTCTCGTTCAAGGGCGTTGTCGTCGGCATGAACGCGAAGTCCATGGACGTCATCTGGGACGCGCCGTTCATGTCCGGCTCCACGCTCGGCGATAGGTGCTCACAGTACCGGGGCTCGACTGTAGAGTTCTCGTCCTGCTTGAACTTGACCAACCCCCAGTTTGTCGCGTCGACGAACCCGCAAGCGCCCACCCAGCAGCAGCCGCAGTCGCCCTTCAAGCCACGCTTTGGGCCTCACCCGTCTGTGCGCCCTCCTCCTGGTCAACAACCCGCTGCCGGATTTAGGCCTGCTCCGTACGTTCAGTCGAGTCGTTGTATTGCATCGCAGCTGACTAACGATCATTTCAGCCAACATGCCAATGGCAATGACTCCAGGTCGAACGGTGCCAGCCAAGGCGCTCCCGTACACATCATGACCAACCCCAACCGTGGGCGCGGTGCTTCGCGCGGTGGTCCCCCTACCGCCGCTGTTCCCCATGTGCAAGCTCCGAACGGCAACGCTAACGGACAAGCGAAGACCGTACCTCCACAGAACGCGCCTATTGCGAACGGCAACGGCTTCGACCATGCTGCCCGCGGTCGTGGTCGTGGCCGCGGCTTCGAGGGGCGCAATGGCTTCGCCCCAGGCCGGGGCGGCATGTACGCTCAACCGGCTCGCGGCCGCGGATTCCCGCCTGGGGTCGAGCGCGGTCGGGGCGGGCCACCGCGCGGCGGCGGACGCGGCGGACGGGGGAGAGGCCAGGTCCCCGCGTGAGGTGTACTCGATCTGTGAGAAGGACCTGCACTACGAGCTGCGTGCTTAATATCTCGTATCCTAGTCACCATGTATAAGAGTCCGCCTGCGGGGCGTTGTCCGTCGCTTTCGTCTGCTGATCTGCTTTCGATCTGTATTGTAGAGCGTCCTCGGGAAATGTGAAGTCGGATGGACTGTATACTACGCATTCTCGTTTTGCACGCTTCGGCGCAATGGAATGTGCGACTCCAGCAATGTTACCTGCTGCGAATCCAGAAACAAACCAACAAGTAGGGTTTGAGCTCGAGGCTAACGCCCGTTGAAGCTCGCATCTCTCCGTGTACCGCTTGCAATTAGATGCTCCTAGTCCCTAGATAAGATGGACCGTCTAACCTAGTATGGCCTCTGAGTTCTCGTTGCCTTTGCCCACAACATTCTCGCGAAGAGAGACTATGCGTGTGGCAGTGTCACGGTGGCGAGAGCAAATTCTGATCGGGACGTGAAGCTGCGCCACATCTTGTCTCTTGTCCTGAACCACGACAATCGCCCTCCTCGTGAAAATGCCTCCACGCAAGAAGAAGCGGACCAATAGCAACCCAACAAATGTGCCTCGACGTTCCACGAGGGCGGCCGTACGAGCCGTCCACGATAATGAGGGCATCCGCCCGACCGGCGTCGCAAACCAGCAGGAATACTCGGGAGACGACTCGGATTTAAAGTCGACAGGACCCGCTAGAGTGCCCTCTACCCTGTCGTCCCCCCACTCTGACGTCGTCGCGTCGCGCCGTTTCTCGATACTTACTCTGAACTGGTAGGACTATATCACTGCTGCACAAGCCCTTTCTGCTCATTTCGACGGTATGGGTGTCCGGCATGCCTATATAGACGGGTTCGCTTTGGCATGTATAGGCAGCAACCGTCCGGTCAAGATGAGTAATTGGTCGTGTGCGGTGCGCCATGTAAGCAGTCGAGAGCTGACTTCACCGCGTTTCTACGGTATAGATGTGCTCATAATGGGCACGCCCGTCTTCGGCTTACGAGACAGCGTTGTGGACCTCGACCTTCATCTCGGAGATGATGATCTGCAGCTCACCTTCTTCTACACCGCTGAGGTACGTTAAGCGCAGTTCATAGGCGGGACGGGCAGTACTATGCTGTCCTGACCTCACGCGTTGCAGCACATATTTATTGCAACTTGCAATGCTGACACCAATTCAGGAGAATGACGAACACATCTGGAACAGTCCTCATGTTCACATCTCCACTATGCGCGCGAGTGAGGCGGGTTTGCCGTTGTCTATCTCCGGAAGCTCAAGTCGGACCTAAGCGACATCCACTTCATCATCGAGTGGCTTGCGGGAAGGCGACTGCGCATACGCTTTCGTCAGTACGTGGGCATGGCCAAGCTCGAGCTGCTCGCGGTGATCCGACGATACCACGACAAGTACATCGACGACGTCGACCACATGGACAAACTCCGAAGCATTATGCCTAGGGACTGGGACGTCATGCTCTCTCTCCCAGAGACGAACACCCCTCCGTAGGCATCCTCTTCGTCATTCACACGGTCCAAACCCCGTCAACGGCAGGTATGTGTTCTACTTCGATGCACCATAGCTCAGCACTAATATAACTTCAACTTAGCATTTGGCCTCTGGCCCTCAACCTACAACACGCTCCGCGCCAGCGACAGCATCTTCGGTAGGTCGGTAAGCGCGCCTTACCGTCCTGCTGCTCCATTTTCATGTAGTCGTGCCTGCCCCTCAGCGACAGCTCCGACGCCCTTTGTCGCTGGCGGATAGGGCACGATCGTATGAAGGCGGTTCGCCTACCTCACCCGACGCCCTAGACGTACGAGTCGGGAGGCGCACAGCAGGAGCCAGGACGTTTCTGCATGATTTGTTTCTATTGGCTGGTCTTCCGCTTGTAACGAGTCTAATCAGCCGGGAGTGGGGGCTGGATATATGCAAGGGATCAGGCTGTATTACACGCGCTGCATCCCAGTGGAGCAGAGTATCAGAGTTACTACATACGCCGAGCTCGCACCAAGTTCGCATTTATTCCGTTTATCACTTGATTACATTCATACGCAAACTGTACCTGGCTCGGGCGCTCCGCTACGCTGCATGTACTTTACGTCGTTCTCTGCGCAATTGCACACCGCACGTTGGTACTGTGCCAAACGCGCCTTCGATTCTCTTACACAGAATACTTACAACATCTGGGACCCTCTCTCACAACTCTCAATGTTGATATAATGGTACAAGTCAATGTGATCATATGTTTGAACATGAGTACAGTCGCTTGCTTGCGGGACTAGCGCCCACTACACAGTTTGTCTTAGCCCACCATGGCTCACATACCGCTTGAGATTGTGGACCTCATGCTCGGAAATTTCACCCATGACATCGGATCTTTCAACTTCTCCCATCAAAGCCAAAGAACGCTCGCATCCTGCGCTCTTGTCTGTCACTCTTGGAGACCATTCGCCCAAAACCGACTTTTCGAGGAGCTGCGGCTGGACATCCGATTTGGCAGACCTCTCGACCAATTGGTCACATTTCTCGAGTCCTCGCCGCACATAGCGACAGCCATACGTTGCCTGTATATTTACTCCTACAATCCCCGATCCTCTCTGGCCGATGACTACGAGAAATCTCATCCCGAAGACAAGCGCAAAGAGCTCCAGGTGTCCCCCGTCCTCCTCATGAAAATTGCGGCCCAGTTATCCTCCAGCGCTCATCTGAGATTGGAGACATTCACCCTGCTCGGCTGGCCCTCCGACACACCCCTTCCGACAGCACCTGTTCGACTACATATACTCGCGCTCTGCGGTCTGGTGTTCAAACCCTTTCTAAGCCCTGAGACGGCTTCTTTCGATCTCACCAGCCTCTTCGATCTTGACGAGATCCACTTCGTAGGCGGAGGGATGCGTGCCACGACGGACATCGCTCGGATACTCGACGTGCTCGTTCTCCCTGTCGCTACGCGCCCGGTCGCACGGAGCGTCCACTTCCTTGGCTCCGACTGCTTTGCGGCCATTAATATCCGGTGCGGGGGCTTCGACCTTGGACATCTCAAGAGCGTGGTGTTCTCCTTGAGAGACATCGCCTCGTTGAAGTTCGCCTCCGTGCTGCTCCGTTTCCAGGGAGGCGGGATACGCGATGTCCACTTGAAAGTCTCTTATGACATCTCGGATGCGCGGCAGGGAACCAGTGAGTGCTGAGTCCTCGCGGTCACCACACGCTCTGTATCGTTAACGGCTGACGGCAATGCGGTACTCAGGCCTCTGGGGCACTTTAGACATAGCGGCGTGCACCCACCTCGAGTCTCTGTGTTTTGAGTGGCACCACGTGGGCACCGCATACGGAGCGCTGGACCAAGACTTGAACGCATGCGACAGGATCACCGCCATCCTCGCGTCCACGCCGCAGGGCCTCCGCAGGCTCACTTTCTTCCTGCCGTACGCGCAAACTCCGGAAACCCTGGGAGATACCCTACAATGCCTGGCTCCGCGGATCGACCAGGCCGTCAGCAGGTTTCCGGGCTTGAAGACAATTACTGTGATGGCGACGCGATCGTTTGCGGCGGAGGAGTGTATGAATGTCGTGCGAGGCACGCTCCCAACGAGGCTCTTGGATAACGGGGTGCTGCAAATTGAGCACAAGCCCTTTCGTTTCTGTAAGTTATGAACACTTTTCCGCGCATATCGAAAGCGAACTAACGGGTTATTCAGGATGTATACCAAGGGGAGAGTATGTAAGACTTATACCACTGTCCGTGTGTCACAGCGCATACAACCGGCCGGGCGGCACAGTAGTGATTCACCGAAGCCAGGTGGTTCGGCAATTGAGGTGAGAGTAGGTACTGTCAGCGAGATGCTCACTGGCAGCTGACCGCTAACTCTCCGGTGCAACCTGATAACCCTTAAACTGTCCGGGCTCACCCCACACATTTTCCCGGACACCCTGCCCTGCCTTTCATTGAACACGCTTGGGACGTCGTAACCTCCCCGGCAACAAGTACCATATTATTGTCGCATTTTAGGTTTGAGGTGATGCCTGATCGTGGTGAATATTCCACCAACCGACTGTCAACCGTCGATGTTAACAAATGCGACATCCTGATTAAAAGTGTACCAGTCGCACGAATCATATAAGGGCCCGTTTATACTAGTCCACCACGAACGTCATGGTTTGCTTCTAATAACACTGAATACAGACCATGTTGACAAGCATAGGCGGCGTCGCACTCGAAATAGCCTGGAGCAGGAGAGTTACGGATGTATGGCAGCCCCTACATACATGTTTCAAAGAAAATGTCGTGCGCCGAGAATTGTCATGGACTCACAGCGCTAGCATCCGCACACGTTGTACACAATCGCCCGCGCAGGATCCTATGGCCCCAAAACATGGACTGGACTGGAGATATTGTATACAGTAGGATGATATCTTTACAACACGTTGTGGAATTCCCCCTCAGCGTACATTCTGAAGGCTCGTTAATTCGCTTATCGCACGCACAGAAAGGTGATCATAACTTACAGAAACGAACCTAACAGTGCATGTCCTCGATCTGCAGCACCCCGCTATCCAAGAGCCTCGTCGGGAGCGTACTGCGCGTGATGTTGATACACTCCTCGGCCTCAAACGACCGCGTCACCCTCACAGTGACTGTCTTCAGTCCGTGGAACTTCTTGACGGCCTGGCCGATCAGCGGAGACAGACATCGCAAAGCATTGTCCAGGCTATCCGGTTGTTGCATGAACGGCAGGGAGAACGTAAGCCTGAGGAGGGTCCGCGGCGTGGTCGCGAGGATAATAGCGATTCTCTTGCAAGCATGGAAGTCTTGCTCCTGCGTCCCAGGTATTATGCCCATGTGATGCCAATCGAAACACAGGGACTCGAGGTTAACGCACGCTGCTATCTCGAGAGTGCTCCAGAGGCCTGAGTGTCGCATTGTCATCAGCCCCTAGCATCGATGATAAGCGTGCGAAGACGACGAAGACTCACTGGTTCCTTGATGCGGGAAGCCGTATGAGACGTCCAAGTGGACATCGCATATGCCGGCCCCTTGGACACGAAGCATCATCGAGGCCAACTGCAGCGAGGCGAGGTCTTTCAGGGAGAACACAACCCTCTTCAGGTGCTCTGGATCGAAGCCTCCGCATTTGACGTTGCAGGCCGCGAAGAGGTCGTAACCAAGGAAGTGGACGCTCCGTGCGATCGGACGCATAGCAAGGGGTAGAGTGAGTACGTCGTGCTTCCGCGCAGCGTCTATCGTGGAAAACAATCGTCCGCCAACGACGTGAATTTCGTCAAGCTCGAAGAAGCTAGTGAGGTCGAAAGAGACAGTCTGAGGCTTTAGAAAAGGTTTGTACGCCAGATTGAAGAGCCCGAGAATACGAAGTCGAACAGCTGTCGTCGGAAGAGGAGTGTCACTAGGCCAGCCGAGTAGGGTGAATTTCTCCAGTTTCAGATGAGCCCTGGGGGATAACTGGGCCGCGACTTTCAGGAGGAGGACGGGAGACACCTGGGGGTCTTCAGGCTTGCGCGCAGCACCGAACCTGTCGGAGGAAACGGCTAGAGATGACCTGGTTATGAAGGTGTGTATATACAGAAAACATATGGCTGCCGCTATGTGCGGCGAAGACTCGAGAAACGCGAGGAATTGGTCGAGGGGCCTGATTTTGATGTCCAGCCACAGTTCCGCGAAAAGTCGTTTTTGGGCGAATGGTCTCCAGGATTGACAGACGAGAGAGCAGGTGGCAAGAGTTCTTTTGTGGGGATAGGGGGAGTTAAAGGCTCCTGCGTGGTAGGTGTTTTCGAGTATGAGGTCCGCAATCTCGTGGGCCATGGTGCATGGTGGGCTAAAGCAAACCACAGTGGGCGCTAAGAGAAGTACGCTCAAGGATTGGCTCAAGATTGGCTACGACAGCATACAGGGTGTGCTCACGTACTCAAGCTTCAAGTCTCTTTGGGCTCGCAAGACCGCTGTTGTAGCAGTTCCCTGTGGTCCTCGATATCTCACACTCCGGTCAAGGAGCCAGATTTTCCAAATCTTGGAGGAACTACAGGATCGCTACATCGACGAGGGAGCGCGCGGCCTTAGTAGACATTCTGAGTACTCGCGTATAACGAAGGTAACGCCATGTAAACGGGTGCCAGCGCGGAAACATATAGACAGAATATAACACGATGAAAGCGAGAGCGGACAAGGTGGACGTCGACAACAGTCCTTACTTGCGCGCAGGATATCTTGAAGCAGCATCGGAGATTGCCGAATCACACTGCTTGAAGCAAATCTATCTGCGATTAGCCGCTGCACTCGTACTGCATCTTAGTCTATACACTCTCCTCTCTCCCTCTCCAAATTACCCGCTCTCGCGCGTTGCAAGATGTCTGACTGGGGTATGGACCTCCACCAATGCGATCCCATAACCGCCGCTCACCATGGCAAGGAGTGCAGAAGCGTCCGACGACGATGTGCCCAAGGCCGCCGCCGCACCCGCTGCCCCCGCCCCGAAGAAGCCCGTCCGGAGCAAGTGGGAGGGTGAAGACGAGGAGGACGATGGCCCCGTAGTGCGTTCATCACACACCCTTGACTTTACGGTACACCCGATCTCACCGTGCCTTACCTATCACCGATCAGAGCGACTGGGAGGCAGAGTCCTCGGAGGAGGAGGAAAAGCCAAAGGCGGCGCCCGTCGCGCCCCCGAAGAAGAAGGGCACGCTCAAGCAGAAGCTCGCAGAGAAGGAGGCCGCGAAGGCCGCGCGCGCGGCCGAGGGTGACGACGACGACGAGTACGACTCGGATGCGGTGCTCGACCCGCGCGAGAAGGCGCGCCGCGACAAGGAGCGCGAGCTCGCGGCGGACCTGAACAACGCGGCAGAGCTCTTCGGCTCCGCAGCGCTGGGCGGTGCGTCCCGCTCATCTACCATGCGCACTCTAAATATTAAGCATCCATACGATTCACAGGCACGTCCTCGAAGGAGCTCGACTGGCTGATCTCGGCGCAGCCGCGCACGAAGGAGGACTTCATCGAGTTCTCGGACCGGCTCATCGAAACGATCGTGCGGCGGCACATGGACAAGCCGCTGTACGCGACGTTCCTCGAGCACCACGCCCGCGCGCTCGCGGACCCGCTGCGCGACGTCGAGGTGCGCAAGGTCGCGAGCGCGCTCACCACGCTCTCGAACGAGAAGCAAAAGGAGCAGCGCGACAAGGCGTCCGGCAAGAAGAAGCCCAAGGCTACGGCGAAGCCCGCGCTCGGCGCTGCGAAGCCGTCTAGCAAGTGCGTATCCCTCCGTGGCGGGACTTGTGCGCAGGGAATTGATACTGACATCGGCTTGCTTTGTAGGATCGATACGAAGATATACGACGAAGCCCTGGACGACTTCGGCGACGACAACTTCATGTAGAACATGTCCTTGTGTCATACCCGCACACAGCTGTAGCGTAGCGCATGTTGTAGTCTTACGTCGTAGTCAAACCAAAGATGTATTCTGACCTCCCCACACTTCAGTCCCTTCCAATTGGTGGGCGAGCACTCTTCGGCCGATCATCGTATCTCTGCATACTAGTCAAAACAAGCAGTCTACTGACAACATTGCTACATAAGGATCCTACTCGTCTCCGCCCTCACCGTCATCATCCTCGCCGCTGCTGTCCTCGTCGTCCGTCCCGACGCTGATGACACCACCGCCGGGCTTCTCCTTCAGCACCTTGCCCGCCTGCGCGACCTTGGGCCCGAGCACCTTCCGTGCGTTCTGGTTGGCGCCGACGTCCCAGATCTGGAGCTTGGCTTTTGAGCCCGCGGCCGCGAGCGTGAGCGGGTCGTCTGGCGACCACACGGTCGAGAAGATCTTGCCCTGCAGAACAAACACGTTAACAATTGCATGCAACGTTTCAGTAGGGTAGAGACACGCACCACGCCGAGGTCGCGGGAGGTGACAAGGCTGACTTGGCGCTTGCCGAGGTCCTGGTCCTCCGTGACGTTCCACACCTTGACGATCTTGTCCGTCCCGCCGGTGGCGATGATGCCCCGGACGTGGGGGTTGATGTCGAGTGCCGATACCGCGCCGTCGTGCGCCGAGAGGGTGAACCGCGCGGGCGAGGGCAGGCTCAGGTCCGATGGCAGCGTCCGTGCGTCGAAGTTTAACACGAGACCGTTTTCCAGCGAGACCTAGCGGGCGAACTTCAATCGTTGTGGTCGTAAGGAGTTGTTGAGAAAGTGCTCACGTAGAAACTGTGGGTTTCCCAAGGATCCCACCGTAACGCCTCGACATCCGCGCCGACCACGGCACCCACCCCCGCATCCGGCGCTCTCGAGTCGAACGTCCGTACGGTCCGATCGTAACTACCCGTGAGCAGCACAGTCGGGTCCGCCTGGTTCCACTCCACGGCCTGCACCTTGTCCTTGTGCACGTCGAAGCTCCGGAGCGCACCCTGACCCTCCCCCTCCCCATTGATCGTCGGGTCGCGCGTCAGATCCCACAGCTTCACCGTGCGGTCCGCGCTCGCGCTCGCGAGCAGATTCCGGTGCGTGCGGTTCCACGACAGGCCGAGCACGGCGTCGACGTGGTGCGCGGACGATGCAGCCCGCGCCTTCGTCTTTTTGCGCTTTTTCTTGCCCGTCCCAAGCGGGAGCGGGATGTGCGCGGCGGTCTTGTCCGGGCGGCCGAGCACCATGTCCGGGTACATCGCCTCGACGGTGTCGAGCGACCAGATCTCGATCTCCGGGTCGAGTGTGCCTACGGCGATAAAGTTGCCGAATTGCGCGGGCGTGTCTCCGCGGGCGGCGGGGGAGGAGACGGGCGGGAAGTCGAGCCATTCGAGGCAGAGGGGGAAGGAGGGGAGCATGAGGTCGTGGTGCACGTAGAGGTTCTCTTCGGATTCGTCGTAGACGTAGATCTCGAGCTGCGAGATCTCGTCCTCCGTTTTGGCGACCACGAGGAGGTTGTCGGAGGGGAGGACCTCGAGCTCCTCGCGCTCCTGCTCGTTCTCGTCTTCTTTGAGTGTGATGTAGGGGTCTTCGTCGTTATTCCGGTAGTAAGTTAGGCCCTTGATATTACTGAAGGGTCCCATTCCTAGATGGAGGGTCAGCACTTATTGATTCCCGTGCGACGAGAGGCGAATGCGTGGTCAAGCGATCGCGCAACAATTTTTGGCAACACGCCCCCTCTGCATTGTTGTGAGATGGTCCAGAACTTGTACGCACCTGGCTGGCCATCGTCATTATCATAATCGTCCAAGTTGTACTGGTCAAGTTCGTCCTTGGGTTTCGCTTCCGAAGGTTCTCCGGGCGCGGCATCGTCCATCGGCACGTCTTCATCCATCGCAGCCGCAGCGTCGTCTTCACTTCAAGCTCGTTCACTCAAAACCCCACCCGCCAGTCAGAAACAATGCACTCACTCGACCCATTCGTCGTCCTCATCTGCATCGTCGGCCTCCTCACCCTCGGCGCCCCGTCCCATAGAAATAGCGGCTTTGTGTGCCTGCTCAAGTTCTTTCCGCGCATCTTCGAGCTCGACGCGCGCGAGCGCGCTCACCCGCTCGAGTTCCTGATCATCGAGGGTGTATTTGATCGGGTGTTGGGCCGCGATCCCTCTGCGCACCCTGCACAACATGTTTAGCTAACACTATCTCTCCGGCAGGACGACGCTCACCATGCGACAGACGAGATGAGGTTGCTCATCGAGTAGGAGGAAGGAGGTTGGCGCAACTGGGAGCGCGCGGCGGCAGGAAGGAGCGCAAAATTCAGATCTCAGATCTGTGCGTCCACGTGACCAATGACACGGCGCGCAAGCTTGGCGCGCGCGTCCGGGGAAGGTGTTCCTCTCCTCCTCCTTCCCCACGACCACGGCGTAGAACGGTATGGCTGCTACCAGGTGAGCGAGGAGATTCTTGTTGAAATGCACGGACTGCCTCAATGTTTGGTCTCAAGCCTCAGGACCGAGCTGCTGCGACTTGCTGTCCCGCTCGTGAAGACGCACGGCTTTACTCGCGAAGCACTCGCATGTTCAGCACTACAGCTCCCTGAACCACACAAAGAGCCGCTCTCGGAAGCCGCTGTGACCGCGATTTTTGGAGGCGGCGACGATGCTCGTAGAACGCTCATCAATGCGTGGATGGAGGCTGCTGTGCTCAACATGAGGTCAAAGAGCTCCCCTCCCTCGTTGCTGGAGTTGCTGGAGAGCAGACTGAACTGGAATGAGCCCGTGCTAGAAAAGCTACCTGAGGTGCGGTCTTCAAACTACGTCGTCGCGTACAACTAACATGCGCGATTTCTCAGGCGTTTGCCCTCCTTGCTGCGCCCAAGTTCAGCGGTCTTGTCCTTCTTGACCCGTCAGTTGCTGTGCGGCATAACATCCACATAGCAAACGAAGCGTGCAACCTCGTTGGCTCCAACGACATTGGCGTAAGATGATACTCCCCCTTGGGTCTCGCACTGACATCTCATGGGACACTGGACAGCTTGCCTGGCACCGGAAACGCGCCGCCGCTGCCGTCGCATATGCCTCCGCCGGTACATTCCCCTCTGCTCCAGCCGCTTTCCGTGTCCTTGACTATCCACCCTAGAACTCGTGCAGCTAACTCAGCCTGGATCACCCGACATCCCGTACAAAGTCCTCAAACAGCAGCTTAACAGGTCACAGAGTGCACTCCAGAGCGTTGAAGAGGTCGGACTGTTTGGACAGTATGTAGTACGGAGCTGGGCTGGTATCGGCAAGAGCTTGGGCTTGTGACACAGCTGTCGCGTATGTAGTACGGAGCTGGGCTGGTATCGGCAAGAGCTTGGGCTTGTGACACAGCTGTCGCGTATGTATGGGCTCACTTTTACGAACTTCAATCTGCAGACCTGCATACGCAGTATGCCGTACCAGGTAAGTGAATGGCTTGGAAAGGCTCCAGCATACGGGTAAGCTTCGCGTAGGTCAGGTTTAGCATGATCACATCTCTCTTACTTTCGGTCCCGCTCAATGATATAGCACAGGGCTCAAGAGGATACTCCGAACAACCTTGTGATAGACACCTGCTGGGACCGCTCGCCCACACCGAGAATTAAGCGTCGACCGTACATGGATTTGGTACGTACACGACACGGGCCGCTCGCAATCACGAGAACGGGAGTGCAACTTCGGGCATGTGCAACGCTTGCTTCCGGAAGCACACTGGTCACTACGCTACCCCGCGCGCAGGTAGCTAAGGCACGCTATGACGGTGTATGACCTACCCTCCACATGTTCCGCGACGTCCAGCCTCGTCAAGCACACCCATCATTTTGACGACGATGTTCCGACACGCCTCACCACCTGCACATCTCTCTGCATGATATAAAGGATGACATCTGGCTCGGTTCACTAGGAGCGCACTCACTCCATTCCCAAGGTAACCCGTCATGAACCTCCCAGCGTCTTTCGCAGTGTTTGTCGCTCTCATTCCGTACGCCCTCGCTCAATCCCCGGAGTGGGGTCAGTGTGGCGGCACGGGCTGGACGGGCGCCACGACGTGTGTGTCGGGAACGGTGTGCACAGTCATCAACCCCTACTACTCGCAATGTCTTGCTGGCACTGTAAGCTCACGAAACACATGTGTTCAATCACAAACGTGCGGTATGCTGACCATGATGTAGGCTACGTCGGCGCCCTCTGCTCCCAGCTCCACAGTCACGACTGGCGCGCCCGCCCCGAGCGTCAGCGGTCTCCACACGCTGGCGAAGGCTGCGGGCAAGCTCTACTTTGGCAGCGCAACGGACAACCCTGAGCTGACGGACACCGCCTACGTCGCCAAGCTCAGCGACAACGCCGAGTTCGGCCAGATCACCCCCGGCAACAGCATGAAATGGGTACGTGCGGCGCCTTCCGTTCTCCGTTCTCTGGTCAAACGCTTGAGCTCATGTGCCGCAGGACGCTACGGAGCCGACGCGCGGGACGTTCACCTTCTCGGGCGGGGACGTGGTGGCGAGCCTGGCAGAGAAGAACGGGCAGCTGCTGCGCGGGCACAACTGCGTGTGGTACAACCAGCTCCCGAGCTGGGTTGCGAACGGACAGTTCACGGCGGCGGACCTGACGGACGTGATCACGACGCACTGTGGCACCCTTGTCGGGCACTACAAGGGACAAATGTGAGTGCGGATCTGGCTGCCGGTATATTGTGATACATAATGCTAACGGAAGGGTAGCTGTGCGTATCATATCCCGCTGGCAGATTCGTAGGTAACAACGATACTGACTTGCACCTCAAAGACTCTTGGGATGTGATTAATGGTAAATCACCATGGCCTGGATCCCGCGAGCAATCTGTTTAACGCTTTTGCAGAGCCCTTTAACGACGATGGAACCTGGCGCTCGGATGTATTCTTCAACACCCTCGGCCAATCTTACGTGTCTATCGCGCTCAAGGCTGCGCGCGCCGCAGACCCGAACGCCAAGCTCTACATTAACGACTACAACATCGAGCAAACCGGTGGGTCACCACCCCTGTCATAGCCGCTGCACAACTCTCACACTCACCCTCGTCGATAGGTGCGAAATCGACCGCGATGCTGAACCTGGTGAAGCAGCTGCAAGCGGACGGCGTGCCGATCGACGGCGTCGGCTTCCAGAGCCACTTCATCGTCGGCGAGGTCCCCGGCTCGTTCCAGACCGTCCTCGAGCAGTTCACCGCGCTCGGACTCGAGGTCGCGATCACGGAGCTCGACATCCGCATGACGCTCCCCGCAACGGACGCGCTCCTCGCGCAGCAGCAGAAGGACTACCAGAGTGTGGTGCAGGCGTGCATGAACGTGAAGGGCTGTGTGGGCGTCACGATCTGGGACTGGACGGACAAGGTGCGTGTGCTGGGTTGGGGTGGAGCAGCAGGGGTGCTGACGTGTTTGGGGCAGTACTCCTGGGTGCCGTCGACGTTCTCTGGTCAGGGCGCGGCACTGCCTTGGGACCAGGTAGGTTGTCTTCCGCGTTCAGGGGACAGTCAATTGACACGTTGTGGTTCGTCAGACCTTCAACAAAAAGCCCGCATACAGCGGCATTACGGCGGCACTGGCGTGAGGCCCGAGATCGGGAGATCCTATGCCGTATACATAGCGTTATACATGAGCCATCGATTATGAGCACCACAACCTGCTTGTTTTCCGCTTGCTCCGGCATGTTCACATGGACCCACAACGACTCTCCCATGCTCTCATCGATCCGCCCGCGAAGCCATGAAGGAAGTGCACCAGAAAAGTGTGTGATGCGCCCAATGCTCGTCCCTGAATGCTATCGACATGATAAATCTGTGTAGCCTCACGACGTGCAGCAGTGTGGCTCAACACCCTTCTCGTCTCTTCTGTGCTCCAGACATGACGCCCCGGCCCCTATTGATTGTTGCGGGTATTGGAAATGGAACAGGCCAGTGCTCAGCTGCTTCACATACGAATGAACCCACGCTCACGGTGGACACCTCGCGATGCAGGTACCGGCGCGGCGTCCGCGTAAGTTTATGTGGACATACGTCTCATGCATCGCCCCCTGATAATTAGCCTACAGGCGTGCGTTCTCTGCTGTAGGGTACCGCGTGGCTCTCGTTGCACGCAACGCTGAGCATCTGAACCGCCTCGTCGGAGAGCTCACGGCGTCTGGTCAGGAGGTATGCAGGCCCCCGACACATGCGGCCGATGCTTCCCGACCACTCTAACTTAGAGGCACAGGTTGCTGCGTTCCCCGTCCCTGAGTACACGTACGAGGCAGTCATATCCGTCTTCGACTCGATCATGCAGCATCAGTGGGCCACGAACGAGCCCTCGGAACTCCGGGTCGCACTCTGGAACGTCGGCGTAAACGTCTTCGGCTCCTTCCTTTCCGTGACGGAGAAAGACATCACAGCCTCGCTCGAAGTGCACGTCACTGCAGGCTTCGCCTTCGCCCGCAAGGTGATCCTGGCGTTTAAGGAGAATGCACTAGATGCCCAGGGGTGCAGGGGCACCCTGCTATTTACTGGGGCGACGGCGAGCGTGCGCGGAAATGTGTTCACAAGCGCGTTCGCGGCGGGGAAGTTTGGCATTCGTGCGCTGAGCCAGAGTCTGGCGAAGGAATTTGGAAAGGAGAATATGCATGTGAGCTGGCTCGTTCTATCCCGAAAGACTGCGTGAACCTAATAATGTCAATAGGTTGCACATGTCAGTGCTTACCTAGGGTTCAATGTCTTAACTCGCTCACGGCGGCCGTCGTCGCAAAAGGTAATCATCGACGGAAGTAAGTACTACATTCCACCCGCCCGATTATCCAAATAACGCTCCAAATCTTAGGTATCCTAACCGACCTGTCTGCTTCCCGTCGATCAGGAGAGGCTGGGGAGGCCTGGAAGGCTGATCCAGACGTACGTCTCGATGCAGACAGCATCGCGAAGGCGCGCTTTTACGACACTTGAGGGAGTCCGGTCCCAATTAATCTCGCTGCTTTTGCAGAGCTACCTGTATCTGGTACAGCAGGACCGATCGGCTTGGACCTGGGAACTCGACTGTGAGTGATGCGCTGCGCAGCATGCGTTCTTGACGAATGTTAATATCGTCCTAGTACGTCCTGCACACGAGAAGTGGTAAACAGCGTACGATATACAGAAGCAGTCAAGGGGGCATCGGGTTGGTAAATATCGTATTCAAAGTGTAGCAAATCTACCTGTTCCGTAGCATCCGATCTCTGAAGTCACTCTACCACTCTCCCGAACACCCACTGTACGCGGGAATTGTCTAGAAACGACTCACATGTGACAAGGTCATTGAAACGCTGCGCTGCTAGCCACTTACGAAACAACTCCGTGTCCTCACAGCTAAACAATACAGGCACAATCAACAAGGGGGAGATGTAAAAGTCGGACTCGCTTTTCATTACCGTACAACAAAACTTGTACACATCTAGACCTTTTGAGACCGAAACCCACCCATCTGAGTTCACGCGCTGAGGGCGTTGACGATACCGGTGTACGCGGGCTTCTTGACGAGGTTCTGGTCCCAAGGACATGCTGCACCCTGGCCGGAGAACGTCGAGGGCACCCAAGAGTACTGTACCACAAGAGCGTCAGCTGATATATCCTGTTAGCGCAAGGAGCATGCCTACAGACCTTGTCGGTGAAGTCCCAGAGAGTGGCACCAACACAGCCCTTGACGTTCATGCACGCCTGGATAACCGTCTGGTAGTCCTTCTCCTGCTGCGCGAGGGCGGACTGCGACGCGGGGGTCGTCGTGCGGATGTCGAGCTCCGTGATCGCAACCTCGAGCCCGAGCGCGGTGAACTGCTCGAGGACGGTCTGGAACGACGGGGGCACCTCGCCGACGATGAAGTGGCACTGGAAGCCGACACCGTCGATTGGCACGCCGTCGGCGATGAGCTGCTTGACGAGGTTCAACATCGCGGTCGCCTTGGCGCCTGTAGTGTGTGTGTGTTGTGAGCGGCATCATTTCTTAGAGGTGGATGTTGGAGACTTACCAGTCTGCTCAATGTTGTAGTCGTTGATGTATAGCTTGGCGTTGGGGTCCGCCGCGCGTGCAGCCTTGAGCGCGATGGGGACGTACGACGTGCCGAGCGTGTTGTAGAACACGTCCGAACGCCAGGTACCGTCGTCGTTGAACGGCTCTGCAGATCACTGTCAGAACACTGTACACAGTACACTTTTAAGTCATAGCACTGACCATTGACGACATCCCAAGAGTCTTTTTAACACATTTGTCAGTATGCGTAAAACATCAACAAGTGCGAACGTAGACGTACAACTGCAAGAATGGGGTCAGTATCGAGAGAATAATTGTATAGAAGAGAGTCACGTACACTTGACCCTTGAAGTGGCTGACGAGGGTGCTGCAGTGCGTCTGGATGACGGTCGTGAGGTCTGCGGTGGTGAACTGGCCGTTCGCCACCCAGCTTGGGAGCTGGTTGTACCACACGCAGTTGTGTCCACGGAGCAGCATCCCGTTCGTCTTCGCCAGGTTCGCGATCTGGTCACCGCCCGCGAACGTGAATGTTCCGCGCGTCGGCTCCGTCGCGTCCTACATTGCAACGTTACAACGGTCAGCAAGGAGTGTTGCAGTATACGATGCTGGGCTGGTGCGCACCCATTTCATGCTGTTGGCGGGCGTGATCTGGCCGAACTGGGAGTTGTCGTCGAGGATGGCGGTATACGCAGCGTCAGTGAGCTCGTTGTTGTCCGTCGCCGTGCCAAGGTAGAGCTTGCCAGCCGCCTTCGCGAGCTTGTTAAGGCCGCTGCCAGTCGGCGCGGGCGCGGGCGGCGGGGTCGCGGGGCTCGAGGGCGACACGGGCGTCGTCGTCGGCGCGGGCGCAGCCTACAAACCGTCCACCGGTCAGCATGTCAAACGTCTCGAACATACAGCACCGCCACTCACGGCACCGGGGAGGCACTGGGAGTAGTACGCGTTCATGACCGTGCAGGTGGTGCCCGCCACGCACGTCGTCGCGCCGGTCCAGCCAATGCCGCCGCACTGGCCCCATTCAGCCGCCTGCCCGAGGGCGAACGGGATAATAGCCGCGAGGAGAGTGAAGGTCGTCGAGAGCTGCATCGTGTCCGAGTGTGGCTGCGAGGTCGAGTGCGAGTGTCGCGTCGAGTTTCGCCGAATTGCTGTCGGTTGTCCGATGCCAAGAGGCTCGGCACCACCGCGCTTTATACCCCCTGCGGTCGCCCTGCGGCGGCGCACAGCGCGCGCGGCGGAACATCGTCGATGAAACGGACGGTGCATGCGTCCGCATCTGACAGCGGGCAAAAGCATGCGCTCCCAATTCGAAGCCCAGAATAGCGCCTTCTGAGCAGCCCTCGCTTGACACCTGGCGTCCGTTCCGTGTGGGGGTGGGGGTGCTGGACGCGTAAATCATTTGTTCTCGTGATCGTCTGCTCCTCGGGGCAAGGCGGCGGCGACACAACGACAGTTCCGGCCATATGTCGGGAACAGCAGACTGGCTGCACGGCTCCGCACTGCGTGACCAGGCGGCGCTCGGGGGAATGTGCCGCTGGCAGAGTGCAACGGCGGACGACATGATGCGCTTCGTGCCAAAAATACCTGCTCGGAGGAAGACACATCAGCGGTTGCGGGTCACGACGACGTTCTCCGTATGTTTTCATGCCCAGAATAGGTCAGCCGCAGGCTAAAGGAGAATGAACGAAGCAGCGAGGACGGACGCACCGAAAAGTCGAGAAAAGTCCGACTTGCATGTCGAAGAGCACGCTGGCGAGTCGCGAGGACAGGCCGGGAGGCAAGCGGAAACCTATCCATTGTAGATCGCCCACGAGCCACATATGTAGTATCATCAACATGGTGGGCGTGCGCCTTCAATCGGCGCAACTAATGCTGGAAAAGAAAGGACGACGAAAGGCCGCGCAAAAAGCAATAAAAAGGTGAGGGCAGGGACGCGTGCGATGCATCGTTATGTACACGTGCGGGGTCGTGAATGTGAACATCTAGAACGGTATATGCGGGGAACTTGAATGCGATGGGAAACGAGGGAAGACGAAGAACTAGGGGCGGCGGGGCAGCGCGACGACATGCCGGCCGAGCGAATAAAGGGGGGGTTCCATATGATACGATGGCGTGCGTCTGAGCATGGTGCATGAGGGCAGTCATTATGCGATGAGGGTGCTTGTTACAGTTTACTTCAATGTTGTATCGTCACGGCGGGGCACCGGGTATGTCCAAGCTCAGTCGAGTGTCCGCGTCGCAGTCCAGTGCTGTGTCTACGTTGTTCGCGCAAGCGGGCCCCAGCGTTGCATAACCGGATCGTCTGGCTTAGTGTCAGGGTGGATTTGGACCTTGCCTTCCCAGAGGGCGGCCGAAGACTTGGACGGATCGAACTGCGCTGGGTTGGAGAGACCGCTGGGTGATGAGGGGGCCCAGCCAGCGCCGATCGATGATGCGATGAGAGTCGGAACCATAGTCATAATGGACGGGCTGTAAAAGGTACCGTCAGTCAGACCCCTGCATGGAACGAGACCACACGATGAAACTCACAGTGCGACACGGGACTCAGGGGCAATGGGCGCACTGCGACTCTTCCCGACGTACGAGGAAGCCCGCATGCGTCCGCCACGCACGTGCGAGAACGTGCTTAGGTTGTCGCGGACGAGCCGAATCGCGGAGTTCCACTCGGCTTGCGGTGTGGTCGTCGGAAGCACCTCCGGGTTCGGCATGAGGCGAATCTTGATGAACAACCGCTCGATGGGGCCGTTGGGAATGCAGCGGATGAGAGCACCGAGAGGGATAGAAACGAAACCGAGAGCAACACCGATGCCCCACTCGCGACCGCCGATGCGCGTCACCTGGAAGGCCGCGCCGCCGACGAACACAATGAGAATCTGAATAGCGACCTCTGAAAAGGGGGGTTCGATTAGCAAGACACAACGGGGAGTGAGCGAACAAACAAACCAATCAATGTGATGACCATAAAGTAGTAATTCCTGGTCACGCCCGCGAAGATGTTCAGACGGTTGTCGAGCCTGCGGGAATTGATCGAGTTGAAGATTTGTGCGAACACGAAGATATTGAACACGAGCGTCTGCACGACCGCGTCGTTGTGCTTCTCCAGCGTCGCGTCGCCGCCGTGCGTCAGGCCGAGGATGTTCAGGCCGAGGAAGTGGAAGATGAGGGTGACGATCGTCTGGTACATAGACTGGCCGATGATCTGCTTGTACATGTCGACCGAGAACAGCGGCGCGGTCTTCTTCTCCGGCTTGCGGTCGAGCAGCGCGGGCGACGCGGGATCTGTTGCGAGCGCGAGCGCGGCGAACGTGTCCATGATGATGTTAATCCACAGCAGCTGCACCGCCGAAAGGACGGACGTCTCTGAGGCGGAGGCGACAGCGGATACGAACGTGATGATGACGGCCGTGACGTTCGTCGAGATCTGGAACTGAAGGAACTTGCGCACCGCGTCGTTCACGCAGCGGCCCCACATGATCGCCTTCACGATCGACGCAAAGTTGTCGTCCATGAGGATGATGTCCGACGCCTCCTTCGCGACTTCCGTCCCAGCGATACCCATCGAGAAACCGACGTCGGCGGTCTTGAGCGCGGGACCGTCGTTGGTACCGTCACCGGTAACGCCGACGATCTCGCCAAGCGACCGGAGCGTCTCGACGAGCAACTTCTTGTCCTCGGGCGACGAGCGCGCGAGGACCTGGAGGCGGGGGACGACTTCGAGGAGATCTGCGCGCTCGAGTTGCCTGAAGATGGGGCCCTCCATAATGATGCCCCCCGCGGTGTAAATGCCGCACTGCAGCGCAATCGAACGGGCAGTCAGGACGTTGTCGCCCGTGCACATCTTCACCGTGACACCGGCCCTGTGGCAGTCCGCGACGGCCTCACGGACGCTCGGGCGCAGCGGGTCTTCGATACCGGTGATAGCAATGAGAGTGAGCTCGTGTGCGAGGTCAGCATAGGGAACCTGTGCAGCGTTAGCTCAGATGAACCGGCTGAAACACGAACACGCGCGTACCTCGTCCTCCGACTCGGCCTGTACACCCGCAGGGGGCCACGATTCAAAGTCCCGGTAGCACACAGCAATTGTCCTGAGCGTCTGGTTCGCATAGAAGATGATAGTCCGTGAGATATTGTCGCGCGCGAGATCGTCGAGCTCCAGCGTCTGGACGTCCTTGTCGGCGGAACCCCGCTCGACGACGACGTGCCGAGTGCAGCTCTTCGTGAGGATCTCGCTCGCGCCCTTCAGGTAGAGGCGGGCTCGGCCCCCGGGAAGGCGGACGACGACACCCATCGCCTTCCGCTCGCTCGAGAAGGGGATCATCTGCACAATCTCCGCGGCCTCGCGAGTCTTCTTGTAGTCCGCCCAGCCGTTCTCCTTCGCAAAGTTCAGAAGCGCAGTCTCGGTTTTGCTTCCGACGAACACTTGCTTCCCAGACTCCGGGTCGACGTCCTCGAATGCAGTCGAGTTGAGCGCGATCGCCTCGTTGAACAAGTCACGGAGCGCCGGCGAGAGCGTGTCAGTGAGCTGCTCCTGATCGATCGAGAAGTCCTGCGCGTGCTTGCGCGCGCCAGAGTCCCTCACGCCCGGCTCCTCGCCCGCGTTCGTGCGCTCCTTGTTGTCCTCGAGCCGGTGCACGAACTTGCAGTGGATGCCGACGGAGCCCGCGACGACGGTCATGACGTTCTGCGTGAGCGTACCCGTCTTGTCCGTACAGATAGTAGACGCGTTCGCCATGGTCTCGCAGGACCCCAGCACGCGGACGAGGAGGTTCTCCTTCGTCATGCGCTTCGTGGCAAATGCGAGGGCGAGCGTGACCGCGAGCGGCAAACCTAGCGGGGAGATTGTCAATTAGACGGACGGCCACCACGCGTGTCAAACGAGGGTACGAACCTTCTGGCACGGCCACGACAATGAGGGTGACAGAGATGATGAGAATGTCGACGAACGCCATGCCCCACTGGCTAGCCGTCCGCTGGGGGTTGTGCGTACCCAATTGGACGAAGAACCTGATCATGAGGGCAGTGAACAAGATAAGGCCGGCTGCGCTACCAAGCGTCGCGATCAGTTCAGCGAGATGGTTCAGCTTGATCTGGAGAGGGGTGTTTTCGGTATCTCCCCGCAATGCTGAGTGTTTCGGAATGTTAGAGGGGCATTACGGGAACGGGAAAGCGGAAATGCAGAGGACATACCCATCATGATCCGACCGTTGAAGCTCTTGGTTCCGACCGCAATAACCACATAGCTGCCATATCCCTCCAGAACTTTGCTGCCACTGATGAGGAAGCAGTCGGTGTGCTTCAGACCTTCCCCTCCGTTGGCTCCTTCACCCTTGAGGCAGTCTTCGTACGACATCTTCTTAATTGCATCGGACTCTCCCGTCGCGCCAGATTCGTCGCACTTGACGTTGTGCCCAGAAAGGAAGACTCCATCGCAGGGAACGATCTCGCCAGGTTCTACCAGAGCGACGTCGCCGACGACCACCTCCTTGATGTCGATGATCATCTCGACGCCGTCACGGATGACCTTGACGCCACGCTCCTCCTTCTTCTCATTCAAAACCTGGAACTGACGTTCCTTCTGCCAGTCATTGATAGACCCGACCATGACCTGTAGTACCAGTGAGGAACGCATAGGAATCTGGTAGCACGGAGACACGTACGACAATGATGATGGCGACCATAATGGCAACACCTTCAACCCAGTCTACCGGGGGTTCACCATCGGTCCTCGGCTGCCCGAAATCCTCGAAGAAGCCAAGAGCGAGGGAAACGACTGCGGCGATGGAAAGGAGGACCTGTTCACACCCGTTCTATGAGCGAAGTACTGCGGTTCGACGCTCGAACCACTCACCAGAACTTTATCCTTGAGAGCAAGCCACATAAGCTGAAGCAACGACTTCGTCTTACGGGTGGGAAGCGTATTATCACCAAACACGCGTCGCCGCTCCTGCAGATCCGCATCGTAAGTGGGACCGTCCTCCGCATCGTCGTCCTCGGGGCCAGGCGCGTCTAGCGGCGCGCCACCGCCGTCCTCACCGCCTGGACCGGTGAGGACCAGCTTGGGCACGTCGCTAGCAACCGTCTCAGGTTGACGGTCATGACGCTGCGACGCGCCCTGCCCTGCACCAGGTTCATCTCCCGCGCCAGGTCGGCCATCTTTGTCCGCATGAGGCACAAACGACGCGTGATGAGACGCGTCCGTTGCCTTCGCGAGAGCCTTCCTGCTGAGACCGTGTTTCCTGTGCGTCCCCAGCGCCTTCAACAGCCCGCGAACGCCACCCATATCCCGCAGCGCGTCCAAGCTCTTCGGGTCCACGAGCGACGCGAGCAAGTACGGCTTGACCGGGAACGACCCTGCATCGATCTCTTCGTCTTGGGTAAGGTCTACCGCAGGACGGGGCTCGTGCTCTTCCTCTTCCCCCGCGTCCGCGCCCTTCCCTGAATGGGTGTCATCGTCGCCCTTAGACCGACTCATCGAGCGCGAACGCAAGGTCTTGCCGTCCACGTCAGACGCACCGTCATAGTGTGTTTGGGTCGGGGACATGATCGTGCTCGCGTCGCCGCCGGTGTGTTGCGGCGTCAGCGGCTGCAGCGTGATGCTGTGCGAGTCGGGCTCCGTGCCCTCTGCGCTGCCGTCCATGGAACTCGCGATGCTGCCCTTCCGCCTGTGCTGGTGCCCGTACGTGGGGCTCAGGAGGTTCAGTGACGACATACCGCTCTTCTCCTCGGGCTTGTTGTCGCGCAGAGCGAGCGTGGTGGACGCGAAATGGACCGAGCTCTGGGTGGAGAGCGTCGGTGACGGGGGGACGTGGGTCTCCGTGGAGCTGACGAAGCTCGGAGACGGTGAGCCTGGGGACAAAGACGGCGTGAGTGTATGCGCGTCGAGGGGTGTCCGAGAATTGGGGACGGTAAGGGGCGACAGGTGAGAAGCCGAGGGGTGCGATGCAGAGGACCCAGTCCCAGTTTCAGGGGGAGACAAAGACCCGTCTGGCCGGTCGTCATGAGCTTCGTGTAAATTGGGCGTAGACGAGAGGTCGGTGGTAACGATGGACGGGATGTCGGGCTTGCTGTCGGAGCTCGCCATGGTCGATGAAGCGGTCGTTATTGCGGGAGAGATGGTGGTTGGGTCGAGAGGGGCGCAGGGGCGGAAGGTGTGAAAGTATGCGCGACAAGGGGAGGGGCAGTAGACATGAACGAAAGCGCAAGCAGTTGGTTTTATGCCAGGCGCGGAGTGGAAGTCTCAATGGAAAGCGCACACAGCCTCGCGAAGCTTGGCGCCGGTCGTGTCGTAATCCCAAAATACTAACCGGGCTATCCCATGCTATCCCTCGCTCCATCCCGCCTTATGCCCAGACTTTTTTAATCTTATCCGCCCCCTTGTGCTCAACGCACGGCCTCCACGCCTCGGTCAATGTCGCATCCCGCAGCCCCCCGTCCATAGTCTCCCCGACTGCACCCAGGGCCCTCCGCACCGAGGGTACTGCCGCTCGAGAAGCCTTATAGCGCTTCGTATGCAGTACTTGTTGTATACTGAACAAACAGAACTCACAATTAGCTTTGTTGCCCTCAGCCACAGCCGTCAGTATTATCTCCGTGCGCAGCCATGGACGTCTTGGCCGTCGCAGCCTTTCCCCTGAGTAATATTTGCTTAGCATGCCCACCCCAGGAACCAGGCGAGTGTCTCCGTTGATTCACGCGATGAGCAGTGCACACCTCGCTTAAACCACCTCTATCGCCCTCGAGGATCCTCGTCCTCTATCGCAGAGAGTGCATGCTTGTCGTGAGACCCTAAGCACGATCGTCGCCCGACTCGTCGTGCTTGGCACGGCGCGCCCTGTCTCGGCCTTCTGTCGGTAGCCAAGCTGTGCAGTCTCGCGGTACATACGTTCAACGCGACAACAACTAAACAGACTGCTGCTGTATCTGGTCGAACCCTATATAATCCTGTCAGTGTCAGTATCTGTGTCTGTGTTTGTGTGCAATCTAGCCATCCTGATGCATCCCAGGTTCCCGATCTAAAATCTTCGTGCAGTGCGGCCCCCTGTTCATTTCGATGATAATCATCCGAGGATGCAATCTCCATTCTACTTATATTCCCGCGCGCCGAGCCATGAAACGCGTGTTTTAAAAGAACCCACTATCCGGCGAACCTGCACAAAAGCTGCGTGGCAGCGACGCGATCGAAGCCGTCCCACGCTCCTTTAGTGTGCACGTTTTGGTGTGCGTGGCCCCGCGGACCCGGGCTTCGCGGGTGCGACACTACAGCAGCGTATCTGATAGGTCTGGTACGCTTCCGTGTCCTCAAAATTCCAGATATCGATGACTCTAGTAACCTTCGGGCCGGGATCAATATCAAAGTTTTCCGAAGGTAAGTTCCCGAGTACACTGTTCCCTCTCCCCCGGCTTGATCTTGGTTCCTGTCCAGCCACTAGCAGCTCTTCAACTTCCGCGGCACGCAGCATCGCAAACCCAACACGACTGTAGACATCTGATGTACTGCGCAAAGCTTCAGCGCCGCTAATGCTCATAATGGCGTGCTGTACTTGGGTCACCGCAGCACTCTCAGGGAGCACATCTCTCGTGAGACGTTATTGGTGCATTGGGCAGTCCACGGATAGTCACCTTCTCCATCGTCCTGACGCATGGGGTTCGCTCCCAAGGTGTATATTAGCTACCTGTAGTGAGTCTCCCTCATCCCGAATAATCGGACCCTAGGACGCTCACCATCTTCTCATCTGTATCAGGAACGCGCGCGCCGACAACTACGGTATAGCAGTGAACGTGTAATTCGTCTCAATGGCACAGTCCACCCGGCGGTCTATCAGTGTCCCACAGGACACCCCTACCGTCACGGTATTCCGATTCGAACGGCTCGCTCCAGTGCGACCCAGCCGCTCGCCGACTAGGACTCCCACAGGATTCCCGCTCTTTAGACTCCCACATCCACACTTGCCCGCTACCACAGCACAGCCCGGGCGCAAATCCCGCACCTTCATTATGAAACATTCGTCATGTGCCCCCCGGCTAGTATCTCGCTAAAGCGAGAGATGAGTAATGTTCCTGCAAGAACACTCGCGGCGGGCTTCGACGTTCGCATGCGAGGTCCCTCGATGCTTCCTGTGACATCACCGCGCGACCCCCCGCCATCTGCCACGGCGCTGATATCGCCCATCGCCCGCGGCCCACACATACACGCACGGAACCGCATTATGGACTCACGCCGCCCACGGCGGCGGTGCCCATGTACATGATGACTCCGATCGAGCCCTGGCAGCGGTGCTGGCACACTCCGCTCGCACCTCGGGACCCAACGTATTGGGCTGCGCGCTCAGGCTTGTATTTGCTTTCGTACGGCACCCTGCACGTGTATGTGGGTTTGGACAGAACTTCTCGGGCGCAAATAGCTAATTGTGGAGACGACAGGCAACAGACGGCTGCATGGTGCTGCTACGCGACGGTGTGCCCAGGGGGGTGCATCCACTCGATACGCAGCGCTCCGCGCGTGAGGGCGGCAGACCCGCAGGCCTGGTTCTAGCGCACCGACCCTGCGAGCACGCGCATTCCGCCCGAACGGAGTGTATAGCCTCGGGAAATGGTCCTGCGCATATTCAAGCTGCGCAGGGACAGTATAGAGACCCTGCGGCACGAGCTTGGATGTGCAGGGTGTCGATCAATTGCTCTAAGATGACTCCAGGGCACTCCGCGGCCAGTATCCATGCTTTGACGGGAGCGGCGCGGAAGACCGAGCAGCACCGACACCGACATGGCGTGTCGTAGGGTCTGCGCGAAGGTCAGCAGGTACGCGCAAAGGAGGTCATTGTCCCCCCAGAATGCTCTGCAATTGCGCCTGCTGTACGCAGGCGATTCCTCGGCATGATAGCATTGCAGCCTCAGGCCTCATGTCCTTTACGTCTGTCCAATAATCGCCTATTTCTGCAGACACATTTCCTGAATATTGCGATCGGCTCAGAATGCAAGGAGCATGTTAACGATGGTTCGATGGCACGTACAATGCAGTCGTACTGTACCCGGGCGCCGACTCGGAAGCGCTATACTCTTTCCTGTCCAGCGCCGCCTCCCGCCTAGACGGCGGTTCCGACTCTTGGGTATTGTGCTGACTGTCATCCGTAGTTCATCGATGCATCCCCGCGTATAGCAATGCATGCCCGGGTGACCACAGCGGCACCAGAAGGGTAGGCCCATTTATCTTCTCTCGAGGACGGTGACAGAATCCTAAAATCACGTAGGCCCGAGAACATCGTCGAGAGCCCTCGCCGAGCAGCGACGCGTCCTCCTGCCGCAGAATGTTGCCATGATAGCACAGGTCATGGGGTCACGGATGGCCGTCGAGCGTGAAAGCGAAGGTTGCAAGCCACTGCGGAAGGCCCGCAGCACTGCAGAGGCCTGTACAGCACACCATTGCATGAGAAATCATGCTGAGAAGGTGAGCGCCTCGAAACTCACGCTTATGGAGCTCAATATCTCTTAAGCACCCGATTTGTCGTTGGCGGTGAAGAGGGAAGCAGAGGAAGGCCGCCTCTTGCGCTTTCCCGACCAGCGGAAGTGCTGCATACGATGCGGCGTCAGTGCGGAGGGTTTGCCATCGAATGTTCAGAGGCGGTGTCCACAGGGGTGCGGGGTGCGGACCTTGGAAGGTTCGGTGGACCTAAGCTTGAAGGGTATGAACCAACACCACGATGAGCGGGTCATGTTCCCGCCTGACTGCGGAATCTCATCCACACTCACCGCTACGCCGTCGCTTACTCGAGATCTACAGTGCATTGCTGCGGCACAACCACAAGCCCTGTATGCTGGTGTACTTGGTACAGGGCTAGCACGGAGCTTGGCAAGGGCCACGTCCTCCGCCGCGCGCAATCACAAGCTCGCTCGGCCTGCATCGTGAAATTTCTCGTGCAAGAATCGAGCATAGCCCGCTCATTTTTCGATACAAGTTTTACTGTTCACAGCATATCAGCCACTGCACGCGGAAATGGCAGATATTAGAACGTACCACAAGGCACACCGTCCCTCGGAAGAACCGCAAGAATCCATAAAATTTTGCCACTCACGCGCAAAATAACGCATGCTAGACTGCTCAGGGCGCATCCAGCCTGCTGTGGCTCTGCACCCCGCCGACACGTCCGCGCGGGCCACGTACGCATCCGCCACTCACGAGTCTTGCAATCGGCACGGACCTGTGGCGAATCCCCCGTCGGGCCTGCAGAGAACACGAGGCACCGCTGCCGAGTTCCGCCCCCACTCGACTCCGAGGTGGCTCTTACACCGCCTCGTGGGGCCTCCTCGAGCTCAATGTACGCGGTCGAGTTTGCAGGCCGAGCAGCGATGCGGCGTCCACAGACGCAAGCCTGAGCAGTCCTAAGCAGCAGCACTCTGGGGATGGGGCACTCGCGAGCCAGCCGCTGCAGCCCGCGAGAGTCAGTCAGCGGGGCACGGGCCACGGGCGACTACGCGCGAGGCGGTGTATGAGAAGCTTCTTCGGGTTCTGACGATCCGACGTTGACTCACGCCGACTAGCCAGCACAATCTTCTCATGTGCCAGACCGGTCCGGCTCTTCACAGGGAGCGCGGGTGCCCCCTCGCGCCCTCGTACGAACGGGACGCAGGACGGTATACGGGCGGAGGATGGCTGGAAGACGGTGAACCCTCGATGGGATTTTTGCGACGCGTTCTAGGGGAGCTGCACAGCCTCGATAGCCGGCAAGATCCCAGATCAGCCGTGCGTCCCGATAAAGCAGGCGACGTCGTTCAAAGAGGGCTTCCGAACCACAATTGGCGCTCTGACAATTGACTGCCAATTTGAATATCCACGCAGGCATACAGACTGTTCCGATGTCCTCGTAATGGTGGAAAGGTTGGCGATATAACAGGCACCTCAGTTATCTCAGTTGTCTGAACAAGACGCCAGGTAACCAAGGACATCCAGTTGACGCTAGGACGGCGCTGCCACCTGTCTGGCCACCCGTTCCCATGTCAGCTGTTACGTTAATACACGTTGTCCAGCATGCCCCCGGTTCACAATAGTAGCCGATATTTACTGCGCAATGCAACGCATCAGATAAACGCACCCTCGAGGTAGAGAAATTAGTAAATACGTTCCCTAAACACCGCGGTTTCAGAGGCAGTACATCAAGACATGCACGAACCGACCTGATACACGTTCCTACACGCCCAAATGGAAGTCTCAAGGGGAGCCAAAGCGCCGCGCAGAGCCGCCGTACGAGCCGTTCTCGAGCCACCGGCACGCCCGTCGACCCACATACACGACACACTGCATCCTATCCCCGGTCCACCACGCCTACATATCGCCCAGGGACGGCTCCTCCATCAAATCCTTCAGGGGATCGTCGAAATGGGGTGCGAGCTTTTCCTCCGTCGGCTCCATAGGAGGCATGTCCGCGAGACTGGGCGCAGGCTTGAGTGCGGTCGCCTCCCAGCCGCTCTTCCAGGAGGCAATGCCCGCAACGAGCCCGCAGATGTCCAGCCACACCTATCAGGGAAGGGAACACGACGTGAGTATTTATGTCACTGAGGGGTTGCGGCCGCAGCAGGTCCACTATGCTACGTTCCCAGTCAACTGCCACTTTGCGGCGTTAGCAGCCATGGGGACGGCTAGTTTACTCTCGAAGGCGTGCAGGGGCTGTGAGCGGGAACGGAGCGGCACACGTACCTCGTTCTCGAAAATGCCCTTTTCGGTTGACCTACAGGATTTCGTGTTAGCATGGAAATCGTATAAACCGAGTATGCCCATCCAGAACCGCAGCCTAGACGTGAGCCTCGTGCCCGGATGTACTAGGCAATGACAGCACCCAAGGAGACCACGAGCTATCGCTTCCGTGAAATATCAAGTTCCGGAAAGATATGGTGGGCAACGTGAGTTCCCTCAACCCTCGACCCAGGGAATTCACCTCAACCCGTGATCCCCGTGGAACCTCCATAGTCGAAATCTTCCGCTGAGAAGTTACTGGGAGGAGCCATCCGATAGCTAGTCATGAAAAGCCCCCGCTCAATGCGAGCGAGGCAGCGTCACGTGGGCGCACAGCCTCGTCAAAACTGCACCACGATGTCGTCGGAAAGCCAGCACCATCGTTTTCCCATAGGAAGACAAAGGGACACCTTCTTCTGCGAAGCGATGTACTGCCTCCACCTGTAGGGGCAGAAGAGGTGTGCTTCTGGGCGCCCCGAGGGGCGCTAACAGCGAGAGCAGCAGAGCGGCCGAGACGGCAGCTTCTCAAGATAGCTACACCTGGTCACGGGTACAGGCACGATACCCCGCGAAAGCTCGCGAGGGTCATCGATGACAACGTGTACGTACCAGTGGAGGGTCTGCGGCAGATAAGCCAAGTTGACGATGAGCTCGCTCGTGAGCGCCTTCTTGCGCTGCTTGAGCTCCGCCTTCTCCGCGGCAGACGCGCCGGTCTGTGCGAGGCGTCAGTATGCACGGGCCCACACGACGAGCACGCAGGTGGGCGAGGAAAACCTACCTTGGTCTTCGCGAGGGTGCGTGCCCGCACACGGAGGAGCTTTTCGTCCTCGCGCAAGTGGGCGAGCTGCAGGAAGACATAGGCGGCCCAGAAGCGAGTCGACCACAGGCCGAGCGTGCCGAGCTGGAGAGGGATGTGCTTCGTGCTAGGGCGCGTCCGGATGAAGGGGACGAAAGCGGTGAGAGAGGGGAGGGTGATCTTGTCGGGGATGATGTCGTGCGACAGCAGGTAGTAGAGGTGCTCTAGGGGATAGTACCCGAGCATAGACCAGCCCTGTAGGCGCTCGATGGTACGCAGCTTGCGCGTAGGCGACGGGCTGCGCTCCAGAGTAGTCATCCACTGGTAAATGGGGAGAAGGCCTAATAGAAAATTACGAAGCATACGTCGCGTTTCGAAGTCAGCTTATAGCGGAATAGTCATTGAAGGGTGTCACCTACCCCACAGTCTGAAAAGCATCCTGGCATCACTAATGATGCTACCAAGTTTCCCGAGCCTATCGGCCGACGGGCTAACGGGTGCCTTTCGCAGCCCCGCACCGTGCTGCAGACGGGCGCGCCATTTCAAGAACGGCACCAAGAGCTTGACAGTGTATTGAACAAGCTAGAGGCGCGCGTGTTTAGCACATCATAAGGCATGCCAGCTGCCTTGACAAACCATAAAGAACTTGCTAATCGTCGACCGTCAATCAGTAAACTGTCATACATAGCATCACCAGATAAGATTAACTCACTCGCTGCCGCTCCAGGTGCTCAGGAACCTGACGAGGTGGTCCAAAGTCTCCGACCTCGGCAGGAACGCAAACGCGCCCAGCGTCAGATCCTCCAAACGTGCGAGAGTGAGCGGTTTCGACATGTTCCCCTTGGTCAGTATATGCACACGGTTGTGGTCGAGAGACACGAATGAGTGCGCGTTGTCGCAAGCGCGTCCGACGACGTCAAAGCCGGGCGAAATCCGACGCCACCCCCACCGGCAACCTGCTGCCCGACGCGTCGGGGAGGTCCGTGCGGGCTGGGAAACCGTTACGTAAGCACGTGGTACTATAAGTTTGCGCCGCGCGCGTCTGCGATCCTCAGAACAAATCCATGAGGACACAAAAGTTCGGGCTCGGGGTTTCTTCCGTCTCCTTGTCCGCGTTCCAGTCCACTAGAACGACTCTCGGTGTTCTTTGCACTTCGCGACTTCTCCGTTTTGACTGGTTTCTGCTGTCGAGGAGGCATCGCTTCGGCTGGCGCTCATGATGCGACGGGATGGAACTGGAAGGGGATTTTGTGGTGTGGAGGGTATCGTACATTTCTTGTATATTTTCTGCTTTGCAATGAAGAACTCGTTCCCCATCATGTTTTGCTGAGTGCGAGGATGGATCCGTTGCCTGTGAAACAAGATTTGTCCAGCGCATGTGTCTTCCCTATGGTTTTGAAGGAAAACCATAGCGAACTCTCGCCGAGCTTGTTCCGGCTCACTGACCTCATTGGTAACGGATGATGCTTCCTGTCAGAGCTATGTACCTTCGTTTCCAACCTGTCGATATGCCCGCACCTCCCCACTCAATCAAAGCAGTATGACCTGGACACTGAAAATAAATTGTTGGAACGGTAAACGAGAGGCACTCGGAAAACGAAAGCAAGACACGTAAATGTACTATACGTATGCGCACGTACGGATCAGACATATGCGGTGACAGATAGCAGGAACCGGAAGGTGGGGGAGGACCATGACCAGGGAAACCATATGGACAAGAGTACGGGAGAGTCTGTACGTTAGGTGCATCATGGATGAGCGGGAACCGTCGTTGGGGAGGTATAAGATAGAGAGCTCGGGGAGAGAGGAGAGTCCGTTGAATTGTACACATTCCTGATATCGACTGCTCACGAGAGGACTCTGCCGGTGCGCCTTAGTCCTCGATGTCGGGGATCTCAGCGACGTCGGGGATGAGTACGCTGACGGGGCGCTCCTTGGAGAGCAGGACCGGGCCCTCCAGCATGCCGACGATGTCCTCGATGTCCCCGCCGCTCTTGTCCGCGACGACGGAGCCGGAAACGGTGTCGGACTCGGTGTCGACGTGCGTCTCGCCCTCGCTATGTGCGGCGTCGGCCTCGGAATCAGACGTCGCGGGTATCTCGTGCGTGTCCAGGGCCTCGGGAGTGGTATCTTCAGCCTCGACGTGGGACTCTTCTTCAATGGCGAGGACCTCCTCCTCGGAATGTGCGGAGACCTCGTCGTGCTCCTCAATGTGGTGCTCTACTTCTTCAACGGCAGGTTCCTCGTGGTGTTCTTCGACCGCGAGTACTTCCTCCTCAGGCTGCTCCTCAACATGTTCTTCTACAGCAACCTCCTCATGCTGAATCTCCTCCGGCTCGTGAGAAATGGCATATTCGGGCTCGTCAACAAGTGTGCTGCCAGACTCCTCGTGTTCGTGATGTTCGGGCTCGTCGTGAATGACCGCCGGCTCCTCGTCATGGTGCTCAGGCTCGCTCTTGGTCGCAGCCTTGGTGGCAAATACAGCGGCTCCACCCGCAACCTTTGCCTTCGTAGCGGTGCCGACAGCACTAGCTCGGGGCTTCGCCGCAGTACCCTTCGCAGCGGGAGTCGTCTTCGTCGGCGTCGCCTTCGTCTGCGTGGGAAGCGTCGGCTGACGGACTTTCGAGATGCTCGCCGCCGTAGGCTTGACCAGCCTATCCAGGGTCTCTTTCGACGCCGTCGGCTTGCGCACTGGGGCCGCGGCGGCTGCAGCCTCGGCATTGCGCGCCCGAGCGAGCGACGCCGCCGTGGGCGCATACAGCCCGGATGACGGCAGCTTCGGCTTCGGAGTAGCCGAGGGGGTCTTCGGCCGCGAGGCGGAGGGGGTCTTCGCGCGTGCTGGCGTGATCGGGCCCGAGGCGCGCGAGCTCGGCCTGGAGCGCGAGGCGGGGGCGGGCTTTGCGGACGGCGTGGCCTTCGGCTGGGGCACCGCTGAGGTCGACCGTGCGGAGTGGAAGGAGGAGGGCGGGGGCGACTTCACGGGCGTGCGGGTCGTGGGCTTTGCGCCGGCCGTGCTGGGTCTGCCCTCTCGGTTCTTGGACGGGGTGACGGGTGGACGGGCACCTATGGCGGACGACCGGCCTGAGGCTGGTTTGGATGGTGTTGCGGCCACCTTCTTCTTCTGTGGTGAGGGGGAGACGGGGGAAACATGTTTATCGGAATTGACTGGCGTTACTGGCGATACGGGGTCTGCTGCCGGTTCTATAGGCTGAGCGGGAGCTGGAGGACTCGACGCAGGAATGATCAGAGGCGTTGGTGCGACGGCGGGCTCCGGGGACTTGGACGTCTGCTCGCGCCGGATCTCAAAGACGTTGCTCGGGGTCGTGGTCGGCTTCGGCTTAGGCGGCCACTCGCGCTTCTCCTTCAGCTCCTCCTTGGCCGAGTCCCCCGTATGCTGCGACGCGACGCTGGACGCGCGCGGCGGGTTCGCCGCGGCGCCGGGATTGCGCTTGTGCTGCTGCTCGAAACGGCCGATGAGGTTGGCGACGCTCTGACGTGGACGCTCGTCGGGGAGCGGCCTGCGAGGGGGGCGGGACAGCGGTCAACGATCACGATGCTCAGATGGCGCGTCGATCAGCGCAGAGCGGGGGCGTACATTGGCGTTCTGGGTGGCTGGTTGAATGCACGCACGCGTGTAAGGCACTGGTAAGGCTGGTCGCCCTCGCCGGCGAGAGCAGTGGTAGTGAAACGAGCTAGTGTAGATGTCAAACGATGGAGAAGGTGTCGGTGAACAAGTCAACTGTTGTAATCACGCGGGTTGGCCTCTGCGAGTCAGGGCGCCCTTTCGGAGCTCGAAAGCATCTCTATCGGAAGCATACTGCATTGATCACCGAGCTGATCCATGTTACCATTATTCAGTTATCCCTCAATTATCGCTCAATGACGTGTTACGAAATCGTGTAAGCTCTACTTCACCGGATCACTCCGACCGTGTCCGGCCCCGCCGCCCTCACAAGTCATCCGCGATGATCCTTCTATTACTAAAACTTAAAGCAACTGGTACAGTACGGTTACCAGTCGGCGAAGAGGACTCACAAACCTCTTTCGCAGGTCCCATGCTCTGTGGTCAGCACGCAAGCTCAAGCTAGGCTAGCCGTCGCACTTTACTTACACGTTCCAGTTTGTCATAGGCCACGGCTGCGTAGTACCTCGAGCTCGGCTTGCCGAGGCCACGCACTGAGTATCACACTCATGGCGAGCATTGTCTGCAAACATCTGTTAGGTTGCGCTAAATCTCAGTCTTAACTCATGCTTGTTAGATCCCCCAATCTCGCAGCTCGTCGCTGTGGAATGAACCCAGAAATCGATGACGTTTTCCGCTACAGGTACGAGCTCCGAGCGCTTGAGTACCGACATTCCTCATACTGGGTAACGCCAAGGCAAGCTCAGCAGGCTCTTATTCGACTGAGAGGCGGCTCACGATGATCCAAAAGACCTGTGACTAGGACTCTACACACAGGGTGCCATACAACTTGAAAATAGTATAGGCCTACCAGACCACTGGCAGGCCTCCTCGTACTAAATCGTCTTCTAGATTCCATACATCACCCCTTCCGCACACAGGATCATCGTATACAGGCAACTTCGACATATAAAGCCTCTTTACGGGTCACACGACGTCGTGCCTAGGACACGAATCCCCGCCAATTCAACCGCTACATGGTGAGCCCGCCGCCCCGCCTTCTCTGACGGGAGAAGCGCAGCTTCTCGACACCGTGGAGTCTGTAGTCTCCAGCCCAGCGGCTACATAGTTTCTTTATTGTTTTTACTTACAAAGCTAATTCCCTAGATCTTACACCACAGCCAGCCAGCTTCACGTACCCCCGCAAGCCTACATCGACCATTGTCAACCACCCACGGCGCGTTGCGATCAATGACATCCTCCTCCAAAAACGGATCGATCGACGGAGCACTCTACGCAGAACACCCGGAGCACACGCGGACGGCGGAACACAGCGGTATCCACCAGAACCCGCCGGCGCGGCCCCTATCGTGCGCCCGAACGCGTCCAAGCGCGCCACAAGTTCAGCCTACCGTTGGTGCGAAGTGGAGACTCTGACCGCCGGCGACGTCAACCGCTCCTCACAGGCTCCTGTCGGGCCCAATCTGCTATCTCGACGGGGCGTTGGGGCCTCCATTGAGGTTCGTTCACATGCCATATTGTGCGCGCTCCATAATTTTATTCGAGCAGCTGTACGGTGTGATTGTTCGACAGACGTATATTCGCAAGCCTGAGCAGCCGCTTCCGCACGTACCCGGCGAGGTTCCCAACAACTACGGACGCGATACCGCGAACGCGATACCCAACGCTCTGGGCCTACGCAGCGTCTGACGTGCCCTATGACATACATACACTGTTCGCGATCACTCGACACGATCGAGCTTCGACCGCAAACCCACGTCCAGTTGCAGTCTACCGAATAGCCCAATCCACCTCGCCGCCGTCCTAATCTCCCAACCTAGTATACGCTTCCGCTCCGCAATCTCACCTGCGCCGATCTTCGTGAAGAACGTGCGCTGTCTGACATAGGGGCCTGCAAGTTGCCGATCGACTGGCACCTGCTCGCGCGAACCACCGCTAGTTGTGGCGACGCCCGCTCCTGTCAGGGCTCTACCAAACGCTAATCTAATTTCGCTGTGGCGCATATGCATGAATGCATGAATGCACGAGGCCTCGTGGTGGACGGGCAATCACACGACGTGCACTGTGGACTGTGGATGGTGAAACGGATCGTATTTTGGGACACGACGGAGACGAGGCGTACGTACAGGAAACCCAACTGATGTACAAGTACAAAAAAAAGGAAGCAGAATCGGCGAAACAAAGTCGATAAATACGAGTACACGGTGATACAACTTCTTGCGACCCAGAGTGCAAGGAGACATGTGTGCAGTGCAAACGAGGGGCGGACGCCAGATGACACATACTGGACGTGAGGTGGGAGCATACATACACAGGATGATTGATGCCAGAGGAGGAATGAATGGATTCCATTCCCCGAGGCAGGGCGCGGTGGTCAGCCGGACGGCCAGCGTGACCAGCGCCACCGTGGCCGCAGGGAGGAGGCAGGAGGGTTTGATCAAGAAACCGACTCCGACCTTGCCGCCTTCCGTAGTGGGGAGCCCGTGTGGGGATAGGCTCGCCCATGACCAGAGAAGGGGGTAGGCGATTAGAGTTCTAGTAGAACACGGCGCTCCCGCACGCCGTTAGGGAGGCAACACGGGAGGCGGGAGCGCCCACTATAGCACATTACGAGGCGTGCCTGCGGGTTTTAGAGTGTGCTGAGTATGATACAGCGCAGGGCGGAGCACCGAATATCGTGAGACGGTAGGGTGAAGAGAGATAGGGAGTGTCGGTGTGTGGGGGGATAAGGCGACGAGCCGCTCAGTTGAAGCCATCGAAGTGGCCCTTCAGGATGCGCTCGCCCATCGGGGACGGAGCGCGCGGGGGACGCGGAGTGCCTGCGGCCATAGTGTTCGACCTCCGGGCCTTGCGCATGGGGCTGCCCGCAGAGGGAGACTTCATGCCTGGCGGCGTGGTGCTGCGCGGCGCCTGACCCGAACCATTCACCGGCTTCGGGACCGGAATCTGGGGCTGAGCAAGCGAATAGGCGTTCAATACCATGTTCTCATGGGGATGGTGCGACAGGAGCTTACCCTTGCCATGTTCCCCCCGAGCGACAGACGACGGAGGAGGCCCGCCGCACGGTCTTGCTGGTGACCAACCGGGGGCACTGCGGGCGCGGCATAGCGGTCTCCCGCCGGCCAAGCGGTACTGGCACTGCGGCCGTGCCGAGTAATAGGCTTCTCAGGCTCAAACTCTTCGTCGTCTGGAAATAGGGATGAGCGGGCGTAACGGCGGATAGTGCGGGCGGAACGCACCTTCGTACACTGGCGGCGCCATGCCCCTGCGGAAGGGGTAGGTCGCCGCGGTCGGAGACTTGGGAGACTGGCTGAGGAAGTAGGAGAGGATGGGGGAGGTGCCCGGGGTGATAGGCGCGATGCGGGGTAGGGTGCCTGACGCGGGGGTCTGCAGAGGCGAAGCGGGGGAAACTGATCCAGAGTCGGAGGACGATGATCCCTCGGAGACAGAGCCGGAGCGGCGGCGGCCTCCGATGGGGATGGGCAGCGAGCGCGGGGCGGAGTTCTCGTTGTTGGACGACATGGTGCGAAACGGAATATATTCGATCTACGAGGTGCGCTGGGCGGTACAGGTGGGAACGGCAAGCGAGTGTTATTAGAGCAGGAGAGAGGGAGGGCGTCGGCGGGTGCAGCGGCGGCTTATATTGGGGCGGGTCCAAACTCCGACGGAAAGGACCCTGAGTCGAACGGTGTGCCAACTCCAACCTGACTCGGCGTTGCCCGTGCCTTCTGCACCACCGTCCCATCATGCCCTGCCCAGTCCTGCCCATTCCCCTCGCTTCCCTGCTCTCTTCTCCGGGTTGCCATCGCCTGCTCGGGAGAAAGAGTGCGCCCACTTCGCGGCGCAGGCCTGCGGGTCGAGACGCGCTGGAATCACGCGATGAGGAGGATCTGAGCGGGCTCTGGATCTGGACGAGGCTAACCCCTTTGTTGCGCATCTCCAAGCTCTCCCGCCCCGCGTGACTGCCTGTTTGATCGCCTGCCGTCACTCCACCTCCACCGCTCACTCAGGCTAGCGCGTCCCGACACTCTGCCCCATTCACAATTGCTTTCGGCCTAATTACTCGCCTACCTCCCGGCGCGGACGCAACAACGCGTCCATAAACACGCTGAGTGTCGCGCGGCGGACATGAACGCGTCGCGCGAGAGACCGCGTCCGTCGCGACGCGCCTGAGCGCCTCGGTCGACCTCGCCCTCCCCGTTGCTCGCCATCGTATGTTCTCGAGCTCGCGTCTTCCTCGCGTGTGCGGCCGTGGTCGTGGCGACGTGCATGGTACGATGCGCCCAGATAAGCACCGTCACCGTGGTAGCTTCGACTCCAGGCGTGCTCACATGCCCCTGCCCATTCAGTTGCAGAAGCTCGTGGCTACGAGGGTGCCCCGGCTGCGCGACATTGCCCGGACGCTAGCGCGGCAGACCGCTGCGAGGGCCGGAGCGCACCCTTGCTTTAGGCACCCGTACTGGCCCACAGTCGCCGTCTAAATGTGAGTAAGCTTAACGATGGACATGCAACTGCCAAACGAACACTGGTCAGTCAGCCTTGCTCAGCTGTCTTTGGTGGGCGTTCAATGTCCTTCTCCAAGACGTTCGGGTGTAATACAGGCCGATGCGCAGCCGGCAGTAATTCTTTGTGGAAAGACGGACTCCGAGTGATACTTACTCGCAGAAACCCCTGCCCGAATGCGGTCGGGGATCAGTCGCTCCCGGCCGGGGTATTCCTTCGTGCCAGCTCGCCGTGCCCGCACTGGTACCATGCAGGTTGTGTCATTGCGAGAGTCTCAAACGGACTGGTTTGTTGTACTGATTTCTCTTGCACTTGTGACGATTTTTAAGCCGTTCAGATCGCGCGCAAGGCAACCACAACGCCTCACGCGCGTCAAGTCTTAGGAAGAGGTGGTCGGGCCCTCGGGCGCTGGCCGCTATGAAAGCAGGTCTCTGGACCAACTATATGGTTTCAAGCAGTACCCAGCCTCTCCAGCTATCTCCAGATGTGTAAAGCAACCGACGCCGGCCTTCCCCAGTTCACCAGGCCGTTTGCCATGTGCGCCGCGGGGCCCCGAAGACTGCTCCTCCTTGGCCGCGAAGCGTCCCACGGACCCTGTCGCGTGAGAGCCTCTCTACGACTCCTGCTGCGATTTCTCTGCCTGTCGTTCGAGGTCTAGATGCGCACGCACCGCCGGTCGTCCCGTCCGAGGGTCCCTCGTCATCGCTGCATCACTGAGGCCGCGTTCCCACCGTCAAGAATACGCCTTGCGTCTTGAAGGCATAGCAGTCTCAGCCGAGCACGGCTGGACTGCAAGCTCACATCATCGAAACTGCGCGCTTTGCTACCGCTGCCATGTGTGGCGACGACGATCATTGAACCTCAACTCTCAACTTTCGATTCTGTGGTTCTGCGCGCCCACGATCAAGCCACACCAGCATTTCGCACAGTCCAGGATGTGAAGATGGAGGCAGAGCGGATGCCCGCAGACGCAGCGGTGAGCTCGGTGAGTGTGCACGCATCCCTGTCACTCCGAGTTCTGAGTTTTAGTACTGATCGAGGAGAACGTGGCCGTGCGCTACGTAGCAGCGCTTCTAGGCCCGACGGAGGTGTGCTTCGCCTGCTATTACCCCCGGGTGCACACACGGAAGCGGCGGAGACACCGTCACCGTGCATCTCGTATCTTCGAGCTGCCTCTCTTTGTTTGAAAATCACAGACTCGCTCGCTATCGCGTGTTTGGAACTTCAGGGCAAGACTGGGGCCAGGGTGCAAGGCACGGCGGGCGGCGGGTAGCAAGCGACAACTCGGCCGCCCTCGTCATGCCGCGGCCTCGGTGTGTATTCGAAGCATCCTCGTTCTCTCCGGGAAAGCCTTCTGGCACAACATGCGGTCCCTAGTGTGAGGTGGCAGACGCCAAGGGCTCATGGCGTGTCTGCGAAGGCCTCGCGCTTCGCCTCGGCCTGGATGAACTCCTCGCATTCAATCCTGCTCTTCTCGACGTCCACGAAGTAGAGGAAGCCCGTGCTGAGCGCGCCCCTGTATGTCCCTGTGCGTCAGCAGCAGTCAAAGGGTCAAGAGCAAAGGGACGGGAACACGCACAGTATGAAGAGGAACACGAAGGGATAGTTGTCGTTGTTCCCGGACGCGGTGATGATCGCGGACGACACGAGGGGCCCGATGAACGCGGACGTCTTCCCCACCACGGAGAAGAGCGCGAAGAACAGGAACCTGCGGGACGGCGAGGATGGTCAGCTGTTGTAGCAGCGTAGTGTGGGTTACGGGCACGTACATCTGCGGGAGCGGCGACACTTCGCTGATCATGGTCTGGCTGTATGCGTACCAAGGGCACACCATGAGGCCGTAGAAAGCTTGGTACAGCCTGCGTTGGGGTGTGAGTACGAGTAGCATAGGGAATACGATGCGAGGTGTCGTACCAGATCTCCCAGACGTGCTTGAAACCGAACTTGTCGGTGTGGATCCCGATGAGGCCCCATATCGTGAGGATGAGGATCCAGAACACGTTGAAGCAGAGCATCTGTTGCGGCGTAAGAACCGTGCACCTCAAGCATGATGTGGAAGATCGACATACCGTTTTCGTCGGAATTTGGAAACGCTTCTGAACGAGCCAGAACAGGCTGTTGGACGGGTCAGCGTTCTGCGGGGACAAGGGCCGAGGGCACGGTCCGCACTATATTCCTGCGCCTTGGGCGACGATCCCGACGATGAGAAGCAGGGTCAGCTGGAGCGTCGAATACGACACAACACTATTCTGCAGCGTCCCAATGACGGTTCTGGAAGTACCTGAGTAAGCGTGTCATATACAAAAGGGGGAAACTTACACTGTAGTGTTGAGGACGTCTCCCCTGCAAATTTCGTCAGCGAAACGCCCAAGCGTTTGAGAAAGCGACGCACATCAGGAAGTAAAATATGAGGTACAAGAAAGTCTGCTTCAGCCTTAGACACTCGCGAAACGCGACCACTGTCTGCTTGAAGCCAATAGTCAACATGGATGCCCCTGCAGGAAGGGCCAGTCCTGGTCGACGTTTCTCGAGGAAGAACCACGGCAGCGCGCATAACACTACGACGCCGTGCAGGTCAGCACGATACCTCGAGGGTATTGAAGATGAAGAACGACATACACCATATTCCTCCCGCGAAAGCAATGAGCACGCTGAAAGCCTTCGTGTTGTTCTCGGTGCTTGCGTCGGACTTTAGGCCCTTGAGGATGCCGACCATGACGGCGAGGATGATAATCTCGCCTGCTGAACACACGGCGAACGAGACGTTGGATATCCGGTTTCGTTCCATGGATTCATAGTCGGCATGCTCAACGTGCCTAGTATTAAATCAGCGACGTACGATACAACTTACCCAATTGACTTACGACTTTTCGCCTGCAGCGAACTTCTCGGCCGACTCCCGTACGTTGGGGAGGTCGCGAGCAAGCCCGGGAAATGCGGCCGTCCAAAATGTGAGTGCACACTGTGACGGTCGCTTAGCAATATGCAGGCGGATGAAGGTCATTTGAGCGAACCTGGTAGGTAATTACTGCGAGCCAACATTGTCAGTAGGGTAGGCGAATGAGACGATAAACGGGTACGTACAGCCGAGGATGTACAACGCGACACCCGCCTGCCATTTTGATGGGTCTTCAACCCCAAGCCAAGCGAATGAGACTGCAGCAGCTAGGATCGTGAAAAATATGGTAATATTGGGCCTGTAGGAAGCAGGCGTGAGCCATGGCATAGACCAAACGTTTCTAGTACTCACCTCCACGAGCCGTAGTCGGCCCAAGCGCCTACTATAAGTAGGACCGCAGCTTGCAGAGCGAAACTGATGCCATTTGTAAGGAGGACGATGGAGTTTACTGAACATGGCCAGTTTCTTGAGGGGTTGCTCAAACGAAGGGACTCTGCAGCATTGCTTACCGTCACGCACTCTCCCGAGGTATGGTAGCACACAATCCGTGCCCGACCCGCACGGCGCAGTGAATTGCGGTTGACTTGGGTCGTAACCTGCGAGGAACAGCAGGTTCTGGAACTGGGACGGTCCGAAATTGAATCCCGATAGGCCGTTGTTCCCCTAAAAGCGCCTCGATCAGCTTCACGGGGCCAAGCACGAGTTATTCCGTGCCACGGAAGACCGACCACTCACGATGTAATAAACGTAAAAGGCCCAGAGCTCTACGCGAGTGGTCGATCGCCGCGGCTGTATACTGGCGTCCTCGGGCTCGGCGCGGTCGCCGGGGAGGGTGAGCTCGACGTCCGCTGGGTTTTTCTCCTTCTCCGACATCGTTGTGGACAACCACCGTTCACCCAACAACGCCAGGGCATTTGCGCGGCACCCACAAGCCGCCCATCGGGGGCGGGCATTTCGTCATAGTGTTTTTAGGGCGCAGAGGGGAAGAGATAAAGAATATTGTGGGGTTTTGGCGAGCAAGTGTCCACATATGGGGTTAGTAACGTCCATTGGCTAATGGCGCAAATTAGCATATATAGTCCTATGAACATGTATTGCGCCGTCTCAGGCACTCTGATTTCTGCCAACTTATACTCGTAGATGCTCTCGTTGTGCTGTCTGCAATGTCATAGCTTGTGGCATGCGCGATGAGAAGTGTGTGGCGACTTTGATCTCTGCCATCGTGATAAATAAGTTCTTTATTATGGGCCGATAAGAGGCGCCTGGAAATGTTGCGAGGCAAATCCCGATTTCCTCCGGCAGCCGGCGACGTTGACGCAGTGCGCCTGCTCGCTGTTCACCACATTCCCGACCATCTCTCGGTCACTGTCTGCTATTGTCGCGTCGCGCATGTTACGTGCTCTGCCTGTCTCGAGGGCAGTGGGGGCGCCCGCGGGAAGGGCGTCGGTTCGGGTCGTCCGCCGAGTGAGTTGCTTGACCTCTGCCTCGCATCCGTGTCTCGTGTATCTGACAACAGCGAGCAGCGGTTCGCGACAGAACCGGCCCCTGCGCCGCCAAAGAAAAAGAAAAGCATCGTCAGGCGGCTCGTGCTCTACTCCGCTGCTGGAGTCTCTACATACTACGTCGGCAGCGCGTTCGTCTCGTTCCAGGTCCCGGCCTACCGTGATTTCTTCGTCGAGCAAGTCCCCCTCGGCGCGTCGTTCCTGCAGTATGCTGAGGACCACGAATGGGACACCCTCACCATCAACGACGTGTTGGACTCGGGCAAGAATGCGATAGTCATGTCCCGTGAGTACTTCGACAAACTCATGGCCCAGCTCGACCCGGAGAAGGCGAAGGAGGCCCTCGAGAAGACGAAGGCATCTGCGTCACAGGCCGCCGAGGACACTCGCGAGAGGTTGAAATCCATGTCTAAGAACGTCAAGACCTCGGTAGAGAAGAGCCAGGGCAAGGTGCATGATCAGGGTGCGAAGGCTGCAGCCATCGCGAAACACCAGTCCGTGCAGTTCTCTGAGGGCGTCGAGGATCTCATCCGCAAGGCCGAAGCTGCGCTGGCGGACAAGTCTGCGGTCACCAATCTCCCCGATGCAACCACCACTCCTGAGCAACCCGCGGGGTCACCGCCAGACGCGACTCCCCCGCACGACAATGCCACGGAGGAGACGTCGGTGCGTTCGAACGTCTACAACGCACCGTTGCCCGTGGGCTTCGAACCTCCACCCGGCTACTCTCGCCCCGCACCTCCCAAGCCTGCGCCCAAGGCCAAACCAGAATCTTCTGAGAAGAAGAGCGAACCCGCGCCTCCGCCTGCGCCGCTCCCACTCATTGCACCTGCTGTAGCGGAGCTCGGTGGATCTGAACCGGTCATTGCTCAACTCGCCACGGTCATCGACGACCTTGCGTCGTACCTCAACACAAACCCGACTGCAGCGGACAAGGCACGCGACATCCTCGACACTGCTAAGATCGACCTCACGCAGCTCGCAACCCGCTTCGACGAGGTCCGGGAGACGGAGCGTAAGAAGCTCGAGGCTTCTCTCGACGAGCAGGCGCGCGAGTGCATGCAGTCGCTCATGGAGCTCGAGATGTCGGCACAGGACAAGCTCGACACCCAGGAGGAGAGCTTCAAGAAGTTCTTTGAGCAGGAGCGCGCGAAGATGATTCAGGAGTACCGCCAGAAGCTCAACTCCGAGCTGCAGACCCAGAGCGAAATCATCAACGAGCGGTAAGTCTATCTCAGCTGTATGGTTCGTCAGTACTGACCGAACTTGATATCTGCTAGCCTACGTAACGAGGTCGTCGCGCAGGGTATCGAGCTCCAACGTCGCTGGATTCGCGAAATTAAGGTTCGCGTCGAGCAGGAGCGTGGTGGCCGCCTTGCGAAGCTAGACGAGATCGCGACGAGCCTCAAGCGCCTAGAACGTGTCGCGCTCGACAACTCCTCTTACCTTGACGAGAACATCCGCGTGCACGCCCTGTGGTCCGCTCTCCGCGCCGTTCATCACACCATCGACGCGTCTGAGCGCAAGCCGTTCCGGGAGGAGCTGCGGGCGCTCCGTCACGTCGCCGCAGCACGTGAGGACCCCGTCGTTGCTGCCGCGCTGGAGACTCTCGAGGCGTCGGAGGTGCCCGACATCGGTGTTGAGCCGCTTGCGGATCTCACGACGTGGTTTACGTCGTCCGTCGCACCCCGCGTGTCGAGTGTCGCTCTGGTTCCCGACCAGAATGCCGGCGTGCTCTCATACCTTGCGTCCAACCTGTTCTCGTCGTTCCGCTTCCAGCGTCATGGCCTGGTCGAGGGCTCCGACGTGCTGAGTGTACTCGCGAGGGCGGAGCACCATCTCAACGAGAAAGACCTTGATAGCGCGGCGCGGGAGCTCAACCAACTCAAGGGCCCTGCGAAGACTTTGCTTAGCGACTGGCTCGATGCTGCGAGGAGGCGCCTGGAGGTGCTGCAGGCATTGCAGGCATGTTTCAACCAGCTCATTGTGACATCCCATGGCTGATTGAAGTTTTCAGGTTGTCGAGACGGAAGCGACACTTGCTTCCCTCTTGGTTGTACAGGACTAGATTCTACATAATATCCGTAGTAGATTACAACACTGCATCTCTTCCTGCGTGCGTCTGGACCAGTCCGCTGGTAAATTATGCTTACAACACGCTCAATTCGTCACCAACGGCCAATGGGTAGATTATAAGTGGTGGCATGCATTTTTGATAAAGCGCATCCAGTGTTAGCGTGGTCCGACAGTACTTGCAACTCCGGGCTCTCAGTTCAAATCCACGTCGACTGTTCTTGCACACCTGCCATATCGAGAAATTTCACAGCGGATCAACGGCCCCGGCCACTGTTCCCAACTTGAGCTTGAACGTTGAACTTTTGCCATTCCTGATCCTGTACATACCGTATGCGCCAAGCATCAGAGCTCGTAAGTACGCGACGGTATTTTCCAAGACCATCAATTAATCGGTACCACAAGCTCTCATACAGGACACACGGGCGTGTCATGTCAACTACATGTGTGTTGGTGCAGGCTAGTGGCCGACATGCTGTAATATCCTTGGGTCTGGTGAGAAAGCTTGTATATAGGCCTATTTTACGGTACATGAGCTCAATATCATGATCGCTTTGGCAGTACACTAACTCCAGGCCGCGGTATCAGCGCCCGTTTTGTCAGCGGTACTTTGTCGGACGCAGTGCCTCCTTCGACCCTACTCCGAAAGACGGCCAACATGCTACGGCTCGCGAGGCACCAGCCCCGGTATCGGAATTATCTGAGGGGCCAGCGAACACCTCTGCCAAGCCCCCGCCATTGTTTTATAAACCTATAGTGCCCTACCCATACGAGCCGTGGACGGGGCCCGTCCCCCCGTGGCTCCGCGTCCCTTCTTTCAAACTAGAAAATATCAAGGACAGCGACTGGGTAGACCTATCGGATAGCTTCTTCAAGGTGGACGAGCGCGCCGGCTCGTCCCCTACCTTCTACTACACACTCCGCCGCACCAAAGTGGTAGTACTTACCCTTCCCGCCCCACACGCACGGCTTCTTTTACTGGACATGCGCCCCGGGGGTGCCACCCCTCCGGGCAGAAATACGCTTCAGGATCACAAGCCAAAGATCTGCCCGCTGGTTCGCTTTCGGGCGGGACCTTCTTGACATGTATGGGCTACCGTGGCGGCTGTCGGTGCTGGGCCTGTCCGCGCACCGGCACTTCGACTGGGTAGTCGATCAGCTCCTGCGGGAGGACCTGCTTTCTTTTCCGGAAGTGCGGCCGTACTCGCGCTACCTGGAAAACAGCGGCCTTCTTGGCCTTCCCTATATCTCCCATCACGTCGACGCGGGAGACGAAGCCCCATTCGGGTACAACTTCGGCACGTCCTCTCCCGCGAGCGCATGGATCATCACTTCCCTTCCGTTTCTGCATCGAATCGGCCTGCGAACCTTCTTCCGTATCGACGGTGCAGTGCCCCCTAGGTCGGGTACGTCGATTCCCGCTGTGACACGTTCCGGAGGTGATACTGACCGGCTCGAGCGCCACTAGGGTCTGCAATATTCTCCGTCGAGTGGCAGTACGACCGCCTCAAGCCAGGACGATATTTCTATGCGCTGCGGTGCCACAAGATTGTGGAGCCCCTGGTCTACCCATCCGCGAACGCCGGCAGACTCGCGTTAGCCGCGGTTGCCAAGGCGGCTGGACGGATACTTGAAAGCACGATTAGTCCGCAGGAGGACGACGCGGACGCATCGGGCCCAGTGGATACGCAACCGGGCTCACCACGGTGTGAGATTGCTGAAGGCCACCTGGTTTCTCTAGGCGGGAAGCCCTTGCTTTGGGCTAGGGCATACAATGGTGGCCCACCACGCGACGAGGACGACAAGGCTGCCGCGGGGGTTTCAAAGTAGGGTTCCGTGCTATATGATGGTGCGAGACGCCACTCAGGCCTCCAGTTCCCATATGCATGACTGTAGATGGGCAAAGCTTGACCTGCACTCAAACTCATGCTACTTGGCTCTTCACTACCTCCCATACTCTCGACATACGAGACCATTCCTACGGCGATACCAGTCTTCGCACACACATACGAGGATTTTGCCCACAGTCTAACTATCACGCCCCTCTGGAACTGGGGTTTAGGACTTGGCTAGACATTCCGCTGGCGTCCACAGACATTCTCTATTGTCCATATGTGGCAGACGATAGAAACCTACGAGAACATCGATATCGCCCGTCGTTCACGCGCCAGCAGCTTGCGTTACCTGCGGCACCTCCAGTAGTGCACACTCGCAAATCACCTGCGCCCTCCTTACAACCGTCTGCGACGCCTCGACGGACTGTCCCGCCACGCCCCGCGTCACCTTCACCAAGCCCGGAAACACGGTCGCGCCCACGCGATCAGGCTCCCCGTGCTCCGTCCGCTGGCAGCGCTTCACGAGCTCGATCTGCCGCGGGTTCATCGTGCTCCCCACATCCGGCACAAACGCCCGGTAGAACGCGTCGACCTGCCCGCCCGAGCTCGATGGCGCGCTGTGCAGCATGCGCGAGAAGTCGTATGCGGCCTCGAGGATGGGGATGAGCGCGCCGCCGAGCGTCGTCTTATCGGACGAGATCTCAAGCAGCTGCTGGAGGTTCGGCATGTGCTCCGACAGGAAGAAGAGCGACATTGCGAGCGAGCAGGTCTCGACGGCGGCGGAGAACGTCTGGCGGCGCCATACCGCCGCAACCGTGGGGTCTCCTGTGGGGAGATCGTCAATCGATGGCCATTCGGAGAGATTCTGAATAAAGATGCGTTGCGCACGGGAGAAGATGTGTTCGTGGATCCGTGCCAATTGGATGTTCGCATCCGGGGAGTCCGTGATGACCAGACAGTTGATGATCCCCTCCGCGATCGTCTTTGACACCGTGTGCCGCAGCAGGCTCTGCACCTGCATCCCCGTCGCATTTGGCGTCTGCGGCGGGAGTTCTGCGGGGTTGTCGTCGAAGACATCGGTGAGCGCCGCCGAGCGCATCGTGTTCAGCGGCACTGGGGGGTTGCGTGCCAGCTCCGCCGCCCAACGGTTGATCTGCCTCTCGAGGCCTGACGCTGCATTCTGCGTATCCAGTCAGGATATACATATGCACACTTTACATCTGTTCTCAGAGCGATAGGCCCGTGGAAAAAATAATCACGGACAGCGGTTTCAGGTAGCGACGCGGGGAGGACGCGGATGTACACGCCTGGGTGCGCGTATCTCTTCGCGGTGCTCGCGACCAGCTAACCGCCCTACGCGATGCGTCGCCGCTGCGTCTGGGTGCAAATGCCTCTGTGTGTTTTTCCACGGGGGCCTATCGATTTGAGAACAGCTGCCAGAGTTTAGCGCACACCTTTATCGAGAAGTCATCGACGGAGTTCCCGTTCAGCTTGCTTGCGCCGAAATGGCCCTGGTTCGTGCCCTCAAGAAGCGCTATGCGTGCACGGAGCTGCGCAACCTGCTTCTCCTGCTCCTGGAGCTGCACCCGTTGCTCCTCGACTTTCTCGTGGGCAATGCGCTAGATAGATTGTCATGGGTGTGAGTGTGGCTGTGCGGCGATCCTATCAACGCCAAGACATACGAAGTTGGTCAGCGCATAACGGTACTGCTCTCCGGAGACAACATCGTGTTGTGGGGTATATGCCATGGTTGTGGTATGAGGAGAAGATAGCTTAATATCGAGTGCATGGTGGCGTACGTGTAAGTGCTAGTAAACGACCTGATTGACAGATCGTAAATGTCGACGGCACAGCCGCGATCGGCGCCTGCCACCGGCGTGAACACGCATACCCGATTCCACTTCTTATGGGTTGTGACACGTTTGCTCATACGTAACAGCGGCAAACATGCACAGGTAACACAAGTAAGTATGCAGGAAACAAACGATTGCGATAGAAAGCTACTCGAGAATTTACAAGACAGACGGGCGAAGACGAGAACTTGGACTAGACGACGGGAACCACTATCTACATCGTGCGCTACTGCGATGACTGTATCGGTGTTATACATGAAGGCGGAAATCAACGGCGACGCGGTCTCTAGACTCTATCCTCTATCATCATCAAACTGCAGGAGTCAGAGGGGCGTGAGAGTTGGAAAGGGAGTCCGTTAGGAAGGGAGGTATGTTTCCAAGTCGTCAGGATATGTATGTATCGGGAGTATCGGGGCGGCCGGGGGCGGGGCGTTGCTCGTGGCAGTATTAGGTGCGGCCGGGCGCTGGATTATTTTACAAGACGCCGTCGAGGGTGCAGTGGTGTCGAGGGGATAGGGAGGAGGGTAAGAGGAGCGCGTCGTTCATTGACTCTTGCCGTGTTGGGCGTCAGAGGGGTAGGAGCCGAAGTTCGCGGGCTGCATAACGGGCGACGACAGCTGGAGTGTGTCCATGGCGAGCCCGAGCGGGTCGTTTGTCGCCTGAGCGTATGCTTGGGCGTGCGCGGCTTGGGCTTCAACGCTTTGGCCGAAGAACACCTCGGGGCTCGTGCATGTGGAGATGGCGCGACGCATACCGGTGGAGAGATACGTGCAACCGACTTGGTATGCGGCTGCGATCAGGATGCATCAGTACGACCGACGATGTACATGAGTGGACCAGAGCACTGACCGTTCATCCAACCGAAGCCTTCTCTTGGCACCATCTTGAAGTCGATTCCCTGGTTACCGTACTCGGCATCGACCAAGTGAGACAGCTTGACTGCATCGAACTGCGTAGCAACCGTGTAAGCCTTGGCCAAGAACTCGGCAGCCACTAGTCGCTCACCTTCTCCGGGACAACGCCGTTGAAGTCAACGAAAGCGGTCGTCATCCTGATTCAACGCTATGAGCCTCGCGAGTAAGCCAAAGGATGAGGGCACGCACATGTACAAGAACCGGTAAGCCAAACGCTGAGCATCTTCGAGGTATCCATACCGCTCAAGGCCGACCCAAGCCATGATCTGGTGTGGTGGCCTACATATATGTGGTGAGTACTGGTCCGCGAGTAAGACGGCTGTATGCATACCAAGCGTAACTAGAAAAACGATCTGGGTCAGTAGCTGCTTATGCATTTATGTAGCGCAGTGAACGTACGGGTAGTCCCATTGCCGGTTAGGACGGTCAAGGGAAATCTTGCCACGAGACTCCTCAGTTCCCGACACAAGTCCGCCGAGTACTTCGAACTTCTTGAGCGATTGCGAGCTGCATTCCCGGTTAGTCCATTCCAATCGTACGCGAAGCGGGTATGAAACTCACATAAGCTTCCAGCACTGCTCCTCGCTCGCGCATCCTGCCCAGAGCGCCCAGAATGCGGTGACACTCTCGTACAGGCTCTGCTTCTCCTGCACAGTGTCGTAGTCGAAGTACAGCGCTTTGCTCTCATTCCAGCAGTACTTGTTGATGATGCTCTTCCGCCACTCCGCGCGCTTGAACCACTCTTCGCTGTTCTGCATGCGCGAGCGCGAGCGCTCCCAGCGGCTCGGGTCCGCGTACGACTCGGGCGTGGGCGGGCACGGCGTGAGCGCAAAGTCCTCGTCGAGCTCGAGCTCATCGTCGAACACCTCGCGGATCGCGGTCCCGATGTCGACCTCGTACTTGTACAGCAGCGCCTGCAGGTCGATCGTGCCGAGGTTCGCGCAGCGCTTCTCGAAGCGGTAGGTCGTGTCGTGGCCCGACTCGCGCACCGCACGGTCGTGCAGGAAGTACTCGTCGAGCGCGGGCTCGTGGATCGTGCCGTCGTTGTACCGCTCGCTGAACTCGAGCACGGACAGCCCGTGTTTCGTCGCATAGGGCTCGAGCACGTGCGTGAAGTGCGTCGCCTCCGTCTCGGGGGGAATGCCGAGCCCATCGGGGCGGAAGCGCGAGAGACCTGTCTTCGGGTCCATGCGCGGCTCCGCGACCCAGATCGTGTGGTACTCCTTGATCGCGGCCTGAATGGCGCGCTTCAGCCACCGCCGGTTCTCGTCCATGTCCGAGCGGTCGAGCTGGTTGTAGATCTGCAGCGCCATGTCCGTCAGGAAGGGCGGCTGCGTCCGGCACAAGTAGTAGCTCCGCGAGCCGTTCAGGATCTTGCCGTAGTGCTTGATCTCAAAGATGAAGTGATCGACCATGCCCTTCGCGAGGTTTACGTAGCCGTCAACGAGGAGGCCCAGCGAAATGAAGTATGAATCCCAGTTGTACAGCTAGACGGACGGGTTGGTCAAATCATTCTACAAGAGAAATTTTGGGGTGTGCATACCTCGTTGAAACGCGCGCCGGGAACGACGAATGGGATGCCCTTCAGCACCTTGTCGCCCTTGCCGTTGTCGATCTCCTGCATCGCGAGCGCCAGGATACCAGGCTTGTTGTTCAGGCTTTTCACGAACACGGGGTCGTCAGGCTTTGGAGGCAAAACTTGCACGTCGAGGTTGAGATGAGGCTTCTCCTTCGCGACCTGCCGGTAATATTCTGCCATTGCTGGCTCTCCATGCGGGACGTATATACGCGGGTTGACGCGACCTGTCCGGTTCTTGGGATCTGCGCAGATGATTTCGAGGCCTTCTCCGTCTATCCGGCGAGTGAGCGCGTTCCAGAACGAGTGCTTGATCATGCGAGAGAGGCGGTCGACAGGGTTCTCAGTGAGACGGGCCTCGTCAAGCACAATTCGCTTCCGTCCGTGGTCTCGCGCAAGCGCGAGCTCTTGAAGCAGATTTGAGAGCATGTAGGTCCCCTAATGTCGACATGATCAGTACACTGTACGATACTGCTTCGACGATTGAATGCCCATTCAATGGTGTAATATCGGTAACGGCGATTACAGCCTCCGCGCGCCTGTTCCGGGTCAACATCTCGACAACGGGAGTGTCCATGACAGCTAGCGCCGTGCGTCAATCATCCCTGGATTGACGGCCCCGCAACGCCGTGGTATATTCCCCTTTACAGGAACGTGTTTCGACCTTCGACCCATGCGCTCGCATTCCCCCGAGGGAAATCGGACCCCACCGAACGAACCGGACAGGCGACCGCAGACCAGATCACAGCAATGTGGGGAAGATACTCACCCGCACGTCGAAGCTCTTGAAACCATTGCTCGTTGCGGTGCCCAGCGCCATGAGCTTCGGACCGGCGTCCGTAACGCTGATCTGGAAGTCGCCGTCGGTGTCCTCCTGCTCGAGGACGACGCGGATGGTCTCCTCGACGTCGATCAAAAAACGCCGTGGTGCGGAGCTCTTCTCGTCGTGGGACATTCGGCGTGAGCGTTGGTGCCACTCGTCGCCGAAAACGGGCGGCCGCTTTGGGTTGTAGCCATGGGCGAAGGACTACAATCAACGAGGCGCGCATTGGTGAGTCAAGGCTGAAAAGGTCCAGGGAGACTGAGCGGGCCACGTACTGCGCTGTAAGTCCGGCCACGGCTGAAGCGCTCCTCGCCGCCGTAGTAAGTGCTCGCGTCGCTGTGGACGTGTCGCTGCTGGTCGTCGATGAAGTTGACTCCAGTGGGGTGGGCGAGCGCGGGAGCCATGATGGTATAGCAGAGAGTGAGTGTATGCTAGTGAACGGAGAAGTATTCGGGCGAGAAAGAGAGCAGCGAAGTTGGGCGTATAAGGATAAGGCAGGCAGAGATGATGGATGAGAGGAGGATGATGAGGAAAGGAGAGGTGACGATTTGAGGAGACTTTACGCGAGATGGATCGGAGCGCGTGCCGAGGACCGCACGACGATATCGCTGACGCCCGTTTGCTCTTTCTCCTTCGACCTCGATGTTCGCTATTCACTCTATCTCCGAGCTCGTCGTCGCCGGCAATGGACAGGAGGGTGGCATTCCCCGTACGCAGCGCCCTTTATACCCGCAGACGTGCGCGCCTCAGCTGACCTCTGGTCGGTTACGGCACCCCTTCCCCGCATACGGCGTCCATCCCGCCACAGTCGCTCGTCTCGCACGGTGACCATCCGTTTCTCAAGCACTTGTCAGGCAACCAGGGCAGCTTGCACCTCCGAGATCTCATCTTGCGCGTTTTTCCCCACGCAGACGCGCCCCCACACCCCGCAGCGAGCCGTTTTGGGTGTCTCGTTCCACCCTTACTGTCGCGTGGCCAAACTGTGCCATCGCCCGCCATACTGCCTCTTCTCAGGCGCGACCCATTCAGGAACGACTGTCTGATCTGCCAGACGCACCGGACATTCGCAAGATCCGGTGTGTTCTCTTGCACCGACACAGACAATCTTGGCCATACCCCGGTGCGCTCGCACTTCTCTCCCCGGACATAGCCCAGCCACGCTATCTCACAGCGTTGGGTATGCTTAGGAAGCAAGGTCCACAACACGCCTTTTAAAAGCCAGCGGTAGTAACGTGCTCAGGTGCGTTCTGCTTAATCAGGCATTGCCACAACATGACAGAGCCCTTCGTGCGGACTTGCCGATGGTGGAAATGGAAGAGCCTCTCCCAGCTCCCGCTCCGCCATCTCGTGCGCAGTCATCGCATTGGGCGGGCAGATGAGCACTCTTGAATGCTCCAGATACTGGTGCACGCGTGCGCGTGCGCGTCACTGTTGCTGTTCTTCCTCACAAACGCGGCGCACGGCTTGTGCACGGCGGGTTCGGGGACGCCGCCGCGACGTTGACGCGAACACGCGCTCGCGCCCCCTTTCTGGCACTGGTCATCCGTGCCCCCAACGTAGAAGGCACGGGTTTGCCAGGCTCGTTTCTCCATGCCGACTGTGCCCACTGTTCACGCCAACGATCTAAATATGCATCGTTACCGTGAAGGCACATATCTGCACCCCGTTGTGACTACCGCTTCCACCTCGTGCCTTTCGGGGATTAAGTGGTCAGTGGGTACATACAACGGTGGGCGTGAACATTGCGCGAGCGTTGAACGGCGCGTTTTGCGTCCATGTCACACGGATGGCGGGCCGTGGCCATATGCATGGCCTTGATTAGTATGATTGCTGCATATGATCATGGCCGTTCCGTCGTTATGCGGCACATACACCTTGCGTAGACGTGTTTTGGAGAAATTCATGTTAGGGACGACGAGAAATTGCTCATATAATTTTTGGGATAGTCTTGGAACACCGATTGGGCTTCAGATTGCCACTGGATATGCTCTAAATACTGAATATGCTAGAAGACAAAGAATAGTCTCCCTCTCCCAATCTGTTCCTAGATAGAATCCGAGGATCTTATAAATGCTTCAAACTACGAGACACAACGACCCGTCGCGTTTAGTCCCAGGTAGGCCTGATATCTCATCCGTACTAGACTCCAACGCGAGACTGCTCGGACAAAAGAGCACATAGTGCCATGCTAATAAATCGCCACCCCATGGGTGAAATCCCTTATTGATAACAGGGGGACCTGGACTAGGTGGAGGTCTGCCAGTCTGATGCTGGGCTGATGCTATATTAGTTCAGGAAATGCAACAGGAATGTCTAGAGAAATTGCGACGATTGTATGTGCGTGGCGAGCCTCGAGGGACCCTGGAAGACCATCTATCAAGCCTTACCCTTCAGCACTCGCAATTCAGAACTCGAAGTGTGGTGAGTCGTGTTCACTCCACACATACTCATATGCCTGGAGGGAATTTACCGAAACCTCTGTAAACAAGTGTCCGTGCTTACCATTCCCAGGCAAGGTCTCTGTCTGGTGGCCGTACTGCAAGAGTTCGGGCTGTCGCAAACTATCATTTTAGGCTAAAGCACATCGTTGCACGTACTACGGATTATGCGAGGCCACACTCTCTCCGTGACCTTTCCGCCCGGATAGCCACGACATCTGCCTCAAGGTCATCTAGACGACCGGTGAACGTTCGAAGAAGGCGGTCTCGGCGAAAATACACGTCCGCTCTCCTGCAATCTGCCTGCCGGCTCCTCCAACACCTTATCTTGACGTCAGCGCGGGCGCCATGGTGGATCGTCCTTAGCAGCAATGGGTCCGTAATAACGTCTTTGCAACAATATCGGCGCATCGACTTCCTCGCTATCCTCTGGAACACGAAAAAAGATAGATATGCGGATGCGACACATGGTGCACACCACGGCATGTTCGTATCTCCTGCGGCCTTTTGACGTCAGAGGCACCCTCCCACGTCCAAACGGATTCTCTTCTCCCTCTCCTTCTCGCCCGAAGCCCGCCGCAGGGTCTTCCTGCAGCCGACACCTTCTACCGACGCTGATTGCGGCAGCGCTCTGGCTATATTTGTGGGATACAGGCTGACGCACGATGATGCTGCTGAATGGCTCTGGCCAGTCTCGCCCCGATCGAGGCGGTTGCCTCCAGATAGACTATAGACTTCCATTATGTATCTAGTACATATTTGTGCACGCAATGAGACCGCGATCGCCCTGAAAGAACAGATGGAAACGGCAACGGTCCGCCTCGAGGTGTGAGCTGATGGCAGAGCGGGAGACGCCTCGCGGACCCGTGCGACCTCGCGTCAGAGGCCCGTTCTTCGTCGCGACTCCATGATGCGCCTTTTCCCAACACCCTCCACGTCGTCGACGGCGTGCGTCGCAAAACACCCCCGGAGCACATCGAGCGACGAGGATGGACCATCAGCATGCCTTTCTCGTCCCTACGCCCGCCGCTGCGACTTTGATCGACATTGCACGACCGCCGACATTCGGGCCTGACGACATTCTGCACATCCCGCACCTCCGACTCATTCTCACCACCCTCCTGCCGGCCACCGTCGCGCTTGTGGTCTTCAGCTACGACCTGCTCGCGCGGATTCCGTATCCCAGAGCTGTTCGGCGCGTCGCGCACATTCTCGCGCGCCCGTTCCGCAACTTTATCACGTTCGAGGACCTGGACGAGCCCACGCCATGTCCAATTGGCCATGCACCCTGGAAGGCGCGCGCGCTCGCAGCGGGCGCAGTCGCGGAGAGCATCGGCTGGCTGGCGGTGCTCGCGTACAAGGAGGAGACGGGCGACTGGACGGGCAGCGTGCGCGCTGCGGTCAATTTCCTGGCTTGGGTGAGTGAACACATATTTGCGCGCGGCGTGCGCTGACGCAGTTTATGACGTCTATAGTCGTTTGCGTTCGTGCGAGTGCTTGTGAAGCCGCCGGTAACACCGCCGTATCTTCTGATGTGCTTTTACGTGGTGTGTGGGCTTGCGGCGCTCTATGACCTCTGGACGGACTATGCTGTATCGGGCGGCGCGCGCTGGGGCATGGTCGCGCTCGACGCGGTGCAGCTGTGCACTCTTAGCCTATTGGTGTGGCTAGCAGGGACGTACCCCTTGCAAGCAATATGGCCCGCTAAAAACGTCGGAAGGCCCTCTGAGGTGCGTACCCAAGTTCACATTGCAACCAGATGCTCACATGCCGCCGTGTACAGCCGTCTTCGAGCTCAAAGACCATGCCAGAAGATAGCACTGATTTCTGGGGCTGGTCCACATTCTCATTCGTCGAGCCGCTGTTCAAGACCTCCAACGCGCGCACGGTGAACGATGAGGACGTGTGGGCACTCTCGCCCTTCTTCACGCACAAGAACATCTTCACAAAATACCTAAGCTATATCTCAAAGTGCGCATCCCTCAGTTGCCTTATAAGTCACCCGCTAATCCCGCAGGCAGGCACCCGACACATTCGCTCCTGCGGTACCTGCTCGTGTCGAGTTCGCTTGATCTAATCCTGGATGTTCTCCTCGAAACCTGGAGTGCGACTGTCGGTACGTTGCCTGCAGTTGCTCGGATGTTTCAATATTTTTAAACCATTGTCGTCAGGCTTCATCCCGCCATACGCGCTTCAGCGCATTTTGACAGCGCTCGCCGACCCTGCACCTGGCGCCAAGAACACCGCCTACCTCTTCGCGGTGGTCGCATTCTTGGCGAACTTATCCTTCGCCCAAGTTGATATCAATAAGCTGTGGTTCACGCGACGATGCTACGAACGGACGCGCGGGCAGCTCTTCTGCGCGCTGCATTACAAGTAGATCATCTCCCCTCCTGGGGCATGGATTGCGACTAACGCAGCGGTCATGACAGAGCGCTGAAGAGGCGCGATATTGGCGCGCAGGTGACGAAGAAGGATGACGATGACGAGGGCAGCGCGGATCTAGGGAAGATCGTGAACCTCATGCAGTGGGTTCCGCGACACCGGCTGACATTCTGACCGTAATGGCTCACATGGTCGTATCTCAGGGGAGACGCGTACTCTGTTGCCTACCGCTTCTGGCGATTCTCCGGTTTCTTCCTGGCCCCGGTGCGCTTGACCATCGCGATGATATTCCTATACAGGTTGGTGCGCTTCCGACCGCTATCGGGAACCGGGTAATCTGACTCCTCGTCTAGGGTTCTGGGCTGGAGCGCGTTCACAGCGGTTGTCATCGTGCTGATTGTGTATATCCTAAATTACCCGCTGGCGAAATACGACGTCTGGGTGAGTACTTGACTCCCCTTCACAAGACTTCCTCCGCTGACTTACCAGAGAGCCTAGTTAATGCGGCAAATGTGGAAGGCGAGCGATCGCCGGATGAACGTCGTCAACGAGCTCTGGCAGAACATCCGCTTCCTCAAGTTCTACGGCTGGGGTACGCAAACGGTCCTCTCACCTCGCGCTGTCCATATATCCTGTTTGACACCGTAAACCTCACAGAGTACCGCTGGAGCGAGCGAGTGCGCGAAGCGCGCGAGACCGAGCTCGGCTGGCAGGTCAAGGAGAACATCGTGGACGTGTTCATCAACTTCATCTGGAACTGGATGCCGTCTGCAACTGCGCTCGGGACGTTTGTCTGCTACACCGTCCTCGCGGGTCAGCGCCTTACTGTGGCGAAGGCGTTTACGTCGATATCCCTCTTCTCGTACCTACAGGGCCCGATGACGGAGATTCCAGACCAGATCTTCTCGCTTCTGCACGGTTAGTCTTGCCCGTTTTATGCCTATTGCACCGGAACACTGAAGGCGGCCGGGGACAGCGTATATCAGCATGCAGCGTATCGAGAAATTCTTCGCCGAGCCCGAGGTACCAGACTGGGCGTCGTCTTTGAAGAGGCCCACGGAACCGAGCTCGTCAAACGACACGGAGATCGGGTTCGAGAACGCAACGTTCGAGTGGGGCACTGCCCCGACGGAAACGCCCTCACGGTTCACACTGGGTCCTCTCGATGTTCGCTTCCCGCCCGGAAAGCTGACCGTTGTGAGCGGGCCGACTGGTTCTGGAAAGAGCGCGCTGCTTGTTGCGTTACTGGGGGGTATGTCTGCTGCACGCATGTACACTGACTGGCGAGATGTTCATTTTGGCCTCAGAGATGCACTGTACGGCCGGTCGGGTCATCCTCAACAAGGCTGGCCACCAGGTCGCATACTGCGCGCAAAATCCTTGTGAGCGGGTCGAGGACACTATTCGAAATTGGTGCTGACGTTGTGCAAAGGGCTCGAGCATGCTACTATACGCGACAACATCATCTTTGGCGCAGGGTACGGCTACGACGAACATCGTTACCGCGCGGTGGTAGATGCTTGCGCACTTGAAAAGGACTTCGAGATCTTCGCGGCTGGGGATATGACGGGTAAGTCAACGTCGTGTCAACAGTAGTAGCTCACTCATCAATTGCACCACAGAGATCGGAGAGAAGGGCATTACGCTGTCTGGTGGACAGCGAGCTCGTATCGCCCTAGCTCGGGCGCTGTATTCGCCTGCCAAGGTCAGCCACATCATTACCACAGACACGTTCAATCGCTCATCGCCTCTGTAGTGTATCCTCCTCGACGACCCGTAAGTTCGAGGCTGACACTCGCATGCGTCATATTTAACTCTTCGTAGGCTTGCAGCAGTGGACCTTCACACCGCGCAGCATATCGTCAAGAAGGCTTTGATGGGAGATCTCGCTCGCAACCGGACGGTCATCCTCGTAACCCACCACATTACCCTTTGCTTGCCCATTGCTGCTTACCTAGTTGAACTATCATCCGGCTCTGTCCTGCGTCAGGGCTCGGCCTCCGAGCTCCGTGAGCATGGCGAGCTAGAGAGGTTGGTCGAAGCGGAAGACACCACAGAGGAGGACCAGACCGAATCGTCGTCATCTGACACACACGTCGAGAATGAAGCGGACCTCAGCGCGACTGTGCCGAAGCCCGACGCGAAACCCCAAGAGATCAGTGGGAAGCTGGTCGACGATGAGTTCCGCGCGGAAGGACGGGTGTCCCTTCGCACCTATTGGACGTACATCCGGGCAGCGGGCATCGTCTCCTGGATCCTCACCTTCGCTCTCATGGTCCTTATTCGCTGTATCAACGTCGCCTTTCAGGTTAGTCAGTGCGAGTGCTTGGGGAGGATGGCAAGGGCTTATCGCGCTGTAGTTCTTCCTCGCGCGGTGGGGAGAAGCATACGAAGGACACGAGTCTTTCACACACCCCTTGGCCGTCCAAGCACAGGGTGTCCTGTCCAACCTACCGTCACCCGACGTCAACGTGAAACCCTGGCTAATGATCTACCTGTACATCTCGGTCGCTGGGGCTCTCTCCGTTCTCGCGTACATCTCGCTCGGATACTACGCTAGCCTGCAGGCCTCCCGCTCTCTGTTTATCTTGATGTTGCAGCGACTGTCTCGCGCTCCGGCGCGCTTCTTCGACGTCACTCCCATCGGCCGCATCCTGAATCGCTTCACATCGGACATCAACACCGTGGACCACGCGCTGCATGCCTCTGGGCGAGCCGCCCTCTCGGGCACGCTAAACTTCATCATCTCGTTCTCCGTGATCATATCAGTTGTGCCATCCTTTGCTCCCTTCGCACTCTTCATCGCATGGCTGTACATCCGCCTCGCGCCGTCCTATGTTCGGGCATCCAGAGACCTACGCCGGCTGGAGAGCGTATCTCTGTCGCCGGCCTTTGCAGGGTTCGATGAGCTTTTGCGAGGATTGCCACATGTTCGTGCATTTGGCATGGAGGAACGGTACCAAGATCGATTTTACAAGCGTGTCGATAAATTCCAGACATTCGATCATGTCTATGTAGGTCACCTTGCTCGAAGGTTTGCGGAGCGAGACAGCGGACTGACAATGACCCTCTTAGTGGCTGATCGCAGGTTGGCTCAATTGGCGTTACGATTGTTCGTACTGCATGTTGCTTATGACTTGTCAAAGAAATACTGACTGATTTACAAACAGGTTTAGGGTCCTTGGTGGTTTTCCTGACGACGCTCTTCGCGCTATGGACTTCCGTGTCCTCGGGCTACGCCGCCCTAGTTATTGTCCAGGCAGGCATATTCGCAGAGGCGTCTCGGCAGCTGGTGAGGTATGTACCTGGCTGAATTTGTTGGTTTTCGCGCGCTGTGTTCACATGCTACTTGCACTAGGGTCTTAGCGCAAGTCGAGCTCGACTTCAACTCGGTCGAGCGCATTGTTGAGTATCTGGAAGTACCTCAAGAGGCTCCCGCGGTCGTACAGGACAAACGTCCGCCAGCCGTATGGCCAACGAGCGACGGCGAGCTTATCGTGCAAGATCTCGTTGTGAAATACGCGCCCCATTTGCCTGCAGTCTTGAAGGGTCTGTCGTTCCACGTGAGGCCGACGGAGAAGATCGCAGTGGTGCGCACCGTTCAATTTATTTGGGTACGTAGCGGAAGGACTGATATGTGAATGATACTAGGTCGGTCGAACTGGATCGGGGAAGTCAACGCTTGCGATGTCGTTGCTGCGAATCGTCGAGCCAGTCGAGGGGTATATCATGTGGGTGACATTGTCCTACGAAGAAATAGTGCCAGTGCTCACGGTCCCTGCGCAGCATCGATGGCATAGACATCACGACCATCGGTCTCGAAGACCTGCGAAGTCGGATCGTATGTCCCTTTTTCTGACGCATCGTACCATCGTCATTCACATTGTACACAGACCATCATAAGCCAAGACGTCTCGCTCTTCTCCGGCACTCTCCGAAGTAATCTAGACCCGTTCGACGAGCACTCCGACCAGGAGTGCTGGGACGTGCTCGAGCGCTGCCACCTCACGACCATCCTGCGGGGCTCCATGCAGCGCTCCCGCGAGGACCCCTCCAGCATCTCGCTCGACATGCCCATCACCCAGACCGGCTCGCTCAGCGCAGGCGAGCGCCAGCTCGTCGCGATGGCGCGCGCCATCCTGCGACGCAGTAACGTTGTGATCTTGGACGAGGCCACCTCGCAGATCGACACGGACCTCGACGACCAGGTGCGTTTCTCGCCTACGCTGCGCGTACAAGCAACTTAGCATAACGCGTTTCCGCGTAGATACAACGCACGATCCGGGAAGAGTTCGCCGGGGCGATCGTTATCACGATCGCGCACCGGCTCAGGACTGTCCTGGACTACGACCGCATCATGGTGCTCGGCGCCGGGGAGGTGCTGGAGTTCGACACGCCCGGCGTGCTCGTCAAAAGGCCGGGCAGTGTGTTCAGGGAAATGTGTCGGGCGAGCACGGATAAGAGGGTTTATCAGGCTGCATCGGAGAGTTGATTGATCAGCTTAGCTTCTCGCGGACGGTTCTTACTCTATTCACCTCGATAATGCTTTTGGGATTTCTAGTGGGGCTATTTGCAATAAGATCGCTGAACTGCCTGCTATAGAGCGTTCGCACCTGCATCAATAACAGAGTACTTGAGGTCGTACATGGCCAATGACGCAAACTTGTGAGGCATACTGTACCGCGTCCTCGTTTCGAATATCTTGCATCACTTTCAATCTTTGCTGACGGACGTGGTATCGTGAGGATATTGCTGCCACTTGGGCACGGATCAACGTGCAGCCACAGGCCTTCTGATACGATTGGTAGGGAGGACCAGTAAACGGCATTGTATGGCCTTTTTTCGTAAGATGCGTCGAGTCTTCTATGATGACAAGTCTCAACTTTCAAGAACACTTCGAATGTTCAGGGTGTCTTGCAGACTCTGCGCCTGACTGTCTGATTATCCCAATTGAAAATGCAGTTGCGAGCGTGGCCGCCGCTACAAACCGTGCTAATGTACACCCTTCGTTCCATCGTATCCTGCACGGCCCGTCAGTTCTTGCGCACATGCACAGTAAGCAAATCCACAGCTCACAGAACACTCGGAAGCACCTGTGCTCGATCTGCAGCACCCCGCTATCCAGGAGCCCCGCCGGGAGCACACCGCGCACCGCCTTCATGCACTCCTCCGCCGCGAACGACCGCGTGACCCGCACGCTGACCGTCTTCAGCCCCGGGAACCGGGCGACGGCCTGCTCGATCCGTGGCGCTACGCAGTGCAGGCTGTCGAATAAGGTGTCCGGGTGCTGTGCGTATGGTAGGGAGAGCGCGAGTGTGCGGATGGTTGGGGGCGTGGCGGCGAGGATGTACGCGATGGCGGCGCAGACGTGGAGGTCCTGCTCGAGCGCATCGTCGGCGGGGACATCGCCGATGTGGTGCCAGTCTAGACGGAGGGTCTCGAGGTGCGTGCATGGGGTGATGTCGAACGTGGCCCAGAGGCCTGTGTGTTGCATCACGGTCAGCAACGGCCGCGTGGTGGCGGATGGCACTTACTATCACTCCCCAGCTCCGTGGTGTACAACATGCCGTATGAGACGTCCACATGGACGTCACGTATGCTGTCTGCGTGACGGCGGAGCAGCATTCCGGCGAGCTGCAGCGAAGCGAAGTCCCTCGGGGTGAGCCGAACAGTCTGGAGAGATCCAGGGTCGAATCCCCCGCACTCGAGGCTGCAGGTGGCGAAACAGTCATTGTTGATGAGGTTGATGCTACGTGCGACCGGGCGCGTGGCGGTGGATGAGACCAGTACGTCTGATGTCGCAGTAGTATTGGTCGTATCGAGCATCCGATTACTCGCCAGGTGTATATGGTCCAGTTCGAAGAAGCTGGTGAGGTCGAAAGTCGTGGATTGAGGTCGTAAGAAAGGTATATACTGCAAACCGAAGACCCCCAGGGTATGGAGTCGAACAGGTGCTGTCGGCAGAGGGGTATCACTGGGCCAGCCGAGCAGCGTGAATGCCTCCAGTTTCAGCTGGGCTCTGGAGGACAACTTGGCTGCGATCTTCATGAGGAGCACGGGGGACACCTGGTGTTCTTCGGGCTTGTCTTCATTGCCTCGGAGCTGGTGGTCGTCCTCCCGGGACCCGGTGAAGTATATGCACAGAAGACGCGTAGCTGCAGCTATGTGCGGCGAGGACTCGAGACACGCGAGAAATTGGTCCAGGTGTTTCGATTTGAGGTCCAGCCACACATGCTCGAAAAGGCGTCTTTGGGCGAATGGCCTCCAGGAACGGCAAACGAGAGCGCAAGAGGCAAGTGTTCCGATTTCCTGCTTGGAAAGATTGATGTAGAAGCATCGCGGGGTATGAGTGTTTTCGAGGATGAGGTCGGCAATCTCAAGCGGTATGTGCGAGTGGGTCATGGTGAGACCCATAAAAGCAGCGTCGGATATTGCCGAATCACAAGTACTGCTCAAAACCAGTGGCGCGGCCGGACTGCTCCTTACCTTAGCCCACCATGGTCCACATACCACCTGAGATTGCGGACCTCATAATCGGGAACACCCATAACGCACATGTCTTCCATTCCTCCCTTCCGGACAAAAACACCCTTACCTCCTGCTCTCTCGTTTGTCAATCCTGGAGACCATTCGCGCAAAAACGGCTTTTCGAGGAAGTACGGCTAGACATCAAATTCCGGCCCCTCGACCAATCCCTGGCCTTTCTGGAGTATTCGCCGCACATAGCGGCAGCCATACGTTCCCTATACATACACACCCATACATCTCGTTCATGTCTATCCGTTGACCCTGATGAATCGGATACCGAAAATGGGCCCAAGGAGCCCCAGGTGTCCCCCATCCTCCTCATGAAGATCGCGGCCCAGTTATCCCCCAGGGCACGTCTACATCTGGAGACATTCACCCTACTTGGCTGGCCTAGCGACACTCCCCTTCCGACAACACCTATTCGACTTCATAAGTTATGGCTCTTCAATGTGGTGTACAAACCCTTTTCAAGTCCGCAGACGGCGTCCTTCGATCTCATCAGCCTCTTCGAGCTTGACGAGATCCACGTCTTGGGCGGACGCATGCTTGACACACCAGACGTTACTCGGAGACTCGACGTGCTTGTTCTACCAGTCGCTACCCGTCCGGTCGCACGAAGCTTCTTCTTCCACGGCTCCGACTGCTTCGCTGCCTGCAACCTCCAGTGCGGGGGCTTCGATCCTGAACATCTCAAGAGCGTTGTGTTCTCCTTGAGAGACCTCGCCTCGCTGCAGTTTTTCTCAAAGCTGCTCCGTTTCCAAGGAACCGGCATACGTGATGTCCGCTTGGACATCTCATACGGCCTCCCGCATGTGCAGAAAGGAACCGGTGAGTCTGAGTCTTCGCCGTCGACGCACGTTCAATATCGCTAGCGGCTGACGTTAAGAAATGCGGCACTCAGACCACTGGGACACTTTCGCTATAGCAGCGTGCATCCGCCTCGAGTCCCTGCGTTTGGAGTGGCAGCACGTGGGCGTAATCCCCGGGACGCAGGAGCAGGACTTCAACGCTTGCGAGAGAATCGCTGTGATCCTCGCATCTACGCCGCAGACCCTCCGTAACCTCACATTCTCCCTGCCGCACATGCACCATCCGGGAGCTCTGGGCGATACGCTGGGATGCCTAGCCCCGCGAATCGACCAAGCCGTCGACAGGTTTAGGGGGCTGAGGAGAATCACTGTGATGGTGACGCGGTTCAAGTTGTTTGCGGCCGAGGAGTGTATGAACGTTGTACGCAGTACGCTCCCGACGAGGCTCTTGGATAGCGGGGTGCTGCAAATTGAGAACATGCCCTTTTTGGGTTTGTCTCTGTAAGTCATGATCACCTTTCTGTGCGTACGTTAAGCGAATTAACGGGTCATTCAGGATGTATGCTGGAAGGTAAATACGCAACGTATTGTTGTAAAGGTATCATTCTACTGTGTCAAATCTTTCGAGTCAAATTGATGTTTTGAGCCCACAGGATCCCGCGCAGGCGATGGTATACCATGGTGTACGAGATTCTATGAGTCGGTGACAATCTCTGACGCGTAGTAATTCAAGTACGGCTCTTTGGAACACGTACGTAGAGCCTCGAGGCTGCCATATATCCGTAATCTTGCTCCGGGCTGTTCCAAGCGTGACGCGGTCTCTACGTATTGACATCATCTGTATCCAGTGTTATTGGGAGCAAACTGCGACGTCCGTGGCGGACGATAACCGGGCCCTGTTACGATGCATGCGGTTAGTATACTTTGACCGGGGTGTCGCATTTGTTAACATCGACGGTTGACCATAAGCTGAGGCAATAAGTAGTCAGCACGATCGTGCATCATTTTAAGACTGGACTGTGACCGTATCATGGTGCTCGGCGCTGGGAAGGGTTCGAGGCCCCAAGCGTGCTCGTCAAAAAGCCGGTCAGTATGTTCGGGACAATACGCTGAGCAACCACGGACAGCCTGAGGTGTATCAGGTTACACCAGCCTGAGAGAGCTAGCGGCCAACTGAACATCTCGTTCACAGTACTTACACCTCGATGTCCTTTTGGGCCTTCCACTGGTGGGGCTATTGGTGATACAATTGCTGAACCGCCTGGCTTCGGTGCACTACTGTGCCGCCCGCCCGTTGGGCGAGCATGAACCAATACGCTGTGGTACACGGACCGCTGTGGTACACGGACAGTAGTAGAGCCTTACACACTCTCCCTTCAGTATACATCCTGAAGGACATCTTAGTTCGCTTTCGATACGTTCAGAAAGGGGATCATAACTTACAGAACAGAAAGAGCTCGTGCTCGACCCGCAGGACTCCGTTATCCAAGAGCCCCGTCGGAAGCGTACCGCGCACAACGTTCATACACTCTTCGGCTGCAAACGACCGCGTCGCCTTCACAGTGATTGTCTTCAGCTCGCTGAACCTGTCGACGGCCTGGTCGATCCGCGGAGCTAGGCAGCGCAGCATCTCGTCCAGGGCATCCGGGTGTTGCGCGTACGGCAGGGAGAACGAGAGCCTGCGGAGGGTCTGCGGCGTGGACGCGAGGACGGCGGCGATGCTGTCGCAAGCGTTCAAGTCTTGGTCCTGCGCTCCGTATGCCCGGGTGCCCACGTGGTGCCACTCCAGATGCAGAGACTCGAGTTGGGTGCATGCCGCTATGTCTAAAGTGCCCCAGAGGCCTAAGCACCACATTGACATCAGCCGATGGCGATAAAGAGCGTGGGGACTCACCGGTTCCCGGCTCCGTATTCGAGACGTCATACGAGATTTTCAAGTCGATGTCGCGTATGCCGCCCCCTTGGAAGCGAAGCAGCGCGGAGGCGAGCTTCAACGAGGCAATGTCTCTCAGGGAGAACACAACGCTCTTGAGGTGTCCAGGATCGAAGCCCCCGCACTGGATATTACAGGCCGCGAAGCAGTCGGAGCCAAGGAGGTGGACGCTCCGTGCGACCGGGCGGGTAGCGGCTTGTAAAACGAGCACGTCGCGTATCCGCGCAGTGTCTGTCGTGGCAGGCATCCGTCCGCCCACGAAGTGGATCTCGTCGACCTCGAAGAGGCTGGTGATATCGAAAGACGTCGTCTGAGGACTTAGAAAGGGGATGTACATCAGACTGCAGAGTGCAAGTATACGGAGTCGAACAGGTGCAGACGGAAGGGGTATGTCGGAGGGCCAGCCGAGTAGTGTGAACGTTTCCAATCTCAGATGAGCCCTGGAGGATAACTGGGCCGCGACTTTCATGAGGAGGACGGGGCACACCTGGGGCTCTTTGCGCTTGTCTTCGGGATGGGACTTTTCGTAGTCATCGGCCAGAGAGGATCGGGGGTTGATGGCGTATATATACAGGTAGCGTATGGCTGCCGCTATGTGCGGCGAGGACTCGAGAAATGTAAGCAATTGGTCGAGAGGTCTGCCAAAGTGGATGTCCAGCCGTAGTTCCTCGAAAAGCCGTTTTTGGGCGAATGGTCTCCAGGAGCGACAGACAAGAGCGCATGAAGCGAGCGTTCGTTCGTTTCGATGAGAGCAGTTGGGAGATCCCGTGTTTGCCAGTATGAGGTCCGCAATCTCAGGCGGTATGTGGGCCATGGTGGGCTAAGACAAACACTGTAGTGGGCGCTAGTCCCGCAAGCAAGCGATCATACTGATGTTCAAATATGTGATGATATGGATTAGATCGATATCATAAGAGGTGACAGAGGGGTGCAGATGTTGTATGTAAGTATTCTGTATGAGAATCGAGGGCGCGAGATCGCGGATGAGCGCGTTTGGTGCGGTACGAACGGGGATTGCGCTGGGAACGACGTCAAGTACATGGAGCGTACCGGAGCGCCCGAGCCAGGTACAGTTTGCGTACGAATGTAATCAAGCCGTGAACGGAATAAATGCAAGCTTGGTACGAGTTCGGCGAAGTAACGTTAACATTCTGCTCAACTGAGGTGCGGCGCGAGCGATTCCGCCTGGTCCCTTGTATATATCCAGCCCCCACCCACGCCTGTTTAGGCTCGTTACAAGTGGAAAGCCAGCCGACAGAAACAAATCATAAAGAAACGTCCTGGCTCTTGCTGTGCGACTCCCTACTCGTGCGTCGAGAGCATCGGGCTGGGTAGGCGAACCGCCTTCATACGGTCGTGCCCTATCCGCCAGCGACAAAGGGCGCCGGAGCTGTCGCTGAGGGGCAGGCACGACCATATGAAAATGCAGCAGGACGGTAAAGCGCGCTTACCGACCTACCGAAGATACTGTCGCTGGCGCGGAGCGTGTTGTAGGTTGAGGGCCAGAGGCCAAATGCTAAGTTGAAGTTATATTAGTGCTGAGCTATGGTGCATCGAAGTAGAACACATACCTGCCGTTGACGGGGTTTGGACCGTGTGAATGACGAAGAGGATGCCTACGGAGGGGTGTTCGTCTCTGGGAGAGAGAGCATGACGTCCCAGTCCCTAGGCATAATGCTTCGGAGTTTGTCCATGTGGTCGACGTCGTCGATGTACTTGTCGTGGTATCGTCGGATCACCGCGAGCAGCTCGAGCTTGGCCATGCCCACGTACTGACGAAAGCGTATGCGCAGTCGCCTTCCCGCAAGCCACTCGATGATGAAGTGGATGTCGCTTAGGTCCGACTTGAGCTTCCGGAGGACCATGGGAAAAGTGTAGGTGTGCGCCGTGGACCACCGCTTGAACGCGGACAGGATGAGAATTGCGGGGTGCAATATCTCGAGGCCTTCATAGCGTAAGGGCTATCAAGCGTGACGATATGTACACAAAGACGCTCACCAGTTTCTCCGGCGTTGAATGTGGACTTGATAGACAACGGCAAACCCGCCTCACTCGCGCGCATGGTGGAGATGTGAACATGAGGACTGTTCCAAATGTGTTCGTCATTCTCCTGAATTGGTGTCAGCATTGCAAGTTGCAATAAATATGTGCTGCAACGCGTGAGGTCAGGACAGCATAGTACTGCCCGTCTCGCCTATGAACTGCGCTCAACGTACCTCAGCGGTGTAGAAGAAGGTGAGCTGCAGATCATCTCCGAGATGAAGGTCGAGGTCCACAACGCTGTCTCGTAAGCCGAAGACGGGCGTGCCCATTATGAGCACATCTATACCGTAGAAACGCGGTGAAGTCAGCTCTCGACTGCTTACATGGCGCACCGCACACGACCAATTACTCATCTTGACCGGACGGTCGCTGCCTATACATGCCAAAGCGAGCCCGCCTATATAGGCATGCCGGACACCCATACCGTCAAAATGAGCAGAAAGGGCTTGTGCAGCAGTGATATAGTCCTACCAGTTCAGAGTAAGTATCGAGAAACGGCGCGACGCGACGACGTCAGAGTGGGGGGACGACAGGGTAGAGGGCACTCACCGTGAAGGTTCTGGGTCTCATGGGCAAGTATTGGGCGCGTCGGTACAGCGCAAGCGTTGTATGTGACTTGTGAGTCGTATGAAGACTCATGGTTGTGCAGTGTGTGGAGGGTAGCGTTGAGGTCGATGAGCAAGAGAGGTTCGGCCCTTGCCGTACGTACTGCGCTGCTTCAAGTATTGAGGTACACGGGGTCCTCCGAAGCCGTGTCCCTGGGGTCCGTGCGATGGCATCCTACAGTCGGTGGGGCCTGGGCGCTTGCACTGCTTTGTTTGGACAAGCTCCGTTCTGCTGCCAAAGACAACTCAGACCAGTACCACCACCACCAACCCTCGCTGTACCATGTCGCAGACCTTAACAACCACGCTTGACTCTCCAGCCTCATCCGCGATCATGCTACACACACCAAAGGACATGCAGGATTATTTCCAGGACGCACACCCCTCCTCTCCTTCGGCGTCTGCAATACATGCCTCTTCACCAGAGCAACTCGTCGATAAGGCACTGTACGCTTTGGAAAAGGCCGGGGTCCAACTCATCGAATGGAAGTCGCTCCTATACAGGCGCATGGGCGTTCCTGTGATTCTCAAAGTACGTGTCATTCACATATCATCCACGATCTTACTGCTAATGCTCGCCGCCGCCTGCAGAACTTTCAATATCTCGTCCCGGATGAGCAGCTGGAGTGCGCCTCGACGATCCTCGAGGAGGGCGAAGGTCTACCGCTCTCTATCCCCCCACCGCTACTATTGAAGACTGGCGGCGACTTCTACGCAAAGGCGATGATGCACCGGGTTTCACAATATACCTCGGTGGCACAAGCACAGCACCTCATGCTCTATCCCGCCAGCCTAGCGGCATACGCCCATACCGAGCTCGAGTTAAAACCCCGCCTCACCCCCCTTGCGCACCCAAATTGCGAAAACATTCTCGTCCCTTCGCCCCCAGCGGTGTACGCCTCGCTCCTGCGCATGATGCGTTCGTATCCACGCTACAGTCCCACGCGCAAGACGCTCGAGTCAGACCTTTCCGAGCTCATCGGATATAACCTATATGGGCTCGAGGACGGGTTCGTCGATTGTGATGACGAGGAGTTGTGCGAAAACCTCCAGGTCGACCGGCGTGTCGGGGACGCAATAGCCGTCGTGCGGGCCTGGCGACAGACCTCCGAGCTGCGCGACGAGGACAACTGGATTGCGGAGACTCTGGAGGATATTGTCTCAGGTAGAAGGGACATCGAAGACGTTCCCTGGGCTGCGCCTCCAGCCAGGCTATAGCCTCGGCTCGGCGCTGCGGCATCTCACGCATCATCGACGTCGCGCTCTCCTCCCTTGCTAGGGTTGTTACAGTGCGTTTTCTTACCCCTATCCACTGCTCGAACATGTCGTTTTAACAGTTTCGAAACCACTAGCACTACTACTTGTTAGGAAACACGATGCTTCCCGCAGGCTTCGAGGTCAACCGCTGCTCCTTGGGTTAGTATACTACCTCTGTCCAGGCATAGCACGACAGGCCGTCTGACTCAGGGTCAAGACTCGGAGTGCGAGGCAAGTCTCCTGCCAGCGAACGATGCTACTTTTCTGACCTTCAGCACAGTATCTCCATGGAGCCTATTCTAGATGTGGAGGAAGAGCCCGTGTACTATCATCTTCGGCCGTCAATGTCTACCTCATGGGCCCGGCGCATCTGGGCCGCCCTCGTCATGTCGGTTTGCTCACTACTATGTGACCTCCTAAGAATAGCATATGCACACTCTCAGGCAATAGGGATTGTTCTTACGACAACGACTCCCACCGTCTTCCGCTCTACAGCCGACTACTCGTCCACCGTCTCTCAGACCGACCCGTTTGCGCTTCGCTACGTGAACTATCGCCACACTCGCCTTGGCTGCCGTCTATAGCCTATACACATCCTTTCGTAATAGTGAGTTGAGAAGTTTTCGTAAGTCGAGGCTTATTACGGAAGTTCCTTAGCTGCCGTGAGCACCACCTTTCACAACGTTTGTCAGCGACGATTCGCGAGAACGTCCTGGGGCCAGAAGGCCCCAGCGGCGGAGGGATCTGTACCGCAGAACACGTTCCGGCTCATGTTCCGCGTTCTGGTGGCATGGTCGAGTGACAGAGGTGAGCAGTGGTGTCGTGTCCTCGATGGTGACACCCTGCACCTGCGTGAACGGCAGCTCCCACTCGAGCCGGAGCTTGTTCGACCAGAACGAGAGCACCTTCGTCGTCGTCAGCAGCACGACGTTGTCTCCCCCAGGGAGGTCTGTTAGGTACGTCAGAAAGTGCGTTTTCGTCTTACTCGTGGAGGACATACTGAGGTGTGCAACGTAGGTCTCGGTGCGGAACCTGCCCGACTCGAGGTCCTTCATCCAGTACTGGCCCAATGCTTCGCGCTCGGCATACGGCTACTCGGGGTGTTAGAGCGGTGTTAGAGCACTATGAGCATGCCACATACCACGAGGACACCATCGGCAGGTATGAGACGAGGCTGCATGAGGTGAGGTGAGGCCACTGGGATACCGACCGACTACGGAGAATCCTCACCAAGCGAACGCGGTCTCGAGCCGGGTTGTCGAACACCGTCGTGGATCCATATCGTGCCGTGTGTAGCATTTTGCCCGCTCCAACGTGAGTAGTTGGGTGGCGGGCTCGTGCCAAGCGCATTGACCCTGGTACGTGGTCGCTGCCACTGTGGCCATCTTTGCCACACTCAGTCACCCAGAACGCAGAACATGTTCAGGAATTCGTCCCCCAGGACACATCCCGCAGCCCCTAGGACATTCTCCCTGGGGCTGCCGTGGAGCGTGTTCCGGATGACAGAGTGTGACAAAGATATCATACGCCAAACCACAGGAGTCGAGAAACTCTGGGGTAAGTGCATTCGTGCGTCGCCGAAGTGCATCTGAAGTGCTCCCTTAACCCCTAGTATTCAGCGTAATGTCGTCCACAGCCAGGTTATTGGGTGGCACATCTACCACGCTGAGAGTAACATGTATGACGTGCTCAAGGTTGGCCATAGTGGTAGCGACTACATACTGCGGCGAGCGTACTACTACCAGGTCGAGGCTTGAGGCTCGAGGCTACCACTCAAGTATTCACGTTCAAGTCGGAGCGGGCAACATGCCACACACCGCACGATATTGATACACCGCTGGTTACCTTCACCACTCGACCTAGTTACCCTGCACAACGCAGAACATAAGCCGGAACGTGTTCTGCGGGACAGAACTCCGCTGCCGGGACTTTCAGCGAATCGCTCATGGACATTGTGTTCGTTATGCGTCGAGTATCAGTGCAGACAATGCAGGATTGTAAGTACGTATGTCAATACCTTGAGTCCAACGTCACTTTCTAATATATTGCGTATGGCATTTACGGCGCCGGTACCTCGAATATACGAGCTACCGGCGACCGAAATCACATTGACCTGAGTCACTGAGTGGCGAGAACAGCTGAGCACTGCGCGGACCGGATGCAGTTGTGCAATGCTTGGAAGTCCGATCGCGTCTATATCCGGCACTCTAAGTTGCGCGGCAATTCTCAGTGCAAATCAGCGGCGCTGTGTGGCCCTCTCTCCTTCCTCTTCCCCATATATGTCCGGTACCACAAGCATCAGTCTCTCGAAGTATGGCAACACGCCAAGCACAGCTTCTCACCGTCGCAGAAGGAAGGGTCGGACAATGCACATCATATCGCAATGACATTATACCCCTGCCGGCCTGAGACTACGTGACCCCGTGAGTACTATCGGGGGCGCATGTCCGCATGATGCGCCGCTTACCTGCGGCACCAGCCTGGGACTTTCTATTCGGATGTCGCCCCCCAGCCGGCCGAGAAGCTGGAGGTCTCCATTCCGTTATTTAGCTTGCACTGCGCTGTCAGACACAGACTCCGTCGACGCCCCAGAGAGCCACAGGAACATTTCGCAGCTTGTCCGCAACCACGCTGACGATGCCCCTGCCCGCTCACCCGCACATCAGCCCGCATGCAGCGAAGTCCGTCGTGGCCGCGTCGACGGCGGCCCTCGGTGCGCTCACCATCGCTCTTCGGTATTGGTACAGCAAACAGGGGCCCGGGGCGCACTCGGCGCTTGTTGGCGACCCTGCTACGGCCGCGAGACGCGTTACCGCGAGCGCGGAGGATGAGTACGACTTTGACGAGTATGACGTCGTGATTATCGGCGGGGGTGAGCCTTCATTTGCGTGCCAGTACAAAAAACGCGCGTTAATCCGCGTGATATAGGTACCGCGGGATGCGCACTGGCGGCGCGGTTGACCGAGGACTCGTCTATTCGAGTTATGCTGCTCGAAGCAGGCAAGAGGTCAGCACAAAAATAATACGGAACAGGACTAGCGATACTGATATGCATTTTCGCAGCTCTCTTGATGAACTGTTTGCGACTGTCCCTGTGTCTTATAGCCGAATGTTCCATACCACCCTTGACTGGGAACTGTGGACTACACCTCAGGAACACTCGGGTGGAGTGGCCAAGTATTGGCCGAGGGGCAAACTACTAGGAGGCTGCAGCTGCCTCAACGCTATGGTGTCAGTCCCGCACATCTGCTTCTCCCAAAATGTGCGAGCTTATTTGCCTCTCAAGGTTCCACATGGCCGCACCTGAGGATTACAACGAATGGGCCCTGGCTCAGAAGGGCCAGGAGGGGGCCAATGGCTGGTCATACAACGAGTTCCGAAAGTGAGCCCCCAGCATCGTCTATGTATGTGAATCAAGCACGCTTATGGGTGCCACAGATACATGCTCAAATTCGAGAAGTACCTCCCAAGCGCCAGACATCCAAAGGTGGATGCATCCCTGCGCGGTGAATCCGGACCTGTGGAAGGTAAGGGCGTTACAGGTGCGCGCTCGAGTTGGGTCTGACGATAGCATTCAGTTGGCTTCTTCGGGCACCAGGCCGAAGGCACGCCTAAATTTATCGAGGCCTGTGCGAACGCGGGTATCCCAGCAGTCCCGGACGTCAACACAGCTAGGGGGACCATGGGTGTTACAAAAGTACGTTCACGGCGGCTCCATACCTCGCCCGCGTTTAGCTAATCTGTTTTTAGGCGAGTATGTAGTTGACGGTACCGTTTATTGACTCGGTCTGAATCTGACCGGGCTCACAGTGACGTTCATCAACTCAAGCGGCAGACGAGTGACAACAGAGTTCGCATACCTGACTCCAGAAGTCGTCCGCAGGCCCAACCTGAAGGTCGTCACCCATGCGCACGTCACTCGCGTCCTCTTCGACACCTCAGGTGCCACCCCTCGGGCTGTCGGCGCCGAGTTCACACAGCCTGGTGGAGAGACGTTCCGGGTCAAAGCCAGGAAGGAGGTCGTGCTCTCGTATGTCCCAGGTTCCCATATACGCCCATAAACACAGAACTGACATTTAACCCTACGCGGCTGCATAGTGCTGGGGCAGTGCACACACCCCACATCCTTATGCTCTCCGGAGTAGGCCCGGCGGAGCACCTGCGCGAACACAATATTCTCGTCGTTGTGGACCTCCCGGGTGTTGGTTCGCATCTTATGGACCACCCCGTCGTTGATCTGCACTTCCGCGACAAGTCCGAGTCGAGCATCGCGTTCGTGGCGGGAAAGTCGCTCGCGTCCCAGCTGAAGCTCATACCTGCGCTCCTGCAGTACCGCCTTAAGGGCAGCGGGCCTCTCACCTCCAACGTAGGCCCCACTGAGCATTCGGCCCTAGCTGAAGCTGCGAATTGACGGGGAATTGCGTTGCAGATATGCGAGGCGATCGCGTTCGTGCGCTCGACGGACCGCAGCCTCTTCCCTCTAGAGGAGTTCCCGCCGGAGACGGATCCCGAGGACACGACGTCCGGGCCCGGCGCGCCTGACCTTGAGCTCTTCTTCACGCCGCTCACGTACACGAAGCACACGGGTGGCGCACTCCCGCCAGGTCACTACTTTGGGCTGCACGCAGTGCTCCTCAGGTGCGTCTCGCTTGACGTGGGCGGGAGGCAACACCTGCGGAGACACTGCTCACCTTTTCTGTGTATTTCATCTCTAGGCCATCCAGTACGGGCACCATCAGGCTAAAGTCAAACAACCCCTACGACGCCCCCATCATCGACCCCAAGTACCTCTCTACCCAACACGACGTCTCCGTGCTCGTACGCGCCCTGCGCCTCCTCTCCCGCATCGCGCACACCGCCCCTCTCTCGGACATGCTCGACCCCGTCGCTGCAGACGATCCCGCACTCGACCACGCGCTGCACACCCGCGACGACTCCGCGCTCGCGGAGCGCGTGCGCCGTACGGCGGAGACGCTGTACCACCCCGCATGCACCGCGCGCATGGCGCAGCGCGCGGAAGGCGGCGTTGTCGACCCGGCGCTGCGCGTGTATGGCGTTGAGGGGCTGCGTGTTGTGGACGCGAGCGTGTTTCCGACGATTGTTAGTGGACATACGGTAAGCGGTAGAATTTGAGGTTTGTGCGCGGAGGAAGCTGATGACGTTGCAGGCTGGGCCGGTCATCGCGGTTGCGGAGAAGGGCGCGGATTTGATTAAGGCCGATTTGGCCAAGCCTAAGGCGTGAGCTGGGGAACAGGGCGGAGCGTCACCTGTAGTTAACGGGGTGCTACGAACATGCGTTATTTTCTGCGTGCGCGGACCCTGGATTGATTCCAGACCGCTGTAATGTATATTATACTGACAAGAATTTTCAACCTTGACAAATTCAGACGGTACATACAAAGCTTGGCTGCTAAGTATTGCTGGTCATCGTTCGGGATATGATCGACGCGTCGGGTTACACACGTACTGGGGTATCGTCAAGGATGTGTCAAAATTGGTATAGTACATATGCATACAGCGCAGCAGTCACGCAGGTCATGAAGCAGTGAATCTAGCACTACCAGCAGGAACGAAATTCAGACGTAGACAGAATCAGAAGACTACACACATCCATCCTCCCAGAGGCCGGACATTTGAACAACACAGAGTCTGCTTCAGGTGGTGCCCAGAAGCTTGTTCATCAACTGCTCCTCCCGCTCCCGCGCCTTGATCCTATCCTCCTTCAGCCGCTCAAGCCCGCTCTGGATGCTCCGCATGTGCACCTCCACGGGAATCCTATCCCCAACGATATCCGGCGCCGCGACGCGCTCGCGCAGATCCTCCATATCCTCGCCCATCGCCATGATCGTCTGCTTCGCCGCCGCCACATGCGCCGCCGCGCGCTTGCGATACTCGCCCAGGTCGCGCAGCAGCTCCAGGTTCCCGTCGATCCCGCGCAGGCGGCGCCGGTTCCCGCCGAGGAGCGTCCACAGCTCCGCGAGCACGTCCTCGCGCACGGCGGAGAGCCCGACGTTCTCGCGCGTGCACAGCTCGTGGAGCACGATGAGGTGCGTGTCGAGCCGCTCGAGGTTCGCCTCGGAGACGGCGAGCTCGAGCACGAGGCGGCGCATCTCGGTCGCGTGCACGTCCATGGAGTCGCGGAAGGCGGAGACGACGAGGTCTTGCGAGGGTGGGGTGGGGGGAGGGGTGAATGGCCAGATTACTTGGAGCACGGACTTGGGCTCATCTTGTGTGCCTTCGATGGTGCGCAGCGCGTAGTCATTGATCGCCATGATCCTGCAGGGTATGTGCGTCAGAAAGAGTGGTTTATGGAACGAGGGAGATCGGGGGGGCTTACTTGTCGACTGCGCCGTTGACCTTGGACGTGAGCTTCTGGAGGCCGCGTCCGGTCATCTTCGCGTCCTCGACGAACTCGATGAGCGACTCCGCGAGGAGGTCCTTGCTCTTCAGCTGGCTGAACTTGACGAGCGTGATGAGGTCCTTCGACGCCATCTCCGCCTTCTTGATCTCGAGGCTGAGGCCGGAGCCGCCGACGGCGCCATCAAGGAGCTCCTCGAAGCTGCTGCTCTGGATCTTGACCAGCTCCGGGTAGTCCGCTCGCAGTGGGACGGGCTCCCCGTCATCAGTGAGCTGGACCTGGGGAACACGGCAGAGCGCAGACCCCGAAATGCCCGGGAGAATGCAGAAGGGCGCGACAATGGGCCGAAGAGTGTGGAAGACGCTAGTAACGATGAGCCCCAGTAGCCACAAGGCGAGAAGGATCCCGAACGGCCACCGCAGGAGCCGCAGTGCGTGAGTGAGCACGCTCCCGAAGTAGCGCACAGTCTCTGCGGTACCGTGGATGAGCGCGTCTTGCACGTCTTCGCGGTCGATCGCGATCGCGGCACGAGGGGGGTTACGTTGTCGCTGTAGCTGCTGAGGTCGAATGTTGGCACGGCGGGGCTGCGTTGCTATAAACTGCGGTTGGGCGATCGGGGTTCCTGCTTTGTTTCCTCTGCGGCGCCTCGCACCTGAGCGGGGAGTGCCCGGTGCGCTAGATGTCACAGAGCCGGATCGTGGAGACAACGCTGTAGCTGGGTCGTATCGCGCGAGATTGGTGTCGGGGACGTCTTCCCATTCGGTGTCATCCACTTGGTCAGAGGAGTTCTGGCCTCCAACCTTCGTCGAAGATATGTTAACCAATGTACACATGGACACATCACCAGAGAAAGATGTCTCACCACTTGATCTCCCGACATTGATTGTTAGTTGCGGTTGCTGATTTTTTCCGAGGGTTCTGCTTCGACGAGATGCGGTTTCTAGGTGCGAATCAGTCCGCCAACTCGTGCTACTCGGGAATATGTTTTGAAGGGGAGGTGGGCTGGTGAATGAGGCTTACCCTAAACCGTGTGTTATGAGCGTTGTGTGCGCGAGGTTTCCACGTGGGTATGATGAACTCAGGGGATGGTGGGGGTGGTGGTAGAGAGAAAGAGAGCAAGAGAGTGGGGACTCAGAGACTCAAACCATGTGCGTGACGTCGTGGCTAAGGTGCACCGTGGGCGCTAATGCACAGCCACATGTGGCTACATACAATAAGCGCCTATGATTGTCCGGTGAGTGCCTGTAAAGATGATAAAGCTCCGCCCGTTGAGCAACTGGTGGCACGAAAGTCGTGCACCTTCCTTGTTCATGTGCATTCACTTTCTATTAAGAATAGATGAATAATATATTTCTTGACCATGGACTCACTGAAGTACCGTGTGCGGTGGTATAGAATGCAGCTCTGTCACAACTTCTTGGATAAAAGCCATGGCAAAGATTTCGATTTGTGAAGTGACTAGATCTAGAGTCGCTCGAGGCTCCTTACACACCCCGGAACCCAGGCAGGTCATGGTATGACATTAGCAGGTGACAAATCCCATACCAGTAAAAGACTTGCTAGTTTGGATAGCGCGATGTGAAATACCGCGATGTCTCCAGTTGTTTGAGCTAAAGCTCGATATACTTGCACCATGAGCAGTGAACATAGGTGAACATTCACCAGTGTCCGGCTACTATGATTGGACACAAGTACTGGGAGCAGTTTGGTAGCGGAAGTGGCAAGAGCGGAAGATCGTCGTCCGCTTTTCTCGGACCGGCAGCGAAGGGTAGCCGAGCCGGATTGGGGAAGGGGCGGCACCGCGGCGGGACGGGGACCGAGGGCGCTTCGCCGGCTGCTGAGCGAGATGATGATGGTCGACGGCGTCCAATCCGTTGGGGAAGATAGAGCGGCGAGCTCGATGCCCTCGGTCTCTTGCCCTGACCGACGTTCGCAACGTTCACCCATTTACCCGCTGCCCCTCGCAATACCTTGCTCGCCGTGTGATTGGTGGCCGCAGACAGTGAGCACGACATTCATAAAGCTTAACCCCGCGCGCCTGAGAGTCTGACGTCGTCTTGCAACTCCCTTGCGCCGCAGTGAGCTCCCGCAAACTCGTCCACCGCACCGCCAGCATGCAGGCCATCCTGCAGTCGTTCTCCGGCTTGTCAGTCAAAGGTGCGCACCCTCGGGTTGTGCAAGCAGCGTCAAGGCTAATCTGAACCGCCTGTGCGCCACAATGAAGACCTCGCAGGTCTTCTGACCACCCGCACCATTCAAATCGTCCCTAGCGTCGCAAAGTACCTGGTGATACTCTTGTTCCTGGTGCAAATCCGATCGTGGCCTTTCACCTGGCATTGTGAGTGCATTTGCATGGTGTTCTGTCGCGTGCCGCCACTTATCTCGGACCAGGGCGCGTGTGGTCCCCCGTCTTCGCACTCCGGGGCCGGTTCCTCTTGCACAAATGCTCAAACCTACTGCGATCGCCCGCGACGCGCAAGGTGAAGAACTTGGAGTGGCTGGAAGAGTTCTCGCCTATCGGGGCGAACCCGTTCGAGAAGCAGTTTACGTACAAGATGTGGGCCGGTGAGTGCACCCTCTCTGTTTGCGGGGGAACAATGGGAAAGATGGAAGTCGAAGAACCCTCAGACCATGCTTCGGAGTAACAAGCAGCGGAAATCGGGCGTACATGATCCTTCCACTTCCACTATCCAGCATATACTCCCCTTCGTGTCTGCTATGAGCTTGCTCGAGTCCCAGCGGTACCCCCGCGCAGATCATGTTCCGAGTTTCTGACCGTCTATATAGGTCCGGACGACTGTGACTTCAACCTTCACCTGAGCAACTCCTCCTACCCTAAGGTGCGAATAGCTTAGTATTTCACCTCTCGCATATGCTCATATTTGCCTCTAGCACCTGGATGGCGCGCGTTTTCGGTATGCGCTGAAGTGTGGCCCTACCTTCTTCCGTGCAGGCGGCTGGATGGGTCTCGGAGGTAACCAACGTCTGCGATCACGAACCGTGCACTATCTCATCACGTTTCTACCCCAGCGACCCACTTCACCTTCCTACGCGAAATCCCGATGTTTGCACACTACGAAATGCGCGTGGGCTTGCTGAGCTTTGACAGCAAATGGGTGCGTCCGGGCCTCCCCCCATGCTTATCCCGGCTGACTATATGCGCCACCCTCTGCACAGCTGTTCATTGTGACCCGCTTCGTGACCAAGGCCAAGCCGAAGGGCAAGAAGGCCGCGATCAAATCCGCCTCCCCCCCACCTGCGCCCGCCAGCAACCCCACTCTGCATACCGCGAATGGCCTGAACACTGGCACGTCCACCCCGCTCCCCTCCGACGCGTCCGCGCCGAACGCGAAGACGCTCGCCGCGCAGCTCATTGAGCGGCCCGAGCCGGATGGCGCCGTCCTGAACTGTCTCGCGATTTCCGAGGTCGTGTGCAAGATCGGACGCATTACCGTCCCTCCCGCACTCGTGTACGCCATGGACGGTTTCTGCGCTCTATCACCCGAAGGCAAGCCATACTCGCGCACAAATCTGCCGCCGCACTGGGACCGCGTCCGGGCGCTGCGCGGGGACGCGCACCCCGGGCTAGTCATGCCCGGTAAGGCTGCGCTCAAGACGCTCAGGAATTACTACACGCATGGCTGGCGTGAGGAGCCCGAGGACGCACGTTGGTGGGAGCAGGCGCTCGGCGGGGAGATCGAGGAGCGCAGGCTCAAGGCCCTCGCGGCGATGCAGGGGCTCCGGAGGGGCATGGAGGAGGCGAGGGCTTACTGAGCACTGAGCACTTGCGGGGAATCGTGGTCTGTATTTAAACGGTAATGGAGGCGCAATATTTAGAGGTGCCACAACGTATCATAACTGTTTACTAGTAGCTGTAGGTGTAATCGCGCGTGTCGACGATAGGCGTGCATGCGATAGCGGCCAAGGCGAAACTCAGACTCAGGGGGCGAAGTCGCGCAGCATCTTCTGGAAGTACGGGCAGCTTACTTCGCATAGGCCGTGGCATTCGCAGACGATCCCGCACGACGGCGACGAGGGCGGCGCCGTGTCGTGGTAGGCAACCTCCCTAGGGTAGTCAGGCACTCCCGCGACGGTCTCTGTCAACGCGTCTACGACGGCCTTACCCTTCCACACCAGCCAGAGGCTCTCCAGGTCGTCCTGCCCAACTCGCATGTGCAGGCGCGGTTTCGGCTGGAACCCGAACCACGCCCACGCCACACGCGCCCCCAGCACCGCGAGCGTCGCCATCCTGCGCCGCGGGTCCGCGTCGTAGTAGAGGAGCGCGGCGGCACAGGCGAGGAACACGAAGACGTGCTCGTACGCGTTGGCGGCCCAGTAGGCGACGCGGCGCATCCCACGCGGGGGCGGTCCGCGGAGGAAGCCGCCCCCAAAGGCGAGCGCACCCGCTGAGTTTGGTGCGAGGAGGATTGCGCCACCGACGGCTGCGCACCAGGGGAGGAAGAGCACGATGTGGAGGACGTTCTCGAGGAGCGCGCCGTCTATGTTCAGGGTGGGCAAGTAGGCGTTTGTAGGCAGCTCTGGGGCGGAGGCGCAGTCCTCGAGCTCGTCGTCGACCTGAACGAGGGCGTCGCTGGGCGTGGGGTCCTCCTCTTCAGGCGGGTTGCCGTATTGGAACACGGTGATTAACTGGTAGGCGTCTTGCTCGTCTATGTGTGGGGTAGAGGGTCCGCTGTCGATAGTAGGTGTGGTGGAGTTGTGGGGTCTGCCCGGCGACACGTAGATTGGGAGTGCACGGCATTCAGCGGAGGTCATGCTGAACTTGCTCTCGCTAGGCTATTGTACACCAACATGGTGAGTGAACATATGTAGTGCGAGGAGTACGGCAGACACACCTTTGTGATGGGAGCAGCAGTGTTCTTCTTGGTGTCCGTGTCGGACTCCGACGTGACGATGATCGAGATGCCAGACGCGGCGGTAGTTGCCTGAGTAGGGCCTGTCAGTACGTGCTATCGAATGTACACTTACATCCGACTCACCTCGCTCCGTTCCTCGGTCGCCGAACTGGTAAGAGACTGTGCAGACAGCGACTCCCCTAGACCTGCGCCATTTCCGTGCTTCTTGCGAAGCTATCGTTAAGGTCAATAAGTATGCTCATCGCTCTGTCCACACTGCCTTAGCGTACCTTGCGAATGGACCTCCGAGCGACGATCTTCACAAACCCCTTCGCCTTGCCCACGACCTTTCCCAGCGGGCGCACGCGCGGCGAGGCGGTCGCAGCAGTAACACCCACCCCGATGGACACCGCGCGGGGTCGGCACGCGACGTTCGGCTGGTAGTGCGGGCCACGGCGCTGGCGCACGGGCGGAAAACACACCTCGTCCGTCGACCACGCCGAGTCGTAGTAGACAAGGACTTCGTTGGAGCGCACGCCATCGAACGTTGTGTACGATACCGCCCCGGAGAGGAGTGATGAGCAGGACATTTCGCTGAGGAGGGGCGGGGAGAGCTCTTCGAGCGAGCGGCTCCGCGAGAGACCATTCTCGTTCTGCGCGCGCGTGTTAGTGATATGCACTGGTAGAATGCGCAGGGGGTGCTCACCGGGAGAGGTCGGCGGAATGCGGTAGGCATCTGGGATATGGTACCGGCGCGGTCGTTAACGTGGATGTGGATGTGGATGAAGTGAAGTGCAGTCTAGGGTGCGTGAAGGGAAGAGGGACAGTGCAGTAGGGAGCTCTGCTCGTTCGCGCGGCATCAACCAACCACCCAGATGTCAGCCTCTTGGGGCTGGCGAACTCCACACTGCCGGGCACTCCTAGTACTGTATGGGTGCGGCATTGCGATCGGGACCACCTTGGCACATCGCGATACCCCGAGGTAAAGCAGCCCCGTACGGGAATAGAGGACGAAATTCCAGCGTTTGCGCAGGAGAAGCAAGCACGAGTAATGCACTAGAAAGCCTGTGGGCGTCAATATGGACACATATCGCAATACGCCACCAGTATGCCAGCTAAACGCTGGGAGCTCGTGCGGGTGTGATGTAGAGTGAGAGATATTAGGTTGCAAAGGATACATAAAAACGCAACCCTGGTTCCACAGGCTCCGATGATACAGGGAATTCACGTTTAGTTACTGCCGATGTACCTTGGGCGCCGGAATGAGACCCAGCAGGCCAAAGACCAGCGCATACAGCCCAGACGCTATGAAGGTGCGGTCATAAGCTCATTATTCTGTAGTTGCGGCGAGTAGAACCTTACAGGCTATTACCCCTTCCAAGTAGCCCAAGCTTGACCAACGGCCGAAGGTATACGCGAGGAGGGTCCAGCCGGCGACTATGGACGCGGTCATGATCTACCAAGCTGTCAGATTGACCTTTTGCGAGGCAGTAACGCGCTGCGGACTCACAGGAATGACTGTACTTAGCACCCCAGACTGTCGCCAGTGCCGGTACTGCGCAGACGGGGTTAATGACGTGTGGAGTGTACCTGACTACGCAAAGGCGTCCACTCACATTTGGCTGTTCTCCTTGGAGTAATGGTAGTACTAAAACGTATAGAAACAGAGAGATGGTGACGGTGGCTGAGAGGATGGATAACCGTGCCGCAGACCTAGTACACGCCCGACCGTTGGTACTAGTCTTTGCGCAAGAAGTGAGTGCCAGACATACCGGCCCCAGCCTTGTACTGCCCCATCCCCTGCCAGGATCCGAAGGAAGACATTATGGCTGTCAAAATAGTACGTGGTGAGTCCTCCCGGGAGCACGAACTTGAGCTGCTTGAGCGTGTGGCGAGAGAAGCGGACGAGTGAAGACATGCTAGGGAGCAACCAGCGGATATAGGAGGGGTCTGCGTCGTCAGCAGCAGCGTGATAGGGCCCAGGGCGGCGAGCACAGTGCTCAGGGCAGTGAGGTCGTAGTGATCGGCGGCGAGCGCGCTTTCACATGTTTCCGCCAGCTGCCAATTATAGCCAATTACACGACCGATATTCTTCAGCTAAGCTGTCCAAACCTGGAATACTGCGCAGTAAAATAATCGTTAAATAATAGGCCCCACCACTGCGGGAGAGCGGTCCTGGGATGAGCATGAGCATGCTCTCCTCCTCTTCGCCGCCATCTGTCTATATGCGTTGATACACGCCCACCACAACCTCGACCAACATGTGGTCCGGTACACCCAAGCTCGCCTTCGTCGCCCTCCTCGCGGTGAACTGCGTCCTCTGGTCACAGAGCAAGTACAGCCAAGTCGGCACGCGATCACCGTTCTTGGCTTCAAGCATCGCCAAGCGAAGCTACACAGAGGGACCCCTCAGCTCGTTCAGTGAGGTAAGTCTTCATTCGCAATGAAACTCGGACGGACAAGCTCACGCAGAGAGCAAGGAATGCCATCCGCTCTCAGTACCCCTCGCGGATCAATGTGCCCATGTCCGGGACGCCTGTGCCATGGAGCGCACATTCCTCTCCATCGGCTACCTTGAGTCCTACTTCTGCTCTGAACTGCCCATCCGACCTCTAGTCTTCGTTGGCTATGCGCTCTGGCTCGGATTCCTCTTCTCTACACTCGGTATCAGCGCCTCCGACTTCTTCTGCCCCAACCTCGGAACTATCGCACACTTGCTAGGTCTCGACGAGAATGTTGCTGGCGTTACGTTCCTCGCGTTTGGGAACGGCAGCCCAGACATGTTTGCAACGTTCTCCGCCATGCGGTCCAATTCCGGAGGCCTCGCGATTGGGGAGCTGCTCGGAGCTGCGGCTTTCATAACGTCGTGCGTGGTCGGCTCCATGTGCATCATCAAGCCGTTCAAGGTAATTCGCGGACCATTCCTGCGAGATGTCGGCTTCTTCACCGTGGCCGTCTCTATCCTCTTGGTCGTGCTGTGGGACAACAAACTGGAAGCGTGGGAGGCCGCGGCGATGATCGTGCTATACGGAGTCTACGTAACCTCTGTGATTGCGTCGAGTTGGTGGCGGAAGCGACAGGAGAATTGGCGGAAGTACGAGTCTCTTATGCGCAGCGAGTATGCCGAGGAAGAGCCGTACCATGACGAGGAACCCATCTTCGAACGTAAGTATACTGTATTCTTCATGATTCGATACAACTAACGTGCTCGCAGCATCACCCTCGCTCTCCCCTGACACCCTCAATGTACCATCCAGCCATTCGCGCGCCCGCGCAATCTCTCACCCGGAACCTCCCCGTTTGGGGCTCCAGACCGACCTTCCCCCACGGCCCCGAACCCGATCATCCTCACCCTCTTCATCCCCGCGACTTAGTCACATGCCATCCTTCTCACTAGTCGGTGCTCTAGAGTTCCGACGCGTTGTCTCGTCTTTAAACAAGGACTCCGCCTCCTCCCGCTTGAGCGTCTTTGAGAGTCCTCTCACCCCCTATGGAGGACCGCACTTGCGCCACGCCCGTACCACATCAGGGTCCCGCACACCTTCGCGAACGCCACATAGACAAAGTCGCGACCTGGAGCAAGACCCATGGGACGCTGCGCTCGGCGTACCTCTGGACGAGCGTTCGCCACTCACAATTCTCGCCCCTACGATCAGCGAAGAGCCGCAAGAATCGGGCGAACACAGTCCCCTTCCCGTAATCTCGCGCACCCCCGCGTCGCCTGTTTCGGAGACCGACTCCGAAACCCAGACGTTCATTACGCCCTCTCGCAGATCGCGAGCGTGGGCCACCTTTGCGCACGTCGGGCACATCCTCTTCCCTACGCTGCATGAGTTCGGGGGCAAGTCCTTTTTGGGCAAGGTCGCGGCTGTATTCGCCGCGCCTGCGACGATGATGCTGACGCTCACTCTGCCGGTCGTCGTAACCGCATACGAGGATGCTGGGGCGACAGAGAAGCGGAAGGCTAGGAATGCGAGCGAAGGCCGGTTGGTCGACTTTGAGGAGGAAGGCATGGAGCGGACGTTGATTGCGGAGGAAGAGGTCGAGGAAGGGATGCATGAGATGATATTCAACAAGTGGCTGTTGGCCGTCCAGTGCTTCTTGGGGCCGCTGTTCTGCGCGGTGGTTATGCTCGGTACGATTTTATCTCATTATTGTGGACCTCAAGCTAATGATGCTGCTAGACGGCATAAAGTACGAGGGGTTTTGGCTCTTGGCAATCGGAACGACGGGTTTCACAGCAGGGATCCTCGTCTCTGTATTCGCGAAGTCCGGCAGGTCCCCTGCTTCCCAGCTTGCGCGCTGTGCAATGGGCTTCACCGTTGCCGTCATCTGGATCATGGCTATTGCCGACGAAGTCGTCAAGGTCCTTCAGGTGCGTACATGCGTCGGTACTCCGCGCCACATAAAATGACGGGTTTTGCGCACACGCTAGACGTTCGGCTTCATCTTCGGACTCTCAGACGCCATCATCGGCATCACCGTATTCGCTATCGGGAACTCCCTGGCCGACCTCGTCGCGAACATGTCCGTCGCGGTGTTCGCGCCAGTCATGGGCTTCTCCGCCTGCTTCGGCGGCCCGATGCTTAACATCCTCCTCGGCGTCGGCATCTCGGGCTCGTACATCGTCCGTCAAACGGGCGAGCCGTACCCGCTACACTTCTCCCCCACCCTCGTCATGACAGGCTCCGGTCTACTCCTGTTCCTCCTCGCGACGCTCATATTCGTCCCGCTGAACGGCTACCACCTGCCGCGCAGCTGGGGAATCACGCTCATCTGCGCATACCTGTGCCTTATGGTCGCGAACATCATCGTGGAGGTCAAGGTCGAGCAGCAGTAGAGGCGCCAGTCGTCAGGTAGGAGAGGTATACTGTCGGACCGTAGAACACGGACACGGCCCTCGCGTGCCGTGTCAGCATCGTGGACTTTACTCACACCAGCCTCTGTCATGTTTCGTCGCAGGATGTTATCTATCTATTATTGCGCTATCTAGCATATCCATACCAGAGACCCGTAATGATTGTACGAGGATGCTCACCCATGTACGTAGAACCGCAGACTATGTGATAAGTAACCAGTGGCGTACTGGAGTGCGGGAAGTGCGGGACCCCTTGCCGTAAGCTATGTCATATTTCCATCTTCTTTTTGGTTCGTGACCACTGGCACCAATGCTCACGAGTACCCACAGACACAAGAGCGCACCGCCCGATGATACCTCCACTATAAGACCCGAGTCATGCGGTCTCACGTCGTCCCACGGCGGCCACTTCGCAATCTTACCTGTTTCTCGTTACCCTCTAGGCTGAGGGTGCATAGCGCACCCACGGAAGGTGATGTGTTCCCTGAGCATGACATTCAGTATGTCCGCCAGATTCCACTCTGCGTCCCTCTGGCGGCCGTGGCGGCACCGCGCCCGTGTAAATACCCAGCCCGGAGACGGCCCGCCCACATCGCAGCCTCCACTCACAACTCCATCCCAAGCGGAACCTACCCCACTCCAGCCTGAGCACACGATGGCCAGCCAGGAGCGCATGTTCACCTCGCCCGATGGCACGCGCATCTGGGCGGAGTCGAACGGGAACACGTCGAAGCCCGCGATCGTGTTCGTGCACGGGCTCTCGTGCACCGCGCTCGGGTGGGACCGCCAGTTCGGCGACCCGGCGCTGCAGCGCGACTTCCACCTGGTGCGGTACGAGATGCGCGGGCACGGGCGCAGCGGGAAGCCTTTGGAGGAGCAGGACTACGCGTCGCAGAAGATCGCGGGGGATTTTGCGGTGGTGTGCGAGGCGTTTGGGGTTGTGAAGCCGTTCTTGATGGGCTGGTGAGTCCTACACGGCTTGTTTGACGTTGGCGACGCGCTCATAGCCTCGTAGGAGCTTAGGAGGTATGCGTGGCGAATCCTATAGAAGTAGTCAAACGGATGGCTGACCTGCGGGATAGGGGCGATCGTCGTGGACGTTGTAACCGCATACGGCGTCGATTACCTCTCCGGGATCATCTACGTCGGCGGCTCCATCGTCGCGCTGCACTACCACCCCGTGTGCCGGCACCCGGTCATGACCGAGCTCGTCCCGATCATCACCTCGCTTGCGTCGGACGACCTCAGCGACGGCGCGGAGCGCTTCGTCGACTCGTGCGTCGCCGCGCCGCTCTCTTACGCGGAGAAGCTGTCGTTCATGGGCGGGTTCCTCATGCAGCCGCGCGCGGCGCGGTTCTGGAGCATCCGGCGCAGGCAGGACCATACGGTGTGGGAGCGTACGGCGCGCCCGCTGCCGGTGCTCGTCGTGCAGGGCACGGAGGACCTGCATTGTCTGTACGAGACGATGATCAGCATCGCGCGCAGGGTGTATGACCGTGTGGAGATCAAGATGATGCCGGGGATTGGGCACTCGCCGCACTTCGAGAGTCCGGCTGAGGTGAACCGCATCGTAGGGGATTGGGTGAAAAAGGTGGTGGAGGGGAAGTTAAGTAGCTGAAGACGCAGTGAGTTTCCGTCTACCGTCATGGTTGTGATCACAGCCACAGCCACCTTGCTAGGAAGACGGTCGTCTTGCTTGCTTTTCGCCTGCGGGAGTTTGTACAGGGCTCGCTCATAACTGGGAAGGGATGTGATGACATCTTCCAACGCCATGATGTAGAGTCTTCTGTAGCCGTTTTGTCATTTGTACTTCGAACTAGCACAGAGGGTTGCACAGCCTGCCAGGAACTACACGTCAGTTAATCCCACGCAACCCGGCTTGTCCAGCCAGAAATATTAATGAAACCACTTGATATACCTACTTTAACAGCAGCACTCACCACTGCAGCACCGGGTAGGTACAGATATCAGGTACCGGTAGTTGTGGGACACAAGCTCACCACCAATCGCACCTAGAGCTAGCATGACGCAGAAAAGCGACTTCGACGACCTTCTGTTTCCGAAGCGCCTGGTCCTGCGTTTCGACAATAAAGGGCGCAGAAAGCACTGGCACGCCTACCGCAGCGCCGTAGAGACCTTCATCCATCTCAGGGGCCTCGAATCGCATCTCCAAACCGAGGGTGTGCCTCCTACTCTCGAGTTGGACGAGAAGGAGCGGAGAAGATGGGAGGCGGACGACAAGCTGTGCATCTCTATCATCACCCTCAACATCAAAGGGGAGCTGCCTGGGTGGCTCGGGAGGATGTACGAGGAGGGAAGGCCGGCGGCGGCGTTGTGGAAGGAGCTCTGTGGTACCGGTGGGAGCTATCCCATGCGCGTCGGGCAGAGCAAACCGATGTCGCGGGAGGACGATTTGTTTGTGAAGGTGCTCATTGGCGTCTCGTTCGCTGCCTTCATCATCATGGGGTTTATCATAGTCATTAAGGCCCCTCCGAGTGCTTTTGAAACTCCAGGTCGCTTTTAATTGTATCTTCCCCTCACACCACTCACCTTCCAGGCTGGCAGAACCTACCGGGCGAGTGACGAAACAAGTTGAAGTCAACACACTCAAAAAACAACGCGCTCTCGCAGCGCTATCCAATGTTTGCAAAGATGTCCTTTCAACGCACCTTCAACAAGGTGAGTGTACATGGGATGTGTAGGAATTAGAGTAGAGGGTGTATTAAGCGTAACCAAGGCAGTGTACCAAGTAGTACCAACAAGCCACTATACTCACAATAACGCATCGAAATCCACATCCAATAACGAACGAACCCCGCATCATCTAAAACATGCTACCGAAGAGCCCACGCTGCCGTCGTGGGGTGGGCTGCACATCCGGTCGCAGAGTGGCCAAGCTGTTCAGCTGCTTCATCACCTGTAAGTAGCAACGCGTCAGCACACTATGCTCGAGTGAAGCCACGCTAGGGTATCGTACCTCCTCGAGCTTGTCTTTCCGTTCCTGGAGGTCGAGATGCTTCCGTATAATAGGGTTCTCTCGGGCAAACTCGACGATCTCCTTCCGGTCCAAGTCGTACAGCAGTCGGGAGTCGATCTCGCGGGGGAACTGCAACAGATGTGTTAGCGACAAGGTGCATGCTCAAATCACGATCGAGGGTACCTGGTAGAAGAAGTGGTCCAAAAGCTCGATATTGATGAACATGGCGGAGGTGTATGCGAGCTTGTCTGCGACTACGTTGAGGAAAGCTTCCGGGCAGAGCACGTCGCTCTCGGGACCGGCCTTGCACCGCTTCGACTTGAGCGCGACGAGCCTGAGCTTGAGGATGCCTATGCGGTCGTTGTACAACATCGCATGGCGGGCTGGGATGTATCGTCAGGATTGGAACTTAACATCCCTCATACACAGGACTCACCATCGAGTATCTGTCCTGGGGGATATCGGTACTCCTCGATGCTCGCATCCACCGCTGCGGCCTCTTCCTCGTTGGCGGCAGTCAGCCGCCTCTGCTTCCTCTCCCGCTCCTTCATCTCGAGCTCCTTCACGTAGCCCACGAGGTTGTTCAGCCGCCTGCTCCCGCCAACCCTGCTCTTGATGTCCTTCAGCTTCTCCTCGCACAGCTTCATCTCGCGCTCGAACAGGCCCACAGCCTCGACGCGGCCCGCCTCCCACTCGCGCGGCTCGACCTCGACCTCGAACTTGTACGGCTTGATGCAGTTCTCGACCTGGTCCGACGTGACCCCGATGCGCTCGCGCAGCAGCACGTGCGAGAACTCGATGAGCCGCTCCGCCGCGCGCGGGTGGAAGCTGTACGGGTCGCCCTGCGCGATCGAGTCGATCAGCGCGCGCAGCCCGTCCGCGACGAGCAGCGTCGAGTCGCGCCCGACGCCGCTCTTCGTGAGCAGCGACGACGCGGCGTCGAGCTTGTACCGCCAGTACGGCTCGACGTCCTCGGGCTTCACGCGCGCGTCCGCGCCGAGCGCGGTCAGCTCCGGGGCGCGCTTGTCCGTCCAGTACAGCTGCTCGAGCACGTCCATGACGCGCTCCTCGAGCATCGCCTTGAGCTTCGCGCGCACGGCGGGCTTGCGGAACTCGGCCGTGTACTCCTTGAAGCGCGCCTTGAGGGTGTCCATCGTTTCCGCGACGTACGACTCGGCCGAGATGCGCCGGTCGTTGTACTGCACCTTGAACTGGTACTGCGCCTCCTCGAGCTCGAGCTGGACCGCGTTCGTGATCCCGTGTAGCGAGGACGCCATCGACGACTCGAGCACCTCCATGAGCCGCCGCCGGAGCGTGTCCGTGCCGGCCATGACCTTGGACTGCTTGCCGAAGAGCTCGCGGTGGGCGCCGAAGTATTCATGCTCGTTCTGCCGTGCGACGGTGCTCAGTCTGTCCTTGTTGACGGTCTTGCCGTGGGACTTGCAAATGACGCCAATGTAACCGAGGTGCAGCGGGTAGCGGTTCCCAGCGAGGATCGTTGCGCCCTGCTCGGGAGGGACTAGGTCCATCTTGGTGATAACCCCAATCGTCCGCAGCCCGAGCGGGTCGACCTTCCTGCTCGCGCGCAGAGCGGGCGAGTTCGCAAGATCGACATCCGCAGCACAGACGGCCAGAATGATATTGGGCTCGCGGATATACCGCTCACAAAGGCCAGCGATCTTCTCCTTGAGGGTCTCTGGCTGGTCCATGGAAGCGATCTGGATGTACCCAGGCAAATCGATGAGGGTCAAGTCGGGCACGTGGGGACTGTATATGCGAAGGTCGATGGGCTCGTTGGAGACAGCCTCAGATGCAGGAACAGCCAGGTTGAGGTCGGTGAGTGTGCGCTGGATTACGGTAAAATCGGTGATTTTCCCGAGTCCCAACGCGGGGAACTCGCCATACTCCGGAGTTTCTTTGCCGTTTTCCGCAGGAGTGTGGATAAGCGTGAGCTCAATGGGCCTGCGAGTGACCATGTTGTTTCCCCTGCCCAAAGCTGTTAAGTCGTCTACACTTAACAACGTGTACGGCAAGCAACACTCACTTTGGAAGGAATTCGTGTCCGACGATAGCCTCCAGGACGGAGCTCTTGCCGGAGCTCTGACTGCCAATGACGACGATGCTTGGAAGCTTCAGAGCGTCGCTCTGGTCGATGCTGATGAGCATGGTCCGGATCTCAATGAGTTTCCTGGTCAAATGCATCAAGCCGTTCTGCCGTCCGTCCGTCCCGTCGTCCTCTCCCGCTTTGGAATCCGACGCAGAGAGCGTGGTCGCCGCCAACATAGCCGCAAGAGCCGCGGCATCGTCTCCGGTTGGCTTTCGTTTCCTTGACGAAGGACCAGGGTCTTCACCATCGTGTCCGGGGCCTCCACCCTCGGAAGAAGCGAATAGGTCCTTCAGGAAGTCGGGAGTCTCGAAGGTGGGTAGTTTGACGTCAGATATTCGGGAAGACACGTCCTTGACAACACCGGACGCAGTACCGAACGCGTCTGTTACTGTGTCTTGTACCGTGGACATGAAGTCGGTGGATTTCTTCCTAAATTCTAGGATTCAGCAATCAGTGTCATAGTCCGTATATGTAACCTAGATCCCACCCAACAAGGGAGCTTCTAGGAATGGTCGGATATCTTTTCTTCCACACAGGCGTGCTTCCCGAGAACAAGCAATCAGCACTCACCCTCAAACTTGTAGTTCGCATACGTGAACCCTCCAGCACCCACAGTCGCCGTCGCGATCGGAACCCGGAACGCACGCAAGATGAAGCGCGGAATCGCCGTATACGACAGAGCACGGATGTGCATATGCCGAACGTTCGCGGGAGACACTCCATATCGTGAACGCGTCCGGAGGTGTGTGTTCGTCAGGAAGGTTGCAAATTGCCTGTGTATCGGGCGTGCCGCGAGAGGGGAGTTACGCGCAGCAGCAGCAGATGCAGCCGCCGCGCCGTAGGTCGACGCCTTGCGTGGAGAGAAGGAGAACGCGGATGAGACGCGACGGCGGAAGGAGGAGTACATCCTGCGCGCTCTCCGGATGGGTTCCTTCTCAGAAAATGTGGTGTCTGCCTAGTTCGCCTTGGTAAGAGGGGTATCTCTAGAGCTCTTGAGGCCCAAAAGTCCGAGAGAGCAGAAAAGTAGAAGAGAAGACGAGCAAGGTGCAGACGGAACGCGGAGCAAGGCTTAGAGAGCCGCACCGTTACGCTCAGTCGGCATGACGAGATGACGCGGCGATCGAAAGGGGCGCAGCGGAGACCGATTCCGAACCTGTCGGAGACCAAAGGACTTGCTGTTTCTCCGGCTCGAGTCCAGCGCTCTTTCCACCTTGGCATTCTCCCTCCTTCTGAGCCTCTTCGTCCAGTGGTTGCCTTCGGACCTCCGTGTCGTTCTGTTTCACTGGGTTATAAACATCCTGGGAACTCTTGCAGTGCCTCTGCTGTTTGTTTCTCTCATGGAACTTCTTCTCAGTAGACTTGAGGATCGCGTTATTCTGGCGGCACCCCGACCATCTGGTGACTCCCCTGGTTTAATCGCGGACCGCGCGACCGCGATGCGATTTGTGCGATAGCTCTCTTGCTCTTATACTTGGTCGTGTATCCGCCCTTGTCCTCGGGCCTACCTGTGTAACTGCTCTGCCCAACTGCTCTAGGCACTACTGGTCGCAACATGAGCTCTACTGCCAACAGTACTCCTCCGCCCCCGGGTGTCTATGTTCCTGCTGTTATCTTCTTCGATGAGGATGAGGAACTTGACCTTCCTGCCATCAAAGCCCATGTTCTCCGTCTCGCCAAGGTACGTGTAAACTGTGTCGGTATCCGCGCACCCCGAGGGCGAAAGAGTCCTCGGTAAGATGCTTCACGTGCACGACGTCTAGCTCGGGGCCGTCTATAGAATCATCTGAGCTGTTTCGCTTATTGCATTACAGGGCGGCGTCACAGGCATTCTGGTGCAGGGCAGCAATGGCGAGGCCCAACACCTCTCGCACGACGAGCGTTCGCTCACGATTCGCTCCGCGCGCGAGACACTGAACGAGAACGGGTTCGAGAACGTGCTCGTCATCGCCGGCACCGGCGGGCAATCCACGAAAGAGACCAAGAAGCTCTGCGCGGACGCGAAGGCAGCGGGCGCGAGCCACGCGCTCGTGCTCACCCCGGGTGTTTGGCCGCCACAGATGACGAAAGAGCGTATCCTGAAGTTTCACAGAGACGTGAGTAAACATGCCAATATGTTACGACCCCGGATCCCTGACGAGAAGTGCAGGTGGCGGACGCTTCGCCCATCCCTACGATGGTCTACAACTTCCCCGTTGTGACCGCGGGCCTCAATCTCGACTCGGACATCATCGGCGAGCTCGGACTTCACCCGAACATCGTTGGCGTGAAGCTCTCCTGCGCCGACGTCGGCAAGCTGCACCGACTCACCTCCACGCTCCCCGCGTCCAAGTTCGCGACCTTCCCCGGATCCTCCGCCGTCTTCTTGCAGGGCCTCCTCTCCGGCAGCGCAGGCGTGATCGGAGCCCTACCGAACGTTGCGCCCAAGGCCCACGCCGAGCTATACAAGCTCTGGAAAGCCGACAAGCTGGAGGAGGCGGAGAAGCTGCAGGCGCTGTTGGGCCAGGCGGACTGGGAGCTGCAGAAGCTGGGGAGCATTGCAGGGATCAAGGCGATCGTCTCCAAGCACTTCGGATACGGGAACACGAATGTTCGGGCGCCGCTGACGCCCCGGGACCTGGAGGCGGCGGGCGCGGCTGCATCTGCGAAGCTGGAAGAGCTGATCGCGCTTGAGAAGAGTTTGTAAACCGCCTGTCGTGCCGTTCGCGCCAGGTGGGTGGCGGGCGGTGTTGGGTTTGGGGCAGTCAAAGCGTATGTACAGTAACTAGGTAGACAGCTATGTCCAGAATACAGAGAATTATGCAATGGGATACGGATAGCGAACGACAAGATAGCGAGGCCCGCGCAGATCAGAGCTTCGCCTTCGTCTTCGCAGCCTGGGCGCATCATCAGCTCACGCACAAGCACGCTCGCGTAAGCACGGGGGGAGACGGGGGGCCACGCACCTTCAGGATGCCGTCGAGCTTCGTGGCGAACATCATGTTGCCCTTCGTCTTGAGCTTGCCGGTCATGAACGCCTTCTGGCCGTCGAGCTTGCCCTCCGCGAGCTGCTGGAAGGTGTCGTCCGAGAGGAGGATGGTCACGTTCGCCTTCTGCTTAGGGGCGCCCTTGTAGACGGTGCCCGTCTGCTTGAGGTCGATCGTCCAGACGCCCTCCACGCCCTCTGCGTTCTTCACGCGCATCTCGAAGACGCCGTTCACCTACGAGGGGGCACCGTCAGGATTTGGCCCCGGGGGATACAGGGTGCAGAGAGAACTCGCTTTCTTGATCTGCGACTTCTTCTCCTCGTCGCTGTAGCTCTCGAACACCTGCGCGAGGGCCGCGAGGATCTCGGAGGACTTCGGGACCACGCGTAAGCTCGGGCGGACTTCACAACAATCCCGGAGGACACACCTTGAACCCTTCAATCTTGATGTCAGACATGGCGGCTTTTGGCGGTGTGGCGGGCGTTCAGACGGGCGGGTTGGCCGGGCACAGCAGAAGAGGTGGTGCGGTTATATAGCAGGTGGTGAGCGCGGGAGGAGAAGGCACGACGGCGCGCGCCCGTCCCCAGGTTGATGATGTCTCGCGATCATGGGGACGCTTAGCGCGCATGTGATATTGCCCGGCCACCCAATGCATCCTCTTCTCCCTGCCACCACCATGGTCGAACTTCGGGGCTGGCAATGACGTCCATGTGCATCTGAAATCCTCTGCTTGTGCACGAGACTCCCTTCGAACGGTTGTCCAGGACCTGCATGGAAGCACAGGAGCGCTGCTAGCGCTCCGGCATCGGCATACCGCCATGGCGGTCGTACCATACACAGCGCTGCTACTCGTATGCAGATCTTGCAACAGGGCGGCGATATGTAATGTGGCCAGTACATGTCGCGCCACATCCGCATTTACGACTTCAGAGAGACAGGACGTGTTTCACACCCTAAAAGCTATGAGCGTGGCAGCGGCCGCATACGCACCATGGCAAAAACCTGAACGGTATATGTTTTGGTGAGCACATCATAAATCAGGCAGTAAACCCATCCTAGACCCCAGCTCATCATTCTCGTTAGTTTCATAGGTACTATCCTTGAGCTCGAGTACGAACGTCTATAACAAACGCTTGCGGCCGGCTTGACGGGACGGCCCGTACGCGTACTTAGCCACAGCTTCCTCCACATCCCGCCGTTTTTCGTTCGTCCAAGTGGGTCCTTTGGAAAAGAGACCAAGCCGTCCAGCTACGTATTTGCCGTCCAGCATAGCGTTTTGAGTTCATTGGTTGTTTTCGCGCGTCAATAGGCCCCGGGGCTTCACTTCTGAGTTCGCCAGCCTCAGCCGCAGCTCCTGTCATTGCCCTTCCTTCCTCTTTCGATAAAAAGGCCAGGTTAGACGGTCGGCTTCACAGCATCGCTAATGTCGCGTTGACATAGCTTGCCCTACGCAGAGTGCCACGCAATGGATACGATGGCGTACGGCCCACATGCAGATAGGAAACCCCGTTCACTGCGAATTCGGTTACACCGAGGATGGAGGGGAGGTATGCGGAGACTACGAAAGCTGACCTGCCTTTCACAGACACACAAACACCGAGAGGTTCTAGGAAACGAGTTCAGCCCAACTGGCATGGTGAAGTAAAGCTGTGAGTTGGTTGTGATAATCCCCGCTCGCTCTGGGTAGTAGTAGTGACACAGAAGAAGAGCGAAACCTATCCGAGTTTCCCATATACGCCCGCAATGGACGCAATTTGTGGTAGCCTGCGCGCCTGTCATGGAAAAGGATCTGAGATTGGCATACTAGTAGGAAGCTCACGAACGGTGCGCACCTAAGCGATGTCGTCGGTCCTAATAATGCTTCCGTTCAGTTGTGCATTGGTAGGTGGCTTCGTCCGGCTCGCCTCCGCCATGTCCTCGCTGCCACTTGACTGCGAAATGAACATGTCAATGGCCATAGGAGATGATGCGTGCGCGGCGTCGATGAAGTGCATGGGGCCAGAAACCGCGGTGCTTTCGTGCATCGGTACCCCTAGCGCTTCACTGAGGCCGATGCGGGCGATGATGAGCGTGAACGATATACCCTAAGAAATGATCGGTTTGTCAACAGCGGCAGGTACAGACTAGTGGAGGCATGCGCACGATGAGCGGGGGAAGGATGGCGTTGGTGACGAGCACCAAATTGGAGTTGGCCAAAAACGTGACGAGGTTGAAGATCAGCCCGACGGAGTAGACGGCTTGCGACTGTACGATAGTCTTCATCACGCGCCAGGGCACGGTGTCATACAAATTTTCCGAGAGATGTCTTCTGGCTCGTTTATCATGCCAATAAAGACGGCCGAGTAATAGGGCTGTGCAAGTATGCTGAAAGGTAAGCGATGAAACCAACGGGCAGGCTTACTCCGAGGAAACAGCCTCACTCACATGTTGTGCCAAAGTTTGTGAAGAGAGTCATCAAAAAGTACGCAATCAAAGGCGAACGAGCTCCTGAGGTGAACACAACATCCGAAGAGGTCGGTGGACCGCCTTCCAACAGCGCCTTGCCAAATAGAACGGTGGTGACTACACGAGGTAGCATTCAATAAACACTAAAATGCGAGGGCTGCCAAAAGAACGCTCACCCAGGTCACCGATGACTAGGAGGCCAGGCAAGACGAGAGATATATACCCACCGCCCCATACTATGAACACCCGGTACGCCTGTTCGAGACAATCAGCATTAGTCGGCTGGCCATATTCCTGTATAGATGGAGCTGCCAGGCGCTGACCATGAATCCGTCTCCGAGGAGGGTCAAAAAGGCAAAAATGGCAGCGGAGACACACAGGAACGGGGCGTCCCCGGCCCCCGGATTGTTGAAATAAGCCGTAGGCCCACCGGGAGTCGTGCTGTGATCAACGAACGCCAACATGATGGGACGGAAGTCCAGTACGAGGTACTAAACAATGCAGCCGCTCAAACTTTGGTTCGTGAAGTATCCCGAGCAGAGATGAAAAAAGCGTACCGTGCCAGCGCAGAGGAACATGACAGTAACGATCGCGCTCAACCAGATGGTCGGGTAACGCGGTCGCCTTCTGCGGTGCTGCCGATGTACCAAGATCCATAACGCAATGGGATATAGGATGCAGAAGGCTCCGAAGAATAGGACTTCTGCAATGATAGAAATGAGCTGCCAAGCAAAGTTATCGAATATACAGCATTCATATAGATAATAGTACTTGCCTGTATCCGTAGTAAAAAGAGGTCCTGCATTGTGAGCGTGGGTGCGCGACTCCGTGGAGAATGGGGCAAGATATAGGCCCCACATCGAGCATGGGAATAGCCGGTGTGTAGTCAAGTGGCCAACCGTGCGATGAGTAGCCAAGTGCGGCGGTCAGACGCTGCCTCAGTTGTGTTGGGGATCAGATATTAGAAGACACGTTAACGTTCGTGCCCCTGTCAAAAGACTTTAGTGATGCAATTATCAGCTGGGGCAGAATCGCAATGACTGCTGACCTGACAAATATAGTCGCCATCGCACCCAAATGTTCGGGCTCGATGGAGGCGTTGGATAGGCCCCCTCTTTTGACAAAGAGCTCGAGCCGAGCGCGAGAAATCACCATATGATGCTTCACATGGAAGTTTGAGCCTGTGCTTCTGAATTTTGAATTAAGAGAAACGGGCGATACGGACGGCCGTCAAAAAGTGGTCTGAATCTTTAAAGCGACTTACTCGTGTATAGCTAGAGCCCGGATGTTGTGTCCAATTATAGCCTGAACTCAACTTCACGCAGAGGCTGGTCCTGCTGACCGTCACTTCTATCCACCTTGCCCTAAGCGCGCTTTGTGCAACGGACCGTAGTACTTCCAAGCTCAAGGCTGGAACGCTATCAGACTTATGAGTGATATGGATCAATGCATCTGGTGATTCCGAAGTTGGAAAAGAGCCTTACTTCAAGTACAAGCCTGGCGAGCTATCCCCAGCCCTCCGTCTTAGAACCGTCAATCAAAACGCTAACACCTTTCTTTCCAAGCATGCGCTAAAGAATCGATGATGTTGTTGAAATAATGTGTTCTCACACCGTGTACAGCACGTATCGCGATAGCCTCTAGAGACTCGGTACGTCAACAAGAGCTGTGCAGAAGACAGTCAGACGATACGTACCCGAACCATGTCCACATCTATGCCACGTAGTCTTGACTGCCATGCGCCGGGTCCTCTTCCAAGTTAACCTCCGAGCAGGTAGCCCCAGTGCTAGTCTTATCGGACTGACATTCCGTGTCCTAGCCGTTGTCCATCGGAGCGATGATCAACAAAACTTCTGCGGTGTAAATACATCCACTGGACTGCGCCACGTTTTTCCCGATGGTATGGTCGCCATCTTGGCAGAGAGAAGACGCACTCAACCACTTATCGTCATTCGCACTACGGCCCTTCTTCCGGCCAACTAGGTTCTAGCTTCATGCTTCTTCTCCGCCTCCCATCTGGCCCCGCGCTGTAACTTTGGCTCTCGGAACCCACGCCTGGCCTCTGTGCTTCTGCTTAGCTGTCCTCCTTGGACATCGTGCGCCACGAAGCCTGCCTCTGCCCGGAGCGCCAGTGCGATTGCGCGACGCAGCGAACGTGCTAGGCACTGGCGGGGCTTCAAGTGTATGTATGGCCGTTCTGCTGCTTGATTTCGATCTGCCCTCGTCTCGTGCTTGGGGGGAGAAGCGAGCATTCCGCTGCTTCTGAACCTCGTCTGGCTCCCATATGGCTCCCATAAAGCGAGCGGCGAAAGGGAGAAGTCTCGTTGGTGGAACCTCGCCTCAGCCTAGGAACACGACCAGCGATGACTCCCAAGGACCAGGAAGCAGTAGGGAGAAACGCACTAGACGACGCCCGCTCTGTTGACGACAGCGCAAGCCTCGACACGCTCAATGAGAAACGGCGGGCGACGCTTGCGGAGATTGACAGCGCGAGATTCTCGTGCGGCGTATACCCTCCGTCTCACTGGACTCTACTGACCGCGACGCCCCCAGTTGGTTCCACGTCCGAGTATGCCTGGTGGCTGGTGCCGGGTTCTTCACGGACGCGTAGGCACAGACGTCCTTTCTGAAGCATCTTCTGACGGTCGTGTGCTTCGCAGATACGACATTTTCGCCATCAATATAGCGTCCGTCATGTTAGGATATGTCTACGGTCATGGTCAGTGCTCAGTTGTCTGACAAGCGTGCCCTGATAGAACGAACATGCATACCTAGGCCACAAGCTGAGCGCAAACCAGGACCTGGGGCTGAAGGTCGCCACCCCGGTTGGTACCGTGTTCGGGCAACTCGTATTTGGCTGGCTCGGGGACGTCTATGGGCGCAAGCGTATCTGTAAGTATCCGTCCCCCTTGCTTCACATTCTTTATTTGCATTGGGGGCGACCGCTGACAACATGTTCGATACGAACCTGAAGACGGGTATGAGCTGATGCTCATGATCGTCGCGTCCTTCGGCCAAGCGCTCGCTGGGGAGGCACACGCCGCGAACATCATCGGTGTGCTCGTCGTCTGGCGGTTCGTCATGGGCGTCGGCATCGGCGGTGACTATCCGCTCTCCTCCGTCATCCCCGCCGAGTTCGCCTCGACGCGCATCCGCGGGCGCCTCATGATCGCAGTGGGGGCGAACCAAGGATGGGGCCAGCTCGGTGCGTGACCTATCCCCCCGCAACCTCGTCGCATTCCTGATGGGGGAAACACGTTACGCAGCGGCCGCACTGGTGGCGTTCGTGATCATCGTAGCGTACAAAGACACGCTCCTCGCGGACGACCCGGTCGTCTTCGCGCACGTCGACTACATGTGGCGCCTGCTCATCGGGCTCGGCTGCGTGCCCGGCGCGGTCGCGCTCTACTTCCGGCTGACGATCCCCGAGACGCCGCGGTTCACGATGGACGTCGAGCGCAACGTGCGCCGGGCGGTGCGGGACGTGGACAGGATCCTTGCGGCCGGGACGGGTAGGGCCGGCAGGATGGACGCGAGGGGGGAACGGGTGCGTGCGCCGCGGGCGACGAGGAGGGACTTTGCGCGGTACTTCTCGAAGAGGGAGAACTTGGTCCCGTTCGTTGCGATGTGCTACTGTTGGTTCGCGATTGACGTGAGCACCTGTCCTTCGATTTCGCGAAACGCGGATATGAGGAACGCACCTGGGCTGATGAGAGGTCGGCATTGCAGGTCGCGTTCTACGGGCTTGGGCTGAACACGGCGATCATCCTCCAGGCCATCGGATTCGGCACTCCCAGCGCGGGCGTGACGGGGACAGCGGCGGTGTACGAGAACCTCAAGAACATCTCCGTCGGGAACATGATCCTCATCGTCGCGGGTCTGATCCCCGGGGCATGGACGGCGTTCCTCGTCGTCGACTCCTGGGGGCGCAAGCCGATTCAACTCCTTGGCTTCGTCATGCTCACCATCCTCTACATCATCATGGGTGCGCGATACTTGGGCTTCCTCTGTGCCTGTCGCGCGTGAACTAATGATGCAACCTCGCTCAGGTTTCGCATACGAGATACTTACCGCGACGTCCGCGAGGCGCAAGGTCTTCGTGTTCCTCTACTGCCTCACCAACTACTTCTCGAACTTCGGGCCCAACTCGACCGTGTCCGTCTTTCCGGGCGAGTCGTTCCCGACACGCTACCGGTCGACCGCGTTCGGCATTGCAGCGGCGAGCGGCAAGCTCGGCGCGGTCGTGTCGCAGGTCGGGTTCGGGAAGCTGGTCAATATCGGAGGCGAGAACGCATTCGTGCCACACCTGTATGTCCTTCGCCTTCCGCGGGGCCGAGCGGTGCGGTCGCTGATGTTCCGCATCGCCGTAGATTGGAAATATTTGCGTTCTTCATGCTTACTGGGGCACTGGCGACACTCGTCCTCAAGGAAGGAAAACAGCGCACCCTTGAAGATCTCTCGAACGAGAAACAAGAGGGCTTCATTGAAGGTGCGTGTGTCCTCAGGCTATCGACTCCCTATGCTGTACTGACTGTATACACTCTAGGAACTGCGTACAGGGAAGCCGACGCCGAAGGCATGGTATGCACGCGAGAGGGTGATGACTCTCGGTGAATGCTATCTAGCGAGGGAGACTAGGTTATATCTGCTGGGGCATCGATGCATGTGACCACATACCTTGTGCGCTGAAGCGGGGTAGAGATCCTGTGCCAAGGGGCTTGGGAGAGTGAACCGCAGCCGAAGCCGGGCAGATGGTGTGCATTGGTGCGCTGCCCTGGGGCGAAAAAGGATGTTATTACACCTGAGCTCAACCGATGGTCTTCAGAGATCGCATTGAATATAGGGCTCAACTGCTGAGGTTGTACAATTGCGCTCACCGTGTACATATCAATACAAGGATATTCCCCAGCAGAAGAATCGCTATCGCTCTTCCTTGATGGACACGCGCTTCCTCAGACGCGTCTTGGGAGGGGAACTCGTAGGGGCCTCCTTCTCGGGAAATGGATCCTGGGAGGAAGTCTTGGGAGGTCGTGGCGGGAATATGACATAGGTCAGAGCTATCGAGACCATGCGAGCGGTGTAACCGAAGAACGCTGCGCATATGCACGCTACGCCGACGAACACATAGATGGGGTATACGTTGCGGGCGATAGAGAGGACGATGTTGTATGGGGAAAAGACGAAGACCTGGAGGAGAACTTGCGACAGCACGATTACTGGGGACAGCAGGTATATGATGGGACTGTAGACCAGTGAGAGAGGGGAGAACGAAAGGCGCGCAAGCGTAGCGGAGGCGCGCGAGAGGTACGAGAAGGAGATCGCAAGGACATGGCCGGCTGCACGGGCGAACTGGACGATTGGTGGCTCGTTGGACAGCGTCGATGCCACCGGGAGGTCCGCAGACAATGTCGTTGGCAAGCTCATCGTCGCGGCCGCATGCGGGGAGTCGCGTCGCGCAAGCTAGAGGATTGGGATGATGGCGTTGCAGGAAGCTGGAGTCGAACAAGCGCCCTAGCTTGCGAGGCGTTGTTTGGTCCAGAAGCTTTTGCCAAACAAATACGTAAGGCAAAACGCTACGCCGGCGTCCGGATAAAGCAGGTGTAGAAGGAATGGGATCACTTCACATCGACTTCACATCTCAAATTTACATCGGATATCGATGCTCGTCTCCTTCTCTCTTTCTCTCTTCCCCCCACCATCACTATGGTGCTCTGTGCGCGCTGTGTGCAACCTTTGGGCCTTTTCTACACACAAGAACGTCTCTGGCAACGCTTGAACTTTAGCTCATCGCAGTCATGGGCGAAGTCGATGTGGTCTTCGGGTCATCTAGGAATGAAGAGCACCTCTGGTATCGACGACAGCCGTCAAAGACGCGGAGTAAAGTCACAGCCTTGGTTACTCTGTCTCTATGTCATCGATATCGTCGTACGGTCCAGCTCAACTTGAAGTGTCAGCCGCCGCTCGAAACTGTTATAGTCCTCCCTCTCAATAATAATTCACAATGAACGCTCACTGAAGGGACTGCGGCCTCAGCTTATGCTACGCATGAGCCGATGATACTCTCACAAGTACGCACGTAGACCGCCATAGTGTCGCGGTGCGCTCATACTCAATTTCTTGGTTTATTCGCACTCATATCTCTTGAGTACACAGGTAACGCATTGCGCTATATCTTAAACAGGCATTTCTTTGAGTGACACCTCTGCTCTGAGCGTGCACGGGCGGTCACTTTCCATCTCTGAGTCTCTTGGCCGTGTGTCTCGTGGTCGCATTGTCCCCATTTTCTAGGTGCTGTGATCCAGGCTACAGAGACAACATACGGAGAGACTGCGATACCCTCGTGCTGTGAGAGTTGGAGTCATCCTGCGCATCTTGAGCGCTGACGACTAGATCTCCGCCAGGTGAGTCAGACTTGTTCAGCAACCACTTCCTCTCCGCCGTGCCACCTCCAGAACGTCTCCCCTTTACGCACCCACTCCCCTCTTATCGTGCTCCTTTGCCCACCACTAGAGTCTCTTCATGGAAGGCTCAGGAAGACAGTAGATTCGCATAACGACCAACGTTCTGGTCATACCTATGGGTAGAAGAGACTACAGGAACATGAGACGCTCAACATCGTTCCCCAATACATAAGGTAGGCTGTTAAAGGTCCACAATAATATGATATACAGACGATAAGGCTCAAAATATACACAGACCGGAAGGAAGAAAAGGGAATATCGTCCACGAAGCGTGGCAAGCAGGAGATGTAGGGCATACGTAGCTGTGGCATAAGCGAAACCGTCGTATTCGCTGAGCACACAGTTCAGCCACGAAGATGTTCGCGTCGCAGCGATGTACGTACCATGGCAGTATCTCGTCTCGCGTCGGTACATGCGGGTGCTCACAGGTTCGCACTCGCACTCAGGCCCATCGCTCGCGCCCCGGCTCCGATTGCGCCCTCCCATCCTAGGAAGCGCTCGCTCGAGACCTTCTCCGGCGAACCGTAGGCGAAGTCCTCTCCCGTCCACGATGAGACGCCCTTCGACCGTGCCCACACGGAGATGAACAGGATGCGCTTCAGCTTCCGGTTCAAGAAGAACCAGTGCGAGCTCCAGAGCAGCGCGCCACGCCGCCGTATAGGCCGCCCGCGCATAATCCCTCCGGTTTCATCGCTCGAGCCAGTACTCCTCCGCCGTGCAGGCGCCTCGTCGACGTCGTAGTCGTCAAACTGAAACTGCACACCGTCGTCGTCGTCGGACTCTTCGCCTGCAGGGACGTCGTCCTCGTCGTCTTCATCGTTCGCGTGAGGGTCGAACTCGATGTCGGGTGTGTACGAGTACACCTCGCAGTCGGCGAGTTGTATTGCCTTGTCGAGCGCGCCGTATAGGGTCGGGTGGGTGCCTGACTGAGCTTTGGACGGCGCGCGAGGACTTGGACGGATGTAGAAGTCGAGCGGCGACGAGGATGTCGGTACAGAGGAGGGGAAGATATCCGACGACGATGGTGGGTAAGAGGAGTACGTACGGGGCGCATGCAGCCCGGACCGTTGAGGTGAGACCAACGTCGTGCTAAGCGCGTTGAGGACGCTCGCGCCGCTCTCCTCGCGATTAAAGTGGTAAGGCCGGACGTCGGAGAACTCGTGGTCCGGGAAGGCGACGTTGAGCGTCGCGATAAGCGTGTAGAGCGTCTTCCGCGACTGGCTCTCCTGCATAGGTCCGAAGGGCGTCATCTCGGACTCCCGGTCGAGCGCCATGTCGGAGGGGAGCGGGGGCGAGTGCGAGACCTCGTCGGCGTACGCGGACTCGAGCGAGCGGAAGAGCTTCTTGTCGCGCTTGATGTTCTTGCAGCTGTACGCCTCTATGCGCGTGTGCACGGAGCACTCGGGGCCCTCGTGGGTCAGCGCCTGGGCGAGGCGGGACAGCTCGGTCATCTCGATGTACTTCATGTTGCTGGGGTTGTGTCGGGGGTAGCTGAGGTGGTGGTATGCGGCCGAGGAGGGTTGAGGTGCCTATAGGGTGGCGGTAGGGGCTGCAGGGAGTATAGGCTGCAGGGGGAAGTGCGGACTGCGGCAGGCCAGGTGACAAAGGGCGGCCTCGGAGGGTGCGTTTGGACGAGACACTGCAGGAAGATAGAGGTAGGTCACTGATAGGGGCGCTGACAGGCCTGCTGGAGGGCTTGTCCTCGCTGCGGCGGTCGTGGGCGGCGGGGAGCTGGCGGGATGATGGCGGGAGGGGTGAGAGGCGTGCTCTCTTACGGGAACGCCGCGCGGGAACTTGCACGTCATGTTTGGGCCCCGTTTGGCTTTCTCCGACCACCGTGCCTTCCGCCGCTCGTCCCCCTTCGACTCGCACGTTCATCTCGGCGTGCGCGTGTACTTCTGACAATACAGCTACCTGTTGTCTATTCACCTAGGAGACCCACGAAGCGGGCAGTATCTATAGACTCGCCCCTATCTGCACAGTTGCAGAAGTCATGCATGTCCGATGCGCACAACACATGAGCAGACATGAGCGCTATTAAGCCCATAGTCGCTTTGTGTCCCGTTTTAACTGATGTATCTATACGCTTATTGTCGTACTTCGCTGCTTCACGCCAGCAACTGGATTTATTCGAGCGCATATAAGCATCCCGTCGGGCACCAGTCGACAGATAAGCAAATAAGCATTCGAATCTGTCCACTGTGGGATTCGATCGCGTAGCCAAGGTGGTTCTATGGGCGCTTGCACGTTCAGCGGGCGCTCAAACGTGCGATCGCCTCGAGGCTCGCGAGTCGCGATCGACTTCTTGAAATCTCCGTCCACCTGCCGCTATAGCCTACGCGCCAACCATGATACCGAAGCACGCTAATCCATACGTTCTCACCGACCAGACTATTGTTGTGTCCAGGGCCGCTCTGCGAGAAGAGGATGATGACGACCGGGAACCCTTGGACGCGTCAATGCACCCAGAGCGTGCAGAGATGCTCGCGAGGCTGGAAAACATCCTGAAGCGGTCTATCGAGGACGTGCTTCCTTCAAGCATACACACGGAGGTGGAGGCGGAGGCGGAAGAGGATGGCGCGTCTCGCAAGAAGAAACGCCGCAAGGTCGAGGAGACGAAAGAGGAGCACCCCGCGCAGCCTGTTGCAGTCCGTACGTCTCAAGCACATTTACTTTCGCATATCCTCAGGTGAACTCATGAAATCGTGTTCAAGCATTTCGCTTATTGTCAGGAATGGCGCAGCCTAAACCTATCCTACTGGCACCGAAAGCACCGCGCGTTATAATGTGCGTGGATCAACTCCTGACTGACCGTGGAGCACAGTTCTGATATACATATGTAGATCCGTGCCTCCCCAAGCTGCAGATACCAAGGCAGAAGCAAAGCAGAGAGCAGCGCGTGCACGCGAGGTCGCGGTAGACTTCGACTGGGTCATGGACCAGTCTCGCAAGCCATGCTGCGTGAGTACCAGAATGCTCCGCGCACACATGCTCTCATACTGGCCGACCCACCAGCCTTTGCCGAATGCGAGTAAGAAGCTCAAGACCGTGAGCGCGCGAATACCGTCCCCTGAGGCTCGCCTCTTCCTGCTCGAAGTATCGAAACCCAGCCCCAAGCCTCCACATCCCGCCTCGATCGACCCTACCCTCCCCGTCAAGCCATCTCCTCATCAACACAAAGCAACAACTTGCCCGATCATCACAGCAGAGGCCCCAGTCTCGTCCCCGGATGTGCGAAAGCGCAGCCGCAGGAGGGGCAAGTCCCACCCGAAGCCCGCCATACAGCCTGCATTCTGGAGACCGCAAGCGGGCATGGGTGGGAAGAGCCTGGGGTACGCATGGGGCTACGAAGGCAGCTGGCCAGTGGCGGAGGGCGAGACACCCCGTTACTGGCACGACAGTATGCGGAAAGCCGTCCTCGAATAGCGAATACATCGAGGATTCAACATCGCATTCCCCGTCCGATAGGCTGCGCTGTATTGTATGCGTACAACATTTCGACACCAGCCTCCCGCCGCCGCTACAACTTCAAGACGTATGCGCACCCAATCACAGGCTCATCTCGTCGTCCCCAGCCACGGCGGTCTGCGCCACCTGCTTGCCCTTCGCATCCCGGTGCTCGCGCATCTTCTGCTCCCAGCTCGCTTCACTGCCCGGGGCGGGGCCTAAGACGCCGAAGACGCCCATATCCGCGCTGGACTCGAGGGCGAGCTCGAGCAGCTCGAGCACGTAGCCGTTGATGGGGTCGATGCTTAGTGCCTGTACGGGCGTCAGGGGAGTGCACGACAGAGAAGGAGCCGGAAGGTGGAAATGCGGAGACGTACTTCGTGGTATCTGACGATCGCTTCTCCTAAGTTTCCGAGCAGGTGCTCGGTCAGGCCTACGAAGGACAACGCGGCGACGTGTCGGTAGTCGATGAGGAGCACGCGGAGGTACGCGTCTCGGGCATCATCCAAACGGCTGCAGAAGCAATGACGATCAGTCGTTCCGTCCCGTATGCGGGGAAGCGTTTGGCCGCGTGGGCATACCCGATTCTGCGCAGCGCGGTGCCGAAGTTGATGAAGGTGGGGATCCAGGCGACCTGGGACGTCTGCACGACGTCCGCCAACTCGAGCGCCTCCGCGAAGAATCTGACTGCGTTGTCATAGCTGTTGCGAGAGCGCGTGAGTACATGGGCAGCATGCGGCGGGGGGAGATGACGCACTCCTCGTTCATGAACGCCATGACGCCGCGCTCGTTGTACAAGAGCGGGTCCGAGTCGCACATGTGGTGCGCGGCCAGGAGGGCCTCTTCTGCGAGCTTCAGATTCGAGAGAATCATGTGCTCCATACCGACGAACATCAGCGGTAGGTGAGAACTACAGGTCGATGTCGGTGTTAGAGTACATGCGCGAGTAGGCACGAGACGTGCATACCCGGTATAGAGTCTTGCGCATGTCGAGTACGCGGTCACCGCATGATCGTGCTCGCCTTCCATCGAGAAGGCATGCGCAAACGCGATCCAAGCAGGTGCGAAGCGCGGATCCATAAGCGACGTTTTGCTACGGGGCAACTTCAGACCTGTTTGCCTGGTGAAGGAGGGGGAAAGGCCTACCTGAAGTACGTTCGCGCTTCTGGGAACTTCTCGACGCACATGTACCACATGCCGACGGCGAACCAGCTCGTTGCACTCTCCGGCTCTTTCTCGACGAGGTCGTGCGCGAAGAGGAAGAGCTTGGAGTTGAGGTGCTTGATGTGGTACATGCACGCGACGTGTAGAGGTATCGTCGCTTTGTGTATGCTCACGAGCGACAATATCCTACGAGCGGTCAGCTCACGCAAGTCTGACAAGGAGAGTGCGCGACCGTACCTGGAGGTGACCGCATAGCAGTCCGCCCATCTCAACTGAGTGTATAAGGCATCCGCGAAGCTGTAAAGCACATCTGGGTTGTCTCCGAGACCCCACTCATCCACTAGTTTTCGGCGAACAATGGCTTGGTCGTCTGTATGCTTGTACTTGCGTAGACGGGATAGATACATAAGCTTCATGAACTCCGCGTCCGCAGGGGTTTGCTCGCGGTATGCGAGGTTCTGAACAAACTCCCATTCTGAATACTTTATCAGTTGTGATCTCGCGCATTGGCCAAAATCACACTACCTTCCTCGGGTGTCATCATCTCGCCGTCCACGAGCTGCTCGAACGCTTCGTAACACTTCACGTCGAGCGCCAGGGCTTCCATGAAAGAGTTCTTTGCTTGGTCGCCCCGGTTCAGCTTGAGCATGAGTAGCCCGCGCAGGTTGCACATTGAGGCTTCAATCTTGATACCGCCGTCCATGTTCGGGGCGTCGGGCCCACCCTTTCCGGAATTTCTGAAGGGGTTGGACTCGCCGAGCATCTCCAGCGCGTCGCTCCATTTGCCTTGCCGCATTTGACACTGCGCTGCAAGATATCGGCAAGCTACACTCATATCCACGAGGCGCGACACGCCGTCTTCGTACTGTATAGCGACGTCGATCATCTCGCCCGGGCCCATAGGGAGCCGCTGCACGCCCGGGGCTAACTCGCCGGCGTCGGGGAAACCACCGGTGGTTGGGGGAGGCATCTCGCGGCCTTTGCCCTTCACATTCGCAGGGGCGAACGGAGGCTGAAATGTACCTTTAGCCACCGACGCGAGAGGGCCTGTGCGGGGCGGGGTGGTGGGGAAGGGGCGAGTGAGGAGCCGCTCGGCGCGAGAGTATTCGTGTTTGAGGAAGTAGGTCTGAGCGAGCCAGAACGCGTCGTTTGGGTCATCTGTGACGAGGGTCGTTAGGAGGTTAGAAGTGCGAGGGGCGCCGCTAACGCACTTGTCCAGCTCACGATCTTGTCTCCCCAGAACGCGGCGGAATCATATAGATGCTGCATGAGCGCGTCGTGCCGCCACAGACGCATCCGGTCCACAATCCCCCACTCATGTCCCTCCTCATCGTCTTCATCATCCGCGTCATCTTGAAATACATCCGTGGTATCGTTTGCGAGCGGATGCCTGCTCGCGTTTGTCTTTGTCCGCCTTGGCAATCGCGGAGAAGAATGCCGGGGCGAAGTCTGCAAGATGGAGCGGCTAGGGTCGAGATACGACTGCCTGTTGTTCGATGCTCCACTGGTGTTGGCTGCCGCGAGCGAGTCGACGAGAGACTGCGGGCCGAAGGAGAAGGAGTTGTTGATGGAGTGGCGGGCGCGGGACCCGGATGGCGAAGGCAGCCGCGGTATGGCAAAGCCTCCTACTGGTGGCGGAGTACCTGCCATTAAAAAGACGCGTTCGAGTTGACTTCAAGGACGCTGCGTCGCGCAATGAGCACGAAAGCCAACGATGGTGCAGACGAGATGAGGGAGCGGAGGAAGATGCGTGCAGGGGCGCGCGCTGGTGGACGCGACGCGATCTGCTACCCCACGTGGCCGAATATGGGCGTCTACTCAACGATCGCGCTTCGTCCAAATTTTGGTGGGTTTCGTTCGCAGACCACTTTCCTCACACCGCGCATTCTCTGCCTCGCCTCCCTCATCTCGAACTCCAACACATTTTCTCAGATCATAACGACATGGCTAAAGGTGCTGCAGCGGCTGAGAAGCCCACAAAATTGGCCAAGAAGAAGTCCCAGCAGGACTTGAAGGCAGACGCGCCCATCAAGACCAAGAAGGCGAAGCAGGTAGAGGAAGTGGCTACTCCTGCTGCTACCGAGACTCCCTCGTCATCAAAAGCGAAGAAGGAGAAAAAGGAGAAGAAGGGCAAGGAGGCCGTGAAGGAGTCTGAGTCGGCACCCGCACCCGCACCGGTCAAGGCGAAGGGCGAGAAGAAGAAACAGGTGTCCATCGCGGAGGATTCACCTGCTAAGGCGGAGAAGGCGGAGGCTGCGTCACCCGCGGACAAGAAGAAGAGGAAAGCGGCCGCTGTGGAGGAGAAGGCTGAGGAGAGCCCAGAAAAGTCGAAGAAAAAGCGAAGGGGGTCCGTCGCTGCTCCCTCTGCCGAGGTCGTGAGCAAGGAGGTTGTAAAGGAGGCCGCAAAACCCAAGTTCTCAAAGAAGAGCAAGCCCACCCCTGAGGAGTCGCCCGTCCAGCCTGCGCCGTCCAAGAAGGAGGGCAAGAAGACGAAGGCGAAAGCGGCTCCCAAGGCCCCCTCACCTGAACCCGCAGAGTCTGCGGACGAGGCTGAGGCGGACGAGGCGGAAGAAGAGGATGGAGAGAAGGAGTTCTACGGCTTCTCTTCAGACGACGATGATTCGTCCGACGAGGAAATGGCGGACGACATTCCCGGTATCGACATCGGTAAGCTGCCGACGATTGCGAAAGACGACGAGACGGTGAAGCGCAAGCTTGAAAAGGCCAAGCGGAAACCGGTATGTGACTTCCCCCCGGATCGCAACTTCATCCTTACCTTTCTCCGCTTCACAGACAGAGGACCGCGGCGTGATCTACCTCGGACGGATACCCCACGGTTTCTTCGAGGCTCAGATGCGCGCATACTTCGCGCAGTTTGGGACCGTCACCCGCCTTCGCCTCTCCCGTAACAAAAAGGTATGGTTCTAACCTCGCTACCTAAATTGATGCTCATACTCACGCGGCGTGAACGAACAGACTGGCAAGTCGAAGCACTACGCCTTCATCGAGTTCGACTCGTCCTCGGTCGCACAGATCGTCGCGGAAACAATGGACAACTACCTGCTCATGGGCCACATCCTCACGTGCAAGCTCATCCCCAAGGACCAGGTGCACCCCGAGCTTTGGGTCGGCGCGAACAGGAAGTGGAGAGCCGTCCCCCGCGATCGTGTCGCGCGCGTTGCGCACAATAAGGTGAGGCCCTAGCGAGTTCCGGTAACCTGATGATGGAGAGCTAATGTGTTTTATGTGCAGCCGCGGACAGAGGAGCAGCAAGACAAGGCGGAGAGCCGGTTGCTGAAGCGCCAAGATCAGCGCAAGCGCAAGCTGGAAGAGGCGGGGATCAAGTATGACTTCGAGGCAGTAGCATACGTGAGTCTATCCCTCAACAGCGGTTTTTCTCGACACGGGCTTCTACCACAGAACCTACCGCTAATTCACCCTGCAGAAAAAGAAGCCCAAGGCGACTGAGGCATAGGGCTTGTCATGGCTCGCCGTCCTTACCACGGTCTTTGGGTTTCCCTGGTCTCGCTCGGCAGAGGCCATAGCTCGCTTGTGTGACTGGCACTTCAATTACGACACACTGGATTCGTAGATCCTCGCACCCACTATGACGTTGACATATCGCATCCTCATACATTCAATCTTCAAGACGTGTGCACGTTCCACCCGCTATCTGTTCCTATGCTGCAGACGTGCCGGCGCAGCAGCCTGAGCTTAGTGCTCCCCCGCCACACTGGTGTCCCTGGCTCGTGATGCCCAGGCTGTCGTGCGCCCGGGACGTCCGTGTCATTGCCCGCGTGCCTGGATCTTCTCCCCACATCGCGCCGCATATCGCCTCGCTATGTTTGCATCACACTCAGGGAATGGGCTCCAGGTGCCGCAGATGTCGGCGCACGGCGGCGAACAAGAGGTGCCCGAACTTTGTATGGTGGCACTCATCGCATCTTGTGAAACCCTGACGTGTCTTCGCGCTGGACAGCGTGGGGGGAGAGGGCAGAGCCTGCGCACACGACTGACAGACGAACGTGCTTGTAGGTCATCACGGCAGTCCGGCGGGGCGGTGGCTGAAAATGTTCCAAGTTCACGTTCAGTCTCTCAGCACAGCACAAAACGTATTTTGGATACCGGCAATGGAGCAACATGGGCTACGTACGCAGTCCACAAAGCACCACCCGGACATTGTCCCACCCGTCCTTTCGCTCCCGCTCCGCTCCATCGCCCGCGTCGGCACTTCTCTTGCAGTCCGCATTCCGTGAGGTCCGATTGTGCGTCAAGCGTGCCCCCCACCTCGTGCCAGTGAACATTGGTTTCCAGGTACGTGGAAGCGTGATGCATGCGTCGCGCGTACACCGGCGAGGTTGAACGTTGAGTTCACCCAGAGGTCTTCATCCGCGTCCGTTCCATCGACCCCCTCCGCCTCGATACCCGTCATTCCTAGAGCGTCCTCCCCTCTGCTGGTCGTTCCACCGTTCCTGCGACTCCTCAGCACGGCGGAGGTCCTCGCGCAGAAGCTTCATCGTCTCGTTATGATACGCCTGCTCGTACTCGGCCGAGCCCGCCTCGAACGCCACCCACGCCTTGTCCCGGAAGTACCGCTCGCGCACGGAGATGTCGAACGCCAGCACGGCCTCGAAGTTCCGCACGAAGTCGCGCTGGCCCGCGAGGTACTCGTAGTGCGTGCGGAAGCGCGCGACCTCCACGCGCGACAGGAATGCGTGCAGCGCTTGCAGGAAGTACGGGTACGCCTCGCGCCAGTCGACGGGCAGCATCGCGTCCTCGCGCGGGTAGTACGGGGTCGCGTCGATGCAGGGGACTTCGTTGAGCGCGCCGTCGCAGCGCTCCTCCCAGGCGAGCTCCCAGGGGTGCCTGTTCACGGCGGCCATGGATTGGATGGTGAACATGGTGAGCGGGATGTGGAAGCCGTTCTTGAGCGACGTGATTATTCGCTTGTCGACGTGGAGGGGGCGGTATGCGAAGAGGTCGGGTGCGTCGGGGTTGTCTCGGATGAGGTCGTCTTTTGCGAGGTTCGCATTCATGTTGGTCTCCGGCACGACCTCGTCCAGGAGGCACAGCAGCTTGACCTGCACCTCCCTGTCCGCCTCCAAAGCAAGCCTGAGCAGCTTCAGGACAGCGTCACTCTGGTGTACAGTGGGGGCTCCCCCGAAGACTGCAAGCGGGAGTGCGCTCAGCAGCGGGATTTGATGGACCGAGCCAAAAGTCACGAAGGGCGGCTCAGCGACCCGCTTTTGAGAAGGCTGCGTACCCTGAGGTGTGGCTTTGGTCCCTTCGAGCCCGCCTTCGACTCTCTGCCTCTTCATAGCGGGCTGGCTGCCTCCGGCTTCGGTTTTTGTGCCGTTAACCTGGCTATATGCGCCCGCTTTTTGCGTTCGTCCCTGGGTGACTGGGCGGCTAGCGTTGTTCATCGAATCCTTCGGATTGACGACGAGGACAAGGGGAAGGTACGCGTGGCTGCGCTTTCAGGAGACTGGTGAAAGTTGCGTTGGAAAAAGCTCACCGTAGTCTTCAGGTCTTTGCAAGTCTATATATGATGTGGCCTGCAGCTTCGAATTCCATCCTGGAATTTACGCGACAGCCGTCTCCCCATCTTAGTAAGCACAGCCACGCTCTCTCAAAAATAATTTTATATCCTAGGTACCACCGAGACTCTGGTGGGAATTGACATGAATCCGACATCGCGACACCTCGTTGTATGCAGATGGACCGTTATCGACCACCGTAAATTCTCTCATATCGGCTTTATTAACCCGAGCACCTTCGACCGGTTCACCCTCGCCCCAGGCGTGACTTAGACTCGCATGCAGGCTCTCTCTCTGTCGCTCCCCCCTCCCCCCTTTCACCATCTCTTCGACGAATGCCCGTTCGTGCGGTCGTACCGGTCGTTGACGTGACCTCTTCCTCCACGCGCCGAGCCCCACTGTTCCTGCTCTTGCCCGGTTTGGCGGAAAGCTCTCTCCTCGCGGTCGCTCAAGCAGTGGTCTTGGAAGTCCCAAGTATACTTGTGAGATCCGGGCTCGAACGTCTCCCGCCCGTTCTTATTGAAGTACCTGCCGCGCACGCCCATATCGAACCTCAACACCGCCGCGAACTTCAAGTCGAAGTGGTTCTGCCCCGCGAGGAACTCGTAGTGCCTCCGGAAGCGCGCCACCTCCCCCTCCGGCAGAACGGCGGGCAGCGTCTCGAGGAAGTACCCGTACGCCTCGCGCCATTCGTCGGGACGCATCGCGGCCTCGGGGGGCCAGGTCGACGTGACCACGCAGTTCACGTCCTCGTCGTTGACGCCGTCGTCGCGCTCCTCCAGGGTGAGGACCGTCCAGTGCTCGCGCACGGCGGTGAGGGCGTCAGCGGTGAAGAGGGTGAGCGGGATGTTGAAGCCGCGCTGTAGTGAGAGGATGATTCGCGTGTCGACCTCGAGAGGGTGCAGCCCGAAGAGGTCCGGTTTTTCTTGGAGGCGGGCGCGTTTCGCGGGTGGGTGCGAGTCCTCGGTGTCTGGTGCGACTTCCTTCTCCAGGATGCACAGAAGCTTGATCTGGGTCTCCCTATCCGCCTCTAGCGCACGCCTGATTAACTTCAAGACGGAGCCGCTACTGTGCCCAGCTGCGCCCGGCGCATCCTCGGGGTGCTCCCGTTTCAGAGTGGGCTGGCTAGAACTTCCACTCCCGACGTCCTGGCTGTATGCGCCCTGTGAGCGAACCGGAGCGGTTTGACGGGAACCAGTGCTGGTCATTTTGAGCAAGTGCCGCGAACGATGGCGGCGAGGGGATGCCGAGTGTGCGCGAGGCCTGGGGAGAAGATGGGCGTTCGTGTCAGAAGCACTCACCGTACCGGTACCGTAGGTTTATACAACAATGGCCTCGCGATACGAATTTTGCCCTGGAAGGCGTATCAGCGACCTCTACACATCATAATCACCCTGGTACTTTGAGAAGATACTGATATGTCTGAACATCAAAACTTTCGTTACACAAAGCTCCCTAATTTCAAGGTCGCCTCCTTATATGCGCCCAACAAATATTGATGTTGTCCGTTCCTCCGTGACCCGTACCCCTCAAGCTCAGAGCCTCGACCTCCCTACCCCAAATCCACCAGCCATGTCCTTTCTCTTCTCCTCGTTCGCACGCCTCGCCTCATCGCGGTGATCCTCTTTCCCCCTCTCCGTGGTCTTCATTCCCTTTTTGTCTGCGGACTGCCTCCCTTTACCGTGCGCGACCAGTTGTGGATTCTCCTCTTGCGGCCCACGCAGCGTGTCCTTAGGCGCGTCCTCCGGGCGGATCTGGGAGGGCTCTGATGGCTCCGAGAAGGACGAGGGCAGGACGAGTTCAGCCTTTTTGGTATGCATCTATGAGCTCGATACCGATGTCGAAGTATCATTAGCGGTGAATTCTTAAAATCAAGGAAGAAGTGGACTCACCAGTTCTACTCGTTCTTTCGAAGCGCTCAGGCTGGTCTGATGAGTGAGAAGGATATGGACGATGTCGAGCTGAACAGACTCGCGGACGATGTGCAGACGGCGGAGACGTCACAGCTGCGGACCTCCGTCGAGGGTCGGAGGACGTACAGCGCACTGCGTCATCTGCTCGCTTCCGACCCTCCCGACCCTGATTCGACAGATGTCACCGTGAGTTCAAGGGTCGATGCGTCCGACGGTGACATTAGCGAGGGGCGATCCACAGAAGAAGCTTCCTTTTTGAGAATCAACTCCGATGGGACAGAAGCGCCGAACGTTCAAGTGGATGGAATTGTGGCCATATACCCAGGCAGTCGGGACGACGGATACATATGGTTGTTGCAACAACCAGATATGCACTTACAGGAACCACAACGTTCACCACGGTCCAGGGGTGTCGCGGCGGGGTACTGCATTCACGTTCAAGCGAGTCCTACGCTGACATCCGCGGAGGTTTGCGTTTCAAGACAGCCATAAAATAGAGCTCATTAGTACGTCTACAGATAAGTGATACTCAATACACACAACCACCCCCAGACTCCGGTTCACATCCAAGCCCCACCCAGCGATCGCGCAGCTGACGGACAAACGAACGGACGGATTTTTTCGCCGAGGCGAGTACTAGTACGATTACAACCCAACAACGTGAAGCAATACATCGCCCCGGGCGCGAGTATCGTAAGCAATAAAGAGAGTCCCGAGGTATGGCGCGCGCGGGGACGAGGACGTGGCATGGAGGGATATGGGAACGGGGGGATGCGGATAGCGGGAGACGAGAGGAGGCGGGTGACTCTATGCTGTCTCTGCGTCACGGTCGGCGGAGGCGACACCTGAGGAGGGTGCGAGTCAGCACATTTGCCGACGGGAATATTTGAAGGGGAGGAGCTCACCGTTGATGAAGCCTTCCTGGTTCTCGCCAGAGATCTCCTCGAGACTCCTCTGGTTCGTCTCCTCGATGAGCAGCGTCGAGAAGATACCCGTAAGCATGAAGAACGCGAAGATCTCGAGCCTAAGGACGGGTCAGCCGATGCCCATGCGATAGACAGCGGAGGAAAACGTACAGATGCTTGACGAACGCGTTCTTGCCGCCGATGTTGACGAGCTTGCCGAACCCGACCTGCGCGACGATCGCACCGAGCTTGCCGCTCGCGGCCGAGATACCATGCGCGGTGGAGCGGTAGCGCGTGGGGAACGCCTCCCCGGGCACGATGAACGTCGTCGTGTTGGGCCCGAAGTTCTGGAAGAAGTTCGTGAGGCAGTAGAGGAACACGAACGCGTTCTTGCCCGAGTCCGACGCGTTCAGCTTGTCGTACGCGAAGCCCATGATGACGAAGAGGATGGTGAGCATCGTGAAGCCCATGAGCTGGATCGGCTTGCGCCCCCAGCGGTCAATCACGAGGAACGTCGCCCAGTAGCCGGGGATGAGCCCCGCGACGGAGAGGATCATGTTGCCGGTCGTGATGTTCTTCAGGTTCTGGAAGACCTTCGCGGTGCCCGTGAGCGACTTGTCGGGCGAGCCGAAGCCGATCGCGGTCAGGATGATGGACGAGTTGAGACCGAGGCCGTAGAACGCGATGTCGAGCGCGAACCACGAGTACGAGGTGCCGATGAGGAGCTTCAGGTTCTTCCACTGCGAGAAGTACGCGGCGAAGTCCTTGCGGGAAGCCTTGGGCGCCTGGACGCGGAGGACGACAGCGTCGGGGTCGACGTGGTACGAGCCGGTGGTGAGGAAGTTGTCGACGTCCTGGGCGGCCTGCTTGACGTTGCGCTCGACATCCATGGTGAAGCGGGGCGTCTCGGGGATGGTGAGACGGAAGTAGAGGGCGATTGCTCCGGGGACACAGCCGAGACCGATGAGCAGACGCCACATGAAGTCGACGTGCGCAAGGACTGCGGGGTTATCGTTCAAGAGCGCGCTCTTGAAAGCAACAACAACGATGAATCCAACGAGGGCAGCGGCTGCAGAAGCAAACGGTTAGATTTTGCGCAAGTGCTCATCATCGGGTAGACGTACAGAATTGACCCCAGCCTTGGTTGGCAAACACGGCCGTCATAAGGCGACCGCGCAGATGCGTCGAGGCAAACTCGGAGGAGATGACCGCGGAGAGGGGATAGTCACCACCGATTCCGACGCCCATGATGAACCGCCAGACGACAAGGACACCGATGATAGAGACGGCGTGACCGTGACCAGCCATCGCCTGACCGAAGGTCGCGATGATGATAAGCATGAGCTCGACACCGTCTGTTGGATGCGTTAGCGGATCGAAGAAGCATCGAAGTGGGAAGGGACGTACACATCCGCTTGCGACCGACGATATCCGCCAACCAGCCGAAGAGCAGCTGTCCGACAAGGGTGCCGACGGGCGTGGCGACCTTGATACCGAGGTCCTGGTTGGAGGTCAACGCCTGGCCGGGGCCGTAGACGTATCCCAGCATCGTCGACGCGATGTTAATCGCGAAGATGTCATAGCTGCGGCGACATAAGTACTGGGCGCCAGATAAGGAGCTCGCTGGAGACGTACGCATCGGTGAAGAAGCCGACACCCGCGACCATGCAGACCTTGACATGGAACCAACTGCAAGGTGAACGCGTTTAGCAGGCGAGCAAGTTCAGGAAAGACAGGGGCACTCACGAGAACTTGGCAGAGTCAATCTCAGCAAGGGCGGCCCGGCGCTTCTCGTCGAGAGCGTAGGCGTTGCCATGCGGGCCCTTGTTGAGCGCAGGGAGCTGATCCTCTGCGCTGCTCGTCGAGTGCTTGTCGGCCACGTAGGAACTTGCCATCTCGAAGGAGCGAGGTGGTAGCGGGCGGTGGGGCGGAGGTGGGCGCGTGGGGCGGGAGGGATGGCGCTCTCCTAGGGGGGCAGCCCACCTTTTAAGTTCCAGGGGGACATCGCCGGCAGCTGGCGCCCCGAAGCGTGATGCAAAAGCACACCCGTCTGGGCGGACGCAACTTTCTTTCGGGCGACAGTTTTCGAGCCCAAGCCCAAGCCGTCCCTTGCACGTTCGTACTTCCCAGCCAATCAGCGCCCGCGATCGGGCGTCCACAAAAGGCAATGTGGGTGTCCCATGCACGTTCTCACGCTGTGCACTCTCCCTCGTCCCCCCCGCGCTCGCCCAGGCCCCGCCCTGCCTCTCCGCGCTGGCTCATCTCGCCCCGACGGCGGTCGATATCTTCTCCCGCGGGGTCTCCCGCCACTTGGCCGCGTACACTCAGGTACGCCCTCGCGAGCACCACACACATTCGTCAAATTCGCGCACTGCGGGCCCGCCGACGCGAGGGCCATCATGGCGTACGGATCGCGATCAGCTCCGTGGCCCATATTGGTGCAGGTCTCTCTAAGTCTTGACAGCGCCCGGCTTCTGGGCCATATGCACGGCCGCACAGCCTTGGTCGTGCGCCGTTCCTCGCCCGGGGGACACTTAATTACGGCGAACGTTCGACTGGCGGGACCCGCGCACTCCCGAGGTGGCGACAGCCGACTCCTTCGCCACATCGCCCGTCTCCAGGCCGTGTACTAGGGTTTCCTCCATGGCCGTGCTTGTCTCGAGACTTAGCTTCTTGCTTCCGGATGACTCTTCTCTGTGTTGCACTGGTTGCGTCATTTCCTCAGCTCTCAATAGACCCGAAACAGGCTGCCTCGCCTTTCAACGTTGTGAGTCTACGCATACACTCTGCTTAGGTAGCCGAAACATGGACCTGGACGAGCAGCGGAGGAGCACTAGACTGTTGCGATCGGTGAGCCTTCCGTTCCGAAACCTTCTTCCCCGCCTGGGCAGTTCGCACCACGTCTTCTCCCGATCGAACGCTTCTCCAACTTTTTTGTCATTTGTAGTGCGTTATCGCACATCTTCTTGCGGCACGTTTCTCCGCAGCGCCCCTCCATGGAACCTTCCTGGCGTTCGCACGCAGGCTATTTGAGTGCCTGGAGCGCTGCATTGACTCTATGCGGCGGGCTTCTTCCAGGTACGACGGCGAACTCAGATCTCGACCTGTATGGCCATCGCCTCATGTGAATCTGATCGCGATATGTACGCGGGAACTCTGTAGGATGGACATGCTCGTCCGCCTACCACTGGCAGTGTCGAACGTGGCCAGCGACGCTCCGCCGCCGCAGTGTCGACTGTGCTGCCGTGCCAAGGAGACGTATGTCGGAGCGCCCCTGTTGTGGATTGTGTTATGATAGACACTAGGTTAGCTTAGTCTCGACACGTACGGTCATTTCGACTCGTTTCTAGTACCTTCTATTCCATTTCTTTTGTTCCTCTCGTCCTCGCTTGACCTTTCTGCCTGATCTCTCGACCTGTGTAGAAGCCTCTGGTGCTTGTATCTCAAGATGTATATAAGGACAGGCTCTCTGAGCCTTGGAATTCAGCCTTTTTACCATCCAACGTACCCGCGCTCTCAGCGTCTAAGTGTGATCTAACGCCGTTCTAAGTGGACAAGATTAGCTCTGTTTACAGGTTGAAGTAAGCATAGTAAGCTACGCGCTACTATACACGCTACCTCTTCAGCGGCCCTATCGCCCATTCGACTCGAGGACTCGTCGACGAAGGATTCTATCTCAGCTCATTCTCATTTCGTAAGACCGTATCTACAACAGCCCCACTGGTTGTCGTGCTGTGGGTCTGTCGCTATCGCGCTCCGCGGACCGAACCTTCCTTTTACTCATCTGCTGTCAAGGCGCGGGGTTCTTCCCTGCAGCAACGTGTGCCCCAAACCTAGAGTCACAGCCTGGGCCCTGTGCCGACATATATATCGTCTGCACGGCGCGTTCAACTTCCACGCTGCCAGACACACGGAGGAATAAGTGTACAGCGCGCGCGATGTTTCTGTCTTCCCTCCGTCATCTGCGTGTGGTTGGGAGTGTGGTCCTGGGTTGTCGCGTGCCTGCCCTCGTTGGCAGCGGTCTCCCGGCGGGAGTACGTATACCTGGGTCTCCTATCTGTCTACCTCTCGATCTTCTCTCCAGATCAGGCCTCTCTTTCTCTTCGTGGCGCACCGCCTGCTATACCATCCCCCCCAACCCCAACCCCCTCTTGCCCTAATACCCTGCCGGCGGCACGCACCACCATCGTACGTACCGCTGCCGCGAACCACTCTACTGGTATAGATCTTACTGCTCCCGCGCGAGTGGAAACGACGCCCATAAGAGAAGATGTGCGGCGTATCCAACTTCCGTGCTTCTCGGGCGGCGCGCAGCAATGCGGCGAGCGGGCGGTTTTGAACCTTGCGAGGCATGTACGCCGCATGACGAGGGTCCGGCGATGATCGTCCCCGCCTTGGTATGTAGAGTTGCCGGGATCGTGCGCCGGGGGCCGTGTGTCCGTGTACCACGCCCTCGCCGAAATGGATGCGGAGAGGCTGGGAGGTACGTCCTGTTTGAATCTAATGGACATCGAAAGTATTGTGCTCATGAGTCGTTGACTTCCATATCGTATCAGCGCGAACTAGACCACTCGAGTTCGACTTCAGAGAATGATTCACTGATGCGCTCGCCGCTTGTTCCCGCGATGCGCAAAGGTTATGCGCGTTCAGAGCCCGGATATCTAACAGAAGAGTAACGCAACCGGTAGGCTTCTGCAGAACTTCCATCCTCCGGAGGAATAACGGTCCTCTTGCGGTATGCTCATTACCACCGCTTGTCAGGTTACGGATGCGTCTGTTCTTCCATGCTCGGCTGCGCCCGTAGCGCTGCGTACGCGAAGGGGGGCCTTGCGCCCGCAATAGGATCTGTTGGTAGGAGCTGACTCGGAGCAGATGGACGAAATAAGATTTGTTGGCGGGAGCTGACTCGGAGCAGATGGAGATCATTAAAGGCGAGGTTCATCCCGAACTCGCGGATGGACCAGAGGCCTGAGGCGAAGGTGGGTATCAAAGAAGTACCCTATCTTCAGGCCTCCGCGAGCCTCGAGCATCAACGACTCATTCAGTGCTTCGGCTTCTAAAGATGGCCGCCGCGGTAAGTGCTAGGTTCAGTGCTGCGACAGGGAAGGAACTTTGACCTCCCTTTGCAGACAACGCCGTCGGGCATCCGCGCGGGCTGTGCATCGTCAGCGTTTGGTAGGCACTTCCGAGATGGCGATGAACAGGAAGTGCCGCTGGTGACGGGGAGCAAACGATACTGAAGGCATTACGGATGCCTAGGCTGGCGACGGGGGGACCTGGAGTTTCTTGGCGGCCCTGGAGGACAAGGGGAATCAGAACCCCGCAGATATCTATCCTGTGCAGACGTTTAGCTGACGGAGGGCGCTGTCACGATCGCAACCCGGGAAACCCCACGAAGTGCTCGGCCTCCCGGAACTGTTATGATGGACAGAGTTTGACTGCCTGCGGTTCGGCCGTGGAGTCGCGCTCATCGAAGAAGAGAAACCGCGGGCTCGATCCTGTGGGTGTTCTAGCGGTACCGGACTCGGAGCGCCACAGCTGTACAGGGTTATGTCGCCTCTTGCGTGTCAGAAGGGCACTGATGGGCTCATTGTAGGCTGCGCGCGATGTCGCTGCCAGCTGCTTCTGGGGCTGCGGAGTCGGTTGGTACCACCCATTACCTAGAGTTGTATGGGGATTGCATCAAGGTTGTACGAGCCGGGACAGAAGCGGGAGCACTCACAGCATTCTTGGTATGGTGACATGATCATTCAGAGCGTGCGAGGTTGATTAGAGGAGAAGCGGTGGTCAGTAAGTTCAGTACTTTGAGGACAAACAATGGTCGTCAGTCTTCCTACTTACTGTCCCATTTGTTTCAAACACATCGGCTCACCAGCGGTTAAAGGGGGGAAACATGCATTGTTCCGGTGACCACGGCGAGTTGGTGCTGAGTCCACTACAAATTCGGGTGGGCCTGACACCGGGGATGCTAGAGAGTATCAAGCGTCCTTCAGCACGAGTCAAGGAGTTTTCCTACTTGAATTTGTGCCCAGAAGCATCAAGTTTAGTCGTGGAGATTTTGCATGTAGTGGTCAGTCCGCAAGCCTCCTGCCAGGCTGCCGAGTCCCGGCGCTTCAGTGCGGCGGTCGCTACGTAGCCTCAAGGCAATAGGCGCTCACCCATCTCCTAGGCACACTGCCCGACGGTCACCTTTGTACCGCCGTACCGCCATGATCGCGACGTTAAACCAGGACATCCCCCGACCGTCTTTCTCGAATTCTACCTGGCGCTTTGACATCCATTCAGTACTGCCACTTTCCGTTGGAGCGGTGACTTTGCTCGCGGCGGCAAATGTGGCTTGGGACTGCCCTGAATGTGGCAGAGTTCTGGCCGTCATCCCCAGAGCGCGTCGTCCAACTTGACGTCCATCCTCTGATTTCTGCTCTGGTATTCTACGATTGTGAACTAATGTCAATCAAACGGCGGCATTCAAGCTGCGATCTACCAACGCCATTCCAGACTCCGGGGTCGGATGTTGGTCAAGTGCGACGTAATTGCCCTACTAGGTCGATCACCCAACGGTGGCACGTCTAGGCTAGGTGCCGTGTCGCGCACTCACAGGGGCCAAGACATCATCGCTCACGCCCAACACTCGCTCGAAGGCAGACGGACGTGACTTCGCGATAGCGCGTCGCACACGTGCGCTGCTGCTCCAGCGCAATTGGCGGTCTGTATGACCCTGGGAGCCCGCCCACCGCTGTGGGCTCGGGCGGTGCCCCGGACTGTTTGGATCGCAGCAATCTCCGTTCCATTGCGGCCCCGCGCCCGCCCGCCAGAACCCCGCGGGGACAGTAAGAACGCGGTTTCAACTCGTACTCTAATCCTGCCACTGACCGCCGGCAGGCCATCGCTGCAGCCTGTCTCGCCCACGCCAGGCGCCGCTGCGGTATGGGGACACCCGCCGTCTGCAGCCGTCACCATCCGGGATAGGTACGTGTTCGCGTTCTGGGGCGTTCCGATCTGTCCGTCTGAAAGACCCTTCTGCGTTAGCCGCTGTGAATGCAGCCCCAGGCACCTGCGCACGGGCCGCGGCGCTCGCCGGTTCTGGTTCTGGGGAGGGACTACGCCGAGCGCGAGCTAAAATCCCAATCTGTATAAGTACTAGGGCATTCCCCGGCGGCTGCGAAGACTCTGTAGTGCGCGCTCTCCCCCGCAGCTGGACACACTCGACGTCGATGAGGGCGCAAGCCCTACCTGCCCACACAACACACGCGTCAACACACTCCTCTGGATCCCATGCGCGCCAACACCGTCTCGTCGGACAGCATCAAGGCGCGGGCCCTCGGTGATCGAAGCGCGGCCCACCGCGCGGGCAAGAACGCGGGCGCCCTAGCCGGGGCACCCAATGTTCGTCACCTGAACGAGACCCGGCGCGCGCTGCTCACCGAGATCGACAACGCGAAATTCTCGTACGTGCTTGCCCTTATGCGGCGCGGACGGTGCTGACGATCTGTTCGCCAGCTGGTTCCATGTCAAGGTTGCGTTTGTTTCCGGGGCCGGCTTCTTCACGGACGCGTGAGTCTCCGCAGCAACGGCGGGCTCATTGGTCGTGGTATTCATACGCGTTCTTCTGCGGCGTCATAGGTATGATATCTTCGCCATCAACATCGTTTCGGTCATGCTGGGGTATCTCTATGGCACAGGTATGTGTTAGTGACGCGCAATATCCTAGCCGTTCACATTTATCGTCTTCACGTGTTGTAGGCATTGACTCCAGCTTCTCAAATTTGCCGAACCGTCACCTCACCACTGCTCAAGAGGTGGGCATCAAGATTGCCACCCCCGCCGGCGTTCTGTTTGGACAGCTGCTGTTTGGATGGCTTGCTGACGTGCTTGGCCGCAAGCGCATATGTAAGTGCGCTCTCCTAACCATAATACGAAGCGCTGACCAACTTCCTAGATGGGATGGAGCTCATGCTCATCATTGTGGCCACCTTTGGGCAGACCCTGTGCGCGCCGGGGATAGGTGTCAGCATGATGGGGATCCTTACCTTCTGGCGGTTCATGGTACGTGCACTGCCGTGTCATCCCGACACCTTGCCTGACCTCAGGCTGTGGGTGCGACATAGATGGGTATCGGAATCGGAGGTGACTATCCCATCAGCGCGGTCATCTCCTCCGAGTTCTCCTCAGTCTACATACGCGGTAGAGTCATGACGGCCGTTTTTGCCAATCAAGGCTGGGGCCAACTGTGTGAGTACAACGGCTACGCCATCGTCTAGCTACATCTCTCTCACACCGGACCCCTCCTCCAGGCGCTACGCTGTTCTCCTTCATCATCGTCTCCACCTACAAACGCTCCTTCATCCACGACGACCCCTCCGGCGTGCTGCACGCGCTCGACCAGATCTGGCGGCTCATAATTGGGCTGGGGTGCATCCCCGGGGCGATCGCGCTCTACTTCCGGCTCACGATCCCCGAGACTCCGCGGTTCACGATTGACATCGAGCGCAACATCCGGCAGGCGGGGCGCGACCTGAGCGTGCTGCTCGTTGAGTCCGAGACGTACACCGTCGACCCGGACGCGGTGGGGAAGAGGGTGATCGCGAGGCAGGCGACGAGGGATGACTTTAGGTCCTACTTTTCGCGGTGGGAGAACTTGAAGATCCTGATCGGTACCGCATACTCGTGGTTCGCTCTCGATGTAAGCCTTCTTGCTCTTAAGCATCCCATGATGTGCCCTGACAGGAGTACATGTCACAGATCGCGTTCTACGGCCTTGGACTGAACTCGTCCATCATCCTGAGCGCCATCGGCTTTGGCTCACCCAAGAAGGGGCTCGCCCCCGGCGCTGCAGTGTATCAAAACCTGCACAACGCCAGTCTCGGCAACATCATCCTCTCGATGGCGGGGTTGGTCCCCGGCTACTGGGCCACGTTCATCTTCATCGACCGCTGGGGCCGGAAGCCGATCCAGTTCATGGGCTTCGCGGTGCTCACCGTGCTCTTCCTAATCATGGGTTCGTCTTCATTCCCGCCTTGCCTTTGCCAGGGGGACGGCACTGATGCGCCGCGCTGGTAGGATTCGCGTACGAGCGGATGAACGCGACGTCTGGGGGGCGCGCGGCGTTCGTCGTGCTCTACTGCATCGCGAACTTCTTCGAGAACTTTGGGCCGAACACGACGACGTTCATCATCCCCGGGGAGGTGTTCCCGACGCGCTACCGGGCGACGGCGCACGGCATCTCTGCGGCGAGCGGCAAGTTTGGCGCGGTGGTCGCGCAGCTCGCGTTCCAGTGGCTCAAGGACGTCGGCGGTCCGAACAAGTTCCTCGACCACATGTCAGTGCTCCCTTTTTTGTGGGTGTGCATACATGCTGATGGAGACGGGGTACAGACTGGAGATCTTTGCGTTCTTCATGTTCACGGGAATCCTGTCGACGCTGTTGATACCCGAGACGAACCAGAAGACGCTCGAGATGCTGTCGAACGAGAGCCAAGATGATTTCATCCAGCGTGAGTCAACACCATGCTTCAGTGTGTGGCTGGGGATATATCTCATATTAACCTTCCTTCATTAGCGGTTCCTGCTTCCGACTATGCCGGCAGTGGATACCTCAGCGACTTCGAGCCAACACCGATCAGGCTGAACCCTCTCGAGTCCCCGAGCAGCCCATCCCGCCCGCCGACCGCGTTCTCCGCGCGCGGCCGGCGGAAAGGCACATCCGTGTCGTCGCACGGCGAGCGGTACGCGAGCATGTCCGATTTGTCTGTGAATTCGTAGTGTCGTCCGCCTCATCCTGGCACATCCGGTCCTTACTCAATTCGCTATATGTTTATCCTCGTTTCATTCTACTTTCGTTTGTGTTATGGATAGAATATCTTGGAAGGCACTGTTCGCGTCGATATGTTTGAGGGGAAGAGGAGGGGTAGAGAGGGGCATATCGCGCTCTATGTGTACATTACTAGTCTAGCATGTTGATATTAAGTGTACTGTAAAGAGTAACCTGTTTGTCCTATTGGTACATGTCGTGCGATAGGGCCTGATTGAATATGTGGTCGAAAGGCCCGGGAACCGGCTTGGCTCCTACAAGTTAAGCCTCCATATGAAAACGTCGCGGTCGTCACCTCCGTGGTTTTGATTCGGAGTTGCATCAGTTGTCGCTGGTCGAAAGGTTACCCGGCAGCAACAAGTTCTTGGAGAACTGCCCGATTGGGATAGAACGAGTTGCGATTTGCTGACATAACATAGGCGTCTGATCATGATCCCTGTCGAGATCGAATCTGTCAGATTTCTTTCAAACACGCCAACACCTGCAAGTGCTCAGGCAAGCCTTCCCGCTTGAAACCTCCCCTACATCCCTTGCTATTGGGCACCGGCCGACACTCATGAAGGTCTTCTACACTGTTTCACCTCCCATGACAGCAGTATTGCCTCGGGAGAAGAGAGGATATGCGCAGAAGGTACGCCAACAAAGATTTGCACCATCGCAATGTACAAATCCATGACTGTCCATCACAAATGCTCTCAGTAAGCTCGATCCCAAATCATGTAAAATGATCTGTACAGAACTTCACGCTCCGCCGGATTGCTACTAGAAGGTAGGTAGTGTACGGGATGATCCTCATTAGCTATAGGCATTATTCTATGATCTGATATAAAATGATGCCTATAGCCAGTGAGTATCAAGGTGTTTCAGGTATCCGTGCTGACAGAAGGTGAGCGTAGATCTGCACCGTCGCATAGTACGGGCCGTTCGTAAAGCAAGCCCTTGCGACTGACTCTGTCTCATCTAGGGCGAGTCTAGTGATCTGAGTTCAGGAGTTTCACGCACGACCTGATACCGCATGGAATGGCACTCGTCAGCTATGGGCATGAGGTATAACATATGTCATAATAGTGCCCATAGCCTGTGAATATCGATCTGTACCTATATAGCCAGCGTCGCGCGGAACCGTACCCGTCAGCTATGGGTTGTAAAAAGAATGGATATCTTTCTAGTACCCATAGCCTACGGGAAATGATTCCCAAATCTCTAAAATATTGGTGCATTATAGCCTTTTAAATCGTTCAGATTCAGGACCAGGCCAGCGATGTTGGTATAAGATGCACTGTACGGAAGGCATCAGTCTGCCGTGTTGATCTTCGTTGCGCACCATGGATAGCTTAAACCTTAGATAGAGACCTCGATACAAAGGCCTCGAAGGCCTCCAAGGGCTTTCGTACCAACACACTTTTCCGCTACTGTGACTGCATTTTTTCGCTGCTTTGGTAGAGAGGCGTAGGTGCAGTGTGTCCTCGAGACGACTGACCATACGTGGGGAGCATGCGGGCAGACTCTTTCTATAAAGCCACCATTTGCCTCTATTTACTGCGATGAGAGGCGGATTTTTGGTGACTGGTTGCGCAACTGTGAAAGACTTGAACAAGTATCTGCTCGATTCGGATATTCAGGACTCCGGATCGCAGAGGCTAATAACACAGGCGCCTGATTAGGATCAGATCCCTGTCGAGATCGTCAATCTCTCCTCTCTTTCGCGCCAACCACCTCCAACGATCGCTCAGGCAAGCATTCCTATCTGGATTTCCCCTACATTCTCTGTTCCTGGCTACCCGTCGACACACACGAGGATCTTTTCCACTGCTACCCCTCCCTGACAGCAGTATCGGTTCGAGAGAAGAGAGGACATGCGTAAAAGGGAAGGAAAGATCTGCACCATCGGTACGAGTCCATCGTCACGAGTGCTCTGAGGTAATTGGATACTCAAATCGCATCTAGTGTGTTACACGGAGATCGACGCTCCGTCGGATTGCTTGGAATGGTACTCACCAGCTGTAGGCACCACTATTATACTCTGATATCGTAGTGGTGCCTATAGCTAGTGAGTATCAAGCTAGGACGTGTTTTGCATAATGTACGGCCGAATCGTCACTATCGACGTCGTCCGAGCTACAAGTGCTTAGCATTGGGTCGTTCACGATTATCACTCGAAAAGAGCAACTCGACAAAATCGGAGCGGATAACAGGTGTCATTTTATGATTGACAAACGGAAATAAGGATGTAGGCACCACGATCAAAACATTGGGGACACCGCCCCATCCAACGAGGAATATGTGCTCATGCGCACTTTCGGCGCATTGCGAAACTCTTTGAGGTGATCTTCCGAGTTTGCTAGACCGACTTGCGGGGGAGTTAGCGGGAGCGAATCCCTCCACTTCTCACCGAGGAGGGGAGATATCTGGGGATAACGAGCTGTCGCTTCATGAGCGCTCCCTGAAGCCGGCTGCAGCTCAAGACTGATAGCCTCGTCGGACCCCGCAGTCTGAGCTGTCCATATAGTATCAGACTCGTTCGCAACGACGGTGCCGCCACCGTAACGCCCACTGTCGATCCGGTGGGTTGTGGAGGTGACGGACCCTGGGAGAGCGTCCCGAAGCTCGCTCTGTCGCTCGGGGCTGGGGCGATGGAAGGACGGGGTGGGATCACCCCGGGATCGAGACGAGGGTGCGGCGGTGATGAGACGAGCGTCTGTACCAGCATGGGAATGAACTTCCTGGAGTGCAGGCTGGAACGGATGGGACCCCATCTTGACGGCGACGCGGGGGGCGTGAGGAGGCAACTGTACTTGCCTCGGCACAGGTATGTCCGATGCGTCCACACGCTGCATATGCTGAGGATAATGCATGCGCCCCACATGCTGGCCAGCAAGGGCCATCTCGCCGAGATGTTCCTGCGAGTACCGGGCGTCGAAGATGTGCGCGGAAGTGAAAACGCCGCGGCGCTGGCCGTCGCTGAAGGTCGGGTAACTCGCGGTCGTGCCAAAGTGCGGCGTTCCCGTCCACGAGACATAGCTGGCGCCGCTCTGTAGCCATCCTGTCGCGACACCAGGCTGAAGGTGGCCAAAGGCAAGGTCAACCGCGTTGGAAGCCGAAGCGCCAGTAGCTCGCGGCGCCGATGCCTCCGCGCCTGCCTTGATCCGCTTCGACGTGTCGACCGGGGCCTGCGGCTTGTCATACGGAGTGGGCCTCTGCCGGGTATCGACGTAGGGTGACCCAAGACGACGCGGAAAGTTGGGGGTGCGTCTGTCGCGATGGTAAGAGCGCTTCGGTCTATCCACAAGGGAAGACGGTGCTGGGGATAGGTTGGGAGGGTGCGCCGCTTGGAGAGATGGAATGATTGGATGCGGTAGTGCGGAGGGGGGACCTTGCGACTCGAATTCGATCCCATAACCTCTCGCACCTCCACTGTGGCGTTGGTTCGCTCTGGGGGCGGTGGCGCGAGCGTGTTCTCTGCCGTAGGACTGTATTACAGGTATGTCGTCCGTTAAGCCCCATTTCTGTGATACTGATATAGAAGACTCACAGCGCGGAGGGCAGACTCGGACGCCGCCATCGATTGCGTACCCATCAAAATCGGTGGCGAGACGACGGTCTGACGAGGGAGCTCCGCCTGGTCGGACCGTTGCACATGTTTCTTCGCTGTATAGCGGAAAACGCGTTTGCGGTGCCTGAGCGTGTAGGGGCTAACCACTGGTGGGGGTGCCGTGATGAGAATGGGCTGTCGTCTTAGGCCTCGTTGCTCTTTGGTTAATTTGAAGTCCATCCTTCCAAACCGTGCACGTCTTTCCTCGACGTTCTAAACAACATGAGCGTCATGCTTAGTCACATTCAAGACATAACAGGCGAGGGGACATACCGGGACGGCATTCTTGATTATCGTTTGGGTCTCATACGGCGTTTGAGGAGAGGAGGGCGGGGGAGTTCTATCTTTCTTCGATTCATATGAGGATTTCTTACGCGCCACCATGGTGCGAAGGGTGTCAGTGTGTATATACAGGGGTGAAAGAACGAGCAGGGACGTTGCCACACTTGAGGAACGGTGCCGCGCCCGTCCCGGCGGCTTTTGTACTTTCCAGCCACCTCCGTCGGAGTTGTGTCTGTGAGAAAATGACACAGCATCAGCGGCATGTCCTAGAACTCAAAGGCGCACCGCTCTGCACGTGCATCAGAGGGCGATGGAACTTCATTTACTTGTCCAGCTGCGCAGCGGCGGTGGGCAGTAGGAGCTTCGATCAAATGGCAAAATCCGAGAACCAGCTCCGGAACCGCGCCCAAATACACCTAATGGGACGTCCCCGGGCTCGCGCGGAGTCATGCACATCGCGCACGTCACAAAAGGGGTTTCCCTGTGATATCCTGGTGATATTTGGAGCCACGTTGCCCCGCGTCGCGGTGCTTCCTCAGGTACTGATCTGCGAGACCTGCCTTAGAGTCAGCCGTACAGATTGCCTCGAGGCGACAGCGCAGGGCAGATCTCACGGTTGAGATTCGGCGTGTTGCCTGCCAGCGTACATGCCTTTGTTCTGGAAAAGGAACGATGAGCGCAGGCTCCAAGGTATGTGCACAGGCCTCACGCATTCCACATGAGGAGGGCAGTGCGCCACCGGTTGGGCGGGCGCCCTCGGGCGTGCCGCGCTGTTCCCGCATCGTCTCCTGAGAAGCCTCCTTATGGGCCAAAACAGAGGCAGGGTAAGGGCGCGAAAGACCTGCATGATGGTGGCGCGGGAAACATTCTATACCATTGGAAATAGGAGGACGAGATTATTACACGATACGGATACTAAGCAAGGAGCGTCACGAGGGAAACGAGAGGGGCGTAGCTTTGGGTTCTCCGATGTACTCAGCCTCGGTAACGTCATCACTCGTCGTATTCGGAATCCGACGAGGTGACCGAGTTGACGGACACAGTGCTCGTTGAGTATCCCCGCGGAGGGATGTGCCAGCGGTATTGGGTGGCTGGTACGGCCAACACGTGTGTCGAAGCTTTGAAGGCGACTTGCTTGAGCGGGGAAGACGTCTTCGGGGCGTGCCCGTGCGATGCGGTCTTTTTGTACCTCGTTTGGTCAGCCGCAGGCTCCGCGGCAGACGACGGGCCCGCGCGTGCGTCGCGGTCGCTCGTGCGCGAGGAAGATGATCCCTGCGCGAGATTGTTGGTCGAGGGCTGAGACCGGTTGTTGCTCGTAGAGGATTGGGCTTGACTGTTGTTCGTTGTCTGGCGCGTATCGGAGCGCCTGGGGTTGTTCTCGAGACCAGGCGGCGGTCCCAGAGCAAGAAGCGCGCGGTGCCGTCTGGCGTCTTCGTCATCTTCTATGACAACTGGGTTTTTTGCTGAGCCTGGAGGCGGAAGCGGGACACTTGCGCTAGTAAGCTCGTGCTCGTCGTAGTGCTGCGGCACGCGGTCAAGTTGAGTTCCACCGTTTCCGTAGATATTGGTCAAGAGACTCACATCGGCATTGAGTGGAACGTCAGGGACGCCCCTGGGCTTGTAAGACGAGACCGTTGAGTTGCTGTTGCGAACTCGAGGCATAATGGCTTGGAAGGATGGCGTAGAAGGTGTTAGGTTGAGTGAGCTGTGGGATGCTGCAGGTGAACGAAGTCTCGGAAAATCGCAGAAGAGGTCAGATATATATGTTCGTAGGCTGGTCCAAGCAAGCAGTGGCGTGGCTGAAGGCCCTAGTAGCTCCGGATCCTCAGACGTGCAGTCCAAGCGGGGCTAAACAAAGCGCGTTCGTGCTCGATCTGCGACGCAAATAAAATATCTGGCTGCGCATGATGATCAGCCATACTACCGTTAGTCTCCGTACCTCTCCAAAACATGATCAAGTTCCGGCTACGCTTGGGTTGAAATGTCGCATAGACTAGCAATGTCGAGGGAAAAGTTAAGTTCGCGCACGGAGTAAGCGCCAGCGCCGTGTGTTATATAGCGCTTCGGCCCGCCTCTTTCCTGATGAAACGATTGGTCCCGCCGCGGCCTAACGCGCCCTCTCTCTCTTAAGTTCCTCCACTATGGTGACGACTAGCATTGTTCATCGGTTCCAGAAGTAGCGACCGCAGACTGGTCTCTAGGTGTGCGTCGAGGCTACAATGATTCATTATTGAAAAAAATTCAAGATTCTGGATTGAACGAGTCCTGATATGTCCAGATGTTACACAAATGGGTGTCCGATCGATCATGATGCCGTCCAAATGTTTTCTCACTCAGATCTCCTTCGCCTCGATGATCCTAGCCCCCAGGTCGTTCACTTCCAGCGCACTTATAACCTCCCCGTACTCTGTCTCCCAGGCACTCCTTTGTACTCATCGCCTCTGTGTGTCTACTGAGGATGTCTCAGGTCGCGGCTTAGCTTTCTTTAGCTAAAGAGAACACGGCCTATGTACCACTGGAGGAGCATCATGATGGATCATATACGTCTCGAAGGTAAGCACCAATGTGCACCGTATCACTGTACGTGCTGCCCATGACCACATCTGCTTAGCATGGAGTACACGCGATGCTCAAGTCAGATCGAGCATACCGCGCGGCGCATCATACATAGTACGTTCAATACCGATGGACAGTGTCGTGCAGAACTGTACCTGTCAGCTATAGGTATTACGAAGATTAGAATCTCCGTGATGCCTATAGCCTACGGGTACCGAGTCTCAAACCCCAAAACAGCAGTGGTCATGTAGTCCTCTCTTGAACTGTCCTCACATTCATCTAGTCTTGGACTGTGCGAAGGAGGTTGGAAATCATTCAAATTCGAAAGGAGCTTCACCGAGCCGATCGGCTGTTAGGCGATACTATGGTAAAAGACAACTTTGACCAGATGAATAGCACGTTGGGTCCAAAGGAAATGTGGAAGACGGTACGGTGCAACGAATGCTAAGAAAAAGAGGGGATATAGGTATGACGAAGAGCCGATTCGGACACTGCACCACCCAAAGAGGTATACGTGCTCACCCGCTGTCCCTCGTAGGGCGCGATGCGGGGTTCCGAATCGGTAGAGCCAGCTGGTATAGAAGCTGCCAGGGCCGGACCCCACCACCGCTCCATCAGCGCTGGAGGGCCCCATAGATACTCATCAGGCGCTGCATGGTGAGTGCCCTCGAAATCGGATTGCGACTCTGGTCCGAGGCCCACGACAGGCACGTCGCAAGGCATAGCTCCATCAATGCAAGCGAGGCATTCAGCAGCCCATACACCGGCACTGGGGATGCCGCTGGAGATATCGCCCAGTCCGGTATCGACCTGGACGATCACTGATTCGGGGGCTGGGTATCCTGCAAGAGTACTAGCCCAAGAGACGTCATCCTGCTCGCCGAATCCAGCCTGTCCAGGATAGAAGCGCGGTTGAGTGGGATCGCCATGAGACGTAGATGACGATCGCGCGGCGACGATGCGGCCGTCCGCACTAGCGTGAGCATGCGCTTGCTGACGGTGAGCGGGCTGGACGCAAGCTTCACTCTCGACCTCAACGCGGGCGCGGGTGTTGTGATGGGGAGGTCCTGGGGCCGGTACGTTCCACGTGTCTTCATGTTGCGTGTGCTGGTGACGAGGGTGCTGTTCGGGGATGAGCTCTCCCTGGCGCTGGCGGTCGCTGAAGAGGCTCGGGTCAATGGCGGTGGTGTCGAAATGATGTACTCCCGCCCATAGGTCGTAGCTGGCGCCGGTCTGCCTCGATCCCGTCGCGAGGCCACATTGAGGGGCAGAGACAGAGCCGACCGAGTTGATACCGGGGGCGTGGGCTGGGGCACGAGTACCTCGCCGCGCCAATGCCTCTTCGATAGCCTTGACTTGGTTCAATGTGTTTTCGAGGATTCGCAGTTTGTCGCGGAGACGTCGCCGCCCAAAGTCACCCTCTTGTGGCGTGAGACGACGTAGATCCGAGTCCAGGTCAATGGGGCCACCATTGCCGCGACGGCGAGTGCGTTGTGATCTGTGCGCTAGATACGACGACCGACGGAGGTAGGGAGAAGGCACCGTTTGTTGGGAGGGTATGTGTGGGTGCGGCAGTGAGGGGAGCGGACCATGCGCATCGAACCCATTATCTCCCACTCTCTTGTTGCGGCACCCGTTCGATTTGGAGATCGCATTGCCAGTGCGCTTCCCAGCGGACTGTATACGACGTCCTCCATTGAGCTCTCTGGACTGCCTGTACGCGATGCTAACATGAGAAACTCACAGCGTGCGCGGAAGGCTTGTGCGCCGCCACCGATGCGGGATCCATCAAAGTTGGTGGCGAGCCTCCGATGGCTTGAGGGGAGAGTTGCGCCTCTGTGGGCGAGTGCGTCGGTTCCCGCGGGTCGCAGGCTTTGTCGAGGTGCGCGCGAGGGCCTGAGGCTGGGCGCGGTTTAATGGGGATGGGGATGGCTGCTTGTGATCGGGGCGCCGGGTCTGGTGGCGATTTGTTCACTCGGAACAAATTGTATCCTTTCTGCTGTTCTTCATCCTAAGCGACGCCGGACGCCATGGTTAGTATAATGCTACGCACATCCGCGCATCAGGGAACAGGACGTACGGGGAAAGACTTCTTGATTTTTTGGGGGAGGTCCCAGGTCATGTTTATGGGACAGCGTTGCGGGGCTGTTTCGCCAGTCTGCGAGAGTTCTGCGCGCGACATGGCGGATAAATGGGAAGGCGCGACGCTAGTAGTGGAGTAAACTTTGCGCGACTCGCGTCGTGGTGGAGTGCCAGGAGGATATAGCGCACAAGAGTCTCGCCACAGTTGAGGTCCGAGGAACGGTGCCGTGGTTCTTGTACTAAATTCGAACCACCACCGTCGGAGTTGTGTCTGTGAGAAAAGACACAGCATCAACGGCGTGCCCCAGAGCCAGCCCGCTCTGCACGTGCATCAGAGAACGATGCTAGAACCTCATGTACATGCACCGCAGGGCAGCGGCGGTGAGCACCAAGAGCTTCTATCAAAACGGCGAAAACCGAGAACCAGCACCGGGTCTGCGCCCAAATACACGAAAGGAGACGTCCCTAGACTCGCGATGACTCCGCCGAGTCACTGATGCCCCGCGCGTCCTACAAGGGGTCTTGTGTGATATTCTGACGGTGTATAGCACCACGCGCGCCGAGCTTCCTACGACGCTGAATTACAAAACTACAGGTCGAGTTGGAGTCGGAGTCGGCTGCACAGGTGGCCTCGAGGCAGAAGCGCTGTGCAGATTCCACGGTTGAGATCTAGCGTGTTGCCTGTCAGCGTGCATCCCTTTGTTCTTAAAAAGGAGTGATGAGCGCACGCGCTGGTCTCTGGTGGACATACGCGAGCCTCACACGTAGCCCATGAGGATGGCAGTTCGCCGCCAGTTGGTCGCGCAGCCCCGGGCCCGGGCGCGCAGCACTCAGCCAGTCAGACATACAGCCCGGATCCTGGGGTAATGGCGAGAGGTTGTCAAGGCTCGAGACGGAATTTCGAGGGTGGCGTAAAGACGGTGTATATTCTGTTAAGCACTGCGGTACTTGTACAATCTGCAGATCCCATGAGAAAAGCGTGATGTGATGTGAAACAGAGATTAAGGGGGGGGGGCGTACCTTTGGCTTCTCCGAAGTGCCTAGCCCCGTTAATATGCCGTCACTCGTATTCGGAATCCGACGATACCGCCAGCACGTCTGTTGATGTCCGCATACAACGTAGAGATCATCCTCTATGATGGGCGTCCGACGCGGCCTTCATTTTGACACTTGCCCTTCGTGCGGCTGACGAGAGGGTTGCGACCCAGGCGCGGGGAGGCATTGTTCAAAGACAGCTGTTGTTCGTCGCTTAGCGGTCGGTGCGCGTGAAGCGCCGAGTGGATTGTCGAGGTCCTGTCATGGGATAGGTCCCCGGAACTTCCCTAGGTTTCCGTCGGAATCTACAGTGACCAGGTCATGTACGAGGAGCCACTGGCCCTCGGCGAGCGGATCCGGCGACATCACCACTGGCTGATTCCTTACTGCTTGAGATAGCAATAGTCGGAAGTATGCGGATGGAGGACTCTTGGTTATCACTGACCTATAGACCAGAGTTGTCGGGGAAGGAAGGATCGTCAAGTTCAAGATGCAAGGGTCCACAACTTGGCGGCGAGGAGCCTCGTGGCAGAACGTTGGGCAACGAGCGGGTGATCCCGCCGCTGTCTAGATGCGGTAATATCCCGCCACCGAGCGCCAACCAATGTGTGGCTTTCGTCTTCCGTCCTACTGAAACAGGCCGAGTCGTTTGCACGCGATACGCACACAACTGCACTCCTTGTATCGACACACGCCATTGTGGATCGCGAAACCTAACGGCTGTTATGCCACACCGAATATAGTAGTCCTTCTCCAGTTTCCTACCGCAATGCTACTGCCGTTCCTACCCACGCGTGAGCGCACACATCCGACACTCGCCAAAGGTGACTGTCCCGATGCTTTGCTTCACCACATACAGGCCCCCTGCTCCGATCTGCGCCCCTTGCTTCTGCCGAATCGACGCGGCGTTCTACTACAAGCCGATATCCACCGTCTCCCTCTCTGATTTTACGGCCGTCTCTGGCAGCGGCGCGCGTGCATCGATCCCGCGCCCAGTATGGGTATGAACAAGGCAAGGGCTTACCCTGGCGCGGGGAGGAGCGACGACGACGCAGACGCGGACGTGGAATGCGGGTCGTCGCGTGAGCGGCGCTCGAAGCTCGGCGTCGAGTAGCGCAACTCGCACGATTTGTACGACTCCGCGGTCTCGCGCGGCTCTCGATCGGGCGCGAGTTCGAGCGATCAGAGCTCTGCGGCTGCATTCCGCTCCAGCTCCTGTCCCGGAGTGCCCAGAACGCATGTGCGAGTCGCGCGAGAGCGCCGGGATGTCGTCGGTGGAGGGCGCCCTGGGGGACGGTGGATTGCGAGCGAAGCGACGCGAGACGGCTTCTGAAGGCCTCCTGCGAGGCATTGAATGAGAGACGGTTGCGGCGGAGCTTGTCCTTGATGTGGCAACAGAGCAGGACGCCGCCGCCGAGCGCGCTAAGGGTGCCGAGGGTAGCAAGGCGAGGCGGCGACGGTGGTGGTCTTGCGCGCATGCATGGAAGCGTCGAACACGTTATAAGTACTCGTGGACCCTTGAGCTAGGGTAGCCCCTAGTGAGGCATCAGACGTGCAGTCCAAGTGACTTCAGGGCTAACAAAGCGTGTTTTTGCTTGATGATTCGATCCGCGACGCAAAGCAAATGCCTGGCATACTATCAGCATTTTATCCTACTGCTAGACGAACCTCTATACCACGGAGGCTTATGTCGAGACTCGCATGGACTAGCGATGTGGTGGGAGGAGGCAAGTCCGACACGGAGGAAGCGCCTTGCGTCTCAGGGCGCATGGTTCCGCCGCCGCCGTACGCGAGCTCTCTTTCGACCTTCCTTCGTTTCGGTGGTATCTGACAATATTGGTCGGTGGTACCACCATCAGTGATTTATGCGGCCCCGCGTGAGTCTGCGTCGAGGCTTCAGCCAATGAAAAAAATTCCCAGATCCTGGATTGAACGAGTTCGATCTGTTCAGATGCTGCGATCGATTACTCCGAGTCTCTAGACGCTTGTTCTCGTCTCTCTTGTCATTGAATATTGAGCACCTCCTCCTCCCTGCCAAACTCAGTGGATCCAAGATACACTCTCTCGCAGACGCGGACGCTACACTCTTCACTACTAAGAGCTCATCTCTGGGTACTCAGGTTGGGGTCTAGGCCAGAAGAGCGCGGCCCGCTATCGGAAGAGTCCATGTAGTACGCCTCGGGATGACGGACGCAGACCACGAAGGCGAGTGGGCACGGGCGTGCAAGTGATCTACATACGTGTACCGATTCGCGGAGCTAGTGTCGCACAGGGCTGTACCCGTCAGCTATGGGTACTAAAATGATTTTAGATCAATATAGTGCCCATAGCTTACGGGCGTGTCTTACCGTACTATGAGTTGTTGATGTTCATGGTCTTTCAGTTCATTGACAGCGCAAACGTGATCTCCAGGTTTTCTAACGACCTGCTCGGAGCTTCCTATCTGGTCGGGTCAATATCGATGGTGAGTGAGCGTCACACAGAACTATACCCGGTGTCAGCTCTAGATGCTAAAGTCATATGGCATCCCCTCGGTACCTATGACCTACGTGCACCGAGTCATGAAGCCAGTGCCTCACAGATATGGCATATACTTACTGGATGGTGTCTTTCAAATGATCCGAATTCGAAGGGGTGCCGCGCCAGGCCAATATGTACACGAGGCACAAACAACAGCAAGCAGTAACAAGGTGAAGATCATAGCATAATCAGGAGATATGGGTGAGTTGACCAAATCCGAACACTGCATCATCCAAAGATGAGTACGTGCTCACTAGCGCTTGCGGCCGCTTATGGGCGCGTTGCGGACATCTGCATTCATGAGGCAGCATGTACTGTCGATGAGGCTTGAAGCGGCGCGGTGTTGAACCGTAGTCCGCTCGCCCGAGAGCAGCCTCCCGACGGACAGACCAATCATCCGCACGAGCTGCATTGTCACGGCGTTTGTGGACGTGGTGCATACTTGCAACTTCATCACCTAGTTCTGACCCTAGATACTCTTCATGCTCTGAATCCCCGACTCTACGCGATCTCTGCGTCGTGCGCGAATGTCGCGAGGAAGTTCGTCGTGACGGTGGAGGGCTGACGCAGGAAGGGGAGATGCTCTGGAGATCCGACTTCCTCAAACGCAGACTCCGGACATGCCCAAGCAAGGTACGGTTCGCCGGAATCAATCGGGAGTACATATAAAAGTACACAAGCCTCGCCGAATACATACGGACGCCCCCAGGGCCAGTCCAGCGATAGCAAGATAGAAGACAGTCCTCGCTAGCACCTCGTTCATACATTCATGCTGGATCCATACCTCGGCATGTCGATCGTTATGGCGCGGTCCCGGCCGAGCTGCCGCGCGACCTTGTACTCGACGATGTTCGAGATGCTTCCTCCCTGGGAGACCTGCAGCAAGCCGAAGAGTCAACGAACGCGGTAGGGATATGTACATGCGGGACGATGACTTACGTATGACGACGGAGCGAATCGCGGGTCTGACTCGATCGGGCCGGCCGAAGGCAGGTTGCTCAGCCCGATCTCCAGGGCTACGGAGCCGGTGCCGTATGACGCCAGTGTCCGCCTGAAGTTGAGACTGTACGGAAACGATGCGAGAACGTTGGTGCACGATATACGTGCGAAGGGGGGTAGTTGATACGTACGTGCCGATTACCGAATTCACATACACTGGGAGACCGGCGTATTAGCAACCTATTGCTGTTCGTGGTGTAGTGTAGAACGTCCACTCACTCTTCGTGACGACGATATCGAGTGCAATGTAAACCATGCTGGTGCTGTTCAGGTAAACAAGAGGCTGTATGTCCGAGTTGGTTTCAATTGAGCACATAGCTGATGGGACACGCGTACGAAGATCAAGGAGAGAATACTGAAAATCCTGTGTAGCCGGACATCAGCCAGAAGATGAAGGCCGGGTTAGGTGGTCGGCGTACTCTGTGAGAAGCCCTGCGAGTTCGATACTCAGCATTGTAAGGTCAAGGCAGCGGAGTAAGCACACGTACCTGTTGAGATGATGTATGCAATCAGAACGTCGAGCATGGAGTCGGTCCTACATCATGAAAGTAGGTTATGATCACACATCCGGAAAGAACTCGTGTCACTCACTTGGCAATCCCCGTACGACTCCGGTGCAAGACGAAGATGAGCACCGTCGTCAGAATGATATCCGACACCACGACGAGCGCGAAGGCGACGGAGTAGAGCCACTAGAGAAGTTCGTGTCATTCGCTGGTACTGGCACATAACGAGTAGTATACTCAGTACTCACAGTGAGCTCCCGGAACTCGCCGTAGGATGGCAGCAACGACCTGTAGGGCGTGGTGAGTCGGATATACAAACACCACACGACCTAGTCTTCCGCACTTACGCTTGCGCGGCTGCATCTATATTGTATCGTCAGTTGAGCACTCTGACATCGATGGTCGGAGCAGACTTACATGTGGAGCATGCTACGGCGACAACGAATGAAGCGGTGTCAATGACCAGTCGGCATTAAGACGTGCAATCACGTACCTAGTTCGCCTAAGAAGATGACCACCTGCACAGGAAGTCAGCTATGTTCGTTGGAGTATCTTGGGGCAATGCATACAGCGATGACGACCAGGAATCTGTACTTGGGACCGACTACGCCAAACACTTAGTATGTATTTGATCCAGGTATAGTGAAGGTACATACTGAGCCATACTCGGCGAGCGTAAAAGCTATTTCAAGTGTCGGTAAGCGTGATCTTGCTGCTACAAATGATAGTTTATCTCTACCATTGGCAGGAGACAATGGTAACGGCCTATTGAATACATCGTTCAGCTGTAGCGCCAGAATGGCAAGAGGATATGACGTACTGCTATTAGACCGAGGTTCTGTGTGCAAGGTATAAACGATAAACATGCGGACTCGCGCTACACAAGGCGACGTACATCGATTGACCTGCAAATGCGCGGAAGTAGGGTGAATGGAAGCTCGCAATGATAAGAGACAGCGACGACATACCACACTCGAGTGAACAGTACTGCAGGTTGGAAATAGTGGCCCACAAGGTAGTAGTAACTTCGTTGAAGATCAGTGATAGAAGATCTATTCCCATAAATGCTACGCACCACGTATGCATGCTCAAGATGACGTGAAGCGTGTCCACGAGCCTGAAAAGAGGTTGAGCAGCAGACCTAGGTCTTTGAAACCCTGTACATACATGATGAACGCCACCTAGGATGAAAGGAAAACCGTAAGAACGAGGCCTCAAACTGAGGTGACGATATCATTGCGACTCACATATCCCTTAATGAACCAGGAATCGTTGAAACCCATGCGACTGTATCTGTAAACTTGATGGATGGCCAAGCCATATAGGCTGAAACGGTATGTGAGTCGAAAGACAGACAAATAGAAGACAGAACTGTACGCACATGAGACCGAAGAATGTACCTAGCAAAGTAGCGCCGTAGGTGTTGTCCAAGCTAGGGGGGTCGCCGCTGGCGGGAAGCCCAGGTAGTCCTACGGAGGCGGCGCTCATCCTTGATCGCACCGGGGGGAAAGTGAACGTGCGGAGGGCTCTTCATAGTTGGAAAGCTGCTAACTTAAGTGCACGCGGAGAATTGCCCGTGTGCACGAAGCGCAGGACATCAGCTTCTCTCAGTTCTCTGTATATTCGAAATGCCGCCGGGAGGCACCAGCGATGGCAGCTCACGGCCAGATTTGCAGAGAAGACAATGTACGGCGCTGATCGATTTGCGCCGGCGTGTCTTATGACCTCTGCCCGCCGTGGGTGTGCTATTTCTTATCAAAGACGGCCTTCACCATGGCGAGCATGCGACTGGTGGGATGATGGAGGTGGGCCTTCCTTTGATAGAAGAGTAGTGTTAGTTAAGCAGGTCTCGCTTAACACCGCCGCCAGCAAACTCGAAGGGAGAGTAGAACCGAGGACGCTGACCTGCCTTTGAATGGACGTCCAAACTAATGTCGATATCATGCTCATATGTTCGGCATCATCGTCACAGTTGGGACCACCTCGCAAACGGAAAGCTGTATATGCTCCAGTTTGATGATCCTGTCAGGAAGCTGATTTGGGGAATAGGCCGCTCAGCAGGTATAAAGCCGCCGGTGCCAGTGTTCAGGACGCTCTGTTTCGAAGGCTCAATGAGACAAGAGAGCAGTGACGGCCATCAAAGACTTCTAATAGCAGTCAAAGTACGAGTTTGACGCAGAAGGCCTGAGTGAAAGTGGCGAAGCTGGAGAGAATCGATCATCATACGGGCCCATGGTCGGCGGAAGAAAGAACAGTCTGCTGCCGGCGACGCCTGTGGCGCTGCCCGCCATAGAGCGCCGGCGCCTAGCATGATGCCTCTCTCTCCCTTCCTCCCATGGCCAGCAACGTCGAAACTCCCTTCTTAGCCGAACATTTTTGCCTTTTCGAAGGCGGTTGGATGCTATGTGCCAGCGCACTGTATCATTCCGCATACATATGCCATGCTCCAAATGCAACCCGCTGTGAGACGCAGGACTGTGCCGATGATAAACGTTAACGGTACGCCGAGAACTTCAACAGTGAACCCGCTGCAGTATGCATAATCTATCTATATCATGGCGGGGCCCAATTGAGATCATAACTGACGATCTTCCTATCTTCTTATACAGCAGACTTTGTTCCTTGGATGCATCCCCGCGACGACTCACCTTGACATGATCGTCCAACGCTTCCGCGCGGCTCAGTGCGAGACTCGAGTATCCCACAAGTGTCACGGTCCATTCCGAAGCGATATCCATGGGAAGATCTCCGCTCGGTCACACACGGGCGCAGCGTCCATGGCAGCCATCTGTCATACGGTATACCATAGTGTCTTCCATCACTAACGAACCTAACAGTGGGAGACACGGATCGACCTCCGATTGCAGGGCCCACTACCGATCAATTGCGAACTGTCCAACATTCGTTCATTTAGTGCCTTGGTCATCGACACGTGCGCTATCTTGCAAGTGTGTGCGGGACACGAAGGTATAGTAGCTGTGCCCACTAAACTTTGCGATGACGCGTAGAGCTTACTGACTCGGACACTGATGCACAGCGACGAGGTGTTCATCGAAAGGAGAGGGCTATTGCCGCAGACTCGCAGCACAGTCATCGGCGGTCTCGAGCGCATTGCATCTCCAGTCGCCGGGAGAATTCGAAGGGATCGACACCAAATCAGCGGTGACCTCGGCTTTCGATGCCACGGTGCTGTTACCCCTTGCGAACCTCCGGGGGCAGTACTAGTTGACCCGCGTGCAGCACGGATGCGTGTGCGATCCGCCGAGCGCTACGCAGCTCACTCTCGAACTGCAGGTCGGGTCGTCTGCGTGCGATGGCCACACAACTGCATTCCACATATCTGTACGCCCGTCATTTTAATTCGCCAGCCTACAGCTCTTCTACACGCCCAATGACCTATATTACACTCTGAATATAGTAGCCCTTCCTACGAGATCCTCCTCCTACGCCCCACTATCGCCGCCGCGCATCAATACGCAGGTCCCCCCGCTAAAAGCTACGGTCCCAACACTCTGCTCCGCTACACCCAGCCCTCTCGCTCCCACCTGCACCTTCAGCTTCTGCAAAACCGGTGCCGCGAACGCCTGCGCGACGTTCCACTGCGAGTCGATATCCGCGACCCCCTCCCCTCTCCTGGGCCGACTCCACGGTCGTCTCCAGCGGCGCGCCCGCGTCGAGAACGCCCGGCAATTGTCGCGTCCGCATGCCCCGGGGTGCGCAGCAACATCGAGATGGGAAAGCGGGTGAGGGTGTCGTCTGGGCATTGGAGGCGGGCAGGAGCGACGACGACGAAGGCGCAGAGGCTGAGGCCTGAAGGCAGGCCGTCGCGCGAGCGGCGCTCGAAGTTCGGCATCGAGTAGCGCGACTCGCACAACTGGCACTGGTACAACTCCGGGGTCATGCTCGCGCCGCTCTCACTCGCGCGCGACTTCGAGCGCTCTGAGCTTCGCGGGTGCGTCCCTACCCTCTCTGTCTGGCAGACGCTATACTCTTCGCTACTAACGCTCATTTGTGAGTGCCTCTCAAGGCTCACTGGAAAGCGACGGTCCTGGTCCAGGAGAACACGGCCTAGTATCGAGTGCCGGGGGAGTCACTGTGCGTGGAGCTCCCCAGCCTGAGACAGGCAGAGTACTCATAGTCGGTGTCGCGCAGAACTTCATCTGTAAACTATAGGAACTAGCTTGATTGAATATCAACCTAGCCCTATAGCATATGGGTACGATTCTCCAGTCTCGCGTCGCGCAGAACTGTACCCGTCAGTTGTGGGTGTGAAACTGACTAGTTCAATTTAGTACCCATAGCTTACGGGTACGATTCTCAAAGCTCGTAGTATCGCTGTACTCGATGCTAATGAGACAAAGTTACAGGACGCCTGGCAGGCTTGGATGTCGCCCCCAATGTGGAACCCATCATCGAAGTCGGTGGCAAGTCGACTGCTCAAATAGATGGCTGCGGCTCGTACAGATGCGCCTTTCTTCGCGTTTGCCACACTTATAGAGGTTCGCGCGCCGCGCGGATGTGGTACATCGAGCGGGTGCTTGTGTTCGGGACGACGCTGGTGGCGGAGCCTTCGTTCTGCAACTCATCACGCAATATCGCCCCTTCCGCTCCGACGTCCTACATGACATGAGAAACATGCTGAATTAATGTAAGGCGAATAAAGCAGAGTGGAGGTACAGCAACGACCTCTATATCCCTAGACTCGCGCTGAGTCATGGATACCGCGTGCGTCCCGCAAAGGGTTTTCTAACGGATATTGCAACGGTGCATGTTGTTAGGCACGCCGGGCTCTGATGTACTTGCAGGGGCCTTACGCATACGTACCACATGAGGATGATGGCGGCGCGGCACCGTCATAACCCTGTGAAGCCATAAAGCGCAGAGCAGCTCCGCTGAAGCCCACGATAGCGACAAACCTGCATGGCAGTGCACGGCGGAGGTAGCACTGGAAACAATATATACATTAGAGACACGAGGAAGAAATTACTACATGATACATTTACTGGGCAAGGAGCGTGATGAGAGGTGAAACAAATAACGAGAGGGCGTAGCTTGGGGATCACCGGCTGCTTGGCCTCAATGCAACGTCATCATGCGTCGCATTCAGAATCCGAAGACGACCCGGAGCTGTCCGAGCTGACGGACACGCTGCCCGTCGAGTGCTTACGCGGAGGGATATACCAGCGGCCCTGGGCGACAGGTGCGGCCGGCGCGATTGTCGCCTCCTTGGATGCGGCCTGCTTGCGAGGGGAGGACGTCTTCGGGGTCGACTTGTTCGACGCATTCTTCTTGTTCTTCGCTTGTCCGGTGGTACTTTTTGGGCGCCCGCGAGCGCCGCGGCCCTTCGTGGGCGAGGAAGACGCCGCGGCCGCTGACGAGCCATTGTTCGCGGTTGGTTGAGACCGTTTGTTCGTTGAGGACTGGACCTGGCCGTTGTTCGCTTTCTGGCGCTTGGAGCGCCTGTCAGTGGTGCTGTTCTCGACACCCGGCGGCAGTGCCCGATCCTGCTCGTTGTACGGGGGAAAGACCTCCTTTGGATCGACGTACTCGACTTTGTAACGGGGATCCATTGGGTCCGGGGTGTAGTAACGATGCTGCGGAACACGGAGGTTAACCCTCATGGTTCTTGAAGACGTTGAAAAGGTACTCACATTGATATTGAGGGGCACGTCGGGGAGGCCCCTTGGCTCGTCAGGAAACTCATCGTGGTATATTGGCACCCGTTCGAGCCACGTTGGTTCAGCCACCTGGATATCCCACTGGTAAGACGAATTCGCCGTGCTGCCGTCGTGAGCTCGAGACATGATAGCTTGATTGAAGGGGTAAAACTATGTGAGACCGGGCGAGTTGTGGGGATCTGCAGGTGAGCGAAGTACCAGCAAGTCGCGGCTGAGGTCAGTTATATATGTTCTTAGCTTGGTCCAAGCAAGGGGTGGCGCGGCTAAAGGCCCTGGCTCCTGAGGTGTGCATGCGCGGTCCAATCGCAAGCGCAAATGGCCAAAGGCCGGCGTTGGCGCCCATTCTGCGCCTCAAAGCATTGGTCTGAGCGCAATGGCCTGACATACTACTAAAACGTTCCCTAAAGCTCATCGAAACATGGTCCAGAGAGTTTCGAGTACTAGCGACGTTGTGGGAGGAGGTAGGAAGTTATATCGCTGAGTGGTAAATGCGGGCGTCCGCGCAACAACGCATTGAGTGAAAGTCCTAGGTGCTTACGTTGTGCGATTCGGCAACTGTATGGTTGCTGACTGCGGCGGCTTCTAGCAGACGTCGCTGGGAGTTTGGGAGCACGATGCAACACTCTGCATAGGGCTCATAGCGGTGCTGCGAACAAGAAGGAGAGAGAATATGACATAACACGAGATCGTTCTCACCTCGAAATGATGGCTGATCTCTCAACGACTCGTCCTGTACCAGGTTATCAGGATGAAGGCCGCCGGCGCACTTAGAGCGTTCTCACCAGGAGACCCGTTATTGGTGGTCAGGACTTTTACAAGTTCTGTGATCGTACACAGCTTGGAAATTTGCACTACTCTACCTCGAGTTATGATAGAGCATCATATCACTCTATAATCGATTCCATTGAGAGGCTGTTTTTCGGCACGATGTAAGAACCTGAAATTGGTCAAGAGACGAGAGAGTACAAATACCATCAATCGGGCAGTCAACACGACACAAAGTGACTGTGCACAGAAGTAGCCTGTAAGATTAAGCATACGTATTCATTACGCCCGTAGCGATAATTGTCCAGAAATGCGCTGGCAACTTGAATCCCAGAGTCGGTCTACCGCGGTGTCTAATACCTGGAAACCGAACTGCAGTACCGATCGTGAGCGCCTCAACGAGCATGAATGCATCTAGCAAGGCCCCAAGAGCACACGTACAAGATGATATATGATCCAAAAAGCAGGTACGACCAAGGTAGGTCAGTCCCAAGTCAGTCCGTAGGCCGTAACGTCAAGTCGCAGGGGAAGGACGCGCGTCAGGCGCCTAAATCCAAAGCGCCAGCCTTAGAATCGGCATTAACCGAACCAATCAGGGAAGTCTCTCCGTGTCATCCTCCATCCTGATCTCTGTCCAGATGCTCGATCTCTCGTGTCTCCTGTGCACCAAGACCTCCAATCAGCTTCAAATCCTGGCTCGCTCGCTATCCACTCTTCTGCAGACACCGCCCTCATTCTCTTCGCCACTAAGAGCGCATCTATGAGGACCTCTCAAGCTGCGCATATACGCGGAGCTGCCTAGACGGTCGGATTGGTACTAAGAGCTAGTGTCGCGCAGAACCGTACCCGTCAGCTATAGGTATGAACTTGATTGTATATCCATTTCATATCTATAGCCTACGAGTACCGATCCGCAAAGCCCGTGGCATTCCTCACTTAAACCTTTCTGAATGTGTCCCGACTAGCTAGGCCCGACCACCGTCGGCGTGTAGCTTGCATGCACTCTACTGTGATAAGCCTCAATGGAAGTTGTCCGAATTCAAAGGTACTTCACTAGGGCGATATAGACTTCATATATGTAGACTCTAACGAAGGAATGTACTTGATGCGACAGGTGCATCGAGTACTAGGATGAATGGGAGATATAGGTATGAACTTCATGGTTGTATGCGGGTACTGCTCCTTCCAAAGATGAGTAGGTACTCACTGGCCCTTGCCACTCCTCATAGGACGCCAAGCGAAAATCAGGCTTCATGACATCATCCAGTAGAGAAGGTAGCGAGGGCGAATTCCCCCACTGCTCAACAAGCATGGAAGGATCCGAGGCATCCGAAGGAGGCAGCGTATGGCGAGTGCCCTCAGGATCAGGCTGCGAAGTTGGCCAGATGTCCACGACGTGCATGTCGTCACGGTGGGGTTGAACACTGTCTGAGCTAGCGAATACTTCGGACCCCCACGAATCGGCGCCGAGGATGTCGCATCCGATGCCGACCAGAACGGCGGCTGATTCGGCGGGGACCAGGCTGCCCGCAAGAGTGCCGGCCCAGACGGCTTCCTCTTGCTCGCCAAACTTAGCCTCTCCAGGATAGACAGACGGGGTGTGGTCGCCATAGGACGTAGTCAATGATTCCACGGCAGCTACGCGACCGTCGGCGGTGACACGAGTATGTGTTTGGCGACACGGCGCCGGCTGAACGGATGTCGCCTCCAATTCAACCTCGACGAAGGCGCGTGCGTTGCGACAGGGAGGTCCCGGGGCAGGTACGTTCCGTGCGTCTACGCTGCGCATGTCCCGAGAGTGCTGATCTTGCCCAGCAAACCGGTCGAGAGGGGTCATCCCGGATTGCGGCTGGTGGTGGTAGGCTCCGAAGCTTTGGGCGGGGATGAGCCCGCCGCGACGCTGGCGTTCGCTAAAGGTTGGATAGACGGCGGTAGTGCTGAAATGCCGCAGCCCCGTCCATGGATTGTTGCTGGCGCCGTTCTGCTCCGATTCCATCGTCAATCCACGCTGAGGGGCAGGGGCAGAGGCACAGTCGGCCGTGTTGGTGTCGGAGACGCGGGGCGAGGCATGAGCACCTCGCTGTGCCAATGCCTCTTCGATAGCCTTGAGATGCTCCAAGGTGTTGTTGAGGTTGCGCAGCTTGTCGTTGAGACTTTGCCGCCCGAAACTACCCTCTCGTGGCGCGAGACGACGCAGATCCGAGTCCAGGTCAATGGCGCCACCATCGCCGCGACGGCGAGTGCGTTGTGATCTGTGCGCCAGAGACGATGACCGACGGAGATGGGGAGAAGGCATCGCTTGGTGGGAGGGTACGACTGGGTGCGGCAGTGAGGGGAGCGGACCATGCGCCTCGATCCCATCACCTTTTGCGCCCTTGTGGCGACGGCGGTTCGTTTTGGAGGTTGCAGTGCCAGCGCACTGCCCGGTGGGCTGTATACAACGATTTCGTCCGTTGAGCCCTCTGGAATGCCTGTACGCGATGCTAACATGAGAAACTCACAACGCGTGCCGCAGGCATGGGCGCCACCACCGATGCGGGACCCATCGAAGTCGGTGGCGAGTCGACGACTCGAGAGGAGAGATGCACCCCATCGGGTACTGAGCGTGTCAGTTCCCGCGTGTTGCCGCCGCCGTCGAGGTGCGCGCGAGAATCTGAGGCTGGGCGCGGTAAAATAGGGATGGGGATGGTTGATTGTGTTTGGGGCGAGTCTGGTGGCGGCTTGGTCACTTGAAACAAATTGAAGGCTCTTTGTCTTTCCTCGCCCTGAGCAACGCCGGAGGCCAGACTTAGACTGATACGACGTGCTTCAGGAAAGACAACGTACGGGAATAGAGTCCTTGAGTATTTTGTGGAGATCCCAGTTCAGGTTTACGGGACAAGGGTGCGGGGCTGTTTGGCCAGTTTGCGAGGGTTCTACGCGCGGCATAGTGGATAGATAGAAAGACACAATGCTGGATAGTGGAGTATGCTTTGCGCAACTCGCGCCGCGATGGTGGTGCGAGGAGAATATAGCGCACAAGAGTGTGGCCACAGTTGAGGTCCGAGGAACGGTGCCGTGGTTCTTGTACTGAATTCGAACCACCAGCGTCGGAGTTGTGTCTGTGAGAAAAGACACAGCATCAACGGTGTGCCCTAGAAGCAGCCCGCTCCGCACGTGCATCAGAGAGCGATAGAACTTCATATACCGCGGGGCAGGGATGGTGGGCACCGAGAGCTTCGATCAAAACGGCGAAAACCGAGAACCAGACCCGGGACCGCGCCCAACTACACCAAAAGAAACGTTCCTGGGCTCGCGCCGAGTCACGGACGCCGCGCGCGCCCTGTAAGGAGTCTCCTGTGGAATTCCAACGGTGTATAGCACCACGCGTGTCGAGCTTCCTACGACGCTGGGTTGCAAAACCAAACGTCGAGTGGAAGTTGGTTGCACAGGTGGCCTCGAGGCAGCAGCGCAGTGCAGATTGCGCGGTTGAGATTTAGCGTGTTGCCTTCCAGCGTGCATCCCTTTGTTCTTGAAAAGGCTTGATGAGCGCACGCTCCGGTCGGTCTGCTCTAGCAAACATGCGCGAGCCTCACACGTACCGCATGAGGATGGCGGTGCGCCCCCGGTTTGGCGGGTGGCACCAGGCGCGCCGCTCTGAGCCTTGGACAGGGCCATGAAGCGCAGAGCAGCCGCGTTGTGGCCGCGATAGCGACGAGTTACCGTCGCAAGAGGCCTGCATGATAAGGCTCGTCGAGCATCGAGGGTAGCGCTGGAAACATTACATATGATTGGAGAGGGTGACAACCCAAAAAAATAACTAGATGATACAGATACTAAGCAAGGAGCGTGATGACAGATGTAACAAATAACGAGAGGGCGTAGCTTCAGAGTCCCCGGTATATTTGATTTTCAATGCAACGTCCGCGTTCTCACTCGTCGCATTCGGAATCCGACGACCCGGAGCTGTCCGAGCTGACGGACACGCTGCCCGTCGAGTGCTTACGCGGAGGGATATACCAGCGGCCCTGGGTGACAGGTGCGTCCGGCGCGTTTGTCGCAGCCTCGGATGCGACCTGCTTGAGCGGGGAGGACACCTTCGGGGTATACTTGTTCGACGCATTCTTCTTGGACTTCGCTTGGCCAGTGGGACTCTTCGCAGCGGCTGGAGGGCGCCCACGCGCGCCGCGGCCCTTCTTGGGCGTGGAAGACAACCCAGCCGCTGATGAACCATTGTTCGCGGATGGTTGAGACCGTTTGTTCGTCGAGGACAGGGCCTGGCCATTATTCGCTTTCTGGCGCTTGGTGCGCCTACCAGCGGGGCTGTTCTCGATACCAGGCGGCGGTTCCAAAGCAGAAGCCTTCCGGTATCGACCTGCGCCGTCGTCTTCTATGACCAACGGGTTCTGCGCTGTGCCTGGAGGCGCAAGCGGCTGTCTGGCGCCAGTAAGCTCCTCCTCGTCGTCCGGAAGCGGCGCCCAATCCGCCTCGTTGTAGGGGGGTAAGACATCGTCTGGATCGACGTGCTCGTCCTTGTAGTGAGGATCCATTGGGGCCGGGGTGCAGTAGCGATGCTACAGCACACGGAAGAATTAACTTTCACCGTTCTTGAAGACGCTGAGAAGGGACTCACATCGACATTGAGGGGTACGTCGGGGAGGCCCCTTGGCTCGTCAGGAAACTCTTCGTGGTATCTTGGCACCCGTTCGAGCCACGCTGGTTCAGACATCTGATTATCCCACTGGTAAGACGGATTCGCCGCGCTATCCTCGCGAGCTCGAGACATGATAGCTTGATTGAAGGGGTAAAGATGTGAGGTCGGATGAGTTGTAGGAGTCTGCAGTTAAACGAAGATCAGCAAGTCGCAGCAGAGGTCATCTATATATGTTCAACGCCTGGTCCAAGCGAGGGGTGGCGTGGCTAAAGGCCCTGGCTCCTGAGGTGGGCATAATTGCAAGCGCAATTAAACAAAGGCCGGCGTTGGCGCCCAATGTGCGGCGCAAAGCATTTAGCTGGGCCTAATGGTCGGCCATAGTGCTACAATGAGCCCCTATATCTTTTCGAAACATAGTCCAGAGAGGCTTGGGCACTAGCGATTGGGAGGAGGCAGGAAGTTCGGGCACAGAGGGAGCCAGTGAAGCGCCGTAGCCGCCGCCTCAGGCGCTTCGGCCCGCCTCTTTCCCGATAAGGTTAACAATCCCGCCGCCGCCCCGGCCGACACTGCGACTCCTCCCTCAACCTTCCTTCGCTCACTCCTCCACCATGGCCGCCGCGTACATTGGCTGTTCAGACCTGTTCGGTCGGGCCCTACCATGCTTTCATGCATATCGGTTATGCGATGCGAGATTGAGAGTTGATGAGGGCCGCTCATTGTTCACCGAACAATAGCCAGGAACGCGCAACGTTGCCGCCCGACGCGGCCAGTCAGCCGCAAACTGGTATATCTCAGCGTCCGCCTAAGCCTAAGGGTTCCTCTCCCCCTCTTCAGTGGTTTCCTCCTCGGTCTGCCTCCCTTCTCCGTGTCCCGGGCCTGGTGCTCGTTCATCCACTTGCTAGACATGCTCTCTCTTGTGGCGTTCTCGTTCATTTTGCTAGTGTCCTGGGGTGCTGGCGTAGTCCGTGCACATGCTTGTGAGTTATTCGTGCTTATTTTAATCCCTCATTTACCCAGAATCTCACTTGTACTGTATAGCGATCTGGCATCCAAGCATGTACGGATTCAATGTCACCGACCAAACGTTCCCCTATGACAATCGGCCAGTCGCGCCTCTCACGAACTACACCTTCAATCAATGGTGGTTCCACGGTCACCTCGACTATCCTCCTCACCCGGGCGACTTCTTCGAGCTGCCGGCGGGTCAAATCGCGACCACAGAAATCGGGTGCAACAAAGGCGCCACGACTTGGTTTAACTCCTCCGAGGGCGGCGATATCCGCCAAGGAGACAACGTATGCCCGAACAGCCCTACCGCAGAGTACCACACCACTGGATTTAGCGACCTCAAGGGATGCGCTCTGGCAATCGCATATGAGTCGGACGTCACGAAGATCCAGCCGGAGGACTTCACCGTGTTCAGCGTGAACCAAACTTGCGTCTGGACACGCTTCACCGACTTCGCAGTGCCGGCCAGAATGCCGCCGTGTCCTGAGGGTGGCTGTCATTGCGCATGGTTCTGGATACACTCGGTGGGTCCATCCGTCGCATATGCTACGCAGGTTCACTTACCCATCTCCCACAGCCGGACAGCGGAGGCGAGCAAAGTGAGATTGTCCGGATCTTGAAACACGGCCGGAATGTATGCTGACCAGGTCCTTGCAACTAGACTACATGACCGGTTTCAAATGCAATGTGACAGGCTCAACCTCGACGGTCCCGTTGGCCAAGCCACAGCTTCCACGCCGCTGTGGCGCGGACCCAGACTTCGGTAAGCCCGACGCCGCCCCAGGCAACTGCACGTACGGCGCAAAACAGCCCTTCTACTGGTTCCAGGCGGAACGGAACAACGTATGCGTCCCCCCTTTCACCTTCCCGCCAATGCTCACATGCATCGTAGATGTTCGAGGGCACATATGCACCACCCTTCTATACGGACCTGTACAACTTCAAGGGCGGCGCACAGGACGACATCTTCATCGACTCGTACGCGGACATCCCGCCCCCAAGCCCGAACTCGACCGTGGTCCCGACCCTCCAGCAACCCCAAGCTACAGGCTCGTCCGGCTCCACTTCCGCGGTCCCTGCGCCGACACAACCGGCAGACCAGATACCCTTCGGCACGCCTCCCGGGCGCTGCTCGTCTTGGTGAGTTTTTGATAGGTTTTCCGTGTGCTGTATCGTCGCTAATGTAGTCATGTCATAGCACCAAACGGCGTATCGCGAATAAGCTGCAGCGTCGTTCTCCTCTCTCGTTTGGCTTTGCGTCCCGGCCAGAGACGACACAAAGAGCGTTTAGCCTATGGCATCCCTTCTGAGCTCGCGTTTGGCTTGCTTGCAAGGGGATCGTATTGTATTATCACCGTCCTACACATGTATCGCTAGCTCACTACAAGAGACTCTTCGTGACATTCACGCACTGTCGACGGCCTTGCTCTACTAGACGAAGCGTAAGTTCCAAAGGTCCGGGGGAAATGTTTGGCGATACAACCGCGTGCGATTTACAATGGATACCTTACACTGCACACCTAGTATTCGTGAGCTGTTGCAATAGTACTTTCCGCGCAACACCGCCGCTCAATGGTTTAGCCGCCGTACGACAGTTTGCCAATGCCTTGAGACTTCGGGTATGATACTCGCAGGCTATGGGTACCGCTATGAAAAGCAATATCATATCATCGAGAAACCCATAGCTGACGAATACTGTCTCGTGCGATATCGTAGAACTGATACTCATGGGCTATTGGATCTGCGATGTCCAATGAGCATAGTAGAGCCCATAGCTCACGAGTACCGTTCCACGCGGCAACACTGTCGATCTCCAGAGCTACAAGCATAGGCACATCAAGTGGCTCGAGAGGGAGATGCCATGATACTGACCCCGCATACGCTAGAGTCTAACGCTTGTGCGCCGCGATGCTTCTGCCAAGGTGGTTCCGCTGCTGTGTAATGTGAGTCTATGTCGTGCTCCGAGGTGTCTTGAAGATCTACACCAAGTGAAAACCGAGGAAGCCAGTTTGAAGACCAGTGCGTGCACCCAGACTTCGAAGATGTGAGCAGGGCATTGAGATGGCGGTATTGGGGAAGGGACGGCGACGATCACACGCCTGTACATGATACATACTATATCGGCAAATCGCGACCCGGAATCGCATCCGAATCAGGCAACTCTTCAAGTTCAGTCGACCACACCACTTCCACTAACGTCCTCAACCAAGGACTGATCGCACGGCGAACGCCAACATGATGGCCAAAAACACAATCTTAGCACAGGTGAACTCAGTGCATCTCGCCCAACTGCATGCTACCTCAGGTGGACGTGAAATAGCTCCGAATCGTGCATTTCCGCTGTACCGAGAAATGCGGGCTGATATAGTCGCGCATATTCATAAATACGGCATGTATCCATCATAACATACATAACAGGGGACGTCTATGGGGGTGTCGTAGCAAGTCTATAGTGTCCATGCATATATCGCTCGAGCACAAGTTCGTGTACCGCATCAGACAAACGGCTGGGGCACCGCATATACGGGCTCCGCATCCGCTGCAAAGCCAAGCACATCGTCGAACCGCCGGAACGCAGCGACGGGCACGGGCGACGCGAGCATGATCGGCGACGGCGACTCGTCCGCGAGGTGCGGGCGGAGCGCGGGTGCAGCGGGCGCAAACACGTTGTCCGTCAGGTCGATCGTCTCGAACCCGTCGTCGTGCGGTTCTGGGATGGGAGAGAGGGGGAGGGGGAGGAGGCCGAGCGAGATCCCGAGCCCGACGTGTTCGGGCGTGGTGATGCGGGTGGTTCCGTCGGTGACGGGCATGTCGAGGCCGAGGCCGACGGCAGCGTCAGGCTCTCCGGAAGTGGAGGCCGTGGCTGAGATGCCCATGCGCGAGCGGATCTCCTCGAGGGACGGGAGGTCCTCAATGACGGGCTGCAGATGCTGGACAGCATAGTGCACTGGGCCGTCGCAGGGGCCGGACTCGAGAAGCGCGCCCAAGTCCACGTTCCCCTCCGCGTCGTAGAAGTAGTGGTCGACGTCGGAGTCGTCCGAGCTGTACGCGGCCACCTCGAGGTCGGCCGCCTCGGAGTCGTAGTCCGTGATGTCCTGCTCGACCATCACGAACCCCGAGTCCTCCGATTCAGGGGTGGGGGAGGCGTTCGCGGCGATGCGGCGCTCGCACTCCTCGAGGGAGGGTAGTTGTTCGATGATGGGCTCGACGTGCTCGACGAGGTAGTGCACGCGCTGACGGCGCGCGAGCTTGTGTGCATCGCGGCGACGGCGGCGGCGCTGCAGGGCGCGCGTGCTCTCCGTGTCGGTCTCGTACCCGCGGTCGTTGGGCGTGGGCGCGACCGTCGGCGTTTCAGCCTCGGGCGCCGCAATCACCTCCGCGGCATGGGTGAGCATTTCGGGGCTGTAGATGGGGCATGTTCAGTACCTATACAGATAAGATGGCGCGAGCAAGCACGTACCTGGTGGGCCAGGGAGCAAAATCCGCAACTTCTGGGACGCCGAGGTAGGGCTCGAAGTAGTTGAAGCCGGCGTCAGGCTCAGACTCGTCCCAGTCGGAGTCGGAAGCGTATACGATGTGCCAGTGGTGGCGCTGCTCGGTGGGCGAGCGCGGGGGGCTGTCGGCGGAGTCGGGGTTGGACTCGCCCGAGGACGTGAGGGGGACGTCGGAGAAGAGCGAGTCGAAGCTCTCTTCCCCAGAGGAGAAGGATGAGGTGACGGAGCTAGAGTCAAAGGATATTCCGAGGCCGGCAAGGGTGGTGTTGGCAGGGGTGGGGGACGACATGGTGATGTGTGGTGGAGAGTGGGTGAGCTAGCGCAGCTGGCTGAGTGATGTGTGTGATGGTGTAAGTGCAGATGCGTGGAAGTGGGCTGGATAGGGCGCAAAGAGAGCGGTCCTATATAGATATGAGGCGCGGATGAGAGGCCACAGGAGAAGTATGATATTCCATCGAACGTCGATGGAGTTGGAGTATTGTCCGCCAGGATTTGTGCTCGTCGAGCAATACGGAAGTACGATGCGAGGTGCACTACCGAGGATTCGATGGAGCCATGCGTTCGGCATTCAATGCAGCGTTTCGAAATGGGCCAGTTCGATGCGGATACGAGAGAAGGCACGCACGATCCGATACAGGCCGAATCATAACCTCTACCCGAGGGGCGTTGCAATTCCGGCTGTGTCGGACCATACTCATCCAGAGAACATCTTGCGAATTCGAATACAGCCTGGGCTGAGATGAGTACTTAGTTCCACGAACTGGGTAGTGGAGTCATTTGGAAGTTATACCGATGGTGTAGGAGTGCAATCGGCTAGTGAAGTTGTTGCAAGCCTTGGATGCCGGACCGACAACAGCTCCATCCCTCCCAACGTGGAGAATCTAGGTTGGCCTAGTCTTTTATATCGAGTCAGCAAATGCCGTGCACTGAGGAGAATGTTTGGTTTTGAACGATGCTCGGACGGAGAGAGAGAGAAGTGGCGGGCGAGAATTCGCACGCGACAGCGCAAGCGCCCGCCGTCGTTTGACCAGCAGACGCACGTGACCGTGTTTATTTGCCACAGTTTGTGCGCCTTAAGCGCTCAAGCGACCCCCTCCCACGCGCGTCTGTTTCTGGAGAAGACGCCGACTTTGACGGCGACGACGACGAGGCTGGAAACATCCAGCTCGCTCGCGGCGGCGATAGCGTCCGATGCCCATCACGACGACCATGTGGGCGGCATGACGGCGGAGTATGTGGATTATTGTCCGAAAAGGGTATGTATTCAACTACGCTACAAGAACAATGGCGACGCTGTTTTTAGCTCCCTTATTCTCCCCGTAAGCGACGCCGGTATATTATCCTCGCCGCCCGGCAAACTGGAGGCAACATCGACTCGCTGTCGATTCCCTCTGCGTTCCCCCTCTCTTTTTGTCTGGGACTCGGCCTCGGAGACAGGTTCTCTGGGATACTACAACTGACTCGCATTCTTGGACGTTTTCGGCTGGGCCTATAGACCTTCTGCATAACATACCCCATAGACATTTCACGAAACACGAGGCATCATGTTCGCTGCCGCACTTCTCGCCCTCGCAGCTGCGCTCCCCCTTGCATCTGGTCATGCTTGTGAGTAAAGTCTTGTCTAGCCGCCTCTTCATTTTCTCATTCACCTCTTGCAGCGATCTGGCATCCTAGCATGTACGGCTTTAACGTCACCGACCACACCTACGACTACGACAACCGCCCCGTCGCCCCGCTCACTAACTACACCTTCGACCAATGGTGGTTCCACGGCCACCTCGACCACCCGCCTAACGCGGGTGACTTCTTCGAGCTCCCGGTGGGCAAGCCCGCCACGACCGAGATCGCGTGCAACAAGGGCGCGACCACCTGGTTCAACTCCTCCGAGGGCGGCGATATCCGCCAGGGCGATAGCCCGTGCCCGAACAGCGACCCGTCGGCGTACCACACGAAGGGGATTGACGACGTCAAGGGCTGCGCGTTGGCGATCGCTTACGAGTCGGACGTCACGAAGATTCAGCCGGAGGACTTTACGGTGTTCAGCATTAACCAAACGTGTGTCTGGACGCGCTTCACCGACTTCTCGGTCCCCGCGCGCATGCCGCCCTGTCCCCCGGGCGGATGCCACTGTGCTTGGCTTTGGATTCATTCGGTAGGTTATTCTTATGAATATTAAAGAGACACTACTGACATTTCTTCGGTCCACAGCAAGATAGCGGAGGAGAGCAGAGTAAGTATCTTCGAGGTTCTTTGGTAACATCGTCTAACCCGGCTTTCTACAGACTACATGACCGGCTTCAAATGCAACGTCACCGGGTCGACCTCCAACGTCCCACTCGCGAAACCGCAGGTTGCGCGCCGCTGCGGTGCCGACACCGACAACAAGAAGCCGGCCGCGCCCGGAAACTGCACGTACGGCGCCAAGCAGCCCCTGTACTGGTTCCAGCAGGAACGCAACAACGTGAGCAATTCCCCTCGCCGCCGTTGCATTAATTGATGATATTGATGGGACAATGACTGGACAGATGTTCGAGGGAACGTACTCGCCGCCGTTCTACACGGACCTCTACAACTTCAAGGACGGCGCGCAGGACGACATCTTCGTGGATTCGTATCCGAACGGTCTCCCTACGCCCAGCCCGAACTCCACGGTCGTGCCCACGCCGTTCCTGGGCAACGGTATCGCGCCGGCGCCGACGAGCGGGTCGGATTCCGCATCTTCCGATTACTCGTCCGCCTCCAGCATTGCGTCTACCTTTGTCTCCGCAAGCTCGAGCTCTGCAAGCGCAGTTTCAAGTACGGCCACTACATCATCATCAATATCTATAGCGTCCTCAACAGCTGCAACCTTCTCAGCGTCTACGCTTTCGCAGTCGGCATCGCACTCTTCCGCGGCCTTCTCGTCGTCGCTCTCGCCCGAGCTCCCTCTCTCCACCCAGTCGGCGTCGCTGTCCTCGATCTTCGCGAGCGTCTCCGCCACGAGCCCGACGTCCGCAACAGTTTCCGAGTCTGTCTCCGTCACCACCTCGACCGCGACTGTAGTCAGCACGCTGGTCATCACTCTAACCGCCAACGCGTCCGCCACGACCGCATCTTCGTCGACGCTCGGATCCTTCTCATTGTCGTCTTCGAGCGTATTTTCGCCCTCCACGGCAGCATCTGCGACGCCAGTCACCACCAGCGCCCCCGCACAGAGCACCATCTTCCTCAACGGCGGTCCCTCGTCAGCATCAGCTATACCAACGACCTCTGCGGCCGCGACCGCATCCCCCTCCCAGTCTGACAGCGCTGCGCGTGCGGCGCCGACGACCATCGACCTCAACTTCGCCGTCAGGCCGAACAGCTCGTCTGAGACGACCGTGCGCGCCGCGGCGCGTCCCCCCGTCTTGGCTGCCACCAACTCAAACTCCATGTGGTAAGTCGTACCCCCAGCTCCCTAGTGTTACATACGCTGACCGGGTCTCCTCTGTGCAGCAAACGACAGCTCAAGCGGCAGTTCAAGCGGAAAGTCGCGCTCCGCCGGCGCGCTGCGGAGCCTTCCGTCGCTCCTCACACCGAGTCGCCTTACACCGCGCGCGCGGACGAACAGGAGCCGGAGATCCTGTCAAGGATCAGCATCCCTGGGCTCCGGCGACACAGGCGGCTGCAGGAGCGGAGCTCGCTGTGGCGGTTCTTCTAACGTCTTGCGACACCTTGTAGATAAACTTTCTTAGTACGATGCGCTGGGCTGTTGACGGCCTCCATCCCCCTTGATGTATCCGTAGCGATATCACGCGTAATGCCAATGTAGCCATACATCCCCATATCATGTTATCGCCGAGCCTCGGTTACAAGAGCCAGAACGTTCGTGTTAGGTGGAAAGGGTCTGCGAGGAAAAGGCGGGAGTCGTGGAGCTTCAGTCTTCTGAGTCGGGTTTATGTTCCGTGCTGCAAAGATGAGGCCCCTGGCCACATGCGAGAAAATCGACACTGACTGAGCGCTGAGTGGCAAGACATACCGGTCGCGCATATGCTTGTCTGCGCGATAGCGTAGTTGCGCCCGCGCCCAGCTTCGACGAGGTGGATGGGTCTGACATTGCGGCAACGTTAGCAGTTACTGGTAACATGCACAAAGTGCACGTATACGTAGATCTCATGCCCTGCTAGTGCCCGAGTGCATGCAGATAAAGTGCACACCGGAGTCCCAGAATACAGAAAAAATAGTATTGATACAGTATCGTACGGGACTGCAGCGTACACACGCTAGATAGGTATCGCGGGAAAGGAGAGGGTATCGCAGATGGGAAAGTATCGCACCAACACGGTAGCGCGCCGCCCAGCTTGGCCTGAACCTGTCCTACCAAGCAAGGCCGACACTCAGAGTCGCCACCGACTCGCCCTCGCGCCAGCTCTCGGGCCGCACACTGCTCGTGCGCACCTCCGCCGCGTCCACGTCGGCCTTCTCCTGCACGTCCACGACCTCGCTGTCCATCTCCATCGACATGATGCCGCTATCCTGGACCAGCTCCGAGACCTCCGCTTCGCGATCGTCTTCGTCATCACCGACGGCATGCACGCTCCCCGCGACAGAGCACACCTCGCTCCGCGGCTCCTCCGGGATCGCGGTCAATTGCAGCCCATGCACATGCCAGCGCATCTGCACGCCCTCGCCCTCGCTCGCACCCGCGGCGTTGGGGAGCTGCGGGGAGCCCCAGCCTGCCGCGTACTGCTCGATGTCGTACTCCGTCTCCGCATCCTCCGCCGGGGTGTTCGGCACGAACGTGAGCGTCACGCTGGGGCTGGGGACAGACCCGACGCTGCTGCGCGAGTCGAGCCCAACGCCCAGCCCGAGGCCGAGCGCACAAGTGATCGCGTCGACGTCGAGCTCCCCGTTGTGCATCAGGTCCGTGATGTCCCAGCTCTTGCGATTCTTGCTCGTGCCGATGTTCGTCGCGGAGTTGGCGGAGAAGATCGAGTCCTCCGCGCCGGTAACGTCGAAGCTCATCAGGCTGAAGCTGACTGAATTCCTGAGCGAGGACGGGAGGGCGGGGCTTGTGCTGCCCCGCTTTTTGAGGGCGGATTTGAGGACGACGGGACCTGCGCCCTGGGAGAGCACGGGCGACGCGGGTGGACTAGGGACAGGAGAGAACGACACTTTGGGAGATAGCGATGGCCGTATAGGGGGGTTGGCCAGGAGCTCGTAGATCCCCGCGGGACGGCCAGGAGCAGGACTCCTGTGGGTCGGGCTGTGCATGAAACTAGGGACGCTGAGGCGATCCGGGTCGACCTGCCAATTGGTGGGGAGAACTGCACAACTAGCGGGTCGTATGACTGGGGTATAAACAGGCTGGGGGACAAGTATGCTCGGAGCAACCGGAGAGTGGAACACAGCGACAGACAGAGATGTAGAAGAGACCGCGTCCAGAGAAAGAGCGGAAGAGGTGGCAGATAGTCCAAGTTGCTTTCTTAGAAGCGTGAACGGCATAGAAGACGAGGAGTAGCCACCAGGCATCCCAGGAGTAGGCGGAGATGTCATTGGAGTCTGGAAGGGCAACGAGGGCGAGTCAGAAGACCTATCAGAAGTCTCACGGCGCATGCTGGTAGAGGAGTGCGAGGAGTCGAGCGTCGATTGCGTCCCTTTGCTCTCGTTGCCCGTGCTGTCGCCGCCTCTGTCATCGTCGTACCACGAAGTCAAGACCGGCTCCATGACCTGCATCAGCGTAGGAGAGCGCCTCTGAACGGAGGTTCTCAACGGGGCATGCGTCAGGTACGCGGCCGGGGGAGGGGTCGGGAGATAGATGCCATGTTGGCAGGCAGGAGAAGACGGATGGATGATAGAGCAGTCCGTGATGGCAGAGAAAGCGTGCGAGGTGAATCTAGGACTAGGGATATTCTCTGCGGAGTTGTCGCCGTAGGATACTGAGCGAGACTTTGATTGAGAGCGCTGAGACTTGTGAGAGAACGAGGAGTAATAAGCTGAACTAGTGTTGGCAGTTGTCCCAGAGGTATCTCCGAAAGCGGGAGAGCGCGGAGAGAGCAAGGATCGACGAGACGACCTGAGAGAGGCAGCCTTTGCTTGTCTTATGGTCTTGTCAAGCCGCGAGCGGATAGCTGTCTCCCATTTGGGAGAACCGAGAAAGCCGACCAGGTAGGGTGTGAGAGTGAACCAGAAACTCGCTGAAGAACATTTTTCCGGGTCAGATGCAGACGCGGGCACGGATAAGCGCGGTGATGGGTTGTCGCTACGAACGGTGTTCGATGAGTGAGGGTGGGCGTGTATAGACTGTGCTCTGCGGAAGCGGACATAGGTGTACTTGATCGCAGCCAGTAGCGGAAGCGGCACGACAGTCAGCGCGACGGCGAGAGGACTCAAGGATGCCTCGGGACCGAGAGAAGCTCTGTAGCCAGTGAGCGGTGCCGCGTTCACAAGGGTCACGGCAAAGAGGAGGAACGCAGAGAGGAGGAGGAACATGGTGGTTCGGGACAAGGCGCGAAACGTTCATTACCGGTCAGTCTGTCGTCCCCAATACTTGTCGGCATTTCAAACCCCGAAGATCTTAGCTGTAAATCTTATCTCAGTTACTTGAGTCAGCGCTAGTAATAAAGAAGCGCCCGCTGGGAAGCGCGTCGGAAGACGTCATTTGCTTTCACAATCAACACGAATAAATATCGTCCTTTACTTCGACCGCGTTCTGCTTATTTCTGCCCGTCCCTGTCCCCTCGTCCACCAAATACCTGCTAGATACCCCGCATCGACCCCGCACACCCCACCGCTCCCAACAGACGTTGAATCATGCCGCGCGAGATCGTAAACATACAGGTACGCATACACGATCCGCCACCGTCATAAAGCATCAATCATCTAATTAACGCGATTTATTCACACCGCGCGGGGTATAGGCTGGCCAGGTAACACACTGCGCAACGAGTGCTGGAGTAGATGCTTATATGACGCGTATATCAGGCCGGAAATCAGGTCGGGGAGTCGTTCTACAAGATGCTGCTTGCGGAGCATGGCCTGGACGACGAAGGGGTATGCGCACCCTACTGTTCCGCCCTCCTCAGGCTTCCTAACGCACAGCGACTTCAAGCACTACCAAGGGAACGACCCCCTTCAGATCGCAAGAGTACGCCCTCTCCTCCTGATCTCGTCCCAAGTAGAAGTTGTTAAACCTTCATCTAGGTTGGCGTGTACTTCACCGAAGTCCAGTCTTCAGGAGCCAACAAATACGTACCTCGTAGCGTCCAAGTCGACTTGGAAAATGGCGTTTGCGATCGGGTGAGTAATCTAGTATCGTGAAGGGCAACGGTCCACGCGCCTCTCCAGAGGAGGCGAGCTAAGTCGGTTGCGCCGTACTGTTGTCATTATCGCATCCTGAAGTGCGTTGGTGACTGGAGTACAGACCCGCTAATTTTGCTCCCCTGCTCCGGGGAGGCATACCGAGCCTAGCCCGTCACGGACAATTTGTGAGAGCCTGCTGGGACTGAGTCAAGATATGCTTATATGCAGATCCGCTCGGGCCCGCTCGGTAACTTGTTCCGCCCCGATACTTACTTGACTGGAAACACGGGTGCCGGAAACAATTGGGCCAAAGGATGTGAGTGTGCATGACTCGGTCTCGGAATTGCTTCCGCTCATCATCATGAGCATACAGTCTACACCGAGGGTATGTGGCGTTCGGCTCCCGGAATAATGGTCATTCTGAATCCGTCTAGGTGCCGAGCTCATGGACAACATCTTGGTACGCTCTTTACAATATTCTATCACGCGCTGTTGTTCATCGAGTTTTCCAGGAAATCGTCCGAAGACAGACTGAGGCTACAGATGCGCTACAAGGCTTCCAAGTTCTGCATTCACTAGGCGGAGGCACTGGCGCGGGCCTCGGCTCACTCATGCTATCCAAGTTCCGAGAAGTTGTGTGCCTTCCTCGACGCGTTGTCTGCCCCCTGATTTGAATATGGCAGGAATACCCCGATAGGATAATCTCAACATACTCCGTCCTCCCGTCTCCCAAGGTACGCCTAATTTGCTCACCCCATAGAGGCGCCTGGTGCATGAGCTGACGTACGCACGTATGATTTCAGGTGTCAGAGACAGTAGTCGAGCCATACAATGCGCTGTTGTCAATACACCAGTTGGTGGAGAACAGCGACATGACACTCTGTATCGATAACGAAGCCCTGTAAGCAGAAGCGCGATATATGTTTCAAACACCCACTAATAGAAGATGTAGATACGATATCTCTCAGCGGACTCGCAAAGTGAAGCACCCTACATTTGACGATCTGAACAGCATCGTCGCGCAAGTGATGTGTGGTGTTAGCACCAGTCTCCGCTTCCCTGGACAGCTGAACGGCGACATGCGGAAACTCGCGATGAACCTCATTCCCTTCCCTCGCGTATGTCTTCCTTGCTTCGTAACAGTGACCTAGTGGCTGACGTTGTGCCACAGCTGCACTTCCTCATGCCCAGCTACGCGCCGTTCTTCGATCCCAACCAGAAGGCATACAGTCGCACAAATGTCAAGGAACTCACGACCTCGTATGCCAAATCACATCAGTGCGAGAGGATGTGGACTCACTGGATGTGTACAGCTTGTTCGAACGTGCAAATTTGCTTGTTGCGTGTGACCCCCGCTTCGGGTCCGCATTTCCCTGCCACTTCTGTTGCCCCTGTCGCTAACTGCTAGTTTATAGCCGTTACCTGACCGCATTCACTATCTTCCGCGGCAATGTCGCCTCAGAAGAGGCCGAACAAGCCGTGTACGACCTGCAGCGCAAGAACAACGCCCAGTTCGTCGAGTGGATCCCCGACAACATCTCGGTGTCGCTGTGCTCGGTACCCCCCGTGGGCCAAAAGCAGTCGGCGACGTGCCTCGCGAACTCGACTGCGGTGCAGGAGCTCTTTGCCCGCACGCTCACGCAGTTCGCAGCCATGTACAAGCGCCGGGCGTACCTTCACTGGTACACAGGCGAGGGCATGGACTCCATGGAGTTCTCCGAGGCCGAGAGCAACACGCAGGATTTGATGTGAGTTCCCTTCTTTTTGGTCGGGCAGATGAATAGAAATGATGCTCAACCACGTTTTCAGTGCGGAGTACCAACAGGTACGCTGCCCACACTTGTCCGCACAGGACCCGGAGGAGTTGCTAACATCTCTTTGCAGTACCAAGAAGCGACGGTCGACGAGGAAGAGGAGGCAGAGTACGAGTATGAGGGCGAGCCGGAGGCTGCAGTTGAGTATCAGGAAGAGCCCTCCGCGGGCGATGAGTTCGAGCAATAGCAGGACCCCACGTAGGGTGCACTTCCGCTCCTTCGCGTTACGTCCTTGCTACTTGTTTTGTCTTAGCTCTTGCAATGCCGGCTGAATACCCGTAAAGCTCCTCTAATTCCCTTTGGTGCCCCCGTGGCCTTCGCAATACATTGCAAGGCGTCTCGACCTGCACACGAAGGCTGCCTCGAAGTCGACACCGCAGCCTCTGCGACAAGCATCAGTCTTCCGATAGTGCATATCTGCCTCATGCGCACCACGCTGCGCCGTAGAAGACACCCCCGATGGCCTTATCAGGCCTCGCCGCCGGCGAGGTGAGTACCTGCCGCTGCGCTGCCCGTCCCGCGCCCCTGCTCATGGCGTGCGCATTGCCAGTAGGGCAGTAAGGTTTATCCGACAATCCGCCGAATGTCATAGGTCAGTGCAAGTGCCCGGCTTGGGCACGCCATTCCCTCGCGCAAACGAACCTTGGGGATACAGCGTGAGTATCGCGACGTGTTTAGACTGCGATCTCGGCTTTGCGGGAGCGCTAGCGTCCCGGCGGACCATAGGGTGAGGCGTAAAGGACGTGAAGGCGGACGTCTATACTTGCCTCGAGATGTGAGGTGCGCTCGAGAGCAGCGGCCCGCGTGATCTTGCGTGCGCACAGGGCCAGTCCCTGTGACTCTCGCTAGCGCACCGTGTGTGGGAGGAGACGGCCGGGACCCGCGCTGGGGCAGAACCCTCGCTGCGTAACAGGCATATAAGGTGGACTTCTCGGAACCTTCAGGGGCTATATCTCTACTCAGGCTTTCAAGCCGCGCCCATCTGCACCCATCCCTGCAGCGATCCGAACATACCCCGCGGACGATATTTCTTTGAGGATGGCTGCAGAACTGGGACCGTGCCCGCCGCGCTTTGTCGAGCTGAAGAAGGAGATCGCGGCGGCGTACCCCGACTTCGCGACGCGCGTCACGAAGGCGTGGGGTGAGATTCTCCAGGAGGTGGATAAGGCGACGAAGGAGATCGCTAGCCAAGGCTCACAGGTGCGCCATCGCGTCTGGCACGGCAGGGCGTGGACAGATGGCTGATGTACCGTGTGCGCGCAGATTGTGCCCGAGGTCGGATTTGCGGAGCTGGGCAGCCTCAGCGAGCAGCGCGTCGACGAGATCAAGAGAAAGGGATGCGTGGTCATCCGCGACGTTGTGGACGACGCCGAGGCGAAGGAGTGGCAGGCGTGGCTGCGCGAATATGTTTCGAAGAACCCGGATATTGAAGGTACTGCAATTAGATTCTTACAGCTGTCAGCGGTGCACTAACAGCATCTGTTTTCAGGTTTCCCAGAGACCGACAAGCAGTTCTTCCAGCTTTAGTGAGCACCGTTTCGTGTCACGCATTCGCTCGACCGGAGCCTGACCATGTCCTGCAGCTGGACGAAGTCGCAGGTCCGCGCCCGCGCGCACCCGAACGTGCTCGAGACCACAAAGTGGCTGAACCAGATGTACCACGTCCGGGGAGAGGAGAAGGTTTCGGAGGTAGACCTGACGACCCCGCTCAGCTACGCGGACCGTTTCCGCATCCGCCATCCCGGCGTGCAGTGGGATGCGCACCCCCCGCACATCGACGGTCAGTCTACCCTCTCCCATACGTATCCCAGCCATACTTGACTGATCGTATCTTATACAGGCGGTAGCATCGAGCGCTGGGAGGACCAAGTCTTCCGCGGGTGCTTCACAGAGATCCTGAGCGGCGACTGGCGCGCGCACGACCCGTACGACCTGCGGAACCGCGTGAACGCGCGGAGCTCTTTGTACAAACGCCCGAACCAGTCGACGGTGTTCCGGACGTACCAGGGCTGGCTCGCGCTGAGCGAGACAGGCCCGAACGAGGGCACGCTACAGGTGTTCCCGAACGTGCTGCTCTCGAACGCGTACATCGTGCTCCGCCCGTTCTTCACGCCGAAGGAGGGGAAGAGCGCGGAGTCATTCGACCCGCAGGACTGGCAGTTTGGTGCGTCAAGCAGTAGGCGGGGTGCGAATCAAAGCTGATGAGAGCGGGGTGCAGATATTTCCAACCCGGACTTCCCGGGCATTTACTCGCTCGGCGAGGCGTTCACGGGACCCCGGCCGAACACGAAGACGCACCCGCACCTCCGGCTGGATGAGACGATGGTCTCCGTGCCCAAGGTGTACCCAGGCGACATGGTGTTCTGGCACTGCGTAAGCTCGCTACCACAACCTGTTCTTCATGACGAGCTGACGGGGGGGCACAGGATGTTGTCCATGCGGTGGAGAAGAAGCACATCGGGAAGGAGGACTCGACAGTGATGTACATCCCCGCCGTGCCCTATACGCCCGCCAACGCGGCATACGTAGAGCGACAGAGGGAGAGCTTCCTGCAAGGTCTATCGCCTCCGGACTTCCCGGTCACGAAAGGCGAAGCACACTGCGCTGGAGTTGGGAAGGCAGACGACATCGAGAACCCCGTCGCGAAGCGCGCTATGGGTTTCACGATAGCAGTGGCGTGAATGATCGACGGGCGCGCATAGATGCGTCCTGGGTGTACGTGTACATGTAGATGGTGGAGAACGAGATCCGATGCTATTGTACAACACGATGTGTGCTTATATTGTTGACTTAGTTTAACGCGATTACCACCTGAGGTAAGGCAGGAACTTCCCACTGCGCGTTGTGAGCACGAGGTTAGCGAGTGTGGCGCGAGAGAGGCTTGAGAGACGCACTCGAACGTGAGAACGACGCGGTCGCCCTTGGGGTGCGCCTTGCGCTCGACGTTGACCTTGCAGTCGATCATGGACATAATGCCGTCGCCGAACTTCTCGTGGATGAGCGCCTTGATGGGCGTGCCGTACACCAATACACCCTGGTTCACACATAAGCGGAAGCACACTGGTCAAGGAAAACAACATACCTCGAAGAGACGGTACAGGAGTGGGTCTTGGGGCGGCACCGGGCCGAGGCCGCGGCGCGGGAACCAGTCCTCGCCGATCTCGGCGGTCAGGCTCGTGGTGGGGATTTCAAGCAGCTCGCCGAGCTTCGCGAGCTCTTCGGGAGTCGCCTTTGCCTGTGTGCCGGGTCAGCTTGAACGCGAAGCGTGGGTGGCAAAGCGCGCTGTATACCTGGCCATAAAAGAGCGCTGCTACCCAGACTTCGTCGTGGTCGATGGCCTTGCCGATGGCCTCGAAGGAGAGCCCTAGAGGTCGTGTTTAGCACTGCGCGCGCCGTGAAGCCCAAAGGGACGGGTCGAACCTTTCTGTGCCTTCGCCTCGAGGAGCCGCGCGAAGATCGGAGGGATATCGGTATAGGGCTCCGCGTTCGCGTTAATCTTCTGCATTGAAGGTCAGAGCGCGAGTGCTTGGCTTTGTCGATCTCGCAGTTACTCACAAATGCTTGGGACATGGCGAGGGCTGGAGAGAGGGAGCTGAGGGGACTTGTGAGAGTGTGAGAGCTGGTGAGAAAGCGTTAGCCCGTGAGCTGAACCTTTTATACCGCCGCAGACGGGCCCCTAGGCATCCACTGGGCGTTTATCGACGAGGGAAAGAGCGCCCACGTGATGGTGTTCCCGGACGTTTCGGAGCGGGAAGGAACGGAGGAGGGAGCAGCTGTGGGCGGCGGGCGAATGAGCAGGCGTAACAGTTCGGGGAGGAAAGGTCAGCGCGCGGGCAGGTCTCAATGGGCGTGTAGATCGGGGGTGTTGCATGGGCTAAAGGCGATGTGCATGACGTTCCTATGTCAAGGACTGGCGGGACGCCCCGGTGGGCTCTACGAAACTGACAACTTTCGTGCGGTTATTGGCTTTCGAATGCGCCGCGGGGAGGGGGATTGCCCATGCAATCCGTACAGCGCCGCGGAATTTGACCTGTCTGTGCAGCTTTGCGGAGGAAGGGGGGTTCATTATGCCTCGTATAGTGCATGGTATCTACAGCTCCTGAGAAGACTCAGTCTGTAAACGACAGTGCCTTTCGTCGGCCGCGTGCGCGCTCACCCATCCGTGTCTGCTATGTGCCACTATGATTGGTTGTCGCCATTGCCTTTACCATCTTGCTCTGGCGTGACCGGCTTCCATACACTTTTGGTGACGTGCATGACTTCGTACAGCTGGCCAAGCTGTTCCGCGGACATCTGGGGCCATTATATAAGAATACAGCCGCGCAATGATACATAATTTATATAAAACATACCTTCTCTAGCTTTGTAGGATCGAGCGGCTTGCCTCTAAAGCTCTGCCCTTCCGGCCCGGCAGGAAGTTCATCCAAGTAGACCTTCCACTGCGAGAGGAAGCCAATAATGTGGACCTTGTTCGTCACCTCTCTGTGTCTGCGAAACTCTGATGCGGGTTTCAGCGCCCCTACATTCGTGGTTGAAGGGCAACTATGTCAGCCACTCACCGGCCTTCACGTAGTCATCTCCGAGCGAGCGCATTTCTCGAGGTAGATTTCTGTGAGACCGCAATATCCGACGGTAGAGCCTTGATTTACAAGGGTATTCAGCAAGCCCGCGAATCTTCACAATCCAGATATACGCACGGCAGAGGTGGTAGAAGCGTGCCGCTCGCTTCACGAAGATTCAGAGGGTGTGCCGACACAGACTCAGCAAGGCGTACAGCAGTTGATCGAAACATGTTTGTGCACAGCGAAGTCACAGTTATTATATCGAAGATCTACAGTTGGCACAGAGGAAGCTAGACGTCGTCGGCAGGCAGCAGGTCCAGGAGAGGATGAGCGGAAAGAGAGAGAGCCGTTGAACGGGCGCTCGTGCCCCAACGCTTGTGTCTTCACCATCACCACCAAGTACTGCAGCCATTCTGAAGTCTGAGCATTTTGATTGCTTCGCTATACCCGCTTTGCCTTGTTGGAAACCTGACTAGTCTTGGAAAATGTCGAAGGAGCCAACTCGTCAGCAGCTCTCGTCCAAGCTTGCCTACCAGGCCAACACTCCCGCATTCTTGGTGAGGTTGCAGAAACAGTTCGGGGGCGGTGGAGGGAGACACGACGAAGATGAGGACGATGAATTTGAATACGACGGCTCCGGAAGACCACCCATTCCACGTCGCCCAGCCATTCCGGAACGTCCAGACGATGAGGCAGGGAGCGCGGACGAGGAGGAAGATGAGGAGAGACCGCAGGTGATCGTGTTGAGAGAGGGCAAGCACTTAACAGAGAGGGAGGTCGAGAATGAGAAACGGAAAGGTACGCCGACCCCTCGCTGTATGCGTCGTGTACTGTTAATGAGAATACATTACATCTATAGCGAAAGGCTTGCAACCTCTGCCCGAGCCTTCCGCAGCGGGAAGTAAGCCTGAAGGCGACGTTTCAAAAGAGGGTGCTACCCCAGCATCGTCTAAACAGCCTAGTGCTTCACAGGGTCTTTCCTTCTCGTCCGGAGCAGGCGTAAAGGGAAAGAGTTCCAAGCGGAAAGCTGTAGGCGACGGTCGCGATGATGCCGCAAAACCACAAGGTTCCACTAAACCCACCAAGAAGAAGGCAAAGAAACAGGACAAGAAGCTGTTGTCGTTTGAAGACGACGCGTGATGCTTCTTTCCATGATCTCACTAGCCAGATCGGAAGGCTGGCATGATTAGGTAGGCCTGCGTCCGTATATGTTGCTTGATCCTATACTCATTCTCGGTTGTGTTCTGCATCTAGCCTTTCCCATGTGATCCCTACCTGGTAGGTAAGCGGTCCACAAACTTCACGCTGGTCCTCCGAACGCCGAGCTTGCAACTGTGACCCCACCACCAACACGTTAACTCGTCTTCCAATCCGCCTCGCGCCTCCGATAAAATCGAGAGTATCTATATGCTTGGCGCTATGGTATATCTGCCACCTCGTTCTCCCCAAGTGACCCACTATTCCTCGATTACATCGCCAACCAAGACCCCAGAGCGGCCGCTCCAAACCACCCTAGGACATTCCACACCGCGCTTCTAGATGCACCGTTCGTATTCAATAGAGGTGGATGCGTAGCTGTCGCCGTCGCGATGAAGCTACTCCACGCTGCCTGTGTCGCTGCAGGAATAGTCGACGTCCCCTGCGTCGCCGCCGACCCAAAGAAGATCTCGTTCCCGCCCGGCAAGAAGTCGTTCGCGAGCGTCGCGTTCTCTCCACCCACCACGATCGTGCCCGACACCGTGCCATTCAGGTTGTCCCCCAGCACGAACTCGCGGAGGAACACGAGCGCCTGCGCGGGCTTCCACTCCGGAACGAGGTGGCCCGCCCCAGCGATGAGGACGTATGCGAGCCCGCGCTCCTGATGCACGATCCCCGCGAACTCCCCAGCGTCGTCGAACCAGGGCGTAGAGGGCGGGCGCGTGAACCCTTGGACGCCGCCGAAGGTCATGTTCTGGATGATGACCTCCGTGCCGTGATGCTGCACGAGCGAGTCGTCGTTGCCGGAGTAGAAGACGATGGAGACGTTCGCGGCGGACGCGTTGGCCGCGAGGTCGGAGAGGAAGGCGATTGGCTCGACGCTCGGGTCGCCATACTGGTTCCCTTTGGTGCGGTCGTGCACGGATCCGAACGGGTAGTTGAAGTTGCGGATCCAGTCCTTGGAGGTCGGCGCGTGGAGCGCGGCGCGCGTGCGGTTGTCGTTGAAGAAGGTGGAGGCGTTCAGGAAGGGCTCGGGGCTGGTCGCATCTGGGATGTCGTAGACGTCGAAGTCTCCGTTTGCTATATAAATTGGTCAGTATGTGTTGTGAACTCTGGTGATCTCTCTCAATCACTGCTACTTACACCAAGGGAACGTAAAGTTGACTGCGTAGTCAATCAGCTCATCCAGCAGGAAACAGCCGTAGTTCGGGTCGATGGTCCCGTTCGCGCGTCCGCTCAAGTCCCGCTTCCATTCTCGCCGGTTCTCCTCCCTGCGCTCGAAGAACTCGGCCCTCTTGCCAAGCGAGCGCTCATTCTGCGCACCGGAAAACTTCGCGGCGACAGTCTTCTGCAACGAAGCGGTCCTTGCGCGCGACTCCGTGGGCTCCAAGAGCGACTGGGACAGCGCCGAGCCACTGGTAGGTCTCACCAGGTTCAATGTCGGGAAGTGCCCATTCTGCGGGTACGTCAGGTTGAGGTCGAAGCCGCACAAATGCGATCTATCGCCGGGTGCTCAGCATATTACCTCAACTAGGCACACGAGACTCGGTCGGAAACTCACTGCTCGCGGAAGTAGTTGAACACGTCCTGGTCGTACCCAATAATCGCGGGGTACGTCTCGATCACGTTCACCTGGAACACGGACGGAGATGTCAGGGCGCGACGCTCCCGGCCCACGCATAATCAGCGCATACGCACGACTGGAACATGTTCGACCGTGGCCTCCGAGCCGAGCGAGCCGTCGCCGATCGCGATTTTGCGCAGCTTGACCGGCGGGTTCTCAGTCTGGAAGATGTGCTTCGTGATATACGGCTGTTGGCGGTGGGTCGGCGTATTGAACGGGCGGGGACCGCGGGAAGGACGGGATACTTACAATGTACGTCCCAGCATAGCTCTCGCCGGTCAGGAACAGGGGCCGTGTCGCGAGGCTTGGGAAGACCTTGACCAGGTTGGAGAGGAAGCCGACCTGCGCGCGCGGCGCCAGGTCAGAACATACGGGAGACAATGTAAATGTGGACGGCTCGCACGAAGTCCTCCCCTGTTTGGTCTTCGTCGGGAACTGCCAAGTGCGTCAGAATCGACGGTCGGTGATAGGGACAGGCACGGACGCACCGTAACCTGTCGAATCTGCCGTCGAGAACCCGGTACCTGTAGGAAGGAAGCATTACGGCGTTAGGGCTGTCTGTTCGCGATGCTCGGGCCCTGCCGCACGAGGAGTGAGCGAAGGGAGGGATGGCCAGACATACCGACGGGCTGGTCAATCCAGATGGTGTCTGCGAGGTGGTTCCAGCTGAAGTTGTTCAGCACCCAGGAGCCGTTCGCGAGCACATGGATAGGGCCGTTCTGTGAGGGAGCATCGACGGTGAGCATGGTCGTCTACCACTCATCATTCACGTCTGCAACACATACCTCCGTCGTGAGCGCGATCATCCCCGACGACCCAGGGCTGCAAAATGCCGATGAGCCCTCCGTCGCGCCCGTCATATAGACAGAGTTACAGTGCTACTCACCCGCCCTGCAACCAGATGATCCACGGATCCGTATTATTCACATCCGCAGGCGCAGTCAGCGTCCCATTCGCGCCCGCCTTCTCAAATGCCCAGAAGAACAGCGTGTCGTTCGGGTGCCCCGCCCTGTTCACGGGGATGTTCCCCGCGAACATGCGCGGCAGCCCACTCGGGATGCTCGGCAGCTTCTCCGTCACCTCAAAGTCTGCAATCGCGTGCGCGTGAGTATCTCCTGAGGAACGGAAAGAGGGCGAGGGGACGGGATGGAGTATGAAGACGCACATTGCTGCCATGCGGGGCTGAAGGTCCCGTTGGGCTGGCCGGGCCATGCGTGCGGGAAGGTGTTCGGGATGCTCGACTGGCTCTGTGCAAGCCCGAGCTGGGCGCACGCGACCGCGAGGAGCGGCAGGAGGAGCGTGTAGAAGTGCATTGTTGTTTGCGCTTCGCGTTGGCCCCTAACGCCTCTGCAAGTGTCAGTCGGATGTCCCAGAGCGAATTATGGGCGCAACGGGCATACGGCCGCACAGACACGCGGCTTATATGCTCCCCAGGTGTGGACGGCGCGATCGCGAACCCCATCCCGCGATGATTCCAGATTCGCGGCGCAAGACGTCAGGGACCAGCGTGACCGGCCCACCGAGGGGAACCACATCCCATCGCCGGCGCGGACGGGGAGTGCGCGAAGCAGCGAAGTCACGAAGCGCGGAACACACCATATGGACTAGGGCGTTTGTACGGCACAGCAGGTACGTCTCGGCGGGGCGCAGATTGGACGGGGGGCTGGGTGCGCGCCCATGACTTGGGACTCGCTGCACGAGTAGTCATGCTGGGAGTGTTATCGCGTCTGATGAGACATCCGGGGTCAATAGAGGTGGGCTTTGGGCGCGTGCAGACTCAGCATATCGGGATTGGGCCACAAATCCGAGGAGGGGCCCGCATACGACGCCGTGTTGGTGAAGACATAGCACACACTGCGCTGCGAGGAGCGCTATGAGATGTCAAGGAGAGCATGCAATTCCATATCCATATCCAGTCCCCAAACACGAAGCGCGCTACCAAAAAGCAAGCAACGGACGCGACAACGGAGCCAAATCGACAGGAAAGCAGCGCCCCCACATACACATATATGGGGGCGGGATAAGATGAGAGTCCAATATATGCAGAAACGAACGTGGCAGCGCCAGTAAGGGCGCATGTACATGGTGAGGGTGAGGTGCAAAACGCGCATCCGAGCGGCAAGCCCAAAGGGGGAATAAAGATACATGGCGGGCCCCCGCCGGGACGCCCGCATTACAAGAATCCGAGTCCTGGCTGGCTGAAGAATAGAATAGCGCCGACTGACTTACTAACCTACTGTCCTAAGGTAGAGAACCGGTGCTTGAAGCGCGCGAGGATGCCGCCGCGCGCGCCGCTTTCGCTGCGCTCGAGCCGGCGGAACGACACGACTGAGAAGCGGCGCTGGTCGCCCGAGGCGCGGGCGCCGTCGGTGGACTCGTGTAGCGCCGATGACGAGTCGAGAACGAATCGCCCGCTCATAGAGGAGTGGGAGCGAGAGGGCGCGTCGCTGCCTGTGCTCGGGCCTTCGGGGACGGCTTCGAGCGATGGCGCATTGAGGCGGAGGGAGGAAAATCTGGGGGCGGCGAGGCTGTGGCGGAAGGACGACCTCGGAGTCGGGGCGGCGGAGCGCCTGCGGGCGATCGGGCTAGTGATTGAGGAGGGAGAAGGAGGGGTGTCGGATTGGCTCCGGACGCGCCCCGAGAAACGTAATGGTGTTATGGGCTCAGGGCCGTAGTCGGCTGTTGAGCTGAAGGGGATGTCCGATGCCGAGCCGGTGTGGATGGGGGACCCGCTCCCGATGCCAGCGATGTCTGGTAGCGAGATGTCGAGCGAGGAAGCGACGAGATCTTCTAGCAGGTCGACGGCGTAATCCGGTAGGGTGACGTCGCCGATATCGGCGAGAAGTTCCTCGCGGGAGCGGAGTGCTGCGAGCTTCTCAATGCTCACTGTACCTTCGCCTGTTGACGAGAACGGGAGGGGAGAAAGAGAAGATGCTAGCTTCAGGTGCGGTATTGAGGGCTTCGTAACTGCAGTTTGACCACTGGAGCCCTGGGAGACGAAGGTCGCATCCGTCGATGCCGACTCGCTTCGAGCGTGTCCACCGTCGAGTGATGACGACCGCCCGTGGGTCCTCAAGGGAGACCGTAGGGCAAGGTCCATAGCTGACATACGCAAGCGCAAGGGGCGTACTTGTGTTAGAGTCTTCCTCCGGTAGAGAACGGGGGACACGGGCGGGCTACGAGTTGGTGGGAAGGTGATGCGCGTCGGGGAGCGTTGCAGAAACCGTGCGAGGTTCACTTCTTCTCGGGTCATCACATGCGGAGACTCTACCAGTGGTGGCTCCTCCCTGATCGGGCTAGAGAGCTTCACTACTAGTTCGCGTGTGTGCGCAGACTGCGCCTGTTTGGAGGTACTCTTGTGCACCTCCAGCCACCGCGCGCGTTGCAAGGACTTGAACTCCTCCGGGGGCAACTCTTTGTCGGCTAGACATGCACGCAGACGTTCTGCGCATGCTTGTGCGTCTCGTGCCTGTTCGCTGAGGACTGCCGTAGCTCGTTCCAAGACTTGAATTTGCAGCTCATGCGGAGAGACTTCGGCAGAGGATGCTTCGACCGCGGACTGAAGGGCGCTTTCCGCACGCGAGTACCGCGAGAGGCGGCGCGAAGCCAACAGTTCAGCGGAAGCTGGTGATGGTGTGGAAATGGGGGTATGTCGTCGACTTGAGGTGCTGTCAGGCGAGAACATGCTAGGGTTGGGGAGACCGAAGGTGTGGCTCGTGTCGGGCGTCCTAGGGAGCTGAATACAGCATGTCTCTAACAAAGGGTCATTGCACAACGTACCTGATGGACATGAACGAGTTGCGGTAGTTGGGTGGTCGCAAGGTATTTGTGTTATCCTGAGCATGGTGAGTGCAAGCGTGCGCGCGGGGGTATGAGAACATACCCGAAGAACATCGGGGGACTCTGTTTCGCTCTCGGTGACGATGCGTAGGCCAGCAGACTTGATGCGCCGTACGGTGAGGCTTGTGAATGGCTCCGCTTGGAGAAGGGGGGAGTCGTCATTTGGGAGGTCCGCGTAGGACTCTATAATTCTTTGTCCGAGCATGGTGATTGGTCGTCTTCGGAGTCGTGCTGGTCAGAAGAGCTGAGGAAGCTAAGGATGGTTGGGTAGAGCGTACCTGGACAGCGGGAGCCTTGGAATGGATGAACCGAAGACCAAGGAGAGGAATGGTGAATGAGCGAGAGAATGCTCATGTTCGCGTGGAAAGGGTCATGGTTCGAGCCAGGTTGCGCCCTGTCCTCGACGACACTATCCAGAGTTGTCAGGGCGCGTCGCGTCAGCGGCCCCGTAGCCACCCGCCTCGGCACCTCCTCCCGCCATCAGGTTTCGTTTCTTGAGTTCCAGCCTCGTCTCCGGGGTCCTGGCCCGAGCCTCGGTTGGGGTGTCCGAGGGATGGCCTAGTCTCTCCCTTCTCCTCAAGCATCGTGCTTTGCTGCTCGCCGGGGGTCTTTAGCTATATGTACACCTTTCTTACAAGGAGAGAAGTTCGTCTCAATCACTGATCTGACCAAGATACCCAGGGATCTGCAAGGGACGCTTCGTTAGGTGATGGAAAGGAGCGCTGATCTGAAATGATGGCAAATGATCGATATCTACTTAGTGAGGGCGGTTCATTCGAGGTGGACTGGAGTACTCACCTGTCAACAATGGACCACAAAGACGTATATAGCAGCGTTGACAGAGATCATGCACGGTGTCGTTCGTGGGGGAAGGAGGGGAATCTACTCACGCGCGGGGCCCGCCTTTATATGTCAGGCCCGCAGCCACCCGTGCTGCCAGGGGCTTCGAAGTAAGTCATAGCCCGTTCCAACGCGGACGGTGGAAACCGCAAACGTTTCCAGAAGCCAGTAACAGCCACCGATATGACAGAAATGACGCTCGGAAAGGAGCGAATGAAGAAGTAGAACATACGCTAGTAGAAGAAGGTGGGTGACGATCGTGAAGAAGAAAGCATTGCACTCTTCCTGGCGGAAGGGTTATCATTCCGAGTCAAGATGTAGTGGCTATATTAATATATTGCGTCTTACGACCTTTATCTCACTGGCCGAATTATCACCAGGTCTGCAAACCATGATGCACAAACCCTCGCGCGCATGCTGTGAACACGGCAAATGTAGGGAAAACGCCGCAATAAGATTGGTTATAGGTCATCGCCACTAGTGATACAGAACATCGATCG